AAAAATTCTGCGAGCGAAGCATTCTACAACATAAGCCACGATACTTAAACGGAGCTCATACAAGCAGTTGAATTGCCCTACCAAGACCTTATATCATCTCGCAACCGCCTAGGAACGTTCCGAGCTTTCAAAAAGCGAAATTCCGAGCAACAATCTCTGCCATTTCTAGAGGCATTACAGCAAACCACCAAATTCTCTGCAACGGACCCTCGAGACCGGATATACGCCCTGTTAGGTTTAGTTCATGATGGTCGAGCATTCGTTCCCGTTCCCGACTATACCATCAGCTTTGAAAACCTGGAGGTTCAGATGGCGAAAAATTACCTCCAAGCGACAAGGAAGCTCGATGTCATCCTTATTCCCGGCAGCAAACGCGCCTTGGATGGCAGTGTGCCTTCCTGGAAACCTAACTGGCTGGATCTAGGATTCGAATTTTGGTATGCTATGGAAGCCCAGCCCGAACAAAAATTCACGGCCTCTGGCACATCTGTATTCAAAGCGTGCCCAACAGGATGAAGAGGACAACCCTTACTCCATCAGGTTGAGTGTGTAATCTTTGCCGAGGTGGACGGCTTAAGTAGTTTGTATGGACGTGAGGCGACGGGGCATAAGAGGGAAGATCACTTTGTCCAACCTTCGAGTACTGGCGCGAATCCCTACGCACCTAAATATTCATCTGCCCTATCCAATCGACCTCTAAAAGCCAAGGGCAAGGCCAGAATTCGGCATAAGACAATCAAAGCCTTGTTCAATTGCCTAGACCTAGGCCCTGAACTCACAACCGAAAGCTATCGGTATATGTTCGTGTCCACAGGCGGCCTTTACGTGAAGCGAGCCATGATGATGTACCTATATTATGGAGTTGCTTCTGCAGCCGACTCAAAGCGCGTCAGTGTGTGGAGGACATTTTTCCGCACAAATCGATACAAGGGCAAACGACGATACGACTCTCCGGAACTCTCTCGATGGCTCGAAGATAATCGAGATTGGATGATCCACGGCGCTACTTTTGAGAGTCTCTGCAAGTCTACTTGTTCATGGACTGTTTATCCTCACCTTTGGACTGGTCCATTCTGGTTCCACACTATACCCCGGACCATAAACATTCCCCCGGTGGCGATAACCTTTAGGTGTGAGCGCCTTGTCTAATCTGGCCGAATTTTCCTATTTCAGTAAAGTAAAGTGGTTAAAAATGCTAGATTACGATAAGTTTAACCTTTAAGTTTAACCTTTAACCTTTAACTTTATACAATATCAATATTTTTAACCTCATCAACCTTATCAACCTCACTCTCTCTTTTTCTCAAACTCTAACCCTTCTATCCCCTTTTCTTCAACTCGATTTTTATTACATTTTTACTTCCAAGTTCATCATTCCTTTTCCCAACATTTAAATGCCCTACCATCTCTCTCTTTTATTTTTAACCTTTACTCTCTTATCCTCATCTATTCTCCCTCCACCTCTCACTCCCACCCTTTTACCCTCATTTTCACCCACTTGAGTCACCTCACGCTATAACGTATTAAAAGTTTCACCAAAATTGGAATTCTCGCTTAACAACCCTTTTAAAATTTAAGCTAAAATCTAAAACTTAGTTTCCCCCTCACTTGTATATACCCACCCTCCGCCCTCTCTCTTTCCTTCTTTCCTTCTCTCCCTGAAACACTACAACTAGGTAAGAATATAAGTCTCACTCTCTCACCCTCTCACCCTCTCACTCCTTCATCAAATTGTTTATCAGAATTTATTAGAGTTTATCAGCTTTTGAGTTTGAGGTAAGCCAAGATTTGAAGTGAGAGCAAAGTTTGAGGTGAGAGCAGATTTTGAGGTGACAGCAGAACCTGAGGTGAGTACTGGAGTAGCGCCCAGGATTTGAGGTGAGAGCAGAACCTGAGGTGAGTACTGGAGTAGCGCCTAGGATTTGAGGTGATAGCAAAATTTGAAGTAACAGCAAAACCTGAGGTGAATACTGGAGTGGCGCTTAGGGATTTTAATTAACATGCCTTGACTTGTGATTAAAATCATAATTCTTAATTTAATTTTTAAACTCGTGATTAACGCCCTATTCTGGCGCGTGCTTCTAGTTCTCCGAAATCATTCTTCCTGGGTTAATCCTGGCCATTATCATCGGCAGGGTTACTCGAAACCGCTCCGGTGCCGTCATTATCGCAATTATTTTACTTGTCGTAGATATCTTGGGTCTCTCGATCCTATATGCGTTCGTCGTTCTTTCTATGACAATATGCTATTCGATCAAGCGAGATTCCTCAAGCGGTTGGATGAACGGATGAATCAGAGAAGTTTAAGGTTAGCTACTACGAGGAATGATGAGGAAGGGAACGAGCATTTGGATGGATGTATTGCTTTGGTTCCTGGGTGTGCGAGGAGAGGTGATCGTTTTGCTATTTTGAAGGGTTGTAGTACGCCTGTTTTGTTGAGGGGGTGTAAAGATGGGTATCAGCTTATTGGCATTGTTTACCTAGAGGGTGCTATGGAGGGTGAGTGTATCGAGTGGGCAGCGGGCAGGTGGAAAGATTGTAGTTTGTATTGATGAGGTGGATTTATAATTTGTAACATCAAGCGTGTATCTTTCAGCGTTGTTATTGTAATTTCTTGCGAGCGGCGGCATGGGTGATTTTAGATAGTGCGTTGTAATGAGTGATTTTCTTTATATTAGCTGCTAGCTGTGTGATTAGCAAATGGTTAGAAATTGAAATAATACGAAATTTTCTTTGCCTCTGTTGTGATTTTTGCAATTTTTTGAAAATTGGGCAGGCCAAATGAGTAGTAGAACATTTCGTTGCGTTATCACGTGCCCCCATTTTCGCTCCTTCTCTCGCGAGGTTTCTTCCTAGGCTCGTGCCATCTGAAACACACCTGTGCATATAAAAGCACTCACAAGATCCCCAAACCCTAACCAAGAGAAAACAACTGGAACCCCCAAAACAATATCTTGAATACACGCTACGAGTTGCACATCACATACGCAACTGACGTAAAGTGGCCGAAACCTTTCTCAACCACTTTTGCCTTCTAGGAGAGTGTGCAAAGACACAACGCGTTGGATCTGGCGAAGTCAAATACGGATCCTGTGAGCAAGCGCTATCGTGGACTTGCAGCTGGGGACGTCCTCAACGACAGCGTATATATGAGGGGTATTGAGAGGCGATGGTCAGACTTCTCCCTCGCCAACGAATTTGTTCCACATAACACACAATTACCCAGATGCACGAGTGGGAAAGGGAACAGGTCCAGAAGTGGTTGCTCTACGTGTAAGAAGAGGCACATAGAGTGTGATGGAGGGAAGCCTTTTTGTAAGTCTTTCCTTATCTTATCTTTTCTTTAACTCGTCGCTTATAGCTGACGCTGAGTAGGTATGAATTGCCAGAAACGTGGTATTGGATGCGAAGGATTGTTTACGATAGACTCCCAGCCTCGCGCTATACTTCCATCAACATCTCTTGAAGGAACACCTACTACTGGACCACTTTCCTATGGCCCAGATCCTATGACGGTCCCCCGAATTCTAGAGTCGACACAGTCAGAACTCTCACATGCCTTTCTTACAACAGGGTCTGAGCCTCGCGAGAGACTACCTGCTTTATCAAAACCTTTATCGACACCAAATCAGAAAATTCCTACGTCTTACGAAGGAACAGACTCTGAAATCCATTCCCAAGCGCGGGTAGAGGAGTGGGCAAGCCATTCTCCCGCCACCTAAAGAGGTTCAAATAAAATTTCCTGCGCTGAAATTGCTCAGCTTATCGAAGAAGCGAAGGACAGATATGCTATATCGTTCTTATTTCAGGGAAATTCATTTTCTACGTTAAAATCGTTAAAATTATGTCGTTAAAATTGTATCGAAAAAACAATATCGAAAAAATATATTATAATAATATAAACTTTTAATATTTTTAATTTTTAATAATATAAATATATATATATATTAATAATTATATAAAAATAATTATATAAAAATATTGATTTTTAATTCGTTTATTAAATTTTCATGTATTTAAACGTATAGAAATTTATATTTAAATATTTCTATATTTTATTTCTACCGTGAAAAATATAATAATAAGCGTGCACGCAAAAACCTTCGTTGCGTCAGGGACGAAGAACCCAACTGATGCCGATTTTTCGGACATATCGCGGCCTAAAGACTCCTCGCTTGTTGTGTGTTCCTCGTGCCTCTCATTGACTATGGGCAGATATCTTGCCGTCGGATGCTGCCAGTGTTCTTTGCTATAGTAACTATAGGTCCATGTAGTCAAACAGACAACTCCCCCTCCGCAGATCTTCCACACCGTTACCATGGACGGTCGAAGTTCGGGCAGAAACAAATATTGACTGATTGCGATTGTTATTAGCGACGTAGCAATCCCGATAATTTTCAGTATGTTGTCCTTCGCTCGTAGAACAGCAGCAACTATGAGCCCTGTGAGTGCGGTCACGATAACCAACACTCCCAGCGCTGGTAAGAAGTCCTCGTTTGGTGTTGTGGAAGATGTTGCTGGGTTCAAGACGAATACTAGTGGGTATGCGACAATTGAAAACAAAAGCCCAAAGGCATAGAGACAAAGCTGGGAGGCCCAAAAGTCTCCAATTTTGGTCAATTTCTCGGTGTTGATGCTTGCAAGTGCAGATATACATGCAATCACCAGACCCGAAGTAGGAGCAAAATACCAGCGCACAGAGGTGCTTTCGGAGTTGTTTTGTGGTTTCGAAGGGACACTAAAAATAATCAACCCTACACAAAGTAGAGCTAGTGATATCCAAGCGTGTATGTTTTGCTGCTTTTTGATCATGTAATGATGGAGAATCGCCGAGGCAGGGAGCTCTAGAGACACGTTAGCAAACTCTTTCAATAGAAATATGGAAGGCGAGGAGCTGATCCGAGCAATTGAAACACTATTTTCTTGGATAGATAGCTCTTGAGAATGAGCCCAAAGATCTCTGCTCCTAGGACGTATACAGAAGAAGGATAGGATATGACATACTCATCAGCATACAGACGTGTAGTAAGATCGGTGTCGCATGTGGTAGTACGGTGAAGTAAATGAGGTTGTTAATAAGGTATAATGCTGCAGGGACAGCGTACTGGAGCAGGGCTTCCATGGTGGAACTTGAATCGCTTGTCTTCAGCGTTTCGAGTCTAGCTGATATACTCGTCTTTGTCCAAAGTATGAGGAAAGCTGCTGCAACGAGGAGCTTCGTGGCTTCTGACAATATGGTAATCAAGGAGGCTGATATCTGTGGGAAAGTGTGGAAAGCATAGTATGCGTAATTTGCGCGGAGGGTCTCGGAGCCTCTGCATTGGTAACAATATAGTTAGAATACGTTCCTCACACGGATGGAAGGAAACTTGCTATGGCTACAGCTATAAGGTGCTACAATCATCTGAGTGACAACAAGGAATGGGTGAGGTGGACTTACATGTAGATAGCGAGGAGAAATGAAGAAGAAGTGAACATTTTTTTGACTTGAATCGGCTGTGGACATATGAATCGATGGGATGGGATACCAGTAAGTTGAGAAGTACCCACGGATGCCCCTGCTTGCTTCGGGTTCACACATGGATGCAAAAACATCATCTCATAATTGTGACCCAAATCATTCTTCGAGGAACGTATTACACATTTCCAAGGCACGGAGGCATGTAAATGACTGGTGACTCGGGAAGCACGAAGCGACTTATCGATTGGTCCACCTGGCATTCCTCCGTTGATTCTGTAGATTCCACAACAAAGGTGGCTGGTTGCATGGCACCTTTGATGGAAGTGACAATCGTCGATAACTCGAAATGTCGTTTTTCTCGGAGATCTCCAGACCGAACTGGCTTGCCACAATTCGATGGAGGGTTATAATCGTCCTCGTATTCTGTCTAGGCTTCATTCATTATGTTATCCTTGCACCAGAATTGAACATGCTGGAAGCGGGACACAAAATAATCTCTGCAACTCCGACATGGCAGCAGATCATGGATCAAGTTTCGTGGGGCCACGACTTAGTCTCTTTCAATACGACCGAGGGTGGAGACAACAGAGAAAATACCACAGCTCCTGGAATGAATATAGCAGGAGACGATGAATCGATCCCCCAGATAGAGGATCTGAATGTATACGATGAAGCGAAACCATCACTCGGACCGCAGGACGACCCAGTATCGCTATCGGAGGGACTCATTGGCATAGACCTGGACCTCGAAGGGGGCCTGCGGACCCAGAGTGCATCTCCAACTATCGTGACGACTTCATCAATCGCTCAAGCAACTTCATTGCATTTCGATGAGAGTGGACACCCCGCTGGAATGGATGATGGATATGCTGCGATTTGTATATCTATCAAGGACCAACGTCAGGATCTACCCGAGTTCCTCATCCATCACTATTACCACCTTGGTATAAGATATTTCTACATCATGGATGATGGTTCAGAGCCACCATTGTCTGAATTGGAAGATCTGGGGGTTCCACGGTCAGCATTATCATTTACTTACCAGGATCGTGCAACTCGAGACCCTCGCATGCAGATGGTCTTCTACGACAATTGCTTACAGGAACGTGGCAAACTTCACCACTGGATTGCATTTTTCGATGCAGACGAGTTTCTCGAAGTGACTTCACCAAATCAAACGTTTCGGGAGATCTTAGAAGAATTCGAGAAAATAGACCACGTGGGTGCTTTGGGAGTAAACTGGCGAATGCACACTTCGTCAGGACTTCTCACCCGACCAGATTCCGCTCGAAAGGCATTCACTACCTGCATCTACGACGACGTGGAAAATGGCGGCGCATCTTCGGACAACCGTCACATCAAATCGATCGTTCGGCCATCCAAAACACAGAGCCACTTCAATCCACACAAGTTTCGAATGATACCTGGGGTACTAACCGTGGGAGAGGATGGTGATGAGATATTCTCGATTGCGTGGCGGCCCATTACTAGGCAGCGTCTAGCATTACATCACTATGCTGTCAAAAGCAGAGCAGAGTACGAAGAGAAGGTGCACAGAGGAAATGGAATGACAGACCCAAAGGGCCAACAATTCTGGGATCACGTCGAGACGATGCCTCATGTAGACTGTCCAGAGATGGCTGCTTATGATCCTTAGAACTATGAGATGAAGACTATTTTGACTGTAATCCAGCTTTTCTTCAAGTAATGCGAGTGCTGATGTCCCAAAGTAGCAAGCATCAGACATAAAGTTAAGTAAATCAAGCATGTCAGATCTGCAAGCACCCAATTCCACGGACCTACGGTCTTTTTCATTTCCGCCGCCTGGTCCTTCTGTGACATAGATGCAATCATGGCCTGAAATATACACATTATCGTGAACACTTACTACAAAGCAGGCAATTGAATATATCCCTTTCAGAGCCATAACTGATTTGAAATACTGGATGTGCCGAAATCAATCCATTTGCATAAAAATGGAAGTTGGAGGAAACTTGCAGAGAATGACGAAATAGGCCAAGAACCTAGGTGAGCGTTTTAAATTAAATCTCCTCAATCAAGAACCCACAGATCATCATGACACTGAGACAGACTGTTGTAAGAGCGCAAAAATAACACCAGCCTGCTCACAAATAGCCGTGTATCCAGAAGAGACGCACTTCCATGCATATCTGGTCATCATTTGTACAAAGACCGCGAAGGAGGACCGTTGGTCTGCTTAACGACGGTACATGTTTGCAATACAGAGTTGTTACATCACTAGATGAATTACCCGGCTACTAAATAGAACTGGACTTTAGGGCTAATAATGTCTCGATATGGCTGTCATATCTTGCCCAACAGCCACATTTCTCCTTCGCCGGACGCGTCGCTTGTGACATACATTCTTCCAAGATGATCAAACACAATGCCAGCTAATGGCCAGTTAGCATTGTGAGCAAGCCGATAAACAAGTGGGCAATTCCGACAGCGTAGAGCTGTCTCGGGAACCTACAGAGAAACGACATCTGTCTGTTCTCTTCTCAAGTCTCAACTTTCGAGAAGCTCTCGGCTCCGGAGCTGCCACACGAAAGGATAAAAATTCAATATGGAACAAGCTTACCTGGGCGGAAGCATTGAGTTGCGCTGCATTGATTGACATTCACGTTCGACCATATATCTCGATACCCAGATGTGCTATTTGAGAGAGATACCGGGCCATAACGTCCATCACGACCTCTGAAAAAAGGGACCTCAACGACCTTGTAGGCATCCAGTCAGCACTACGTAGGTTATGAAAGTTTGAGAAGGTTCCTTGTCTACAATTATCCAGAAAACTGTGCAGAACGGGAATGCCAGACTGCCCAAGTCGTCCAGGTTGGGAACTTGGAGAAAAAGAAAGAGGGAAAATAAGTACTCACCTTATAGCCCGTTGGTGGGTCACGGTCCCAGGATCCGTGGAAAGCCACATACATGTTTGCGAAGGATCTGTCAAACTTGGTGTCCAGGGGCGCAGAGTGTGCTTGGAACGTCAGGCGAGGCGGTATTGATAAGTTACCACAAGCCGAATCGTTGAAAGTAGCATTCGGGACCAGGACAAATTGATCGCCAATGCCAAAAACCCTATCTCGAATATCGCTAGGTTTCCATACCGAATAGCATGTGGGGAAGCCATACCAATTAGTGCTTGGTGCAAGGTCCCCAATATAGTTGAGCTCTTCGGCAGGGTTGTCTCCATGTATGTCTACGGTTTGACCGTCCGTAGTTCGAGTTAATTCGTCGGATCCGTTTTCAGTGACCCATAGTCTGTCAGAAGTTTAGCAGAGTAGAGAGATTGACCTTGGTTCACACACTTGTCATTGCGATCAAATACAATGCCAACGGCATTCCTGAGACCGTAAGCTAGGAGATACCCATCAGTTGAGTAATTGTATCCTTCGACTGGAACGGTGCTTAAATCGAACACCCTGATCATGGCCCGCCCAGTTTTGATATCCCCAGCGGGGTAGTCGATATTGCCACTGGCTCCATGTGATACGAGCAGGGTATTTGGGTGAGACGGTGACATGAGGAGGCTTCGAGTAGGATGACCACTGTTAAACATGCCCTTGATTACCGTTTTTGCAGACCCAACTATAGAGACAGCAACAGGATCATAGGTCCAGCTCCAGACTACGGTCATTGAACTTGCAAAAAGGGTTGTGCCATTTGCATCAAAGCTAATGCCGTGATTTAGATTAGCCTGCGAAACGACTGTTTTACTCGACTGGACACAGCCAGAGCCATCCTGTCCCATTAGAGTCAGCATACGTTACTTTGATCAAAGGAAGTTCAGCAACATATGGCATTGGGATTTCTGCGCCAGTGACTCTCAGTAGTGAGATAAAAGCACATTAAAAAACAGAGACTCACGAGAGTGTGCGCTGTAATCCCCAAGCCGCTTTCGACAACAAGAAGATGACCTGCGGAATCGAAGACCACTCCACGAGCTGCCGCCATGCCGCCTTTGACTTTAGTAGCCCTCCACCCATTTGCCACAACCGAGGGATATTTTGGTGCACTAACACCAGGGCACAAGGTTGGCATGCCACTTGTCATGACCGTAGCAGTACTAGTCGGAGATGGGGTCGTCGTGGATACGGTTGTCGTGCTTGAGGGCTGAGAAGTGCTGGAGCTGCTTATGGGTGCTACAGGCAAAATTATATTGTTAGCAATCCAAGAGCTGAACTTGGAGCTTCGTGCCCCCTTGACATCATGGACCCATTTGCCAATATTATCATGAACATTGAAACCCGAACTGTTGTCGGCAGGATTTAATGGTGGAGAGATAGCGTAGGCATAGGCAAACGTCGTAGTCCCATTCAGCGGCACTGTCATGTTCGAACCATCACTGCCTTGCCACGAGGTACAGCCTTGGCATCGGACGGTCACGGTCCCTGGTGGTAAAGAAAGTCAACCGTTTGTAATTTCTGGCCTCGACGGACTGGATTATCCACACGGTCTGAAAACCTGTATTTAAGAAGTTGAGCTTACAATGAGTAGAATTGGTTCCGGTGCCTCGCAGATAGGTGTATTGTGCTTTATCGTACGCCAGGGGCAGATTCAGTCCGCTACGTCGTGTCAGTAAAGGGCTTCGTCGTAGAACACGGATATCTTACAATGCTCTCCGCGAAGAAATGATTGCACCTGTCGTCCCGCTAGACCACCCAACGGACAACGGATTCCACGGCATAGTCCCACCCCAGGCAAATCCCGCCCACCCAATTTTGACTGGGGCAACGACCTGAAGAATGACATCTTCTGGAGTACCGTCATCGGGAAGAGCGATTCGATAGCTAATTCCAAGTCCGGTGGTGTAAGAGGTGTAGCAGATAGCAGTCAGCGAATCACAGAAAGGCGTGGACAAAGTTTGAGACGACACTATTACGTTCAGTTGATGAAATTCTTCAACAAAGGAAAGATAATACCGATGCTCGTGAAGACTGCTGCGACCAGCAGAATCCGAGTGGAAAGCATTGTGGGAGCTGGACAAAGGATATCAAAACAATGCTTCATTCGAAAAATGTTCGACAATACAAGACATCTTGCCAGCCCTTTATGATCCCACCGAGATGTTTTCTTTTCACAAATCCCCGAGGGCGAAATCTTACCACGTCAATATGTAATTTCTGCCGATATGTGACAATGTAGGTGGGACCAATGAGGCCGGCTCGGTTATGCTTATAACTTTAAGGTTAAAATCCAATCAGTGGATTAAACCAAGCACCGTCCCGAAAGAGTACGATGAGCTGATGCAAGATCTTTTTTTCTTCATTGTGACTGATGAAATTTAGGCTCGAACACGACTCGTATGTTGCAAACAGAGCCACCATTCCGTTGTGGCGTTAGGCTTCAGGAAAGTATAGTACTTCGAACGATATGTTTGACGTCTGTTCCGTCAGATTGTCTGGATAAACATATTTTCCCGGCACCGCAGCTAGCTTTTGATTGTTCTTCAGACAGGCAGATGTCCGACGGCACTTGGGCCGAGGCTGTACGTACTCCTACCATGGAAATATCCAAAAAATATGTGTTGAAAACAAACCGGTCGACATCAAAGCCTCGCGACAGCAGGGTGTTGATCTCCCCGTGTTCGGTCCTTTTGCCAGAAACCGCCAGCCGCTGAACAACTGTCGAGCATTTTTGGTCTAGACCACGTTGACGAGTAAAGCGAGTATAAAGATTGCTTGAATATGGCCCACTGCTCCATGAATAGCGAGGAGGCTTTTGACACATGTCACCAAACACAGCGACTAAGCTGCCTCAGACTCGCAGCCTTCTACGGTCTGTACAACCCCGACAGTGACCCACACTTGGAATCGCGAAACTCAGAAACTCAAAGGCCGAAAGGGACAGAGGATAGTGCCCCGTTGCTGCTATAGGAATGATGAGCGAAAGCGAAAGGATGAGGTAGCAGAGATATTGCTATAGCACGGACTTGTAGTAGCAGGCTCCTCCTATGTCCTGGACCGACGAATCATCTGAGAACAGATTCCCGAGGAAGTTATCAATTTAAATGCAAAGATGTGTATATCGTTAACTTTTCTAATCACTCACTTGAGCGAGGCGAGGCGAGGCGAGGAATCGAGGGCAAGTGAGATGCGATTTAGAAGACGAATTGGGAGTCGGGCATAGAAGGACCTTTAAATAGAAAACTAGATGCCTGGTTTATCCGAGGCAAAACCAGGCAACAGTTTCCGCTCCCTGCTCAATTCCGCCACTGTTTCATCGGGAGCCGTACCTTGCCCCACTGTGGCTTGGGACTTTTTCTTTTCAGCATGCGTGTTCTTTCCTCAGCCTCGTCTACCTTCAAAATATCTCGCGTCACTCTTTTCTACCTTTCTTCCCGTTGTATATAATTCTCATCTCAATAGATCCAACCTCCCCGATCTTCCATCGACACATGTACAATCGCACATGAATGTGCATTTCATACCACCTTGTCGTTGGCAATGATCACTCTTCATCCACTGAAGCGCAAGGCCGAGATCCTTTCTGCGCCTCTTGCGACTGGCGAATCCTGGTTCATCATTGGCATATGTGCGGCGGCTCTTGCCATCATCTTCAACACACTCCGGAGTGATGGTGAACCTCTACTCGCCCTTCTCGCGTTGAGCACACTCGGGTTTGCAGCTTCCTTCTGCTTAATCAAATGGCTAGGCCCTACATTCGTTGCGATTGGACTCTCTGGAGAAGATATGTCAAAACGCAGGAAGAAGAGGATACCAGAAGGCATGGGAGTGATCAGTGGCCTAGTATTCCTCATGGTTTGCTGTGCGTTCCAGGCCTTCGGTCCATACCTTCTTGAGAAGAACGTCACACGTATTGTCGGAGACCAAATCGTCACAACTAAAGTCGAATTTGTGCCAAACACAAACGTCTTTTACAGGTTTCCACACGCAGAGGTTAGTAGTGTTAGCTCGAAAATGTTTATGCCTTTCAATCATTCGATCTTCTTCGAGTCATGCTTACGATACCCAGTTGTCAACCTACAACGCCTCAATCGTATCAATCCTCTTCACTCTGGTCCTTGGCTTTGTAGATGATGCATCCGATTTGAGATGGCGGTACAAGATCTTCATACCAATATTTGCGATCATGCCAACCCAGGGAGCCTATTTCGCTCGAGGTGGAGGGACCACAGCGGTGATCCCCATTCCCTTGCAGCCATGGCTTGGAGGAACAATTGATTTAGGAATATTCTACTACGTTTTCATGGTTGCAGTCGCCATATTCATGACTAACAGTGTCAACATTCTGGCTGGAGTTAATGGAATCGAGGTCTCCCAGTCCTTAGCCATCGCATTTCTTTTGGTTTTCAACGACGCACTCTACCTCTTTTGGCCAGAGAACAACCCTGGGATTTACCCAAATCCCACTATCGAGGCACACCTCTTCTCAATTTATATCTTGTTACCTTTCATCGGTGTATCTCTTGCACTGGCTTGGCATAACTGGTTCCCAGCCACGGTCTTTGTGGGAGACTCATACTGCTACTTTGCCGGCATGGTGTTTGCTGTTGTTGGGATTTTCGGTCATTTCTCGAAGACCTTGCTTCTCTTGACGATCCCCCAGTTGGCAAACTTTGTATACAGTCTCCCACAGCTAGCAAAGATTGTACCGTGCCCACGCCACCGGCTTCCTCACTTCAATGCCCGGAGCGGCTTGATGGAACCTTCTGTGACCGTTTGGCAAAAGCCCCCAAAAGCTTTTATTGCAATCGTTCTGAAAACACTAGGTCGATTTCACCTTTTACGGGTCACGAAAGACGAAAAGGGGCAGATCATCGAAACTTCGAATTTCACAATTTTGAACTTATGGTTGGTCTGGTTTGGACCTCGTAGGGAGGATAGACTGGTGATGGACATCGTGGGATTGCAGATAGTTTGCGGGCTTCTAGGTTTGCTGGTCAGGCATAAGTTCGCTGGGTTCATATTTGAGTTTGATAATCTGATGACGGGTCGAGCATTGGGAGTCAAGGTTTAGCCTTCTCTATTGCCTGGATCGATCTCCAATAGAATTGCTGGTATCTTAGCTGTTGAAGCCTTTGGAAGATTTGAGCTTGAGCGACCGCCATTTCTCGCGTGAATAAGCTTATGTTGCAGAAGATTAGAATCTGCACTGCTGCTACTTGATGGTGGCTGCTGCTGACGTCGATCTCTAGCCCAGAGGCATGTCCATATATGTTCGGGGCTTCTGAGAGAACTTTACAGAGAATGGTGATCACGGGTTGTAGCGGCTCTCAATGTCCTAGAGCAGGTACATTCAGTGTCGGTCTGGAAGGCGCAGATTCTTGATGAGAAAGGACATGCGGTCTGGTTGGTAGGATCAGTTCAGAAGCTACCAAATATATCTTGATATGCATTATTGCATGAGAAGCCAGGATATGATGCAACGTTGTTTTGATTGTGCCGTAGAGGCTTCATAAAATACTGATACAACAAGGTATTCCTCTTTTCAACACATGAAGCGCAACGTATTGTCCAATACTGGATCAATAGTGATCTTCGAAAGTGGCCGCCAGATACGCCTATCCCAAGCCGCCTTTTGACCCATAACCGCCTGCCTGAAATCGCTCAAACCCAGAAAGAAAATGAAGATAATGCAAACAGCAGAATCGCTGAGCAAATTCTAGTATGTTACAACGTGCCGCTAGCTTCGATAGCAGCCGGAAGATTATTCTTTAGAAACAGCTTCCGAGGTAGGCTCAACCACTGCTGCTAATGGATCCAATACCCTCTCCATCACAGGCGAATCGATAATTGCATTTCCTTCCAACAACCCCTGTGCTTTGGCTTCCTCAATTGTCGACAACGAGGGCTTGGGAACAGCAGGTGTGACGGTTGGACTACCTCCCGATGATGGTTTGCTCGGAGTACTTGTGTCCGACTTTTTCATCCTCGCCCTGTAATCGCTTAAGCTGAGCTTCTTAGTTGTTTTCACAGGACTGGCTTGCTGAGCCAGGCCATTAATTGAGGGTCCAGGGATTGTGGATGCGAGTGGAGATTGGGCAAGTATTGCGCTTGCAGACGAAGGTGTCGCAGCAGCTGAAAGAGTTCCAGGAAGGCTGGAATTTGAGAAGTTAGGTGTCGGAGGCAGCTGAAGCTGCAAATCTGGCGACCGCAGTGTAGGGGAAGTAGACATATGTACAGATGCCACAGCCACTTGATTTGGCCACGGAGGCGGAGGAGGTTTGATATGGGTGGTAATCATCGCAGTTGGTGGATCGGTCATGATGATATCCGCAGGACCGGAAGTATCCACGGATGTCGTCGAGGATGAGATACTGAAATTTCGAGCCTTGCTCTCCACAGGAGACTCTGTTTGATGTCGCTCCTCGTGGGTTGGGCTGTCCAGATCCATTGGCAACGCTGGTGATGGCTGCCCACTCTGATCAACACTTCCCGGAGATGTCTGAATCTGAGCCTGTTGCATGTCTTGGAGCATTTGAATCTTATGTCTGTTCTTCAGGAGACGCTTCCCAAGTGGCACGATCGCCCGCTTCGATTTCGTTGGTGTAATGTTCCACCACGCTTTATCTACCTCATCAGTCTGCGTCGAGTCGTCAACGTAAACCGGCTTAGGATTTGCCGAAGCTTGACGGGATCGATATTGCATAGAACTATTGCGTGAAGTAACATTGGTTGGGGATTGGGGTCCGGCTGTCGGCGACACAGCGCTGAAAGGAGAACCTGACTCCCGTCTGGACGTACTGGCATCTGCATATTGACGTGATCGTTGCCCATTTGCAGCGGACGCTGACGGTTGAGAGATAGACATCCGTGCCACAGACTTTTGCCTTGGTTTCACGGACGGCTGAATCGTAGAGACATGAATAGGGACAGTCACATTAGACCCGTCGGAAGCCCGCTTCTTCTTTCTAGGTGGTTGGCCTTGCTCCATCTTTCTGAAAGAGTCCTCTAACATTGCGAGCTTTCTCTTCTCCCGATCTGTCGGTTCCGTCAAAATGCCATTCGTTTCGGTCGTCCCATGAGAAGGAGTCAAGTCTCGACTCTGAGGCTTGCTTCGACTTGAGCCCGAGGTTGAGCGATTATCATCCTCATCATAAGTATCTCCTTGTCCTTCGCTGGCTGCCCGGCTATTGGTTGCATACCCGGTGCTGGTGGGAGATACATGGTTCTGTCTGGCTTTGCGACCTTTCTTTGACTTCACCCCATTGGATTGCGAATGCGATCGCGCGTGATAACTTCGATGAAAGCGTGCAAATGCACAATCGCTTCCAAGATCACAGGCGCAACCACCGTGATCAGATAAAACCAATTGGATGAGCTGGCTGAGTTGCTCGTATTCCTCGTCGGTAGCATCAGCACTGTCGAATTGTATTCCTTCCTCATCGCCTAGGTTCAGCAAATGGAGATATCTTGAACTATGGTTGCTTGGAAAACGAAAGTCCCATGGAATGGTAAGTTGTTCTCCAGCAGCAATTTGTCGTTCGCTGATGAGCCAGAAATGGTACTCTGAGCCTCCTCCAGCAATGAAAGTTTCCAGGGCAGTATTTGCTCGACAGCTCCGGCGCACGAACCGGCAGGTTGATCCTTCTTGTCTAGTATCTATATACAGAGGAAGCCTTGGATGAAAGAACACGAAAGGTTGTGGATGCGGTGCATCCAGCCAATGGGATTGAACATCTTGACAGTAGTCTCTCTGGAAGCCGACGAATCCATTTAGTTCTGTTATGCGACCCGCTTGTTGGAAATATGTAGGAGCCACTAGATATCGCCAATGTATGCTTGTGTTGTTGACTGTGGCATCCTTTTGTACAGGTCGTAGTTCGGGCCACCTCAGTTCGTCAAAGGCAACTTTCAAGCGTTGGAAGACATCCTCTTTCCTACACCCAGCGTCCTGTTCTAGTTTTTCGGGATCATGAAGCCACAACGACATGGAGTTTGTCACTTCTAGACTGGCGAATGTATTAGTCGAGGATGATGGAGGATCGTGGTCGTAGAGACTGAGGAACCTCTCGGAGTAGCCATGGACCTGAAAGCTGTTAGGCAAGTCCGGGGGTGTATGAGCCGGACTTGGAGGATGTGCGTGAGGATGAGGACGTGCATTGAAAGGCGGACTGCGTTTGATTCCTGAGCCGACTGATTGATGTGACCGATGACCCTTCGTCTTCTTCGTTTGTGGATGGTGATCCTGAGGGCTTGCATTTTTGTGGCCGTCGTGATCGGCGAAACCGTTGACTTGTAATTCGGAGGGCTTCGATTTCTTCTTGTGGCTTTTAGACTGAGGTCGCTTGGTCTTCTTGTCGCCATTATCGTTAATTATCTTGTTCTGCCTGTTCTGTCGTTGTCGCTCGATCGCATCTCGAAAATCTAATTCTCGAGGTTGACAATCAGCGCAAGAGTGATCGACTGTGGATATGTTAGCATGGTGTAGGAATACCTCGTGCGTTATCGCTCAGGAGGGGTTAATTGGTCTTGCGGTCGAAATACAGAAACAAACGAAAAGCTGATCTTGAGCCAGCGCTCGAGCTCTGAACTTCCACATATGCAGCAGTAGGATTGTATGAGATCATGCTTACAGTCTGCTCTTGAAGCATCCTCGACTCGGCCAGGATAGTAGCACTCGGTGTGTTGCCAAGTATCGCATTGTTCGCAATAAATCGTGTTGCCATCATCGTCGTAGTATTCGCAAATACATTTGATCGTATACGGCTCGTCATCTGCAGACTCGGTGACGATCCCAGGCGCGTCGCTCGAAGGAGTGGGATGGAACGCCACCTGGTTCGGAGTCGCGATCTGCGTTGTGATCGAAAGAGGCCTTTCTGTCATAATCTAGCAAGAGCCTCCAGCTGGCTGTGTGAGTGGAAGGACAACGGTGAATCAGGACTGCCTGAGTTTCATGACGACGGGAGCGACTCGAGAGAAGAAGGGGATGAACGAGATCGAGCACGACTGTCATCAGTTGTTAAAGTAGATCGCAGGACCTCTGCCTCCTGGCTGCTGTCGCGGTGAACTCGAGTCACGAAGGAGTGGGCGCCGCCGGACGACCGTGAGCCTTTAGCAACGACTTGTGACGGTTATCTCGTTCCACAGATCGTTGGAGAAAGGCCTTGAATCGCTGGATATGATCGTAATGAGTGTGGGAATGTGCGGCAGGCTCTTCAACCGTGACGAGGGCGAGGGTGGGTGACGAAGAGGTGACCTGACTGTGAGGCTGTTGGATCCGCTGAATATCTGTCGCAAGTGTCTTTCGAGTACGTTGAAGGCTTGCAGTGTCCGTGTTGGGGTGTTGTGGAGTCGAAATGGCCGTGAGAGAATCGAGTTTGAATTGTCGAGAGGGGATGGATGGAGAGATTGGGGTGAGGATGGCAGTACTGTAGCGATTTGTACAGTAGTCGCACCCTTGGATGGAGCAAGGCGCCGCCCTAAGCACAGCCTTTCCGGTGGGTGCCCTGCATGCCCTGCATCGAATCGACACTCGAGGGAGCAGGATGATATACAACCACCGCGCACCGTAGCTGTGAAGTTTGCGTCCGTTCAGTATCTTCTGCCATGACACATATTGCACCCGACCGATGCATTGTCGAAAAGGGAGCGAGTCATGGAGAATGCCAGAAGGTCGAGGAGGCAATCCGATGAAGTCAGCGCTCGCTCGCTCGCGATCAAGAGCTGTCGCGGTTTCAATATTCCAGGCGGCAACGACCGTTCCTATTGGAAGCTTGGTGGTGGTGAAGAGGTATTAGTGGCAGGCTATGTTCTCAATCTAGTGTAGTCAAGAAATCAAGGTGAGGGCGAGAAAATTCTTTGAGGTGTGTATGGTGGGAGCCCGCCAGGGGAAGATGCACATGCACGTCGCGGCGAATAATGGAGAGAAGAGAACAATGTGTGGATCAACGTCGAATTAGGATCTTGTCTAATGGAACTCCCGCAGCTGCTCGCAGCATTACCGTACCCTGCCGGACGTAGACGACATGTTGACCGCAATTTTCAGGCTGACCCCCAGCGCTGCGCTGTACTGTACTGTACTGCAGCAGGCGAAACAGCCGTTTGCTGCTTATTTCACTCCAAGGCTGCCTAGACTCCTTAGCTACCGGTAGCACTGGACGGCCATCTTACCTATAGGTATGATATGGCCCCATCCTGGCACAGTTCTAATCAGGCATTTCACATAGTGCCAAGTCGAAAACCATGAAAGACTTTCAAGGTCAAAGAATACTAATAAGTCACCTACCTTCCACCTCATGCACTTCATGAAATTCACGTGCTTGTTTCACAGCGCAATCGATCAAGTAATTAATTGAAGCTCACGAATGCTATTTCATCCCAGCTCGTGCATGATGCGATCGGCTCATTTTCGTAACCCTTCAAAAATACTGCTGTTCTATTGATCTTGCTGGACACATGGCTCGAAAATCGAAACATCTTTGGTCCTCGTTCTCAATCGGAAATCCTTTAGTGGCGTTCCAATAGGACATAATATCATGTCTCACTCCCGCTTGTTGAAGCTCTTTTGGTCCAAAATCTTCTCGGACTTCGAAGACAATTCGAATGCTCTAGCAGACTTTTTGATGCTGCTATATAAGCACACTAAAACAAAGTACTTCAGCTACCGGACAACATCACGCGCAGGCCAGACACTCACTAGCCGGCACAACGAGCCAAGGTAAGTTGAAGCAGACAAAGTAGACCCAGAAGTAATATGGTTCAGGACGATAGTACTGCTTTGAGATATAGAAATCTTCATACAAGCTCGTCGAGAGATACAGAAGATTCCCATATAAATGACCTGTGGACACTAAAGCTTGGATCGGATGACGGTATGGCGAGGATTTTGTTATGAAGACCGCTGTCAGTAGACACAACGGACCCCAGATAATCTAATTTGCTTAGAGGTCAGTTTGCTTGATAGATATAATGGTGGCATACCACTGTCCATGTCTCCACTAATCGAAAGTCAGCACTGATTTTGATCCAACCCTCCGCTTCCACTGGAACAAGAGGCCAATACTAAGCAACTGACATTTGCGATGGAAGGATCTTTTATGGGAGAGGAGCATAGGGGGGGGGGACAATACATACTACATAAAACCAGTGGATCCGAAAACATGTATCTTGAATCAGATAAAGCATACTCCTTCCATAGTTGGGCGAATAAAGTTTGCATGCCTGCGATTTGCGAATTATGGAGCACAAAGAAGCTTTCAAAGAACAAATGTATTGTACCCGCTACACCTAATTAGCTTGTTCTGATTTTCTCGGGAAACACTTACACATAACAAACCATAGGACTAAGCCGACATCGGTAGTAGGTAGCCTTGGGTGAACTCTTCGAACAAGCAATAAGATCGACCCCAGCAATAATGTCAAGCCGGTTGCGAAACCTATGATGAGGGTAGTCACAGTCAATTCATTTGGCTCAAAGCTCTTGCCAGAGAGGATGATATCCTGTGGGTAGTAAGGGTGAAAGGCCATGTTGTTCGAATGTCTTTTGAGTGGTGTCTGGATCCTTTTTCCGAAGCTCACACGCTTTCAGCCCTTCATGCTGGCCTTTGCCAAACTATCTGACAGGATACTTGATTATCAACGCTCGCAATTTTACCCTGTGGGTTGGAAAGAATGTCGTCTCCTAAGTAGGTTTTTCTAGGATGTGCGCCAACGGAGCTCGCTTCGCGGGGACGTTGGGCGAGCAACCATGTGGCTCACAAATTTGACAAGACGTCCTCTACTTGCTCCAAGCAATTACGCAATCAAGAGAAGACTAGCAAGAAGTTCAGGATGAAGGAACACACAATGATTATGATTGTACCTTTGTACTTAGTATGCTTTGGAAAAAGGTTGGCATCGCTCGCTGAACTAAACCAGTTTGGAAAGTGGGAAAAGCTGATTACCTCTGCAAAAGGAAAATTGACCAATGCACACTCTAGCCTGAAGAAAGAGGTATTTGGATGTATGTATTAAATGTAGTTCAAAGAAAAAAGAAACCTTATCGTACATTTAAATCTGGGACTTTACTGCATTGTACAGTACTTTGTCGCTTCGAAGTTCTTATACCAAAAAGAAGATTGAGGGAAGAGAGGCATTACCCAAGGAAGTAATAATGAATAATCCATCGATAAGTGTGATGGGAGGGATATATTGCTGGAAACCATGTGGCTTGTCCGATTGAAGTAGAGGTTGGAGCAGCCGTTATGCCTGCAAAATGTGGTCAGGCAAATGGCACGTCATCGTCCACGGGGAAAGTCGCAGTATGAGAATATCGTGGGGGATGCTGATTTGGTTAATATGTGGTGGAGATGGATTGGGGTCAAATGAAGACTGATTATACTCGAGCTTCTCGTTTGAGAGAATAAAAGAATAGAGAATGCTGGAAGTCATGCGAGCAAAGCTGCCAACCTTGTAGGTCTGTTGGATTTCTGTCAGCCCGTGATTACCTGCGTCATGGCGCTACCCGCCACTCTAGATCGCTCCTCCACATTGCGTTCCTTTTCCAATCTTCAACACTATCTTTGGATATTAGTGAGACCAGAACCCGATAAAGATGAAGTTCTCCCTCAGCCTTGCAACTTTGCTTCTCAGCACATTCGTCGCTGCAGAGGGCTTATCGCTCTTTGGTGGTCAGAAAGTCCTTGATGAAGCCACCAAGGTCCCGGTTTGTTTTCAGCCCCATAATCGTCTCTACCAATTACTGATCCGTGAAACAGGGCGATAATCCTTTATCATACTGTCAAGCAGAGCATGCGGACGATATCCTCGTGCTCGATCATGTCAATCTTGACCCAAACCCCCCAGCTGCGTACGACTATCTGCCCCATCTTTGTGCCACAGACTAACGCACGCATAGTGGACAAACACTTACCATCGAGGCGGTCGGTACACTACTTGAGGACGTCGAGGACGGGGCATATGTTATATTACAAGTCAAATATGGGTTGATAAGACTCGTGAATACTCAGGCAGATCTTTGCGAGCAGGTTTCCAACGTTGACCTCAGTTGCCCTATCAAGAAGGGCAAGACGACCATCACGAAGGACGTCGAGCTTCCCAAAGAAATCCCTCCTGTAAGTCACGTACCACAGCTTAAGCCACCTTGAAATTCATGGTAATCCCAGGGAAAATACACCGTCTTCGCAGATGCCTATACCAAAGACAAGAAGAAGATCATCTGCCTTGAAGCGACCGTCCAATTTGGAGGCAAATAAAGTTCTATTTTGTACGGTGATTGTTGGTGGAGGGTTCAAGATGGGGAGACACCCTCGCTCGTGCAGGCCATAATGTTGTGGACGATAGTTTCCTACGATATGCATAGTTGTAGCAGATACCACGGAGTTTGATTATTCAGGACGACGTATTGTAATTATGGAGGTCCAATCATACACATAAAGGATAGGCAGATTTTTCAATGATACTTATTCTCGCAAGCGTAGCTTACATTCAGAGGTTCTTCTTCACGCAGACGATTAACAGTGAACTTGAGTGACTCTGGATGACTTTCTTCTGAATGAAGATGTATTAGTCTACAATCTGAGCAAAGACGCCGAACTACCTATGGCAGGATAACCCGATAATCAAGCCAAGGTATCAACAGTGCCGCTTCCCCCAATCCTTAGCTTATGTTTAATTCCTTAGAATACTGGAAAGTATGAACATAGTGTTTACCCCATTTACTCCCCAAAGAGCCTTCGTACTCTCCTCAGGACACTGTCTTTCTCCGGGTCGTAAGGGTGGTCTTTGCTGGGAATCTCTAATAGAGATGGAAAAGCGGCAGTATATGTGTCGACTCGATGGCGTATTCGATCGGCAATCTGCGGCGGCATTAGAGACATATCTTGGTTTGGGGATATCTGCGTACATGTTGGTTGATCAACAGAATCCCAATATCCTTCCTTTCCGTTGTGAATCGTTCGAAAGCTTCTTCGATGGCTTCATTGCTCGTTTTGGTATCGACAACCTAGAGAAGTTAGGAATTGGAAGAGAGAGGGAGGAAGAGGTACAGGGGGAGCGGACCAAGAAGTTCTTTTGAGAGTCAGGCGGAGGCGTAACATGGCCAATACCGGCCAAGAGAAGGCCTGTGACAGAATCCTGTGAGAATTAGCAACAATTCCGGACAAGGGAACATTAAATCCAGTTGACGGCGAGCTCGTTAAGGAGGTTGGGAGATGTTGCGAGGAGCATAATGAGTACGGTGGAAACTTCAAGGATGAGGCTCACTTCGTCTCCAATAACAGCTAGGAACTGCCTGTCCTTGTAGGCGGAGGGGGGAGCTGCCATCTGGAGGGAGAAAATCTGATGGCGAGGGCAGCAAGGAAGGATACGAGGCGGTGGACAATTGAATTATCCTCGTCTGGTCTGGACAGAGGACGTCTTTTAGACAGCTGTGAATGTTTCGAGGACCTCGCTGTAGGTTCGGGGGTGAAGCTAGTGGTAGAAGCTGTGAATGTATGAAGATATAAGTCTCCATCTCTCGCTTATCTCCGAGCTTCACCATTTTAGGTACTGTAGTTCCCTCACGCTTGCCTTAGCGCTTTCCGGAACCTTGTCCGCTATCACTCTGAACCGAGCCAGGCAAGCTACTGCGGACAGAGTTCAAGCTTTGTAAACAAAAGTCGACTTTTTGAGAGCGCAACACGACGATGTGAGAGGAAAAGCCATCCTCTCGCTCACCATGCCGAGACTCATTCGCAGAAGGCCGCTGCTGGAGCGCATCAAAGATTACTTGAACCCGGGAGACTTTCTGCTTTGGCTGTCGGAGGAAATTGAAACGAGGGATTGGGACTCCAAAAGGCTTGCCGCTCCTATTGCTTTCGGTTTGCACTTTGTCTTCCTAATCGCGAGGGCAAACACAAGCGGTAGTAGTGCCAAAGGAGGTGACGATGTTTTTGGAGACGATTATTCTGGCACAGGTTGGCTAAGTTACATCGTATACAATCTCGTTTCTCCTGTCCACAACCGAGACTAACTTGAAAACAGGCAACCGTCATTGTTCATCTATTGACATACTTCTCTATCGCTAATGCCGCGTACACATTTTCTCGAAAAAGACATTACCGCCTCTTCGAAACACCTATCGATGCACCACAAAGCACACCATCCGCCAAGAGGGTCCGCGTCGATTCCTCTCCGGTTTCCTCATCTCCCTTGAGACTACTTACGAGCATACTTGGAGACCCTAGCGCAGAGTCCAGGGCGCACCCGGATGCTTCCCGCGATGTCTGGGAGCTGGCCGTTTGGGATCCCCTTCCGATTTGCCTACAGCTCTTTTGTCACTTTAGCCCAGGACATGTGTTGGTATATTGGCTCTTCCTCCCAACTCTGGCGTCGGATTCCCGACCCAGTGTGACAGTTGTCACCACGATACTACTAGAAATTCTGTTGTCCTCGCAGCTATACATTCTCCAATCCAATTTCTCACAACAGGAAAAGGATGCGGCTATCATCAGCAAGGAGGTTATGGGCGAGTACGACAAAAAGTTCGTTCATCCTCGCCTGAATCCTCTTATGCGTGATGTTGCTACTCAATACACGACCTCCAGTACTGATGCTGGAATTGAAGAGGGTGGGGATGGGGATGTGACCACTTATACTCCTACTGTGGTTCTGAAACGAGAATTCCGAACCAATCCGAATCCGTGTTATGCTAAACACTTCGATCCCGACAATAAAGGATCTAATCAACGAGTTACCCCTTCTCCGGCGCCGACCTACACTCCAGCAGCGTACAGTTCCAGAGAACCAACACCTTACACTGGTGTAACCCCGAAACCACCAATTCGTCAACCCCATTTTCGCCAAAGTGTGGCTACGGCTACTGCTACAGGAGCAAGCACAGGCGACGGTGGCAGTCTAGGAGTTTACAGTCATGCCAATTCTCCACTGAAGAAAGCGACTAGCATGTATGATATGCAAAGTGGCCGCCGTGAAGCTCCAAAGAACTCTCTAGACATGGCAGGTCGTGAGATACAGGAGCAAAGGGAGAGAAGCTTGAGCCCAGCAAAGAGGCAAAGCGAAGCTCACAAGTCTTTTCTGAGCAAAAACAGGATGCCAGCTTCTGAGGCCGAGAATGACCGTCGCACAAGCGCTCCCAGTGGCTTTGCTTGGAAGCAGCGGCCTAGCGGTTACGACAGTCCCTATAAAAGGGGACCCTCGAGATTTTAGGATGGGTGGGTCTCGGCGTTGAACTGGGCATCATAATGTTGGTAGACTGGTCTGGCATAAAAACGTACGTAAATAATAATTGACCCTTTTGAACTGAAGTTCAAGTCTCGTGTCTGGCAGTGAATTGCCAACCACTGAGGTGTCTCGTTCCTTCCTCGACATTGCTAGTTGGGAACCATTATCGTACCTTTCTATCCTGGACTATTTTGTAGCGTTCAAAACTAACCTCCTGCCTCTCTTATCCCTCCTGTACTGTTTCCTTCCCTCAAACATTCTGGACTCATTGGATACAACAACCATGTCAACAGAAGCACAACCTCCGTCTCCTCCACAGCATATTGCTGCTGTGTCGCGGTTTCTAGCCAGGCCTGCCGAAAAGCAACAGAGCAGGGGACCACCAATCGCATTTGACACCCAGGGTTCGAGACGACGACACGGCCGATCTTCTTCTCTGGGAGAAGTTTTCTCGCGCATGCTACCCTCGCGCCGTTCTGAAAAGGGGCATACCCTTCGCCCAGATATCGAAACTCAAGCAGACATTGGAGAAGGTCTTTTCAGCCTCCCCACGAACAAAAGCAATCTGGATGACTCCACCAAAGGAAAGCCTCTGAAAAGTAAAACCTGGTCTCCTGCCAGCAGAAGCGAGCACGAATCAGGTGAGAAGCAGAAAGGCGCCATAAAGAGACTCATTGGGTCCATACGATCGGTGAAAAACAGCGCGAGAGCGAAATATAAGAGAAGTCAAGAAGACAGTATTGACGAAACAACCAAAATTACATGCGAGGACGCTGAGTTCCAGCATGGTCTATCTGGGTCCCTGCGACCACCCCAGGTACAGAGATTGTCCTCGAGAGACACAGTAGACTACTATGATGAGAAGGAAATCACCAAAACACAACAGTTATTCGAGGATAAAAAGGCCAGAAGAGAACAAAGGAGAAGCCTGCAAGAGAGTGGCGATTTTCTGGGTGTTCAGGGTGCCAACCCGAGAACTGGTTATTGGGACATCAGCGATGTCACAAGTAGTAGTGAGCCTAGCCAGGCGAGCGAAGAGGCAAGGCAGCTACTTGCAAAGCAGGCACGAGAGGTAGCCGAGAAGAAGAGACGATATGAGGAGGCTCAGGTAATGCAGCAGACTGAGCTCAAGAGAGTACAGGCATTGAGAGATGCAAAGAAGAGAGATAAACTGGAACAGAAGAGGAGAGAATTGAAAATGAGACAGAGAGGCAGGGGAAAGTGGAGACTGAGCGAGAATGGTTGGAGCAGTCTCGCCGAACCAGACCTCAGTCCCATTGAGCAGTCATTGGCTGGATCTCCTGTGGCAGGTAAGTAGGATCTCCATAGTATAGACGAGGCTAACTGTTCTTTCAGAAATTGCTCCTGCTGATCGATTATATCCAATGCCTTCAGCTGATCATCCCTCGCCGTACGAAGGAACCGGGTCGGTGGCTCAGCCAGACTATTTTGGTAAAGGGCATACAACATCTCCGCTTGCGAGAGATCATCCAAGTCGTGGAAGTGGGACGATATCTACAGAGTCCCGTCAAAAACTCATACCCCGAAAGCCTGTTGGTTCCCTGAGTCGTCGGGCCACAGAAGGATCAACCAGTACTATTGTACACACCACTAGTGGTGTGCGGACTCCACCAAATAGTCTCTCTGCTGGCAATCTTCCCAAGCGTGAAGATATGAAGCCAAGCAGAGAAGGACAGGACTCGGTTGTTCCTACGACTCCAAATCCATTTCATCCTGGCCCACGCCCTTTTTTAGGCCAGAAACTTTCGACGAGAGAATTATCAGGCCATCAAGAAAGAGAAGCTATAGCGATCTCATACCGGTCAGCATCGACGAGTCAAGTCCAGATCCGCCAACGGTTGGGCCCAAGCCGCGAGGATACCAGCCCAGCAAAGCGTATCATGTCCCTGAACGAACTTCCACCGGTGTTCATCAAGGATCCCATTGCAGCCCGGAACCCATTGAGCTCGCAACCTCCCAAACCATCCTTCCCGGTATGGTCGCCTCCTACAATACTGGAAACACTTCCCGACCAAGAACCATCATTCACCAGCACATTCATCACCACCACTACTGGATTCGCTCCTCATCAGCGCCTCCCCATACAAATGGACGGCGTAAACGAGATCATCAGCGTCGCTCAAGCGAAGGATCCAGCTCTACCATACAAGATAAATTGCAAGACGTCAGGGGACAATTCCCCTCAGAAACAGTCACCGAGAGCATTGCAGAACCACGAGTGCCAAACTCTACAAGCAGACATCGTTACTTCATCGGAGCACCAGCTCACGCCCACGAAGCAGCGGATTGCAAGATTATGTCGGGTAGCATCAGCAGAAGGCGAGAAGATCGAATTGAAGACCATACCCACATCCACATCTATGTCCCGGCAAAGCCTGCCGAAGCAAAAGGAGACAGCTCGCAACGCTGCCCAATTGGCGTTTCGACACCTCAGACAAAGTCTAGCACCGAACCGGAGCGGTCCAGCCAACAACACTAGTAACAGGGCTCTGAAAAAGCCCGGAGAGCAGGAACTTAAAGAGTTGTGCCCCATGCCAAAAATGGGATCAATAGCTTCTGCATGCGCTCTCGTTTCCACTCAACGCAGCGGAGGCGGAGACCATCTTGTAGTCAGGCACCCCGAGCCGACAGCGAGAGCAAAGAAGGCGGGGATGGCATTGGCTGGCAAGAAGGGCACATCCGTCCAACACGTACCACGACACATGTCTCTATCTCCAGCCAAGAGACTTCCGAGACCGCCACCGCCGCGTCGACCCTTGACTATCTGGCAGGCTGTGGCTGATCTGGTCTTCGAAGCATGGATGCTCATCGAGCCCGTCTTCAATTCCCAGTCCGCGATTCGGAAGCGATTCGACCAACAAAGTCTTACATTTCAAGACATTGCCTTATTTCTGGCGGCCGGTCTCTTCATGATCGGCATCTTTCTTTTGACGGTGGTCTTCGCAAGGCTTGTCGGCATGGCACTGCAAGCCGTGAAGACATTGGGGGTGGTTTTTGGTCTCCTGACCGGAGTCTGACCTGACCTTTATCATGAGCGAGCCGGGATGGATGAGGCAGGTCCTCTCCTGGCTAGTATATTTGTTTTGTTATTGGATTATGGGTTTCCGCGCACTATGGTGGGGAAGTTAGTTGCACAGCATTCGACTGTGGGCAGTCTCTGTCGGGGGTATCGTGCGCACTTGGATTACGTTTTGACGGTCGAGGTACCGTGAGGTTGCAGCTCAGATTATGCAGACGTTTGAAAGGGGCGATGGAGCTCCAACCATGATAGTGTATTCGTGTATTAGTAGTAGTCTTAGTGATAACGAAAATGGCAGGAAAATGGGAGTCAATCATGGACTTTCATGCACGTCTCGGTAACTTCACGTACATACATATACGGTGATATTTGTGTAGGGTGAAGTAGATGTTCCGCGACTCGTGAAGCTACCTACCTCTTCATCTACACACCGCAGGTGACAATGACCTTATAATAGAATACAGTGGTTGATTGATCTTCAGCCAAAAGCAACCAGAAGGCAATGCAAGCAAGTAAGCAAGATCTGAGCGACGAGGTTCCTTGCTGCGGTGTAACCTGCTTCACTCCCATTAAGGGAACGAACGCACTTCTTCTTCTTCTTCACGTCTTCCCTTTCGCACTTCTGCACTTCCTTCTGCACTTCCTGTTTCTGTGCGTCACTAATCATCCCGCCCTCATTGGTCCATGCCACATCCGAGGGTGGGGCATCAAAGCAAGCAGCTGCGATACCGGAGAGTCAATTCAAATTCAAATACACCCCGCACATTGCAAACAAAAAGCTCAACAACAACCTCAACTTCAACTCAAAACAACACTTCTTACACTCTTGCAGCTTCTGTTCCACTTTTCATCCCCGGTAGACAGCTCGCTTCCCCAAACTTCGCAATGCCTACAGCTGAAGGAAGACCGCAAACTCTCTACGACAAGGTCTTCCAAGACCACATCGTAGACGAGAGACTCGACGGAACTATTTTGTTGTACATTGGTAAGTGGTGGTAAAACTCAATCTACTGGCACCCACCAACCATTGAAAAGACAGACATTTGGTTCACGAAGTCACATCCCCAGTAGGTAGCTTCCGCAACTGCTCTGCCACTCACTGACACTGGAGACAGCAAGCATTCGAGGGATTGAAGAATGCCGGACGAAAGGTCAGACGACCAGACTGCACTCTTGCAACTACTGACCACGTATGCTTCTGCCGCCCCTGCTCACTCCATTTCAGTACTGACAGTGGTATAGAATGTCCCTACGACATCGAGGAAGAATCTCAAGAACATCGAAACGTTCGTCGAAGAAGAAGACTCGAGACTCCAATGCATGACCCTCGAAGACAATGTCAAGGACTTTGGCATCACATACTTCGGACTGGGCGACAAGCGCCAAGGCATCGTCCACATAATTGGCCCCGAGCAAGGTTTCACCTTACCTGGCACAACGGTTGTGTGTGGTGACAGTCACACTTCTACACACGGTGCCTTCGGAGCTTTGGCTTTTGGCATTGGTACAAGTGAGGTAGAGCACGTTCTTGCCACTCAAACCTTGATCACAAAACGAAGCAAGAACATGCGGATACAAGTCGACGGCGAGTTAGCACCAGGTGTCAGCTCCAAAGACATCATCCTCCACGCCATTGGTCAGATTGGTACTGCTGGTGGTACTGGCGCTGTTATTGAGTATTGTGGATCTGCGATTGAAGCCCTCAGCATGGAAGCAAGAATGTCCATCTGCAATATGTCAATTGAAGGTGGGGCCAGAGCTGGTATGGTCGCCCCCGACGAGATCACGTTCGAGTATCTCAGAAATCGTCCACTTGCACCAAAGTACGGTTCAGATGAGTGGAACAAAGCCGTAAGCTACTGGAAGAGCCTCAAGTCAGACCCAGGCGCTAAATACGACATTGATGTCTTCATTGACGCCAAGGACATCACTCCCACTGTCACTTGGGGTACGAGTCCAGAGGATGTTGTACCCATCACTGGCAAAGTCCCTGACCCAGAAACCTTCGCCACCAAGGAGAAGCAGGCCGCTGGACGACGAATGCTAGAATACATGGGGCTTACTGCCGGTACCCCGATGGAGGACATCGTACTCGACAAGGTCTTCATTGGATCTTGCACAAACGCACGCATCGAGGACCTTCGAGCTGCCGCTTCTGTCGTTAAGGGTAGGAAAGTAGCACCGAACATTATGCGAGCCATGATTGTTCCCGGCAGTGGTCTTGTGAAAGATCGTGCCGAAGCTGAAGGCCTCGACAAGATATTTGTTGATGCTGGTTTTGAATGGCGAGAAGCAGGATGCAGCATGTGTCTTGGCATGAATCCTGACATCCTGGCACCAAAGGAGCGTTGTGCAAGTACAAGTAATCGGAATTTCGAAGGCCGACAAGGAGCTGGCGGTAGAACTCACTTAGTTTCCCCCGTCACAGCTGCAGCTTGTGCAATCGTTGGAAAACTTACAGACGTCCGAAAGCTCGCCGATACAAATGCCACCCCTCGAAAAGCATCGCCACAACCTATGCAAGTGCAACCTTACGTTGATGAGAGAGTTGATACCGATGACGATGAACGCGAGATGATTGGTGATCAGCCGGAAGATAGCTCGCCTACTACGAACACGAGCGCCTCACGCAGCTCCTCCGCTGGTCTTCCCAAATTTACCGTCTTCAGGGGCATTGCCGCACCTTTAGAGCGTGCCAACGTTGATACAGATGCTATTATTCCGAAACAATTCTTAAAGACGATCAAGAGAACCGGTCTTGGCTCAGCTCTGTTCCACGCGCTCCGATATAACGCCGATGGGTCCGAAAAGCCAGAATTTGTTCTGAATCAGGAACCTTATCGCCAGTCCAAGATACTTGTGGTAACGGGGCCGAACTTTGGGTGCGGCAGCTCTCGAGAGCATGCTCCATGGGCTCTTCTTGACTTTGGTATCAAGTGTGTGATTGCTCCTACGTATGCCGACATCTTTTTCAACAACACTTTCAAGAACGGTATGCTTCCCATCGCCATCACCAACAAAGATGACCTTGAAAACATTGCCGGGGAGGCTCGCGCTGGGAAAGAGGTTGAAGTCGACCTTCCAAACCAAGTCATCAACGATGCCAGCGGCAAGAAGATCTGCAGTTTCGATGTTGAGGAATTCCGAAAGCACTGCTTAGTCAATGGCCTTGATGATATCGGCTTGACCATGCAAATGGAAGATAAGATCAACACTTTCGAGAAGAAGATGACACAAAATACTCCGTGGCTGAATGGCTCGGGATACTTGAAGCGTGACAAGTCAGGTAGATTGGCAGCCAAAGCAGTACCAGTCCCAAAGACAAACAAAGGCCAGGAGGTGAAGGATCCTATCGATTGGTGAACGTTCATGCGTTCGGAATGTACGATGATGTGGTAAGAGAAAAAGATTCGCATATGGGTGGCTAGCTGCGATGAATTCTGGTTTTACAATTGCTCCTGGTGCGTCTTAGTGATTGCCCGAGAAATAATACTCAGACATTGAGAAGAAACTCTTCGGAAATTGAAAGTGCATTGGATCCCACGTGACATTACCAGTCGGATCGGCTTATACTAAAGACTCACAAGTCAAGTAGTGGTGTTGATCAACAAACACCGGAAAGCTTGAGAAATTGGCAAAGGAGATCGTCAAGCCAGAAGTTAATAGCAAGACTTTATAAGGTAATCCAACAAAAGATTATAGTGGCCGTCCCTGGTTAGGAGTATTTACTTTTACATCTCACTAAGACTAGAATATGGCCCCATGGATCGCTCCGGCCTGTATCACCCCGGCAAAGTACATCATGCCATGCTGTATGCCATGCTGTAAGCCATTCCACCAGCTACACCTTTGACACTATGGCCGTAACTCCAACAATGCTGCTTTGTTAAATATTCGCTCCCCGAAATTGAATTACAGCTTGACCGGGTAATTCTTTCTGATCCTCCCTCCGAACTTGTAGATCAGTATAGGAGCGGGAATAAGCCCAATCGCAATAAATCCCAATACGGAATTTCCCCACCCAAGACCAAGTTTGGAGTACATGCTTGGGCCGGCGAGGGGCAGAAAAGCGCCGAATAGAGATCGAGATACAGTCAGGGCTGCAACGCCAGAAGCTGCAAATTGTGGGAAGGAATCGATTGTGTATGTTTGGATCGGGATGAAGATGCCCATCATGCCAAAGCCAAATGGGATCAAGCCAATTACGGGAACGATCCACTGCAGTAAAATCAGTCAGATGTCCGACATAGCAAGGCATTTGGAGGAAAGCGCTACTCACATGCACAGCCTTATCAGCTGACCAGCCGTACCAGAAAAAAGTTACAGGAAGCCAGCAAGCGAAAAAGATGCAGGCTGGTAGGCGCATCTCTGGCTCGAAAACACCATCATTAGCCTTTGTCATGCGGACGACAGTAGCATCCGAGATTCGAGCCACAACCCCGAGACCTGCGAAGAAGCCAATACCAAGACCAATATATGCGAGACCGCAGATATCTGGTTGCCAGTGATAAGTTTCCGTGAAGACCTGAGTTGCCGTTGTAAAGAGCAGGTAGAGCAGACCATAGGCTACGGCCATGTAGAGCGAGAGGAGGAAGATGATGGGGGAGAGAAAGAGCATCTTCAATGGACGGACAATGCCATTGAGAAGAATGCCTGTTGGTGAGTGCACCTGGCCGTTAGTTTCGTAGCAGCTCCGGAGGTCAGTCCGATTTAACTCCTTTCGAAGACCTAGATTAAGTAAGTATCAGACGTGGTCTTCCGAAGTTTTTGCACTCACGGGTAACTTTGCGCTGAATTAAAACCCTTGGATTTGTTTCACGGTTCAAAATCTCGATGGCAATTGTAACAAGCGAGCCTGCAATGAGTAGAATCCAAAAAACCCACTAGACGCTAGTTAGCATTGACAACAGAATTGGTCATAGTTATGGGTTCCTAAGAGAAGTACAGCATGGGAGCAGGTGATCTTACCCTCCAACCAAGTCTCTGACCAATAAACCCTCCACACACCGGGCCCAAAACTGGGCCAAAGAGAGGGCCCAAACTATACACAGAGCTTGCAAGTCCACGACGATCAGGATGAAACAGGTCCGCAATAACGCCTCCTCCAATAGTCAAACATCCAGAGCCACCGATTCCGGCCAAGAATCTGAAAACGATCAACGCTGACAGGTTAGGCGAGAGTGCAGCGCCAATTTGCCATACACAGAAAAAGATGTTCGCCCCCGTCAGAACATAACGACGACCATAAATTTCAGACAGCGGCGCTAGGATCAAAGGTCCCACGACGTATCCGAGCACGAATATGCTCACAGAAAGAGAGCTGAGAAGAGGAGATGAATTGTGGAATGTTATGTCCATGAAGGAGACTGCTGGAGCAAACATAGATGATGCGAGTGGTGAGATGAACGTAATGCTAGCGAGCAACGCAATAAGGAACCACTTGCGACTTTCTGGAAAATTGAGGGGCATGTCTGGGTCATCTTGTGACTCCCATCCCACAATTCCATTATCGAGATCCGAAAGTGGCAGAGGGGCGGGTGCCAGACGTGCCTTCTTACTTCTAGACGTGAGTATTCGAGACAATCTACTCTTCGTGCTTGCTTGAGAGCTGATTCTCTGTATCTCATTCTCGTCGAACTTTTCCCGCGGGCCTACTTTGATGGATGTCTTGGTCTGGTGGTGCCATTAGCAATTGATCTTGTCGAATTATGAGGACCCTAACATGCTGTCTGACTAGATCATCCAAATGCCCTTCGTCCATTTGCTCAACCTCTTCGTGGTCCTCATCGGGTTCTCCAATCGCGCCCTCCTCTGCCCATTTTCGCTCAGCCTGCTCTAGATCAACATTTGGGTGAGTTCCAATGATGCCACTTTCAAGATCGCGGTCTTTCTCTGAATCAGTCTTGGAAGCCATGACTCTTGCCTTTGGGGTACTGTCCAATTTGCATCGCTTGGTCGACTGCTCAAGTCGATCAGCCGCAAAAAAGGGCGCGGAAACGGAATATGTATATGTACTCAGCGGCGAGGAGAGAGCTGGGCCGCAGATTGGTCTCAGGAGAGCGTCGAGGCAATACTTCAGAAGCCTTGTTTGCAGCAGTATTTTTTGTTTAAGAGTAGTAACTGTGAGAAGGGGAGAAAGAAGAGACAGAGAGAAAAAAAGAAAGGCGCGATTCTCCGAGCTACCTTAATAATTCTTCTTCCTGTGAAGTTGTGCAGATCGTTCGGCCGGCACGCTCTTCCGTGACGAGAACGCGGAGGCAGCCTTGCACCACCACCAGCCGTGTATAATAAAGTTATGTAGCTATTAATGCCAAGCATAAAACCTTGTGCATTCATTATTCGGCCGTGCTAGCTCCGCTTATACCTTAGGCACCAACCAAGCAGAGAATAAAGTGGCTACGAGAACCAACGTCGGCTACCTACCTAACTTATAAAATCACCAACATTCCTTGAATCCTCGAGTTGTTCACCTTTCAACAATTATTGTTCAAATTTCGAAAATTTTCCAGCTCTTCTTCTGCTTCGAAAATACCCAGCCTAATAATGAGGTTGATCTGGATAAGCTCATAGATTTTGGCTGGCATCTGAGCCACTTTGTTCTCGGCACCATCCGAAGCTGCCCTGCCCTGCTTGGACTAAGATGTATACACCATGGGAGACCCTCTTGCTGCTCCTCACTTTTCCTTTTGTTTTTCATTCACAGCTGTTGGTCCAGTTGGTCTGGTGAGATAGAGTGCATGCATATGTAATCATATATACTCAGGCCTGCCTCCCAGTCCGGCGATCAGTACAATGCGGGCAAGTTAAGTAACTTCTGGAGGAGTTGATACTTTGAGGGAGATGCATAGCATGTCCCAATTTATCCTTTCACTGTTTTCTCAACACGCGATTGAACTCTCGGAATGCAGGCTAAGCCAGTGCTGGCCGCCGTTCACATTCCTATCAAATCTTTCGCAACATCGGTTTCTTCGGAATGTACACGGGCAAATTTTGTAAGGTTCCAAGGTGTCCTCTCTGTTTTGCTCTGGGATTGACATCCGGACAATTCTGTCTAATACCACACCATCAAAAACATGTCAGCCGTGGTCCCAGATACTCGTAAGGATTGGGATCAACAAGAGTTGGAGATTGCAGGAGCCATCAGTGAGTACATACAGCCATCCGCTAGAAGAGATCTGATCACCAGCATCTGACAGCGTATAGACGTTGGAGCTTTGCCACGGCCTACCATCTCAAGAGCTCTGCATAGTCTTCTCACGAGGGACAAGTGGAACAACATCAATGACGATGATTTCAGACTTCTCCTCCCCAGTCTACGATTGGCATCCAACCTCATTGCCGCCGGAACAGATTACCTAACAGAGTTTCTTGGACCGAATGACATTCACGAAGATCTTGCATACAGAGCTGAAAACCAGCGAGAGCATGTTATTGACCTCCAAGGTGGTCCGTGGACTGACAGGGATCTTCAGAGAACACGCTCGTCGCTCGAGGAAATTGCTGAAGATATAGAATGGAGCATCAACTATACGCTGGGGGATCATGGTGCTCTGGGGATGACCAGACACATAAAAGAAGGATATTATGCTAAGGAGCCATGGGGGCCCATCGACGTAGACGCAATCCAGGAATCCGACCGCATATGGAAACTGAAGGCGCGGATCAACCGACGCCCCCTTCTCGTGGGGATCATGTCTCAATATATACAAGCCCTAAGAGACCATGCACCGGAAACCGAGGTTCATGTTCGCGCGTTGTTTCACGCCGCAGTCACTATCACCCACGAGATAGGCCACGTAGTCTGGTGTCAGAACTACTCGGACCTGAATTATAACAAACTGGGCATAGAACCCTATGTTGGGAACTATGCAACCGCGGAACTCGGGTTTTGCTTTGAAGCCTATCTATTCTCTGGTTTCCATGTCAGAACAGCGAAGGTTGCAGCGGACATTCCTCTGGACTTCGAGGTCGCAGCCGTCTGGAACCCCTACCTCACGGTTGACCTCACCCGTCGACCAGATCGCCTTCTGTACAGAACCCAGTATTCCATCTCTATCGAGTACATGCAAAGGCTACTTACGCAAACTTTCTGGGATAATCTTGGTGATCAAACGGCCAATGATTTCTCGGAAAGGGCCGTGGAAGCGCTGCGACCTGCGACTGATGTGGCTGTCGATCCATTCCCGGCAACGGCCAATGTTCGCAATTGGGCGGTGACTAAACTTGACGGACGGGTCGCATGGATTGGTCAGTATGCGGATCGAGCATCCGATCCTGCTCTCATAGGCAGAATTCCCCGTTCTGAGATTGAATTGGTCAAGGACGAGCTGAGACCCTTTTACAAAAAGACTATGCCGGGTTTGCAGAATCCATTTGGGGAAGATGACGACGAGTTCTTCGACTTTGAAGCCGAGGACTATGAGATTGACGAAACTGCCAATTTGACACCAGAGGAGGCTCACCGGGTTGCGGCAGCAAAGCAGCCGTACATTGACGATGGCGTAGGCTTGATGGACCACGAAAGCAACACCTCAGTGCTCTCCTTTGCACTGACAAGGGTAGAAGTGAAATACCTCCCTGCAAAGACGGTGAAGGCAGTTACGTTCAAGCGCGCAAGGTCTGATGGTGACGATGACGATCCAGCAGCCAAACGGAGGAAGCCAAATTTTTCTGATAAATATGGAACACGCACGATAGACGACCTTCTTGAAAAGAATCTTCATGAAGTATTCGAAGAATGGACACGAACCGAGGCGAGGGACTACGCGATCAAAGAAAGTCTTGATCCTGGACCTGAACCTCCAGAAGAGGCTCGACAACGGAGTAGACTCGATAGGAGTATAGTGCAGGATTCCTACATGATCGAGCGTTTGCGATGCTATCATTTTTCCCTATTCGAAGACGAATTCGATGAGGACAAATCTGCTCTTGTCAAAATTAAAGAAGCCCGTCTCGAATCATGCGAGAGGTGGGCTCCGAACGATATACAACAGCTCTGTGACATTCAAGGGTTGTTTTCGAGTGGTGATGACCCAGCTACACTCCTACCCAAAGCTATCAGGTGGCTTAAACTTGACTTGGCTGACGCCAAAGCTGTTCTTAAAGTAGCCGATCCAGCAGACGTAACTCAACCAATACCCACCAAAGACTACGATTCGTGGAACGATGCTCAATTCAAGGATTTCTTTCGAAAGAACAATCTTCCCGACTGGGGTCACCCATCAACCTGCAGGCTTCGAGTCGAAAGATTCCGAGAGCAAGAAGACACGGGCAGTCGCCCATACCGCGGTTCCATCATGGCCAATAGGGACGGTCACCCCCACCTCAGAGTTGAGGAAGGCGTCGAGCTCTATGGATTTGATATCGCTCTCGAGCGAACCACGGTGACTGCTCTCAAGTCAGACCTTTTCCGAGTCGCCGTGATACCAGCAAACCACGACATCAATCTCTATTTCGGCAACGATCGAAAGAAGCCGCTTGAGAATGGCACACAGTTGTCTAGTTACGGCGAACAGGGCTGGAAAGAGATTGAAATGACCACAGTGCGTCGAGAAGCAGCGAAACCAGTAGCGGTACCCACGATACCAGTTTACACACCAAGGTTCGCGCTTAAGGATGTTGCAAACAATAGTAACGGTGGCGGCAGTAACAAGAATGGAAAGTCGCTACCACCTATTGACCCTGCTACCAAACGCAACTACGATACTCGCAAAGGCAACGAAGTTCGTACTTTCTCCGAACGCATGCAGGCGATCTCTCGCAGAGGCGCGGATCTCGAGAGAGTCGTTACCGTAGGCGGCGGATTGGATCCACTGAGACCGCATCTGAAATCCGTGCTCGCCAGCTCAACGTCTGAAATGTTGGACACCCTAGAAGATATCCTCGAGGTGAATGCTGAGAAAGAAAAGCAAATCGACAAGTATGTTGAGGAGTATGGAAAGGCTATTGTGCCAGATGAGACTCTTGGGACTCTAGCCAACGAAATTCCGCCAGGGGCCCCGGAACACATGACGGACGTCTTTCGAAGGCTGAAAGCTGCCCAATTTTCAGGGAAGATATAGACCAGCGTTAGGAATTGGATGAATAACAGTTGGGGATCTAAGTGAGGAGAGATGCTGATTTGAAAGATTTATTTGAGCATCAGGCATGCATACTATGCATGGCTTGGCCAGTGGTGGAAGAGGACTTTGAGGAGGGTCGTGCATTTCAACTTTTCTTCTCTTTATAGATATTCCCCCTATTATCAATTTGAATGCTCTGCTTGCCTCGCCAATAGACGCACTATTTTGTTAATGCTCGTCTTGGTTCTTTCCCACGAATGTAACCCCACCTTAAGCGAACCCCTTTTCAGAGGCGGAGCTACACCCGATAAAATCCATCTCGCTTTAGAGAGATAGACATATAACAAGCCTCAGCGAGTCGGCCAGCTCTGGACGGTGTCACCAACTCGGAAATCAAGTTTCGATGCTGACGGGTTGATAATGACTTGATGATGCACGCACGACTCAAGGCATTCTACAGCAGGCATGTGAAAGGGAATTCACCAATAATGGCTGAAGATCACATGTAAGTCATGATTCGCAAAATACTTATCATCCTGCCTTTCCTGAAATACTAGTCATACTCAGGGAAGCTATCTTTCGAATGCTCTCAACGCATGCAAAATGAGCTGTCAATGCCCGTTCCTACCCGGCACACATCGACGGTTGGGATAACCGCAACAATCATAATTCAATTCCACCAGACATCATCCAGGATTTCAAGGCTATTGCCAGGAAGTGTCAAGCCTATCGTACCACTTTCTTATCGCACGTGTGAGTGCTCATTTTGAGGGAACCGTTTCAACAATGTGCTCAATCAAGACAACTTGGAACAGCCGGGCCGTTAATTCGGGACAATCGACGTGGAACAATAGAAGGAAGGGCAATCCTTTGGTAACACAGCAATCGTGGCTATCTTTTGGCATGCAAAAGGGTATGCAATATTGCAGGTCGGTAGATTATGTGACGGTATGGCGGAAAGGGACGCAGAATCGCTGAGCGTGCATATCGGACGTTCAAGAAGGCAAGGCCAGGCAACATGTGGAGAGTCGGAGGGTAGCCGGACCGTTAGGAGCTTGCATGTGTCCTTATGAGATCTCGGACGGGTTCTAGCAGGATGTCACCGCCTCTGAACATATCGATCAAGAGCCGAATTCTACGAGTCGTGGAAGAAGCGTACAGGAGTAGCTCGGACGGACTGTAGTACAATGAGGGGCGTGCATATCACCCTTCACCGCCACGAATATCAGTGGAGAGCGTGTCAGCCAGGATCTAAACAGCCGGAATCGCACGCATGCATGCATGCATGCACGCAGCATGGCACGGACATCCTTCCGCTCGCAGGGACTCACTCTCCTTTGATCCCAGCGAGTGTCTATCTCTGTTTTGGACTTTGACTTCCGTCTGTCAAGATAACAATTGACGGTGCGCGTTGCATCGATCAGATGAAAGAGATATCTATGCCCATGCTGACTGAACCTTAAGCCCCGACGAAGAAAGAGAAGTTGGAAGACCAAGACCAGCGTCGAAGCAGCAGAGAGGCGTGGCGAGAATGTGAACGGGTCGCCTGATGAGCTCCTTCTGGTTTCTCTCACGTAAAAGTTTGAGTTGTCTGATCTTTCTGGACTCTCTGCTGTTCAACGAGGACCAGAGTTCCTCGGCGCAGCGAGTCCCGTTGGGTGTGTATTCGTTCGTTGGTCCTGGTCCTGTTGCTGGCGCTGCTGCGATGCACTGCACTGCACATCCTGAGAGCCTTTGCTTCCGGAGAGCAGGATAAAGACTCTTTTGACAGAGTCGCCCAATCAAGCATGGGATCTGCTATCTCTATCTCTATCATTCGATTTGGGGATCCGGGTTCCAAAGTTCGAGAGAGAGAGAGAGAGTTTTGGGGCTGCAGCGAGGCCTGAGCCGCTTCATGCATTTGGCCTGGCCCCACACCACCTTGACACGGCAACGGTAAAACGCTCTCAAATCTTACAACCGCAGCCGCAACGGGGACGAAGACGAGGGAGGGATCGATGCACAGAATCAAGGAAGCCATCGAGGAAGAAGATCCCAACGTGAGGAAAGGTAAAAGGCCGGGAAGGGTAAGGATGGACTGTCTTGTCTTTTACGGTCCCTGTCTGTCTCTTCGTCCTTTCCGGATTAATAAATACGGACATAGGTAGACATTGTACAGTACGTCGAGTCTAACTGGACCAGACCCACAACCACTATTATTTCCTACTCGCCCTCGCACTATAATTTTCTTCCCTTCCCCTCCCTCCACAGAGAATATTCCCTTCTTCTTTACTGTCTGTCTCTACAGTCAACACAATATCGACACCGTTATCTTCTTTCTTCCTCTCCCATAATACCTTTTCTCAACTTTCTCTACTATCATTCCTCTAGAAAGCAAAGTCGGATTGACACAACTCTCTTGTTGACATTTCATTTTCTTGCCACAGAGACTCAATCCTCGACTTCGCAGCCGTAAGATTCTGATCAGGCACACGGACAATGACCCTAACAAGACAGAGATCGACGCGAGACCCCGAGAAGTTTCCTACTGTTCAATTGTTTCTTCTGGGTGAGTGCAATTTCTTTCCAGGTGCTCGTCATTACACCGCTAAAAGTCCCACTTGGTGCCTCGGATTTTCCTCTTTGACAACAAAAGACTGACTGAAATTGTGCAGCTATTGTTCGTCTTGCGGAGCCCATCGCGCTCACCTCTATCTTCCCCTATGCCTGGCCGCTTGTCAAGAAGTTCCATGTCGGCGATGAGAATGATGCCTCGTTCTACGCCGGATTGCTCATCTCAGCCTTCGCGTTGGCAGAGTCGCTGACGGGAATGTTCTGGGGAGGGCTTTCAGACAGAATTGGCCGCAAACCCGTTTTGCTTATGGGATGTACTGGGACGATGATGAGCATGATTTTGGTTGGGTTCGCATCGAACATCTACATGGCATTGGCGGGCCGAGCAATTGGAGGGGTCCTGAATGGAAACATTGGCGTCATTCAAACCATGGTCGCAGAACTTGTCACCAAACCGGAGCATGAGCCACGCGCCTATTCGATTATGCCTTTTATCTGGAGCATTGGCACAATTATTGGTCCAGCACTCGGTGGGACATTCGCGGATCCCGCTACTTCGTGGCCGGATACTTTCTCCCAGGATGGACTTTTCGGACGATTCCCATATCTTCTGCCAAACTTGCTTTGTGCAAGTTTGCTCCTGATTAGCATTCTCGCGGGGTACTTCCTGCTCGAAGAGACCCATCCGGATATGCAACCACGAGTTCTGCTGCCAGATGACACATATGTGTCTGAGGAAACGCCATTAGTTGCTACCGCCGATGCGATTAAAACCCCAGCTGTTGATCTACGAGCAGACACATACGGTACCTTCGAGGGCAGCGACGACAGCAAATGGAGACATGCCACCGAGAAGAATCGTACTCCAAAGATCTTCTCCAAACGCGTCGTTGCACTGATCGTTGCCCTTGGAATCTTCACCTACCATAGTATGACTTACGATCACCTCCTGCCCATTTTCCTTGAAGATGCCCGCGGGGAGACGAATATTTCGATCTTGACCCACGCAGCCATTGGCAGTCCTCTCTCTTCTGGTGGTCTCGGTCTCAGTGTGCAGAAAGTGGGTGTAATCATGTCCATAAACGGCGTGATTGCTCTATTCGTCCAAGCAGTTGTCTTCCCTCTTGCGGCAGAAATGCTAGGAATTCACAGACTGTTCATCTTGGTTTCTGTCCTACATCCAATTGCATATATCATCATGCCATATTTGGTCTATCTGCCAGCAACTTGGGTTACTGCAGGAATATATACTTGTCTTACGGTCCGAAATATGCTGTCCATTCTTGCATATCCAGTTCTTTTGATCTTGATCAAAGAAGCAACACCTTCTCCTTCAGTCCTGGGAAAGATCAACGGTCTAGCGGCATCAGCAGGTGCTGCTTGCAGAACGGTCGCACCGCCTGTGGCTGGATATCTATATACTTTGGGGTCGAGAATGGATTTCTCTGGATTGGCATGGTTTGGAAGCGCATTCGTCGCAAGCATTGGTGCTATTCAAGCCTTCACTATCAAAAGAACGAAGAAAGAGCAGGGAGAAGAATATGGATCGAAGACTAAGGTGCTCCCCCGAGTTGTGGTCACGGCAGTAGATGAGGAAGACGAGTGATTTTGGAGACGAGTATATAGAAGTTTTCTGTCCAGAGACATACAGGGAAATCGGGAGGAGTTATGAAAGCGCTTCAGCGAGCGATCGTGTTGAGTGATTGGAAATGGAGTTTAGGTGTAGCGGCTAGTCATTTTGGTGATCAGAAAGGTCATTTAGATTGGAGATTTTATGTATAATGACCATAAAAAAATAGAATCAGCACGAAAAGTCCTCTGTATACGCTTTTGCTCTATATTCCGAAAAGATTCGCTCCTCTAAGTGTTTTCCTCCACATTCACCTGGAAGCTTCCCCTGCAGACATGATGATATAAACACAAAACCACACTCACACCCCTCCATAAAACCGCCTTGAATCCAACATGACACAACCCTTCCGTCTCACACCTCACAAGGCTGAACGCACCCTCCAGCCTTCCTTTTTCGCAGACGTTTCATTTCGTGGGGGGCGTGGTGGGGGAGGAGTGGGGGGTCGACGGGTAGGGCGGGCTGCGTATGGGGGTCAGCGGCGAAGATTGGGAAGGTTTATTAATCGATTGTGTGGGTGGGTGAAAAGTGGGGATCTGAATCTGGATCTCGTGTGTAGGTGAGACATGGTGAGGTGGGTGTGGATTTTGGGGGTGTTAGTGATGTGGTGAGGGAGATTTATCATGGAGTGATGGGATGAGGATGGGGAAGATGTTGTGAACTATGTTTTTGTCTAGGATGAAGCGGAGATTTGGGTCCCAGACAAAGAGAGAAGGCTAGATGTACATTTCAATAGGAGAAACATCAGACATTTGCTGACGAGGAGACTTGTTTGAGTGTTGGTAATTTTTCGTGAACATTACCTCACAATCAGGAAGTTAATTTAATTCTAGCTTCTCAAGATGCTGGCATCAACAACCAGTTCGAAAGCGTCCTGCCCTCGAACCGATATTGATCTTGGGGTGGTACTGATTTCATGGCTACACGAAATGCCTAGTCTATGACGAGGTTGAATTATCAACGATCTAGTACGACATCACAGGCATTGTATCATACATGACCCTGCATGACATGGCGAGGAAGCAATCTCGCAGTGTCATTGATATCATGGTCTTGAAGGAATCTTACTTGGCAGAATCTCTGAACGTAAATCGTATAAGACATCCCTAGCGTCCGTTGTCGAGATCCATTTACATTCTTCGTTGAAAGAGGTGCTGGAGTATGGTCCGATGGACGACCTTTCACTTATCTGAGAAACTCGCTATATATCAAACTCGCCACCCCTAGAAGCTGAAAAGCACTGGTTAGAAGAAAAATCTGTCACACTGAGGAAAGTCCACTGCTGGACTGAAAATCGCTGTTCTTCATTCGTCAAATTCATAATGCCAAGATAGAACGTCCTCCGTGTCCCGTATCTATGTATTTGTACTCCGTATTCGCTTACTCGTTGTCACCAACCAAGTTCGTTCCTTCTCTCAACCCCTCAACAACAAGATCATGGCCCTCAGCCCGACGGTAGATGTCCTTGACATCATCTGTAGTGGTCTCGAAATGGCTGGTTGCGTCGTAGCTCTTGGAAATGAAAATGTTGTCGTTCACTCCGCTCTCAAGTGGCTCGTAGAGGGGAATAGGGGGGCCCTAATTGAGGTTAGCTAAGCCAAGTGCTAAACAGGCATGCAAAACTCACCATAAACTTCTCTTCGATCTTCCCCAGGCGCTCGAAGCCAGGTGCAAGCTCGAGGTGATGGTTCGCGGTCGTCTCAGCGATGGTGGAGACAATAGCGATATAGTATCCTTTGGGACAGACACTGTGGGCACTAGAGACGACGGCGATGTATATATCTATTGAAATTAGTCTGCTGTATGTCATACATGATAAGATCTGACGCACCGTTCTTGCGTCCGACTTGGGACTGTGGGATGATAAGTTGAGCCGAATCACTGTTGTCGGTCCCGGCAAGGGGATGGTTTAGGATACAAATGGCTTTCAAAACATGACCTGTGACCTGAACCTTGCCTGGAAAGTATGAAGGGTCCGCGAGAATCTTCTTGCACTTGGTGGTGAACTTCATGGGCTCCTCTCCACCTCGGTCCTGCATGGTTGCCTTGATACCAACTGCCTTAGTACCCTCATAGATGATCTCGTCGATGTTGGTGTTCAACATGTAAGTTCCACCGTAGATAGCTGATAGACGTGCAAAACCTTGTGGCAGCTCTCCAAGACCATAGAGAGGGTAGATGTATGGCGACTTTCCGTACCGAGAGACAGAGGTTCCGTAGAGATGAATGCGTTGGATAGCCTCCACAGCACCGCCTTTCTCGTTGATGTAGCTATCTGTCTGATACAAAGCCATTGCATGACCAATGAAATCCCGAGTACCAGCCTCGAGGCCGAACTTATCGTAGACCTCCTTCATGGAGCACGTTCGAATGTTGAGACCTTCTCCGTCAGCATAAGATGACCATCATCAGCTAAGGATCGTATACCATAGTGAGTAGCAGTATCTGCCTCATTGAACGTGCCAACCCATTCAATGAAAGACTTCATTCTTCTCTTCTCAAATATGCCCATCAAAGAGGATCTGAGAGCTTCACCAGCGGTCGATGGCACCTTAGCAACCGTAGCCTTAGCGCCATTGCCTTGTTGTACATAACTTCCAGCCACTTGCTTGAATTCGAGATATCTTGTAACGTCCGTTGATACGAGGATGTTCGTAAGTTCGCCGCTGGACATAAGGAGCTTCGGTACAAGGTCGATGTTCCAGTCGTTCACACGGCCGTACTTCTTCCACGGCTCCTCGCCCTTGCTGTAGTTGCCATATTTCTTGAAGAGCTACCAGAGATCAGAGCCGCCTCCCACACGATGTAGCAACTTACGGCCTCGATATTGACGCTAGCAGCTTCGGCACCATAATGATCGTTTCGGTCCTAGGAATGAACTGTGGTAAGTATCCAGTGAAGAACAAGAGTGCAGGGGGAAAGTTATGTACTCACAATGTGCAGGACTTTCTTGCCCTTGACCGACAGAACTCTATGTACCAGATTAGCCCGCATACCAACTTAGGTCTGCCTTTATGTAAATTACCCAGAAAGGACACATTCTGTCAAACCTGCAAGTGAACGCTGTTAGCCTCTTGATCTCGATGCCCCTCACATAGCGGGGTAGGATTGTCGTTCATACCAGTGCCCATTACCACCACATCGTATTCCTGTATTGAGGATCAGATGTTAGTATAGCTTCTGCATAAATTTGGCAATACATTGAAGCTTATCCCAGGAGCAGCAAGACCGGTTGGCATGCAGATGTGTGTTCGCGGACGAGGACTCGAGACAAGAGCAAAGAGGAGCTTCTCTCCTTGGGGAGTGAGAACCTACAGGCGCGATTTCATCCATATTGGCGATTTGATTCGGGGAATTTTGGGAATTAAGAGAAACGAGACAAGAAGTTAGGTTCGCAGAAGACAAGAATTTGTTGTTCGTTGCGGTCAGGTAGGTACGCTTGACCTGGACCCCACTAGCGGCTTTCGGGACAGGGAGTAAAGCGGTCACCAAACGTTCATGCCAACGCAAAGTGTATCAAAGTGTTGCAAGACCCATTGTGGATCGAAATTTATTTTACATGATGTATGATACAGCTTCATCTACAGTGGCCTTCCGGTAGCTGTTGGGTATACAGCTGATTTGTCCAACCTATGTTACATATTCCCAACGTCATCTCTGCTACGAATCTTCAACCCATGCATATTACTCTCGCAGGCCTTGCAAACTTAAGCACTCGGCGTAGATATTTGTTCAGGCTTCGCTTCCGACTTTGGAGCAGGTTCTGCAGATGGCTCTGCCTCGTGTTGCGTGATCTCGTCTTCGATGAAATCGGTTGGCGTGTAGATAGGGCCCTTCCCAGACAGGTTGATCTCTGGGTCACTCTTTGCAACATTCTCCGCATCCCTCCAAGAATAGTATCTCTCTGTAAGAACTTGCTTGATAGCTCTCTGTGTCCGCCTCACCTGCAAGTAGTCAGCATCATCCCAAACCACTTATATAGTATAAAACTCACAGTAACATCCCGTTTCTCGGATTCGTAGTCGCCGTAACCAGCCTCTATCCTCTTCCTCTCATAAGTCTCTGTAGCAATGCGATTTCTCTCTTTCGCTGATACCCACCACAAGGCGTGCCTAGAAAGCCGTAAATTAGCAAGGTTGTTCGAAAAGTAAGATCAACAGGCCTTTTTACAAGTCCTCCCAACTTTTATGCCTTAATTCCTCCACACACCATGGTCTTCCATGATCACTGTCCTCGTCTGGCGTGTTCATCGGTTTCTCCTTACTGTGAAAGAACTGGTAGAGGCCATGGTCAGGATCCACCTCGACCTTCGAGCGCTTCGATTCATCGAGGACAGGCTGTGGGAGAGGAGTCTTTGACACGGAGACCGGCTGTCGGAGACCAGTGCGTCGCTGGGTAGAAACACCTCGCTCGCGATTGTTGTCTCGCGGGTAGGAGTTCAATGTGCTGGTAGAGAAAGGAGAGCATTGCTGCTTAGGGGCGAAGAGCGAAGGAAGGAGGAACGCCGGGGGAAGTTGATTCGATCTGCTCGATCTCAGAATGCTTCTCACAGCAGGCCGTAAAGCTGTGGACGTCGACATAGTGAGAGGTGCTTGTCGATTCCAATGGAGACAGCTTCTACAGCATATAAATTTTAGCTGCGCCTAAGGCACAGAGCAAAAGGGTTTGGTCCGTGCACCAGCGTGCGCCGAACTAGCTTACATGTTCCTTGAGCTCGACCATTTCACACTTCACATAAGTATGTTCTTATTACACATCGTATTCACACTATGGGCTACAGCAATAAAATCCTGCTTATGTCATTCTAAGAATCAAGTTCATTTTTCAACTTCACACCCCCTCATTCGAGTCTACTAGTCGAGCTCTTCCCAGCATCACTGCTGAACCCGGTGATACCAGGAAGTTCATTTTGTGAAAAGGTCTTTCTGTTCATAATCGTATCTCTTTATTATTAGATGAGCATGTTGTTGATTACATAAGTGGAGCAATTACAACTAAAAATTTGTCATTTAATTTTATATCAGGAGAGCCTTTTCTCAAGCCTCGAAGTTTACACCAAATGTCCCCTTGTCCATATTGAGCCCAGTCTCGTTCCGTTGTAGCAGCCTTAGTCCTTGAAGTCAAATTCATATTCGTTTGTTGCTATCAGAGGGCAGTTGGCAACGTCTCGTAGTGGAGAGTTCAAAGAAAGGTTATAAGTCTGCATTTTGAGGGGAGCTTGCTATTATTTGTGGATAATTGCAGAACACGTGCGAGGACCTGCTCGGGATGTGTTCGTCTTTCTGGGAATGAAGTGAAGTGAAGTTTAGAAAAGTATCATGAAGTATTGAGCAAGAACAGATACGCGTTGTCAAATCAAGCGAAAAAGAGGATGCAAGTAGTGACAGCAGATGGCTAGCTGAGCACGAATATTTGATTTGACGATGAGGTTCTACACTTGAGATCAAACCATGATTCTACCATTAACAATGATGACCGAGTTCAATTCTATCATTCACACGAATATGCAGATTAGTCGTTGTTTCAAACATTCTAGTGAGTGAATAGGAGAATCCATCTTGACTCTCCTGCCGAGTTAGCCGCTCTTCGAGGTCTGTGGTATCAGTTGTAACTTGCGTCGAGAAGGAGCTCAAGATTCAGGTTCCATATTCTAAGAATAGTGAATGGGGCAGAAAATCGATGAAGGCCGTAGATCAACTGTAACCTACCAAAACCCCTAGCAATGCCTACTTTGAACATAAACCGAACCTAAAAATCGACGTTTCGGTTCATGATTGGGAGCAATTTTGGGACATATGAATTTCTAAGGTATTACCTTGAGCAGGTATATCCAAACAAGTATGGATTCTACCAAATCCCAAGGGATCGTCCTGAAATCACCGATGGGAACTCCACCATCATTAACTCGGTGGCGTTCCCTCGGAGTTCTAGCAGAGGTGAGTCTCTAGCAACAACACTGGATTGAACGACTTCAAAGGCTTCATAAGGAAGCTTGGCGAGACTTCCCTCATAGTTCCGGCAACAGTGGCCAGCTTGAGTGTCTTGGTTATCTTGAGCGCCGAAGAGTTGATCATCAAGATCAAAGAATGCTGTTGAGATATTCTGGCGAGTAACGTCAAAAAACAATTCTTAATTAGCCTGATGTCCATCCTGAGCACACACCAAGAAGATGCGCAGTTGTATTCTCGAAATATCAGAATTACCACCAAGTGACTCCTGTGACGAAACTCCCGGCTGGCTTGACACAAGCTCTTGAGCGCTCAACAAAGATGGGTTCTCGATGACCAACATCACTGAAATCAAGATTTGGAAAGTTGACTTTATAGATTTGGATCTCGAGAATTACAACTCTGCTTTAATATATGAGGAAATATACAGAGATTGTTCAAAAAATTGTTCAAAATGCAGGAGTTATCAGGGCGAAAATTCCAAAACCTCCAACACTTGTCTGTAAAATGTAATGGAATTCTCAGACATTTTCAATACGACTAACACTGATTGAAAAGTAAAGATCCCATTGCACTGCAGTTTTTACAGAGAGAAGTGAAATGAAACGATGAGATATGTAAGAAGGCAGGCAGGCACCTTCACATGAAAATCACAAGCACGCCCGGTCTGCCCCCAACATGGAAACAATTTTTGTTGCAAATCGCACCCATCACCCAATTCAACGACCTGCTTCTTCGTCTTTACGCACTCACCAATAACATCTGAATCCCTCCAACCTTGACGGCCCCCATAAAGCAGCAATAACACGCCCGTCATCAAAAACAGAACGATATCTCAGAAAGCAGGCTAAACGTCACGGAACGAAATCGCCGCCGGCTCCGAACAAGAACCTCGTGTTCGACACCGTCAGCGCTGCAGTTATTGGTTCCCAGTCCCAACAAATTTTCTAAACATTTATCAGCAATGATTTTGAAGAGAAAAAATTACCTTGCTTGGCAGAATTTTTTTTCTTGCTTCAGAGGGAGGCAAATAGTGCCTAATTTGGTATGATTATACGATGCTTGTTCCGTCTTGTGTAACCGTTCCTAATGCAGACGACTCAAAATCGCCACCGCCTCGATGCAAAAACTTTCCGACTTCGCACCACATCTACTTGCCACTTGTAAACACGAGGCCGTCTAGTTCTGCCGAAGTGAAAATTGTGTCCGACGTCTAATGTCGTGAGACTGCTTTTCAACCATAAAATAACGGCAGACCAGCCGCCACAGCACCAACAATTCTATGCACAACATACTCGGTTCCAATCTTTGCTCCCGAATTTCATGTGGCAGCGGCAGCACTGGAAGAAAAGGAAGACTTTGCTGATTGCGTGCCACCTGCATACAAAGACACGGCTCGAGATTCAGAAAGCGCTGTTGTTCCGGTCAGTGATGTGAGAGTACCGCCGAAGAGACCGAGCCTGATGACACAACCGAGGGCGAAGTGATGACTGAACTTGTCTTTTGTTGCGAGATCGCTGCAGATGTGGTTGGACATTCAGTGATCATGGCCGAGGAATGGCAAAAGCTGGCGCTTGCAGTAGAAGTTGAAGATGCAGCAATAGAACCACCATTGTAACCTGCAGGCATTGCCGTACCACGTATTGAGGACAACCTGGGACCGTTGTCGCTGGTGGTGCTCGTCTCCCTTCCGAGATCGATCAAAGAGCAGATCTCTCCTGTTCCAGGAATTCAGTACTGTAGATGTAACTTGCGCCCCAATCAATGACAGTCTCGGAAGAAAAACATGTAGAAAGATCTGTTCTCGCTACCGTAAGAGTTGCCAGAGCCGCAACGGCTACATGGAAAAGGGGTGAATGCATGTTTAGCGAGTGATTGACGAAAGATCAATTAAATGAAGGGTATCGGTCGCGGCTGAAGTCTTGCTGATGGAGAATCAATGCAGACAAGAACGAAAGGATCGACATCTATGAAAACGAGAGTGTATAATGAAGCAGGAAGTAGATGTTAAAAATGAAACTTGACGATGAACCATTTTGTGGTAGCACAGGAATTACAGTGTCTGTGTAAGGAGTCGCGGCCGCGAACAATGGAGTGTTCTATTCGATACGATACTTAGCATCTAGTACACGTGAGGAAGAAAACATAAAGATATACAAACCAATTGACAAGTATCTAAGGATTCTTGTAGGTAATTTTTCCGGACAGGAATCACAATGTGACCCAGACACTCTGCGACCTAGCAAGTCTTGCCAAGATCCGCCAGGAGGAGCATTGCTTGACATTCATAAGAGTCATGAAAGTTTAAGAAATTGCTTGAACAAGATCGTCAAAGAAAAAGACTTTGCAATGCATGTCAGGCCCAAAAATCCGGGCAGAGTCAAAAGTAACAAAGTTCAGATGAAATATACTTACCTATCCCCAATTCAATCTCTGAGCAGAACCTACCGTGCATCATCCCACGTTGTCGTCAACGCCCAGCCCACTTTACTCTCGCGACGAGAGGCTTTCTGCACGAGCCATATCATGACTCGCGGCGGGAAGTGGAGATGGTATGGGCCTTGAGGCAGCACCAGAAACCACTCGGGTTCTTTCGTCTCAAAAATCCACAGAGCGGAAACCGCGCGCCTCCCCCAAAAACAAACCACACGATTTTTTGACGATGCGTCCCCGACATGGATGAGCGTCGGGGCATGGTCAAGGTCGCCAGGTCCAGGATTAGGTCAAGCTAGATCAAGCGAACACACCCCTGGGGATTCTGTTTTGTGGTTGATAAGCTGGTCCATGCAGCTGCTCCCAACCCACTTCCACTTGCTTACCCCGGGACAACCTGAGACCCTGCATTTCGTGATCACTATCCACGTCCACCACGTCCTGGAAATATTAATAAGTATCACCGGAATGACGAGGCTTTGGCTCCCAGCCACTCCCTCTATTGTTCCCTCAGCCTCGAATACGTCGGGGAAATGGCATTGCAATCAGCGAATCAATGCTTCCCGCAAGCATCTGGCTGTTCTTCAGCTTGGCAGAGAGACATCTGCAGTCCCAAGAGAGGAAATCCTCCGGCCTGACCAGCGCGCTTGGCACGTTTGGACAGTGAAGGATGGAACAAATGTTCGACCAACATGATGGAGCCTTTGATGATTCGATGCGTGATCTACGGAATGATCTGCACAATATTTTCCAGACGTGAGAAGGTTGAGACGAATCAATACAAATTAGTCGGAGCACACCGCGTTTGTGGTAAGCCGACAAATGACAATGGAAGCAAGATACGGCGTTATGTCCGAAGGGGTGAGGTGTGAAAGAGAACCAGAGGCCAAGATGGCTGAAGAGAAACCCGTTCGAGTATGGCACATTGCGCGGCCTTCGGAGACAATTAGACTAAACCTCGAGAAGAATCATGAAATGGCGCCAGCAGAGCGCAGAGATTATTATTCATCCTTATGAATCGGCGGTAGAAGATCGGTAGATCTATCCCAGGTCGTGGGCATGGTGTGACAAGCTTGCTTGGTCTACAAGCGGCAAGGGAAAGACATAACGAAGACGACGACGCTCGACAGCGACGATGAAGCTGTTGAAACTCTCATTCATGCCGGCCAACCCAGGTGCTCATCAGTGAATCTGAGCTGTCAACCAGGGCAGACAAGAGGAGACCCTTGCAATAGTTGGGGAAGTGGCACCACGGCCATTTTCAGCGCTTTTGAATGAACGCAATCGGGTAGCGGATCTGGACTGCCGGTGGTGTGCGTTCCCAGATAATCAATAATGAAATATTCACAAGAAATTCCCAAAGGATCGTAAGGAGCATTAGCAGCATGATCCCATCAAATCTCACGGCGAGCCGGAAGCCGCAAGCCCTAATCAATCAAAGCTGAGGCGTAGCGCAAGTGATTCAACCCTTGGCCGCCTCGTCGATAAGCTGCCGCAGCCACGGGGTCTCCTAACTGCTGGAACGCTGCTGCTGAACGCTGTGCAACCTGCGTTGTTCCCAGTCAGTCAGTCAGTCAGTTGCTTGTACCTCCGTACCGCCTTCACCTCGCCTCACTCCGATGCGGTGATCTAAAGTGTCGTCGACCGCCCTTCCATGTCCTGGCTTTGCCGCCACCAACAGCACTACCACCACAACGTTACGGCCGATCATCGCTGTCAAGTATTTTATTCTAGAAGAAAAAAGAGGGATTGACTCGTTGCGTGAGTGCCCTGTGTGCTCTTCCCGTCGGGATTTCCACTGCGAAGGCGTCAGGGTCGAGGCTAGTTCAGGATGGCGGGCGTGGCTTTCACGCTGGTTTTGCCTGAGCCGAATATTCGGCAAACCTGCCGATTAGGTTCGCATCGAGGGCAAAGCTTGTCGTCATCGAACGGATGTTGCGAGCGGCACTCGAGATGCTCGAGTCTCGAGTCTCAAGGGGGAAACCAGAACGGAGAGAACTCCTCTTTGTCGTGTGATTTCAGAACCTGTAAGCAGCGTTCCATCGTGAAGACTGAGGATCTTCCCCAGGAGCATCGTGAAAGATGTCGAGGATGTTGGAAGGAGATAGGCACTCTAGTCGAAGCAAGGCAAGGCAAGGCAAAGGCAAGGTAGGGGTCGGAAGTAGGGATTCGGGCTGCAGGAAGAGAAACCTCGATTGGCGGACCTGGAAAAGTGGACGTGAACGGTTGACGACGAGCGAGTTTTGGCAGACTCCTTCTCTGCTCACCTCACCTCTCACCTCACTTCACTCGCGCCCCTAGGTTTCTGCTTGTCAACAACGGCCTTTCTCGGTTTCACTCCCACATCTCAGTTCTTGGCAGCATGGAGGGACGTCGTGGAGGAGTTGTCATTGTCCAGCATGAGAAGTGAGAAGGGATTTGCGCTTGCGAATGCCCACGTCAACAGGTGTTTTGGGGGATGAGCTGTAACAAGCTCGTTCTCGGATTTAGTTGTGCTTTGGAGGTCGATGATTTGATAGAATTTGGAGAGCCAGCTTTCCATCGCTTTTCAAACCGAACGACTGGTGGCATGCGTCATGGCGGCTGCGGTCCCGAACAGCAAAGACAAATAGTTTGGTAGTTCACCTGCATCGGTTTATGCACGCCAGCACCAGCAATAGATCATAGTACGGTAGTCGTCGAATGGCTCGAAAGGAGAAGCTTCATTCAACATGGCCCGGCTAACTAACAGAAAGTAGAAAGGTAGACGTCTTGCAGCACCTAACCAGACCATTCTCTCTCGTCGGACCATGATTGGACACCGCATCTACCGCACGGAGCGGAACTTGCCACGGCCATCGTCGTGAACTGGCACTGTTCTGAGTAATGTGATTGAATGCCCGTCGGCGGTGTCAGTTCATGCCAGCATTATTATTTCCTGCTGGCATGGCATAGCATGAGCATGGCATGGCATGGCTCTATGCCTAGTAGGGGCAGCTCGCCTCCGCGCTGAAAGCTCGGCGAAAATAATGAGCGGGCAGGGGTCGAAGACGACGTTGGCTGTATGAGAGGCCAGCCAGCTCCGTTGCCGTCGGCGTCTGCTTCCTGGTAGTAGGGTACTAGTCCTGCTGATGAAAGTGATGGGATGCGTGGTGAACAAATAAGAATAATAATTCACATACGTACTTAGTAGTAGTAGCTGTATGTTCCCTAGTCAGGCGTGTCGTGCATTTGCAACCGTGAACGCGCTCGGCCCAGGAAGGGTAATGGCTCCAGACGCCAGTGGAAGACTGAACAGAGAAGTAAGTGAGTGAGTAACAAACGATGAAGCCATACACAAAACAGTACATACATACAGTAGAATCTGATAGACTGAAATCTGGTAAACCGAGGACCCCTCATCAAGCCTCTGACCCTCCTCTTGACCCTCGAATTACCCTCGCCAGTCCCCTCCTCAGTAGCTTCGCACACGTCCTCGCATCCCAGCAATTAGTCGAGTCGAGTCGAGTCGTGTCGGCTCGGGCTTCGCTCCCCATGGTGTAAAAGCGGCATGACGAGTCGACCTGACCTGGGCCCTGGTCGGTCTGTTGCCCGCCATCAAAGATTCGTCCGTCCTACCTTCTTGTTTTCTCTCCCAAAGATTTTTTATTTCAATTTTTATTTCCAGAGCCTGGAAGACTCTTCTTGTTTCTCCTTCCTCTCTTTCACCCACCGCTCACTCGACATCGCAGACCTCTCTCCTCACCCACGGCACTCAGCAACACGCTTCCATTCAAGACGGGGCAGATGCGTTGGGGGTCCTCGGCGCGGCTGGTGTGTTTTTGTTTGTGTGTCTGATCCGACCTGACCTGACTTGCCTGGTGGTGGATCGACCGTATCCTCAAAAGTCGCAACCGTCCCCACCACGCGTTTATTTCCCGCCGTACCCTCCTTTCAACCCTCCACTCCCACCGAATACCGTGGACCACTTGGACGGATAAAGTCTCTGGGGATCCACTTTACTCTTTGACAGCATCAACATTCAAGAGCCTCAAGTACATCGACGCGACTTTTTTGCTTTTTCTTTCCTCGACGAAACTTTCGTGTTGGAGCGCGAAATCGTTTGGTCGTGGACTTCATTGAACTGGAACGCGGCTCCCGTACCGAGTTATTCCGCACTCAACCTCTGGCGTCATCAAATCAAGCCCAACGTCCAAAAAAATTTCCTCGACCTTCAACGGTAGTCTAGCACGGCTTGACACTTGATACCGGATTTATCCACCAAGGGCACAGAGTCTGCGCTTGCAGAGATTCGATCATCATCACTTTACCAGAATTGATCGGAGAGGAGAGTTCCTACGTCTTTAGTCGACATTCGATTTGCGATCTAAAAGTCTGGGCACGTCGAATGTTCCTGCGCTCAAGTACATCAACACCCGCCTTCCTTCCCCACTCTCGATTATGGACACTTCCCACTACAACCCGAATGCTCTGAATAACAATTCACCATACGGCAATCTTCCAGGGATTTCTCCACACCAACTCCAGCAGAACTCCAACATCCCCCAACATACGTTACCCCCACTGCAAGCTCCACAGCATGCCATGCAGTCCCTCTACGGCAGCGCACCGCATACTCCACGAACTCCAGCGACCCCGAATACGCCTGGATCAGCGAATCAGATGGGATTCCCCCAGATGCAAGGTCAACAGCAACAGCAGCAGCGTCCAAACCAGATGATGTACAGCAATAACTACCAGCAAGCACCACAAGGCTACCGCACCTCAGGTCCGATGATGAACTCGGCACCCACCGCCATGTCTCATCCGCAACCCATTGCTCCAGCTCCGGCGCAGAATCGATTAGCCCAACCGCTGCGGCCCATGCCTCCAAACGGTCTCCAGCACATGTCGGGCATGCAATCTCCCTACCAGAATAGTATGATGATGCCAGAAATTGATCCACCAACTCACGTTGTGGGCTCTCAAGGACGACGAGGCATTCTTCCCAGTGCTCCGGGTCGGCCAGCTGTGTCGGCAACTGCAACAGGCAAGAATGCAATGATTCCGGCCAAGGATGCTGATGGAAAATTCCCCTGCCCTCACTGCACAAAAACATACCTTCATGCTAAACACTTGAAGCGTCATCTTCTGCGACGTAAGTACCCCAATTTTTCCTCTGAGAATCGGAACTGATTGAGAGCAGACACTGGTGATCGGCCATACATGTGTGTACTTTGCCGAGACACTTTCTCGCGAAGTGATATCTTGAAGCGTCACTTCCAGAAGTGTTCTATCCGTCGTGGAAATCCCACAGGTGCAAGCCACTTGTCCCACGCGCAAGCACACTTGAAGAAGTCGCACCCAGGCCCCCACAAGAGCAGCAACTCAATGTCAAACGAGAATGATCTGATGGGTACCAACGGCATGGCCGGTCAGCCTTCTGGCATTCCATTATTTGGGGTCATTCCCGATGGTAGCGTCCCTGACGCTGGCTCGAACTTGACAGATGAGCAAGCTGAGCAGTTGTCCCGATCGAACAGCATGAAGCAGCTCAGCATGGGTGCGGGACGTGATGGAAGAGGCATGAATGGGCCCGGTGTAGGAGGATCGAATCGAGGTAGTTTCGATCAAGGCTATGCCGGTGGAATAGCCAGCACCATGCCTCCCGGTATGAATACTCCACTGTCGTTCAGTATACCCCAGGGACAAAACACCCACTCATACAGTCAGGGCTATGATTATGCCTCTCATGGCAACGGTTCCACCATGCAATCGCATTCCTCTACCGGACAAGATTGGCCTCAAATGTTCGCCCATAACCAACAAAACAACTTTGTCAACCCCTACAATCCAAATATCTCCACCTCACACGTAGCCATCAAGACCGAACCGTCCCTCAACCACCACGCGAACGGTCTACCAATCATCAAGAACGAACCTTCTCTAAACCACATCACCAACGGTCTCTCGTTCCCCGGCGTTTATCCTGGCCTTACGAGTGGCATCACCAATCCTTCTCAATTCTCGTCTTGGAATCTCCAAAATCACCCCCTAGAAGAGATTTCAGGTAGATTGTTATATTTCTGCTTTCCCAACAATCAGGTCATTGGCCGGAGCAATGACATCAGAAAATACCTCTCTGCCGATAACATTAAGCATTTCTTAGAGCAGTTTTCCAGCTTCCAGGGTCACTTCCCGATCATCCACATGCCAACCTTCCGAATCGCAGAGGCATATGACGGGCTGCTGTTAAGTATGATTTGCATAGGAGCTGTTTATTCCAATCGCATGACTTCAACCCAAGTTCGAGAAATGATGGAACTTGCAAAAGTGGTGATTGAACGCAACTCTCAAGTCTTTGCAGCTGTTTCCAGGGAGCAAACTGGTGACTCCGGATTCGGTGGTGAACTCATCGGCGCAAGCAAATCCGAACTGGAACAAATTACTGCGGTGTTCATGATGCAAGTATTATTTACATGGCACGGCACCCCATTGCAGCGCGAAAAGGCCCGTCGTGAATTCCCTCTGGTTGCTGAGCTTGCTAGAAGAGCAGGTTTGCCCAGACCCATGACGACTACCCCATTCAGCGTTCTCCATCAAGCAAATGTTACAGTCGAGAATTTCAACGCTGCGAGCTTCGATTGGAATGCCTGGGTTGAACAAGAGAAGCGCTCACGCTTGATGTATACGATCTTCCTCATAGATGCCGCGATGGTCATCTATTTCAACTCCTCCCCATTATTTGAGAGAGACGAGATTCGCATTCCACTGCCCGCGGACGATGCTGCTTGGGACGCGCCTTCTGGTTCTGAATGTGCTAGCGCTCTTGGTCTCCATGGTGCCGCCGTTGCCCGAAACAAGAATGTTGAGGGAAGTCGTCGCCCAAAGCAACCTGAAATGCACGCTGCTTTGAAGGCTCTGATGGATTACAACATTCACCCTGGAACTACGAACCTCTACTCGAAATTCATTCTTGTACACGCGTTGCATGTGCAATTATGGACTGCTCAGAGACAAGCATCTCTGCTGGAGTCGGGTCAGCCATTGTCATTCCCTTCCAGTGGCTCGAGTACCCCCATTCTGCAGCATGACTGGGTCAGAGGAATCGATCCTACCGGCAGTGGACCGCACAGCGCCAACACGAGTGGAAGAGTGACGCCTGTAGACTCGCTCAACCATTCATCTCAAACACTAAAGGCTATCAACGGTGCGTTCGATAAGTGGAAGAAGGCATGGGATGATGACATGGCGACTCAATACCCACCTTCGTCTACACAATACCGCAGATTCGGATTTTGTAGGGATGCGGTACACTTCTATTGGCTCGCCAAGTACTTGATGAAGAGCAATCGTGGATTGGACTGGCAGATGGCTCCCGACCAGCGTTTTGCACAAGTCATGAGCATTCTCAAGTCAGTCAAGACTTGGGTCGTCTCTGATAGTGCCAAGCGTGGAGAGGAACTTGGTTCAGTGGCAGACATTGACAAAGATTACGGAACAATGGACCTAACCCTTGACATGGCTCAATTGTTCAGGAAGATGACTGATGCAGACTCGCCCGTTACCGGTGTACATACGAATATTGGAGGCGGAATGGCATAGACATGGATGGGAGGCTACATATTAGAGGATTTGCATTGCGTGAGGGCGTTCTTGCTTTTTATACGTTTCCCATGCCACATGGACATGGTTTGATGCATATGCATCTATGGAAAAGTTTGGCACTTGATTGTGCTCACGAGGTTGGGTCATCTTAATGATGAGCTATTGCATGGTGGTGGACTTTTGCTTTCTAGACTTACGAAAATGCGCTGAGATAGATGGACGTTGCTTTGCATGATGGGCTGTTGCACGGATTTGCTAGTGAGTTTGGATCTTGCCTTGGAGCAAGTTGTGCGTAGAATGTAGATAGCAATGAATAGCTTGCTACTGAGTCTGAAATTTGCATTAAATTAGAACTCCCATTTCTATTTGAGGCAGAGATTATTCTGATGACCCAAAGGCTCTCTGGCCATATGCAGCATGCAAGAACCGTAATACAAGCCAGACTCTTGCTTTTGCCAGGCTCAATATCTAGCTCAGCCTACAGGTTTCTATTTCCTTGCACAGAGAGCTGGCCTCTGGCAGCTTTCCAACAAGCTGTGCCCTTCATCAAGCTCCAGCCTCGACCGGAATCCAGCTTGGAACAGCACACTCAAGACTTAGGATAGATAGGACAGACACATCTTCGCAGACTGCCTGGAATCCCGTCGCTGGCCTCCCTTCTCCCCAATATCATATAGTATCATACCATGTCATTCTCCAGTATTCCTCCGCCACACGCACATCAACTGTCCCCCTTCCCCTCCCTCTCCACAACCGTTATTCTCGGCACCACAACCCCCAGAGCCTCACGATCCTTCTCCGTAGCCTCGAACCCTAACCTCTTCTCCGCGTTATCAGAAATATAGAGACCGATCGTACCCCACGCGAGGAATGCGATGCCGACACCGATTCTCGTCCTCGGTGAGAGGTTGCGGAAACTCCTATGGAGACGAACAGGCGAGATCAGCGATCATGAAACTGTGGAGGAGGGAGGGAGGGAGGGGCGATTGACTCACTGTAGCATGGAGGACATTGTGGTTGTGGAGGGCGAGCACGAGGCTGTGAGGTGCAGATGTCGTTTGATGTTTGGAGAAGAGCTGGCCTGGCGAATGAGAGGAGCTCGGTGGATCTGGATGCGAGGTTCGGAAATGCCCCGCCCGCTCGCCTTGTGAGACTTCATTCTTTGCCTTGCATTCCTCAGCTCAGTTGTCTCGTTTTATCTTCAGCCTCTTGGGTACGGCTTCTATTTGTTTTTCTTTGTATATATATTAAAGAGGTGAGTGCGTGCCTTGAGTTTATTTGTTTATGTGTCGCTTGTTGCTCTCAAAGTTGGGAGGTAATAATTCGCATGATGTCTTTGCAGATTGAAGACCGGACATCCTCCCATTCTGTGCTTGAGGAAATTCATATATTCGCACACCCTTCAGTTTTTGATTCTTCTTCTTTGAAAATTGACAATTCAGCAGTTGATTTTCCTTCTTCAAGCGACGATTTTATTGCCGGGCATTCTTTGAGCCATTGGGGGCGTAAGTGGGACATTCAACCTATTCCCTTTGCGAATCAGAGTCTAGTTCAATTTGGAAACGGCGGTATATTAAAGGTTAGTATTATCATCACTTGCAATTTGATACAATCTAGGTTATCGTTTGAGAGTCTTCCCAGATTTATTAAATCAGTGATTTTGTCCCATGTGTCTGTTGACTCAGCTGACTTCTCTAGATGGAGAACTTGCCTGTTGAGCTTTGCAGAACCATACTTTCAGTCAGTACTTCAACAATAACGCCTACGTATAACTATTGATGCTTGCAGTTCGTCGACATACCTTCCTTGAAGAACTTTCGCCTCACGTCAAGATTTTGGGGAGGGTTAGGAGAAGATTACCTTATCTCTCCCACGTTCTTTTCTCTCTCGTACCGAAATGACATTCATCGTCTTACTACTTTAGCCAAGAATCCCAGATTCCGGCTCAAAATCGAGACTCTAAGTTTCCTCCATGGAGAAGTCAATGAGTACCACGCTCGGCACAACACCTACTTCTTAAACTATATGCAAGACCCCGATATCCGGATGGATATGCAAACCTCTGTCTGGTCTACCTATGCCGATCTCCGAGCACAGAAAGAGCGCTACCTACCAACCGCTTGTGACAAGGACGCTCTGATGGAGATCCTTAGCCTCTTACCGAATCTCAAGACCGTTGAAGTCAGTCTCATGACGTGTCCATTCCAAGAAGATGAGCATCCGGAAATGCTAAAGGAGATTTGGGGCATTCCCTCAACCAGACTTATGCCAAGAGTCGCAACGACAGAACGCTTTACCAATCTCGTCTCAGCATTAGCCTCGAATATCACCATTGCCAGTATCAAGTCCCTCTCACATGACCGTCTACCTTTTGAATTCTTCGCCCAAAGACCGGCTACAATCCATCACATGTCAGGGGCATTCCGATCCCTGACGAGCTTGTCCCTAGCGATCGATTACAGCGATATGCCAAACAATCTGCACCAGACCCAAGCCTTCCATAACCTATCTCTATGCATGCGCTCTGCCTCGCAGCTCCAGACCCTGGCTCTGCAATTCATGGGAAGGAGGAAAATCGATATTCGGGAGCTCCTTTTCACCTTCCGGGTCAGTGACTACGAGTTCCGGCATCTCGAGACCATCGCCTTAAGAGGAATTACCAGCACAGCTGCTGACCTCGGGACGTTCCTCGTGAAGCAAAAGTCGCTAAAATCGATACAGCTGGGAGGTTTGGGACTCAAGACTAGACATCAACCTCCGAATGGAGGTGTTCATCTCAGCGAGGGCTCGTTCAAGGGTTTGTTTGAGAGGGTGAGGCGTAATTTGAATTTGGAGAGCTTGAAGGTGCAGGGTGATTTGGTTGGGCAGCAGAGTGGTGAGAGGTGGGTGTTGGAGAACGTTGAGGATGAGAAGGATCTCTGGGAGTTTGTCATGGATTGACACTTTTTTTGATCTCTCCAAGTCGTACTTTGCCTACAATTCAAAGCGTTCAAAGCGATGTTTGTTTAGGCACTCGGAACATGATTGTTGTCACATCAAGACGATAACATGCCATTATCATACACATTTATGAAGCCCGTTATACTTCATATTCTTTACTCTATGGGATAGATCGCAAAGTTGGCAATCTGGACAGCATACCCTCTGTATTACCCTCATTACAATAGATGTAGTACTTGGGGCGTTGTAGTTCATGACTGCGTGAATGTAGTGTTCGAAGCTGGTCACTTCCAGAGGGACGACAGATGTCCCCTGTTGGTAAGGGGAACACCTGGAAGGGCTTATTATCTGAACAAACTCAGCCAATGCACAGAGTAAAGTATCATAAAGTAGATCACTTTTCTCGGGGATATATAAGCTTTGCTAGAAATAATTGTCCGCGCCCCGAATAGAACAACATGAAGAGCCTATAATTGGTACGCTTGTCCGTTCGCATATCCTCCTCCTGCAAAGAAAGCACAGATTTGAGGCCCAATCGGCAGCCCAGCAATGTGTTCCTTCAATGCAGCAACGAAGTCCGGCTGAAAATCCTTCACTCCGTCTTTGTCGTAGAATTGAAATCCCAACTGGTCGTAATTTCGAAACTGTAATAGCGGTATAAGCCAGGATTGAGGATGGGTCTCAAATTCCGTTCTCCAGAGACCTGCTGAACTGTGGTGGGAAGCTTCATTTGCAATCTCTTCTACCCATCATTAGTATCAAGAATAGCAACTCCTATCTGATTGGTCCTTGGAGCTTACTCGCAGTAGGACATGCCATTGCTACCTCGAGCCGTGGACAGCCTCTGTATTTGAGTTCTGAGATAGTGACATCCCAACTCGTGTTCCCACGACCCACTTGCCACGTTCTATATAGCCTGTCCCTATTGTGGGCGTAATAGCATCCAGAGTAGTAGAAGTGTATTGGTTCTCTGAGCAGATGTGACTGATCATTAGGTTTGGGGTACATGCGCAACTTTGTAGTAAGTCAGCAAATCCGTACTTCGAGGACCACAATAAGAGCAACTGTAAGTGCTATCCTGTCCAAGGCTGTCTAAGAATTAACCTACCGATTTTCTGTCCCACGGATTGCTGTAATAATTGCAGATGGATTGCCAAGGATCAGCCATGGCGACTCCGTAGAGAGGATAAATTCGCCCAGTCAAGGAATAAGGAACCGCTAACTTTAGATGAGTCACAGACGCTCTGATATCTTCATCAAGACCAAAGAGAAAACGGTCTGCGGTGTTAAGGTCGGAAAACTGGAGAGCGTTGTTCGACAGCATTGAGTCTGATGCGGGGAGCTCTAGGTAGACTTGTCTGCACACGAGACTGATGCCATGGAAGTCACTCGGCCCGTCTGTAGAGCAGTTGATATGGTCACCTTGACCGGGTGGACATGCTGAGCTATGAAGCCCGGCTTTACAGGCGTGATAGAGGAACTTGGCTCTCTTGGGGCGTCCCGGACGACGGCGTTTCGGACTATGTGCTTCTGTATGACTGACTGTTCCGCGGATTAGCACTTTGATTGGTCCACAGAGGCTGCAGCTGCCTGTTTTGGGGCGACAAGGACAAGTTGCGAATCAAGGTATGCAGAAACCACACCTCCAGCCCAAGAAGATTAACAGATCAGAATCAAGAAAAGCCTTACTGTGAATGACCTGACCTATAACAGCTTCTTCCCAAATCTTATCACGAATTTCTCGAGGAAGTGTGAGGAGTCTAGACTCGCTTTGAATCTCACAAGCTATTCTATGAGTTTCTTCCTGTTCAATTCTGGCTTCCTCAGCTTTGGCAATCTCTGTGATTTGTCAGTGTGGTTCTTGCAAAGATGGTCCGAACTGGAGCAGAGGAAGTTGATGAACATACGCTTCGGGAATTTCTCGACTAGAAACTGATCAAGCGTCTCTAGAAGATGCGGGTCATCAACGAATAAGGCGTCGATTTCTTGGTGCAAGGCACGCATAGGGTATGGCTTTCTTGCCCAATATGCTATTTTGTCGTTGAGCACCTTCAAATAATCATCGCGATGCCACTGTGCTCCCCAAATCTGTACGAATTAGGCATCGAATGTGCAATTCATGAGGAAATTGTAGAGAAGTTCGGAACTACCTGAAGTTGACGAAGCAAGGGAGTCATTGCAAAGAACGATTTTGAAGCAATTGTGAATAGAGATGGAATGAAATTGCTCGGACAGACGACCTTTCCTGCTTTTAAGGGGAGAAGAGTGGAGTATAATAAGGCACAGCAAAGGAGGCATCAGCTGATAGCGCGATGTTCTCGCGAAATGTAGCCCCACAATTTTAGGCACCCGAGGTAGCCAACGAGTAAAGAAGGTGCATATGTTCTTCAGAGGAGTTGTTAAGTTTTCACAATCAAATTTGATTTAGACGCCCTATCATTCTCAAGTGTTGACTTGTTCAGATTGCAATTGGAAGTGGTCTTGTTCCATTGAAAACACTATATAAGAATTAAGCGAGCTCTTCAAGACCTCTTGCCGAAAGTAGCCAAAAAAAAACAAAGAACAACAACAGATAGAGTGATAAACAAAGCTCGAGAATTACTTCTTCAGAGCGGCAAAAAATCCGGTCTAACCTTTCGAAATGGGGTAGCCATGAAAAACTTGCTCGGTGTCGTTTGCAGTTTTGGTCGCGATCGCTCATTCGTATGCGGGCCAGGCGTTAGTTTCCCTTTCCACCTCTTAACCCACGGTGACCTGAACCACTGACCTAAGTGGCATGCTGCTCGTGGGTTGGCAATGATTTTGCTTATTTTAACTTATACACCTTGAAAAATTTGGCGCTAATAAGGCGAGGCTGCTGCAGACGCTAAACAGTTGAAGCTTGAGATATCAATTGAATCAGATAAGGATAAGGATAAGACTCGAGATTAACTATATTGAAATTATTATCTAATGCTCTGCTATGTGCAAGATGCGTCCCTAATCTTCAAATATCTGCCTTCCAATTTCCACTTCTCTTCAATATCGGCGTATATGAAGTACCTTGGAGGTTTTACTGCCAAAAGTGCAGAATGATTGTAAGAATCGAAGTGCCATCCATCAGCGTCTTGCTGCTTATGATCATCGGATCTGTCTGCGTATGCTCAAGCTTGCTGCATGTAATATTTTCCCCTCTCAAGATCAAAGGTTTCTGTGCTACCCACATCACTACCGTTCGTGCATGTAATCGTAGGAGCACTTCCTTTGCTCGAAGCCCGCGATCCTTTCTCGAACGGAAGTACCTCGTTACTCTCGGCGTCGAAGACAACAATGTCCATATGTGGTCGCTTTTGGAGACGTTTAGGGGATCTGGTGAAATGGTCGGTTTGGCTGGGAGAGAAAGAGCCGAACATTTGTGGCAGGTATGTTGAGAAGAAGGGCTTAGTGGCTGGTATCGAAGCACATATCTGCTGCATGTCAGAAGAAACATTTTCTTGGAGATGAGCAGACATACCATTCCGATGTAAAGCTCCATTGCAGCAGTGATCCATACCGGGTACGAGGCCCAGGTTTTGTCCCATGTCTGTGTGACAACCCACATGAAGTATGTGCGAGCGATACCGGCCCCACATGATATGAACCCGAATGCAAAGAGTAATATGATCAGAAGGGTTTGCTTTAGCGGAAGTTGAAGACACCAGACTGTTCGGATGGGGAGGACAACGGCGAGAAAGTCTGTGAGAGTGTTGATGACCCCCGCTACTAGGAGAGAGGATGCCTGGTTGATACAATTGGGTTGCGGATCCGGAGTAACTTTCCAGTAGTCCTGAGGTGGTCTGCATAATGGAAATCAGTAAGGTATGGCTCGATCGGTTCAGACATAGGCTAAAAAGAATACGAACCTGCACTGGAAAATCACAGTTATGCAGAAAACGCTTCCTTGAGTAGCAACCACTAAAATACCCAGTAATGTTACTCGTCGCCAGAAAAGTGTTGAGCTTGCCAGCAGTCTCCGAACAAGCATCAACATCGAAAGCTTCGTCAAAGTGCAGGCAAGAGCAAAGGCAAGTTGGGCACCGAGAACCATCTTCAATCCAGTTGGGACATGATCCACAGGTATATCGTACTGCAAATGTTAGTATACTGAAAACTTAACCATGACGAGTCATTACTGAATGCCTAATCCATAAGTACTTCGCATCTGCAAGGACGCTGATGATAAAAAAGATCGTTGTCGGAACCTGATCGGCTTAGTCCAGCAGGATGAATGTTTGTCAGAGGGACATACAATAGCTAGCAAAATGCAGACGTCGTCAGCACCGAACACACATTTCAGAGATGTTCGAGTGAAAATTCGAATTCCCATGAAACATAGCAAAAGAGAATATAGAACAATGTTCAAGATGATGTTAGCATTCCCCCGAGTCACCGGATTGACAAAGTTCGACGGCGGAAAAGACTTGAGAACACTCTCTGGAGGCAGCTGCATGATCAAGACTTGCAGCTAGAAAGACAAGAGAATTCAGGGTCGCAGGTTTGCAATCCCAAGCAGAGATGGGATGGCATGCTTAAGGCAACTAATGCAGGACAGAAAGTTAATGTCCAGCGCATCACTTGGACACCGTCTTAAGCCATCGTTTGCAAGTTCCCGCATTCAGATGGCTTTGACAGTGGGTATCTTGAGTTTTGTATGTCTGAGCGTAGCAGCTTTGAAGGACGATTCGGTACGGCTTGGACCTTTGAAGACTATGAAGATCTCCTGTGTACTGTAGGCTGTGTTCATCCAAGCCGCCCCACGGACCTTTTTGAGTCCAAGCGCACCGGGTTATAGGAGCTATGCAGCAATCAGCTCACCCGGCTGAATCTGGATTTCACGCATTTTATTAGCCACATGATCGGCTGCCGGGTTATGAAGAGCAAGTGGGCCTTGCCGTTGCTGCAGCTGGCTAGATCGGATGAAGCTTGTGTTGGTATAATTTGCATTCTCACAACTCGAGTAATCTTGCACACAGGACGGCGGGATAGAGGAGGCACTTGCCCTTATTCGTGGAGTTGCCTCCAATGTCCTGTGGAGTGATGACATTTTCATCAGTCATTTGCTGACTCAAAAGATGGAAACCAATGATGGCCTGAGACAAGCGAGGACAAAACACGCAGACTTTCAGAAAATATAATATCTCAACTTTATCTTTCGGGAAAATGCTTCGTGGGCTTCGTGGATGCATATGCCATTTGTATTACAAGACTGCAACTCTCGTTACTGTGGTATCTAATTAGCTTTCTTTGCAAATTCCACCCTCAGGATCAAATGCTTGAATCCATAACCATCCATTTTCTCGCAAGCCTTTGCAGCATCTGTTCTTTCCTGGAAGCTGATGAACGCGAAACCCTTTGCAAGCCCTGTTTCTCGATCCTTGGCAAGGAAGACTCTTGTGACACGACCGAAACGCTCGAACATGTCTCGCAGCTCTTGCTCCTCCGCCATCTCCGATACCTGTAATTCGGCTTTAGCAACAAGTCATCTTTAGAAAAGAGCGGGAGACTTACGTTTGTGACTCTCAGCGTTGACTCATCAGAGCGCTCGAACTTGCCACCACCCATTCTATCACCGCCACCAGCAGCACCATTTCGAAGATGTGGGGGTACGTATGAGCTCTTTCCTGTTCCAAGTCCACCGGCAGCGTCGGCAACATCTGCAGGGCCAGCAGCAACGTCCGCAGAACCCTCCTCTCCAACTGGTGCCATAGTATCCTTGAATGGACATCTTGCAGTGAAATGCTCTCCGTTACAGATACGACATTTGACCTTCTTATCTTTCAATTTGTCCTTCATGCTACCAGCCTCGGTCTTCTCCTCCTTGGCATCCTTGCGCCAGTTCGTGCTCGGTCTGAATATAATGTTCTCTGACCATACAATCAGTAGTTTGTCATAAGAAATGGATTCGGGAATATTTACCTCCAACTGAGGTTGTGTCTGTAGCTGGTCCTGGAGCATCCTTCGCAGACAGACCAAACTTCGACCATGACTTCCGCTCAGCAACTCTTGGGTTGACTACTTCCTTGTGTGTTGTGATTCGAATTCTCTGGGTGAGCTTCACCTTCTTCCCCTCATCGTTGATCTTCCACGAGGTCTTTGTGATTGTGCCGTCTTTATTGGTGACCTTGGTGGGCTCTGGAAGCGCGTTGTCGACGACGGAATCATCGAGATCTTCATCATCGGCCCAGTCCGGGCGGCTAGAACACTGTCAGACTCGTCTTGAAATACGTGGTAATAGAAAATGTACTCACTTTGCGACCTTCGACATTTTTGGCGGGGTTGTTCTGCTTTGTGTTTGTGCTGAAAAATCTGTAGAGTTTGTAGATCGTTGGAAGTACAAAATCCGCGAAAGAATATCCGTCTAGATTCTTGATTCGAAGAGGCGCAAATTCTCAAGCCTTCGATGTTGTTCTGAAGCTGGAGGGGCAAATTTAGAGTCCGTCTTCAAGAAATAATCAAAATCTCGCTCCAGTGCGGTAATGATCACGTGTAAAATAGTCTAACCGCTTTAGATCTTTTACAATTCCGCTATGCCCAAGTCATGAACATCTTGCTTATTGGGTCTTGCCATGCATAATATGCAAGATGGTGGAAACAACTGCTCCTTTATTGCATTCATTACGCAATGACCTTGCTCTGGCCGTGCTCCTGCTCGCATCATAGCGGCCACTTGCTGCAGCCTTCGCGCTCAGGCTGAATTGGGGTCGTTATGACTTGTATTATATCTTCTTCAAAATTCAGGGAGAGTATCTTTGAGGCGGAAGATACACATGATCATAGAGGTCGATAGAGTTGCTTGGGTGGCTACTAGATAGTACAGAGGTCCTTACAGACAGAGGAAAACCCCCGGATCAAAAAGCGATTGAATAGGAAGAGCAATTCATATTCGGAGAAACTAGACCAGAAGGACATAATCATGAAACTCACTATGAAAATGCGATGTGCAACAGACATGCTAGTTCTTCTAGAAGCGTACTATCAATGGATATAATTTCCCGCTCATCTGCTTCACTGGATAATGTGCCACGTGCCCACGTGCTGCCTTGACGCAGCTGTGCATTGACGATCGAAGATTCACTGAGGCTCCATTGAGAGGGGATGTCATATTATTCGTCATATCCTAATTTTATACAAGCCACAGTATTGCCCTTTTCTGTGAGGTATCCTCCAGCCTTGAATGCTGCAAAGCAATGCGTACTCAGAACGCCTTTGCCCCCAAAGCTATTGAAGAAGGTAGAGTGTCGGTAGCTATGACAACAGAGAAGAGTTGCTAATGTGCAACATATGAGTACATGATGGGTACAGGAGAGGTCTATGCAAGCCGCCCGCAAACGCTAAAAATCAAAGGATTGGTGCCTTTACAGGCTTTTCACGGCTTCTTCTCGCCCTCTGTGGGCTCACCCTCCGCTGGCTTAGGCTCAGATGTCTCGCCTGACTCAGCACGAGCCTTGTGCATCTTGTCGAACAAGTTCAAGCTCGCCATTTGGAGCTCGTCAGTCTTCTCCTTCAGCTCGGCGGCAGTAGCGGTACCCTCGCCGGACTGGCTCTTGCTGACAAATTCACGAAGAGTCGTGATCTTCTCACGGATTTGGTCAACCTCAGTCTTGTCAAGTCTGTCTGCGAACTCGTTCAAGGCCTTCTCGGTATCATTGAGAACGCTGTCAGAGCGGTTGGCAGCTTCGATGGATGCCTTTCGCTCCTTATCTTGCTCGGCATATCGCTCAGAGTCATCGACCATGTTCTGGATCTCCTCATCGGAAAGACCAGAGCCAGAGGCAATGGTAATAGATTGATCCTTGTTGGTGGACTTGTCCTTAGCGTGTACGTGAACAATGGCATCGGCATCGATGTCAAATGTGACCTCGACTTGGGGAACACCTCGGTGTGCAGGTGGAATGCCAGTAAGCTGGAAGTTGCCGAGCATCTTGTTGTCACGAACAAGTTCACGCTCACCCTGGTAAACCTTGATCTCTACAGCAGTCTGGAAATCGGCAGCAGTTGAGAAGACCTGTGACTTCTTGGTTGGGATGGTGGTATTTCTGTTGATCAGACGCGTGAAGACACCTCCGAGCGTCTCAATACCAAGTGAGAGAGGAGTAACATCCAACAGAAGGACATCGGTGACGTTGCCAGCAAGGACACCTCCTTGAATAGCAGCACCCATGGCGACAGCCTCATCAGGGTTGACTGACTTGGCAGGGTCTCTACCAAAGATGCTCTTCACGGACTCGGCAACCTTTGGCATGCGGGTCATACCACCAACTAAGATGACTTCCTGGATGTCGGTTGCCTTGAGATTGGCATCCTTCAAAGCCTTTCGTACAGGGTCCACGGTGCGGCTGATCAATGGCTCGACCAGCTTCTCGAGTTGTGAACGGGAAAGCTTCATGTTAATGTGTTTTGGTCCAGAGGCATCAGCGGTAATGAAGGGAAGGTTGATATCGGTTTGCATAGAAGATGACAGCTCGATCTTGGCCTTCTCTGCAGCTTCACGAATTCTCTGGATGGCCATACGATCGCTCGAGAGATCGAGGCCAGAATCCTTCTTGAATTGTTGAACCAAGTGGCGGACCAAGTGGATATCGAAATCTTCACCTCCCAAGTGGGTATCACCGTTGGTGGACTTGACCTCGAAAACGCCCTTTTGTATCTCGAGAACTGAGATATCGAAAGTTCCTCCACCAAGATCGTAGACTGCGATGATCTTGTCCTCATCCTTCTCAAGACCGTAAGCAAGAGCGGCGGCAGTGGGTTCATTGACAACACGAAGGACGTTGAGACCAGCGATTTGACCAGCATCCTTGGTAGCTTGTCTCTGGGAGTCGTTGAAATAAGCAGGGACGGTGACGACGGCGTTCTGGATTGGCTTGGTGAGGTAAGACTCTGCAGTCTCCTTCATCTTTTGCAGGACGAATCCACCGATTTGAGATGGAGAATACTTCTCGCCTCGAGCCGAAACCCAAGCATCTCCGTTGCTGTGTTGAACAATTTTGTAAGGGACCTCCTTAATGTCCCGTTGAACTTCAGCATCTGTGAATTTTCTGCCGATGAGACGCTTGGTGGCGAAGAGAGTGTTCTCTGGGTTTACAACTGCTTGACGCTTGGCAGAGACACCAACCAATCTCTCTCCATCTTGTGCGAATGCGACTACCGAAGGTGTTGTTCGAGCACCTGCAAAATGTTAGGGGGCGGTGACAATGGCTTGATAACAACTTGCTTACCTTCAGAGTTCTCGATAATCTTGGCTGTCTGTCCCTCCATGATGGCTACAGCAGAGTTGGTGGTACCTGGATGATGAGATATGTGAGCATGCGATCAACTCCTATAAGTAGAGTACTGAGGCGACTTACCCAAGTCAATACCAATGACTGGGCCCCGGACCTTCTTGTCGGCATCATCTGCATATCTTCGAACAAACGACGAACCCAGTGGTTTACGGAAAAGGGTTTGTGATCGTGTGGCGGAAGATGTAGCTCGGGGAAGCTGTTCAAAAGTCAGTTGATGCAATGGAACATAATGGATCATGCATCAGGAAAACAACTTACAGCTCTCGATAATCTTGAGGCCAACATATTTGCAGTCGCGAAAGGACAAAGGAATTATCTAAGGAGGAGGTTGATGGGGATGAGGAAGTTGATGAGAAAAGGAGTGATGGTTTGGAGAGATGCGGAAGGGGAGAAAATGATCGAATCAATGGAATATAGAAAAATTTCAAGCCGGCGCTAGCGTCAAAAAAGAACCAAAAGTGGAGACTTAACCCGAGCTCGATCGAATATCAACAACCGGAATACTGAGGCACCTCTGCATAAAATCACGAGCCACCAGAGCCACATTGCTGCTCTCCACCCTAGCCTGACGTCGTTGTCGCGGTTGCAAAACATTATCTGTTAATCATTGGAAGAAGCAACAGCACTCAGCTTCGATGGCGACTACGTGATACTTGCATCAAAAAGTCACCGACTACAACTTCGAAATTGTCTATATCTGCTGCTGGAGGTGCACATTACTATCAACGGTTTCATTCATGCTCACCATTCATCAAAGCGCATGGCAGCTATGGCTGTGAAATCCGAAAGCTTGTAAGCTTGTACAACAATTCCCCGGGCGTTTGCATACTGATTATTGCTAGACATCATGCCACCGAGGCTCTCATTCTTCCCCAACCTCGAAAGTTCTACCGCGCTGCCGTAGAAACAAGGTCCGTTCAAACAGCGCTCTTTAGTAAACATGAACTGATCACAACAGTCATTGGCAGCTTCGGTCCCTCATTAGCTCTCCTGAATCCCACATTGTATACTATCCATCTGGATCCGAAGTCTTCTCTTTGAATACCAAAACACAGGAGCGCGAAGTCATTGCGAAGCTCCCTTTTCTTCCCCGATGTCTCATAGCATCGAAGGATTGGTTATGCTGCGGCGCGGAATCAGGGCAATATGTTTCGATATCTCTGAAAGATAGAGCAGAGGATCGGAATTTGATATTCAGTGGAGAAGCGGACCCCGATGAACGACTACCTCTGGACCTTGATCCTACGAGACGATCCACAACTCGAGAAGCAAATTCCTCTATACGAAGGTCTCCGAGTCGCCCTCTTCAACCAACCCCAATAAAGATAGGAACTGAGATTGTCAATTGCGTGACTCTCTGGAGCCCAGGGGAGATGGTATCCGAAAAGGCATACGACATACCAGTGGCCGTAGTAGCAAACAATGATTGCACCGTCTCAATTGTCAATGTTCGAGATTCCGAAGTGCTTGAAAAGTTGACATTGCCCGACTTTGTCAACCGGTCTGTTATCTCTCCAGATGGCGAAATACTTGTCACGATATGTGATGATCCATTTCTCTACATCCATCAAAGAACCGAGAAGATTGGATTTAGAAAGCAGCGATTCGGTACCAAGGATGTGCAACGTTATGAGTGGGTGTTGGCCGGCAAGATCCAATTGGAAGGACAGCGGACAACCGACAAGTCAGAGAATAGGGGAAGTTTCACAGCATGTTTTTCACCTTCAGGGAGATACCTGGCTGTGGCAACTCAATACGGCGTCATATCCATTTTCGATGCTCAGCGGTTAACGGACCATGACTCGTTACTGGTCATATTCACGACCTCAAGGCCAGGTGCATCAAACGGTGCTGTTCGATCAATGGAATTTTCGCCAGCACCATTTGACCTTCTAGTAAGTGTTCTCAGCCATCGCCGAGATGAAGTCTCACAAACACGGTTGTCTGTTGAAACAATTATGTCCTTCATAACTAGCTTAAGATGGGCAATCGTGGCACAAGTGCTGTGCATGCTAACTTTCCTCAGGCGTGGACAGAACACAGTGGTCGAATAGGGGTCGCTGATGTTCGATCTCTTTTCTATTCTCGGCAGCTGATCAGAATAAACTCAGATGGTGAAGGAGTAGAGACGGTCAATGTCTCGGATAGACGTACCGAATCCTTCATCGATCCTCGACTACTCAATGTCCGTAATGAGTCGCCTTCATCGCACAGCAGCACTCCTGATTATCTCGGATTAGACCTTGAGAGGAGGCAATTGAGACATTTGACTCGAGAGATGTTAGATAGGCATCATACACCAGTGACTGTGGAAGAATTGGAGGTCCTTCAAGCCCATCGAATTGCCCGTCGTCAAAGAGACGCAGCGAATGCAGCACGCGAAGCTCTTGCAGAAGGTTCAGGCCGATGGAGTGCATGGGGAGACGGTCAGCGTTCGTCAACAGCTAGTGGTGAAGGACCTGGAAGCACTAGTCGACGAATCTCAACTAGCGGATTGCCTGCCGCTCTACGAGAGTTCGTAAATCCTGACCGAACTGCTGCATCATTTAGATCATTTATCAACGAACGAAATCGTGAGAATGAGAGACGGAGTCAACTGCAACAAGAACCTAGACGACGAGCCTCAATGATCTTGGCAGCCGCCGAGAATGCGATTGAGCGGGAAACTCTAGGCACAGGAGCCCGACCAAGTAATGACACGTCTACTACACTCGAACGGTTGACCTTGACACCTTCTCGTCTAGAGACTTTTGGTTCTGACTCGCCAAATAATCCGTGGGCGGAGATTGATGCTCTATATCGGTCACGATTTCCTGGAGATCCACCCTTGGACAGATCGACCAGGCTTCGAGTTGAGGTAGCAGCTGATGAGGAGCCAAGAGATTTTGCTCACCGATTAAGGCAGCCCTGGCGGCCCTTGGATGATCTCGGTTCTGGAACAGGAATAATCCCTGGCGGAGGAGGGCTTCGGGCACCTGAAACTATGGGTTGTGCCTGGAGCTCGGATGGCAGGATCTTGTAAGTTTTTCTGCTCTCCATATTCGTGTGATACTAACTTCAATTAGATACGTTGGGGCTCAGGATGGCATTCACGAGTACCACGTGAACGTCCCTGCACGAAAGAAATTTCCCAGCCTTGTAATGCGATAATATTGGTTTGGCGGGCGTCCGGGAGTTTTGGCCTCTTTCTGAACGTGTATTGTTACCCATATTTGGAAATTTCGAAAAGTGGCGGAACCTTCTGCTAATGCGCTTCCATCGAAGTCGGTGCTATGAAGTTTTGCACATAGGAGAGATGCGGTGGATTCCATGACCCTTAGCACATAGGACGGATGCATCACGGTGAGTTTATGACAGCAATCAATAGCGACATAATGATATGGCCTTCAATACAAAAATTGAAACAGAAACTCTCCTGGTTGACGTGACCTCGCTTAAGAAGTAAACAAACTTTCAATATCCCATAAAAAAATCTCAACCACTCAACCAAAACGGATATTAGTTTCAGGAAGCAAAAACTCGGATCTCACCTGTCGATAAGGGGAGATCGTAGAAAACTTGCTCGGTGTCGGGTGCAATTTTTGAAGTCGCGTTGTGGCGTGTATTCGTAATGGCGTGCCTAAGCCCATCTGGAGCTGTCAACTGAGTTAACAGTATATTAGCATCCTTTGGTTTCCGGGCTTAGTGGCAGAAAAATGCTTATTTGAATCTATTAAGTAGAGCTCAGATTAGCGAATTAGGTATGAGGAGAGTGACGTCGGTCTAGCGCGATGTGTGCTTATCAGAAGTCGAGCCACAGATACTTTTCTGCCTACGTAGCTACCACTTCGACTATTTTGAATTTGGATTGAGAGCATCGTCTTTTAGAAAATGTCTATTGCCTGCTACGCTTCTTAAGTCTAGACTTTAACTTTAAACATAAATACCCAGGTACCACTTTCATGCTCCTATATCTACATCATCTCAACACCCACCAGCCCAACCCACCATCAATCACCCATACAACAACCTCTCCACCATCTCCCCAATCGCCAAACTGCTCGTCAACCCAGGACTCTCAATGCCCAGCAAATTCACAACCCCCTCGTACCCATCCTCCTTCCGAATCACAAAATCCGCAAACCCCTTCCCGCTCGCGACCGCGCTATTCTTCCCCAACTTCGGTCTGATCCCCGCGTAATCGGGGACGATACTCTCTTCCTTGATGCCGGGGAGGTATTTCTTGATAGCTGCTATAGCCTCGGGCAGTCTGGCATCATTGACTGCTAAGTCGGTGGGGCAGTCGACCCATTCGACATCAGGGCCGAATCTGATCCTGCCGCTGATATCGAGCGTGAGGTGGGTTCCCAGGCCGCCTGCGCCGGGTTCGGGGGCCGGGTAGATGAGATGCGTTGTGCTGGGCGAGGAGGCGGAGTAGGAGAAGTAGTTTCCTTTGGCGTAGTATTGTGTTTGGTGTCTGCTGGAGGGTAGGATCATGTTGTTGATATCGCAAGCTCCTAGGCCGGCGGAGTTGATGATGACTTCAGCGGTGAAGGTTGTTTCTTCTCCGGTGCTTTTGTCTTTGGTTGTTACTTCCCATCCTCGGCTCCCTTTCTCACCGAGGTGATCAATTCGGGTGACAGGACTATTCAATGCTACGTCTCCGCCTTTGTCTTCGAAATCCCCGAGCAGGAATTGCATGTATGAGTGTGAATCTAAAATTCCCGTCGTAGGACTTTCCAAGATGCCAGTTTTGGCTTGGACGAATGGTTCTTCTCTTGCGGCTCGTTCTAAAGAGACGAATTCCGTGGGAACGCCTTCGATGGACCTGGTGAATTTGTGTACCTTGACGAGTTCTTCCCATTGTTGGTGCGTTTGAGCCACGATCCATTTCCCCATGTTACGGTGGGGGATGGAGTATTTCTGGCAGAGGGCGTAGAGGAGTTGACGGCCCTGTATACAGAGCTTTGTCTTGATGGAATCGGCTCCATAGTATAACCCAGCATGGATGACCTATCATTCCTATCAATTCCGAGATCACTTAAGACTTTGGGGGAAGAATGACTTCTGAGTTCCTCGAACTGGTTTCTTGGCCCACCCCACCATTTCTCTCAATGAGAAGAGTGCTCGTTCCTTCTCGAGCGGCCAATTGTCTCGCAATAGCTAACCCGACAGCACCTCCACCAATGACCTATTCTCAATTCTATCAGCCCTGACTCATCACAAGACGAGTATATACTGACCGCATGGGTAAAATCAGCCTCCCTCACAGCACTCGTAGCGAAACCCCTCCATCCATACTTCACAATTACTTGGCGACGCAACGCACTTGATAGCATTTTATTGACCGTGAGGAAGTGACACAAGAGGTTACATTTAGAACTGTATGTTGTGTTACCGCGATTTCTTGCATGATGCAATCAACTAAGTGGATTTGGGTGGACCGCGGCGCCGGTGCATGGATCGGCACGTTGAGGCTGAAAGGTGGGGTCACCATCGCTTTGATTTTAACTACAACGGTAATAACAGGGGGTAGATTAGATGTGTGTTCCTTCTGGCGTCTTACGTATATATATTGTAGTTAGTTTTCATATGAGTAACTGGCCGCGCAAGTCTAAGGTGATAGAGATTTGAGGATGGGAATATACGAGAAGGCAAGACAAGGTAAAATCCTTGTCCGATCACTGACAATATTTCACAGATTATGATCGAGACAATTACTCGATCCCTGCAAGAAATACAGAATGTAATAATTCCATTGCTATCATTACTCTTTCAGCACGTTCTCGAATGTCCTGTCCCAGTGATGCGCTATTCATTCCTCACTCCAAATACCTGACCCTCCAAAACGCCATCATGATATTCATGCAACTCCCGCTTGATTACAGGTCCCAATTTATGGCTAGCCGCAAACCTTGTAGCGCCATTCCGCAAGCATCATTAAGACTTGGCATGGTTACACTTTTCACTCCTCTTTGACTTCTCCTGCTACAGCAGGTATCGGAGTAGTGGTTGCTGGAGATATGCTTGGGGCGGACAGCTCAGAGATGGATTCTGAGCGGAGTAGTTGTGAAGGGGTGGCTGGCTCGTGAGTGATAGCCGAGTTCACATGTAATTCACTAACTTGACGTTCTGTTGCTATTGTTAGTTTCGGTCCAGCTGTAAGGATCTACGCTTCGACAGTTCTAAGGTAGCATACCTAATTCTCTGATCCTCTGGCGCAGCATCTGGTTCTCTCTGATCATCATCTGAGTCTCGGCCTGATAGAAAGCGCTCTCATCGCGTCCTGCCAGGCTGAATGGCTCACCCTCCCCGCTGATCGAAGTTGACCTGAGTCTAGGTGATGCTGTTCGGCTTGGGGTTCTGGATCGTCGTTGCTGAAGGTCGGCGCGAGCTAAGTCGAAAGAGCTGCGAGGATGCAGAGCAGCGCTTGGAGAACGTGGCGTAGACACGGTTGACTGTTGCTGGACACCAGCAGTCGAGAAGGACATTGAACGTTCAGATGTCGGAGTGAACTCATCAATGACGGGAGGCGTAGCATTGCTCTGACCAGAAGCTGCCTGCAATTGCTGGAGCTGCTGTTGTTGAGCGCGGATCATTTGAAGTAAGCGATTCTACATAAGTCAAAGTTAGCTTAGATGTTCCCGTCTGCAGTAATGAGCGCCAGGAATATACAGGCTTCACTTCATCCAAGTACAAAAAGAATAACATACAACTTGTGCCTCTTGTTCCTGCTCTAATTCTTGGTGGATCTCTCCCAGACTAGGTGCGCGGAAGTGCTGAGGGAGCTGGGGTTCACCACTTGAAGTGATCGGCGAAGCTTGCATTGATTGTGGACTGGCTGTGCGATACACAGGTGTTCCCTCGTGTACCATCTCTCCAGGCGGTGGCATGGTAGGATCGTTCAGCTGCAAGCTCATCAAGACCGTGGACCGTCTTCTGCCAGGATGCGATGATTGCCGATTTCTGGCAATCGAGCTGCTGTTGGAGTTGCCTATGTAAAAATTTCGGTCAGCATCTTCTCCAAGCAAGCACACGTTTTGCAGAATGGAGGGGTACGAAATGTGGGGCGCTCTCTATTGTCACCCAACTTTGGCGGGGTTATAGAAATATCTGGAGTTCTGGGGATATCTCAAGCCCGAGTTGAAATAGATCTCTCAATAGAAGGGCTTGAACTTACGTCTTGAATCTTCGTGTTGCAGCCCAGCGTTGACAGCAGCAGCTGCCTGCAGAGATGTCGATGCTGAGCGCGGGGATGGAGAAGGGCTTTGGCCTCGCAAAGCTGTGCCCTCACCAGCGGTCATGGTGCGTGTCATGTTTGGAGATCCAGAGGTTGATCTTGATCTTGAAGGTGGAAGAGAGTTCAGGTCTGGAGCCATTGCAAGAGAATATATGGTCCAGGATTAGGACAGGTGGACGCTGCCGGATAGAGAAGGACGCCGCCAAGGTGCAAAGGGAACAAATCGGAGGCCAGACAGCGCAGGGTATTGGTGGAAAGGAAAGAATGGAGGATGACGGTTGCTACTTAGCTACTGTAGGTGGTTGAGAAAGATCTCACAAACAGGTGTCGAACGAGGAGTGAAGCGTGATCTCGAAGACTTTCCAGCCTTTCTGTGCAGCCGGTGACGATAGCTCGCTTGATACTACGGCAGGGGGGAGGGACGATCGAGCTTCAGGGTCCTTCTCCATTTGTGAAATTCGAGAACACCAAAATGTCCTATACCAACTCCAGCATTGCACACTACTACATCGTCTGTTCTTAATTAGACTTCGGTTCTGACTTATCAAGAAGCTATTCTACGTCCTCATTCAAAAATCTTAGGTATAAACTTAATATGTTGTGCGCAATACTTTACATTTTGTGAATCTGGGCCTTGTCGCAAAATCGGCCACGAATTTCACCTACGGAGATCCACCAACACCAACTTCTTTCTTCCTCCTCCTCTGCGGTTGGCAACGGCCAGCTTCTGTCAAGCTCTCAAGCCACCGAGCTAGATCCAGTCACAAGCCAAGTGGAAGAAGTTGAGATCCGGGTCACGAGATCTATTCGGTCTGATCATGATTGGCCCTTTATTTTCCGCTCTTCTCATCTCCTCTCTTCCGCAAAGCGGCGTCTCACGACCATCATCACCACATCACCCCACCAAGGAGGCACATCGTCGAGGCCAGCGCCTGACCTTGAAACTCCGCCGTCCGCGAAGTCGGACGACAATGTGGCAATCTCTCGCCTCCAGCAGTCAAATCAGAGTCATCGGTCAGTCAGACGCTCTCACTGTGGCGTTGGTGATGACATCGTCACTTTACCATATGGTACGGCTGCGTGGTACGGTAAGGTGAAAAGTTGCAGCATCCAAGTACCGGGACTATTCATCGTTTCCCGACCAACATTTATTTGTTGATATACTTATGCTTTCAGAAAACAATTGTCCTTTGTTAAAGCTTATGTGGCCGCTCATTATTGATTGGGATCTTCGAGAAATGCAGGATGTTGAACACGAATAATTAATTTCAGTCTCCAGGTTCAGCTCGACGGGAAGACCCAGTGAAGACGACCCGACTTTTGACATCAATCAAGCTCCACTCATAACCAAGAGCGCGGTCAACAGTCGACACCACCTCCACCGCCACCACTGCAGCTCGCTGGGCGAACTTTCGAAATGACGAGAATTGACAAGAATCACAATCGATCCAGGTCGATAGGGAGGGCTAGCACTGGATCTCAACGTCAAACCAGACACCGCATGCGGTCTTGCAAAGAAAACTCTCCCTTATCAGTTAGAATCGGCAATCTCCCGACTTAGGTAGCCATCCGTATGGTCCATATGGTCGGCTTGCATTGCTTCAGAGTGGATCATTGCCCTGCTGGATAGACAATCCGAAGCGCACCCGTCAAAAGCAAAAAAAGGTTCCTCGTTCAATCTTCGAGGTGCTTGGACAAAGAAACTTAAGGAGCACAGACGGGAGAGCACAGGACATAAGAAGGACCCCTAGTTGATAAGACAACCCCGGTATCTTAACGTCAGCCTTCGGAGAGATGAAGAAGGGAAAACGGTCGTCGGGAGTTAAATTTGATGCTCTCGAGTCTCTCGAGTCCCCTTTGAGCCTCGAGGCGGGTCAATTCACCATGGTTTTAACCCTTTACAGAACAAAGTTTACTTCGAAGTACATTCGTTTTGAAGCAAAACACACTTGGGGTGCCGACAGGAGTCCGGCAGAGTTTCCCTCAGCCACTCCGTCGATTGTACAGCAGACTGTCGCAGTCGCGAAATCGAGACGCGGGCTGGGCTGCAGGAGCAGGAGCAGTGTGCAGTTAACCCGGATTGCCTTTGCATACGTAGTGGAGGTCTGATGCGGGAAACCTGTACCTGGCATTAGGGCACCTTAATGGCCGCGTGAATGTTCCAAATTTCAAGCCACACGTGGAGGCCGCGGGCGGTCACAGGGACGGCGAATGCAAAACCACTGCGTGTCAATATGAGACGGCGAGATGTAGTCATACCTCTGCGCGATTCTGTCATAGCTCGATGCGATGCTGAGAATAACCAGACCTATCAACGCGTGGAAGGGTATAAGAATTGAGGCAGGGTTCGTTATTCCGGCTGGGCTCATGGATGTTGGGGGGTAGAAAGGGTTCAAGGAAAAGTGTCACTAGCAGCGTAGTAGCAGGACAAGGTTTCCTGTGGACTCAGTGCGAGACGGCTAACGTTCACTCGCTGCAGCAAAAAGTCACCGCGGCCCCGGCTCTGCCTTCCTGGTCCTTGCTGGGAAGAAGTCTTCACTCCACTTACAGACGTCTGTGCGGACGCGGTGGGAACGGTGGGCGTGAGCCTTGGATGGTGAGATGCGCGTGGAGTGTGTTTTTCTCCGTCTTGTTTCTCTCATCGTTCACTCACTCACTTACTCACTCCCCTTGACGATCTGCTTCACGACACTGCTATTGTTATGCCATCATTGCTTTTGCAGCCGCGGTGATCCTGACTCTGGCTGCATCTGCAGTCTTCCATTTTTCTTGCTATCATTTCGACACAAAAAGGCCTTGTTTTTGTCCCCATATCGAGATGGAATCCTGCACATAAGTCGGCCTCGTCCCATGCTATGCATCCTGCCAACCATACATTCATTACACGAAGTTTTGCTTTATGACTTATCGTTTTCGACTAGAGACTCAATTGCCCATCATTTGTTGCGCATTTATTATTAGCTTTTCACCTGCACGCTCACGGCTGCTGACCTGACCCCTCTACGACTCGAAACACACACATTCTCTTATTCGGGCGCATGCGATTTGCGAAAGGACCCCAGATCTGCAGATCCGGGATCATTTGTTTCAAAACATACCGAACCTCACTGGCAGAAGCACCTCATATATTCGGCCTCTTGCAATGGCTATTGCCAATGACGATCGCTCCTTCATGGAGCTTGACCCTCCCGAGGGGTTTCAAGCCCTTCAAGACAGATTCTCTTTCAATCGTCGCACACGACCACCCCCAATGGATATTTCTGTAGGAAACATAGGTGGAAGTAGGGTGCCATTGAGACAACCAAAGATACAAAGGAAGGATTCAAAGGGTGGACTGCGGGGGATGTTTACTCGCACCAAAAACGAGAAATCGGCAGTCTCGCCTGTTCTTGAGGAAGCCCCCGCGTCGGCAATGTCAGAAAGGACTATGACGGCCGTGGCTGAGGCCAGTATACCTCGAAGTATGGATGTCCCAAGAACGAATACTCTTCCCATACCAAATACACCTGCTACCCCAGCGAGACCGACAAATATGGGATCACGCATGAATCTGAGAGCAAAGTCGCAGAGATCGGTGAAAACTGGAAAACCAAGTCCCAAATCCTCAAAGTCTTCGACCAAGTCTTCGCCGAGAAGACCTCCACGGACTTCTACAACATGGGATCCGCCTCCCCTTTTTCAAGCCTACCCTCAAGCTATAAAACACGCTACTCTTTCCGCGTCTACACTTTCAAGTGATGCTATACTCCGTATGAGCAATCACAAAAGAACCAACAGTCTCAGAGACGAAATTGCCCAGACTGGAAGTATCGACGGAGCAGATCAGAATGGCGTTGCTAAGAAGTCGGACAAGGCAAAAAGTAAACATCGAAGGCAGATCTCTGGCTCCATCTCAAAAGCAGAATGGACTCAGAAGATTTTTGTCCTCGTGACCTCGGGTTATTTACTGCAGTATTCGGGGGAAGGCTCTTTCGATCGACTGCCGGAAAAGAGTAAGAATTTCTCCACTATCGTTGATTTTATGGACAATCTCTTCTTGCATGTGTTGACTAAGTTCTCGAGAGATGTCCACTTAGAGCAACTTTTTCTTTTAAAAAATACTCTGGCAAGACGCTGACTTCTTTTTGCAGTGTTACAATTGGGGAGGGACTCTGTGGCTTTTGCCAGCGACGTTATACCTGGGAAGCATTGGGTCTTGCAAATTTCTCAAGCAATGGACCCTGACGGTAAGCAATCATTCCTCACACACAGAACTGTTACTTCAAATTATATTTGGTGGATCAGCTCCCCTTTATTAGACTTTTCGACAAGTGCATTGAGCGGATTTCTGGCTTGAAAACATTTGAGACTGACTCTCCTCAGGCACACCAGCTTCAGACTCACGGTCGTTGCTCTCAAGGCTTGCTTTTAGAGGGGCAGATTATCGCAGAACGGCAACAAGCCTCTTGCTAGTTTTGAACAGCGCTGAGGACATGGATTCGTGGTTAGCAATCGTACGAAGGGAGATTGAGGCATTAGGAGGCAAGAAGCACGTCTCGGAGACCGGAAAACCCAAACCAGATGACAAGATTATGCAACTCAAAGCACAACCAAGTCATCGATACTTGGTTGCCAGAGATCCAGATCAGTTTTCTAATCCAGCATCCCCACAACTGCCTTCCTTTGGTCCACCTCCTTGGGTGAAAGAAAAAGACGATGAACTCCAGCAAAGACTAGAAGAAGCAGTTTCTGCTATGAATCAACCACCATCAATACGGCCATCGACAGGACATCAGTCCATGACAAATAGCATCGCGTCCCAGGATGGACGGCAACTGGACAATTTGAGAGACAGCAACAGATTTTCATACATGTCGTCTGGTCAAAGAACGTTGATCACTTCCCAAGGTTCATCGCCAGCCACATCACCTACACGGAACAGTGCTCCCAGCTTTGATGAGACCCCAAAAGTATCGATAGAAGATATTCGGTTGAGACCCAATGCTTCTGCGATCAACGAACGCAGAAGATCCATGCAGACTATGCACATTCCGATACTTGAAGCACAGCCAAACCCGAAAAGTTATCGGCATTCTACTTATGCAGGAACAGCAAGAACGGCCCGAAGCCACTCCCCTGGGACGCCAAATTTCAGTGTTCCGAACTCATCTAGCAAGCGCTTCTCAACAATGAAGATTGCTACAGCTGACACCCCTCCACTTCCAGCCATAGTAACCAACATCCAAAGTAGACCGAGAGACTCCATTCTCAAAGGGACTCGAAAGGCACCTCCAACAGCCCTTAATGTGACACGACCACTGTCCCCAGTGAAAGATTCCACTTCTCCGAAGCAAACACCCAAGAAAACCCCGGTGATCATCAAGCATCGAAATTCAACCTTTGAAATGTTGCAAACTAAACCTACTATTGTTGAAATCCCGCCGCGATCTCTGGGCCCACTCACTCCTTCACCTACGAAGGAGAATGCACCTCAACCGAACCGGCTATCATCTTTGTTGCCACCTAGCTCTCCTGAATTGGAGCAGGCGGATTTCCAGCTTCCTCGGCGTTTCTCAAGCATGCAAGCACTCCGCGACATCCAAGACGCTCCGACAAGAGCAGCACCAATCCCATCTTTTCGACCCCCTCTCTTGCCAGCCGAACAAGTCTCTTCAGACAGCAGCACCAGTACCATCGGCCGAGGAACCGAGACGGAAAGAGCAAGAGATGTGTCATCTCCGCAGCCAGTTTTAGCAAACACGAAAAGCAAAATCAAACGGCCCATGAGCATGCAAAAACCATTACCAGCAACCCCAATATCGCCAACAATTACCACTAACAGCCGCGCCTCAAGTCTCGGAACCCACACAAACTCTTCCCCTCCAGCATCAAGCCGCACATGGCCTTCTCCCGCGAACTCAATGAACCAACCACCCAACTCCGGCCGTCCATTCTCAATCACATCCACAGCATCAAGCGGGACTTTGAACCGCGGCGCTTTATCACCCATTGGAGCACCAGGCTCCTCAATTGTATTGCTAAGTCCTAGTTTACTGCGAGTAAAAGAGCAAGGGAAGACATTGGTAAACAGGAGGAGCATGCCGCTTCTCAACGGGCCTCCACCTGCGCCACCGCCGGACTGCGCGTTACCTCCTCTACCACCGCCCGGGAGCGCGGGGTCGAAGAGCCCGATTGGTAGTAGAGGGAGTTTGAGGATCTGAGTAGAGTATTTTCTTATGTTTGTCTGTATTATACGAAAAAGGGGGAGGGAGGGAAGGAGGGGTAGTTATACAAGGAGCGAGCAATCGCAGGAGGGTCGAATTAAAACGGGTGTATTTTCTTTTTGTATCTTCTTTGTTCAGAGATGTGTTTTAGCGAGCGAGTGAGCGATGCTTAGGCACTTGTATGTGTATACTAAAGAGAAGGTTGGTTATGTGTGTAAGATTTATAAGATGAGATAATGAATAGAAGATATGAATGTACATCACTGAACTGGAAATTTTGGGGTGGATTTGTTTGCGAATTCAATTTGCTAAAGTTGTCACAATGTTTGTGCAGAGGAGAGACTTTGGAAGGTAGTGAATAAGTCTCCAAGATTATGGATATATGTGGTATCAAAAACCGCTAGGACAAAGGACCAAATGACGGACAATCTTCTTCGATAAATACATGAACTTGAAAGCGTGCAGAATTTCTAGACCAATATCCAACAATTCAAAGAGTGGAATGAATTTCGGGTAGTTTAAGGTAGTGTGATAGTGCTAAACCTGTCCTGGTTTCAATACGCTATGAGGTGTTATTGTGCCGCCTTCCCCGTTTCTCAGATCATCTACTAGAGAAGTGATGCTCAAGGCTGCACAACTTCAAACAGTAGCAGTATATTAAAGTTGTTGAAAACGGCATTAGCAGGATTTATTGACGCCAAAATATGTCTTGGAGATTAACAGAGACGTCCCTATAATACACGTTTCTTTTGCCTATCCAGCCCATTTTCACGCTTCCCCTACCCCGCAATCAAACTTCCTAGTCCTCATCAAACACTTCCTCGACCCTCGGAGCTAGGTTTCTGTTTACTGGAGCTGAGGTCTGCATTTGAGGTGCCGCTGAGGTGGTAGTCGCTTGTGCTGGGAGTGGTTGTCCTGTCATAGCTGCCATTGTAGCGCCTGCGTTTGCAGACCCAGATGCCTTCGACTTCTTCTTTCCTTTCTTCTTTTCCTGTTGAAGCTGTTAGATTAATGCTAGGATAGAGGGAGAGAACTGTATCTGACCTCTTGCCAACCCCATAACGGTCTGAAACTGTCAAAGAACCCAACATCCTCGAAGAGATTCGGGTACAACCACAATCCAGGTGGGACAGCGAAGTACGTGATGCAAAAGAGAATAAGTCTGAAAATCGCCATCACGAAGAATAGACCAATGAGTCCCAGCATACCCATACTCAGATACCAAACACCGAGTCTCATCTTGATGGGCCAAAGTGGGAACATGACAATCGCAAATACAACTGCCAGCGCACCAATAGCGTATAGCTTTTGTTTGAGTTGCGCGCCCTCGTAAAGCCAGACAAAGTGTAGTTCTTCTCGGCATTCTTGCTGTTGCTCGATTTTGACGGTCCAGAGACCCTTCACCCGCTTGGTTTTGTGCGCTCCTGGTGCATGGTCGTGCCCCTCGTGAGGATCGACTTTGGAGACGCGGAGAGCGAGGAGGGACATGGGAAGGAGCTTGAATGTATTTTCGAGGGACGCGCGGTCGGTGATTTCGGGGAGCAGAGGATTCTTCTTGCGGGCTTTGGTATATGCGTCTGATTGCAGAGCTCTGAGAGCACGCTTCACTATTTGGCTTGTGAGGGACTGAATAACACATTGGCAAGGAGTGGCTTACCCTTGAACATATCCTTTCTTTGCCCGTTGAGAATACATGTTCTCGGCTTTAGATCTTGGTTCTTCAGGAAGTTTGCAACAGCGAGAGCTTCTGGCTTCGGAGGGCCAGGTTGAATAGGTTGCGGCTGTCCTTGTTGCGGTTGTCCCTGCTGTGGTTGTCCACCCTGCTGTGCGGCTTGCTGGGCTCTTTGTTGAGCCATCTGCTGTTGCAGTGCTTGTTGCTTCAATTTTTCGACGAACTCTTGTACTGACATTCCATTCTTTGCTGCATCGATGGCCAGCTGTCTTTGCATCGCCTGGATCTGCTCAGGCGTAGGTTTCTGTCCTGGCTGAAGTTGAAAGGGCATTCCAGGGGGACCTCCCTGCGGTGCTTGAGGGCCAGCGCTCGCCATTATCGAAGATATTGTATGTACGTTGTGGAATGTGGAGGCGGAAGAGTGTCTCTTTTTCTTATGTTCAAGGCTGAAATTATGTGTCCAAATGTTAAACGCAACCGTGGTATTTCGGGATTAGCCACTTTGTGGCGTAATCCGAGCATGGTCTGGGGTCCGGCATGTCATAGCTCCTTCTCCTCCGATTAACCTCGATGCGCTAAAAATAAGTCTAATGGCAACGAAACACTTATAAAGGTCTTCTGATATTCAATGAGGGTACATTGCATTCATCTAGTCCTTTCGAAGACTTTTGACTTTTGTCTCTATTAGCCTTCTACATCCAATTGCTCCTTCGGATTATGGTCTGGGATGAGCGTCTGCCTCATACATGAACATTGCTTCCGGCTGCTCCGACGAGGTTCATTCGATGATGACTTAAAGTCAATGTCAGGATTTGGCGAGGACAATGAGTGAGAATTATTCTCTGGGGCCAGGAGTTGAGCCTCAACCTCCATACACGACTGTTTTCCTCGTATGAAGATCCTCGTTACCCCCAGTCCTGACCCACGTGCTAAGGTTCCGTCTGTAGTCGCAAAGAGACTTGGGCCTACAAGTCCCAATTAACTATGTTACAACTCCGGGGGTTTCTTTCACTGCGGCATGTTTTCCGACTCTTCGATTTGAGGATGATAACTCCGCCGATTGCTTCTCAAATCTTCTCGCTTCTGGATTCCGTAGATTCGAGATAGACTTGTATTGGGACCAGGGAAGGAAAGTATGGTCTTTTTGTCCTGTTGAAATACCATCCTCGGTCCAAGACGCTGCCCCTTCCTCGACGACTACCTTGAGTTTCTCTTCGACTTCTCTGTTCAGTAGAACTTCAGCTTCTGAGTCTACTGCGGGATTCACCTCACCCAGTGTCGCCTCCTCGACTTCTGGAAGCGAGAGTAGAGTCACTGCACGACAGGTACTATCTAGTACAGATCCGAACGCAACGGCTATTTTCGCCGCACAATCATCCAGTACCTCTGGGTCGTCCCTGGGACAGACATTACCGTCAATTGCACTTCTACCTAACATATCCAACGAACCTTTGATATCTATAGGCCCGTTTGTTTGCACTACGACTATCAACCTGTCTACTCTTGCAACTCAACTTTTGGATTACATACAAAAAACTCAGACCACTCTGAGTGCCAGTCTCCTATACGTCACTATCAACCTTCATGCCGCTGCGTCCCCTTCTTCACCAGATTCTCCTGCTCCAAGTCCGTCCACTTTGCCTACTTCGTCGGATGCCATTAGCACAATATTCCAGGCGAATCTCTCCTCATTCCTGTATACGCCAATCAATCTGAGAGATGAGCGAGCAAATCTTAACGGCTCTTGGTACCAGGTGAGTGAAGAATACCGGCCAGTCTCTGACTACTACGTGACGGAGACCATCGCAAATGACATCGTCACTACGGAAGATGGATGGCCCTCAGAGAGTTACATTGAGTTCTCTAAAAGCAAGCGTTTATTGTTGGGGTGGGGCAGTATTGATCCGCAGATGTCTGGATACAATTTTACTCTTGATACCGGGACGATCTTTCCAAGTGGCTACATCCAAGAGGTTCAGACCGACCTGAACACGACCAGCGAAGGCAGATTGACACGGGGTTGCTTCCTTCGCAACTCTACCGAGAATTTGGCACAAATCAACTCGTCTTGGGCTGTTGCTACAGATCTGGCGGGATTCGCTTATCCCACAGGCAATTCTTCAGATCTCTTTCCTCTTCTCAACCTAACAATGAACGAAACCAGCTGTGGCATATCCCCTATCTTAAATGTCACTCTGCTCAATGCCACAGCTCACGACAACTACGTACCCTACCAAAATTTCTCCTATGCAACTATATGGTCCTGGGCACCAGGTGAGCCAAAAACCTACAACGGAAGCGACAATGCCTCGCTCTACCGCTGTGCAACATCCAACGTGGACCTTTTCGGGCATTGGGTAGTAGCAGACTGCTCACAGAAATACTACGCCGCGTGCCGAGCCCAAGATGAACCTTATAACTGGACAGTCACAACCTATCCCATCTCGTACGGTTATGCAGACCAAGCATGTCCAGACGGTTACTCCTTTACCGCACCTCGAACGGCACTTGAGAACACCTTTCTCAGCCAAGCCATGGAAGATAACCATCGAGACTATGATGGTCATGGAGCGTGGGTTGATTTCAACAGTTTGGACGTGAAGGGTTGCTGGACGACGGGCGGACCGAATGCAACATGCCCTTACAGCGCTACCTTGGCACAAGAGGATGATCTCAAAAAGAGAATTATTTTGGTAAACTCAAGTTTTCTATGGCAAGAGAAAAGAGTACTAACGAGTCAAGGTTCCTACCGTTGCAGCAATTATCGTGTTGATTATTACTGCTTTGACAGTTTTTGTAAAGGCGGCTGGAAATAGGAAGACTAATAAACGAAGGAAAAAGCGGGCGGATAATGGGTATATATATGAGGGTGTGCCGTCTTAGTATTCAGTGCAATTGGAAAAGGAGCTCAAAGGCGTCAAAAAGAGGACGACATTATGAGAAAGGAATTCGGTCTGGGTTGTATGATATAGAGCAGGACTTCTGCTAGAAGTGTCCAATGAATGTTGTGTAGTATTCGGGAAAACAGAACCTCCATGTATGAATTAGTAATAGTAACTTTGGGTTGTCCGAGCAGCTTTAATTGTTAGTGTACTGTACAGTGAAATCAAGAGCGCATCGCATCCCATCTAATTTTGAAAAGAGCATCCAAATTGATTCCTATCAACGAATTCCCAATTACGCCATCCTTATGTCCATGCCAATGTACCCCCTATCACGAGCTGTGTACTACGCTTTCCTTATTCCACGACGCCAATAACCCATATTTGGTATCCGCACCGAACAGAATTTCTAATGATGAACACCGGCTCCAACATCATCTTCACTTACAACACTGCCGACTTCGGTCCATGTACCTGGTGTACTGACACCTTCACCATCCACACTCATGACATCTGCTTCGCTCGTAGCTCCACTTCGTGGTGCCCAGATTTCCTCGCCTGAACCAGCCAGGGAGGCAGAGTCTGTTGGTGTGGCGAAGCCGCTTCCTGGAACTGAAACATCAGGATCACTGAAAGTAGGTGAGCTAGGACGCACTTCCTGCTGCTGTGGGGTGATGGCTCCGGGAGTGACGGGAAGCGGAGAGTAGAAGCTGTGGTTTGCATTGTCTGCCCAAGCATGAATGGACGCATAAGCCGAGTCGTCTCTATCTGCCGTTGCCATGTTGGTGAAGTTCGTTGTCTCTCCCATGAAGTGATCTTCCATTGTGGGGAAGGAAACCGGAGGATCCGGTACAGGGTCATCGGAGGTATCAATCAACTGTTCAGCGATGGTGGCGGGAGTCTGACGAGATGGTCTTGGGTCTTCATTCGCAGAGTAGATATCCGACATCATTTCTTCCCTCTCAGACATGTCGGGATCCATCAGGCTTGCGTCGATAGCTCGCTGCTCGTCCATCTCGATGTTGTGCTCATCGCCGAATGGATTGGCATAGAAAGACCCTCTGTTCAGACCTTGGACACCTCTGTTTCGGAGCCCTTCCGTCTGATTTGTATCGGTCCCGGTATTGTAGACGTATGTTCCTTTCTCGCCTGATGGGTCCTCGTGAAGGAAATCATCGAAGCTCGATCCACGACTTCTGTTCTCAGGTCGAGTTCCATTCATCTGTCGTTCTTTCTCCTTCTTCTCGAGGTGAACAGCATTCCAGTACATCAACTCCTCTCTCTGACGTTTCTTTGACTCCTCATCTGCGTCGATCCCTGGGTCTGCACCAGCTTGGCTCATCAGGAATCCTTCGGCATCCTCAGGCCGGTTGAAACGAGGCTGCCTAGACTGTGGATTGATTTCATCGCCGAGAGAATGGAGGGCAATTGCTATCTTTCGACGGACATCTTCGGCAAATTGTCGTGCTTGTGGGGATTCGTAAACAGCTATTGCGGCCTGCATATTGTTAGCAGGTGGTCCAACGAGTAGAGCATGGGAACTTACAGCTGCGACAATGGAAACAGCTACAACGACTCCTACGGCGGCAGGGTTAGGAGGCATTTTGTACAAGTTTGAAAGAAGTTTGACTAAATGCGATGAATCGAATGGATGAAGAAGAGGTTCGCAAGTTTATGAATGAACTAGGAACTTGAGGTGAATCAAGTTGCTGCCTCGAGGATTGCGAAGCACAACGCCACCTTGATCTACATCGGGGATAACCTGATAGGCGAATCACATCATGGGACTTGCTGGTGGGCGGTACGCACCTTTAACGACAACGGCTGGCATTTTTAGACCTGACTCCTGTTGAATTGAATGTTAGGAAAAGACAAAGAAAGGAACGGAGGAGAAGAGGTGGGTGTGAATAAGTTAAGTAAGGGCGGAGTGACGACGACGATATATTGCGAGGACCCCACTATCTTTTTCGATAAGAAGGCCACAGTGTGGCTTGGGGTTGTGGCGTCCGCGTCATGAAAGCTTCATTTTCAGACTCATGTTCATTTATGCTACAACTCGAGTGTTCGCCAAGAGGGTGTTAATCCTCCAAATCTGACTCCAAACCTGAGTTCCGGTGAAAGGGGTTTGGCTTTTGTTTGTTAAATGTCAATTGTAGAAATCAACTTGTTACGATTGTTTAAAAGTAATAGCTGAATAGTGCACCACATGCTTGGGAGTAGAATACCCCAAAAATCGGAACATACGAAAATATTGTTCCAGATTTTGCGGAACAATTTAAGTGGGAAAGCAGATTCTTCGAGATAAAAAGAAAAATATATCGTATTGTACATCGCTTTTGCATATTTCGTCCGGCAAATCTAATTCACAATTGGGACATATATTGTCCCACAAACTCTAGAACAATATTATCTATGATCCAATTTCTGCAGTATCCTGTGCTGGATGAATCGAGTCCATGTGCCTGCGACACGAGCAAGAGTACAACTGATCAAGAGCATGAGCAGTATCCACCTGTTACGTTGAAAGGTCTTAAAATATGGTCACATGTCCGTTGTCCCCCTTTTTCTTGGAGCTATTGTAGCCTCGCTTCGGAAAGATGAGGCTCGCATCGTCGTTGGAAAGAAGGGAATTCTTCGCCCGGCAGGTACTATGTATCTGGGCGGTCTTCTATTATGTTGCACGCCCCGTTAAGACCCGAAGACCGTCTCACCATATCGCATCTGCCAATAGTCACTACGGCGCATTTCTCAACCTCAAAATTGACATGCCCATCCTAGGTGAAACTGCCTCGCCAGAACGCCATCTGTCGTGTTAGGAAATGCCTGTGCTTGAATGTTTTGTCGAATTTGGGTTCGGCGTCTTACCTGTAGGGCGGGTGTGACGGGATTTAAACTTTATCGGGATTATGAATCGTTGAGCACTGTTGAGTACTCGGATCATAATGGTGGGAGTTCGGATGCAACATGACATAGTTACGGCCTTGTGTCAATATGTGTCGGGAGATGGTCATACAGCTGAGCGGCATTTGAAGAGCTCTTGGGTGATCAGATAATCCCCCGGAAGGAGGTATAAGTACCAATCTCTCACCTCATGGGACATCCAGTAAGCAACTCATAATCCATTGAGTCTTCAAGCCCTTGTTTTGGCGATTGCCACATAAGTCCTCACTTCCAACATGCCTTCACGTATGACATTGGAGGAACAGCTCTATGAAGCTATGCGAAATGGGAAGGGACTGCCATTCAACATCACCACTGGTGGAGTGAAATACAAAGCCGTGCTGCAGCATAAGGACGCTCGGTGGGTTTAATCCTCTGGATTGATGGCATGAAATTTCTAACAGAGAGAAGTGACCGCAGTACAATCTATTCTAGAAGTAGCACTAGCGATTCTTCAAACTCGTCGTCCAGGTCTTCATCTCGAGGTCCACAACAGGTTGCTAAAGATGCAAAACGTTAGGAAGGAACATAATAAATACATTGCTTTTTAAGCCAGGCGTTGATGGATGGTGTTTTGGAAGGACTAATTTTTCGATCGAAAATATAGAAGAGGTAGAAACGGAAATGTAAAAGAGATGTGAACATAAAAATCAGTGCAGCTTGCGTATCGCGAGTTCTGTGTAGAGAGAATATAAACATTGCTAAATATGATAAAACACCCTGCCAATGCTCCTGTAATGCTATGCCCTTGATCTTATGCTGGCTGGTATCATGTGTATGAATCGCTGCAGTTGCAATGGAATTTCGTTTACTCCTCCTTTGTGGTTGGCGTTGAAGGGTCTTTAGGAAGCTTTGGTGTGCTTGCGTCCTCTTTCTCAACAAGGACGCCCTCCTCATCCTTGTTTTGCTTGCGTTCCTTTTCCACGGCTTCGGAATAATCACCCCAAAGCTGTTCAACTGGTCTCCCAATTAATTCGGTCCAGAATCTTTTCTCTTCGTATCTCACTATTCTCAGCTTCTCGTTCATCCTTCGAACGGTACCTGCACTGAATCTCTGCTCAAGGTATTCGAGGAAGTATCCAGTATGCTGATAACCTGCATCCCATTTGCCTGTGGCCTCTTTCTTCCAATGTGGCGGACTGAGGTCAGCGTTCAAACGCACCCAATCTGCGATACCTTCAATCAGGCCGCCAGGACATGTTCCAAAAGCATTATATTGATAGCAATGTACCATTTCGTGCGTCAGAACCCCCATGATTTCGTCTTTCTTCCTGGAAGCTGCTATTCCATTGATGTAGTCGAGGGAAAAATGTATCTCTTTGTGGTCAGAATCTAAGTCGCTGCCAGTGGTATATGCAACGCCCTCCATGGGTCGTAGTATAAGTGTTACAGATCGTGTTGAAGGTACAGTCGTTGTAGGTGAGTCTGGAGTATGGTATAGCAGAGATAGAACACTTCGAACCGAAGTCGCTAACGCTTTGCTTGCAATGACAGCAGTGAGAAATACTTCGGCACCTTCATGGTTCAGGTCTCGTATCTCGAGTCGAAGTTTGGGGAGGATGAACTGAGGAGTCTTCGAAGACGCAGTCTCCTTCGCTGGCGAGTTCCGAGTGACTGGGGGTTTCTGAGAAGCTGGAGGAAGTGGTGTTGCAGACGGAGTGGGAGCTTCTGTTCGGGAGGATTGAGCCGGCATGAATACCAGAGGTGGAAGCGGGCTTGTTTCGGTCATTTCAAAGATCGCGTACGGATCACACAAGCGCAATTGTTCAAATGCTTCATAAACGGACAACTTGCGAGAGAAATGTGAATCGTTACGTGGCGGGCACTATCGTCGACGAAATAGCTAATCCTTGCCGACCCCTGGGCTATCTTAGCGCGTTTTTGTTCTACGTACAGTACAGCCGCCCGCATTGATTTGTTTACATACTGGACAACCGCACAACACATCGATAGTTTCCGAAAATGGCTGGTGAGAAGATCAATGAAGACCAGGTCGCGAATCTGGTACGTTAGATTCTGCCCTTGTTTTTGTTTTCATCTAGGAGCCAAAATCTTCACGATCCTCGAGAGCTGCTCCTCAAAGAAGAGGCTGTTTCAACTCCTCGAATGAGCTCGTCGGCTCCTAGGTTACTGTCAAATGTGTATACTGATTTGACAATAGCTGGCTGTCTTGCGGACGGACGCGCCTGCAGACGTCAAGGTTGGCTTGATCAATGGTTGCAAGAGCAGCATAAAGCAGCACTTCGTCCCGGAACTGTGTATTAACCCCCTCTTCGAAGCCTCGCGCATATCAATGACCTCCCAACACGCTGCTATTGTCAATGCTGGCTTCTCTACCCTAAACCACCTCCTCACGAGACTATCACGACAAGAACCGAAGTATGTTGTGAGGGAAGCTGCACGAACATTGCCTTTGGTGATTGAGAAGTTGGGAGACCAAAAGGAGAAATATAGGCAATTAGCAGCAGTATGCCTGACTACTTTCTGGAAACAGGCCCCGATGGATGTCGAAAGAATAGTCAAGAATGCTGGTATGGTAGGAAAGAATGCACGGATGAAGGAAGCCTCGATGAATTGGGTTGTACAAGTACATTATCCCCTCCAGACACTATTGTCAAAATGCTAAATATGGGCGCAGATGCATCAAGAACATGGTATGCAATTCAAGCCCTTTGTTATGACGTTTATGGATCTGCTCGAGGATGCAGATGGCATGGTCAGAGACACAGCAAGAAATTCCGTCATTGCACTATTTCAGTATGTATATGATTGGAAGTCTTTCCATAATTTCTGTTAATGAAACCCAGAAATGCTCCCAATGCGGCAAAGTCAGACCTCAAGAAGCAACTGAAGAACTTCAATGTCCGGCCAGCGATAGTTGCAGCTATCATGCCACACCTAGGCCCAGGCGGAGCACCTGAGCCTGTTGAGCAAGAGATTGCTGAGCAACCGTCAAGACCAACCTTCTCCAATAGTGTTTCATCAATGTCTAGTATTCGACCTACTACTCCAACAATCGAAGCAAAAGTTGAACAAGTTGAGCCTTCCTATGTGAATACCGCAAGGGAGTTGGAAGACATCTTCAGGGACATGCATCCATACTTTGAAGGGAAGGAATCAGAGCAGAATTGGCTGAAGAGAGAGCAAAGTTGCACAAAATTACGAAGACTTAATGCAGGAAACGCGCCTAGCGACTTTCACGATGTATTTCTCGCCGGCATCAAGGCACTTTTGGATGGAATCTTGAAAGCGGTCAATTCCTTGAGAACCAGTCTTTCGAAAGAGGGATGCAGTGTTGTTCAGGAGATTGCCCGGACTGCTGGACCTGGATTGGATCCGATGGTCGAATTACTGCTCCAGAACTTGATCAAGCTATGTGGTGGCACGAAAAAGATCAGTTCTCAGCAAGGAAACGCAACCGTCGATATCATTATCAGCAAGGTCTCGTACACGAACAGAATTATGCAGCACATTTGGATGGCTTGCCAAGATAAGAATGTCCAACCTAGAACGTATGCCACTGGGTGGCTAAAGACTTTACTGAAGAAGGAAGCTCATCACAAAAGCCACATCGAGCACACTGGCGGGCTGGAGTTAATTGAGAAGTGTGTCAAGAAAGGTCTTGCCGATGCGAACCCAGGAGTTCGAGAAAACATGCGATCCACTTATTGGGCTTTCTCTTTAATGTGGCCTGCTAAAGCAGAGGCGTGCGTAAACTCCCGTTTCTGTTTGGACAATACTAATTTTGCACCCAGGATCATGGCAACTCTTGACGCAACTCAGCAGAGACTCCTTGAGAACGCACCAGACAATCCAAACTCTCCCAAGAAAGCTGAAGTGATTGCTCCTCGACCCGGAATGGGATTCTCCAAAAGCACCAGTGGCCCGCCAAAACCCTCTTTGAGAGAAACCATGCTGGCCCAGAAGAAAGCTGCAATGGCAGCAACCAAGAACCTTCCTGCGAGACCGGGTTCGGCCATGTCTACCTTTTCGCCAATGCGAACTGTTTCTTCGTCTTCCACAGCTTCCGCTGCCTCTGATGCACCGATGAGAGCTCGACCAGAATCTACAACTGTAGCTCACGGTGGTTTATCTGTTGCTCCAATGCGACCAACAAAATTTCGCCCCGCTCCACGTCCAGAATTGACTGCGAGACCAGCAACAGCAGGACCCTACTCTGTTAGACGTCCTGCTCATGGACCCAGCAATAGTGACACAAACACGAGTCCGTCTACTAGAGTACCGAAGGCTCGAACACCAAGCGCCAGCAGTACTAGCCCACCAAAGAAAGTGCCTCAAAGACCGAACACGAGTCATTCTAGTCATGCCAGCCAATCTAGCCATGCCAGCCCTGTGAAAAACACTATCAACAGAGTCGCACCTTCTCCGAAAGCCAGTCCAGTGCGACCAAAGCCTTCGATGAGAAATCTTCCTTCTTCAAGTCCGTCCAAAGCTGACGAAGACTTCACTTTGGTGGTTCCAACTCTTACAGGATTCAAGGACTCCCAGGGCAAGAATCTACCGCAGACCACTGAAGATTCAGATGAGGACGATATCGTGACACCGCTGAAGTCCATGAAGGTTTACGAAGACCCCTTTTCAAGTACAGATGATCAGACAACTCCAAGACCAGCAATTACTGCGCCAGTCCTAGAAGAGGTTGCGGTCAACGAAGACGCTGCAACTATGGCCAGAAATGGTGTCAATGGCATGAATGGCACAGTTGGAGTCGATTCTCCTAAAACACCAGCAATGTCACCAGAAAGATTTAAGCAGAACTCTCGATTATTAGATAGCGGTATCGCCAAGATTAAGGCCAAATCACTCGATGTCCATGGGTTCCGGAAACTTCAAGCAACGATCAGAGATAACAAAGCAGCCTTTTCCGACGACAAATTCGATGCATTACTCCTTGGTCTATTCGATTATCTCGAATCACCCTTGACTTCTCTTCCAGCAGAGAAGGTCCAAGATGTCAAGGCTCAGATCCTGGCCACCATCAAACTTCTGTACAAGAAGGACCGCGAAGCATTCCGACCACATGTTCCCAAAGGTTTGGGCTCTCTGTTGGCAACGCGCAGTTGCTATGATGCACGAGCACATATTGTCAGTGGTCTTGAACTCTTAGCAGACGAGCTCGTCACCCTCTCCAATCCTCAACAAACAACGCACACCATCACTTCCCGCCTTGCAAAGGAGGAAATGTCACTCGAAGGCTGCCGTACTCTATCCATGGGTCTCCACGTCCTCAAGGAACTCCTCGACGTGAGAAAAGACTTCATGCCAAGCGATCAGGAAGTGGTAGGCATGTGTAAATTAGCAGCGAGATGCTTAGAGAGTGCAGAGAGTGGGGTCAGAATGGATGCTGTACAGCTCTGTGTCAGTGTCCATGCTCGAGTTGGGGAAAACCGGTTTTGGGAGGCCCTTGGCGGAGTGAGGGATGATCCCAAGAGTCTGATTACTTATTACATTGTGAAGAGGCAGAGGGAGGTTGCTGTTGCTGCTTCGTGAGGCTGTTCTGGTCAAGCAAGGAGGCTACGGTATGGATGGGTGGCTCTGTGTATCAAAAATTCCTGTTCTTGTTTGTTCTTGTTTTGCCGTACCTGGAAGATTTTGAGATAGGGGGACCGGAGCACGGAGTGAGGCGTTGTTTATCCTATCCGTCCGTCTGTTTGGTTGGTTGTTGGGATGTGCATTTCCATTCGGCGTGGTTTTTCTTGGGTGGTAGGTAGAAGTGTGTAGCTGAATAGTAATGCAATGCAACTGGAAAAAATTTATCCTATCCTGCCCTGTGCTGTCCGATTTGCTTGCTGTTTTGGGTGCTCACTACCTTTGCAGCATGCAGGCGGTAGAATCTCCCATTCGTGGGTTTCGGGAGTAGCTGAATGAATGCCACGTGGAATTTGGACGAGTGTAGGTATTTTTGGGTTTCAGGTCTTGGTCCTTTCTTTGGCGAGGTGTAAGTGAGTAAGCTGAGAGTGGTAACGTTTATGCTTGATGATGATGCGTGGCATGGGTCCGCCAATGCCCCTGAAAAACTTGCAGTCTCTGGGTCAGGTACGCGAGTGGTAGTTCAATCGCCTGAGGGCAGTCCGACTTCCGTGCATTTCTCGTGTTTATGGTTTTGTTACGTTACTTTACTTTCTATGAATAGGAATTACCTCGGAAACAAGAAAGCTCGGGTAAGCTGACAAGTCTACTTTGCAATTTCGACGATTCTTTCAAGTCACGCGATACGAGATATCAAATAGATGAAGGCTTCGTAAATTTCTCGTCTGAATCACTGTACGCATGATGAAGTATACAGCTGAGTGATGTTTATTAGTCGGAGACCAGCAGCATTATGAGCCGAAGATCGTCGGCCCCTGAAGTAATATCATTCGGTTCCGATCACCGTTTCCGAATGTCCTCGCATAAACGTGGACTTGATTGCAGAGTGGTCATAGTTTATGCCTTTGCGAGATGTGCCATCTGATATCTGCCTCGTCAAGACTTTCCTGCTGACGAGTGTCTGAGAGGCTATGCTGTGGTGTTGCATGAAAGAGACACTTGGATATCTTGACGAGTGTCCAAGAGCATGGACGTCGATAGACGACGAGACCTCAGCCTGACGTTTGTCTGTGCCATGAGATCGCCGGACAATAACGATCGAGCGAAGTCTTAAGATTGACATACCCTGAGATCTCGACTGTTGAAGCCACGCAGCACAGACATGACACCTGGATGGGACTCTGCCTGGGCCTGGCTAAGTACTTTGCGAGACTGTATTACCCACACGTGATGATTTTCCGATGAAGGTTTCAAGTAATCTTTTTAAGATCATGACTTTCAAGGGCTCCGAGAGCTCGGCGGGCACTGCAGGTCGATCGACAGGCAGGCGCGGAGGGGTCTAGGTCGTTTCGGGATGGCGCAAGCGATTTGAATTTGTCTGCGGCAGGGGCGTCGGCTCATAAAGAGATCTCGTTGGACTTTTCACATCCAATTGAAGAGACGTTTCGAAACTATTCTGGGTTAGGCATGTGGCGTGGCTTGGGGTGAGCAGAATGTTTGGAAGCTGAATGGACGAGATGGATTTGGACGTGTTTCGGGATTCAGATGATACCATACCAGGCTCTCTAAGAGGCTTAGAGGTTCGAAATTTGGGATTCTGTAATCTTATGGGTGGGGGGAGGCAACGAAACAGCTGAGTGACCGGAAAAGAACGAGTCGTCGAGTCCTCCTCGTTTCATGAGTGAGACCTGTCATGATAAAGTTGGGAAGATGGTGTCAGCCTTAGGGTGGCTCACAATAGGATCGGTGAAAGGTTGAAACTCATCGCTACCAGATACAAGTTGCTCTTTGAACGGGTTCACTGTATATCAAACATCGATCCAACTAATTTGCTGATGTTTGTGTTACTTGTAAACGTCCCATCGGACGAAATCATGCAAACTTTGCTGATTGTTCCTCCAATCTTGGATCTATTTTTTAGCCTTCATCAATCCAGACGAGGTACATGTTGGGGGAAATTGAGTTGTTCCGGGAAAGTTAAATGTTCCTTTGGGATTGTTTGGTGTGGAGTACCGAAGCATGAGGTTGTGTCAAGATATTGCGTTCTGAACCAAGATCTCTTCTCGTGGTTGCCATGATCTTGGAACGGCATACGCAGCTTCGTGATCTTCTGACAAGTCTCCGAAGCATCGAGGGGATACAAAGATTTTGTATCTTCCGGCAGAGTGCACGCTGTGGTTGTTTTGCAATCTTGTGTTACGATATGAGGTGTGTAGGATATCAGCAGATGTGTATAGGTATCGAAGCAAAGAGCAAAGGAAGGTTCAAAGTGATGATTATTACGAGAGCAGCCCCTAACGGTCGATTCCGCACCCACCTGCATCCTTCAGTCCTGTATTCTGTTACAAGTGTCGTTGTTCGCTGCGTTGGCTTGGCCGTATATTTGAAACGGGAGACTTGCATCCTTGCAGCAGCTCTTCTCCTGGTCCTTGTCTCCAGCAGAGAATCCCTACGGAGGACGGCAATCGTTCAAACCTCTTGAGCAACCAAAGTGCCTCAGCATCTCGTGCGTGTGTGCCACCAACGGTGGAGGAGGAGGAGGATTGACAGACTGCTTGTTGCATTGCCTTACTGTACTGCTGCTACTGCATGGATTGTATGTAATTGACTAGCATTCAGGGCATCAGGAACTCAGAAACCCTAAAGGGATCCTCTGGCTCAGGCACTTTTGACTTTTCACTTCCCTGATGCTGCATTAGTACCATCTGGTTGGGGTCTACTACTGTAATTATCTACGAACGAACGCAGCTCCCGCAAGCCATCATCGCAAACCTCGCAAACCAAACCGTTCACCAGTCTCGACCCCTACAATAACACTTCGCTGGTACCATTTTCCATTTCAGACATTTGTGAACAACTTCACCAACCTGATCCAACCCCAACTCGAACTCTAGTCCCGTTTGAGCGTGGTGGAATGTCCTCACACAATCACTCATCAGCCTTCGCCCATCTGCGTACTCAGCTCAACCCACTCCAGTTGCTGATCCCTCATCGACACCACTACGGTGTCGCTCTTCCTGTCCACTCCTCGCCGTCGTCGCCGTCGACCATGCCCGCGGGTGAATCTGATTGCACATAATAATTTATTCTTCATTCACCGTTCTTCTGCTTCCCCCTCCCCCTTTCGTTCCTTCCAGGCCCGCGCATCTCCACTCAATTAAAGATCGCCTCGACTAGCTCCTAGTTCCGAACTTGCGTATTCTCCTGCGCCGACCGTGCACTTACCTTTCTCGTACCCTACCACCGCTTCCTCGACTACGGTAACGTCGAGGAGGGATCGCATCTCCTGCAATTCATGTGCTAATCCATCCACGACGTCGACGACTCGAGAGGTGGGAAGAGCTGCTGGACACAACGGAGAACACAAGGTCGTAAATCGACCTGACTACACGATGGAGTCGCCGGCCGATTACCTCGACTCTCCAATGGACGGAGATGATGTGGCATACCCGTGCAAAGGCTGCGGAGACGTACGTTCGCTCGGACGAAACTGATTGAGCGTGATACTGATCGTGATTCACAGATCTTAGAGGAAGGCAAGGCTTTTGAGCTTGGTAAGTGAAGTCCTTTGTCTCTCTCGAGGCTTAAGCCTCATCGTCCTTTCGAACTCTTACAGCATCGCCATGATGGCCGTTATGGCTCCACCGACGTCCAAGTTCCAGGTCACTAACAATGCTGTAGCTGGCAATCGATGGCATTTGAACTGCTTTCGATGCAATACCTGCGGAACCCTACTCGATTCAGACGCGAATCTTCTACTGTTGGGCGATGGCTCCCTCATTTGCAACAATTGCACATATAGCTGCAGTGCCTGTGGAAACAAGATTGAAGATCTGGCTATCCTCACTGGTGATCAAGCATTCTGCGCGACTTGCTTTCGATGTCGGAATTGCAAGCGCAAGATCGAGAACCTTCGATATGCACGAACCTCACAAGGCATATTCTGTATGAGTTGTCACGAGTCATTGATGGCAAGAAGAAGAAAGAAGTCGAGGGCTGCTGCCAACGCAAAGAAGAAAGACGATCAGTCTCCGATGCTAGTTGATAAATCTCTGCCAGCCTTACCACCCAATGCAATTCTGCAGAGTGCTTTCTCACCGGATCGAGAGACGCCAGATTCACTAGATACAGATACCCCAACAGAGCTGTCTCCCCGTCCGCGGCAGGGCTATGCGCAGAATGATTCCTCGTCACGAAGTAGCTCTCGAAGACCCCAGGATCGGTCGCCTGAGCGAACCTCGAGTGAAGGACCGGGTCGAGAACGAGAAGGCCTCACATTACCAACTACCACATATCGGAACAATCGACACTCAGCTATCTCACAAGCTTCAGATATCAATGGTGGTGATGGGGAAAGCTTCTTTATACCGCTGGCTCTTGACCCAACTCCTTCCCAGAACATGACTCCACGGTCTACGTCCGAGACGTGGGCCGACCCATCCAAGAAAAGCAAAGAGAACAAGGCTCCGGAGAAGGATTACTTTGGCATTTCCAAGAGCAATGGGAGATCAGCAGAGCCGAAATCTAGGGATGCAAGTTCGTCGTCGACACCGCATATCGCGTTCCAAGAGAAAGGGCGCCAGCCTTCTGCGGAAGAGACGGCACAGATCAAGGACAGTATCCGAAAAGCCCAAGCTGGGGGCAAGTCGTCCTCATCTACGAAGGGATCACCTGCTATTGGAAGTGATGACACTCGTGTCCAACATGCGAACTCTCCAAAGACGTCCACTACCAACGGCAAAGCTCCATCCACAAGCGACAAGTTCCGCTTAGGCGAGGTTCCGAAGGGGAAGAAGTCTACAGCTTCAAGGAGCAATTCGCAGTCTGAGATCAGTGACAGCAGTGTCTCTCGTTCTGCATCTGGAGGAGGTCTGTCAGCGCCACCACGTAAAGAAGCTTCGGTTAGCACACCTGTAACAGACTCCCCCAAGCAATTACTCACTACAGAAAAGGCTGGAACCCCGAGGTCTTCGCAAGACTCGAGAACGAGAGATGAGGCAGATTCCAGACCGTCTTTCGATGCTCATAGCCCTGCGATGCCAAAACGAATGGACTCTGGCGGTACCGCGAGGTCGATACCAAGGAAAGAGATAGCACCAGGGGCGGTCAAGAATACGATTAGTTCCATGAGCTCTTCTTCTGGCGCAGAGACATCACCCTCATCTTCATCGTCGTCAGAAACATCTGGACTTACACCGACCGTGAATGGGAAGTCTATATCTGGCCCCTTGGCATTACAATTGCCAGGTACTGTAGGTGAGGATCTGGTTCCACCAAGCCGTGCCCCGAATCGTCCTTCAGCACCACAGCAGAAATTGAGCGACACCTATATGGCACCAAGAGCTCCACCAGCGCCTCCGTCAGCAACCTCACACGGCACGAAGGATTCGAACGCTTCATCTAATGGTCCGCCAAGCTCGCCCAAGCTACCCAGATGGAGCGCGGGCGGGGACTTTACAATGGATGAGGACATGGCTAGGATCTTGGGCACCGATGAAAGCTCTCAATCCATTCTGCGAAGAGTTTCGAATGCTGTTCGCCATGGCAGAAACAACAGCGACATTAGCAATAGCCCGCGTCATCCGACACATGGTCGTAGTGTTAGTGAGACAACTCGCACAACTGCTTCACCACGATGGCCGAAAACACCAATTGCTGAAGATTCAAACGCTGCAGCGAGAGAAATCAGCAGTCCGATTTCAGTCACCTCGCCTGTTTCCAATGACGACCCGGCTTTGTTAAGGAGGCAACTTCGAAACTCAGAACAAAGGGTTGCAGAGCTTGAACGCCGATTCGATAGCGAAAAGGATCTCAAGAATCTGAATAAGAAACTCATCGAGAAGAGAAAGACGGTCTCAGTTCTCGATTCGCAGACGGAAATTATGATCCGGCAGTTGGAAGTTCTTGCGGGATACGTCGAGAGGGCCAAAGACTCGAAAGAGCCAATCAACATTGCGGAGTTGGAAGATTCTGCGATCAAAGAATTTGTGCAGAAGCTGGAACGCTTGAAGCAGACTATGTCTGGCTCGGTGGAATCTCTTTATGAGGAGCGAAACGACCTTCTGGAAGAGAAGAATCAGATCATCGCAGACCGTGACAGAGCTTTGGTGGAATTTGAGCAGCTTTCTTCTAAGAATGCTCAACTTGCTGACATGAACAATGACCTAACTCATCAAATCCAGGAGCGATTCAAAGCCCAGAGTGGGAACAGTATGGACAGCCCGAGACCTCCAATGAATGGACTTGGTATCTATACTCATCACAACAAGGACAAGTCTAATGTCTCGGTGCATCTCGATGAATCAAGTATTCGACCATCGACTGGAACGACCACCCTCATTGGCTCTGTCAATACTTACCCGCAGCCTATGGACCAGGATCCAAGCATGGAACCGGCAACTGTGCTTTCTGCGCCGCATGTGATTAACATTCGAAAGGGTCAAGCTAAGAAGTTCAACTGGAAGAAGGGCGGGAAAAGTGTCGCACAAGGTGTTTCTAAGGGGTTCAAGGGCGCATTTGCCAACATACAACAGGAGCGTCAGCAGCAATGGGCAGGTCAAGTTGGCGATAATATTGGTTTACCTTACAACATGACAATGGCTCCGGTGGAATCACCTGCTGGTCTTCAACCTCCGACCGTTCCACGATCAGTGTCAAATGATCCGTCAAAGCAAGGTGGTGGCTTTGGATTGTTCAAGAGTAGGACAATGCCAAAATCTCTGTCGAATGGGAACGTCCTGGCTCCAGAACATGCCTCGACCCTTTTCGGCTCCGATCTGGTAGAGAGGTGCGAGTATGAGAAGCAAAAGATTCCTATCGTCGTCATGAAATGTATCCAGGAGGTCGAGCTACGAGGCATGGATATGGAGGGTATTTACAGGAAGACTGGCGGTAGTGGGCAAGTCAAGATAATCCAAGAAGGATTCGACAGAGAAGGCGAAGATTGGGATATCTCGGATCCTGATATCGATATCACAGCCGTCACCAGCGTTCTCAAGCAGTACTTCCGGAAATTACCTACACCTCTACTGACTTTCGATATCTATGACAGAGTCTTGGAATCGCTTTGTAAGTTTCTTCTTCGAACCCTAATTACAAGACATGAAGCTAACCCTCCGCCTAGCTATCGAGGATGACAGGGAACGCTGCAATCACTTGAGGCAAACATTTGCCATGTTGCCTCAGAGACATCGTGATACCCTTGACTTCTTGATGTTCCATCTTGGTCGAGTCGCGAAGCGTGAGAGTGAGAACTTGGTATGTATTACCTGGTCTGATTGTGTGATCTCTGCTTATCATTTCACCAGATGACTCCCAAGAACCTAGCTGTTGTCTTTGCACCCACAATCATGAGAGATCACAGCCTCGAGCGCGAAATGACGGATATGCACTCGAAGAACAATGCTGTGCAATTCGTTATCGAACACATCGAACAAATCTTCGGACATCCTCAAGAATGATAGCAATACCTCCCCTCCACGGCGGTATTTCGAATCCAGGTCTTCCACTTCGACTTGTACATTTTTAGGCTTTGCTATTTAGCAGGCGTTATGCTTGGATGATGCAGCGGATTGAAATCACGTTTTTCTTCAATCTCACATTTGCCCGGCGTTTTATCATGAGCTTCGTGTTTGTTTCTTCTTCGTTTCCTCGTCTTCTTAACCTTGCGGTCGTTGCAGGGTTGGATCAAGAGCGATGCAGTTAAATTGATATCCATTTTCTTTGGTGGCTGAGAGAGTGCTCGGAGAGGGATGGGTTGGTGTGCTTGGAGTTGGGTGGCGGGAAGGAGATGAGAATCAGAGAGGAGGGGTAGAGAGGAGGAGCAGCGGATGAGAAAATGTAGTTATGATGACTTGTTGAGCGGTTTCATTGAGCGAGAAAGGAAGGTTCTATTCGACTTGCATTCATGAACGAGAATCCTGCGCAAAGCTAAGGGCAAAAGGCAAGGAACAGACACTTTTGAATTGTATAGCGTGTTGTAGTAGATATTTCTCTTTCTTCACGATGGAATGAATGGGCTCTGTCCCGACTGAAATACCAGTTTCTGTCTTGTCTATGTGATCGGGATTCTGTATTGTCAAAAAGACTTCAGGGGTAGGCGATAAGCGAAACCCCCTTTCCATCAGTGCGGGGTAGCTAATGGGGGTTGTGCAACATGCGCTATATGCTCAAGACGAACATAATATCCCAAGACTATCAGTAGTAACATACATCATAAACTTTTCTATCGGGCAGATGGGAATTTCACTGATCTGTGAAACAGCTAGATGGTCTCACGACCTTTGATATCAAAAACACCTGAGTTAAGTACACTGACTTTCAATTTTCACAATAGCTGAGCCAGTCTTGCAGCTTTTGATATCAATAATGCCCAAGTCAAGTACCACCACTTGCGTCTTTGAAAAGTCTGAGCTAGCTAGATGCGCATGCCGCTTGTAAGTTTGTAGGTTGCCTGTTCTTCAGTAACAGTCAGTCACGCTTCGCGATTGTGTAGCCCGCTATTCTTTGGGCATTAGATTCTATGAGTTCAGATTATAAGTTGCGTAGCGTGCTTTAGGTTGAGAAGTAGATTTTTATGAGATAAGTTGTGCCTCATTCAAACATCAAGCATCAAAGGTTAATACCTAGTGGTTTGCTCTGGTCAACCGGACTTATCACTGGAATAAGTTCTCTTCAATGATCAGACTTATTGCTACAACAAACTTTCTTCAATAAACCCGACTTATTACTACTATAAGTCCTGCTTAATCAATGGGACTTGTCACCACAATAAACTTTCTCCGAATGACTGGACTTATCACCACAATAAGTTCTCCCTGATCACCAATAACTGCTAGAGACATACAAGATCTTCAAAGCATTCACTGCAGAAATACCCATCAAGATAAAGCATAGATTTTAGGGCTTAAGAGTGAATCATTAGGAGTTAGTCGGAATCTTTTGCAATCCTGCTGGACGACAGGTGTAAATACTTCGCTGCCTTCGCCCCCGTCGTCCGTCGCACCAAAACACAGCGAATTTCCCCTGAATGATACTTTGTTCCGGGCTCCGGATTCAAGGGAGTCCCTCCTCCCTTGTTGCAGATAAGCGATAAGTTTGGGCAAATTTTAGGTGTGCAGATTAGTTTTCTGTTCTTTTCGATAGCCAGGCTCTATCGAACTACTATACGTGTTTAGCATTAGTCTTGTTGCTGTCAAATATAGTTCTATTGTTTAGCAATTCTACTGTCAAGCTTTAAGCACTTGACTAGACTAGATGAAACTGCGCTAAGAACGGTTTTCGGTTCTCTTGAAAAGTGGACTACTATTGAACTATGTTTTCTAGCATTATACATCTTGCTGTCAGTTATATTGCTATTTGGAACTTCCGGGGCAAAACGTCAATCTGGCATCAAGGAATTAAGTAGAATAAATGAATTTCCCACAAAAGCGGGGCCTTCTTTTATTAAAGGTTTCTTGTAAGAAGACTTGGTGAAAATAATTTAGTTTAAATCGTCGGGTAAGTGAACCAAGGGACAGTTCACTGGTTTCTGAATTCGCAAGTATAGCCAAGCGCGCAATATTGCCAAGTCCTGCAGAGATATCCAACCTTGCCAAGAGAGCTAGAGAACCCGTCAACACAACACTTTGACTTCATAGTCCCCCAAAGCTAGCCAGTAGATTCTGGGCTCACTGGTGTTAAGCAAGGCAATCGCAAGATAGTTTAGCACATTTCGACCCCTATTAGTAACTAGCAATCACAATAGTGCAGAGATTTACTACCTGGAATAGCGGGGACGAGCAATAAAAAAGTGTAACAAGAAAGCGCAACAATAACTCGCAATAAGAACGCGTTCTATGAATTAACTAGGAATTACAATAGTGCGGAGATTCACTACCTGGAATAGCGGGGACGACTAATAAGAAAGTGCAACAAGAAAGCGCAATAAGAACTCGTAACGAGAACGTGGTTATGAATTAACTAATAATTATAATAGTGTAGAGATTCACTATTTAGAATAGCGGGGACGAGCTATTAAAAAGTGCAATAAGAACTTGTAATAAAAACGCGTTTTATGAATTAATCAAGAATTATAATAGTGCAGAGATTCACTATCTGGAGTAACGGGGACGAGCAAAAAAAAAGGAACAAGAAAGCGCAACAAGAACGCCTTCTATAAATTAATCAACTTCTCTACACAACAGAATCACACACCAACCATGTCTTTCAACGGAAATCTCAGAGCGTTCCTGAGAAAGGGTATCAAGAAGAGCTGGATCAAGGCCCCGGATCCTCGTCCTGCCAACGAAGAGCCGGATGAGCTGCCCCTGTTCGTTCCTATCGACGACGATGATAACGCTAACAGCCGATTGACAACGGTTTTCGGTTCGCAACGACAGACTACGACTCTCGGCTCGAATGCTCTCTCGCATAATCACTCCCGGATCTCTTTCGTAACAAGGGAATCACCTCATCCGACGAACACCCAGCAAAACCCGGAGATCACCCGGCTCAGGAAAGAGGCTGAAGCCCTGGTAACGCAAGAGGTAGCAGCAACGACAAAAGCAGAGAAGATGGCCATTATCAAAGAGAGGGAAGCCTTGATATTGAACATCCGCCAATTAGAGAGAAGTGATCAAGAGGCCAAAGTCAACAAGTTGAAAGGTCTGTCAAATCTACCTATGTTCCCGGATCCCTACTGAATCTACTGCTAGATCCATACTACAAGCCGCTCCGCAGCCTGCCAGAGCCCGTGTCACCAGGAGAGAAGAAGAAACTTATGAAACAAGCTGATCTCATTGCCAAGGCAAGAACGACTCCTGTAGTACGTTCCGCATCTATTCTCCCATACCCTTCGGACCTTCCTAACATAGATCAGAAACCCCAAAAACGACGCCGAGAAGATAATTCAGACGACGATCTTGACGGTGAAGAGCGTTTCCACCTAGGCATCAAGAAACCCAGGAAAGTGGCAAAAGCAACAGGACACTGGCAATCCACGATCCATTCCTACATGCCAGAATCATTGGTCGATACAGAGACTTTCAATACGATCAACAATTTGACGCCGGAGCAGAGGATGGTGGATAGGAGAGATCTGATTGGGTATTGCAAGGACTTGGCGGAGATAGATAGGATTGATAGGAGGATGCAGAGGAGGCTTGGGTGGAGGAAGTAGGGAGGATAGAGCATAGAGAGTTATTGAGCTTTGAGTTGCCGTGATATTTGGATGGATTTATAGATGCGTCGGATTTATCGACACCTATGCGGAGGTTTTGCGTTGAGCTTTTAGTTGCGGTAATATATGCGTGAATTTATGCAGCATCCGTTGGGTTTTCTAAATTGATCGAGATCTTGAGGAGTGAATTTCAAGTCCGCTATTTCTACTTGCTGCAGTATCATTCAGCGAGCGCTCGATTTCAAGCAGCCTATATATATCTTTCTGCACTAGTTCTTCCGCAATCGTATATACATAGGATTCTCGTGTATCGCCAACACATGTCCCAACTCACTTATCGTAAGACCGTGCTGTCCTTAGATATCTCCATGCTACTAGTGCGTCCAGAAACTGAACTCTGGTATATTGAAGATCGTGATTTTCCAAGAAAATATAGTTAAAACTAAGCAACTCTCTCCTGTAGACTTCTTGCAATAAAAGCAAATGAAACGTGTGAAATCCAGAAGACTGATCATCTAGCTCCCGCGAGCTTGAGTGAATTTCAAGAGGACGAAAATAGCAAACTGCGCAGACAACAAGCCCAAAGTGCAACAACACAGCAACAAGACAGCAACAACGACAAAACAACGACAAAAAATGAGATCGACCTCAACAACAATAATGATAATGACAACAATAGCTCTCTAGCAATAGTACTCACTCAAAAGGTAAGAGACACCTCACCGGCAACCTGTTGGTTACATGCCTAGGAATCACCGAGCGGCTTTGCCAGCCGTGGAAGGTAGGATGGATATCAGAAGCGTATACATACTTTAGGAGCACGAATGATGATCTAGTATATGCACAGACGTGAATATTGACTTTCTTTTTTGGTCCCGTGAGACTTTGCTTGTGACATGGTTGTTTGTGCAAAGCGAGCATTGTGTCTTCATTGCACAACACGCGATTTGCGCGATTTGCGCTGTCTGCGAATTTTGCGTATCATCATGCCCTTACAAAATCAACTCAAGAAGAAGTATCTCCCCAAGCCCGCGGACGTTGGCAGAGGATTTACCGACGCCCTAATGCAAGGAAAGAAGCCCCCAGACTTCCACCTCGCTATAGCTCTTTAAAGTGGCGAGCCGTCTTTGAAGAAATACCCCTTTCAACCACAGCCGATCTCGTGACCGTTTAAGACCCAGTATAACACCTAAGCCCATCTCCCTTCAGAATTACACCACGGCAGTCCCACGATGGTATAGTTAATCCTGCAAATCAAAATCTTGAACACCTAGGCCAATCCGTGTAGCAGTCTAGCCACGACAACTGCGTGCCCTTTGTGAAATAGGATGCGCTGATCATTCCTGTATATATTGTGTGATCTACTCAGATCGAATATTACATGAGCACCAGTATTGTCTAAAAGCTTAACAACATTCGCCCCGATCATGCTGCGCGCATATCTGACTCCTGCTGTCGTTATTCGAGCCGGCCACAATGCCTAACTCTTCTTCCACCATAACTCCCACGGTATAGCTTTACTGAACGACAAAGTTCGCCAAGCCGATTACGAGCTTGCAGCACTTGGTGCTGAGAAGCTCATGAGGAGTCTGATCCGAAGGGCAAGGAACAAGCACTCAAGTTCACCGACGAGGAGATTGAGACCCGGCAGAAGAAGATTGAGGTCCTACAAAAGAAGAGACCAGCTCAGCAACAGGCTAGCGGTCTTTAAATCTCGTAGGTTTGGGGAAAAAGTCTGCAAGACTCTACACATGACACGCGATGTGGGGTAGTTTGCTTTGCTCGTAGCATGTGCTACTGATTTTTCATAGCAGCTGCTGCTTTTACAAGATGGGTGTCAATCAACACAGCATTGTGTGAGCTTAGCCGTTAATGAAGCAACTACAACACTACAAAAATAAATCTAGACAGTACAATGATTTTCATGTGACAGGTCTCTTGAATTTGGAGCCATGGGCCGTACAATCCAATCCTACTTAAGACTCTGTCTTCTTTGGTGGCCGGTCTCTTGCTGAGAGCTCCTGGCTTGACTTGCACCGGGTATATATTTCGCTCCTGTCTTGTGTAATTTTCAACACAGACTTCATAACATAGACATAGACTCATAGTCTTGAAATTTTCCTCACTTACTAACCATCCTCTGTACTTTCTGGAGCAGTACTTGACTTTCTTTCCCCAGCTTCCTCTGCCCATTCTTCCCTCCTGTCCGTGCTTTCGCCATAGCTTTTCGAAATTTCTCCCGCTCTTCAACCTTCTCTTTCTTCTCCCTTTCTCTGCGCTCAAACTCTAGTCTCCTAGCTTCTGCTTCTGCTTTCTTCTGCTCTGCAAAGGCCTGCTCTTTCTCGAAATACGCAGGTTTATTGTTGCGATTGCGGGATTGCTGCGGTCGAGACAATGGTTGTCGAAGTGGAGGGGGTAGAGTAGGTTCGGGCGCATCAAGCATAGCTTGTCTTTCTGGATGTAGTTCTTGCGATGCGGGTTCGGGTGTTGGTGCAGCCTCTGCTGCAAATGCGGGTGCTGATTCGAGTGCTGGTTCGCGGGCTTTGAGTTTTGCATAGGATTTCTTGAGTTTGGCTTTATGGATGAGATCCTTCTTGATTTTGATTACTATAAAGAGTTGTCTGTTAGTCTTGTTATTGCTGGTAAAGGTCCTCTGCGTGAATCTCTCTTGCCTTTTCTTTTGTATGTACCATCCGGCAGGTTGGCAGGTCCAACCGTGAAGCCGGTTCGCTGCTTCTTCGGCTTTGGAGATGTGCCATCATCGTCAATAGGTCTCTTGGGTGCCATTTTGCTATTTATTGCGGTATGCGGGGTTGTGCTATCGCAATGTAGTGTCAAGAAATGAAGTAGTACTTTTTGCGGGCGACCTAGTTGCCAACATTGTACGGTACAGGGTCCTCTAGCCGTTTGTAGCCTGGCGGTGCGGTCTAACGGTAGTGGACTCGCACCCGGTGTCGGCGGCCGCGGATAAGGCGATTACAGGCGATTACACACCTGTTGAGTGACGCTGCAATTGGAACAACCTGCAGAACCACCTTGCTTTGAGAATAGCAAATCCCTCACCGACACGCCCTGGGAAAAACCTGCAACAAATATTTTCTCCTGCACGATTTTCTTTGGGTTCGACTGCATGAAGTGAGGACCAATCACTTTGTTAAGTCGAACTCTGAGTGAGTCTTCTTGCTGCACGAGCCAGTGGTGGTGTGCTTTCCTCTCCACCTTCTTTGTTTCCCCAGCCTTCCCGATAAAAGGCCAATTCCTTCACTATGAGTAGATGATGAGAGAGGGAGCCATTTTCGAAGCTCCAAAATGCCAATATTCCAGGATGATTTGGGCGGTGGCCAAGATACGCCGCCCACTAAGCCACCCTCACGACGTTCGACCTCGCCGGTAGATGGGAACTTATTGACCAGGAAGCTCTCCGAAGACAGCATAAGGACAGATCTGTGTGAAGGACCTCTCCGAGAAAGTTTGGAAGAAGAGTCAAACATGCCGACTATAGATGTGGAATCTAGGCCTAGGACACCTGGGTTTGGGACCTCTGATCGTGTTGAACTCATAGAGAGACTGAAGCGTGGAGAAAGTCCGACATGGCTACCAAACCGGAATGTAAGTAGTGAGAAACTTTGAGACATGATGTTTCTCTGAGCGTTACTAACTAGAAGTAGCTGGAATCACTACTCCATGATTACGAGCAGACTCCTCGCAAACCTTCGTCCAATGGCTCGCATTCCTCGCCATTACTACCTCCGGCTGAGATATCTGAGAAACCAAGATCTGCTGGGAACCAAGAAGACAGACATCAAGCTGGTCTGCAGATTGAGCGACCACGATCAGCTCTACACAGTGGGGATTTCACAGAAGCTCGGGAAACCGCCTCTGAACGAGATTTGCTCCAACCAAACTCCACGCCTTACAGAGATGAACAGGCGGCTTGGATTGCTACCTCCCCTCCACGGCACTTCACTCCTTACCAACTCGATCCACGATTTCCACCTGCAGATTCGATTGAGAGGGCTAGATCTCGAGCACCATCCTTATCCTCATCATACTCATCGAGCTTCATTCTGAAGCCCCCGACTAGTCCGTTGGTGCAGTCGGAAAGCAATGAAGAGCTAGACCTGTCCTCGCAGGTGAACCCTATTGATATCACATCGAGTTTCCCAAAAAATCCCAGGCGACATACGTTGCAGGCACCTCATTCAATTCATTCAACGCCTTCGGGACCATCTTCACCATTTAATAGCAAGCCTTTACCTCATCTACGACGAGACAATACTTATCCTTATCAAGCTCACCAACCTCGCCGTTCCCTCACATTGAACCCAATGACACTACCAACCTCCTCTCCACAAACTCCAGCATTTTTACATTCGAGGAGACCGAGTATAGACAGTTCTCCGCTTCATGCCTCAATGGTCGGCTCTTATGAAGAGAGCATTCTACGGGGACGCATGTCAACCACACCATCTAAGCCTTTAGACTTTGTGGCCCAGATTGGCGTTCTAGGTCACGGCAAGTGCAAGGCAAGTCTTCGCTGTCCTGCTCATGTCACATTACCATTCCCGGCCGTATTCTACAGCTATGAGTCTACAGTCCATGGACGTTCTGGAAAGTCAGAAGACGGGCCTAGCCCTTATGTTGGCCAGGTAGACTTGGAAAATGGACTTCCAAATTCAGACGAAGCACGAGACAAAAAGAAGCGAAGTGCGAACTTGGGACGAATCCGGACAGATGACCTCGACATGGTTGATGGCCCAAACACGAATCAGCTCACAGAAAGAGAGATTCGCAGAGCGGAAAAGCAAAAGCGGAGATCAACATCACCTCGAGCTCCACCCGGAGGCAGTTACAGAATCCCGGAAAAGGGTCAAATACAAATCATTATCAAGAATCCAAACAAAACGGCTGTCAAGCTCTTCCTCGTCCCGTATAACCTAGAAGGCATGGAGCCCGGCACAAAAACTTTCATTCGTCAACGGAGTTATTCGGCAGGCCCTATCATCGACTCTGCACTATCCTCAACACAACAAGTACCTGCGACGAATCCTTTGGACCGACCTACGCTACGCTATCTTGTACATTTGCACATATGTTCTCCTTCTCGCGGTCGTTTCTACTTGTACAAAAGCATTAGAGTTGTTTTCGCAAATCGTGTACCTGATGGAAAGGAAAAACTCCGAAACGAAATTTCTTTACCTGAACCGCGATTCAGTATATATAAACCAGGTCGAGATTCTAGTCTCGGTCTCACTTTAGGCATGGGCGCAGGAGCGAGTCTTGCTGCCGAGAAAGCGTTTCGAAGACGAAGCTCTGGCTTTGGTCTTGGCCCTTCAAATCGGAACTTCGATTCTATGGATGGTATCACCCAGGCTCTAGAAAGAGGGTTCGGAGGCGGCTCATCGTCGACACATGGCCGTGACTTCAGCACAACGCCTGTTCAACCGATCCCATTCAGCTTGTACCGCAAGCCTGTTCGAGGTGAATATGAGAGTGATCATGCATCCGTCCAGGAGCCATCAATGCCATCAGCTGAAAACATTGATATACATCCCTCTCAAGACTCTGGGTCTTCAATGTCTTGGAATAGCACTAGTACGGGCATCGGCGCTTATGACAAGCTCACTAAAGGAGAAAGGGGTTATGGTGGCAATTCTTTTGCCAATTCCCCAGATGGCAAGCAAGTAGCTGAAGGATTGTTGGCGCAGAGGCTTCGAGATCTAGGAGTTGGGATACTAAACCCACAGGATCAATCAGATGGCATTTGAATTCGTGACTGGAGTAAATTTGGGTTTGGATAATACCCGGCATGGAGCATAGGACGATTTTCGAATATTTTGGAGCTAGGTTGGATATAGTTTACTCTTCAGATGGCATATTGGGAAAGGCCCATTGGCGTATTTTGATTATTTCTTACGCTGATCTTTGTATCCTAGTCTACAACAACACTACATTTATATTTTCTGTCTTCGAGACTAGTGTCAAGCTTTTTGGGGTCCTGATCAGTGCGTCGCTACCATGCAGTTTCAAGACCAACACCCGACATCCTAGTGTTGCTCTTCCTCATGAAACAGAACTCGCCACACTATGCGCTCCCGACACTCACAAACAACTCCCAAACAAGCTTGGCGACAAAGCGATTGGTCTACCAAAGATCAGATGAGAACACTCTTCTCACACGATACATCTGACATTGGTTAAACCGTAGCAAGTGCTTTCGTGTATCTGTGGCCCTTTCGTGGCTTAGATGTTTTGTCCATGCTCTAATCTGGACATATTACAACTGTCACTTTCCGATTGCGTTGCTTGGCATCCATCATGAGTATGCTCTGTTCGTCTTAAGGTTCTTCTTCTTCTTGTAGCGATCAGCTATTTCTACAGAGGCTGGTACTCAACATGCATCGTCTTCTTGTCTTATTCCATTTAATATCTTTTGTTTCTGCAGGTATTCTTGATGATATAGGATCGTCCCTGGGGTCGTTGTTAGGGAATAACACGGCCAGTGTGCTGGGCACTTTTCTCGGTGATCATGGGACGGTTATCTTTCAGAATGGGTTGTTGAAGAACACGACGGCTTGTCCGGCCATGAGTGTCATCTTTGCTAGGGGGACTGCGGAGCCTGGTGAGTTTCTTCAGCTATCACTGAATTTACTCTCTTTGGGGATAAAAGCATGGAAGAGAAACGAGACTAACGGAATGAAGGTAATGTCGGCATCTTAACAGGACCGCCCTTCTTCGCAGCAATAGCAGAATACATGAACGGCACCAACCAGCTCGCTATCCAAGGCGTAGACTACCCGGCCGATGTCCCGGGTTTCCTAGCCGGCGGATCAACGCAAGGTGCCAATACCATGTACATATCCCTCCTCCACCTCATCCATAACAACCAACTAACAACCTCCCAGGGCAAAACTAGTAAACAAAACCCTCGCTTCCTGTCCCAACACCCAACTCCTCCTCTCAGGCTATTCCCAAGGTGCCCAAGTCGTGCACCTCGCAACCGCGTCTCTCCCCTCCAATACGACGTCAAAAATATCCTCCGTAGTTCTGTTCGGGGACCCAAAGAACGGGACGGCGGTCAGTGGCGTGGATGCGAGCAAGGTGATGACGTTCTGCAATCCGGGAGATGATATCTGTCAGGGTGGGGATCTGATTACTTTGAGCCACTTGAATTATAGTCTTGATGCGGGGAGTGCGGCTATGTTTGCGTTGGGGACGTCGGGGGCGAAGTTGGGGATTACGAGTCAGAGGTTGAGGCCTGCTGCTGGTGGATTGGGAGGGTGAGATTGCAGACAAGAATACCAGTATGAACGATACGGAGGATACTTGGACGGAGTTTAGCATCAACGATTTGTTATTATGAGAAGATCATGCAAATTTTTGTATCAAGCCAGTCTCCCCTCCAAAAGTACAATCCCAGCAAGCTTACAGCAAGGCCAAGCTACCAAAACTCCATGCAGGAAGCCCCGTACCAAACTCCAACCTAACAAGTGAAAGGCAAGATACAACAGAGCCTGAACATTGGGATCTCCGTGCTCTGGACAAGCGTACAAACTGGCCATTGGAAATTATCGATATTCCACTGCTGGCCGATGGGATGTCCAGCATACTAGCTGGTTGGTGGTGCAAAATAGAATTTCTGCATGTCTAGTTCGATGGTTCATGGGAGCTCGGAGTCGAGACTCACATGAACTATATTACTGGTCAGTGACAAAGTTTGGGATATGGGAATAGTAACTTACTTCCAAGGGAGACCACCTTTTCACCGCCATCGATCTCATTGCATACGGGGTCGTAGACTGCCAAAGTAGTTAGCACTTGACCAAACAGCAGAATTATTGGAAAATCGCTTGGAGCCGAATTCCTTTTGAGGATCAACTTACTATCAATAGTAGGTTTTTCCCACGGATGCTGAGTAACACGGATCTCACACTCATTCGCATTCTTGGTGGGAATACAAGAGAGACGTCCGTCTGGATCAGTGGCTGCTTGACGAGCAGCAACGTAAGCATCTCTATGCTTGTTGACGAGTACAGATTTCCTATCTTCATCGGTTGGGAGTGCGAAGATGGTAAGGGGTGCCAGGATTAGAGTGTGAAGGATGATCTGAATGAGATTCATCTTGGCGGGTGATGATGGGTGCTCAATCTTGTACAATACAATAGCTGGGGATAGTCTTTTGGAGAGGTCGGAAGGGGAAGAGATATCCCAAGTGGCCCGAAAACCGGAAGTTGCTTAAGATTGAGTGCTGCTCGTAGGAATGGGGTATTGTAATCGAAACTGGAAGGAGAGAGTACAAAATGACGGCGTCGCTTACCGGCACTCCTGTTCGGGAAGGGACTATGATTGTGTTGCTCGGAACAAGATATGGATAAGTAGAAGCGATGATCGAAACGGCAGGATAACTATGCAGAAGGAAGGCACGGATGGACAAGAATTGAGGTGTTTATGAAGATAATAGACTTCAACCTCTCTGGGGGTGACTGTAACAATTCAAATCAGCCCATACTTCTTAGAGTCATCTCGACTCCGAGTGTCTGAGATGGTTTCACCCGTAAGAAATAAGAAAACGAGGGCCGGTCTACTTAGATAGAAGAGGGTTTGGTTACTGTAGAGGATGAGAACAGAAATACCAAAGCTCATTAATAACTCCAACAAGCCAACATAAAAGTAGATAAATGAGGAACTTCCCTTTCAATGCATCCCAGGTGATGTGTGTCCTGGCCAATAGTCAAGTCGTAGGTTCACCGATGAGACTGAAAGGAAGGATCTGTAGATGTATGACTTTTACGATAATCTATCCTTGCATCGCCATCTATAAACCTGGTTACGCATCAAAGAAGAAGCACAAGCAAGTCTTTCCCTTCCAATCAAGTGTGAACAGGCAGGCGCTGCGTAGCCAGATGATCTGAAAGAAGGAAAAATAAAAGCACCGGCCGCACTCCCAAATGCAAGTCATCCACCCCACCCGTCATGAGATCATTAATGCATCAACGTCTTTACTTGGCTTCCTCGACCTCATCGGGTTTGGTACCTTCGGCATCAGTCATTTCCTCGTCCTTGCTCTGAGTAGCCTCTTGTGCAAGAGCTGCTTCACGAGCTGCCTTGGCCATCTCTGCCTTCTTCGCAGCTTCGGCCTCGGCCTCTGCTTGAGCTGCAGCACGCTCTGCCTCTACCTTGTCAAAGTAGCGTTGAACGATGGGACCAGCTACAGCACGGATCTCGTCCATCTTGGCGATGTAGACAGCTTTGGTAGCATCCTCACCCTCGTCGTAGAGCCACTCCTATTCTTATATTAGCAAAATTCCTAGTAATGATAAGTCAAAGCTTACCTCGCTAGCCTCAAGCTTAGCCTTCAGCTTTGTCTTCTCGTCCTCGCTGGCGAAATCGGAGTACTGGTCGTCAATCTTATTTCTCATTTCATAGATATAAGTTTCAAGCTCGTTCTTCTTCTCTTCGGTGTCGGCAACAAGCTTGTCTTCCATGATCATAGAAGCTTCTTGCTCGGCAGCTGAAGCCTTGGTAGCCTCCTCGAGAGAAGAGGTACCTGATACAATCGGAAGATCACCCTTTCGGACTTGCTTCTTGACTTTTCGGGTCTTGGGCTTCTCGTCGGTGTCCATCGCCTTTGGAGGTGTTAGTGACTGTTGTCCCAATCGGGGACGCTTGACAGCACGCTCGTCCTCGCAAGAAGCATGAACATGTAGGGGGTCAGGAGGCTCAAAACTCACATCAGCATCCTTCTTTTCGCCATCTTCCTTCTTCTCCTCTGGGATTGGCTCCTCAACCTCCATATCCTCAACATAGTAACCTTGCTCCACATTCAAGATTCCGTGCAAGTTCAGACGTGCCTTGAGCTTGCAGATCATGAAGTCGTTTGATGAATCGGCCTTCACATTCTTGACAGCAAATCGTCCAATCCACGCGTTGGTCTTGCCTGGAAGCATTTCTGGCTTGGCGTACTTTGCCTCGAGGTTGAATGGCTCCTTGCGGTAGAATGTGAGAATCTTGGTTGATGGCATGACATTACCTTTGTTGAAGACAGTCAGGCTGGTATCTTCATCTGGAATGTCAGGTGATTTCTCCCAGGTAAATTCGATCGGGTAGTTGACAATATCGTGAATGGCGAAATCACGGACTCGGAAGACGGGTGAGAGAATGGCACAGCTGAAAGCACATCCTCGAGCAATAGCCTCATCCTGGTTAAGTGTGAAGGAGAGGGTCTTGCCGAAGAATTTCTGGATGCGGTCCTTGAGAGCTGGAACACGCGTGCATCCTCCTACCAACTCAATGATGTCGATATCCTCAACCTTCAACTTAGCCTCAAGTAAAGCTTGCTCTAGTGGGATGTGAGCACGCTTAAGGAGGGGCTCAACGAGCTCCTCAAGACCCTCACGTGTCATCATAGTAGCCACATCGACATCGTTCATCAAGGATTCGATGTTGAGAGGAGCCTGTTGGTTGGCGGACAGGATCTTCTTCAACTTTTCGGCTCCGGCATGAACACGAACCAAAGCCTTGGGGTTGGACTTGATATCGAGCTTGTACTTCTCCTTGAATTCGGCAGCAAAATGGTCGACCAAGGCCTTGTCAAAGTCTCGTCCACCAAAATGACGGTCATATGCGGTTGACTTGACGGTCAATTCACCTTTCCTGAACTCAACAATCGAGCATGTGTAGTTGCTGTGTCCGATGTCGATGAATGCGACACGTCTGGGCTTCTCTTCAGCCGTTGGGAGATCCGTCTTTGTAATGCCGTAGCCAAGGGCAGCTGCAGTGGTATCGTTCATGAGGCGGAGGAGCTTGAGACCAGAGATCTCTGCAGCGTCCATGAGAGCTCTTCGCTGAGCATCGGTAAACCATGCTGGCACACTCATAACCAAATCTGACACTGGAAGCTTTAACTCAGCAGAGGCTGTTTGCTTGATTTTGCTCAGGAACATGGAAACCAGCTGGGTTGCAGTGTATCTTTCCTTCTTGCCCATATATGTAACCTCCGCACCGACCTGGCCATTGATATCGACGAGCGGCGCAGAGACGAAGTCCTGCTCGATTTGCACATCTGGATCGTTAAGTGCCCGGCCTGCTAATCGCTTTAGGGATCCGACGGTATTCTTCAGATTGGAGATTTCTTGGGTCTTCGCAGGCTCTCCGAGGTATCTCGACTTGGGGCCGAAGCCTACTAAAGACCTGAAACGCAGTTAGACATTGAATGGAGGGGATGAGAGATTCGGTTTGACTTACGGTGTGGCTCGATTGCTAAACAACACACATTCGAGATTAGCACACTCTGCACATTGAATTCGGTGGAATTACAAACCTGACTTCATTGACGATGACATCGACGCCACGGTTCCGCGCAACGGCAATAACTGTATTGAGTGTCCCGAAATCTACACCGACAACTGGAGGCAGCAGAGTTAGCAATCCATCAAAGGCTGCGGGACTGGGATGATCAACATACCACTCATTTTCGCGATTACTGTTCTGCACCGTACAATGTAAGCGCTGAAATATCCTTCTGGAAAGAAGAAAATAAACGTTGCGATCAGAAACGATTTGGAGAGTGGGTAGCAAGGCTGGGTGGTTGCGGTGTTGATTTCTTGTGTTTTTTTGGGAGTTTGGAGGGGCGGGTTAAGAAATTTCGTTTATTGGACCTGCTTTTCGTCGACGGCTTTCTTGAACCTTCCTAGTCTTTCGATCTCACTCCACGCCAAAGGATTCCCGAGAAAGTGGATTTAAGGGGATTCTGGCCTGGAATATTGACTTTTCCATATCAAATATTGGGGCTTTCGTCATTTTCTGACACGTGGCGCTGTGTGCAAAATGGAAAGCGCAGCTCCCAACTCGATCACGTGAAGATAGAAGGAGTGGGTGCTGGTTGGCGGGGCAGAGATAGGGCTTGGCTTCACCGATTTATGCTCCTTGCATTTATCTCTTCTCACTTTTATGCACCGATCGTCATTTGCTCTTTCGAATTTGCCAACTTTACATCTATTCTTTGCTACCTGTTGACTACCTAGGTACTAGTCAGAATTTTACAATTCGCCCCACCGGTATCCATGGATGTTTCATGCGCCTCACTTTCACAGCCTTGCCTCGAGCTTGACAGCAACATATAACTCTTTTTTTTCAAAATTGCCAGGATGTCCAGACACCCGCTCAATATCAAATAAGAAGCATGATAGTAAGTTTTACAAGGAAGTACATTCATAAGAAGAGCACAATAAGGTACTTTAGAAGTTCGAAAGTAGGAATACTATCAGCTCTAAAGAACACATTCAATATCGGACATGAGCTTGGATAGCCAAGAGGATGGACTATTCTCTGCCTTTCTGCGAACTTAAGGTGAAAGAGTGTAGTCTCACTCAACATACACCATTCAATGGTACAAGGCTGCATCTAGCCCTGAAAATGGAAATCCGAGTATATGAACCCGGTTCTGTGACAAGCTGTTCAGGGCGGTCAAGATAGACTAAAGCACGATTTGCTGGCAGAAGTACACAAGAACCTGACTCTTTTGATTATTTTTTGCTATTATGTGTCCTATGGCAGTGTACCGATACCTAATAGCTATATTGCCACTAATGCCTTACAAATTTCCCCTTTTATGTATAGCTTTTGCTTGGAGCGTTCATGTACAGGGCCCTGGATACCCCCAAAAGTATGATGCCTCCCAAACCCAAAGACGCCATGCTATGCTATGTAAATATAGGGACAAAAGGGAAATAGGTTGTCGAGCATATGTGTCTTCAAGTTCCGTGTCCTGTACCCGGCCTTGAAGGTGGATGTGACCGTTCTGGATGCAAGATTGGCGACTCAGCTGGAGACTGTCGCGAATGGTCATCGAGCTCAATACCGTCTTCCTCGTTTGATGCCGTTCTGACGAGACTGACTCTGGCCAAAGGACTGCGACGATTTTGAATACTTCCAGTAGATGCCGCAGGTGGAAGTGCAAGTACAGTGGGTGGGGCTTCCAACGCCGGTGAGCTGCTGGGAGGAGATGCTCCATCCCCTGAAGCTACGCTATTGTAGCTGTTATTTCGCCCGTGAGACGGACGAGCATTGTAACCAAGCGACTCGACAGATTCTTTCCATCCAGCCTTGCGTAGTTCTGATTCGGATAGCTCGTAAATATGTCCAACAGGAGGCCCAGTGAAATAAGCTCCTCCAGCGGCTCTTTGACTGGCCTGGGCCATAGCATACTTTTTCCTGTCCTCTTCACCCATAATACTCTCAACACGTCGTGGCATGTATACCGAGCTGATCGTTCCTGCTGAGAAGTTGGAGTCGAACGAGTCTCTAGGATGTACGGGAGGCCGGCCTTGTCCAGCCATTCCACCAATAGTCGTGCTAACCAAAGAGTCATTTTGTTGGTGGTACCACCCGCCGGGTAGGAGCTCAGCTGCTGCAAAGCGACCCTCCACGCGGTCAGGCGGCTGCAATGAAAGACCAGTTCTGACGAGTTGACTGTTCTGAGCCTCAGCAGCTGGCTTGAAGGTCTCAGGAACCACATTGAGATCATCGCCATCAGCTGTTGCCTTCTCGATGGCTTGTTGAGGAGTTGTATTGACATCCGCAGAACCAGCATCCGCTCGTGGTCCACCCCTACCCACTGTTAGTATATTTTAAAAGAGAGATTAAGTTAAAAGGCTCACCATGTACGTTGGCCAGCAGTCAAGATGCCTGTAAGAGGAAGTCAGTACGTTGCACTTCTAAGGATGGGCCATCTAGAGCGGGGATTTGGAATGGTATCGTATGAGCGTCCATGACTTACCATAAACCATGTAATACCAATTGAAAAAGGGATTGACGACAAACATAAGTGGGTAAAGCCAGATCTTGAATCGTCGAAGTTTTGCACCGAAGTAAATCATCATAGCCCAATTCAGACCCAAAGATATCGCAATGAATCCAACTGGGAGATCTGCAATCTTCTTGGATGTGGTAATGATCGAAAGGACCATGATGAAGAACAGGAGAGCCGTTGTCCGAATCGTGTTTTGCATAAATCGAACCACAGCTAAGATTGGATACCGCTTCCAAATTCTGATATCTGTCAACATGCAGACTTCGTTGGTAATAAAACCAAGGAACCATCGTCGGCGTTGCTTGATCAAAGACTGGTATGTCTGGACGGCCTCGGTCTTGCAGAATGCAGAAGTGCACATTTGAATCTGATATCGTTTCTTGGCCCCTATCATAAAGAGATGGGTCAACCATCTATCTTCTCCAAGATGGCACTTTCCGTAATCGAAGAGATCCTCACACTGCTCGGCTTTATCGGCGAAATAGTACTTTGCCATTCTTCTGAAAGCTGAAAATCGTAGCATTGTCAGGGCTCCTGGAAGACAAGTGACAGCACCACAGCCGGATTCCACAGTCCGTTCGAAGAGCTGACCATGAATGTATTCCATGTCTTGCAGTAGAGTAATCAAACTATGCTTCTTCGTGGTTGCAGTGATGACTCCGGTCATGGCTAACATATCTCGAGTATTACCAGGGCTCAGCTCCATGTCATAAACAAAATTCTGCAAACATACCCGGTCCAAGATGCAGTCAGAGTCGATGAACAGGATGAAAAGGTTGTCGTTACGCTTCAAGTACTCTGTGTAGACTTTGTCGATTAGCTTGAACGTATTCTTCTGGCAATGCCTCTTTCCTCCATGAGGGAACCTGGAGACAGTGATACGTGCAGTTCGGTATGTAACGTCAATACTCTTTGGATACGAGTCGAGGGACAGCGGCACTCCGAGTTTTTCAATGGTCTTCAAATAGAGCTCGTCCTCTTGGTCTCCATCAAACGACAGGAAGACGTGAATGCAGGAAGGTGGATAATCACAGTCCACAACAGAATCAACAGCTGTGACCAAGATATCCGGATCCTCTTTGTAGCACGGCATCACAATGACAACTTTCGGTGCTGTGTGTTCGTCTAGAACTTGTTTTATGCGCTTTGTTCGGCCGAGCGAGTGTGTGACCAATTGATATACGCAGAACAGCCATGGAACTGTCAAGAGAGCGGCGAATGACCAAAAGCCGAACCATTGAAGGAAAGTTACCATCGACAGCGGGAAGTATTGGGTAATTTCGCTAGGTAATGGGAGTGTGACGACCATGATAGGGAGGAAAATACATCTGCAAATACATCATTAGTGTTGTTCTTTCAATTCAAGGTCAGATCGAGTCCCTACCGCAGCAGTGTGAAGACTATTGCAACTACAACAGCTAGAACCTTGACCGACCAGTGCTCGGCTTTTTGGAACACCTTCACCAAACAGTACATGAAAGCTGCCAACCACATAAACCATTCGACGAAGGCAGCAATCATGACTGAGCCAACAATGGCGGTATAGATAATCTGCATATAATCGTAAGTCCACTGCCCCACATGCTCTGGATGCTACATATCAAAACAGAGTCACTCACATCCTGTATCGGCCATGGTGATGTATTGTATTGAGACATGCTGGGCAAACGTGCCAAACGAGCGTGCTGATAGAAAGATTGAAAACTCCCGGAGTCCCCTTGGAGAAAATATCACTTTTCCAAAGTGTGTTTCGTGTAGCTGCGTTGACGCAGGAGTCCGAAAAAGAAGCCGCCTAGTGATGGGTGGCTGCATGGAAATGCGTCAGGAGTATGCTCTCGTTCTCCAGAGAAACACCCACCTTAGAATATTGCACCTAGGATCAAGGTGAACTGACGACGAGCACTGCAGAAAAGCCTCCTGATCTACCCATAAAATTGGCAGTAATCCAGACTTTATGAAGTGCAAACAACTCCCGTGACACAATCTTGAGAGTGTGTTGCACCAACGACGAAGCGGGGTTTATGTGCAGGTATGCGGGCCGTTGTGTCGGTTTCGAGAAGTGAATGGGGGAGATGAGTGGTTCAAGTAGTCGTGAATGGCTTCACGGCGTCTAGCAGATGATTCGGGAGAAATTCGTACAATGGCTGTACCGCGTCAATGTCGAACTCGAGCTGCAGGTCTTTCAAGTGGCGGCTGCCAAGTATACTGCTATAGCATTGGAGCTCCAGTGTCTCAGCCGGGAAAGAGAAGGTGAGTGGAACGAGTGAATACTGAGACAATGGCAGTAGAGGCGTCCTAGAACGAGTGTCGAGATCTTAACAAACGAAAAGAAAAGTTACGACGAGGAAGACATGACGGCGGGTAGGGCCGAACTTTGTTTGCAAGTCTTCCTGAGAAAGGCAGAAGAAAAGAAGGACAAGAGAAAGGAAGGCTAGAGGATATTGGGAAGAGAAGTGTTAGCTTGGAAGTCACGATCGTGGTGATGGCTCGGAACCTGTACCGAAGCTCCTCTACTGCGAGGGCGTGGAGCCAACGGAGGTGCTCTGAGATTTAGGTTTGAGTTGGTGCGTCTGTGAGCCTTGTTCTTTGAGAAGTGTACCCATCCGATCCGGGAACCGTGGAACATAAAACGAGCCTTCGTTGGGTCTGAGCTACAACCATACACGCAGGGTGACGTTGAAGTGAAGCTGCATTTAGAAATGGCGGTCGAAGAAGCTTCGGCAGCTTCCTTGCTAAGCGAGCCCTCTCTCTCCGTGAAAAAAGCAGAAGCCCCTGCACACCTGGACACACATCCACATCGTATCATATCCCTGTTACAGATCTTCCACCGCATCAGGAACGACCAATTTTCAACCTCATGGCCCAAAGAAGCATGGAAAAAGCACCAATGTCATGTTCAATGCAATACCTGCCGTCATAAGGGGTCCACGATTTGTTGTTAATATGCTGCTCCTTGTCAATATTATCAGAGATCACCTCAGGGAACATCGTCTCGAAGCCCGAGCAAACGCCCAGAAACGCAAAGACTCACATCTTGTATTCTAGTTCCGTATCGAAGCATCGTTCCCCTTGCGAGTCAACCATATCGTGATCATGAATTGCCATGTCACGATTCTGGACCGGCGGCCATGGTGTCCGGCCTGCAGTGCTTGGATGCATTGGCATCTGTTCCTCGTGTGAGCGCCGTCAACAGCCACTCAGGAACAGATACACTTATTTCAGGAACGTGGAGACGTCTGTAGCCAAGTCGGAAAGACGTGCCTATGTCTAACTGCTTTCTTCCTGGCCGCTGTTCTGGTCGCACCCTCACCTCATGATCACTTCATGCTGCTATGGCAGTAGGACTCCACGAATCTGCTGTCCATTCTGCCGCCGCCGGCGCTTCCTAAGTAGTATATCCTAATAGCTGCCAGACTGGAAGAAAAGATGAGCGGCTCGACTATTGAGACCGATTTCCAAGACTTGTTGGTGCAATCGCTGTATCATGAGTAAGACAAGCGAGCGCAAGTCTCATCAACGGCGCCAGCACAAGCAAGAATCATTGAATACGGTTCACGGACGCCCCTTCTGGGACCAAGAGAACAGACAAAATAGCACATTTTCGGCATCCGACTTGTCCAAACAGTATGAAGACCAAGGCCGTAGATCCCCCAACCGGGCCGTGCACCGAACGAGAATCCCCCCGTCCTTCCGCATGAGCCCCTCCTAAACCCTGGACCTCACTCCCCAAAATCTCGAGATCAGCAAAGACCCATTAGAAATTTTCCTTGCTTCCAAATCCGGGTCAAGAATCAAATTCAGACCACACAATTATCTCATGTGTCATACATAACCACTCGCCACAACTCCAGCTGAACTTGCCCAACAGCAACCAGCACCCGCATAACAAGCCCGCCCAAAAACCCACCTCTCGCCCCAAACGCCCCCAATATGAAAACCAGATCTCTGCCGCTTGACCCAAGCAAAAATCTCTCTGAAACAGATCCACTCGGAAAATTTCCTCGCAGCCAATCCAGAATCACGTGATATGCTTAAGCCAATCAACAACCCCTTGTTTCACCAAAAGAATCGAAACATGGGGTCCGCGTGGTGCCATATTTTTAGATCTCGAATCACTAAACTGACCTTGCTTTTTGTGGCAAACACTTTTCTTTATTTGATGCTATGCGTTTGCATTGCATTCAACCAAGACAGCCTCACTCACGCCATACCTTTCAGCAGCACATGGAAGGATATAATACGGTACGGTATTATGATGGAAAAGAGTGTAGTATTGACGCTCTGCCGTCTTTGTCGCGCGGCTGGCTGGCGGTGAATAGCACGCAGTACGAGTAGTAGTAGTAAGTGACCCGACCAAAGTGGTCTGTCACCAGAAAGAAGAAAAACTTCCCCTGTAACAACATCTCTCCCATCCCGCAGCAGCTGCAAGTTTTCGCAAGTTCTTCCCACAAAAATCTGCTTCGCCTCTCCCAAATAGCTAAACCTCCCTCGTCCATCCACCAAACAACAACAAATGCTCCAAGCCAATTTTTGTTTCCCGCCACCTCGCATCGATCCGTCAGTATTGGAATTCGGTGGTATGATGTTGAAGTGAAGTCTGCAGCACCGAATTCGCACTACTGCCGTTGTAGGAGATGAGCCGAGTCGCTCTCAATCTCTTCGTCCGTCAGCCGAGCCTCTATGATCCGAGAAGATCGCCGAGGTCGACTCTCACAAGTCGCATCGATATGAGCAGAGAAGAAGTGATATTGCCAGTAAGCTCCAAGAAGTCAATCTTGGTAGCAACTAACAGCAGATCTGATCATGTCCTAATATCCCCACACAAAGTGGGGTTGTCATCAGCAAATCGTTTCGTTTTTCGTGTGTACTTGTACAAGAATACGACAGTGAAAGAGCACATATCCACTGGCTGTGCTCAGAGTCATCAAAAAGACTACTTCTTCCGAGGAGGCTTCGAGCCATCACCCAGAGAAGCGTGAGCCTCAAGCATTTCCTTCCTTGTGAGTCTGCCGCGACTACGACCCCTGGCTCTATTAGAGGCCTCGATAATGCGCTGAGAAGCAGAGTTCTCCTCAGAAGACCTAGAGTTCGGAGCAGAAGAAGCAAGACGGCCTTGCCCATCCAAAGGAGATAATGAAGTTTCGGATTGCTCAACATGGGAGAAAGTTGGTTTAGAAGCATACCAATCGACATCACTGAGTTGCAACTTCCTAGCCCGCTGACCACTGCGATTATTGCCAGACTTATCAGGTCTGGAATACGTCAAAGCGGCGGCCTTTTCTAGTCCTGCATTGCGATTGTGAATATTGGGGTTTGGGAATAAGGGGTCATGTGCTGAATCACCATCTTGATCTTCGCCGTCACGAAGATCGTAATTCAGAACCAGGTTTTTGATTCGTTGTTGCTCCTCTCGTTCAGCGGCTTGTTGAGTTTTCATGGCGACCGCGAATGTTGAATCAGAGGGGAGTGCGACGGTTCGAGTCTTGACATATTGTGAGCACAACATCCATCAGAATAGAATTCACAACAGCTTACCTGTTGACGATTGCCACGCTTTGTAAGTAGCGAAAATGCCATTGTCCCTGGAGGGGTCGCATTTCCGCTGGCATGTTCTTCGGCAAAAGACTCGCCGACTGTGTTTGGGTTTTTACGCAACATGGGCAGAGGCACATCGAATGTAGCTTTTCGTTCGTGCTTGCGAGATTCTAGAGATTCAGCCATCATCTTTGCATACTCACGCTCGAAGTCTGCTTCGTCTTCGGGATCAATTTCTTCTTCTTCACGAGTGACAACGATAGCCTCCTCTTCGGAGTCAGAAACCGGTGTGGAAACAGCAGCATCCCCATTGAGGTCGACCTAGTCATGATTAGTATCCTTACAGAACAAAAGTCTGCCGAGCATGGCTTACATCTACTTCTTCGTCTTCCTCAGACTCTTCGTCAGCTTCTTGAAGACCTGCATCAATCTCGTTATCACCCATGCCATCATCTGAAGATCCATCACTGTCTTGCTCCTCAGGTTCGGCAGCTCTATCGATACCAGACGTCTTCGCATCTTTAGCCATGGCAAGTTGGAAAGCTTTCCCGGCTTCTTCGATGTTAGACGCTAGCTTCCATTGGGGTCGAGTCAAAGCAAAAACATCCTGCACGATGAATTCAATATCCATAGGAAGTGGATCTTTCGTGTAGATGTAGTACTGGTTTCGATTAGCTCATTGTTCTTCGGACTTGGACATATGATGCACACCTGAAAGAAGGATAGAAAGTAGTCTAACTTTTGGCCCGATGCTCCTCTGTTGAAGAAAATGCCACAAGTTTCGAGAAGAGTTGCTACTAGGCGAATGCGGAAGAAATCATCAGGCATATCGAAAGGATTTAGGCGACCTGGAACAGGTGGGCCACCTATAAATTGTGTTAGCATGTAGTAGAAACAACCAGGAAATGTAACATACCGTGACCAAACGTCATGATACGATACAAAGTCTCAAAAATAACTGGGTGATCAACCATGCGGTAGTTGTAAAGCTCGCCGAGATACTTGACCTCTGCAAGTCGTCGCTGGTTGAATTTGAAGTCATTTTGTTCCAGTCCGACCACAATGTATTCCAAGACATTATCGATGACTGCTGTAACGAAGTCCTGGTGGTAACGGTACAGAGCGCAAGCCAGAATAGCAAGAAGGTGGATGTTACCATACTTGACTTTTCCAGGTTTTGAGAAGATCTTTTCAAGTATGGCGACAACCTTAGACAATTAGCAAGTAGCAGTAGAACTATACGAAAATATCTTACCTCGGTCTCTTCCCAATGAAGTCTTCGGATTTGCTTCAGGATCTTGGTGTAGTTGCGGTTATTCATATCTAGGTAGACGAGCTTGCGAATGAACAAGTCAATGGGAGTTCGCTCCTTCTGCTGGATAGCAGCTCTGACAGGAGGGTCCACGTAGTAGACGGCGTTCTCAATAAGCATGCGTTCTTGTTGACCAATATGCTGGACGGACTTCTTGCGTTTCAAAGTCTCTAAGAATGAAGCCATACGAGGCGACGTTTCTGGGTTACGTAGCAAGTATCGACCGCAATTCTCAAGCAAATTGCAGATGATCTCAATATTCATCCTTGAAAAATCATCCAAACTGACCTTCAAGCAATGGAAGATTACATGCTCAGGGACGACTCCAAATTTTGTTAATTCGGCAAGGTAGCGGATATTGCCAAGACGAGCTTGACCCAGGAATTCCTTCTCCTTTCTTCGCTGAAGACTGCGAAACTCTTGATCGAGGTGATCAACCAAACCTTTCGTGATATCTGGCATGTATTTCCCTAGTGTAGCCACAAGACGAGAGTATGAGGGCAATAAGTCGCTACGACCTTTTGGAATCTCTTGGACAGCTTTAATGAGCCGGTTTCGGGAAGCCTTGGAGTTGACGAAGCAGAAGTCAATGGCGGCCTGATCAATCAAGTCCTTGTTGGTAAGATCTGGTAGACGAGCGAGAAGCGCATCAACCTGTGCTCCAATGGTTTTATTTGCAATAGCAGTTGACTGGTCGTCCTCTTTGTTGGCTAAAGCATTTTCTGCGGCCGCAGTATCAGCAGGATCGACCTTCTTGCCAACCTGATCATCAGTATCTGCTTTCTTTTTTTTCCCGTCTTCGAGCAGCATTCCCGGAACCTTGCCTTTCAAATCGACCAGGTTCTCGTAAAATCGCCTCTCATCCTCGTCTTCCCAGATTCCTGCTCCATCACCCTCTCCTCGTAGATACTCACCAGTCTTTACAAGGCCAATGCCTCCGCTGCCAGTAGCTGAGCTATCTTCGGAGTCTTTCAACTCCGGCATCTCTGCACCAATGGCATCTGCAAGGACCTGAGAATTTGATACCAAACGTTCTTGAGCCTTAACCGCCTTCTCGTAGTTTGCCTGGCGGTCCTCAAATACCTGACCGGATTTGACATAAGCCTCAGCATCCTTGCGTGCTTGCTTGCTAATAGCCTTTTGGTCTCGGACAAGATGGCTTTTCAAATCCTCAAAGTATCGCTTGAGAATGTTGCGGAATCTTTCCTGTAATTCTGATGAAGCAAGAGGAGGGTCATCGGTACCATTTCCATTAGGTCCAGATTCCTCAGCAGAGTCATCTTCACCATCTGTAGTACCGTTCGAGGACTTTGTTGCACCGTCCTCTTCTACCGTCTTTCGGCCTTCCGATCCTGCTTCCTTGACGCCAAGAATATCCCATCCAAAAGCCTTGACGAATATGACAAGTAATGGCAAGTTGGCATGTTCCCTATCATGACCTAAGAGATCCTTGAGGACTTCTAGTGGAAAGGGTTCGGCTCCACCTCCCTTGCTTGACGAACCAGGCTTCGATTTAACTTCAGGGGCTTTTCCAGAACTTGTTGAAAGAGATTCCTTTCCGCGGGAAGCATCGTCAGGTCGGCTGACATCGTCTAGTGTCCTCAATACCCCCACGAGCCATAGTTCCGTAACAACCCGCAGCAGAACTCTTTGGCGTGTAATGCGTTCCTTCTCCTCCTTTTCCCTGGCTTCAGTAGCAAGAGTTTTAAGGATAGACTTCTCCGGCGTAGCTAATCCCTTGCCTACAAGCCATCCGAGGAATTCTGTGAACTCTGCAGGCCCAAATCGTTGATGCAATGCGCTCACTATCTCAACTCCAGCCTCGATTTCTCCGGGCGATTTCAATTTGCACAGCCCTTCGTAACATGCTGATATGATCTCAGAGAGATATTTATGTAGGCTGAGTGTTCGAATCTCTTGCAGGAAGGTGCTGAGGGTTGCAGCAGAAACAGCGGTTCGGAGTCGTTTGATGAATGCTGTATTCTTTTTGAGAGACGAGTCGAGAGACTTGCTCACTTCGTAGACTCCTACATAGAGGTTAGAATTTTATATCCCCCACTTGTTGCTAGACCACTGACCTTTCTCTCCATCCCAAGCACGGTTATTCAATTCGCGCAATTCGCCTGTATTTCACCATTATCAGTACTGTTGTCTGCCGTCTTAACCCCGGCAACAACTCACGCTTCCTCTTGCGATCCATGGGCCTCAATCTGAGCTCGCCCGGACGTGATTTGGTATCTCAAGCAGAATTGTACGTCGTGCCCTTGTGCCCCCACATTCGCGACTTCTAAGGGAACATGAAGGACCAGTGAAAGTAGGACGTTGCAGAAGCAATGAAATGCATCTGAATTGGCGTTTGCGAGACGAGGGAGCCTGGTCGATTGTGTGCGAGATTGCTGGCAACTTTGTGGAATTTGCGATCCGATCTAGAGTTTGGCTTTGAAGTTCGAGCTTTCTGCGTATCGATACAGCAAAGACCGGAATCGTGCCGCTAGTCTAACCTTAACGCGACTTTGACTCACGAACAATTACTCTCCTTCACAATATTTGCACGAATATATAAATGTATTTTTTCTGGTATATTTATTCTATCTGGGACATTGGACGAATACTTTTCGGACGAAGTGAAAGTTTTTGCAAATTCATTCTCACGAGGCACTAAGGGGCCGACCCCTCACCTGCACGGAGCATCTGACTTGCCACACGCCAGTGAATGATGCCCAGACTATTGAGGAGCCGCTTTCACCAGCGATGTAGACTTTTTCATCTCGATATTCTAGACGAAAGCTTCCACAAGGAACAAACGTGTTCAAAGTAATGGCCGATGATTTGCTGTTGATCAGTACCAAAATGCCTTCTCCCCAACATCAATTAGACAGAGCCGCAACATCAAAGTCGAAGGCCAAGGGTCTCCTGAACTGGTCACCCCGCAGAGTGTCTGCTGGTATGGAGACCAAAATTACAAACATGTAATACCACAAAAAGACAGACGAAATGTCTTCCACAGAGGTGTGGTAAAAACAGCGGGAGATAAACTTTTCCTTTGGCTTTCGAGAGCTCAAAAATGGTGAGATACAGCTATGCCCGAGGTCTTTGGGATATAGATCGTCAGTTCGTTGTTTTAAGGTCCGGCAGAATCAGGCTGACCATAACTCCATGCTTCCCAGATCCGGCTCAGACGACGTTGGACAGGGACCTTGTTTTCGACAAGAAGCATTCATTCCATGGTGGAGATCACTATGGACATGACTATTACCTGATCTTGCTAGTCACCTGGAATCCTGCACACGGCGCACGAGGAGAACTTCATTTTGATGATCTGGCGTATGTCAGTTCGCTCATTTCAGTCCTTTTCTCGTTATTGGAGCAATGCAGTAGCGGCGTTACCACTGTTCACGGTACCTGACATCAATCGACGACCCCTGCCCAGTCTATCCAGTGCTCAAGTGGTGCAGCTAAGACAATCAATTCTACAACGAAGGGTTCGCTATATCTTGTTCCGAGTCGAAATGGGTATTCACCCTCTCTTGACCGATTGGCTTGAGTGCAAATGGTCGTGGCCTTACATATCACCAATGATAAGTTTCGGCTCGTCGTGTGAACATCGCCGCAATTCAATGCACTCCAAGCAGTCAACAAGTCCCTTGATTCCTCAGCTCCAGACTGGTTCCAAACTGTGGGACCGGCATTCGTTGGAGCACATGTAAGAGCCGCGCCATTGTTGCAGATGTAGCTAGAGACGTGCAGGCCAGAAAGGTGAGTCGCCTTCTGTTGAGAACATCGTACCTGATATGTGCTGAGTACTATTAAGGCATAGTTCAAAATTGAAAGAACTGGGTGATTTGGGTCATCACTAGACGATCCAGACTTATCCAGAGAAATGGTTGACAAGCCCATGCCAACCAAGATGATGTTCTTCGCAGAGCGAGTATATGTACCCAGAAGAAGTTTATTGGTCTCAGCGAGGTCCCATGGCAATGAAGTCAAAGCAAAGGACACATAGTGACCCACAATGCGAACGAAGACTTGACAGGTGGAATTCGTCTCCGAAAGGTATGAACTCGGTTTCATGCCAGCATTACTTGCATAGAAGAGGATCTGACACATCTCCGGACTGTAACATCAAGCCTGTCCAATGACCAATGGAGCTGACAAGAGAAAAAGCGCCAGAGGAGAAGACCTGGGATATCTGAATCGCGGGGTAAGGAAAAGCCCTCCGAGCTGTCTTCGGGAACATGCACTGTCACTGACGGGAGTGAAGGCTGGCTGCATCATAGATTTTTCCTTGGAGTCGTCGATTTCCTGGGCAGATCTTGACCATCAAATGTCGATGCGATTATACTTTCTTCTTATGTCGCACGTCTGGTTAGTGGCCATAGATAAGGCTAGTATTTAGTCCGCCCGGAGAAGCTTTGTAAACTCGTCGAGAACTCAGACAGCGCACCAATCAGCGCCAAGAGCAATAATATTTTTGCTGATAAGAACCAACACCAAATTCTCGCAGGTCGGGAAATATCAACCCTCCAAGATCTCCGCGGTACTGTCTCGATGCAAGCACTTGCAGTCTTGCTGTACCTGCTAGCATCCCGCATTCTGGAAAGCCCACCAGATCGGTCCACCGACGTTGACTTCCGCGCAGATAATCGTCACTGCCCACAACAGCCCAGAACCCGAGGTTTGTACGAAGGGGAAGAAAGACTCTGCCTCCATTGGAGCCCGTCGAAACATGACGGCCGGCTGCTTATTGTACTTTGCTTCTCCACCATTTTCCTTTCCTCCTCTTTTCATCTTGTATGCTATGAATACATCTTGAGTGCTACCGTACCTTCTATCTTTGTTTTTGCATGCATTGAGGCACCTTCTGCAAGGCTGATCGACCCCCTCCCCTGCAATTCTTTCATCAGTTCGAGGGTGTCCAATACACGGATAGTACACATCTACCAATCATCGCCAAGTCCTTCTCACTCATAGACGATGGCGACCCAGATATCAACAGAGTCTTCTACTTTCTCAGACACACAAACAAAGAAACCTCGACGAGATGCTTCAACGATCTCATTCCAATTTCCACCTACGCCTCCCAAGTCTGAGTATGGGAATGGAGAGTATGATGAATTCTATCCAAATTCGAGAAGGACAAGTTCAGCAGCATCACTTCGATATCCGCTACCTCCTCCGTCAAATCCTCCTACAGAGATTCTCAAAGAAGACCTGAAAACTCCCGACAACCACGTACCCCGCGATCCTCGATTAATACGCCTTACTGGTATCCACCCATTCAATGTCGAAGCACCTCTTAGTGCCCTCTATGATGAAGGCTTCCTCACGTCACCCGAGCTATTCTATGTCCGAAATCATGGCGCCGTACCTCAAGTTGACGATGCATCTATTCCCGATTGGGAGTTTACTATTGAAGGAATGGTTAAGCGTCCAATAAAGATGACTTTGAGAGAACTTATTGCAGAGTACGAACAAATTACGGTTCCAATCACTCTTGTCTGTGCAGGAAATCGACGGAAGGAGCAAAACCAAGTCAGGAAATCAAAAGGTTTCTCATGGGGTGCTGCCGGTGTTTCAACGGCCTTATGGACGGGGGTTTCTCTCATGGATTTGATCAAGAGGGCTATGCCAATGAGAGGCGCTAAATACGTGTGTATGGAAGGTGCTGACAAGCTTCCAAATGGTTACTATGGCACGTCGGTGAAGCTGAACTGGGCCATGGACCCGAATAGAGGCATCATGGTTGCGTACAAGATGAACGGAGAGATGCTTCGCCCTGACCACGGCAAACCATTGCGAGTAGTTGTGCCTGGACAAATCGGTGGTCGAAGTGTCAAGTGGCTCAAGAGACTCATTGTCACAGCGGCACCTAGTGATAATTGGTATCATATCTACGACAACAGGGTTCTTCCTACCATGATCAGTCCCGAACAAAGTGCCAACGAGCCGAAGTGGTGGATGGACGAACGATACGCTATCTATGATTTGAGCACGAACAGTGCTACCGCATATCCAGCCCACGAGGAGCAAGTCTGTCTGGTGAACGGCCCAGAAACGTACCGAGCTCGAGGATACGCTTATGGAGGAGGCGGAAGGAGGATAACGAGAGTGGAAGTAACGCTAGACAAAGGCAAGTCATGGGCTTTGGCCGACATCAGATACCACGAGGATGACTACCGAGATCAAGTCGACGAAAACGAAATGTTATTTGGTGGCAAGCTGGATATGGGTTGGCGAGAAACATGCTTCGCATGGTGCTTTTGGGAAATCGACCTGAAAGTTGAGGATATGAAGCTTTCTGGAGACATCATGGTGAGAGCGATGGATGAGAGCATGAATGTCCAACCACGTGACATGTACTGGAGTGTCCTTGGAATGATGAACAACCCTTGGTATCGAGTAACGATCAGCAAGGAAGGTGATTATCTTCGTTTTGAACATCCCACACAACCTGCTCTTATGCCAGGAGGATGGATGGAAAGAGTGAAAGCAAAGGGTGGAAACCTCAGTAATGGATTCTGGGGAGAGAAAATGGGTGGAGAAGGAGAAGAAGAGGTTATTGTCGAGGCAAAGACCGAAGTGAAGATGACTAAAGACGGTCTTGACAAAGAAATTACGATTGATGAATTACGAAAACACGACACTGATGAAAACCCCTGGTTTGTGGTTAACGGAGAAGTCTATGACGGAACAGCTTTCCTAGAAGGTCATCCTGGAGGAGCAACTAGTATCATCGGAGCAGCAGGTCAAGATGCCACTGAAGAATTCATGGCTATTCGTAAGTCTTGTCTTATCTTATTATCACAATGTTCTCACTAAATATGATTTAGATTCCGAGACAGCCAAAGGCATGATGCCACAATACCACGTTGGTTCCCTTGATGAAGCATCCCGCCGCGTTCTCCAAGACCCCGTAGAAACCATTCCCTCGGAATCTAGCACGCCTCGCCCAACTTTCCTCCAATCAAAACAATGGACCAAAGCCATTCTATCATCCAAAAAGTCAATATCAGCCGACACACGCATATTCTCCTTCTCACTCGAGCACGAAGAACAAATCATTGGGCTGCCAATTGGCCAGCATCTCATGATGCGTCTCCGAGACCCGGTTACCCGAGAAGCCATAATCCGTTCCTACACTCCCATATCCGAAGGAACAGACAAGGGCGTCCTGGATATTCTTATTAAGATCTATCTCGACACCGACGATACACCAGGTGGAAAGATGACCAAAGCCCTCGATGCCATCCCCGTTGGCCATTTTGTCGATTTCAAAGGCCCGACAGGACATTTCGAGTATCTTTCCAAGGGCAGATGTACGATCTCCGGGAAAGAGAGGAAAGTGAAGAAATTCATTATGATCTGCGCCGGAAGTGGAATTACGCCCATCTTTCAAGTCTTACGAGCCGTGCTTAGCGACAAGGAAGACGAGACGGAATGTCTGGTTCTAGACGGCAATCGACTAGAAGAGGATATTCTTTGCAAGGAAGACATGGATCGTCTGGTGAAGGGCAACGAGCATCGTTGCAGACTTCTTTACTCCCTAACAAAACCCGGAGAAGGATGGACAGGTCTAAAAGGACGATTAAGCAAAGAATTACTCGAGAAAGAAGTCGGTACCTGTAAAGTACAGAACGGAGAGGAGCTGGTGCTTATTTGCGGACCGGGTGCGTTGGAGAAGAGTGTTCATAGCCTATTGAACGGAATGGGCTGGAAGGATGAGCATTTGTTGTTCTTCTAGTTCTTTGGTAGCGGAGCATTTTTTATGGGGATTCAAGTTGTATATACTTTTGGGCAGGCTGTCATGCCGGAAGACCCGATTGTGCATGAGTCACTTTGGGATGGCGTACATATTGCATTGCATATCTTACGTTGAACACGCATGGGATATTGGCATTGGCATCTTTCTGCATAGTCACTGTTCCTGTGAAATGTTGCGAACGGTCATAGGTAGACGTGTTATTCCATATAGTCATCACAGAGAACTGGACAATATTTACCTTGAGGTGTCCGATTCAAAGGGATCTCCGCTGTGGGCGGGATATGCGCATTTTGCGCGATCTGCGGTCTCGACCGTCAATCATAAAATTCTAGGCATTTATTACACACAGCGAATACTCATAAAATTGATGTATGGGTCAGCACTCTTCTGCTTTACTTAAAGTGAGTAATCTGCGGGAAGTGAGGTTTGAAGCATCTACCTGGTGTAAGGAGAGACAGCATATGTATTCATCATTTCACGATAATTAGAAGACCATCTTTAGTCGAATCATTGCTCTCAACAATTTGCACATCACATAGATATTATAAGAAAATTCAAGATGCAAGATGTTCTTTTTCTACTCATGATCTACCAAAGCCAAACCAGCCCTTCTTCTGCTGTTGTGCAGTTTGCTGCTCAGCTGCTTTCTCACCACCACCAGACACGCCCTTAACTCCATTTCCAGCCTTCTCCTGCACTTCTCGGCCAGGGTACTCGATGTAGTTCCACGCCGCATCAAAGAACAACGGCTTAACAGGAATCGGCTCCAACTTCGGTGGATACGTAACCAAGTTTTCGAGATCGACTTCTTGGGATGGATACTCGTTCAGTTTCTCGATTAAGGGCTGTCCGTTTTTGAGGCTCGAGTTATTCTGCTGGGGTGAGTTGTTGAAATTGGAGAGTTCGACGAGGGCTCTATGGCGTTGGAGTTCGGCGTCAAGGAGGGACTTGAGGAATGTGGCTTCTGAAGGGGATATGGTGATATTTGGTGGCGAGGAAGAGTCGGAGGTGTCCATGGATGAAGAGAGATGCTGATGAGCTAGAGTGCTCTTTTCTGATGCTCGGGCGAGAAGGGCGAGGGCATTCTTGGGGTTGGACAATAATGCATGAGAACGAGCGATTGTGAGACATCTTAAGTGGAAGGTTAGTTAGCAATGGCTGTGATCGCAGGGGTATCAACTTACTTCAGTGCAGAGAAGTAATGGTGCTTTGATTCTAGCTCTTCGAGAAATTCTGAATCAGCAGCAACGCCAGGAAGCTCCTTGATCGAGTCTAAACTTTGTAGAATTGCGTCATACAATACTGCCTTCTCGCGGAAATGAGCAAGCTTTCGGCCCGTCCCTTCTTCCTTTACTGGCTTCTGGTTCTTCTTCTTGCTCTGGTGAACAGTAGGAGTGTCGAGTGCGGTTCCGTCCCGCTCGCCAACTAGAACTCTGTTTCGTCCTATTCGCCAGCTGACCATTTCATAACTGACTGCTGTCCTGGTAATTTGTAGACTTTGCATTCGCTTGTCACCTTGGCCCACACTTTCTCCCACCAACTCATCGATTGCGTGCTTCGTAGCGTCTACGGCATCCTGGCTTGCAATAAGAATATCATCGTATGCAGATGCTCGTTCTTTGGCCTGAACTGCTGTGACAGATGCCAATGTTTCGGACAACTTCTTTGCAGCTGCGTTAACTGACGCTAACGTAGATGCAATTGCTGCATCCTCAATATCCACTGTACGTGATCTCCAAGTAATCGTTTTCGGGACATCTCCAGATTCTGCAGCTTCGGCTCTGGCTCTTGTCGGGTGCTCATTAAGTACATCGGGGTCTAATTTCTCGACATCAGAGACTAGCTTGCTATCCGACCTGGGAAAGTATTTCCTCGCTATGGTAGGAATAGCAACGGTTCTGGGCAATCTCATCTGGTATGCTCCATAACGTATACTTGGATCGACTGGGTCTGACAGCAGATCCTTGAACATATCGCTCTTTGTAGATGTAGCCAGTGCACTGTATATGATCCGAGCTTCGGAGTAACTCTTCACACACTCCTCCCAGTTCTGCTTCTCGAACTCCTTGGCTCCAGCGAGTGAAGCTGCATACGCACGTGCTTCCAATACATCTTCGCTGTTGGCACCAGTCTGACTGAGGTCGGTGAGAAGTTCGAAGAGGTTCCTGGCATACACAGTGGCTTTGTGTAGCCTTGAGATAATGTGCGATCGAGTTGAGCCAGTAATACCTTGCTTGTCTGCAGAATGTACCTCTCTCATCGACATAGCATGTGCCCAGGCGCGTTCGGAGGTAAGGAGTACTAGATTGACGAATCTAAAGCCAGGTTAGAACATCATAACCTTCTGCACCGCCGATGTGTATCTTGAACTTACTCATGATTGCGCCCAATGTCCTCTGCCGTCACTGGGGTTTTGCTTGTATATTTGGCGGGGGCCTTCTTTGTCGCAACGCCAAGTTTTCGTCGCAGGTTGTGAATACGATTAGACAGCTGTGTCCGATAGCTGCTATAGTCGCCATATAGCTTTGCCTTGTCTCTGCCAGAGACAACAAACTTGGTGACCTCCATCCTTCAAGTTGTGTCAACTCTTTTCGAACAATTGTGTAGTGGGGTCGATTCGCTGCTGACTGTCAGTGTCCGAGCGCTAGACATCGGACCATTCTGCAGTTCACCGAGGACGCTAGCGCTCCTGAAAATAATAATTCGATGTCGTGCAAGACTCATGAGCTTTTGCCTCCTAACCAGTCCGTGTATTTGGGTCTTCAACATAGCCAAAGACTTGTCGCATTTGTGTCTTTGGCAAATCAAATCTGCAATTGAGAACTGATATAAGCTTCTCGAAGCATGTGTAGTGTGGTATTACAACTCATTTCTTATTTATCATATATTACTTCTTGTTAGTAGCTAACTTCTTGATCTTTAGAAATCGTCTGTCCATCCGGGAAAGAACTTTAATCTCACGAGAAAACTTTACAACATAGTCGAAAAGTCTATTTGATGTTATTAGGGAGCATAGGGCATGCTGGAGCGCACTGCAGGATGTCTAGAATCAGGCAGTCTGCGGCGCCTGTTGCCAGCGTCAAGGAAGTCTTTGAAGAGTTGTCGCACACTTCACTCCGGCTTCTGGGCGCACGGCGGAGGTGACCTTGAGCTTTCTCCATTCTGGGCTGCTCTTGTTCAAGCTACAACTCCAGCTCCCGCCGAGCAAGAGGAGGTGCCGTCTACCTCCAGAAGTCTAACGGGGCATACGGGGATACTTCTAGATTTCCTATATCCTGCCGGGACTCTCAACTTTCTGCGGCAATACTCAAACTGGAGTCTGGATCGGCAAGATGGGCGATGGGCGAGGTATGGAGGGGCGAGGATCAGTCAACGTCAATACACTTCTTCAGCAAAAGATAACATGCCAGATACAACTGTCGTATTCACGCCAATGCAAAAAGAGGCGAAGACGAGCACGAAGGACTCGAACACCTCGACTGATGACGATAATATTGATATGCTGGTTAGAAAAATGAGCTTGAACAGGACTACCGATTTTGAAGAAGCGTGGCGGCAATATCTTCTACTACCGTCCGATGAGCAATACATTTTCCGACCTCAGTTGATGCTCTATCTTTCTCCTTCCGACAGGCCCCTCGATGCTGAGAGAGTGATAGATATTTTTGAAAACTTGGGAGAAGAGCAGAAGACAAAAAGCATGTACCGACTTGTGGTCAGATCTTTTTTAAGAATGCGAAATCTGGCGGATGCGATGCGATTGCACCACATGGCTATCGAGAAGCTCGCAATACCTGCAGGGTCGGAGGAGCTGCTTGCGTATCTCTTTGAGAATGGGTCTTGGACACGCGCTATGTCTCTCTGGGAGGATGTCACAAAGGTCGAAGCTCAGCGATCAAATCAAGCGTACAACATATATGGAGTTCTTGACGAGCATCCCAATTTTGCAACTCAAGTATTTGAGTTAGTCGAAGATGTCAATCGCAGACAGGGCATTGAGTCTAGTGATCCGGAGATGACCTCGAGACTCTTGGAGTTCGCTGCCGAGCTGGTCCAGCGGGCATTGCTGTCCACTACGGCCTTTAAGCCATACAAATTCGGTTCTCTATTGCAAATCTTGCAAAAGTGGAAACTTGACAAACCTGTGGTGTACGTGCAAGCGATGCATATGCTTCTGGATTTGAATCAATCTAAGCTGGCAGTACAGTGTTACCGGCATGCTCGCCGTGAAAATGCTAGTTTCTCAAGGCAAGCACTCACACAACTGTTAAAGATATTCTGCGATCATCACAACGTTCTTGGCATGAAACAAATTCTGGATGACTTTTTTCGCATCTATGGAAGGCCAAGTTGGTATGCATACAAGCTGTGTCTGCAAGAATTCGCTGCCAAAGGTGATGCCCGTACTGTTCATGCCCTCTGGGAGCAGTATATCACCCGTTTCACGTCTGACAGCCCATATGGGGTTATGTCTGGGGCAGATTTCGCACCAATTCTCCATGTCCATGCCACTAGAGGCGAACTACACGAAGTGATTAAGTGGTTCGGTAAGATGCAGACGGTTTATCGCGTACGACCAGTAATTCTATGCTGGAACATTCTCCTGAACGCGTATGGAAAAGTCCAGGATTACGAAGGTGCGTACGCTTGTTTCGAGGAGCTACTCAACGACAGCACATGCCGGCCAACTCATTGGACTATTGGTACTATGATGGGAATATGTACTCAGCAGGGCGATATCGATCGCACTATCGAGCTTTACATGCTGGCCGAAAACCTGGGCATCGATAAAAGCTTGGCCATGCTAGATAATTTGGTTCTCTGCCACATCCAAGACGACGACATTGAACAAGCGGAGAAGATTTGTGTCCAAGGACTCAGTATGCAACTGCAAGGAACCAGAACGCGGATGTGGAATAACCTTCTGGTTGCTTACGCTCAGCGCCGGGATTTGAACAACGTGAACCGGGTTCTACAACGCATGTCTGAGGCTGGTATTGATTATGATCTCTACACCTATTCCGCGTTAATGCAGGCTCTGTGTATGGTGAAGCAACCAGACCGTGCATACCAGATACTCCGAGAAGTCATGCCTGAAGCTGGTATCAGGGCCACGAACTTCCATTACGCTGTTGTTATGGGTGGCTTTGTTGCCAATGGCGAGCCGAAGAAAGCTTTCTATGTGCAAAATCGTATGTTGAAGGGAGGACTGAGGGATTCTGGAAGCACGAAGTTGATAGCGCTGAAGGCCGGACTTGCCAAGGACGAGAAAATGTTCATTGATGGCACACCTCAGGAAGTGATGCAAAGAGCGATGCAAATGTTCCAAGATGCCATGGCGACAATGGATACCGAAGACATTGTAGCCGTCCCGAAAAAAGGTGCCGCTCGATATTCCATGGACGTCGCCTACCCGTCCATGTTCTATAGCTATGTGATGCATATTCTTGCTTCGAGCTCGGACACAGCTTCAGTCGATCAACTTTATGCCGAATTTATGAGCATTCTTCCGGAATCTCGTCAAGAGCACACGCCTCTCCAAGTCATGTCAGCTCTGATGTTTGCTAAACTTCGCGACGAAGACCATAACAGCGTTGAAGAGTGTTGGCGTCTCTCTTTGGCACAGGCAAAGGAGCGGGGACAACCGTTGCCTCCCATCTCGACTGGATCCCCAGAGCACCACAGCAACGAACCCCCGCTTTCACCACATAAAATTGTGCCAGCTCATCGATACGATATTTCCAAGCATGTCTACTTGTACCTGGATTCTCTAGCTATGCAGAACAAGATAACCACCATGATCGAAACCGTAGACGGTGTCATCGAAGACGGTTTCTTCCTCGACAACCGCACCTGGAACCACTACATCCAACTCCTCTCCCAGAAATACAGCTACAAGCTAGCTTTCCAACATTGCGAGCAGAAGCTGATGGACAACTGGACCGGTTGGCAAATGATTCGATGGCAGGCACCAGTACGCAACCGTCTGCCGTTCGACCTCCGCAATCTCCGCAAACAAAGCAAACATCTACGACCGATCCACATCACATTACTCTACCTCGCCCGATCGCTTCTAGATATCCAGTCCATGGCTGCGGAATCTAGGTCTACCGAAGTGCTTTTAGATGATATACGACACAGTTGCCCGAAGACGGTGAAGGCGATTGAGACGATGCCGCGAACTGATACTGAGATTGAGAGACGGATACTTAGAGAATGGTAGGAGGTGTTTTAGTAGGGTGTTGTGGGTGTTGTGGGTGTTAGATCCGTGTGTTGTACTATACTTGTATTTCAGAGCGATTAGAATTGTACAATATGTACAAATGTATGAAATACTCCACGTCAAACTATGTTCACTTGCGTCTGGTGAATTCAAAGATTGTCGGGAAAGGAGTTGAAGACTTTGGACCTTGAAGCTCATTTTCACATTCAAACCTTTTATTCTCGTTTAGACACAAGGACAACCAAAACAAACAGGACTAAGAAACAAAGTCACAATTTCAAGAACGTAGTTCAAGGCCGAAAAAATAATAATATTCAAATTCTTATCTAGATTCAACAAAACTACACACGAAGTTAACCAAGAATAAGGAAAGGGGACGACTTATCTCCAACAAGCATTTATTGCCAATCTTTTCCTTTTCCTGACTCGGGTTCTAGCAAAGGGTGGATGTTTGGCCACGTTAGTCATTCAGTCAGTCAGTTACAAGGTATCATTTATCTCCTTTTGTTTGGCTTTGGGAGTTAGGTACTGACCTGTGAGGAAAAAAAGGGCGGAGAGATGAAAGGTGAGGGGAGGAGATGGATCTGTGAATTCATGAGCGCTGGGGGGCTGGAGACTTACGGTGAGAGGTTATATATGCTTTTTTTTTGGAAGTCTGTCATGTGGTTGAGACAATTGTATGGGATGCGTCTGCGTTGTATCAGTGGTTGTTAGATCTGAGTTGTTAGCAGGAAGCATGTGGGAAAGGGAGTCCAGTTTGGGAGGTTAGGAAATACTTCAAGATCGGGGCCAGGGATCAGCTGTAGTCCTCAAGGAGGCAGTTCCATTGGATCTTGATCCTGTAGAAGTAAAGGGTTTGGCCCTGCCGGAGTCCGGTAGCTGGCTTATCCAGAAATAAGTTTGCTACTGATGACCAGTTAGTAGGGTGAATGCTGTCAAGGAAGAGGGGAGAATCAAACGTTGAATCAAGATGAGTTTAATAGGTTCTGTTTCCTGGAGATTACATTAGCTTTTAGGAAGGAAACTTATATGCGATAGTTGTATCCTAGGAAGACGCCGGCCGCGTCCTAGAAATATTTTGGGATACTCGGTAAGCACGAGAAGTCCAGTCTAGTTAGTATAATTCCAGAGTTCTTGCTTGATGGGGCGGTTAGTATCCTAGGGAAAGTTGAGGTACCTGGAGCCTTAATGAGATTCCACCCATAAGTTCTGCTGATTCCAGTTAGCTTGCAAGGGGTACGTACAGCTCTGTTCTTGGCAGGAATCCATAACCAGGTTCCAAACAAAAGTCGCCGGAGAGAAAACTGAAGGCTCGAGGAAGTGGTCACTGAGGTCCAGGGTCAGAGATCCTGAAGTATTGAGGTTCCAAGTATTCCTAGAGTCGTAACCAAATAGATGTGTAGGTGTCGCTTGATGTCGAAAATCTGTATCACTTTTAGCGTTCTTGGGAGGGAGCTTACTCTGCAGAGGGTGGAAGAGATCGAGAAAGTTAGAGCAAAAAGGACATTGGCCAAGATTCGTTGTTTCCGCAAATTGCCAGAAAGGGGTGTTCTCAAAGATGAACAAGGGTGATCCAGCTCCTGGATGTCAAGCGTATGAAGTCGTGAAGATATCTAGGGAACTGGATGGTTACGACTCACAGGGTAGAGTGAGTTATAGTTCATGGGATTCATACCATCTGTAATAGCTTGACTGTTGGTATCACAGGCTGGATCCAGACCAGATGTCCAAGCAGTCCAGAAGTCGGGTTCGTTTGAAATTCTTGCTTGTCTTGATAAGTGGTTGCCATGGATTTGTTTCGATATTCAGATCCGGACTCCGGATTTTAGAGCTATGAAGTAGTGAACGTGGCCGCTCTGAGGGACCTATGTATTAGCAGGAGTATACAGCAGAGATGATCATGCAGGCTTCGGGTTGACAGTATGTTCCGCGTTCGAAGACAAAGCAGGTCAGATCGATGATGCAGAGAATCCAGTGTGTACATATTCTTCCAGTCCTTCTTTTGGCTCGATCTTTGAATGAATTTCTGTTCTCTGCATTAGTGACTTGCACAAAGAGAGGGGCCCGGTATGAGGCAGGTATTAACGCGGTTTGGTAATGTAGAGCGACTTGGCTGCTTTTATGATCTGAAGAATTGTTGGTGGAAGATCGCTTTGTGTTCGGTGGTTGGGAACGATTTGTGTTTCTCGTACTTCCAGGTTTCCTGTACTGTGTTAATACATCTCTTGAATACTGTGGAATGGAACGGGTATCAATCGGTAGAAAATGTTTTCAATCTTGGTCCGATTTGTTATCCTGTATTGGGTTGTTCGCTTGAAGAGGCTCTTGGAGGCTGGTGATGGAACTTTTACTACGAAGTACTCTTCTCTATTATATAAAACCTCGCAGAAATGACGTCTGATTATGCCCGCCCACACGGCCGAGAAGGCTATTCGGCGATGAGGCTCAAAACATTAGCTTCGCACGAGAGCGTCGGCACCTTTCACACCAGCCTCGATCAGCCACATCTGATCACGATTCAGAAGCTCGCCAGGATCGAGCATAAGATCAATCGATTACGCGAGGATCTGTTTTGGCAGGGCTGAGCTTCGTCATCATCCTTAAATGTTCTAGAAATAGCACCGACGAAGAGGATACACGAGTCACGTGAGCATGCACTCCTCCGAGCCTGCGGAAAAAGGGGCCGAATTGAAGGAGGACCAGTAATAAAAGGAACAATAACCAATACAATACGAATGGAGCTCTCCTGTCTGTGTTTGAGAGGAATGGGCAAATTTCTGCCTCTTTTGGGCCTGCATAGGCTGAGGTGTAAATTCTCAGAAAAACAACTTCACAACCAATTGGCCTCACTGGGATTTTCCAAGCGCAGGCGACTTATATTACATATACTTAGATATAGGTTAAAAGCCAGAGGACTATCCCTCAGAGCTGAAGAGGAATTTGTGTGGACAGTAAAGGAGGCAGACGAATGAGGAAGTGTCCGAATGAAGTCTCCAGAAACTACTGCCGTGACACTTGTTCACGGAATCCCATTGGAGCAAAGTTTCTTGAAACGCAGGTACGCATAACATGCCGTGTTCACACAGATCCGCACTTGTAGTGTCCGTTCGCAGAGCCTCAGAAGCCACTTCCGTGGTAAAAATGCAGGTGGCAAACTTTCAACCTCGGTTTCGAAAAGAATGGAAAAGCGAAAAGCCAGACCTTGCAAAGAAGAAGTCGATCTCGAGAAAATGTGGAGAAGGGTTGAGACTGGCTAGTGGCGCCAGTGGCGATGCCAGGTGGCTGGAATATCTGGTCGCAGGGTCGACTTTGGTGCTTACGTAAGGCATCGAGGCAAACAAAGGGGTCCTCTCCCAACAGATTGTGTTGAGCTTGCCTCGAAAGAGAAATAAGTGGACTTCTCGCATTCTGTCTGGTGGTTGTTTCTATGTGGCACGGCGCCATGCAGGTCCCCTGATATTTTGACATCGGGCCAAACACGTAACGAAGCGCGAAGTGAAGCACGACAAGAGGCCATGCTGACGAGAAATATAATCGAATGAAGCAAAAGCACCTCAAGATATCGAAAGGAACAAATAACGGGACGTGCCAATGCACGTTGCTGAAGAAGTTAAGGGACAACCGGCAAAGATGCAAGTTCGAGAAGGTGAACCCTGAATTTCTTTAGCGGAAACGATTTGGGAACTTTATTTTGCGGTTGGACAAGATCAGACGAACAGACTTCCGCCTGGTGGTGATGAATGAAAGAAAGAAAGAAAGAACAACAACATGAATGTGCGTGATACCTATGGTGATCCACAGAGTTTTCATGATGATAGAATGTTCGGACTGGCGGATGTGACTTCTCCAGCTCTGAATGTCATGTTCGTGAGGTTCCTTCTTTTTGGATGGTCCAAGCTTCTTGGAGAATTTGTTGGGACACGACGAAGAAGGCACGCAGCATCATCCTCGGGACGACGCAAACAATTCACTCGTGATAATTCTGCAGCAGTCATTCGATCTGGACGCGTAAATCCATCGCCCATTCGAATCTCAGGCCATTCCAATCGCGGTCCCATCAAATTTTACCTTTCCGCCTGGAAGAAGTCGGAGCGCGTACAGTACAGTTCAGGAAACGAGTTGCGACTGCCCCAGTCTAGTCCAGTCCAGTCCAACCTTCCAACTTGGATCCACAGTCTTTCTCGCACCCCAACGCTAGTTCCCCCACCGATCTCAACAAGCCCCTCTTCAAACTCGCAAAAAAACGTTACCGACCACTTACTAGGGCTTAGTGCATTTGAAACACTTTGAGCTTTATAACTCTTTTCCTCTCCGCCTCCCACCCTCACTTTTCCTCTTCCTTCCTCACGACATTCCACCTTCCTCTGCCATCCCACAACCATGGCAACTCACGCACAACAACCTCCATCATCGATGGCTTCTCCATCAGAGCCCATTCGTAACAAGAAGTACGATCCCAAGAAGCCACACATCACCGAGGAACCCATTACCAAGTACAACTGGTACAAGCACGTAAACTGGCTGAATGTCACCCTCATCGTTGGTCTGCCAATATACGGTCTCGTTGCTTCCTACTGGACCCCTCTGCAATGGAAGACCGCTGTCTGGGCTATTGCCTACTATTTCATGACTGGTCTTGGAATCACGGCCGGTAAGCTCACACTTCTCGGACCCTTTTAGTGAAAAGTTACTAACATTGCAACCGCAGGTTACCACAGACTTTGGGCACACACTTCATATTCCGCGACAACTCCCCTGAAGATCTTCCTGGCTGCTGTTGGTGGTGGAGCCGTCGAGGGTTCAATCAGATGGTGGTCGAGAGATCACCGAGCCCATCACAGATACACCGATACCGACAAGGACCCATACTCCGTCCGCAAGGGTCTTCTCTATTCTCACATTGGATGGATGATCATGAAGCAAAATCCCAAGCGTATTGGCCGTACCGATATTTCCGACTTGAACGATGATCCAGTCGTTGTCTGGCAACATCGCAACTATATCAAGACTGTTATCTTCATGGGCATGGTCTTCCCCTGCCTCGTCACCGGTCTTGGATGGGGTGACTGGATGGGTGGTTTCATCTACGCCGGTATCCTGCGAATCTTTTTCGTCCAACAAGCCACCTTCTGCGTCAACTCATTGGCCCACTGGCTCGGTGACCAGCCATTCGACGACCGCAACTCTCCTCGTGACCACGTCATCACTGCTCTTGTCACTCTCGGAGAGGGCTACCATAACTTCCACCACGAGTTCCCTTCCGACTACCGCAATGCTATCGAATGGCATCAATATGATCCCACTAAGTGGTCCATCTGGATCTGGAAGCAACTCGGTCTTGCCTATGATTTGAAGCAATTCAAGCAAAATGAAATTGAGAAGGGCCGTCTCCAACAATTGCAAAAGAAGCTCGACCAGAAGAGACAGACTCTCGACTGGGGTATTCCTCTGGAGCAACTGCCAATCATCGACTGGGACGAGTATCAAACCCGAGCCAAGAACGGTGACGCCCTTGTTGCTGTTGCTGGTGTCGTTCACGATGTTGGTGCCTTCATCAAGGAGCACCCAGGTGGAAAGGCCTTGATCACCTCTGGCATAGGCAAGGACGCTACCGCTATCTTCAACGGTGGTGTCTATAACCACTCCAATGCTGCACACAACTTGCTATCTACAATGCGTGTCGGTGTCATTCGAGGAGGTTGCGAGGTCGAGATCTGGAAGCGAGCACAACGGGAAAACAAGGACATCTCCTTTGTCTCCGACTCAGCAGGAAAGAAGATCATCCGGGCTGGAAGTCAGGTTACGCGCATAGCAGAGCCAGTGGCATCAGCCGATGCTGCGTAAATTTCCTGTGCTATGAATAATGAGTCGATGACAAAAAGATATGTCTGGCTGAGAGACCTCAAAAGATTGCATTTTGCTTGTTGTTTCTGAGCGTGGGATTTTTTTAGAAGGCGTTATCGGTGGGACACGTCTTTTTTATTCCATAACATCTCTCGAATGAGCGAGAGCATAGCAAGCACATTCATGCACTCATTGTATCTCACGGTATTGTAACAATTTTGTGGGGAATGGGTTGGGGTGAGATGAGTAAATAGGCCTAGGGGTCTGAATCACAGTGAAATACAAGAATACATTCACCAAAACCTGTGTACTAAACCTGACTTGAGTGATCGTCTCCCACGACTTATCAACCGACCAACCATTCCAGAGTGTCAGTATCACATGTCTCTCTCCATCTCTTTCGTTCTCGCTTTCGGCTCCACAGCTCCCAACGAAACACATCTACACGTCATACAGTACCTAGGTAAGTATCATATGCCAAAGCCAGAACACCCAATACTCGAAGTTGGCATTTGTTGAAAATTATTGTTGAATTTGAAAGAGGGAGATAAGGAAGACCTGTGTTTATCGAACGGAAAAGAGCATGTGAAAGTTGTTTTTTTGGTGATTGGTTAATATGCACAAGTAGTGGAAGGATAGGGGAATGACATGTGAGAGAGATAGGTGGGAGTGATTGAGTTTGGCTTTGGGGTTACGGGACGGGGAGGCTACTGGTAGTGGTGGTGTTTAGGTAGGGTAGCTTTCGGCCGGCGAACGAAGAGTTTGGGGGCTTTTTATTTTGTTGCGTGTCGTGATGCCTGAACAGGTTTTTGGGGATTGTGAGGTTTTTGAGTGAGATGGAGAGATGGAGAGGGGAAAGGGGAAGGATGAAGGGATTTTTGTTGCACGTCGCACAGGAGTTCACTTCCGCTGGGCAGGGGGATCGAGCCCCGATGTTCCGAGGGGGCGGAGGTGGGTTCCGGCGAATAAGATATAATAACTATTCGTTATTGATACATATCAGGGTGGGTTAGGGGAGGCGGGGAGAGTAATGTTGTATTTGTATTGAGGGTTTGTTCTATGTTCTATGGCATTTCTGCTTTCTTTCTTGCTTTCTAGGTCTTGAGTGAACACCATTATTGGATGGATTATAATCATATCTTCGGTATCTCGGGATCAATACTGACTATTACGGCAACCATCATTAGTACATTTTTGACTTATGGGGAAATAGGGACGGATAACCTTTCCCATGCTCACAAGTCGCCATAATAGCCCCGTCTCTCTCCCTTCTCATAACACCCTTCAAACTACAAAGTCTCTTTCCAGCATGCACGACCTCACTTTCAACTAACACCGCCTCGCCCGCAGGGATAGGACGAATGTACGTTACGTTCAAGGTTCGGGAGACGCCTGCATAGACCCAGAAGCCGGGTTCTGCAATCGGTGCTAAGGCTGTGGTTGTTGCGGCGTCGCTGGGTGGTGGTTAGCATCATAATCGCTTCCGACTAGAAATGGGGTATAACAGAAGTGCTACTCACAAAATGGTCGAGGTACAGCCACCGTGCAGGTTCCCGAGTCGGTTGCAGTGTTCTGGCTTGACGACGTATCTGAATACTGTCTTGCCGGGGTTCTTGGACGCGGAGAGGAGTTTGAGATCGGAGCGGAACATTGATGCTGCCCAGCCCTGGGTTGGTGTTAGTTTGTGGTATTTGAGAGGTAGATTGGTTATAGAAGAAACGTGGTGTGGGTGTTTTTGGAGATGATTGTATGAAAATTTTGCTGCGAAGTATGAAGGGTCTTGTTTCGACTCTGGATTGAACAGGTCGACTGTATCAACAATTCCTTCTAAGGAGACTACCACAGGACGTTTTGAAGTCTACAGCACTTGAGTAACATCGAAATGCTATAATACAATGGGAAAAAAACATTGAGTCTTTGGATGTATACTTTGATGTCCTGTCTGAAACTTCCACCTTCGAGACAGATCTACAGAAGAGAACTCGCCATGCAGGACTTATAGAAGCAGATACAGAATAAAACAAGAAGGACGAGTCAAGCACGCACACCTGGATCAAATCTTCACCAACAAAACGAATGTCGACATGCTTACTTGGTATATATCCTCGCTCAATGAATCGAAAAATAATCCCTTGACTCTATCCTCAGATGAAACATCGTCGTCAATTGAAATTCCTATCAGTTCTTTCCCCTCAGCCACTCCAGGCATCGAAACCTTCGTCTTCTTAGGAGTCATAATTCCTGATCGTACAGTTGTTGAGAGTTCCAAGAACCATCTTCAAGATCTGGGGTACAGACGCCGAAGTGGTACTCCGGTACCGAGGCTGATACGTTTCTGCTCGGATTCGGGTAAGCGTCCGAATCGGGATTAACGCGCCAAGATTTTCGTCGCGTATCGTGCATTTGACTGTTTACATCGCGATTTTTGGTGTAAATAAAGACGACAAATTCGACAATACCAGCGACGACGTCGCCGTTACGCCAAAATGAAGATTGTGGAAGTTATCATTGATGTATGCGACTATGCTAAATGTTTGTGAGAATCTGCTGACAAGCACAGGGCTTCAAGTCGTACGCTGTACGCACTGTTATTTCAGGATGGGATGGTAAGATTATTCGCTGCACGATGAGTGCACTGCTGATCCCTTTGTAGATTCTTTCAATTCGATTACGGGTCTAAATGGAAGTGGAAAGAGCAATATATTAGACAGTCTGTGTTTTTGCCTGGGCATCACACAGTTGACCACAGTTCGAGCGCAGAATCTCCAGGTATTTACTCCTCTGCCCTCTGTAGCGTTTGATGCTGATACCATATGCTAGGATTTAATTTACAAGCGTGGACAAGCTGGAGTAACGAAAGCAAGTGTGACGATAGTCTTCGACAATCGGGACAAGAAGAAGTCTCCAATCGGCTTCGAAGAATATGCCCAAATCAGCGTCACTCGGCAGATTGTGCTGGGAGGCACAAGCAAGTATCTTATCAATGGGCACCGAGCACAGCAGCAGACTGTTCAAAACCTGTTCCAGTCTGTAGGCTTAAATATCAACAATCCCAACTTTCTCATCATGCAAGGTCGAATCACAAAGGTACTGAACATGAAGGCGGTTGAGATTCTGGCTATGATCGAAGAAGCAGCTGGCACACGAATGTTCGAGGATAGGAGAGACAAAGCCTTCAAGACTATGGCGAAGAAGGAGATGAAAGTCCAAGAGATTACAGAACTGCTCAGAGAAGAGATTGAGCCAAAACTTGAGAAGTTAAGGACAGAAAAGCGAGCTTTCCTAGATTTCCAACAGACACAAAGCGACCTTGAGCGATTAACAAGAGTCGTCGTGGCGCACGACTATGTCAAGAATCAAGAGAAGCTCAAACAATCAGCTGGAGATTTGGAGCTCAAGAAGCAACGACAGAAGGATCTCGAGGACAACGCTGTCAGGTTAAAGAACGAGATTGAGAATCTCGCAGAAGACGTCAGAAGAGTCAAGTCGCAACGAGACAAGGAGCTGAAGAAAGGGGGCAAGGCTCAAGCCATGGAGGAAGAAGTGAAGAAGCACTCGAATGAGCTTGTTCGTCTGTCGACGGTCATGGACTTGAAGAAATCAAGCATGGCCGAAGAGAAAGAACGAAAGTCTACGATTCAGAAGACAGTTTCTGAAATGGAGACTCTCCTGAAGCAGAAGACCAAGGTGTATGAGAAGATCCAAGCTCAGTATGACAAGGCGAAGGACGAGCTGGAGAAGCAAAGCCAGGAAGCAGAGACCAAGGAAGAATTGCTCCAAACCTTACAGACCGGTGTGGCCTCGAAAGAAGGCCAGGAAAGTGGGTACCAAGGCCAACTTCAGGACGCCAGAAATCGAGCCAGTGCTGCATCGACAGAACAGGAGCAAGCCAAGTTGAAAATTGCCCATCTCGAGAAACGAATTAAGGAAGAAGAACCTCGAGCTAAGAAAGCTAAGGAGCAGAATGCCGGTCTGCTCAGTGAACTTGAAGGCCTTCGATCACAAGCACAGAAGTTGGAGAAGGAATTGGGTAAGCTGGGCTTCGAGGCTGGAAAAGAAGATGACATGTACAAGCAAGAGAGCACACTTCAGCAGACCATCAGGAAGCTTCGCGAGCAGTCTGATGGAATGAAGCGAAAGGTGGCCAACATCGACTTCAATTATGCGGATCCAACACCAAACTTTGACCGATCAAAGGTCAAAGGTCTGGTTGCTCAATTGTTCACTCTGGACAAAGACAAGACCGAAGCTGGAACCGCGCTGGAGATTTGTGCAGGAGGACGACTCTATAATGTGGTTGTCGACACTGAAGTTACTGGCACACAATTGCTTCAAAACGGCAAACTCAGGAAACGTGTCACTATTATTCCTCTCAACAAGATTGCTGCATTCAGAGCATCTGCTGAGAAGATTGGTGCAGCCCAAAAGATTGCTCCAGGGATGGTTCATCTTGCCTTATCACTCATCGGATATGACGATGAAGTTTCTACGGCCATGGACTACGTTTTTGGTAACACTTTGATCTGTGCCGATGCCGCGACTGCAAAGAGAGTTACCTTCGATCCTGCTGTTCGAATGAAGAGTATTACTTTGGAAGGAGACTCGTACGATCCCTCTGGAACATTGTCTGGTGGTAGCGCGCCAAATTCGAGCGGTGTTCTGGTGACTCTTCAGAAACTCAATGAGCTGACGAAGGAGTTGAAGTCTCAAGAGGCCACGCTCGCTGAATTACAAACAACAATGGCACGGGAGAAGAAGAAGCTTGACCAAGCCAAGCGAATCAAGCAAGATCTTGATCTTAAATCTCATGAGATTAAGCTCACAGAGGAACAGATTGGCGGCAATTCATCCTCATCGATCATTCAGGAGGTCGAGAACATGAAGACGTCGATAGTACAGCTGGAAACTGATCTTACAGAAGCCAAAAAACGGCAAGACGAGGCCAACAAAGACGTCAAGCGTATTGAGAAGGACATGAAGGACTTTGATAACAACAAAGATGGCAAGCTTGTTGAACTGCAGAAGTCTTTGGATGCTTTGAGAAAGGCACTTACCAAGGATTCCGCCTCTGTCAAAGCTCTCCAAAAGGAGCTTCAAGGTGCCCGGCTGGATTCGGAACAAGTTGGGGGTGATCTTGCTGCTGCTCAAGAGCAACTGCAGGAGGTTGAACTTACTTTGAAAGCTCAGGCCGAGGAAATTGCAGCATTGGTCTCTGAGCAAGCACAGATGAAGGTTGGTCCCTCTGATGAATGAGGTTTCAAATCACTGACGGTTTAGGATACCCTGGATGTCGCACAAGCACATCTTGACGATGAACGTGCCAAGTTGACTGGATTTGACGATGAGCTTCGATCGCTGGAAGAAGCATCTCGCTCGAAAGCATCTCGGATCACCGAGGAAAGCCTCGAAATGCAGAAACTTGGCCATCAAGTCGAGAAGTTTCACAAGGAGCAACAGAATGCTGTTCAGACCGTGGCACATATGGAGAAGGAGCACGAGTGGATTGCTGACGAGAAGGACAACTTTGGTCGAACTGGAACGCCATACGATTTCAAGGGCCAGAACATTGCTGAATGTAAATCATCTCTTCGAAACCTCACCGAGCGATTCCAAGGCATGAAGAAGAAGATCAACCCTAAAGTCATGAACATGATTGACAGTGTTGAGAAGAAGGAAGTCTCATTGAAGAACATGATGAAGACGGTCATCAGAGACAAGAAGAAGATCGAGGAGACAATCGTGACTTTGGACGAGTACAAGAAGAAAGCTCTACACGAGACCTGGACCAAGGTCAATAAAGATTTCGGACAGATCTTTGGAGAGCTATTGCCTGGGAGTTTTGCCAAACTTGATCCTCCGGAGGGCAAGACCATCAATGAAGGATTGGAGTTCAAAGTATCACTAGGTTTGTGGCACACCCCCTTCAAGATAGCCTTTGATCACTAACAAAAAACCTCAGGCAAAGTATGGAAACAGAGTCTCACGGAACTGTCGGGTGGTCAACGTTCACTAATCGCACTTTCTCTCATCATGGCTCTTCTCCAATTCAAACCAGCACCCATGTATATCCTAGACGAGGTCGACGCAGCTTTGGACGAGTCACATACTCAGAACATCGGCCGACTCATCAAAACGAGATTCAAGGGCAGTCAGTTCATCGTTGTCAGTTTGAAGGATGGCATGTTCACAAACGCGAATCGGATCTTCAAGACAAGATTCACCGAGGGGACATCGGTGGTTCAGGCGCTTACTGGTGCTGACTTCAAGTAAACGGTTCGAATCAGGCTGGGAGTTGGTACATGGACGATTAATGTTTGTGGTGCATATGGGTTTTGGAGTTTGGCCATTTGAGGCTCTGGTACTGGTATTGGACTACCCGGGCAGGTTAATGACTGTATGAATACCGAACATTGATGAAAGAGATCTGAAAACACGTGAATATCACGCTTACCCCTGAACAAAGCGAAATGATACGATGTCTCATTGGCCCTGAGCCACACAAGCCCCTTGAATGTTCCCATTGGTGTTCTTTGTCCACGAGGCCTCACTTCATCACTTTATCCAAAGCTAACCACCGCATCATCTTGGCTGCAGACATCACCAGCGAAAAGCTTCCCGTCAGTGGCTGAATGGAGACAGCGTGAGGGATGTGCGGACTGGGAATGGTGTGGAGGTTGTGCATGTGAAGGGTCATCTCCGAGGGTCTGTTCAGCGTTCTGGAACTTGCCAGGAAGATTCTCTCCCGGTCTCTGATCCCACCTTGGAACCGCTTGATCTCCATTTACCGTCTTTGCACACGCTCTGGTGCCCATGTTTAGCTGATACCCATGGTGCTCGCACGTCAATCTCATGTGCATTTCCATGATCTCTCCTGTAACCTTAGGCACCGAGGTCGACCAGAATAGCATTCGGTGCTATCTGACATCCGTCGTTTTCGTCTCCATCGATCATCCCCCGTCTTTTCTCTCACCGGCCTCGCGCTCATCGTACACCCGTACCCGCATACCGTACACCATCATTTGGCAGACCGCAGAAATAAATGCAGGATGGATTATCCCCCTAATGAGAAAAGGTTCTCTAGGAACACGATATGGCTTCCCGAAGCAGAGATTGGCCCGCTGCGCCACGATGTGTCTTGCAAATAACCGATTCGGGGTGACAGGCTGGCTGCACGTCTGCCCGGTTTGACAATCTTGGGGAGCATCGCCAGTGGAGAGCGAGAGATGGATGGATGTTCTGGGTGGTTCATATTCTAGGTCCATCTGCACGCAGGGTCCAGTCGCCTGGCTGGGCTGCCACCAAGATATTTATTTCTCTACAGTACGCAGTATGTGAGACCCTGATCGCTTGTTCTTGATGCACATCTTTGGAACAGAGTTTGTCGTTGTTGTTGTTCGCGCCTCGTTGTTCTACGGTCGTGGGAAGATGTACGCCCGGGCCAACGTATTAATTATTTTTGACTCCTGTATTCTTGATCTGCTCGGCGTCGCTACGCTCAGGCGGAAGTTTTGAAGTGAAGCATTGTGCCTGCCCGCTTCGCCCTGGTCTTCTCCATCCATTCGTTCACTCATTCGCCTTCGCACTCGCCGTGCAATTGAGAACGCGCTTTCTGACTACTCCTGCTCCTGCTCGTACTTCTTGGCGACGAGGATTGAGAATCTCGCCTGTCACCACTACTGTCGTCCCCAGTCAACTCTGCTACTGCTGCGGCGTGCGCTCTGGTCTGGGTCGCATGCTCAAGCCCATCCCCATCTGAGTCGTGCCAAACAAACTGTTGCAAAAACGCAACGCGGCCTGCACCGGTCTAGACGGGACGAAGCTAGCACCGGCTCCTGCCTGCTGCGTCTGCGCTGCGTCCTGCAAGCTTCTTGAGGCCAGAGACGACAGACAACCACCACCACCACCACATACTTCCATACCAGACACACTCAAGAATTATCAAGGAAAGAGACACCGCGTCCTGCCTGGCCTTGCCCTATCATCTCCTTCCCTTTTCTTCCCTTTTCTTCCCTTTCAACTTTTGCTTTCTACTTCTGCTTCTTACGCTCCTTTGCATCCACTTCATGTTGTAAATTACTTGGTAAGTGTTTGCCTTTTGCTTCTTCGGCGTCACCCTTCGCCCCTATGATAGGAGAGAGCTGACATTTTTTTTCGGCGCCTTCAGCAAATAATCAGCACATTTCGTGCTTTATTTTCTCTTCGATCCCCAAACATGGATGCTCTTATTGAACAGGCTCGCGATGTCTTCGAGGATTACTACGACTTGTATTACGATCAATTGCTCGATCTGATCCCGGTTATCTCCACCCGAACCTACGTGCTCACCATTCTCGCCATCTGCATACCTCCCATCATCGCCCTCATATTCTACGAGCGAGAACAAGCGAGGCTCCTGGCAGAGCAACCGAAGGGATGCAGGAAATTGGGGATGAAGATCGAGTCGAATCTGACGAACGAGTTTGACAAGAAGTTTTCAGAGGGGCGACCACCGTCGACGGAGGAGACATCGGCGGAGTGGTGGCGCTTGAAGAGTCTGTGGATCTACCCAGTTAAGAGCTGCAGAGGTGTCGAGTTGAACAGAGGCACGATCATCTCGACTGGCATGGAGTATGACCGTCAATTCACGTTTGCTCAACTCAAGAGCCCCTTTCCCGTCGCCGCCAATACCCCGGACAAGGAGAAGGCAGCACACAAGTGGGAGTTCATTACCCAACGTCAATTCCCTTTGTTGGCAAAGGTTCGGACGCAGATGTGGATTCCTGATCAGAGTGTGGACACCTACACCCCCCATTGTGAAGATGTCGAGTCTGGTGGTGTTATTATCTTGAGCTTCCCGTACCAAGAGGCTGGATGGAAGGGCATAGTTGCGAAGTGTGGTGCTGCAGTCAAGGGCACGTATCCTGAGAAGCAATTCCGAATTCCATTCGATCCTACACCAGTGCAGATTGAGAAGGCAGGATACTCTTACGAGAAGATGACCATCTGGAAGGAGACCGTTACGGCGCTGAACATGGAGGTGGACATACCTGATGAGTTAAGATATTACCTTGGTATCAGTAATAAATTGGGACTGTTCAGAATCGACAATTCGAAACTACGTGAGGTTCACGGCAATGCACCAACGAAGGAGAACATTGGCTATCAACCTGTTGCTGGCTTTCAGGATGCCGTACGTCAATGCCTTCAGACTATTCTACACAAGCTAACATAAGTAGTATCCTCTTCATATGATCAACCTCGCCAGTGTTCGTGCGGTCGAGCGAGAGATGCCTAAGGTCAAGGGTACCCCTCGTCTATCGGCGGGCCGCTTCCGCGCCAACCTAATCATCACCGGTCCTGACGCTTTCCACGAAGATAGTTGGCGCAAGATTAAGATCGGCTACTACGAGTACGATGTCTCCTGCAGAACCACCCGTTGCAAGCTGCCAAATGTGGACCAAGTCACAGGCGAACGCCACCCAACCGAGCCCGACCGAACCTTACGAAGTTTCCGCAACGTCGACGAGGGCGCAGGTCAACATATCGGTTGCCTAGGCATGCAGATGGTTCCTCTGGCAAAGGAGAGTGCTGTCCGAGTCGGAGATGAGATTACCGTTTTGGAGGTGGGAGAACATTGCCTCGTCAAGTGATGATGAGGACTTTGATTTTTCTTTTTTCTGCATTGTAACATGCATTGCATTGTACCGCGGAGTTTCTTGGCGAAGATGAGACTTTTTGATCTGGCATGGTTTATTAGCATGGCATTACATACATACAGTTTGTCTTGTGAAAGCTGCATATGATGGCATGGTCTTCTCTTTTTTCTGTTTGTTTGTTTGATTTTTCGGTCGTCAAGAATATCTGAAGGAGGGATGAATGAGGATACCCACCCCCACCTAACCAAGTCTTTGAGGTTTGAGAGCGAGACTCGAAGATTGATGAAGGAAGGGAGGAAAGCGCAAAGAAAAAATAGCACACTTTTAATTACTTGTACACATGAGCTTCGTCTGTTTTTCGTTTGTTTGTTCGTTCTGGTGGGTATGGATGGGCCTGGGTCTGTGTTTGTGTTTGTTAAAGTATACATGGGGGTTTGGTGATGGAGTTGGTAGATTGTGTGGGAGTGAATATTGTATTTTTTGGACGGGAAATTCGTTACGTTTGTTTCGATAGCGAAAGAAAGTGATGATGAAAATTGATTTCTTTTGAGATCTGATGTTTGATTTCGAGATGAATGTGAGGGTGTGAAGAGTGTTGAAAGTGAAGTGAAATTATGACGCTCATCAACAGATCTACACACATAAAACCTGAAGGGACCTGCAGGTACTGTACATATATGTAGGGATGTAGTAATATTCAAGTCTGGTTACACGAAGATAAGGTCGGTAGGCAGGTAAATCCTGCTTTTTGGGATTTTTTGGGGTCATGCCACCCACACGGTTGACTCACGTCAGCGAGCAACATGCATCGGGATCGCGGAATGTCGTGCTCTCTCGCCTCAACAGTTAACAATAGAGCTTGGTAGGATAAAGTGAAGGCTTGGCTACGTTGCTAGTTTGGATAATAGGTAGAGTGCCAAGACGTTATTTTAATTTTGGGGAAAGATGTCGGGTATTAATGATCTCGAGGCTGAGGCTGAGGTAAGAATATCACTCTTATTTAGTGATTATCCATAGCTGAACTTCTACTCCGTTTAGGACACAGAATCATCAAAGGATAACAAGGAGGGAAAACACATCTCCTGGAAAGGCAGCCCACAAAGTTCGAAAGAGGAATTACCGGTGGCAGCGGGTAGTAGTAGTGGTGCAGAGGAGGAAGAAGAAGAGAAAGAGAAACACGTTTCTTGGAAAGGAAGTCCATCTGCTTCTGCTTCGAGTTCGAAGGAAGAACTAGCCGCATCAGGCAGTAGTACGGAGGAGGGAGACGGGAAACACGTTTCTTGGAGAGGAAGTCCTCCTCCTATCCCTATCCCATCCAAGGCGGAAAACGGATATCCGAAAGAGGGAGAAAGTCTTACGATTGAAGAACACGGATATAGATGAAGATGAAGTAAAAGCCGGAACGGAGAAATGGGCGAAATTACTGGTGGGGAGGAAGTTTGAGGTTGATACTAGCTTGAGGTGAGAGGGGGATTCTAGACCTGTTGATAAAGAGGTTTACTCTTTTCTTTTCTTTTTTCTTCGAGGATGGAGAGGGGGTAAGAAGGCTGATGAGGATGAGGATGATAGATCGAAATGCCGGAGAAGGTGAGGTATGTTATTGAGGTGGAGTCTTGTGATTATGATGTGGGACGGTTGAGCGTGGTGCTTGGTCATGGGTTTGTTGTTGGGAGGGTTTATTTTGGGTGAGGGTTGGTTTCGGGAGGGGATAGGAGAGGGTGGATTAGTTGAGGGAGAGGAGATGGGGGTGTTGGGTTGGGATGGATTGGTGTAATGGTTTGGATTTTATTGAATGAGGGGAGAGGTTTTATTGGTATCTTTTTTTTAGTAATGGTAGTGAATGAGTGTAAGAACGTAACTGTTAGAGTCCTAGAAATGGTCCACCGTGAAATAATACCTAGTAGTGCTTTGAAGATTGAGATGCCGTGCAATCCTCATGATCATTGAGTACATAAGAACAGAGGAACAGTAGGAGACACTCGAGTGTGCCGCCTAAAAGTGTGACGACACGATAGACCACTTGACACGATTCCAATCGTTGTGCCCTCCTTGATTATGCGTAGCATCAGCAGGACCTATTCAAAATTCATCAGTACAATCTCGACCATCACATATGATGATCAAACTTACAGCCGCGGCCCACAAGAGCAATATTATCCAAGTCGAAGTACAGTTACTCGCATAATCAGTAAGTTCCAAAGACCTCGTCAAGAACTTCGAATCTGGGCAAAGATCCGTCGGTAATCCCACTCAACTCAAAGTAATATTGATGGCATAGTTAGGTCCGTTTCCAGTATCGTGGTACAGCATAAAGGGATCCATGTTGGGGTACCGTGCGTAGACGGTTACGTCTTTGGCACAGAAGTCGTTGATGGCGGCGTTGGCTGATACGTCGTCGAAGCCGAGGTCGGCTTCTGGGAGGCAGGACGGTGTTCCGATGGGTAGGTAGCGAAGGGTGAGGCTTGTTGAGACGACTTCGTTCGAGGTGGTTGTTGAGGATGGGCTGTAGGTCTGTGTTGAAGAGGGAGGAAAACTGTTGCCACAGACGGACGTCGTATTGCAAGCTGAGTTGCCTCCGCTTCTGTTGCAGACTACCGTTGTGGTCATTTGGGTACAACTGGTAGATGTTGTAGTCAAGGGTGGAAGTGATGTTGTTGTTGAGCTTGGAGGAGTGGAGGATGGTGGACTCGAAGATGGTGGACTCGAAGATGGTGGACTCGAAGATGGTGGACTCGAGCTTGGGGAGGTTGACACTAGCTCGCTTTGACTTGGTGAGCTCGAGGCTGGCTGACATTGGCGTTTGTTTTTGCCAGCGCCGGTCGCAGGACAAATATTCAAAGGAGATTGTTGCATATTCCATGCCACACCTACAGACGGTTGGAGAAGGGCGATGAGCCTTCAGGCCTGTTCCACTGGTTGGTTACAATCTTAGATCGTATCCTTTCGTTTACCGTACCATCTCTAATATCAATCGATGCTTAAAGTGCAGGCAGAGTCCAGTAATATGCTGCCAAGCCACTCACTGCAGCGGTAGCTATTAAAATTAGCCTTTGGGTTCACAGAAGTCAACTTGGCACACATACCAAATGATGTACCCTGTGAATAATTGGAAGGTGTTACATCTTCACCAGCCAAACCATCGGTAGTCCCTGAAAGACATCTGATGTCCTAGCCTATTGCATGTGTAGTAACAAAGTCCAGATCCTGTTGAGAGTACGAGTGGATTCCGCCAAAGTTATCTGTTACACCGACTACAATCAGACGTAAAGGATCACCGAAGCTATTAGCTTTCCCGAACAATGCGGGATAATGGTCGATTCAAGTTTGGCCAGCTTCCTACACAAGCACTCTCAGTAACGCCAAGTTAGGGAAGAAAGAGAATGATTCGCAATGGCTTTCAAAAATACTCACATTACCGTGATTGCCAGTTGATATTATCACCACCGCATTATCATCATATATAAGCGTACGCACCGCTGTGTATAGTCTTTGAAGAACAAGGGTGTCATTAATCCCTTCCATAGTAGCCCTGTTCATGCACTGAGAAAAGTTTATGATAGGCCTTAATATTGGTGGGCCAGCTGCAGCTCTCTGGGTTACAATATCGTTGTGAACAGACTCGAAGGCCAGTACTGCGTTTGTATTAAATTGTTTAGGCATCTTGACAACACTTGCCTTCTTGGCGACTCCGGAAATGGGACCCCCTGAGAATCGAACAGTCAGCTATGATGCCCCTTGAACAAATTCTCGAGTAGTGTTAGATTTGCTGGTGCCAGGAGCACGTCTATACACGAGAAAGAAGTGGAAGACGATGAGCGGGACCTGGTTTTCACTTACTTGCTACCCCTGCAACGCATCATCCATGGCCTGCTGCGTCGTAGTCATTGGGTCGATTGTTCCACGCAGAAAGCGCTGGTGAATCTTTGGTTACCGGAAGTGCTGGAATGCTAGGATTTCCTGCATATATATACATCTATTGTCTTCTTGAGCACGTCCAGCAATGTTCATTAACTCCTTTAGCTCATTAGTACGAGGTAGTTGAATATGAAATAATGATACTGACTCGATGATTTAATTTTGCGCTACTATCAATAATATAGATAGTGCTACCAAATCCAGCCGGAATCATCGCAGACGTAAAACTAATTGCATCGATGTCTGGCTGATGCTAGTTCTATCCCTTGGGTTGTAAGAGAATTCTCAATTGTGGCTAGGCGTTGGTTTGCGAGTCAATAACTTGTTTCCGCAAGGAATAATCAAGCGCGGAGGTATTCAGACTCTGCCGATATTCAATGCTGAGTTCATTATCCCTTTCAAAGCCTTGGCGACTTCGGAGATTGATGCTCTTTCAGAGACGGCCTTTCCCATTGGTTCGACCTGAACAGCTTCAATCTTAGTACAGCCAGCAAGACTTTCAATGTGAAATCTAGGCTTCCTTATGGCAGGATTTTGACTGAGAGCATCTTGTTGATCTTGTGTCACATTCGCGCTCTACGACAGCGTACCATTGGCCCCGTCCTAAGAAGAGGTCAAGAGAGCGCTTGGATCTTCTAGGTCCTTCACAATCAGATCGTGAATTGCCTACTGTTCAGCTGCAGTGGCACCAATCTTAGGAAATATGTTGACGTAAATAGCAGAGCCAGCAACACTTGAGGTATTTGCAGTACTAGTGAAAGGTGTTGCATTGGAAAGTTGGAAAGAACTGACCGCCAGAGGTTACACTGCCCAGAAATGTTTGAGGCATCGAGGCTATGTTGCACGCATTGGTCTGACATCTCGGTCCAAGAACACCGAGGACTATCTATTTTTGAGCGTCAGATCTAACAGCGAGACGGAATAATACAAACTCAGCAATAATCAGAACAGCTACATGACTGCAGATAGTCATAATGTAGCTGCGTTCCCGCTGTGCGTTCAAATTGTTTCTTCTGTGTAGGAAAGGGTACCCGCAAAATGATGTTTTCTCTGGAGAACTTCTTTTCACATCTTTCATTACTACCTAAATTGAAGCACTTCGAGCAACACAATATTTCAAATAATTCAACAGCATGACTTACGATTTCCCAAGCGGTTTCCATCTCTCAGACTTCTTGTGAACATTTGAATCACTCGATCTTCACTTGTTGATCGCGTCACGAAGAAGGGAGATGTCGTGCAAAATCCAATGCTCCTCAAGATTCTTGAAATCCTCCAACTAAAAAACGAGCGCTTTGGAGGGAAAGCTAAAGACTCAATCGCGTATAACTTCATGGATGACAAAGAATCTGGGTTCAATGATGCAAAACAGGTTTACGAGACACAGCAAGACAAAGAATCGACCCACTGGGATCATATGAACGAGTATGCGCGATCCATCTTGCGCCTCAAAGCACTCTTGGATAGCGAAGAGCAGCAGCCAGTTCCTATCAACACTAGAGACGTCGACCTGTACTCACTATCCAACTACAACCAAGCGGAAAGGATCGCTTCGCAATTCAATCTGGTGGGGAATGCTGGGAGATGGGTCGAACCGACTCCTCCTGCATCACCACTTTCTGAGGGACAAGCAGAACATACTCAATATGTCGCAGATATCTCGTCTTCAGCTGTAGACAAGGCCGGCATGACTTGTGGCGAACATACCAATCCACATGCCTCCACCACTGTCTGGTCAGGCTATTGACAATGAACTGGAGACTCAAAGCACCACCTCACACAGAGAAGGTAAACACAAGTCAAGTCAAAATGGCAAGGGAGTCACTAAGGACAGCCCGCAAGTCGGACCCCTATCTCTTTCGAACGCACTGGCATCTCCTGCGATGCACAAGTTATCTTCCAACAGCTCTCGCAACACAATCTCAAGTCAACAAACATCGCCAGCACGTCCATTATCGGACAGGGTCTCAAGTCTAAACGCAGAGGTATCATCCCACACTTATTCTAGCTGGAAAAGGGGAATCGTGGATCGCATCCGAGGCCTACTGCTAGGAAAGGGTTGGTATCAGGAAATTTTTGGCTCTGTGAGTTATTTTTTCTCCGTAGGGATAAATGATGGACAATGGAAGTGAGTTGGTTTATTGGGTCGGATTCGAGATCTTGTGGGCGGTTTTGGAAGGTCTGAAGTAGATGTTGCGAGAGTTGTTTGCTGAAATAAAGTCGCTTGAGGTAGTCCTCGCTTCCTGTTGATGTGCGCTTTGCCGTTCTCGGATTCATTTTCTGATTCCTTGGTGGGAAGGTCGTTCAATAAATTCATTGTCACTACACTTTACTTACTTTGTTATCTATTAGAACTAACGTTGACTTCGAGTTCTATCGTATGAATTATAGATGAATTGTGGATGACCTCGGGATGCTTGACTGGCAGGTGCTGTTCACTGCACCTACCTTTCTGGGGCTTTGAAAAAACACGACATCACTTTCTATTCTACTGTCATCGATCACAGGTCTCTGCACTCAAACGCGTCGTTTTTGATTTCACATACAAGGACAATGAAAACCATTACTCACGATTCACCCCCCGATCAATGCTGTGCCTTTGAATTCTCATCGTGCCTACCTTTTCTTCACTTTCAGGTGATGCTCACGCTACGCGATATGTTCTTCATCGTCTTTCATATACCTTCTTGCACCTCAAAAGCTTCATCAATTGCTCACAAGTAAAGGGACGTTAGTATGTTCTAGGACAACAATTATGCCCGTGCACCAAGGCAGAGCATGTGATTTACCTCCAAGAGCATTGCATCACAATAGTATCACTATCTCCATGGCAAGTGTCCTCGCAGAGGCCTTTTGCTTCAGTAGCCTCGGCATTTAAGACCTTCCGTACCTGCAGCTGCGCTTCAATTCCTAGTCAAAATCTAAAATCGAACCAATGCCGTTGGTTCCGACAGGCAAGGAAAGTATTCGCGACTCCAACGTCTTTTAAGCAAGGAAAAAATCAAGGATAAAGGGAGCCAAGAAAAAGTGCCTAAGCATCAACCCAGAATCCTTGTCAAACTTAGCAGATCGTGATGTTGTGCGATTTTCGATATCCTTGCCGTCCACGGAAGTCAAAGTTGTCTAAACGCTCAGTGACTACAGAGGATTGGTGGCAAATGCTCTTGCTTGCTCCAAAATTCAAAACCCGGAATCGAATTCAAAATCGGAATGTTGAGAATGGGGGTCCAAATCAATGACCTTACATGTTTTTGCATCAGAAGATTCAGCTGTTTTGCCCCAGCAGTTCCTGTGTTGATGTACAGTCAATACCCCAGATCATTGATATGTCGTTGTGGATATCCCAGGAATCGAAGGTCAATGGTACCTGTCAAAAGCATGTCCCATTTCGCAAACTAAGATACAAAATACAAGGAGGGGAGCGGAGAGTGCAGACGGCGAATTGCTGATCAAAGTAGTGAGCGAAAAAGGTCAGGCTTCAGCAGTACACTGGAACAATGAAGAATGGCTTCTTGTGCCATGAAGTCTGTTTCGCAAGACCACAAGACATTTGTTACTTGAAAGAATGACTTCAAATGCCGAAGCAACTCATACCCCACACTCACTTGTGTGGCACAATTGCCTATGCTGCGGTTATCTTAGTTATAAGGCGTATTCCACACTTCTAAGATAGACTTAAGGTAATTAGGATGCCTATTTGGAGCAAGGAAATCTCGAGTGAATCTCAATGTCTGGCATTCTTGGGGACATGAAGAGGTAGCCGGGAGCTCTGGAATACCGGCCCTCATTAAACTGTCTGAAATTCAAGTTGGTTATGATTGATTCAATCAACTACTCGATGCAGTAAAAGCTCTTGAAGCGTAGCGGGTTCGATGAGTGACAGCATGGCAGATAACATTGAGAGCCGCAAGATCATTTCCATCCATGCCACGAAGAAGGCTGCGTAGCCAGATTTGATGCTTCAGATGTCGCGGAAACGCAAACATTTGAGGCTAGTGTATCAAAATTTGTATTGCTTATGGATCTGAAATTAGTGGTGGAGCAAATCGCCGTCAAGCAGAATCGTCCATCAACGCTAGTTGCCATCAAGTACAAGTATAATCGCTGCCACGATCAGATCTAAGGTGCGAAAGTACATACTCATGCAAGAAAGCGATCGGATATTCGCAAAGCCTGCAGGAAAGTCAAAACGTGTTGTGCCTGATAGTTCAGACCCCGATTTGACGACTGCCATCTTAACGACAATCATAATACGTATAAGGAAAAGTTAAAAGATCGGCATTCAGGCTGAAGAGGGAAGCTAGTTGCCCGGGAAGTTTCCGTACCCCACTAGAACTACTGCTACTGTAGAGTTGGCAAACCTTGAAGCCTTTGTGGCTTGCGCCGAACAATTGTCATATGCACGCTTGAGCCCAAAGTTAACGCCACAAAGTTCGGAAACCGGATGGTTGAATCTGAATGAGCAACGATTGTGTTTGGTGAGATGAGATCTTTACCTCGTTTGTGGTACGAAAAGAATTCTCGGGTCTTCAATCAAGGAATTGAGACCGTGGGACGAAGGACCATCTCAAAGTCTACTGTATTGGGAATGGATTGTGATCATCCCACGTGCTTTGCATGCTGCAAATGCAGGTTGAACTACTAACTTCTGTTGCGTCTCGCGTCTCTTACCTTTAGAAGGTTTGGTCTCCTGTACGTCGAGTCCCAAACGACTGTCAGAAATGGGCCGCAAAACTCGATCCCGCGAGATTTTGGAGTTTGTCGGCCTCGAGACTTAAGATTGAAGGGTTCTGAGATTGGGGCACTATCTTCCCATGCGATTCGTTCTAACCATTCTGTCCGTGCATTGTTTGACATGATCTCACTTGGAGAAGTGCGAGATCACAAGGCATTGGGCGGAAATCGAAGTCGCCGCAACCACTGTGTTGAATTGTGATGCTGGATGGTTCAGATAGAGATCAAAGCGGCCCACGATCTCAGCCAGGGCCACAACTGTTGAAGAGGAGGGAACGGGTTGCTGGAAGCATGCGGGAAACCCAACGCAAGAGGGAGAAGATCAGATCAGCCCCAAACGTGCGGGATTCACGCTAAGAGCGAAAGTTTGGAAGGAACTCAGCGCAGCACGGGAAGGGTGGCATGCATGAATGCTTGGCATTCCAACAATTTACCCTACCATTTTTCAACTTGCACACCCACTGCTTCGTGCGTTGTTCTTTTTTGCTCTTTTTTTGCTCTAGAAAATTTAGTTGGGATGAACAAATATGAGTGTTTCTGAGCAAATTTTCTTCTTAGGATTGGTAGCTAGTCAGTTCTTTGACGGCTGAGACACTCGCTGCAATCTCTTTGGGCATGCTATTCATGAACGCTACGTAAATTTACGTCGACATCTCCGGCTCTAGTGTCATTTTGCCTCCATCCTCGAGCATCTCGGTGTATAAGATGCAGAGAATATAGGCTAGCCGCAAGGACCGAAGATCGGTCGATTATTTGTCCCGCAGACCCGCCATTCTGGCAATGGACATCGACGCTATCGGTCCGCACTTGCCAACGAGAAATGTCATCATAATTTATTTAGAGCTGTCAAGGGTTGATCTTTACCCCTAATTGCTGTGTGCTGCCGTCGGTGGTTTGCCTATTCCCCTTTTTCATATTAGGCCTTCATGGTCGCCAACGACGGCGAAATTTCCACATTGGTATCCCTTCGCCGACACTGACGAAGGTTCATCTTGTTTTCTCGCACCAGAGGAAAGCTATAATTTGCCGTAATGTCGCTGTTCAAATGGCCTTCCTCGGCACATCTCTGCGGCTAAAAGTCAGATACCTGGCTGTAATTTCTCCTGACTTGAGTTGGGGAGGCGGAGGAGTGGAGCTTGAGTGCAGTGCAGTGCAGGGAGTCTCTGAGCCAGGCACAGTCCCGTCCGGTGCCAGTAGGGCTGGATAGGGTTGTTTGTGGTTGAATTATGCGTCCTGGGAAGGGGATAATGCAGCTCCCCTGGACTATCGAACAATTCGAAACCCTTTCTTCATCCAAACACTATGCCGAAACAAGCGCGGTGGTAACTCGTAAAGCGGGTTCAAATTGCACACCAGATGGAACTGGCCATGCCAATATCAAACCGTTCCCAATCGGTGCTACATAGCAAGTTAGTAACCAGGTCTCCATGCACATTGCACTCAGATCAGTGACCAGGCATGCCCGGTCATCCCCATGAACTCGGGAAACCCGCAGCAGGGCGTCGAGATCCGGGAAGAGCCTATATTCCGCCTCATAAGATCAAATCTGCACCTTGGAGGTCACCTAACTACTTGCGAACAAGCACCCCAGTCGACGCGTTGCCAACTTCGGCCGACTTGCTCATGATGCTGCAGAGTGCAACGATAAAAGCATAGTGCGGTTGCTGTCCTCGCAAGCTAGAGGTGAAAGCCAGGCGGCGCTCTCATTCACGGGTTGCCAGATGTGACTGAGGGGCGGGAGTAAGCCACTGTGGGTGGAAAGTAGGCGTGTCCATGCGCTGAGACTTTGCGTTTCGTCTGTTCGTAGTCTGAAGTTCAGGTCTGACAAGATACTCAACCTGTATATGAAGAATAGCCCCAAAGCTGACGGCATCAACTGCTCTGCACTCTGCACGGAAGGTTAAGGACGTCTGAAGTGGTGCTGATCTCTGTGAGCACTGACTTAGGCTAGCTCCCTTGACCTTGCCGCCATCTGCACAGACAAGCGCTTTCTGCGTCGACGGTGGATATTTTGCATATGACCCTCGTCGACAACCCTCCATCTTTTGCCTTTCTTCTCCTTTCACGAATACTCAACCTCCAGTCGATCAGGCCCCTGGCACTTGGTCTCGGCAAAGACTGCCAACTTCTCTCCAGCTCTCACTCAACGAGACGTGGAGTACCTAGAACTCGGATCTCTGTTACCGTCGAGGACCCAATCTCCTTCTACCGTGTCTAAAAACGCCACGGAACCTGGCGACGTTTGCTGTCAGTCTGATTGAACTACCGCTCCGGGCGCACTTCCCGAGGGACGCGGAGAAACGGGCCATTTTGCTCGTGGGACTGTTGTAAGGAAGGAAAATTTGGCCAGCTACCACTAACTGGGTCACCCAATTACTTACGATCTTGTGATTGAAAGGCCTCACGGAATCCACGCTGAGAGGTTGATGTTCGACCGATCCCTGAGCAGCTACCGGGACTCTGTCAGGATCTCCCCTTTCAGGACCTACCCTGCAATATCTGAGCAATATCGATCCCGTCGTCAGATCATAGAACTATCAAAACAGAAATCTCAATCTGGAAGGACCTTGAAGTCCTGTACAAAATTCTCCGGGCATATCACGATCCTTGGATTCCAAGATCCACCCTGCAAAGCCAAGACTCTCGATGCTCTCTGGGAAGAGGCCCAATAGGGAGACGAGTACTATAGGTTGACTGAACGGATCACCTTTCTCGAACGTTGAGCCACGCTAGGTATTACTGTCACCAAACACTAACGGCCGATAAGCTCAGAGATTATACAGCAGAGCGTTTGGTTGTTCGGCCGGGGGTGTGCTCCTGAACGCATCATTATTCGACTATCGCTACCACTCTTTCAGTCACTAGTCCGGTAGAACAGGGTCTTGCGAACACAGGGTTCGCTGGCTGATCCCTTGCACTGTCTGAGGCGCTATTCATCTTTTGTGTTTCTTAGTTTCGACTGCACTTGCTACTTGAAGCAGACTCAACGGCCCGGGAGCTGCTTCCTTGTTACGAGTGGGGCATGGTACTTGCAGTTGGAAGTGCGAACATCGTCTCTCCAAGAAAATCAGCCCATCAAGCAGTCTCTTCTTCCAGTCCTCCATCTGTAATTTGGTACGAAAGCTCTTGTTCGCCCTTTAAAGGGTCGCCATGACAAGTTACAACGATTTGGACTCGACGGGAAGATCACAGGCTGACTCTGGTCAGTCACTGGGCACTCTATCCCGGTGGGACCCCTCTCAGTCACAAGTCCCAAGTTCCGCAAGCTCGTATGCAGACTTGAACTACCTTTTCGGAGTACAAGATCCCACAATGATTGCACCAAAGGCAAACCGCAATCGCCGCAAGTCGAACCAGGGCTCTGAAAACACGAAGCACCGGCGAACACGATCTGGATGCTATACCTGTAGAAGTCGAAGAGTCAAGGTAAATCATCATCACCGAACAAAAAACGCCATAGAAGGCGCACTGACATAAGCCTTTAGTGTGACGAAGCTCACCCTATTTGCGAAAGTAAGATATCAACCTCCACTAATCTCACTGTTGCCAGTTTAACACTACCTAGGATGCAGAAAGGGTGGCCGCGAATGTGTCTATCCAGAGACCTCAACCTCAAAAGCTTCCGGTAGTGCATCATCGAAGACTAACAATCCAACTCGTGAGAGCCCTGGCTCGTCATCGGATGAACATGATGACGACGTTAGCCAAGAACGACTGGAAGTCATCCCGGATGAGGATGAAGACGTCGACGATAATCGCGATTTGCGAGGAGATTCGAAGCGCGGAGCTCAACGAAGCACCACCAGCCAGTCCTCGAGTGGCCAGAAGGGTGCGCCCAGGCAGGACTCAGAGACACCTTCTCTCGTGCAAGACAAAGGGGCATCGCCCACCCCTTCAACTGAAGGATCTATCGGTTACTCGTCGTACCAATCCATCACAAAAGCGAGTCTTGCGAAACTTCCTTTCTCGGGTCATGGTGATCTTAGAAGTGACTGGAGCCATCTCCCACCGGATCTTCAGTTCTATCTGGTTTATTTCTACGAGAACGTTACACACCTCCACTATTCCTTGAAGTTTGACTCGGAGAACTTCTTACAAACAAGGTTTCTGGACGCTGCACTCAGGAATGAACCGCTTCTGTATGCTGTTGTGGGCTTTGCCGCTTTTCATAGAACGCTGCATAACCCCGCCGGCAAGATTCAAGACTTCCTGGAATACTACAACAAAGCTGTGTCCCTGTTACTTCATGCGTTGAAGAAAGGTGAAAGGCACACCAATGGTATGATGCTTGCCATCCTACAACTGGCGACTATCGAGGTGAGCTATATCCCCTGCCCGGAGAAGTACTGAGCTCAAAGTCAGCAGGAGTTCCTTGGTGACTGGATTAATTTACTTGGCCATCAGAAAGCTGCATACGAGATGTTGACGGAGCTGTACACCCCCGAGTCGATCATGCAAGATGATATGACCAGATTAATACTTGGATGGTACATGCGATTCGACGTATTTGCCGGCTTGATGGCAGGGTTCGAAACTGTTCTTTCTCGAGAGTGGTTTTCGTACGCTCGAGAATTCTTTCAGCAAAAGGTTGCGAAAGAGCCTGAATGCTTGGACTGGAAAATTGAGCTTGCGCTTGCAGAGCATCGTCTTGTCGCAACAGATATGTCACTTCTATTCGCAAAGATGGGAAAGGGCGAGATTCCGTTCGATAAATTCATCCTCGAGAACGAGACTATCGGCAGACGGATAAGAGAATGGAAGAGCAGCATGGACCCTGCTCTCCAAGACAGCCGTCATCTCGTGACAGACTTTACTGGAGCACGCCCTGTCGATCCTGACGATATTGTTGACCCATATATACCTGGCGTAATTTACAAAGGACCACTTTGGGTGATGAATGTGGCAATCATTGACTGTAGGTGTTAGCAAAGAGATATCTTCCCATCTCAGCAGAGTTGTTGAAGTTCCTTCAAAATAACTATATTTTCCCATCAATCACTGATTCTTCCTACTTAGGGCATTCTATTGATCTGATGCATCAGTATCAAACAGCCTTGACCTTAAAGTCTCAACCTAGTGCCGAGCTTGAAAAGAAAGCCTATGCAACATGTCAACTCTTCGAAGCCCTCGAATACTCGCCTCACAGCCCTCCTGGTACCGTTTTGGCTTCTCAAGCTAGTCTTGGAATCGCATGTCTATTTTTGCCGAGAGATGAAAGACATAGTATGTGGGCACGCCGTAAACTTGCAACAATAGAGTCCAATGGGTAGGAATTCAGTCTATAAAGTTAAGATATGAAACTAAATTCCTTTCAATAGATACATATATCCGTATACCTTTCGAACAAAGATGGCCGACCTATTTCGAGATCGATCTTGTATGCACTGGTGGCTTCCGAACGACGAAGCATATCCGCCGATTATTCGATCAATACGTAAATTCGTGGAAGAGCGCACCTCCCCGGCCAAGAATCTGCCCGCTGAAGATTTACGGGATATGAAGGCTATTTTCGCATCGCTGAAACTCGACGATGGAAAGTCAAGCGTTCCACCAGCGCACAAAACTACACAGCCAAATGTGGCCGTGGCCCCCAATCAAGAGAGTTTCATAAGCAATGATTCAATGCAAGACATGGGCGGGATAAGTATGGGAGAAGGCGATGCTTATGGACTTGGATTTGACGACGGCCACGGATTCTGGGGTGATGGTCAAGGTGGGGGCGCTTATGGTATTCCCAAGCCAGAGGATTACCCGTAAACCCAGAAGAGCAGCATAGTTCGAAGCTGTTAGCAACAAGATCTGCCAAAATTTGTGTGGTATACGCCTGCTTGGAAAGCAAGTCTCCGATGCCCCAACGGAGCAGAGTACAGAGGGGCCTGATGTGAAGGCAGGGAGGCTCCGGCACGATCACTTAGGCATAGAGTGACAGCTCTCACCGCGGGCCTTTGCGAACAGATATCAGTATCCAGTAGCACCTTCGCATACTTATGGATTTTGTGCGCATGCGACAATACTTACTCGCGCGCTGTCATCTGAGATTGAAACAATACTGTAAGAGTACGATTGTAACGACCCGAACGATTTCATTCCGTTGAGGTTGAAATCTGGTCTGGGACAGAAAATAGAGACCTGATGTGTTATGATAAAAATGTATCATAAACTATAACAGTGCTGCTTATGGTGACATTAGCTCTCCCTTTGCAAACTTGCGCAAAATGTATTAAGAATGCATAGTACCCTAACAATCATGACACTTATCTAAATTATCTTAGTCGGATTCCAGATACCATAATAATTAGTATGTAAGACAATATTGTTCCATAGTTTGTGGACACATAAATATGTTAAGTTCCAATGGTAAACCAAGATTTGATGGATCGAGTGGCGTAAGAACGATGTGAAATTCCTTCTTTTTCGAATCTCGAAAAATCCACTTTCCTTTATTGTCTCACAGAACAGTAGTTGTCTTTTTTCCCATTCATTGCGGTACGTCGCCTTTCACACAATTCCTAAAGATTGCCAGGGTAGCCACAGAGTGTGGCGGTGCAGTAAGGCTTGCTTCTAGTCCAGAAAGAGTTTGAGTGGGGACTACTGGACTACAGCTCTGGAAAGCATTAACGTAGGACCTTCACGATCACCACGCTACAATTCAACAACAGAACGTCAGCGCAGACCAGCACAGTCTCAGTCTCCTGTCGCAACACTTCGAGGTACCTCTGCATAGTTTCGACGAGCACATCCCATAATGAACCGGCCAGGTATGCGCTTGAATGCTTCTTTTCCCCCCACAAACAGCCCCGCTGCACTTCAACCTGGATTGTTCGACTGCTTGCTTTTCTGTTGGCGATATCGCATTAAGCCCTGAGAGAGCCTTGGACGTCTATATTGTATTTGCTGCATCTGCAGTTGCCAGTTCAGCGACTTCTTCAAAGAATCGGCAAGATGGATTGTGAAGACAGGCACCATAGCCTGCTGCCAGAGGCACGCGACCCTACTTGTTCGAAGACTCTATATGGAGCATTTGGAAGATATATGAATGGCCTCTTCCTTCGCCGCGGCTGCCAGTTCTTGCACCTTGACAAGTGCATATTGGTCTATGTCGCCTGCGTCGTCTTATCTTAACTTGGCACACTTTCCCTGCCCCATACGTTCTGTTCTGCGTTGCACCAATATTTGCCAAATACCTGAAGATTCAAGCTGACTCTTGTAATCAAGCTGTCGGACCTCAATCCCTTCGTGGCCTGCCAAATGGCTTTCCTGGCCAGCAACAGATTCCTCAGAACAGGAGCGTCTCGAGTCGATTACCACCAACTGGAAAGATGGGTACGGGTGCCTCAAGGCCAATTAACCCACATACAACGAGAAGGATCATATGCTAACGTTTTCTTGGGGCTCCAGCAAGCAATGGGTCAACATGGGCTTTTGGCGGGGGAATACCAATGGGAAGTGCAGGACTTGGGAATCCCCGCGTTAATAGCGGGCCTCTTGCGAGCTTTGCCCAAACTATTGGAGGATCCTCGCAACCAGCGACGCCTTTAGATCTCTCGTGGGTGCACCTTTTCACAAAGTAACACCAAACTCGAAGCAACCATGGTGATCCCACCGTGGGATGGTCTCAATGCGCCGAGGCAAAGGCTGACACAGATAACCAGAGAATTCCCATCGTTGTCTAACAACCAGCCTCAACCGAGTCAGTCCACTTGGGCAGCCTCCGGTACTCGAAATATGGGTCAACCTGGCAATATGCGACTGCAGCAACCTTCATTGGCTTCTCAACAGCAGCAGCTGAGTGCTCAGCAGCAAGACGACCTGTTCGGATCATCACAACAACTGCCAAGCAACCAAGGTGCGTTTCGATTTGGAACTCAGAACGCTGTTGGCCAATCTACGCAACCCAGCAGTGTAGACGACTTCCCGCCATTGAACCGCAATATTAATGGAGAAATCGGTCAAGATCGAACCTCAACATTGATGCAAAATACTGGATTCGGCGGGCAGTCCAATGGACTGGGCTTTGGATCAGGGAATCCTTCTCAGCCAGCCCGCAGCAACGGTCTCTTGAACGCGTTGTCAGGTAGCAATCGAGCTACTGCAGGAAATCGTGTTGCTTCACCAACGAATTTATCAGGTTTGTACTTGAATCTATGTTTGAGCTATACTCTAATTTAGCGCGTCTAGGTCTATCTAATGCAAGATCACCTATTGAGGGGAGTCGCGTAGCTAGTAACTCCGAGAACGACCCGATTGTATGTGATTCGGATTATAGATAATGCGTGTTTTTGTGCTAACATCCACAGGGCTTCCCCCACACTCAATTTGGTTCAGCCATGGCACAACCTCAACCTGAAGGAAACCCAGCGCAGCCAAGCATGTCCAGGATGGATTCACAACCGTCTGAATCCGCTGGCTCCCGTGCTCAACCGGCGGAGCCAAGCAACACCTCATCTCAAGCCAATGTCGATGAGTCGGGTCAGGAGATCGAAGATCCATTGGCACATATGAGTGAAATCGACAAGTGGGGTCTGAAAGGCTTCTCTTACCTGATGCGGAACTACCCCGACTACGCGGCCCTCGTCAATGGTACTGATCTATCTACTCTTGGTTTTGACTTGAACAACCCCGAGTACGTTACCTAAAAGAGCCAATTCTCTGATTGTTGACTTTTCTGCTAACACCTAAGAGGCCTATCTCCGACCAGATCTACTCCCTATTCGACAATGAACCTCCTCGTCCCGCAGTCCCACGCTTCACCTTGCCTGAATGCTACACTGTCGGCAATGTCGCCCCGCTGGAGACCAAGATGTCCAACTTCAATGATGAGGCTTTGATATTTATGTTCTACAGCAATCCTGGAGACGTGCAGCAGGTGATGGCTGCCACCGAACTGTACGTATCTCAATTTGACTATATCATTTTCTACATGCTTATTTCACCTTGTAGCAACAACCGAAACTGGCGTTATCACAAGAAGCTGCGCATGTGGTTGACCAAGGACGAGTTGATGGTTCCACAACCTCTGGGTAACAACACGGAGCGGGGCTATTACATCTTCTTCGATATCAAGCAATGGCAACGAGAGCGTGTAAGTGATACTCTAAACATTAATGATATCAGATGTTGATTTTTGGCAGCGGGAACTCACCCTTGTCTACGATGACTTGGAGACAATTCCCAACTCTGTACGACCATTATAATTCTGATGCCTTGGGCTGTCTGCAGTGGTGGCGGTACTTGAGTTTTCATCTTGCGCGAAAACAGCGGCGGCAGCACATCTCATGGCCGGTGGGCAGGTCTTTGTTCATGATCGCTAATGGGAATTATGGCGCCAAAACATAACTGCATACAATCAAAGGTTGGCGTTATCGATTTGCTCTGGCGTACACGGATCAGAAGGTCTGATCGGGTTCGTCGACTGGCTGGCGTTAATGCAACCCGTCGAAGTTTGCAATGCAGTTGCAGATATGTTCTATCAAGTTCTTAATGATCATGAATGAACTCTATCGAATAGGACAGTCCAAATCTGCAGTTCCTCTACGTGACTGAAGGGTTCTCGAAGACGAATATGCATAAGCTGAAGTAAAAATAATTTGACACGTGACTCTCCAGAATCAGGTCCACGCGACTCTGACTGATTGTGAATGGCTTCAACAGTCAACTCTCCTTCCTCGAAGATTTCTGCATCGCACACTCCACCATCAATTGTTCTCTCCTCTGTCGATACCCAAGCTCATAAAGTCCGTCGAAAGCAGTCACATCCGGCCTCGGGCCATTTGACTTCGTACCTCCACCTTCCCAACTAAATCCCCACCCTCGAAGCGTTCAGCACAACATACATCATGGAGGAGCAGACAATAAACCTGCCGCAGCTGCTCATATTGCTCCTACTCGGAGGTCTCGCCATACGATACTTCTTTTTCGCGTCAAGTCCGACTACGTCGCAGACCAGAAGTGCTACGTCAGCAAACAACATACGCGCGAGGGAGGCCGATGTGGAACGAATACAACAGGTGTTCCCGCAAGTATCGCGGCGGAACATAATGTGGGATCTACAGCGGAACGGAGGAAACGTGGTTGCTACAACAGAGAGGATATTGAGTGGCAGAGGGTTGGAAGTGGTGTGTACAACCCCAATCTCAGATTCTTTATTCTTCTCTGGTTCTGGAGAAGTTCGGCATCCAGAACTCAATGTCCCGTTTGTTCTTATGTATTGGACCTATTTCACATGCTAACGTTCATCCTACAGCCTCCACAATCATTTCAACCTCCTCTCCCTGTTGCTGCGTCGTCCTCTTCGGCATCCACGGCTTCAACTCCAGCACAAGCGAAGCCCTCACAACCTGATCTGATTACAAGATACAATCTGAAAGCCAAACTAGCAGAAGAAGCCAGTAGACGAGAGAGCTCAGACAGCGCGGTCGAAGAGGAGCAGGCCAAGCAAAAGCAAGGCCAAGCTTGGAGCCAGAATAAAGGCGAAAGACAGGCCTTACTACAGAGGAGGAGGGAAGAGATGATTCTAGCGGCGAGGAGGAAGATGGAGGCCAAAGTTGCGGCAGAATCGGGGCAGACGAACCAAAGTCCGTGAATATTAGGTTACTGTGCTAAGTGTGCTGTCCGTTTGGCGCGGGATTGCGATGTATTATTCCTTGTATAGCCTCTCTATATGGTGGGTAGCATGCCTTGAGCTCTTCTGATCGTGGAGGAGTGTGCGAGGCATATCGGTGGCATAATTGGATGTCGTTTGGCATTAGGTTCTGGTGTTGGCTGGCAGTCATATGGATACCCTCTTCAAATGCCTGGCGTCACACTCCGCACAACATGATCCTATGGTATCTCGATATCGTTCTCATTCGATTTGGCATTCGTTGTGGATATTCTTGGAATTGGCCTGCTAAGTGGCATTGTCAACTAGGTCCTCTCACACCTTCTTGGTTCTGAACTTCGGTCCTTTGCGTCTATTTGCTTCTGAATCTAGCGTTGGTTTCGCTGGAGCGGTATCTTGCGTCTTTCTGGTGCTTCCTATCTCGTTCTTCGAGTTTTCTTTGACCTGCGACCTGCTAGCGCCAAACTTGAATCTTGGCTCCCTAGACTGCCTTCTGCCATTGGTGAATTCCTATCAAGGAGTTATCTGTGTCATGGGACTAAATCGAGGCTATTGTCCTCCTGAGAAGTAAGATAGGGTCGGAGAGTCCGAGGAGAGCGGTAAGAAGAGATTCTGTGGCTTCGCTTCATCTTGAAGATTCCAAATGAAGGATCTCCTACCTCTTGAAGAATCAATGCCACCAAAGAGGACGGAGAATGAGATAGCTCAGGGGTCAGACTGAGGCAATCATACATTGCTCGCCGTAAGAGATCGGATGTTTGAGCTGACGCAAAGACGATGCTTGCCATACAATAGAGCGTGGTCGTACTCGGTCTTACGCCCTGTGGCAAGGCTAGGGAAGTAAAGATATTCTGGGGAGCTGAGCCGCCCTTTGCCTTCAAACTCAGAGGATTGAAGTATTTAGGACACACACTCCTCCCTCCATCACGTCCTGCTTCGTCTTTTGCTTGCTTTTACTTCGGATTCGCTGTGCTGACCAATCACCACTCTCTTATACCGAGTTTTCAGCTCTTCAGCCTCATACTTAGCCGGACAAATCACACGAGACGCAATCGATAATTCACATGCACGATTCTCGCTCCTCATTGCTCAATTGGGAATCTGGGAGGTAGAACGCCCTGAATTGGGCACTCTCGCGCCCGCGTCGCCCTCGGAGTGCTTAAGTGTAAGGCTCCGCGCTCGACAGACTTGGGTTTGCCCTTTTGCCTTACCCATCTACTCAGGCTCTCTTCGACATTCTCCTACCATAACATCCTCCTGCTGGTGAGGCAGCGAAACTAAACTAATCTACCAACTGTGGAGACTGCTGGGGGGGCTTTGCTCTGCTGTTTCTGCTGCTCAGCTTTCACAATTGACGCGAAGGATCAGACTTGACTTTGGATGCTGCGATGCATGAGCATGGTTTTTGTTATTCTTGTAAGTCATCGCATTGAATGCGGGCAATTGATTTGCACACTCAGCTAATGTAGTGTAGGCTTCGTCGTCCAGTTTGGTATCAAGCCAAGCGGCCTAAGTTGACGTCTGGGATACCGGATACCGATTCAATTTTCTTCGATCTTTTCAAATCCTTCTTCAGACATGGCAATATGCAGGCGATACTTCGTTGGCATCCTCTCATACTGGACGCTGCCTGAAATGTGTCCCGGATCTGCCGCGAAGTTTCCTGTCCAGTGCCTTTGAGCTGCACAAAAAGGGCATTTGCACTTATACACGTCTTTTACTCAACCCCTGCTAGGACTACCTGAGCCCTTGCTGCTTGTATCATAAACCAAAATCAAATCGCTTGGCGAGCCTTCATACCTTGGTGCTTGGGAGTTTCTGCGGCACGGTTTTCTTGATTGGACTGATGGTACATTCTTTGCAGATAATCGTCACCTCTCATACAGTACTCACTTAACTGAGTATTGGTCAGCATATCTATAAGTCTCTAGCACTTCCGGTGAACTTTCGGTAAGCTCGTTGCAGAAACAGGGCCTGCCGAATTATAGTGTACCGACCTCCCGGGTAGATTGGTCCAAGCCCATCCAGTGGTTAACATCGACACCTATAATTTTCTTGCGCTGAACTAAGCATCCCCCACTCCAGACGTCCACTGATTCCATACTACGCAGTCTATCCCTCGAAACTTCCAATTTGTCCGAGGTCACGACAGACAGAAGGGCGATGCCCGTCACACAACATCGAGGCCCAATCCACGAGGGCGTGAGCTGCGATAGGTAGAACAAGGACACCCACCCTCGAATCATGTACACGTCCTATCACATCTGAATAGGAAGGTAGATGGCGGCCCACTTACGTTTCTGAAACTCTTCGCCTCTAGAATTTGTGGCGTCTGATTGTGGAGGCTCATCCGTAGATTGTTGTCTATTTACCTATGCAATCGCCACCGAACTGAGCACAACAACAACATGCACCGTCAACTATCGAACGCTGCGTTAGATTGATACTCTCTACAAGTTATCAGCTCGTTTCAAAACTTCTCGGAAGCGCGCCTAAGATCCAGTATGGCGAATACAACATTTAGAGAGCATCTTGACGTCTACCGGCGTCCCGGTGTCGACCGGTCCTTCACCACGTCTCCTCACGTTAGCTTCGCCTCGATCCCGGACTATGCTCACACATCTCAAGACGATTCGGAACCATGGGTTCATGCCCAGCAGTATGCGGAGGGTTACGGAAATGTTGAGAACTGCGGGTCTTGTGGGGAGTTTGGAAATTTATGCCTCTGCGAAGATAACAGCACAACCCCAATCGGGGATGTGGCTATGGATGGCTCTTGGAACCACGGGTATCCTCCCACGACGGATCGTATGGAATGGAGCTTTGTACCTGGTCTTCGAAGCTTGAGAGGAAGAAGTGATCGTGTTATGAATGGCATGGGAGAGCAGGAGGAAGAAGAAGTTGGCGGTATCGAGGGCTCCGATGACCAGAGATCGAAGAGACCACCAGAGCCTGACCTGGAGACGGGCCCATACTCATCGACTAATGCTGGAGCCAGCTCGATCTGCTCAGACTCGCAGGAACAGTCAGAGGGGAATGTTAGCAAGCAGGCGTATTCTCCAAATCAGGACGGTCACGACCACGCGAGCGAAGGGGAGCTGTTACAGCATGGTGAAGATTTGGATGTTGAGTTTCATCCATCTCCGTGCCTCCTTGGGGGCTGTCGAGGAACCTATGTGTTCAAGACACTGTCCAGCTATCGCACCCATCTGAAGAACGTTCATGACAAGATCATTTATTGTCGAGTCTCAGAATGCAGTCGTAGCCACACGAAGCCATTTACCAGCGAGACCGATCGACGTCGTCACCACCAAGCCAAACATAACTCGAATCCAGACAAGCCTTTCAAATGCGTAAGAAGCGTCTGCCCTGCCAGAGTGAGAGCGTTCAAGCGCAAAGACAAGCTTTCCGAGCACAATAAGAAGTATCATGCTCAAAGCTTGTGCCATATTTGCTCGTGCTACTTCGACAGTTTCGAAGAGATGTTAGCGCATACAAACTTTGGCCATGGTTCTTTTGGATCCGAGAGACAGGATGTCTGAACGAGTAGTACTGGAGATTTTCTATGGTGCTCTTCATGGCTTACCTGAAAGGAGCCACGGTTCAATGTTCTTACGATTTCATGATTAGTTTTTCATCGTCTGCGAAGATATGAACGAATGAGAAGGTTGACGTTTTATATAAATTGATGTTAAGTTAGTCGATCCTCCATTCCACCGAGCTAGATCCATTCTAACGCAAATACTCAGGCACGGCAAGAGGAAGAATCTAATGCCATCCATAACGTATTAGCCAGTTCGGCACGACAGCCACAATTCGACCTGGCCGGGGACACCTTGACAATGCTACCCCCAACATAATTTCGGTTATCTCGATATACTTCAACCGATTCGAATGTACGTTGGACTCTTTTCGGAACTTTGTTTGGTTGGTCTGGAAACGGAGGTGCCATCTCTCAAGGTGGCACAACAATTGCAAACTGTGGCTCGGACTTCCTTCTTGCTTCTTGAGCTTGATGAGTCTACTCGATGTTTGCGGAGAGAAGAGAGCCAGGACTGTGTTCTCCTTGAATTCGTGTTACAAATTGGCTTTGTTCTTTTGTGGTTTCTTCATGTTTTCATTGTGGGTTTCAGGCGGAGACTTTTTACTATTCATATCTACGGCCTTACGAACGAAAAGTTTGATATCATGATTTTGATTTGATGTTAAATTTAAACACTGTCTCTTCATCTGCATAGTCACAACCATATGATTTTGCATCAATCATTGACGCCCGTCTCCCCACTAACTCCGGTGGTGTACCTTCAAGCTGGGCGAGAGTTGCCCGGTTGACGTGGTCAGGGCGAGGTGGGAAAGTGCAACTTTGAACCACATGAAATCACGAGCCAAAAGGGCATATAAGCCGCTTCCTCCCCTCGAGTCTCCTCAACTTGTTCCTAACCAATTTGTTCACCGAAGACTCTTTGTGCCCAAGTTCCGCAGTCTGCCTCGCCTCTCTCGGCTATGACAATCCACACCGAGATGACGGATTTCCATTGGCCCACGTGCGAACCTGACTTTGGATTTCAAAATGCCCTTGAAGGGCTGCAGGACACCATATGTCCCTCTCTCTATTCGGACACTTGGGCACCCCCATTCATGCTGGAGGCTGACGCCCTAGTCAGGTAAGAACCTTGCAAGTCAAAATGCCCTTTTTGCGTGTTGGGCCCCTTTTCACAACCGAACAAAAATAATTGTTTCTAATTCGTTGACAGGTCTCCCTCCTCGCTTTCCGAGGACTACTTGTTCTTAAAACACACTCTTTTGGAACTCCAAGCTGAGAGCCCGCCAGGAAGTCGGGCGCAGCATGACGACGACGATACTTCGACCCAGAGATCCCGGAGCGATACTTCCATTAGCCTCAATGACTGGGCGAGTCCAGCTCATCCTGCAGTGCAGCCACTGGATCACAAGCTGCAGTGCACTTATCATGATTGCACTGCCAAGCCGTTCAAGACATTGTGCGATTTCAAAAGCCACATGAGAGGCCATGCCGCGGATGTCCTGGAACAATGGGAAGAGGAGAAGCCTTGCCGCTGTCCCTGGTCGGGCAACTGCAAGTCCAAGGCTGTCTTCAAGTCTCGGAGGATCCTGCAAACCCACCTGGAAAATGTACACATCACTCCACTCACCTGCACCGCGAGCGGATGCTCGTATCGAAAGCCATTCAGAAGCAACTACGACCTCAAACGGCACATGTTGACTGCCCACTCGGGCGACAGCAACTGCCAATTTCTTCGTTGCCCGTATCCCAAGTGTGATCGAGGCCCAAGGACATTCGTTAGGAAAGATAAATGGTTGATCCACATTCGTACCAGCCATGACGGAACAGAATGCCCCATCAATCACTGCAAGGCTGGGAAAAGAGACGGGCTTCTCACCCATGATGATTTGGTGAAACACATCCGGCATGAACACGGGAGTAAGGCTCCAAGAATGAAGAGAGTTTGAACAGTGTGCTGAATCATGAAGAATTTGAATGCGCCATTGGCGCCTGTGACTCGCAGCTTCCATCTCGGTTCATTGAATCCGAGCTGCTTAAGCACTTAGAGGTAAGTAAGAGCGTTCTTGATTTCTGCCCTCTGGTGATGTCACATTTTGGTCCTAGACAGTGTAACATACTAACAACCTGTTTCTCTAAGCTCCATCATGGACTTCCATATGGAGCGATCAATACGGCCAGAAGTGCTGTGAAAATATCCAGTGACAAGACAGTCAAGCCAACAGATGTCTCATCATGTTGGCAAGAATGCGAGCAGTGTAAAGAGGGAAATTTTGAAGAGAAATCTGAGATTGAGACGAAACCGGGTACTCCCGACGAATTTCGCAACCATACGTTGAGCTTTCGCAGCTCCTGAGTGTGAGCGAGTTGAAACATCACTCGCCTGATACGTTTTAAGTATCGTTGCATGAATTCCTATGTAATGACTTTTGTTTGGGCGGCGTTATTGATTTTGGTTTAGCATATCGTTACTTCAAAAAGGATTGACATGGCGATTAAGGCTTCTAGCTCGTAGATTGCGTTCGTTGGTTGTTTCCAACCAAACATTGCCTTGCGTGATAGCACCCCTTTCTAAGCGAAACCAAGCGAAGTACCCCTGAAATCGCTTCCATCAACGAGCCTACAGATACAAGACGCCCGAATGTAGCATAATGTCGTAAGCTTCTGTACCACTGACAGCTTATGGTATACAAGAACTGAAGAACATGAAATGGTCGATGAAAAGTCACATGACTTTGGTAATTGTTCCAGAACAAGTTGAGCAGCAGAGCCGTAGGCAAGAAAAAGGCGAGCATTTCAAGTTCCAAGGGCTGAGAGCTTCTAGATCGTACTTGATGATAAGCTGTAGACAATGGTAAAATCAAAGTTAAAGTTCGGAGACATTTGGAGACACTGGAAATTGCAAAATATACCGGAGCTTGAGACATGGAGCTTTGGGGATACAATTGTAGATTAAGACCAAGAACAATCTACTCTTCGAGAACTTCCTTGAGTCAACTGCATCTTCCGTCTTAGTTGAGTACGTTCCGTCAACTTGAAGGGCTACTTCGTATTGGACACAAAAAGTGAAGTAAAAGGAATCGAGGGATGATCGTGAAACCGAGACAATAACATCAAGGTTTGTTTTGACCCCAGATGATTACTAAAGTCCCAATTGTCAGTGAGACATTGATCCACCAGATCTAAACCCAAAATTTTCCTATCAAAATTGAGTTTTACGATCATGCCGAACCTGACCCGTCAGAGGATCGGAAGTCGCCTACGTTCAACTCGTGACTCGCGAAGTGGCTCCCTCCACGATCTCCTCAGCCAAGCTTGTCTCCAAGAATGAGCTGCACCTCATCGTACTGGATCATCCGGAGACGAGAAAGGCCGCCGCGGCGCCCAAGATAAGAGTTCTAGACGTGATTGGGAAGTCTCAATTGGTTTCCACGAGGTTTTGTTGCGAGATTTACCTTCCCGTCTGCAGCCCCCGCACTCTGCGACCGCTGGTCGGTCCCAACCGGTCGTCCATCAGATCGGCTGCTGCCCTTTTCCCATCGGAATGGAGTGCGGTGCTGAGATGATGGGGGGCTCGGGGGAAATGCATTTGCTTCCGTTTTCTTTTTTTCACCTATCGAGTGACTATGTGAACTGTCTTGGCGCATTCTAGAAACTCCTGTGTCTCGAAGATACACAATTTGCACCATGGGGCTGAGAGTTATATAAACATTGGCTTTCGGCCACCCTTTCACTACTGCTGCACAGTCTTTGCATCATCGTGGTTAATTGTGTCCAAGAGCCTCAGTCTAGCACGCACCGGTCTGTGGTAGTAGCCACGAGCTAAAGACTTCTGTCAAACAACATCATCGCAGGAATCTTATCAGCAAACCTTTTTTGCAACTTCGCGATGGGTGTCACGATTGATCAGGGTCCGGATGATGCGCCCAACAACATCACTGGAGAGATTGCTCCCAAGCGCTCCTTCGGGCAGCGTTTGACGGATGCGAAGAAGGCATTCACAACCAAGGAGGGTCTTCTGGGAACCTACGACTATGGTGAGATCTGACTTGAGAGTCCCGGGTCGTACGAAGAGTACTGATCAGTACAGCCTTCTTGTTCACGCCCAACTTGCCGTTCATGAAGAAGCCAACTCAGTCTGCCCCCTTCTTCAGTTTACAACAGAAGATGCCTGTTGTCCTAGGAATGCTTTTGGGCTTCCAACACGCTTTGGCTATGTTGGCTGGTGTCGTTACTCCACCCATCATTATTTCAAGCTCTGCGAACTTTGATACTCTCACGGTATATACTCCTGTGATTTTCCGTAACATAATATTTTACCTAACGTACTTTTCAGACTCAATATCTTGTGTCGACCTCGCTCATTGTTTGTGGTATTCTATCAGCTGTCCAGATCACCAGATTCCATATCTACAAGACTCCTTACTATATTGGAACTGGTTTGATTTCCGTTGTTGGAACCTCCTGTAAGTAGCCCACTTCCAATTTGCCCGTTACTTTTACTCGCTGTATGTTTTCCTTACCTGAGAAGGAAGTGTTTCGTGGAAGCTTCTGAGACAAGCAATAACTGATATCCCATTCTTTTAGTCGCCATCATTCCCGTGGCCACCAAAGGAATCGCTCAAATGTACGCAAACGGCATGTGTAAGACAGCAGCAGACGGTACCCAGCTTCCTTGCCCTGATGCGTATGGTGCGATTGTCGGAACCGCAGCAATGTGCGCTCTCCTCGAAATTGGCCTCTCGTTCATGACACCAAAGACTCTTAAGAGACTCTTTCCACCAATCGTTACTGGTCCTACCGTCATGCTCATTGGTGTTTCTCTTCTCCAGCCGGGTTTGGAAGGCTGGGCTGGTGGTTCCGGACCTTGCGTGTCGAGACCTGAGACTGGCATCTTTACGCTGTGCCCCACCATCTTTGCACCACACGCACTGCCTTGGGGATCGGCACAGTACATTGGTCTTGGATTCTCCGTCTTTATCACCATCATCCTTTGCGAGAGATTCGGCTCTCCTATCATGAAGTCCAGTAAGTCTCAGCCACCTGCAATTTTTCCTGGCCGCGCTAACCCGGTTCAAAGTGAGCGTTGTCGTTGGTCTCCTCACTGGCTGCATTATCGCTGCCGCAACTGGCTACTTTGACAAATCTACCATTACTGATGCTCCTGCTGTAAGCTTCATCTGGGTGCACACTTTCAAGCTGAGCGTCTACGGTCCTCTTGTACTTCCGTTGATGGCAATCTACATCATTTGCATGATGGAAGCCATTGGTGATATCACCGCTACTGTAAGTCTCTCTTCAAGCATTTCTCATCAAGCATTCGATTCAAATACTAATACACCAATAGTGTGATGTGTCTCGCCTCCAAGTCGAAGGTGAACTCTTCGACTCCCGAATCCAGGGCGGCATTCTCGCTGATGGAATCAACGGCATGCTAGCTGGTCTCTGCACCATCACCCCAATGTCCACATTCGCCCAGAACAACGGCGTCATCGCCCTCACTCGATGCGCCAACCGAACCGCCGGATACTGGGCCGTCTTCTTCCTCATCGTCATGGGAATCTTCTCCAAATTCGCCGCGGCTCTCGTTGCGATCCCCTCATCTGTGCTTGGTGGAATGACTACCTTCCTCTTCGCTTCAGTCGCTGTGTCCGGTCTCCGCATCATCGCTACCGTGCCCTTCACCCGCCGCACGAGATTCATCCTCACTGCGGCGCTCTCGGTCGGTTTCGGTGCCATTCTCGTTCCTAACTGGTTCAGTTTCGTCTTCACGTATTCTGGAAATAACAAGGCTAAGGCTGGCTTCTTTGATGCCATTGTTTTGGTTATGGAGACTGGTTTTGCGGTCACGGCTTTTATTGCTGTTGTCCTGAACTTGGTTCTGCCGATGGAGACCGTCGAGGAGATGGCAGAGAGTTTGGCAGGGGATATCGCGCAAGATCGGGAGGAGGAGGCGCAGATGGAGGGTGAGGTGGAGGAGAAGAAGACTGTTGGGAGTTCTGCTGCACCAATGGTTTAAGGTCGATCTTTCGTTGGGAGAGAATTGATATTGTTGTGTTGAGTTGAGATTGTATATAGTATGTTTCATAGCTCCTTAACTATAACAGTTAACATGACTCTGTATCTTTACCAGAGAGTGGGACCATAAGCTGCGTGATAAGAAGTGGCGACTTGTAGACATTCCAAGTACCAATAGACGCAGGATTGGTCTTCACTACATTTTCTACCAGAAAATGATATAGTATCCCAAGTACGCGTGTTCACCTGAGTGCTCGAGATGGCAATCATGAAGAGTGACAGGCGAAAAATGCCGTTTGAAAGATCCCTCCCTCTCCGGATACTCGCAATAAAGAATCGTAAGCATCCACAAGAAATCTGAACGAAGCCAAAAAGCCACAAAGTGTTCGCCAGAGAAGTACAATAATAATGACGTGACTTCCTGTCTAAAGCCATAATATCAAAAGGTTGCACAAAACAATAATCCGAATCCGGCTAGCCTCCTTCTTCGCAACACATAAATCCAAATAAGCATGTTCCCGCCATGTAAAAAACAGAGAGAGTGGTAGCATGAGCAGTAGGGCGGCCGGATGGTCGAGTCCGAAAACAATCGAAATCAGATTCTTGTTTCCTGCGAAGACGTTACTCAACTACTACTCGCGATGTATGACGGTCCCCGTTATGTAAACCATCACATCTGTTTATTTGTGTTTATAGATATCTTGGGGAAGGAGTCACTTGTCGATGTCAATATTAAGCTGTCTATCTTCAACTCTAGAGCTTTACGTAGTCAATTGGGTATGCATGCAACTCGTGGTGAGAGGATTTGGGGTGAGTTGAAGGAAGAGAAGTTCTGAGAGGGATCTCAACGTGGCTTACAGTAGTCCTCGCTTGCCCCTGAGGGATACTCTCACCTTCAATCTTCCCCTTTCTGCTTTGATTCGCAAGAATGAGGTTTGAAGACCTCTTGCTAATTCATTTTCTTAGCCAGATGGTCAGCCATTTAGTCATATCTCGCTCAACGCTTTGACCTGCCACTGGCGATAAAGAATGCTTTTGAAATGATCCTCTAAAAGTCTATCTAGTCAACAAAGCAAGCAAAAGCTTCGAACGGCTTCAACGACAACTCCCCATCCATGATATTAATCCCACCATAACTCGACGTCAACACCTTCTCTTTCTGCAAGCTAATCTCTTTCGGCAGCGTCCAAGTCAAAGACTCCTTCCTGAAATTCGCAACAACAAGCACCTTCTCTTCCCCAAACGTACGAGTATACGCCAACACATTGTCATTTTGCATATCTACCATCTCGAAAGCGCCGTAGATGAAGATATCCTTGTGCGATTTCCGCAAACGCAAAATCGAGGCCCAGTACTCGAAGACACTCCCATGGATCCCGACTTGGGATTCGGCGTTGATATCGACATAGCTCTCGTTCTCTTTCTGCCAAGGCTTGGCGGCTGAGAAACCTGCGTATTTCTCTTTGCTCCATTGCATTGGTGTTCTGGCGTTGTCTCGTGACTTCTTCTGGATTTCTTGCTTTGTGATGCGGTGTAGCTCTTTGTCGTCTGGATATCTCTTCATCATGCTGCTTTGATTAGTACGCTGCTTTTGACGACGGGTGGGGAAACTTACTCGTCCCAGGCTTGAAGTGTTTCCAGGTCTCGATATTCGGAGATGTCTCGAGATAGAGGGACGTTGACCATTCCTAGCTCCTGGCCTTGATACACGAATACAGTTCCACTTTGCAGGGCCATAAAGGTGGCAAACATCTTCGCAGAAACGACTCTGAATTCTGGTAGGTCGGATCCCCAACGAGAAACGGTTCTGCTTTGATCGTGATTCTCCAGATACAATGCGTTCCATCCGTCATTGTCAATCATGAATGTTTGCCATTCGTTGACAATGCTCTTCAAAGTTGACATTTGCCATTCTCTAGGGGAGAATTTTCCTCTGTCACCGATGTCCATGTCGACTCTTTGTACCTGGTCAGCCATTTGCAAAAATTTCTCTTGACGGAAGCTTACATTTCGAAGTGGAAGATCATATTTAGCTCTCCACGACCAAAACCCACTGCCTTGAGGATCTCTTTTGGATCATCTACACATGGCATCTCACCAACGGAGAAGGCATTGTACTCCTTCAAGATCTTGCCGATAGCCTGCAAGTATTCGTGCAACCTGGGTCCGCAAGCAAAGTACTTGTCACCAGGCTGGAACTCTACATCAGGTCTCGTAATCGGGGCATCTGGAAGTCCTGGAACTTTGCTGATGAAATTGATGACGTCCATTCTTGACATTTTTTAGCAGGTCGAACTCTTCAAAACGACAATGATACATACCTGAAGCCATCAACTCCTTTGTCAAGCCAAAAACGAACAATGTCATGAACTTCATCACGGACTTTAGGATTCTCCCAGTTCAAATCTGGTTGCTCAGGTGCAAATATGTGTAGGTAATATTCATCTGAAGCTTCATCATATTCCCATGCACTTCCTGGTCTGAAATTAGCTCAATCCTAATACCGCTGTTCAGCAAAGAAAGATACTTACCACCCCATACACTTCCCCAATTATTCGGAGGGCTCTTTGAGCCGTCATCATTAATTTTCGGCTTCTTCCAAATATAAAAGTCCCGATACGGATTATCCTTCCCCTTCTTCGCCTCCATAAACCACTTATGCTACTCAAACATCAACAAATCGCTCTCATCACAAAGCAATACTCCGGACTCACCTGATCAGAAGTATGATTAACAACCAAATCCATCAAGAACTTCATCCCCCGACTATGACAGCCTTCAATCAACTTATCAACATCTTTCAGCGTCCCATAGGGAGCGTGGATATCTCTATAATCGGAGATGTCGTATCCCATATCCACCTGGGGAGATTTATAGATGGGACATGTCCAGACGATGTCGACGCCGAGGGCTTTGATGTAGTCTAGCTTGGAGGTGATGCCAGGGATGTCTCCGAGGCCGTCGCCGTTGGAGTCTTTGAATGAGGCGGGGTAGATTTGGTATACGGAGGACTCTTTCCACCATGCTCGTTTGGGGTCTGTGGGAGTCATGACGAGGTCGAGTGTGATTAAAATGTAGGGTTAATCAAGGTGTGAGGAATGTATCAAATTGGAAAGAAAGTTATTGATGATGCGTCGATACCGGTGTCTTGACTCAGGAACAATTCGGTGACCCTAGGCTCTGTGCAATGAACAGAACAAGTAGAAATTTCTCTATCTTTCAAAAAATGTTTGACTGAATTAAGAATTGTTGAGGAATTAAGAAATGGAGTTGTACGAGATGAAAGTGCATGTATATGTAAAGTGACGATGATGAGGGGCATTTCTGGTTGAACTCTCACTGGCTCGCTTGATTTCTAAGGGCCATAGAGGGGCATCGCGGGGTAATTCTCGCTGTATCTTTGCATCAATGTTCAATCTTCATTTTTCGGGTGTCTTCTTCCCTTTAGGAGAATAAGGTAGCTATTGAAACGTTGTCTTGGCGGACAATATTTCAGGGTTACTCCGAGAGTCAACATTGATTGTGAAGGCTTATAGCCTCATGAATGTTGGTCTCGGTTCCTGGACGATGAGAATGGAAAGAGAGCCGAAAATTCGTTGCACATGCTGCAAAGGCGGATGCATATCCCTTGATTCTTTTTTCCAGATTGTAAGTGATAAAGAGGCTGTCTAGATGAAAGTTCCCATCCAGATAAATGTTCGGAATTACCTGATATTATATACTCGTTTGAAGTCAGTTCACTTTTCCGAACAATGAGTATGGACTAGAGATCGAAATTCAGACCGTACTTATGAAAGCCTCAAATAAAACACTCTAAGACTGCATGTACATCTAATTCGTTATCTACTATACAATATCTCATCGATCGACGACCTTTACACTCAATGTACACCCCCAAACCCAAACCACTTTTCCTCAAACCCTCTCAATTCTTCATACAAATCCCAATCCTCCACCGCAACCACCCCCTCATCATACCCCTCAAAAGCAGACATAGTCGAAATCATCCTCGGCGTAGAAGAGACATGCAACTTCACCCCCTCACCAAGCTTATTATTCGGCGACGCAATATCCCCATACGTCGTCCCAGCCTGAAACGTATCCTGCGCAACCCTATGAATCCGAGCCCAAAGCGGACGCGGAAACTTCGCATGCTTAATCAGATTCGCATGAACAAACGTCCATTTCCCCTCGTGATCAGCCTGCAGCATCGTATGTCCGCCCGACAGAGGATTGTCTTTCATCACTATGCCGGCAGCGGCATTCAACCTTCCTGGCCCTGCCCACTTCTTACCGAGTAAGAGAGCAGCTGCTCGGAACGAATCCCTATCTCCGCCCATGAAGCCGTAGAATTCTTCGTGATGGACGGCGAAATACTCGACCAACCATAAAAGATCTTGATGCAGCGTGCGCGAGATGAAGATCTGTCCGGATTCCCCTTCATATTCGTCTCGACACTTTTGTCCCAGGAGACGCCACAGAGGGTTCGTAGGATGAGATTTGGTGTAGTCCGGCCAGAGGAGGAGACCGGTCTCTTTCCATTGCTTGCTTTGGAAGATGTAGTCTGGATTTCGAAGGAGATAAGAGTCTGTATCCAGGTACAGGATTTCGTCGAAGGATGATTGCTGGATGGCTGCTCCTTTGATTTGGAATTGTTTCCATCCATTGCCTTTCTCTACTCCTTCTACGAGTCGGATCGTGACTTTCATCCCGCTCTGTTCCGCTTGGCTTTCTGGTGAAAGCTCGAGTTGAGATAGGTCTTCGAGCAAGCTTTTATCTGGTGCTGACAACTCGGTTGAAAAGTGAAATATCTCAACTGGTAGAGTGCAGTTGTATGATTTTAGGAATCGAATGTTGGTTCGTGCCCGGACAACAGCTTCTCGATCTCCAGCTGCCATGACGATTCCTCTTCCACTTTTGACCTCTTTTCCTTTCTGGCTTTCCAAGGGGTCTGATTCCAGCTTCAACTTCTCATCCTCTTGCTTATGGCGTAAGTAACTAGCTATACTGTGACGCCAATCCGAAATTTGAGACGACGGTATATCTCGCCACTTCTCCACATTGCCATTAACTGCATTTGCATCAAAATTGACACCAGCCGTCGGACAGGTCTTGGAGTTCAATTCCACGGCTTCATCATAAGAAAGAAGTGGGCGCCCGACAAAATCCTCTAAGATGGCTTCTAAATTTGTTTTCCCCTCCCCACCAGGAGACTCATTGGATAAATCCGGCTTCTCTCCAGCCCGAACCGGCTCGAAATAGTCATGAGCCGCCTGCGGCAGGTAATCCGGAATATCAGTCCCTTTCAAATGAAGGAAGCTTAAGACAATTAATACAAATACGACGGTTATAGTGATCAAGCGAGTCTGAGACCTCATCCTCTCCAGCTCCAACAGGGGCGTGTCCAGGCGAAGCGAGAATGGATTATCGACGGCTCGAGAAGTCTAGAATTGGAGTACAAAGAAGGATGTTTCTCCGATCGAGCGATGACCACGATTTCGAGCAGAACCGGAGTCGTGGCCTTATAAAGTATTGAAGGTCCCGAAAAGAATTGTGGGACGTGTGCGTGTCCTGTTAGAAAGACAAAAGATCCGCTGACTCTGGCCGTCAATCATAATCCGGTGTCCGTATATCCCAACATTATTGTTACAAAGCTGATCGCTCAATCAAGTCTGTACAAGAGGAGGACGAGCTTCTTGAAACAAGTTATGGGAACTGTGGCTTTCAATGAACGAAATGAGAGTTTGGGATATAAAGGCGGAGAAAGTGATTTTCCGGGTGTTGCGCGGCTATGATGAAACGCACCGGGGGTCAAATCTAACTCAGCACGTGCAGTACTCTAAATCGACGAATCGTCGCACAATTTTTCTTGTTTCAAGGGCTTGCTCGAGTCATTCGAGCTTTAGGACATTTCGGGCTTCTGAAGGCTTATTAAGAAATTATTCCTGTGGTGATGAGTGACAGGGAAGTGGAATCACGTGGAGATGCCTCCTTTTACACTTCGACGCTCCGAGACTCATGATAGAGAGTATTAATTATCGGATCACCATACAGCAATAACAATACCGTCTTCTCAGACCCCTTGCCAAAGAATACAGTGTCCACGACGAAGAGATTATGCCAACAATCTAGAATCCAAGGCCTGATAGCCAGTCATGAGAATATTTGAACCCCATCTGCGCATTTGTCTGATGCGCCCAACAATGACCAGAATTGGGAACGATATACGACTACATCTCGGTTATCAGCCTCTGTTTATCTCTATTTAAGACACTTTGAGACAAAGGCGTTTGAACTTACAGTGTAGTTACTGGCGGAAGGATATATAATGTTTGTCAAAGCAGGCTTGCTGGTCGGACCACTTCCGCAATTCCCAGGACCAAGAAATTCGAGGGCAAGGAAACCACAGAAAACAGTATCTTGTTCCCCATCGATGACTAGGACGGGCCCTTTGTAGCTCAGTGCCGTTGGTACTAAAGCACCTGAGGCAGCTTCCCCAAGGGTGATGATACCTCTGTTTGCATAGTCCTGCAGGATAAAGGTACGGTCGTAGTAAGTGTTTGGACCATAGAAGAGCAGGAACTCCACACCCGACTGAATTGAGGCTTCGAGGTATGAAGGATCAAGGTTTCCATACCTGGATGGCTGGACACCCAAAGCTGGCAGTAAGCCTGCCGTGAAAGTGAAACCTCGAGAAGTCAGCATAATAAACTCAGAGTATGGTTGGCCGTACCAGGAATAACGGTCACCCAGTCTTTGGCAAAACCAGCGAGAATTGTTGCGTCTGCATCTTGTGGATAATTGACGTTAAGGTAATTGCCGACAAGTGAACCCAAGCTCTCTCCAACGAAGATAATCTTATCAAAATTTCGAGGAAATGGCAAGGCCCCATTCCGAGCTAGTAGTATCATCTCATGGACAGTCCTATAGAGATGTTGTGTCAGAGACTCTGACGTTGCCTGACTTTGCCTGAAAGATGAATGGAGCCTTAGAGTTACTTACGCTGCTTGAGCTGGGCATTGAACAACTGTAATACCATTTGGGTGACTGGAATTGCCGTTCCCAAGCCGGTCGAAAGCGAACGTGGGATAGCCCTGGAGTGAAGCATAGGAAACCCAGCTATACATATCGCCATCGAAGCCGAAACCTGGAGAGCCACCGCCAGACCACTGTTGAATAGTCAGCATAAAATTCACGACACAACATGTATTCCTGGGATGTAATAGCACAAGCTTCCAACTTACATAGTTTCGATCATAGGTAGCAGGATGAGCCAGTAGCTGTAAAGTGTTTCTCCGCGACGGAACATCGACTTCCGGCTCACAGTACCGACCAGCAATATCGTAGCTGCCTTCGATGAGGGAAGTGAAAGGTAGATTGATGCCGCTTGAGAGGAGTGCCAAGAGTCCAGTGGTATCAAGATCAGGATCGAGAATCTTTGAAGCACCTTAGCAATTGTTCCTGCCAAGCTGGGACAATGAAACGAAGCAACAGACGAGAATTTCGGAGAGACTGTACCGCGTTGTTGGCTGTAATCTGGACAGGAACGACAAGTTCACTGCACATGGGTGTAGATAGGACGGTAGCAAGGAGGAAGGAAGTCACGTAGAAGGATAAGACGATAAGGTAAGGAACCATTTTATGGAATATAGGTTTGCTTAGGATAAAGTCGCTCAGTGATTAGAATTACAAATCATGAGAAAAAGGAGACATGGCGAGTTGCACAAGTTATATCCGATGGCGCGGGTATCGCACCTTCCTTAAAAACCTCAACACCTAGACACCGGGACATGGACCAATAATCATCATCCTTCAACTAGAAATCAGGTTTTATTCTCGTGGAATTGTCGGATAAGAAGGCGCGTGCTGTGAAAATATTTCTTGGCCAGGATGTTCATCTTGTAGCGGGTATTCTGGAGGATTATAGGCTTCATCGTGCACAGGCGGCGTTGTTGTTACGAGAGGAATTGTTTCCCTTCTTTCCGGCTCATAACCGGAATGGTAGGCAGTTTGTTCTTGTCCCCCATTGTTATATGTTGTTGCAGGTTCATATTCCGATATTCCCGTGGCTGCATACATGGGACCAGTCCGCGATCTAGAATTCGGCCTTTTTCTGAGAAAGAATAACAGCAATCCCACAAGGGCAACGGCCGCAATGATCGCCCCCACTGCAATGCCCGCTTTTGCTCCAGTTCCTAAGCCCGAGGAGGAAGAGGGTGTCGAGGTTGGAGTATTGGTACTGGAGGTTCCTGTTTTTGAGGAAGTGGTCGTCGTGGGATGAGCAGTTGGCTAAAAGCTGATCAGGATGGAGTAACTGTTTTGAGATATTCTTCACATACAGTGGTTGTCATCGAAATGACAGTGACAGAAGTCGAGACAGGTACAAGCCACCAATCTGTGGCGCAGACGGTTTGCGTATTCGGACAGCAGCGATCACTTGCGGGTGTCAGTCAGTGTATACGAAGAACAGCTCTCGATCAACTCACCCTGAACTTGCACACGTCTGATTTTGTGGGCACCAAGTCGGACCACAACATGTCTGCCCGGCTGAAGCATCGATACATGCGTCGGCTCCAGAACAGTATACCTGACTCGCAGAGGGGCAACATCTGGACCGAATAAGTCAAAGTACCACCACTTTCCGAACATTTTCTTACTTACTGGCCTGGTGTTTCTGAACAGAACCAATTATTTCCACATTGGACGGTTCCTGAACTGTTCCCAGAACTGCTTCCCGTGCAACAGACCGAAGAGGATGTTTCCAAGCAATAATCACCACAAAATCCGTAAGGACAATTCGATGGCGTGCCCGATGGGCTTGGCTCCGTGGTAGAAGACATTTTGCTTGGCGAATAGAGATCTCCACCGCGTTCTCGTCCGACCACAGTAAATTTGACTCGAAAGGATCAAATAAGATGGCAAGGCTATGACGCGCGACAAAGAACAGAAAGAGAAACGCGATCTCCTTTATAGCCTTCTCACCGATGGCATCAGGCTCCGAGGAGCATGAGGCTGGCAAGCCACGCCCACATTTTTCAGGGGTGCAATTTCACTGCCATTATCGCGGGTACAGAAACAGAACACGACGAATAGCACGACAGACTTCTGTTGATGCGTCAGCCATCGCTTTGCGAATTGGTTGTTCTTCCAGGCTGGGTGCAGGAGACATGACGAATGGTATCATCGAGCTCTCCAGCCAGCCTCGATTGAGGTTGTATTGAGCTCCGACCCCAAGAAATGGCAATACGTATAATTCCGCTCAACGCCTTGCTGCCTTTGGCGGCCACGCACCATCAGCGCTGCACAACCAAGTCTCTGGCTTGAATAAGGTTTTTGGGAACACTGGTCCTGGTAGCATTCCGACCTAGACTTGATATCAACGGCCTGAATTTCCACAAAGGACTCGAACATGCCGACTGGCCAGTTCCGTAGGCGCTTAAGCGAGTCGAAACCCCTGAAGCCTCTGGCGAGGCAAAGAGATTAGTTAGATCCGAGAGCCGTTATTTTTTTCTATTTTTCAAGGTTACAAGGAAAGTGTAAGGTCATCTATGCTCTTAAAGGTATACTAAAGTGTTTAAGTCCCAGATGAAAGTTTGCATGAAGGGTAGTTAGCACTCATCGATTGCTCGATCTGGAGGGTTGGTCTGGAACCTTTTTGTTCATCCTCTCATTCTTTCATAGTTAAATCGGCTATTGTCAGGTTTACACGCTTTCATATAATCCCAGGCACGAATCTCTTCGTCCTCTCATGCCACTCAACCCACTCCCGCCCAAACTCCCTTCTCAACATCTCCTCCTCATCCCTAACCCTAACCCCCATCCCCAGCATCATCACCACCGTAAAACCCATTGCCACAACCTCACTCACGCCCCTAATCCTGACCAAAACGCCCGGAAGAAAACAAGCCGCCACGCCATCAACCCTCAACCAAAAAAACGCACTCGCGACCTGCACCGCAAACAGCGTCGTATACGACGGATGCTGCACATACTTATACAACCCGTCCCTCACCAACCTCCCCGGCCTCTGCAGTCGGAACGTGAAATTCGTGCCTAGCTGTTTATAAGCCAGCAGGCGAATCGGCGCAGCGATGAAGATCACGAGCACGAAAGTAATGCTGGTCGGGCTCCAGGCGAAGAGAGATTCGTTTAGTAGGTCCGGGTTCAGGCAGATGTTTGAGCGGGAGCGGGAAGAGGGGAACAGGATGAGTGTGCAGTGGGAGAACCAGAGGAGGATGAGAGCGTAGCGGCTGCTTTTTGAGGTTGACGTGAGGAGGGCGATGCGGTCTTTGACGGTGGGGGTGGGGGGGTTTGGGTTGGGTGTTTTGGCGCAGAGTGAGGTGAGGTATGCGGTTATTGTGAGGGCTGCTATGAGACTTAGGCTTTGAGGTGAGATGTCCATGTTGTCTCTGAATGTTATGACGGTTCTTTGATGAATTGTGAAGATAGTTTCCAGAGGCGCTGTGTTTTTTATGTCATGTCCTCGGCGGTTTCGAGACGATGTGCAGGGATGTTGTTCTCGCTCAACCCCAGCCTCCACGATTGACCTTTCAGCGAGAAACATCGTCATTACAGCCACAATAGCATTCCGTGTTCTGTACTTTCTCAGCTGGAAGCAAGTCGACTGTCGAAATTTCCACAACCTTGGGATGAATAATGTGCTTCTGCAACATCAGCTAGCTAATACTCTACTGAACGCCTAGAGCTCAAAGTATCGAGTCTAAGCTGAGATGCTCAAGTCAGAGATATTTCATGATTATACAGCTCCGCCTCTTCGATATGGACACTATTCATCTCGATACCAAAGGCAGGTCTGACCACACCCAGATTCGAAAATATGACTCAAAATATGCCACAACTTGAATACGTTGCTCACCTTAACAACCTGCATGAGGAGAAATTTATGCCGCGTTTCCCAATTTGCCTCACTGGTTCGAACATAATCTCTAGGACATGTGCGCAAAGCTATTGAATTTCAATTTGGTCACGGTGTTGCATTTGATTTTCCTCTGGCTGAATAAAAACTGGGCCGCAGAATTTCGGCGAGGGTAGGGCGTGAAGTATCTTGTATTCTCAGAAACTAGTGCTTTTCTGTGAATTTTGCTTGCAGTGGTATAATCTGCATCCCTAATTCCGTAGCCTCGTTTGCTCAAAAGAGTTTCAACGTCAATTCGATCGGAGCGCGTTGTCTCGCTACTCGATCCTCTTGAAGCCACTCGGGTGCTCTGCCTCTTCAGTATCCTCGGCGATGCCAGACTTGAGCTTGAGGAAGTTCCTATCAATACACGATTTGCACTGCCTCGAGAACAAGATTGTCACAGTAAGGGACTGTCTCGCAGAGTGGGAGTAGACTCCACCTTGTACAATCATCCCAAGTCCGAACTGAGGTTTACTCGCAACTGGCTTTGACATTTCTGCATTAATCATCGATCGGTAAAACTACACGAACATTCTCCGCAATTTGTCCTATTAAACATCTTAGCCTCTACAATCCGCAACCAAAAACAGATATGAACTTACCTTCTAGATAGCTCTTAACCTGGCTATAATCCTTACATACTACAACATCCATTAGTATTGTTACTCCGTCCGAAAAGGAATAATCCCTACCATGAACACCACTCCACCCACCATCCAACGGCCCCAAATCATCCGGATCCATCGAATCGTGAACCTCGAGCGCCAGATCCGCAGAACACATGATACCTTGCCGCAGGTAATCAACACAATGCAGAAAATGGGTGTCTGGATCGTCCGGCATCATCGTCGAGGGCATGCTGGATTTGATGCCTGAGTAGATGCGCGCCATCATGTACTGGACCAAGGATCAGTATTTCGAAGAAGAAAAAGGGAGTTTGGGGACCTTACAAGACAGTGCAGTTGATGCGTCATAGAAGTCGCAGAGAAATCTTCGGTGTTTAACGGACGTCCTGTTCCAACTATTGTGACAAAGTTAGTGGCGGAAAACAGCTCAAAGGACAGTAAGGAGATAATTACCAGGCATCATCCCATTCCACGTAGTAAGCGTCTCATCCGTGAAAAAATGCGACATATTCCTCGGCGCAAACGATGTGTCTGACTCGAACTTCATATTCTTCATCGTGACTAAGTATCCTATTAGCATTTCCCTCTCCTTCCCGCTTCCTCTCGTCCCCAAACTCACATTGCGGCCCCTCTCCCGTAAAATCCCCGCCAACCTGCCGTGAGGTTTCTGTCGATCGACCGCGAAGGAGAAGTGATAGTCCGACGATGATAAATAGTAACAGTGCATCGATAGGCCACCGATACCGCTCGATCGCGGAGAGGAAGCTATTCCTCTTCTTCTGCTGTCGCCGACTAGGCTCGTCGAGTCCTGAAGTCGGCGGCCATTGTTTTTCGGCGCCTCCGATCAGGAACTCCTCGTCGTGGTTAAGGGTGCTGGATAGCATCTCCTCTTCATCGGGATTTTGTTCGATGGGTTGCATGATTGTATATATATACAGTACAGACCTTGGCAGCTACCCGTACAGTACAGCCAAGAAATGATTGTTGAAGACAAGAAGATTTGATAGCTGGAAGAAAGGTCGGTTCATCTTGTTATTGGGGATTTCTCTCGAAACCTAGTCCGTTTGAGATGGGACGTCGTCTGATCTTTAGCGAGCGTTCTAACGCATTTGCTGTTGCACGATGTTCCGCTTTTTCTTGAAACGGATGATTAGTGGGCTAAATCGATGATCCACGCTGAAAAGAAGCTGTGCTTTGCTTGGAAAGCTTAGAATGAATAAGCGCTGTTAACGAGTTAAGGCGGGTGCAAAATGTGTGATGTCCCGCAACGTGCTAATGAAATGCGGGGGAATTATGTGTTTCTACAACATTGTTTGTCCCTATTGTTTGATGTAGAGATGAATTGGAGATGAATTTTTCTCTCCTTTAATGTCATCAGCGAGGATAATAGATTTGCGAATCGTCTGGTTCCCGTAAGTATTTTCCTCCGCCGGTCTTTCCCTACATCAACAATCTCAATTCTCTCTTCACCCAAAAGACTGTCAAGTAATCGCAAGAAACATAAATCCCATCTCATTCATCTCATGCAAATGGAATGAATTTCCTGGGTATACGGATAACATACAGAGAGCCACAACTTCCACATCATGCATACACTGCACTAACAACAAAAAGCAAAGTATCCGCGCCATATACTACTATCGTGTGTGTCCTTGAGCCCAGTCCCTTTTTGACAAAACACCCCAATGCCAAGCCGGACCCGACAACCAAAACAAGACTAAAGAAAAGAATGTCCCATAAAGTACAAGTAATAAACCATATACACCAAACAGTATGTTTTCGTACCATCATTCTTTATCGTATCGTATCAAGATTGCTGCCCCTGTCCGTTACCGATCAACTGGATGCAATTGTTAAGCAGTAATGCAGCTTCGTGAAGGAGTTCCCATCTCGTCTTCTCGAAGGTTGTGCGTAGGACCATCAGCATGCCTGTGCAGCCATTAAAGCCACGCATCGATTTCAGCTCCTCTGGTGAACGGACTCCACCTAATCGGCGAAGATAGGCGCGCATGTGCCTCACCTGGTCATCGAAATCGTAGGGCGAAGGAGTGGGCTCGGTGGTCGGTCCTTCCAGAGCGAAACCATAGCACCAGACGATCAGAGCAGCGAAATAGAGGACCCAAGGACGATTCAGCAAGGAATCATCGCGAGCCGAGTATTCGAACGGCGGATCGTCGTATCCATGGCGCATGCCTGGTGCAGCGGATTCTTTTGGTAGCAAGACATCACATAAGAATCGAAGAGCATACCAAGTGGCGTCTCGGGCCTTAGCGGTAGGAGCCCAGTTGTCCTTCATACGGCGTTGAGCACTGTTAAGATCTTGAGTGCCAATGGTTCGGCCGAGAAGACGCTTCGCTCTTGCGAATATTTGACAATCAACAATATCAACATGCATCGCCATGTGGGCCAGGTGATGGAGAACGGTTCTGCCCTGGAAGACAATATTTCCCTCTTCTTTTCCTGAGTACACATAAGGACCAGGGACTGCTTCGGAATTGCGGGATAGAGATCTATCGAAATCTTGCTTCCAGAGATCAAAGGCTCTCGTGAGCGAACCTCTCCACTTGTCTCGTCCTCCTAGAGCCTGAGAAACACCTAAAGAATTGACTTGAAGATCTCGTTGGTTCATATGCCAACTCACGGAGAGCAGACCAGCCATCAAGATAGTTCGTCCAAATGAGTTGGTTCGCACTTCCTGAGCATTCAAGGTTCTCTTCAGGCCTTCGAGGAACGATATTGGCTTTACGCCGTTAGCATGCAGGCTAGCCTCTATCCTGCCGACTTCAGCACTGTTGTTTGCAGACCAGAGCGCTTCGTCGCAGGGAAGTGGGAGCCTCATTTCATGAGCTACCATAACCGTCGAGTGACCGAACATAGTGGCATGCGTTGAATCCATCACAAATGCTGCAAATGCCGCCCGACGGGTTGCCTCATTGGTGATCCAATGGTTCCACCACTCATCGGGAGTGTTGGCGCCAGAAGTTGAAGATTGTCGGGATCCATTCAATCCTTGCTTATCTTCCCTTACACTTGGTGGAGAGTCAAGCGCAGATCGTCCGATTAATGAGCTCCCGCGACGCATTAGCGTGATTGTGGTTGCATGATGGATATGCGCTCGCTCATGCAACGCTCTGGTTGAGTACATCTTTTCGTAGATCTCCAGTAGGAGTAAAGCTTGGAAAACCCAGAGTTTCGCAGGTGGACGGAAATGATAATCACTGAAGATTTCCCATCTGAGGTGCCAGGCCAAGAAATTGGAGAGTTCGGCGCAATTTTGAGTAGTGTCGTAGCCATGAATTTTGTCCAGACAAGCAGCGCCAATAGCCATCATAGATATCAAGAGCAGATTTGGTGTTTTGTCTGGTGAGAATGTCGGTTTGTGCACTGGTTCTTCATTAGTACCTGTTGTTACATTTGTGGAAGCTTTTACTCACATATTGGAACTTGTTCACTGAAGTTGTACCAGTAACTGCCAATATATGTCTGCATCATCTTACGGCTAAGAAGATGACTATCGACGGTACGATCGCCCTCCATAAGTGCTTCCTTCTGTCTAGCAACAGGTGCATGATCGCCCTCATTAAATCGATCCTTGATGAGGTCCACAATGGCTTGGGCTTTCTCTTCGGATAAGACCATTTCTGGTTGACTTGTGTCAAGCAAACTGGTGACTGCCATAGGGTGGTGAGGCTGTTGATTGGCTGGGAAAAATCCACCTAGACCCATATCTCCCGCATAAAACGGCGCATAATATTGATTGTTGTTGCTATTGTTGTTGTTGTTGTTGTCAGGATAGCTATAGACGCAGTCAGTATGATTCAGCACCAAAAACTTTAGAACTGACTTTGCGTAGCCTTGTTGACCCATCTGACCCATCGGAGAAGAATTGTTGTTGAGCTGCTGTTCACTGAAGAGATATGCCACAAAGTCTTCTGGAATGGCAAATGGAGATCTACTGTAACCCTCGCCTCCGAAGACTGGCATTGTGTTGGGTGCCGTCATTTGATCTAGAAGCATCATATCTGGACCCGAGTTTTGTGGCATGGAATCGCCTTGATACTCGGGGATCGAAGTTGGATACGTGGGTTCTGGCTCTCTGGTTGCTGCCGCACTAGTTACCGCAGTGGCGAATCCAGGAGGTGGAAGTGAGAACGGAGTGAAATTCTGCTGTGCAACGAAAGTGTGCGGACTGCTATGGTAACTCTGGTTGCCGGGGGCCCCAGATAAAAGTCCATATGGTCCGACATTGGTCTGTAAAGGAGGCCGCGAAAATTCAGCTGGCTTTCCGTCCGAGATACCAAAACTCGCATGGCGCTGTGGCCTACTGATTGGAGTTGTGCTTGCACTACCTTGTCTCTGGGGAATGCTATCACTATTGGATCGTTTAAAGCTATTGGATTGTGTGTAGCCCTCGGTGCCATTGGATGACGCAGTCCCCGAGTAGGTTCCCGAAGATGGATTTGTGGCTGGAGAATATGAATTGGGCGTCATCTCGGTAGGCGATTGGTATTGCTGCAGCTGGTTGGGTCGGGATTTTAGTCCTGCAAGATTCGGTCTCATGACTTCGGGCGACGAAGAACCATGAGCCGACAGAGGTTTGCCGGAGTCCGTCACTGGAGAAGCATGAGCATGACCTAACATAGAGTCTTTCCGGTGTAGCTGTGATCCTTTAGCGGTATGGCGATCTCTGTGTCTGTTGCACAGATCTTGTCGGACAAAAGTACGAGCGCAATCAGGGAAGTCGCATCTGTAAATTTGCTTTGGTGTATGGTTCAATTGGTGACGGTACCTTGAGAAGAATGTATCAGTAGCTGCATTGTGCTAACAGCGCATGTCAGTAATACTTACAGGTGCTCAGCTCTTGAATAGCTTTTACCACAGCCTTCTTGGGGACATTCGAACTTCTTATCCAAGCCTTTGCGACTCCTCCTTCGCTTTCGAGAAGGACCATCTGTGCCAGAAGAATGTCCATCTGCTCCGCCATCCGGAGAGCCCTCGCCACTCCCATCATTATTCTCTTTCTGCGGGCGACTTCTACCTCGACCGCGGATCTTGTCGTCGGATTCGGTCTTCGGTCTCCGCTGTAAGGAGGGGTCCAGCATTTGAGGCCTGCCTGATGCGTCCATTTGCGTCATGATACTATTCGGAGGAAACGTGAGGGGTTGCGCTGCTAGGACAGAAGTCATAGTCCCAAAGTCTGGCGTTAATTGAGTTGCAGAGGGTGATATATTTCAAAATAGGACCACCTCAACTCTGGGCGCATTCGCGAATGTGGGGATTACATTTACTACATCAGACCAGGTCAGAGCAGGACTTAATTGTTGACATATGCAAGCGTTCATGCGCACGCCCTCATGACAAGGAGAGGAACTTACGCTTCGGCGCACTAGAGGGATAGAGTTTGGGAGGTTTATACAAACATCTGCTCTGTCGTCGAAACGGTCGTCCAAGTCTCTGCGATTTCTAATTGTCCGGTGAATTGACCCGGGAGAAGGTATTTATTGCACGGTCACGTTTAGGCCGGGCCGAAGATGCTGACAGCGGGCGCGGGGTGAGGGTTGTCGCGATGGCGAAGTGACACGACCGCCAGCCGACGTTATTTATCGTGGTTTGAGAATGCGGAGAAGGGAGAAAAGCCAGAGAGAGGCACGTCGTTGGGTGTTCGTGCTTGTACGTGCGTGCGTGCGTGCGTGCGTGCGTTGCGAGTAGTAGGGCGAGCGTGCGTGAGGGAGAGTTTGTGTCGTGGGATGCTGCCGGGAGTGGACCAAGCTTCTCTTCTGCAGTCAGTGGGGGTGCAGCGGTGGTGCTACTCAGGTATTTATTGAACTCGGTGGTCTTGGCCTTCGACGAGTTGACGGGTACGGGCGCCTTTCACGGTTCCGTCGACCAGTCTGGGGGGCGTGGTGAGTAACCCTGTTAGGCTTGGTGCGGAGGAGAAGTGAGGAGATGTGCTGTGCTCAGATGCTTTCCAAGCCGTACAGTAGACGAGCTCAGATCCGCAGATAATGAGGCGTTTGGCTTTGCGTTGGCGGTGCCAGAGGGCTGGGAAGATGAGGCCAAGAGTGAGATGCAAGCGCGGTGAAGCCTTGAGAGCTAAGTGAAGCCTGCCTACCGTAGCATTAGAAGCAGAGGCAAAATCCGAGTGATTGAGGGCGTAATGAGGGGAGAGAAGAAGTTGAGGATCGATGCACTAGCGAGCGAGCTCCGGACTGGGACTGCATGCACGCGCTACTTACTGTCTTGCCCGCCTCTGGCGCCCGCTAATTTTTTTTTCACTTTGGATTCGGACTAGATGTGCGGCTGTGGCCGACAGCAAATTCTGGTCTCCAGCAACCAGCAACCAGCAACCAGCCCGCAGCCCGGGTCCAGTACGGGACGGGAGACGCGAGCGAGAGTGAATCTGTCTGTCTGTCCAGCCCAGCACCACACCACAGCACCGAAGCACGGTCCATGGTCTTTCTTGCCATCCCCCTGTTGCCTTCTAGAAAGCGTAAAAAGGAGGGGGATCGAAGTAATCCAGTCATCAGAGGAGCCACTACCGTTCGCTCTCCGCCTGGATAAAAAACCTCAGAGCGTCAGCAGGCTCGTCCATGCCGCGTGTTGTCTCAATACTGTGATGCACGTCTTTACTTTGTGGGAATAGAGGCTGCACTGTATCTGCCTTAGCACGAATGGGCCAAATTCCCTGTACGACCCAGCAGCAAGCCACATGTGGAGACCCCTACATCGTCGAGTCTCGTTATGGAACAGTCAGGCACATATCGAACATGGTCGCAGCACAAGCACCAAAGACACTGCCAGGCGAACATTCCCATCTGCCCCAAACAATACCACCTTTCTGGTCGCACAGTCGCTGCAATCTGGGAGCTGCAGTGGTGCCCCTGGATGGCTTCGTACGACGCCACAGTGCACGAGTGAGAGCAGTGGCTTGCCGACCTCGTCTAGATTTCCGTGCAGGAAGATCTCTCGCTTGGCCCTCGATTGCTCGCAGCTCACTTCTTTTGAGTCAGTGGGTGTACATTATTGTTTCCATTGTCCATCAATCTCCGTGTTGACTGTGGTTTCCAAGTAGGAGGCTGCTTGTGGCACTAGCACACGCTCTCCATCAAAATTTCTTCTGTCTCATCGCCTCATTACTGGTCTAGCTCCTCGGAGAAAAAGACGGTCTGGGGATCTTTCCTTGACCTAGGCACAAGTGCATTGATGAGATGGACTAGGTACGTTCGGGCTCGAGCTGCGCTGGGTAGCACCCAAGAAACGAGACGTTGCAACAAAACAACGAAAGAAGAAAAAGAAATGTGCACTTCTTCAGGGCATGAATGTCGGAGCCTGGGGAAGAAAAAAAGCTGCAAGGAAAAAGTTGAAGGATCACCCACCGTCATCGGAACGGCCCAGAGCGGAGTCTCGACATCTCCAGATGCGTAGCGCTCTCCAAGAAGCTTCTCCTGCATATACTTTTGCTTTTAATGAAAAGCCTTTCGTGCTTCGTCATTCTGCATGCAGCTGCTGCTCTTGCTCTCCTGTCGCTTCCGTCTCGGTCAGCATTTCGCCAACTGTGGCCCGTCCAGTCCGTCGCACCAAAAGTGGCGGCAGCGTCGGTTCCTGCTGTCAAAGAAAGCTCGCGCTAATCTGGGGTTTGCCTGGGGTGGTAAGAAGGCTGAGACTGGGGTAATTCTCCAGGGATCTTCAGTGGTCGTCCAGCTTTTTCTTCTTCATCTGACCAACACGACCGCGATCTGATTTGCTAGAGCGTGCCAACACCGCGTCCTGGTCAAATGCGGTGGCTTTCTATGGCGGCTTGGCGTATGCGTGAAAATATGCACGTCTGTCAGGATGAGGAAGTCTGAGACATGGCGGAGAGGAAAATCTCATTTCTCCAAGTCTGTGGCCCATCATTAAACAGACTGATGAGAATTTTTTCCAGAAGGAAGTAAAATAACGCAGGCTTTTGCCCAGTCCCAGCTGCTGCGCCAACGGTGAGATCAGAGCAGAGCGATCTCGAAAAGGGAAGCTGGATGGGCTTCTTATGTGGATTGTCGAGATGAAGAATGGACAAGGAAGAAAAACGATTGAAAGATTGAGGGATGAGGGATGAGGGAGGAAATAGTTCCGCACTCGACTTAGTCACGGAGGGGATATTCGGCCGGTCAAAAGCCGATCGGCCCTAGCGCCCACCGCCTAGCTTCCCGAGAAGTGCTGCGAGCTGCCGTCAGCCTGAACGCGACCTGAATCAATATCCTGCTCATGAACAAGCTCAGCAAAATTCTCAGCAATTCCACTCAGATTTGCCTTCAAAGTTGGTTCCGCGAATCACAAACATTGTCCTCTCTAAAATGGCTCCTCCGAGATCAAGACCTCCTCCCGACGACTCGAGATCTGAGGCTTCGAGCACAAAAGAGAAAGCGGGGACGACCACGACCACCGCGCTCAATGGCAAAGGGCGACGTGTAGCAGGAAGTGCGAATGGAGGAAGTTCCTTACGAGATGTAGTTACAGCAGGACCGAGTGGCACAAATGGCGGTTCAAGCACGGCTGTGGCAGAAAGCACTCCTGGGGTAAGTGACGACTCGAGCTCTAATGAGTCGCGTTCTTACGAAGCTGTCCACAGTTGCAATGGAGTTCCTTCGATGCGTCAATACTGCATGGTTACCGATACGACTATCGACTAAATACGCCTGCAGCCTTCAATGAGCCGTATAACCAACTTGTCCTCTCACGATCTCCCATCGGTCGCTTGTCCCCAACTATGGCCAGGAAAAAGCAAGAACAACAACACCGACGGCAGAGCAAAGAACAACTAGCTAATGCCGTACGGAAACACTTCAATAGCATGGGCATTGAAGAGAATAAAGTGGTTGTGGACTTCTTGTACAAGGTCCGGTGGCAAGGTTTGTCTTTCGTTCTAGAAATTCTGTCAAGCTAAAGCTTATAACGTTGCAGATAAGAATTTCCGCATGCGATTCTCTCCGCAGAGACCTCGTTGATATAGCGATACCTCGCGACTGTTTGCATATTGCATGGCCATGGCGTTCGAAACTCGAGAGGAGCTTCTGCTTGGTTCCATACCAAGATGATACCCAAGTCTATTTATTTATCTGAAATGTTGGGCCGCCAGGATTTGGCATTTGAGTTCTTGCAACATATTTCTCCTGGAGCACAGGAATTGGAGTCTACATATCAGCATGGAGTTCTGCTACAGGAAAAGGCTCTGGGAGCTGGAGAAAATGGAGGCTATCATATTATGGGACATCTGGATGGGCATTTTACCTGATCCAGAATATATTGTTTTCCATTTTCACGAACCATCTATTCAAAACCAATCTTACTATGAGCTGAGAATCATCAACAACTGTATTTTTGTGATTTTGGAAGTAGAGAGAAATGCCTACAATGTTCTAAAGAGAGCTTCGCGGAACTTCGGCTTCGGCACTAAAATAATCTCTGACCAATCAACTCATCAGAAAAAAAGTTTACCTCAATTGAACATCAGATGCAATTTTTACCTTACTACAATTTCCGCACTTAACACAACTTTGATTCCTGTATTTGCATTCTGTCCTCCTCTTGAGCTGGTCAGGTCTGCTTCGATGCAAGCCACTCATATACAACGATGAAAGCAGGGACAATAGGCCTTTTCAGCAAGGCCGCCACAGCGACTCGAGTTCTATGTCCAACGCAAGCTTCTCGACCAATATGTATCAGAGATGGAGGCCCAAGCAGTCAACCCAAGAGAGAATTATGCTCCTCATCAAGTAGCCGTCCGCAACGGCCACGAGCGATAAGATCAACGTCTATGCGCCCTGATCTGTCAAGTAAACGGGTTCGTAAGCTCTTTACTCACTATCTGCCATGGAACTAACAGCTTCTTTCACAGAACTTTCACGCAAGCTCGAATCTCCAAGCCACGAAAGATCCTTATAGCGTACTCGGTGTCAATAAGGGAGCTTCAGCTGGAGATATTAAGAAGGCCTACTACGGCTTGGCGAAGAAATATCATCCAGATACCAACAAGGACCCCACAGCAAAGGATAGATTCGCAGAAGCACAATCAGCATATGAGCTCCTCACTGACCCGCAGAAGAAGGCTGCATGGGATCAATTCGGTGCCGCAGCATTCGATCAGGGTGGTCCAACTCCCGGCGGTGGAGATCCCTTTGGCGGCGCTGGTTTTGGTAGCGGAGCAGCAGGTGCTGGTGGATTTTCTGGTGGATTTGGTGGCGGCTACGCAGCTGACTTCAACTTCGAAGATCTGTTCAAGGGCTTTGGCGGCTTCCCCGGTGTGCGGAGAGGTCGTTCAGGAGGCCGGAACCCATTCCAGCAAGAGGAAATCCTAGTTGGAGACACCATCGAAGTCCAGACAAATATATCTTTCAAGGAAGCCGCAACCGGGACTACAAAGACCATCAATATATCGCCCCTGACGACATGTAAGACGTGTTCTGGAGGAGGTTTGAAAGCTGGTGCCAAGCGGTCGGAGTGCAAAGCCTGTGGAGGTACTGGGACACGGGTACACTTCATGTCTGGTGGTTTCCAAATGGCATCAACTTGCGGCGTTTGCGGCGGTCAAGGTATCACAATACCAAAAGGGTCAGAATGTAGGACATGTTCAGGGAACGGTGTTGTTAGAGAGAGGAAAGCTGTCACCGTTGACATACCAGGTGGCATCGACGACGGCATGGCAATACTGGTGAGGGAGGAAGGTGATGCACCACCCACAGGTCAAGCTGCAAATCCCAACTCCAAAACCATGCGAGGAGACCTCCGTGTGCTCATCAGGGTGGCCACAGACCCCAAGTTCAGTCGCTCAGGCTCAGACATCTTGTATACTGCTACTATACCACTTACAACTGCTTTGTTGGGAGGCCAAGTCAAGATCCCAACTTTAGATGGAGAGGTTGAAGTCAAGGTCGCTACGGGCACCGGCACTGGAGACAAGATCACTCTGGGAGGAATGGGAATGAAGAGTTTGGAACGCGGCAAGTGGTCTGGAAAGGGGGATCTGAAAGTCGAATTCAAAGTCAGCATGCCAAAATATCTCAGTGCCAATCAACGAACTATTTTGGAAATGCTTGCGGATGAAATGGGCGACAAAACGGCGAAACGAATCATGAATGTTGGAAGACCGAAGTAAGTTCTCTTGCTGATCTATACTTACTTGAATCTGACTTTTCAGTAATGCATCCGAATCTGGATCCCCATCCGCAGATGATCATAAGAACGAAGGATTCCTGAAATCTGTGTGGCATAATATTACTGGGAATGCCGCCCATAAAGACGCCGCAGATGAACATCCGTCGTCTTCATCACCTTCAAAAGATGAACCTGCTACAAAGGATTCTGCAACCAAGGACAAAGACAAAAAGGCATCTGGAAGTGGTGCGTGATTTGCGTGTACCATAGAAGCTCTATTTGAATTGACTGCATCAGCGAGGAAGGGAGACTTTGGGATTGGAGCAAAGGCGTCTGTATATTAAGGACCACTGGATCAGCGAGCAGCTTATATCCAGTTTGTACATCTAGACTAGCCTATATAGGAGGAAACTCAGCTCTGAAAGCATTCCTGTGATATTCTTCTATCTGCTGTATATTATGAAGCTTCTTTCACTTGGCCGTGCAAAAGACTTCTTTAGGATGCTACAATCAATACTTATCTCTAGATATTCCCTGAAACTTGCGTTTGACGTTTCATCTTCAACGGCACTTGAGGTGTTGCATCCGGCATGTTGTTGTTACCTTTCCCCTGGATTCGCAAAACCAAACATATTGGATTTGCATGGGCTGATCGACGAGCATCTTCGACGGCCCGCTCAAGCCCCCATGTCGTTTCCCGCACACGTAGCCTTAGCCAATAGAAATGCAAAGGATCGTTGATGCTTCACTACTGGCTACTCCTCCATGGTCCTCAAACCAGCACACGCATTTTGTCGCGCTGCTACAAGGAGCATGGTATCACTCTAAGCGCATTCGTATCACAAATCCCGCTGATAGAGGTGCCGCTTTTGAAGCATCTGTGTGAGGTCTTTGCGCCTGATCGTAGAAGTTGACTCTCCGCAGGCGCTTAAAACATTGCCTCCCCTTCGACATCTCACTTGAGATACAAAGAAAATACCTTTAAGTTTCATCGGCGCTTATCTATCTGCAAGAAGATTCGGCATTCAAATTCTGGCCGTTAAGGGGGCCAAACTCCTGCAGCTTGCCGCATCACAGGCAAGGTCCACATTCATTGGCTTCAAATAAGCTCGACCTTCTAGGAATCTCAAGAACTACGACACTCTCTCACGTCTTACCACATCGCCGACAACCCTTACTGTTTAATAAGTGCAGAACTGTCGTTCGACTGGGTAATTCAACAACCATGAATCGCATGGCTAACGTTGGGCTCACGGATATCGATTTAACAAGCTAGGTCTCTCAAAGAACCCCTCCTCCGCATGCGCAACGCAGAGACACGTTAGGCCTCTGGACAGCGACCACCACAATTTCCTAGACACCCAACCACAGAAACCACACCGGAGACAAGCCCCTCTGCCACCACTCTCAACTTGGAGAAAGATCATCGCCAGAATCGCGGACGTCCCGCGAGCGAGCGCAGGAGGGCAAGATGCAGGCTCCGATGATATCGGCGCCGCTGAAGGCGACAAACGAGATAGACTGGATCCAGCCGCTGAAGCAATACATCAGACAGACCTACGGCGATGACCCAGAACGGTACGCGGAGGAATGTGCGACACTGAACAGACTGCGACAAGACATGCGGGGCGCGGGGAAGGATAGTGCTGCTGGACGAGATCTGCTGTACAGGTACTATGGACAACTGGAGCTGCTGGATCTGCGGTTCCCCGTGGATGAGAACCATATCAAGATTTCGTTTACATGGTAAGAGTGATGCCTTGCTAAGCCTCGAAGATAAAAAGGCTGATGAAGATATTCCAGGTTCGATGCCTTTACACACAAGCCCACTTCTCAATATTCCTTAGCATACGAGAAGGCCTCCATAATCTTCAACATATCTGCTGTTCTATCATGTCATGCGGCACACCAGACTCGCTCGGAAGACTCCGGTCTCAAGACAGCATATCATTCTTTCCAAGCCTCTGCTGGCATGTTCACATATATCAACGAGAATTTCCTCCATGCACCATCTACCGATTTGAGTCGAGATACGGTCAAGACGCTTATTCAGATTATGCTGGCTCAGGGACAAGAAGTGTTTCTTGAAAAGCAAATTGCTGATGGAAAGAAGGTTGGGCTTCTGGCTAAGTTAGCTAGTCAAGCTGGCTATCTGTATGCCCAAGCAGTTGAAGGTACCCAAGAGAACGTGAACAAGGCTGTTTTCGAGAAAGTTTGGCTTTTGGTAGTACAGGTACGTTGGCACTATTTCCATTACCCTCCAAAAGCAAGATACCGCTTGGGGAAAACTAAGATGCTGTTACAACTTATCTATGACACACTTGCTATTTGCAGGTACCTCAAACCACTCGATGCTAATAAATGGTGCAGATCAAGTCCAGCTACATGTCTTCATTAGCCCAGTATTACCAGGCCTTGGCTGACGATGACGCTAATTCACACGGAATAGCTGTCTCTAGACTTCAAGTTGCTGAGACGGCTGCCAAGGAAGCTAATAAGGTTGCAAGCAGCTTCCCAGGTACTGTTCCTGCTAATTCAAATTTCAACTCGGAGACGGGGGCATCTCTGGTTGAGATGACCAAACGACATCTCGCAATTGTTCAGGAGAAGCTCTCTGAGTTGATCAAGGACAATGACTACATTTACCATCAGACTGTGCCAGCTGAGGCGGCTCTGTCCGTAATCCCCAAGCTTCCAGCAGCGAAAGCTATTCCTGTTAGTGAGCTATATGCCGGACAGGACATACAACGGATCACAGGACCCGATATTTTCCAAAAGATTGTACCCATGTCTGTGACAGAATCTGCCAGCTTGTACGACGAGGAGAAAGCCAAATTAGTTCGGGCTGAGACTGAGCGGGTGGAAACGGCAAACAGTGAGATGGCAGCAAGCTTGGACTACCTGCGATTACCTGGTGCTTTACAAGTACTCAAGGGTGGTTTTGACCAGGAATTGACAGCGGATGATGAATTCCGTGGATGGTGTGATGAAGTTGCAAATCATGATAGGCCCAACTTGACATTTGAGTCTTTGAGGAACAGTAAGGAGGCTATTATTGGAGTTCTGGACAAAAGCACTCGGCAACTCGATATGGAAGAAAGTATTTGTGAAAAGATGCGTTCAAAATACGAAGCCGATTGGACACAACAGCCGAGTTCGAGGTTAACCACAACGCTGAGGAGCGACGTACGAAATTATCGAGAAGCTCTGGAGGAGGCGGCGAGAAGTGACAATACGCTGAACTCGAAGATGCGGCAGTACGAGAATGATTTCGATGAAATGCGGTCTGCAGGTGAGACTGGAGAGGCTGACGTCTTGTTCCAGAGGGCTTTAATTCAGGTTGGTGGCAAGTCACGGAATAATGTTGGAAGTCCTGCAGGAGGCAATCTCATTGACGATGATTTCGGAGACGGCGGTCTCAGTGTCATGGATCAGGTTGCAAAAGTGGAAGAGATTCTCAAGAAGCTGAATTTGATCAAGCGGGATCGGTCGCAAGTGCTGAAAGATCTGAAGGAGAAGGTAAAGCTCGTTGACTGGATCTCGTTGCTAAATTTTTGCTGATTCAAGCAGGTTCACAACGATGATATTTCACAAGTTCTCATCTTGAACAAGAAGTCCATATCCAATTTCGAGAATCAGCTATTTCAAGCTGAGCTTGAGAAGTTTCGACCGCACCAACAACGACTTCTGCAAGCCAATCACAAGCAATCGTCTCTCATGAAGGAGCTCACATCTACTTTCAACGTATTACTTCAAGACAAGAGAGTGAGGTCTGAGCAAAGCAAGTATGAGAGCATTACAAGACAAAGAACTTCAGTCATGTCCAAGTATAAGCGGGTATATCAAGAATTCTTAGATCTCGAAGCAGGTCTCCAAGCTGCCAAGGATTGGTACAGAGAAATGAAAGACACCGTGGACAGTCTTGACAAGAATGTGGAGACGTTTGTCAACAATAGAAGATCCGAGGGGGCTTCACTTCTTAACCAAATTGAGCAAGACCGAGCCAATAATGCTACTGGGCAGGCAGACAGGGAACGAGAGCGTCTTCGCGGACTTATGGAGCGAATGTCCATGAATCCATCAACGTCTCCATCTTCAGATAGACCACCACGAGCACAATCTACGTCGTACACCTCACCATCACCAACCGCAAGATATCCATCAACAAACTTTACCGGTCAATATCAAGTTCCTACCCCGCCACCGGCCCAACCTCAATCTCAATTCTCACATCCGGCCTTCTCATCACAGAATGGGCCCTTTGCCACTCCACAGCAGTCGAGAACAGACCAGTACGTCTTGTCCCAGTCAGGTCCTCAAAGATCGAATCCACAAGGGCAGGAAGCGTATAATCCAAGCATGTACCCTCCTGTTTCGCCTCCGCCAACCCAAACCTCGTTCTCCCAGAACATACAAAACTATGGCCGACCAACCCCTCAACCTCCAGTCCAGCAATCATATGTCCCTCCCGGATATGTGCCCCCGCCTCCTCCCCGCGGCCCCCCTCCACTCGGTCCGCAGCAAACATTCCAGCAACCAGGCGCACCTCCTGTTGGTGGACAAGGGGAATATAATACTTACGGTAATCAGCAGCAAAGAGGTGCTCCGCAACAGGGAGGCACTTCCAACGATCCATGGGCTGGGATAAACTCGTGGAGATAGAATTGTGGAGAGTTAGCAAAGCACATATGCATCGTTTTGGAGCATGAGATGATTTGACTCCTGCAATTGTCGTCCGTTAGCAATGATTATACCGCATGATAGACGAGGTAGCTTGTTAATGAAATGGTCTGCCAAAGTCAGCCTGACTTTATTTAATACACAAATACAAGTGACTACATCATATCATGTTTCTAGTCTTAACTTATCAGTACATTGCCCAAAAAGAATTATTTTCCTCTCTCGCATGATTACCTAATAGACTTCTCGGCCCAGGCCTGCAGAAAAAGGGGGGGCGATCCGATTCGCAATACTGTCGCCTGAGCTCGGGAGTAGAACGCGCTAAAAATTTCCGGACGATAACCCGCGCTTTGAAAGCAAATGATGAGATAATCTGTCGAATTTGTTGCTAGCTATTGCTCTCCACGACCAGCAACATTTCTCTTCAACACCAATACAATTCACTCCTCAGCGTAACTCTAGTGAAAGCTAACTGCGTATCGGGACTGATTGGTGTCTTTCCGTCAAAGGATCGGAGCTCGAAGTTATGTTATACGGCCAAAATCTGCCATGGCGGGTTGCGCTCCGGAGCTCGACGAGGGCTTCTGCACATGGGACGAGTAGATTGTTTTCTACGGCTCGATGTTTTCAGATATCTGCGAGTACAAGGCCGAGAGCGGGGATACGGCCTTCTTTTGTCCCAAGACAGCTGTCGTTGACGGGGACATCGAATTTCTCGACTTCGCCTGCGAGGCGGAAAGATGGGTCTGGGGCGAAGGGGACGAAGGATCCGGTAGAAGAGGTGCTGGAGGAGGATAAGGAGAAGAATGAGGGGAAAGAAGAGAGTGTGGCAGAGGTTAAGAGCAAGAATCCGGAATCGGCGTCCCAGGGTGGCAATGCTGCTGCTGCTTCTCCTCCTGCAGATGGGAAAGGAAACAGTGCGTCTGGAGAGTCAGGGGATGGAGCGAAGAAGGGACGAAAGACGTCGAATGAGAAAGCGTTGTCGAAACCTTCGGTGCCGGATGTATATCCTCAAGTCATGGCGATACCGATTACGAAGCGACCGCTGTTCCCTGGGTTCTATAAAGCGGTTACGGTGCGGAACCCGCAGGTCGTGGCGGCGATTCAGGATATGATGAAGAGGGGGCAGCCGTATATTGGGGCGTTCTTGTTTAAGGATGAGAATGCAGATGGGGATATTATTGATAGTGTTGATGATGTTCATGATGTGGGTACGTTTGCACAGATTACGAGCGCTTTTCCGGTTGGAGGGGATGATGGGGCGTTGACAGCGGTCTTGTATCCTCATCGACGGATCAAGATGTCTTCAATGGTTACTCGGGATAAAGTTGGGAGTGAGGCGAAGAAAGTAGACTCTCCGTCTGCAGAGTCTCCCGTGCCCGAGGTCATTCCGACGAAGCCAAAAGAAGAGGGGACACAGGATAAGAAGGGGGATGTTGTGGCAAGTTTCGAGGAGGGCGTGGTTCAACAAAAAACCGCTGCTTCACCAGCGCCATACGACCCGACTTCTTTCCTGCACAAGTACGCAGTCAGTCTTGTCAAAGTTGAAAACTTGACCGAGGAGCCACATGATCCCAAGAGTCCTGTTATTCGAGCCGTCACCAACGAGATCGTCAATGTCTTCAAGGAAGTTGCTGGTTTAAATCAGTTATTCCGAGACCAAATCTCTACGTTTTCCATGAGCCAGTCAGCTGGGAATGTCATGCAAGAGCCGGCAAAGCTCGCTGATTTCGCAGCTGCCGTCTCTGCTGGCGAGGTTGATGAGCTTCAAGATGTTCTTGAAACGCTGAATGTGGAAGAAAGGCTACAGAAAGCTCTTGTCGTCTTGAAGAAGGAGCTCATGAATGCGCAATTACAAGCAAAGATCTCGAAGGATGTTGAGAAATCGATACAAAAGAGACAACGAGAATACTGGCTATTGGAACAGATGAAAGGTATCCGGAAGGAACTTGGTATCGAATCAGATGGAAAAGACAAGTTGGTTGAGAAATTCAGAGAAAAGGGCTTGAAGCTTGCGATGCCGGAAGCTGTCAAGAAGGTTTTCGATGAAGAGTTAAACAAACTGGCCCATCTTGAGCCAGCAGCATCCGAATTCAACGTCACAAGGAATTACTTGGACTGGCTTACTCAAATTCCGTGGGGTCAGAGAAGTGCAGAGAACTTTGGAATCAAGAATGCGATGACGGTTCTCGATGAAGATCATCACGGATTGAAAGACGTGAAAGATCGTATCCTGGAGTTTATTGCTGTTGGCAAGCTACGAGGGACTGTTGAAGGCAAGATTTTATGCTTTGTCGGCCCTCCAGGTGTTGGAAAGACTAGTATTGGAAAGAGTATCGCTCGAGCTCTCAACAGACAGTACTACCGATTCAGTGTGGGAGGTCTCGCAGATGTTGCTGAAATCAAGGGTCATCGAAGGACCTACGTTGGCGCTCTACCTGGACGAATCATTCAAGCGTTGAAGAAATGCCAGACTGAAAATCCACTGATCTTGATTGATGAGATTGATAAACTTGGTAGAGGCCATCAAGGAGACCCCGCTTCGGCGCTTCTGGAGTTGCTGGACCCCGAGCAGAACAACTCGTTCTTGGATCACTACCTGGATGTCCCAGTCGACCTTTCCAAGGTCCTCTTTGTTTGCACAGCAAATATGACTGATACTATTCCACGACCTCTGCTCGACCGTATGGAAATGATCGAGCTCTCGGGCTACGTGGCCGACGAGAAGATGGCGATCGCCGAGCGATACCTTGGACCCGCAGCGAAAGAGCTGGCTGGTCTCAAAGATGTTGATGTCAACCTCAGCAAGGAAGCCATCGAAGAGCTCATCAAGTCATACTGCCGAGAATCTGGTGTACGAAACCTCAAGAAGCAAATCGAGAAGGTTTATCGCAAGTCTGCATTGAAAATTGTGCAGGATCTTGGTGAGAGTGTCCTCCCAGAAGCCGACGCTTTGACGGCCGAGGGCAAAGCTGCCATGGAAGAGTCGAAGAAGGACGAAACGGATGTCAAGGAGACATCAGAAAATATCGAGAAGGAGACTACAGAAATACCACGAGTCAGTCTGAATGTCCCAGATACTGTACATGTGACTATCGACAGAGAGAATCTGAAGGATTATGTCGGTCCACCCGTCTTTACCTCAGATCGCTTGTACGACATCCCTCCACCAGGTGTCGCCATGGGTCTTGCCTGGACGCAGATGGGCGGCGCTGCTCTCTATGTCGAATCGATATTGGAAAGTGCTTTGAGCTCTGATTCTCGTCCTGGCATGGCCACGACTGGCAACCTCAAGAATGTCATGAAGGAATCGACTGTCATCGCATACTCGTTCGCCAAGTCAGTGATGGCCAACAAGTTCCCAGATAACCACTTCTTCGACAAAGCAAAGGTCCACCTCCACTGTCCTGAAGGCGCTGTTCAGAAGGATGGACCATCTGCCGGCATCACAATGGCAACGTCATTACTGTCTCTTGCCCTGAACCAGCCACTAGACCCCACTATCGCCATGACTGGTGAACTTACAGTGACAGGTAAGGTGTTAAGGATTGGGGGTCTTCGAGAAAAGACCGTGGCAGCTCGACGAGCCGGATCAAAGATGATCATCTTCCCAGCCGACAACATGTCGGACTGGCTGGAGCTCCCTGACGTAAGTAGATCATACCCAAGATATACTGATCAACACTAATAGTCATTGCAGAATATCAAGGAAGGGATCGAAGGCCATCCGGCCACATGGTACTCTGATGTCTTTGACCTAGTCTTCCCGAACGTCAACGCCGAGGAAGCTAATAACCTATGGAAATCCCAGTTGACGAAACAGAAGGACAAGAGCGACTCGGACGATGATTGAAGGACGATGACGATGGAAGCCCACATTGTAAATAGTCTTGGTTTCGTCACACTTGTATGAAAGATACTCGGGAATTGGATGTACGCAAGCACGCATAGCATTTTGTTAGAGCAGGTGGGGGATGTCACATTTCAGCATCATAGGGGCGTTTTGTTGCATCGGCGTTACAGCTAGACAGACGGACAGACACAGACATACATTCTCCTCTCTCCTCCAACCTGCAGCGGGTAGAGTAGAAACCTAACCTGAATCACCAAAAATGTATTATTGTATCAATTGTACATACCATACCTACATACCAAGCCTCCTCCTGACTCCTGCATGGCTCGCTGTAACAGAGCCCGATGAGCTGAGCTGAAGTGGGGTACGTTACTCGCAACGATAACCACTAAATGGCCAGGGCTGCATGGGGAAGAAAAAAAGTGTACCCAACCGCTCGTTCTACGAATGTCTGTCTGTCTGCTGTGTGTATGTATGTATGTATGTATGCGTGAGTGAGAAACGAGATACGTGTTACATGGCGACATGGGTGGGATTGGACAGCCTCACTGTGGGAAGCGAGTGTGAGCGAGCGAGTGAGTGTTGTCTGTCTGCTGCAGCAGCCTGGTTGATGCCCGACGAGAAGGGTTTCTGGTATGGTACAGCCAGTTAGTGAGTGGTTTGGTGCTTTTTCCCTTTCATGCTGGCCCAGTGGTGGTGAGGCGGGTGATGATGGTGGTGGTGGGGTTTTAGAGTGCTACTGACGTCGAGGGGCGTGGGTCGGGGGACCAATTTGGGGGTTATGGTTTTGAGTGTTCTGGGATTCTTAGGGGGGCATGAGCGAGCGTTCGCAGGTCTTCCGGGCGGGTACAGGCGCAGACCGTTCCGTGGTGGTTAATCTGTACAGTAGTGACTTTTACTTAGGACTTAGTAAGGCGGTTTTAGGGGGGTTCGTCGCATGTTCGCTAACCGGATGGGTGAACGGGGGGTCTTTTCTGTCAGATCGGATAGGGAGTGTATTGGTTGACAGCACGCTGTACTGTGATGCTGTGCTGTGTGTGTTTGGTATTTTTGATAATGGCCGCGAGAAGCCGAAAAAGAGAGTTTCGACCTTCCTAAATCATCCGTCCGATGCCTTCTGGTGCTTCTGATTTGTGAGGATCGTATTCATCCTTTGGGATATGATGTGACAGCGGTATATATGAGATGATCTTTTTGACACGCTGCTTATGATTTTATGAGTGTGGGGTGTCTTCGTCACTTTTACCTATTGTCTTCACTTGACGTCCATAGATGCCCTCAAGCCAGACAGTACGGAGGGGAATGTCCATTTATATGGTAGAACCGCGGGCAAGATACCTGCATCCATTCCCCCGACTTCACCCCGTTCACGAGGATGCTGTCGGAGATATGTCTTGCAAAAATGCTCACTCAAGCTGCACATAACGTGGCATGGTGTGGGCTTTAATGCTCGCCGACATCCCAGTTGAAGCGTTGCCCACCGCCGATACGGTGCGATTGGTCCCTCGATGCAAAATTGTCGTAGTGCCCTTTACTGGTAGGAAATCCATTCGTGCCCACGACGTGAGTGATCAGACTCTGCTGCTGCGACTCTTCCTTCCATCGACAACTGACGACCCGACAACCGGCAACCCCACGAAATTGTGAGGCAACCAAAGAGATGATGCCTTGGCTGCCTGCTGCTGCTGCTGTTGCTGCGTTGTCCAAATGCTCGAATCGTCCCTAGTAGCGGTCTGTGGCTGAGTTCTGACCACCCATCACCCAACTGCAGCAACCTCGACGTCCTGTCTGGCTCTGCTTCTGGCTGCATCAAATAGCCTCTACGGATTCACATCCACTTCCACTTCCACATCCACATCCACATACATCCCCTGACCGGGCCATAAATCACGTCCGCCTCAAATTCCAAGGAGACCTACAGTACCACAACAAAATCCTCCTCGGCCCTCTCGTTTCAATGCAATGATACGCCCCTACAAGAACCTGAGAGTGCCATCGCCTCTCTCCCCATCTCACGGCCACATGCATGAGTAGTAGACCGCTTTCGAAGCTTGTCTCGTCTTGTCCCCTCAATTCCCAGCCTCCGACTTATTGTTTTGACGATCTTATATGAACTCGACAATTCAGCAAGGAAGTGGCAATTCCCCGATGTATGTACAGTAGACCCTTCTTTCCTGTCCCCACCAGCTCCAAAATGCACGATGGTTCTTGAATTTCCATGTTCCGGAGCTCACGACCCGTAAAGTATCCTAGGATTCCCCTGCCAAAGCAATGGCACAAACGGAGAAAGCTCACGCGAGAGCTGCGTCGACCGATCAGAGAACGTCGTGGTCCTGGAGGAAGCTATTTGGCAAGGACGATAGCAGTCACACAACCACGACTCCTCCGACCCCACCACAAGAAGAGACGCCGCGTCCTGGGCTCGCCCACAGACTTTCGAGAAAGGTGGTACCTGGGTTACCACGGTCTGGGACGTTCAAGAGACAACAATCGGAGCTTCGAGATAGATTGGAACCTGCGAAGCAAGCTCCAGAAGAGAGACGAACGCTCTCTGTCGATCGACGTCGAAATGTCTCAGCCCGAAATTCCTCCACCGTGGTAGCACCGCCGCGATTGAGTGCCCCCGAGTTCTTGGATACATGTGCTGCAAGCAATGAGGCGGTAGACAGGTCCAACTTGTCAGATGTCACTACACAAGATGAGGACGTGAAGGAAGAATACGTTGAGGTCTCGAAAGAACCTTCGAATGTGGATACACAGTCAATCTCGACCCAAGCCTTTGACGAGATGATACTGGAGGAGCTGGAACGCCGGTGGATTCTGAACCTCAGCATGCATTTCCGGGACAAGTCCAAGCGGGAAAAGTTCTTTGTGACTTTTGCAGAAACCCCGACTCACTGGAGACGTGTGACCATATCTCTGGATTACAGGAATGCACCCGAGGGATCTCTGGAAGAGGAGCTTCAGCGGACACGATTCCAACGGGACAAGAGTGCCAGGATATACGAAGCTATCCGTGAATCACTGCCGGACATTCAATTCTATGACACAGTCACGAATCTGAAGCTGCAGACCGAGAACGAGAGGTTGCATGTTCACGTGGTTGAGGATCTTTCAGAAATCATTTCATATCCTCCGATCAAAGCTATCGCTCACTTGAATTGTCGGAAAATCCGAGAAGACGAGCTGGTTTTCGATTCACATCTATCCGGATTCGTGTATAAAGTCAGAAATGAAGGCCAAGTTTTCATCAAGAAAGAGATCCCTGGACCTGATACGGTGGATGAATTCCTATATGAGATAAATGCCCTACATCAATTGTCTGGTTCTGCAAGTGTAATCCAATTCGGCGGAGTCGTGCTCGACAACCAAGGAGAGGTGGTGAAAGGTCTCCTGATCAGCTTCGCCGAACAAGGTGCATTGATAGATGTAATCTACGATGGCGAAGGGAGGATACCTTGGAAGCGAAGAGAACGATGGGCCAAACAGATTGTACAGGGTCTCTCAGAGATTCATGAGGCCGGCTTCGTTCAAGGTGATTTCACTCTTTCGAATATCGTCATTGATGCAGATGATAATGCCAAGATCATTGATATCAATCGCCGAGGATGTCCAGTTGGTTGGGAACCGCCTGAAGTTGCAGCATTGATTGATAGCAATCAGCGTATTTCGATGTATATTGGCGTCAAGTCCGACCTGTATCAACTAGGGATGGTTCTATACGCCCTAGCTACTCAACAGGATGAACCAGAGAACCATCGGCCATTGAATCTGTCTTGCTTTACAACAGAGATTCCGGACTACTACCTGGATTTATGCCACCGGTGCTTGAACGATGATCCAAGATGTCGATCACAGGCTTCAGCTCTTCTGACTTTATTCCCAGCCGCTCAAGATGGATACAAGAACGGTTATGGAATACCTATTGTCGTGGATGCTTACCATACCGGAGAGATCGCTTTTTCCAATGGTGCCAAATATGATACCTACAACCCTCTGGCTCCACAATATCCCCAATCTCCAGTCTCCGAAGCTCCCAATGTGTACGATTATGCAGTTACTGATACATCAACTGAGCCTGATTATCCAAGTCGTGGAAGATCTCCGCCGCGGGTCGAGAAGAAAGTAAAGCCTCACAAAGTTCCACTGCCAAATTCGCCGTCGGAATACCTGGATGCACATACAGGCCAGACACCATTTCCAGCAACGAAGACAGATTTCTCCTTTCCGTTTAATAATTGTGATCAGGAAGCTGCTCAGGAGAGAGTTTTCACACCTGCTATCTCGCCGAATTCCGGTCTTGGACTCGATTACATGTCTGCCAAGCTCACAAGTGTCCCAGAGAAGTCTGCAGAGGCAGTACCTCGAGATGAACCAGAAGTAGAATCAGCTCCGAGTGTATTACCACTACCATCGGGAGGAGAAGTCCAACCTGGAGCTACAGAGATTCCACAGCCAGAAGGAATTTTACTAGATTCCCTAGCAGCTGAAACCCCAGACACAAAAGCCCAAGACGAAGATAAAACACCAACCATGAACTTCCCCAACGGACCATCCTCGGAGCAGCAAGAATACCCCTTCAATACCAACCCAGCCCCTCTCCCCGAAGTCACAGAACATATACCCCACCAGCAAGCTATGGAAAAACAGGACATAGCACCACCAATACCAGAACCAAAAGCAGACCCAGAACCGTCGCGCCCAACAGCAGCGACGACAACAACATCGACAGAATACCTCACAGGCGTAGGAACAGCGCACGACCACCTGCTGGACAGTAGCACCACCAGGCCGGCCACGATCGCGATAGAAGATGATGAATTTACGAATGATGTGCCAACGACGATTAATGAACCTGCTCCTGTGGTTTAAATTTGTTTGTTCGTTTTTTTTCTTCTGCCAAGTTGGATTTTTGTTTTGCTTTGCATTGTTTGCGTTGAGAGGGATGGAAAAGAATGTTGGATGCGAGGGAGTAATATATCGAGGGGAGGAGAGGGGAGGAGATGTGTGATATCGAGGGAGGGCAGGCATGCATGCATGGGGTGATGTGGTGTATAGTATGTGCGTAATGAATGAATATTATATTCAGCCTGGATGGATTTGTTTGCGTGTGTGATGTGCCGAGTTGACTTTCGCCCGTTTTAATGTATGGGGTCAGGTCTCGATTCTTGGATTGATCTGGATATGGGACTTGAGGTAGTGATCTCAAAGTCCGAGAGGAGATTGATACTTTATTCGACAAAATTGTGTGAACGAAATCCAGAGTTTTATCCTTGCGTCTTCCACTTCCTGGACCCACATACCACCTTCTAAAAGCTTTAAGCAAGGGGACAAACATTCACATGCTCATAAAAATTCGAATGGACTTGGACATCGAGAGTCTTGAGTGGGGAATTAGTGAGTAATTGGGATGGATGAAGAGTTCTGGTAGAAGGAACTTGGGCTGTGTAGATAATACTGATAAATCAGAGTTGCCGATATCTTGTTTTGATAGCTTGCGTGAGAAGTGTTAGTATTTTGTGAGCGTTGTTGAAAGGGGATTGATTTGTAGGTTTAGAAATGAATAGAGTAGTTTGGTTGTTATTATGCAGCAAATTAAACTCATGTTCACGGACGTTCACGGTATTTTTGCACCGTGATTGTAATATAGATGAGCGGGAACTTCCCTGACAATATTTCACAATGACGGGACATTCAGCCTCGCAGCACGGACCACATTCCCACACCTCATCTTCCCACGCGGCTGAGCTCCCCTCGATCTTTCACTTCAACCAGAGCTCACAACATGTCACCAATGATGGAAGACGACCCAATCGACGCCGATCAAGATGGTTTCATGCTACTACAGCACGGCCATAGAGACATGGTCGAAGCAGTAGCTTTTAATAGCTATGGAGACCGATTCGCATCCGGTTCCGTTGACGGCAAGATTAAGGTCTACAATCGACACCGGGATATGAGTTGGAATCTGTGTGATACTTGGGGTGCCCATACTGCCGAGATATTACAGGTATACTTACCATTGTTTCTCTATCCACGGCCATCCCATTGTAATAGAATAAAAACTAACAAGACTTAAAAGATCCAATGGCTCCCAACCGCCATCCACCCCTCCCTCCTCGCCTCCATCGGCACAGACGGCAAATTCAAACTCTGGGTCGAAGACCCAACCCTCTCCCCTCAAAAAGGCCGCCGCTTCAACTCACACTCCTCGAAACCCGTCTTCGAGCTACGCTCCCCGTCCCGCTCGCCCTTCCTCTCTTTCTCCATCTCCCACAACCCGGAAACGCACCACACCTACCTCGCGCTCATCAACCGCTCCGGCGTGCTCGTCGTCTGGGAAAACGAATTTGCCGAGAATCTAGAGAGCTGGACGGAAGTCGATAGCGTGAATGTCTGCGAGAAGCCGGGGCGGGGCGAGGAGACCAGTTTCCGGGTGCAGTTTGACCCGAGTCTCGAGCCGTGCTATACCGCGCTGCGGCACGGGGTGCCGCGCGATGCGCTGGGGATCGTGGTCGCGAGTATGGATCGCGCGAGCATCTGGCGCACCAAGGAGGTTAGCCATAATGTGAGTTTGGGGCATAGTTCGAGTAAGGAGCTGTACCTGGCGGCGGAGCTGAAGGGGCACAGGGGCCTGGTGAGGGATGTGGCGTGGGCGAGTGGGAGTATGAGGGGGTTCGATGTGGTGGCTACGGCGTGCAAGGATGGGTTTGTGAGGGTGTTTCAGGTTGCGGCTACGGAGGGGAAGGGGAGGAGGAGTCGGTCGAGGGTGGCGGAGAGGGATGTGTCGCCGCGGAGGAGGGAGGAGAATGGGGGCCAGCGGAATGTGCCGAGTGGGATTGGGGCGGGGTTGGCGGGGGCGAGGCAGAGGCCGGAGGAGGGGGTAAGAGAGGGGGAGGTGATGCATGTTGCGAAGGAGGTGTCGAAGTTGGATAACAATAAGATGCCGGTCTGGAGGCTGCATTTTGACGCTGATGGGCAGATGTTGGCTTCTGTAGGAGATGATGGGAAGTTATTGATGTGGAGGAGAGAACCGAATGGTGTGTGGAGTAAGAGTTCAACACTGGGAATGACAAGGAGCGTTCTGAATTAACGGAAGAGATCTCGTACAATCATTTTCAACCATGTTTATAGAAGGTAGGCTGGCGTTAAAGGATACAGGTCGGCTTAAGTCAATATAGCAAATGATACCCTTTTCAGTCACCCATATTCTAAGTACACTCAAACGCTCTCAGTGAATCCAACACGCCTCATTTTCGATTCTACCTATTCACCATTCTGCCTCGAGTTGCGAACTCGGCTATCTTCCAAAGTATCCAACGCTAAAGCTACCTACCATATAGATCTAAACAAGCGAATCTCATCTCAGGAAAGCCCGCCTGGTTCAATGGATAACCTGCCACATTATCCAGCCAGGTAGGCGAGACCCGACCCCGAAGACAAAAACCTATTAATTTAGGTTCTCCGCCCAGCCACCACGCTTGAAATACAGCGTGCTGCGCTGGGACGAGTTTTGTCTTTTTGAGTTAGAAACTTTTTTGTTCTTTTTTTTTTTTTTTTTTGGCTTTTTGTTCTTATTGCTGATTTTGAAAATGTTTGGGGCAAGCTAGAGCGAGAATGCTGGCACTGAATTGAACCACGTCTTGTTTTCGATTTTAGCTATTCACTATTTTGTGTCGAGCTGTGAGCTTGTGCTCGAATGCTTTCAGTGAATCCAACATGTTTTGTTCTCGATTTTGACTATTCACTATTCTATGTCGAGTTGCTCTCAAAATACTCTCAGTGAATCCCACACACTTTATTTTCGATTCTAACTATTCACTATTCTGCGACAAGTTGTGAGCTCGATTCTAACCTTTCACCGCTATGTATCGAACTATATATAGACCGATCCCTTCTTCCAAAAACAAAAAAGAAGCACAATGCCAAGCTGATCCTTGAAGGTGGCTACTCCATAAGCTCTCCCGGACCACCGCTTTGTAAAAAAGGGCACCACTTGTAAATCTTTTTCCAGAGGGGATAGTGATATACAATCGCAGACAGACAAAGTAGGGAGGAATTGTCAAACAATCATTGATAATCGTCCAATCTTCCGTCGTAGGTAGTTGACAGCAAAACCGTTCTTGACAACAAACCCCCTTTTGGTCTCCTAACGCTTCACAACAGAAGTACCACGACCTCTGCAAGTTTCTCAGGACACAAGTCAAAGGAAGTAGTCTGACATGATTACATTTTTATTGTATTATCCCATACACTCCCATTCGCTTGATGCAAACGCTGAACCGATAATCCCAACCCAAAGCCCTTGTCCCTATCCAGTACGTGACCCTATCCCAAAACCCAATCCAGTAAACTCCCATGCTATCATTCATTCAATAACGGTTTCCACCAATGCGTCCAGCATTTGCTCCCAATTCGGGGATTTCAATTCCCACAGGCTACTAGCAAACCAGGACCCATCTTTCTTCCATTCATTCTCGAGTACCTTTCTAACTTTTTCGTCACCACCGAGGGTCGTTCCCTCTTTTTCCATCCACTGCTTTTCGGCTTCCTCTTTTGCTTTTTTGACCACGCTTTCGTCGTCCTCGCATCTGTAGAGGTCACATTTTGAGCACTCAGTACAGCCTCTCCCACCATTAGGTCTGAAGTGTTCGCAGAAATGTCGATAGCCTTCGCCACTTCCAATGTCCTTACGACAGACGTAGCACATCTGATAGCCGCAAACACAAGTAAGTTTATTGCAACCAGATGATTTAACGAAGGACATCTGGCAGCGAGGGCAAGTCCGTTTAATGGCTAATGACATAGCGAGTTCGACTTGTGTACGGAGGGCGAGAAGTGAGGACTCGTGGCAAATGTGAATGTCGGTCCAGGCTTTGGAACATGAAATGCAAGAAGCACGAGCACATTCCGAGTTCTGGCAGACGAATTTTAACCCATGGCGTTTTCGACGGAGACGGGTGACCGAGTCGTTGAGTTGTGCTGAGACGTAATCCGCAAAGGATTGCTGGGAGGAGAGAAGTAAGAAAATAAAGGAGAACACCACAAAAATAGGTGTAAGGAAGGGTATCATGCCAACGCCTAAAATCAAAATTACAAATGTGTAGAGTGAAGCCGGTCCCATCCGTTTCAGACGCCAAGATCTTTGGGATTCGGGAAGGTAAAGTTCGTCCACTTCCGCGTAGCTGCAGAAGGGACATCGAATGAGTGGTAGTTGTGTTTTGAGGAGACTATCTTCGGCTAGTCGCTCGTCCAATTTTCGGACGACTTCTTTGCCAGCCTTGTCCCCGGTGAATGCTCGTCGAACAAGAGCTTGTGGGATACAACCTTGGCATTCGTCCGACATAGCGGCCACACATCGTAATGTACCAACTTGGAGATCGATATTTCGTTGCCAACCTTGTCCAAATACCGCTTCATTTATTGCATGTCGGACGCAATTGAAGCAAATAAAATGTCCCCCATTGTCACAAGCAGTCAACTCTTCAAATGAAGTCGAAGTGAAGCAACATTCACAATCGTGTAAAGCCTCGTTCTCCTCTGCCTCGGCATTATTGACCTCTAATGCCAGTATGTGATCCTTCTGCTCCCGCTCAGCAAGCAATCGTTGTTTGATCGGTACAATCAGACTGTCATAAAGCTCCTTGTCTAGCTCTGCAGAGCCCGTCGCCTTGAAAGTCGGCACAATAGACCCTTGTCCTGTAGACTGCCAAATTACCAAAGGGTGATGTTCCGCTTCCAAGGATGATATGGGCTTCCTTCGCAAGAATAGAGAGGAGATTGAGAAACGCCATGATTTCGAAGATAATCCAACCAATGTTGGTCGAGCCAGAGTGTAGGAGTAGTTGAACTCGGCCAAAACAGCATTGATGGTGGATTTCGACAATCCCTTGAACTCTTGGTAAGTCACAACCTTGACAGCCTTCTTATACCCAGCACTTCGAAATCTATCCTCTGGGGCAACGACCCCTTGGGATCCAGACGTCGTTGCCTCTGCTTTCTCCTCCTTGGCAGGTGTCTTCTCCTTCTCTTTCACGGTCACCCGATATCGACCCCTCACCCACTTCATTTTGTGCTTCAGCAATGTCTCCGTCACGACCGCTAATCTGGACTCCTCGTCGAAACTCTGCAGCATCTCCCTGAAAACCTCGACCTGCACATCAGGGAAAATGGCCGCGAGGGCCACAAGGCTGTTGTTCAGTTCCCTGAGATCCGGATCCTCGGCATCCAAAGGCTGGAGATTGCCCTCTTCACGGATATGTGTGGATTCGATGTGTGTTTCGGTTGCAGAGTTGGTGCCTGCTTCCGGGGAGCTGCCGCTGTTGGAGGAAGACGCAGACGTGGATTTAGAGGGGGAGCGGCTCTGGCGACGAGGCGTGTTGTGATCCTTCGTGCTGTGGCTGTGGCTCGATGGTTTGAGCAGACCCGAAAGTGCCATCATGTTGGGCTGCAGACTGTTGAGGAAATCACATGGTCTTTTGACTGTGGCAGAGATCGAAACCGTCGTGATTCTTACGGTGAAGTGTGTGAATGGATAGCAATTGTGAATAGTGAGCGGGAAGAGGAGAGCGGTTGCTGATGACGCGCGATGCTCGGCGTTTTAGAGGATTGCACCGATTTGATTCTCGCTTCCAGACTGTGATGCCCCTTTTTGGCTTGGGTGACCCAAATGCAGCTGATTGTAAAGAAGGCTGTCTTTTTTACGTCCGATACCGACCCTCAAATACTAAATATGTTCTTTGTCATGTTTGAAAATTTTGACAGAGATTTCGAGAATCATCGGAAGGCCGGGATGAAGCTTATGCATTCAGGCTTCAGCATTTTCAGGGTCCTTGGGCGTAGGGGTAGAACCTAGTCACTAGCAGGTCCCTGAGAAAGTCAAGCAGTTGACATAACTTGTTCGAACTTAAGCTTTGCAGTACACGTGTACAAAATATTAATGTGAGTCGATCAACTTGTTGTTTCTCATGCAAGGTCAAATACCTAGTCCCTAGGAGTATGATGAGCTGAGATCCTCTCCTCGGCAAGCGACATCTCTTCACAACGATCACCTTGTTTGCACTTGAAGCCAAGCGAAATTGTGTAGAGGATGTCTCACTGAATCTTAAGTCGAACTTTTGAACATGATATCCGCCATCGGATTAGGGCTGTACCATGACTGAAACAGAACATCCTCTACCAAATCCACCAACAAACAATCTTCCTATCGTACTCCATGATCAGTGACGCAACAATCAACTTGATATGATGGCTCCCAAACCACCTCCCAGGACAAGCATGTCTCCTGCCACGAATATTTGAATGCTAGAATTTGCGTTAATATTGAGCATCATCCAGTCATCGTTGTGGCTGAATTGGGGGATGACAAGTTGATTGCCTTCTTTGGTCCATAATTGAAAATTCTGTCTGATACTAGATCAGCTGTTAGCTGTTGGTAATCTTGATGAGATAAATGAAGTTTACCTTTTCGCAGCCTTCTTTAAGTAGAGTATTTGCATAAAGTTACAAAACCGGCAGTACACCAAAATTAGATGCCATCTCGAGAGCTACCAGCTTAGTCCAGTATAGACCGACGTGAACTCAGTGGTGTAGATCAGAGACCTCTATTAAAGGACAAAAGACCAGGCAGCAGGAAAGCAGACTAGTTTCAGCAGTCACTTAACTCAAGGCCATGCATTTTAAGCCGCTAAGCAAATAGAGTCGTCTATCATGTTCAGAATGGAAGCAAAATGCTGGGATGGTCATTCAATCATATTTCTAAGGCTTTCCTCGAATGAGACGTGGAGAATATGTCTTCCGATTAGTACCATTTTCCCTTGCAAATTGTCTGATGCGTTGGAATCAGTAGTCGAATTTGGCGCATCAAGAATCTCGAAAATCTCTCGAACTCCTTGGACAAGCTTGACCTCGCCATTTGAGAGAGGTATTCTTGCTTTCAGCCTGTGGATTTCAATTTTTTTGTCTTCAGAAGTGCTGCCGCTTGTGCTGCCAGGAAGTTCCGAGTCCCATAAAACGGATCTGAGCCATGCATCGAGCTGCGGAAGTTGTTCGGAATGCAACACAGGGACTTTCATCGTGATGGTCGCAATAGACTAAAATATGTTAACAAGAACTCGTGCACTGGTACTTGATGGCACTCACTGGGTCAAGATGGCTATGCCCCTTGCTAGCAACGTCTAACGCTCCTACATCATCGTATGCGTGGAGGTCTAGTAAGAAGCCTTCCAGGGTAGGAACTTGGCCCTGAGTTGTGACATGGAGTTTGGCGAGCCCATTGATCGCTTGTACTCTTTCTTGAACTGCAAGAAGTTCAGCATCACTAACGAGATCAGACTTGTTGATCACAAGCACATCAGCGTACGAGATCTGCAGATGGGCGGTGGTCAACACTGGTCCTCCATGATCATGATGCTCTTCTTCTTCAATCGTCTCCTTGACAGGTTCATCCAGACTTTTCAAGATGTTCTTCGCATCGATGAGAGTAACGATCCCGTCAAGATAGATGGTACTGCCAAGTCCTTCGTCAACCCAAAAAAGAGGCGCAAGATTTCCTGGGTTCGCAAGACCTGTAGTCTCGAGCAGAATGTAATCAAAAGCACCCTTCTTTTCCATGAGAGATTCTATGGCATTGACTCCTGAGTCTCTTCGACTTGTCAATAACGGAAAGTAGGAGTAGATATAGGAGGTTATACTTTACTGAGCAGCAAATGCAACCATTCCCAACTTCAAGCCATTCCTCAACTTTCTCACCGCCCTTATTGACTGTCAAAGATTTCTCGATGTCGATAGCTAACTCAATGAGTTCTTTTTACTTCATTTACTTGATACGTCTCTACTTACAATCGCCAAACTCTGAAAAGTAGACGTTAGCGAAAAATCAACTTGCAAAGCATGGACAAACATTACCATTCAGGATCACAGCAATCTTTTTCCCATGTTGTTCATTCAGAATATAGTTCATCAGCGTCGTCTTTCCTGCTCCAAGGTATCCTGTCAAGATATCAGCAAACATGTCCCGTGATGAGATGTCAGAACTTGCCCGTGACAATTGTGATCGGTACTTTGACAGGCTTAGATCCTGAGACTGAAGTTTCTTCATTGTTTTCTACCTCCACTAGAGTTGGAGGTTCTTCTTCTTCGGAATCCATCTTGTCTTGTCAATTTTCCAAAGTTCGTGTCTTGAAAGTCGAATACTAAAGAAGGAAGGGACGTCAGTCAGCCTCATCAACCTTGAATTTTTTAGCGCAGCCTGACGCGAGTGTCCTCGAGGCGCGTTCTCCAACATTCAAGCATCTTTGTGATTCACGAACTCAACCACGCAGTCTGTTAGGACCATTCGCAGTCGGGCTGCAGCTGAACAAGTCGTATATTGAGCTTCTGCTTGCTGTTGGACACAATACCATCAACATGTCTTTACCACCAAGCTCTCCAAGGCTACCTAGCCCTCCCCCTCCAACAGAGATACAGATTGGTCCCAAATCACCTTCCCTGAGCGGCTCCAATTCAGAACCAACGATTGAGCAAAGCATCATAGATGCAAATGCCAAAAGAAGGATACACCCAGGAACTAAGTCTGCCGACATGGCAGCTGGTCCTCCGCTGATGCCCCTGAACGAGGTGAGCTCTCCCAAGGAGTTCATGCGAGCTTCATTAACAGTCTACAGCTTGACTCCGCCTTCCAGCTCCAAGAGCACCTGAAAGCCCTTCACTACCATTACTCCAAGCCACCGACTAGCACACCCAACGCCGTCTCCACGTCTACGATTCCCATAACCCGCGAAACGGCCTACCTAATTGCCACCCAACCAGAAGGTGTCGACCGCGCCCTCTGGCTTTACGAACTCTGCCGCTTCCTGATTAACAAGTGCAATGACCTAATAATCGGCTTCCTGTTCGACGACCCACCATGCTCCGCTACAACTTGCCCCGAAATGCGAGCTTCGGAATGGCAATTTCTCTGCGCTGTACATGAGAGCCCGAAGAGTTGTTGTGCTATCGACTATTGCTGCCATACACTGGATTGGGCGACAAATATTGTCACCAGCCAAAAGATCTTCCCCAGCAGGTTAAGTCTCGGGGCTGGAGACGCGGTGGATGAGAGAGGGGCTGGCGTCAAACATCTTACCAATATATTCAGGAGGTTGCATAGAATTTTTGCACATGCATGGTTCCAGCACCGAGGTGTGTTCTGGCAGGTTGAAGGACAAACAGGTCTTTATGTCTTGTTCAAGACGGTGTGTGATACATATGATTTGCTGCCGGCGGAGAACTACAAATTACCACCTGAAGCGGAAGGTTTGGAGCCTGTGGAGGAGCCAAGATTGTCCGTACCTTCTATCCTGAAGTCTGCGCCTGCGCAAGTGAGCGATCGTGGTGCTGCCGAAGAAGACTTTGTCAGTGTGGGACGAACCAATACAAGGAGACACATCCGACAGTCTCCTTCTGTAGGATCTGCTGTTACTACGGTTCTAGAGTCGGATGAGGAGGAAGTGGATGTTGCGCAGAAATTAGAAGGGATGCATATTGCGGAAGAGGAAGGAGAGACTGATATTCCAGTCATCGTTGAGACATATGAGGTGGATGAGCACCAAGAGAGCGAGCCGGCAAAGCACGAACCTGTACAGCCTATACATACTGAACAGGCCGCCGAACCCCAGGAAGCTGAACCAATTGTTACTCCTACAGATGCCAAGTCTGACCTCACAGAGGAGAAGGTAGAGGCAGAACCAGAAACACCGAAAGAGCCTACCACTGAGCCAGCCAGCGAGGAGAAGGAAAAGGAGACTGACGAAGAGCCTTTTGACCCAGAGACTAAAGCCCCATTTCCAGATCCGGAAGAGTCAGCAAAGGAAGAAGATCTAAAGCTGGAGGTCATTGAGACGGAAAAGATTGAAGAAGAGTCATGAGTCGAAATGGACCAATGTATGAATCTATAGATAGTGAACTGTACAGCTAAGATACCCAATCATTCTAAATCAGAAAAGGCATCCATTCACCTTCTTCCTCCTCGCTTGTGATTCGCTTAAGCATCTATCCAAAAATCATATAAAGCAAAGAAGACAATCTGGAACACTCCTCTCGAACAATAAAAATACAAGTAAACCTACAAGCCAGAAGACAAATATCCAAAATCTTAAGAAGCAAACTTCTGGAGGCTGGTCTGCTGGGTTTTCCCATAGCCGAAGACTGCCACTGAGGAAATGTAATTTAACACGTCTTTTCCGCATTGATATCAGAGTGTCTGTGCTTAGACTGAAGGACATTTGCTTGTTTAGATTCACATGGTTGTTTGTGAGGTGGGCTTGTGATTGGTCGATTAGAGTTGGGCAGGGGATTCACATCTAGATGGATTAGCTTCACAAAGTCATGACGAGTTCGGATTTAGGTAAGGTTGGGATTGGATATTCATGTTCAAAAGATTATGATTGTTTGTTGGACTAGAGAGAGCCTTTGCCGGAAAGGCCGAAAATACCATGCTGTAACGCCAGAACACCGTCGCTTTTCCCTAACTAATTTAAATTCAGGGTATCTCTCAAAGCTCCATCCTTTCCCTTTCTACCCTAACCGTCCCAAGCTCCAGTAACAAGGCCTCTATTCCAACTCAACAGGAAATCCTTTATGTGCCCCTAACTGACGACCAGGCTCTAAACTCTGAGGCGTTCTTCTCGCAGATGCGGCTGGTGGTGGTGGATTCATAGCGTGCTGGCTATTCCTCCATGCATCGACCTTGTCTTCAGAGTGTAGCTCGGCTGCGTAATTCATCTGTTGTTGTTGTTGCTGCTGCTGTGGAGGTGGTTGATAAGAGCCTCTGTATGGGTTGGCTTGAACATACGCCACATCGATAGTATGCATAGATGGACTCCTCTGCGTTGGAGTTTGGCTTTGACTCTGATTCAGGTTCTGCCATGAGACTCGTTGGTTGTAGGCTTGCTGAGGATCTTGGTATGACATTCTGTTCGAAGCAAGCGAGGGCCGATGGTTGGGTGGAGGGAGAGCTGCTGCGTATAATCCGAGACCCGAGTTCTTGTCTCCCATGTGAGAAAGTTCGAGAGGTCGGAAACTGCTTGCGCTGCTGTTATTTGTGCAAGGGCTCTGTGCTCTATACGGTCCGTTTGAGAATGGTGAGCTGTTGCCGTCATCGCTGGTGTGATCGGAGACTGAGGTGGCGTATTCGGTGGTGGCTTGCGAGCCGGCGAATATCTCTTGGTTCTTGAGTGATGCGTCGAGGATTTGTGCTTTCACCAGGAGGCGATCGACGAGCTTAGAGTGCGCTTTTGTGAGGGTCTTCTTGACGAAGGAGGTCATCATGAAATTACATTTCATGTCCACATCTTCTCGCAGCCAAAGGCCACTGAGGGGTGCTCCCAGCCCCAGCTCGACAGGGGCAACTGGTTCCCCTGGTAGTGATCCTCCTAATGTCCATTTCCCCTTGATGTTGAGTCCCATCGGCGCATAGCAGTGTGTTTGGAGGCCATTCTCGAGATCGTGAAAACAGCACGTATATGAAACCTTCCCGGAAGCCAACCCGCCAGGTAAATATGCCACCTTATCCGTGAGTTGATACCAGATGCAATGATACTCTTCAGCAGTCGCATTTGGTGGAGGTTTGATAGGATGGCGCTCCTCGACCAAGGGATTCAGGTCTATCATTTCTGTGTGGCTCCGGAGGGTTTCCATCACGGTCTCTCTGGAGATCCCGGCGGGGAGAGGGGTCAGAGTCGTGAAGACTGATCGTTTCGACATCTTGACTGCTGATTATCGTGAGCTCGTTGAGTTGAGAGTTTGTAGTGAGAGAGAAAATATGTTGTACAGACAAAAAAGGAAATGAAAGGGGAAGGAGGATTTGTTGGTGTTGATGTATGAACTCCTGTCAGCAAAGTTATGCGACAACACCAAACAAGGACCTTAACTATGATTCCCAAACACCATAATTAGCTTAACTTGATCCCTGTTACCAGCGAACCTTGTTTATTCTTGTGCTTTCACAGCCTGCAAGTAGGTGGAGGCACCGGCAACAGAGAGATCCGAATTGGAGTGACGGTATTCCTCCTTGCGGACAATGGCTGACAAGTCGAGTGCCACTTTGCTCAAGCACCAGCACACCTCAAGAGGGCTGAAATAAGCTGCGACGGCTGATGATCCACAAGCGAGCAAATCATGTCCCCACTGCGAGGAGATCTGACCAACTGAATGCAGCAAGTTTGAAGGCTGAGCTGAGACCAGTTTGATGCTTGGCTACGCCGCTTGCCGAATGGTCGGAAAGCCAGCCAAAATTCGGCAGACGTCTATTCTAGGAACGCTGGATTTAAAAACTCTGATTTGTGGATGGAGACGACTTCAAGAGGAGGGATGTACAAATCCCAACTTTGATATTCTAACAAATCAGCAGTAATTACGAAAGTCCTGTTGATTGATGATACATGATTGACACAAATCTTCATAGAACTGGTATCGACAATTTCACTCCGAACAGCTTTGAATAAGTATGGATCTCCTGTTGTTCGATGTTCGATGATCGAAGGATATGTCTCTTTGTCTCTCCAGTAAAGCCTCTGGAATGAACAGCTTGTGTAAACTATCATTATGCGTTGTCAGATTCCAGGGTAATATCTTCAAATAGATCTAGAGTCTAGTTATCTATACATCGTTAGAGCTTTCTTTTCTTTGTCAGTATACTCTTGATCAATCCACTCAGTAGTTAAGATAAATGGGTTGGACCCTCCTACCATGAATGAGCGAGTAAAGTTTAGATTAATACATACTTTAGTCTTGCATTTCTGGTCGTAAACAGCAAGAACACGTAACGGTGGTCGTTCTTTCCAATTCGAGACAAAATGTCGGCTGTTTGTGTCAATGAAGTTCGGACGATACCTCTCCAGAAGAGGTATCGAGAAGATTTAAGCGAGTTATATGCTCCTCGGGCGACTCTTGCTGCTCATAATGTCGTCCCAAAGTACAAACAACCAGAATGTAAGTAAATTTCCAACGCCGTCCTTTTCTAACACAGTGGAACGGTACTTTTGCTGACTGACCTAGATCGAATTCGAGCTTGATGATATTGGTGTAAACAAAGCGGAAAAGTCTCCCCCGAAGAAGAAGAAGAAGAGGAAGCGAGGAGGGCGAAGAGCACGTAACGCGAATTCAAAGGTCAACAACATGCATCCTCCTGCTGCTAACAACGAGAACAGCGTGAACGGTCGTCTGCCATCCGTTCACCGCCATTCCAAAGGACATATCCAAATGTCTCCAGTGTCCAACATCGATTCAAGACCACCTGATAAGGGGACCGCGGAGATAAGTGCTCAACTCCCCGCTGTGCTCGGAGATACAGGCTCAGAGATTGACACAAACCAAGCCAAAGACAAGGACCTCCCATTCCCGGTAGCCAATCACAATATGATGAACTTCGTCCTCGGTGGCAATACGTTTAACGTCGATGTTGCGGCTGCTATAGGAAGTGAAGTTCTCCGGAACTACAATACTATTTCCCGCGACAATCAGAAAGTCATCGAGGAGCGGGATACTCTTGAGGAGGAGAACCAGACTCTTTGGGAGAAGAATAAGGACTTTACAAAGAAGAACAAAGTACTTGAAGAGGAGAACATGTCTCTCAAGTTACTGTTGGCTCAGCATGGCATCTCCTTGGAAGAAGTCGTGGATTTCGAGCTTCCTGTCCCAAATCCCAGACCAGAAGCTCGCTTACCTGGAAACGTCTCAGAGACCGGAGTCACATCTTCCTCTACCAGCAACCACTCTTTTCAGCATCCACAAGGAGTACCAGGGTTGAATGTTCAAGACGATACACCTCCTAGTATGGCTACGAGACACACTGAACAACAAGCTGTGAATATCCCCAAGGATATCAATCAAGCCAAGCATTCACCAGCAATCATCAATCCTATGCTTACCCATAAGAGAGAATCATCTTCGAGAAGCTTGCCGAGCCAGACGACACCAAATATCGAAAAGAGTCTGAAAGTAGAATCTTCCACGGATAATGACATGCTTGATGGTCACTCAAGTACTTTGCAATCAGTTGTCAAAAGGGAGCAAGAGGTACGCACGGCCAAGAGAAGAGCCAACGATAAGAACCAAAGCCCTTCTGGTATTGCAGACAAGCGTCGGAGAACTGGAAAGGACACCAAGCTACCAGCGGATTCGAAGATGGACGAAAGATGTCCTCTCGGTGAGCGACCTGCTATTAAGGATAAGCACAGCAGCAGCAGAACTAGGATAAAGACAGAGGCCGAAGGGCAACCAGACTGGTTTGTTACCGATGAGCAATCCGACAAATCTCTACCATCTTCCAACATCCGACTTAAACTTGATGGCACGAAGATAGATCATGATTCAAAGCCAGTCGATGATAGCAAGTCGACCAATGAAGCTGTGGAGAAGGGTTTGATCAAGTTCATGAAGAGAAAGATGGACGACAACAAGATTTTTTGTGACATTCCTGTTCCCAAGTGCGGCAAGGGCTACATGGACGACCGCTCCTGGAGAAAGCATGTTGACAAGCATCACCCAGCTTGGCTTAAGGCTCTTATTGAGGAAACAAGCTCAAGCTTCAAACCTGTTGATGAGCACTCCTACAGTCATCAGCAGGAGCTTTTGGGTCGTGAGACAGAGCGTGACAAGAAGCGCGAAATAGAGGTCAAGATCATGGAGTTAAGAACAAGACTAGAAGACGAAGGGTAAGTAATCTCTCTCCTGAAGTTGCGACGAGCTCGAGCTAAATATCACGAGCACCGACGACCTCTTGCTAGAGATCGAAGTAGATTCATTGAGAAGAAAGCTTTTGAAGAAGCTCGATCAAGCGAACAAGATGGCCATGGATCCTTATGAAGTCCACAATGCCGAACCGACGGAATCCGAGGTCCAGCGAATAGCTCGGCTTCGGAGTGCCTTTGGAGTCCGCAAGACTACTGACGAAGGAGATAAATACAGCAGACATTCTGGCAACTCGGGGGAGCATTCCGGCTTCGGCAACCGAGACTACGACGAGGATGATCGTACATACATGGATGGAGAATACGGCGAAGGTGGAAATGTTGATTATCATCGTCTTCGACGAACTGATGCTAATCAATGGGCTCTCCTTCATCCACCTTTGAGTAGGAGCTCTATGTGGTCTATCATCCCTGACCCTGACGAGCCGAAAGAAGATATTCCGACCCAGTTGGACTATGATGAGGACGTACCCATTAAGAAGGAGGAGGAAGAGGTGGAGGAGGAAATCATTGCTCCAGCTCCCCGGGCGAAAATCTCGTTTCAACTGCCAAAGAAATTATCGAAATGAGTGAGTGAAGACTCTTCAAGCGTTCTTGACTCCCTGGAACTGGTGGAAACTTCGCCATGAGAAACGTTGATGAAGGTAAGCTGCTCGATCAACCAGATGTCTGGCTATTGGAAGTTTGCTAACAAAGACAAGTCGATGTGACCCCTCTCATCTTCGAACGAGGTGTCAAAGTCAGCTCGTGCATTGTACATTGGCTACTGTACCACATTCGGAGGGTGCGGGGACTGGTCAGGTAGTGTTAGTAGTTTGAGTAAGGCTGAAGTGATGTAGTAATACCACTGAATACGTGGTCTCATGAATGAGAACACTTGTTGTTGTATGATAAATATGGGACCATTCTATTGGTGAAAGACTTCGTGCCTCCTCGTCTTTCTTCGTAAACTCGCTCAATAAACGTGTCCATTTACACATTTGGGTACAAGATCTGACATTATCTTATGCAAGACGACCCAGAACTACCTCTATCTTGAATGCTTAAAGTTATGCTTCCAACAGAAGGCACATGCATGCCTGATTCAATTGGTCAGCCAGAAAGATTTTCGAAATAATCGAAGATAATTTAAGCGAGTTTTAAAAGGGGCGAGAAATCGAGATGTGAAAAGGAATATTGAAGTCGAGCGAGTCTTATTTTCTTAGCATTATGCACCTCCTATGTGCAAGAAGAGAGAATATAGCATGCAAATTCAAGTTAGGAAGGAGGCAGGGCCAATGTCGTGCCTTCCCCTTCCAAACATCGAGCGTTGTCCAACGGGTCACCAGATAAGTTCCGGAATCGCCGTCACCAGCATTCCCCATCATTCGCCATCAACCTAATATTATCACCCTGTATACTTATCTATGAAAGTGTTGAGATTCTCCTGGATCTTCCGACCGATAATTTGGATAAACAACCGTATAGCTCGACGTACACACATATCTCCACGCCATGAGACCTTTCCTGCAAAGGACAGAGTCCGCAAACCCTTCCCAGACCCTCAAAAGCCTCGATCCTGACATCTCCTCCTCATATTTCCTCGTCCGTCGAGCAACGAACGATTCACCAGCCGCGTCTCCAGGGCTCCCAATATTCATAACACCGTCCTCAAAATCCCCTTCTGCGAAATCGCACAAAGCGCCTAAGTCGACTACTTCGAACAGGAGCAAAGCCACGAAGACCAGGGGTAATTCCGTTAGCTCCGCGTTGTCAGTCTCGAGCAAGTATCGACATATTGCAGAATGGAATGAGAAGAGTAGTAGTGGCATAAGTCCTGGCGCCGTGAGCCCAGTCTCATTTGAGACTCAACGCCATCCTGCGGATCCGCCGCGGCCTCCGAAGCCAGGGTTGGAATGGGTGTGGTTCCCAGATGGGTATTGGGCTGAACGAGAGGTTCGTGATGGTTCTAGGGTCCGGCAGAGACAGGCTTCGTTGCCGAGACAGAAGTGGTGGAATAGGTCGCCAGATAAGTCTAAGAAAGGATCGATTGGGACTGATGATCTAAATGTCCGCAAGGTCGAGGTACCGAAAATCAAGATTGGCAGTCTTACATCTGGAAAAACTCGGAGTGCGTCGTCGGATGGTAAAACATTGTCTCGACATAGTAGCAGAGTGGAGACGCTCGGTGGAAAGCTTGGTGGTTTCCGTTTTTTGAAAACTGAGACTGTCGCGACCACTTTGGATCAGCCAAATGAGCAACTCGGACTCTACTGCAGAACAAAGAAGGAAATAAAGAAGCGATTGCTAGCCCCGCGAACTCCAAAATCAGTAAGTCCCCAAATGTAGTGGAGGTGATATGCTAATTTAATGAAGTCCAGAGCGGACAGCGGGCAAACCACCGGTGGCATTGGTACTCTTGGATGGGGCTCACGCACAACCACAGTCCTTGAGGCCGCTGCGACATATCTCGATCGGGTCCAACGTGAACGAGCAAAGATGAGCGATTCGAGCCCAACTTTGCACTCACCTGCTTCTCTAGAGGCTAGACCTCGCAAAGGGTTCGGTCTAGCTCCATGGCATCGCAAAAACTCTCACGAGTCGCTTTTGTCTGTTTCAAGTTCGGTACATGAGCTGCTAATGGGTAAAGCGCCAGTACAAACACCAAATCCAGAACGCAGATACGCTGGTCATGATGGAAAGACCTATCCTAAAGGTAACTCCAATAAGTAAGGAAGACCTAATATGACAGCTAACATCTTGTCCACAGTTGAAATATCGAGTCCAGACCCGCAAGAACCAACTTTTTTGCCATCGGTAAGTATTCCTCAGCGCAGTATATACAAACAACAAAAGCAGTGACTTCAAAGCTAACGTATGATAACTTCAGGAAGCTAAGCGTATCAATACACCGCCTATGTCTCCTGGAACTCCGGCTGTCTTAGCACGAGGGTTCTTCTTCGATCTGAATGCTGCTAAGGATGATCCGGATTCACGTACAGTGTCGCCAGCTACGAGCGCTGGCTCTGGGGGCACTGGAAAGGCTAAGTCACCTCGAGAGTGGTGGGAGGCCGATTCCAAGCACACTGCAGTAAGAAACAAGTCATCACATCCGATTGAGAAAAAGAATGCAACAAATATGAGGCAGCTTTCACCTTCCGCATTCGAGTTAAGTCTACCGCCCGAGCATCTACCAAGCAGCCCACTCTGTCCAAAGAATCCAAAGCACCCTAGTGGAGGTGACGGTATATGCCCGTTCCATGGAAGGAGAAAGAGTGTAGGATTGAAAGCAATAAGGAGAGTGAACACAGGTAATACATCGACGAGTGGTACAACGAATGAAACGGGAACAAGTTGAAGGCAGCTCAAGGATGAAAGTGTAGGAAGGAGAAGAACAGCGTGTGGTTGAATAGATTGCAATAGCGTAGTCCAAGAATACTTTATTCAAACGAGAATGAAACTGAATCTACGAAGTTGAAAGTCGTTCAAATAGAGGTGCTCCCGTGATTTCGCGCTTTGCGCTAATGGTTCGTTTTGCAACCGTAATAGACTGACCTCGATTTCACAGCCTTTCAAGAATCAACAAAACCAGAGACATCGTCGCATTGCTATCGAGCAAGATGGCTACCTCCGAGTCTTCTCAGACCGATCCATTGCTGCTCTTGCGACAATCAATAGCAGCAGGAAGCGCTTGCATCCCCACCACAACTACAGATGCCACCTCTGCAAGCTCTGTGGACCTCAGCCTAGCTAAAGCAACCTACCTCCAATTCTCCTCTCCCTCGCAGATCTCCGTACCGCTCAGTACACCCACGCGCTTCATCTCCTCAGACAAACCGGTCGACTTGCGCAGTATCTACTTCGCGTGGCTGAACCGCAACACTGCGATCCCGGACTACAATGGCGCCGCGCAGTCTCTCAACTCGGAGCTTGCTTCTGCGGGTGGTGCGGGGGGAGAAGTGCAGAATCTGGCGTTTGTGGAGAGGCTGGATCTCATTACCTGGCTTGAGGGCGCGAGTGAGGAGTCTGAGCATATCAGGCCGCTGAAGGAGGATACGAGTGCGGCGGCAGCGAGCGCGCAGGTTGCGGCTGGGCTGAAAGGCGGCATTGCGCTGGTCTCGAGTGGGAAGCCTGGCACGGGGAAGACGATTGATCCAAGGTTGCAGGAGATTTATAATGGGGAGAGGAAGATGGGGGATAGGAATAGTGTGTTGAGGGGTATTAAGCCTACTGTGAGTAGTAGTCGAGTATTGTGAGGTGTGAGGAGCATAAACTGATTGATATAGGACTTCTCACATGTCAGGAAACTTGCGGCGCCGTTTAATGCTCGCAAGGCGGCTCAAGCTGCTGCGGCGGCGGCGGCTACAGCAACGACTCTTCCGCATAATCCAAAGGCTCCATCTGGTCGTCGTCCGGATCCGATTATCATGCTCTCTCCGTCCGCTTCCTCGCTGCTTAGGATGTCCAATGTGAAGTCCTTCCTCGAGACAGGAATATACGTTCCTCCAGACAGTGGAAGCATGCCTTCAGCCTCCAACGCTCTTCTCAACACATCCCGCCTGATACCCTCAGTTGACCCCGTCCGACCCGTCAAATTCGTAGTCGTCGACACACCTGAACGGTTCAAGCCCGAATACTGGAACCGCGTCGTAGCAGTCTTCACAACAGGCCAAGCATGGCAATTCAAGAGCTACAAATGGCAACATCCCCAAGACCTGTTCAAGAATACCTTGGGTATATATGTGGGCTGGAGAGGCGACCAGTTACCGGAGACGGTGAAGGGATGGGGAAGAGGCGTCATGCCGGTTCAGGTTGATAAGTGGAATCCTGGACAGGGGAATGCGGGGAGATGGAGGGATCGAGAGGTTGTGGAGGGGATCTGGAAGGCGATTGAGGAGAATATGAGGTCGAAGGGGTGGAGGAAGGAGAGTGGACCAGTGGGATCCTGAATTGGAGTTTGGATGTAGGATTCTGAACGGGGCGTTTCATGGAGTTGGTGGATGCAGTGAGATACTGGAAAAGCATAGAGAATGATATCCATGATTTTAAGCATTTTCGACCTCGAAACCCGTTTAAATCTGAACGTGAAGATGCGAGTAGGCAAAAACCGAAGCACAGCCCATGCTACAGCAAAGATGAACAACAGTCTTCAGGATTGATTATGTAACAGTTGCAAATTCTTCATGCATGTACATCGGCTCTTCTCTAAAATGATATGCAGATTCACAGCATTGCTAAAGGCAGCAGATCAGACATCCCTCCTTTCATACCTAGCTAAGCGAGAAACATGATCACCCCTCTCCCTCCAAGCACCTTCTCCATCCTATCTCACAGAGAAAGAAAGATTCTATAACGAATGGGAGAATTGATAGTAGGGCAAGAGGAAAGATATGAATGCCACATAATTCCCTGCTTAGGAGAGTAAACGTTGGATGAGATTTGTTTAGAGAAGTCTTTGTGCGGATAAATGTATGCAGGGTATCGTAAAAAGCAGGCTGAATAACGAGTGAAGCAATGAATATAATCTGAGGAGCATATATACAGGCGAGCAACAGAACATACTGTCATAAGTATTTAGTGTGTTAAAGAAACAAGCTTCGTCCAGCAAAGGAAGCAAAGTATAAGAGAACATTCCATTCCATTCATTGTAACTAAAATCTACCAAATGCATGCACGCCCAACCCTCCCCTCCCCTCCTTCCTTCCCCTCATCCATCAAAACCCATCCCAGAAACCCAACCAAGGAAAAGAAAAACAAACAGACCAAGCCGTCGTATACAAAAAGATAAAACCCGAAAATGAACCTAGGTCCCGCCCATTCATCTCTTCCCTTCCTTCCCTCTCCATCCTAGTGAAAAGCAAAGAAAGATAAGGAAAATTCCACGTACACTCCTTCTTCCTTATACATTACCTTCCCTCTTTCCTCCCCTCACAATCCACGCATGCATGCATGCAAAATATACACCTCCCCTCCTCCTCTTCCCATCCCTCTCCTCTTCACAAAGCCAAAGCCCCCAAAACAGCCAAACCTCCCAACCAAACCTCCGCTCCCTTCCTGCCAGCAGCAGCACCCGTAAACTGCGCCCCGGTAGCACTCCCCACACCACTACCCGTCCCCGCCGCGGCACCGCCATTAACCCTCGGCGTCGGCGTCCCGGTCTGCGTAACGGTCACCTGGCCTCCATTCGCGTTCGTGACCGTCTGCGTGTACACCACGCCCGCGGTCGTCGCGGCTGAGTTCGGGCCTTGCTGCCATGGGAACCAGGTATTGGGCGGTGCGGCGGTGGGGGAGGGCGGGCAGGAGGTGTAGAGGAGGGTTGTTGGGGTTAGGGTTTGGATTGGCTTTGAGAGGGGATGTTAGTCTTGGAAACGGAAAGGAAGAAAGAGGGAGATGGACGGAAAGGAAGGATAGAAGGAAGGGAGGAGGAAGGGAAGGGAAAGGAGGGAGGGGGACGAACCCGAGTAATGGTACAAGGACAATCAGTAATAACAAGCGTGGTGGCTTCGGTGACGGTGTAGACGACGTTGCCGTGCGCGAAGACGGTTGCTTCGGGGCAGTAGGTTGTGAAGGCTGTTGTGGTGATGGTTTCGTAGGCTATGCTTGCGTTTGCTGGAGCGATCCAGGAACTGGATATTGCTGCTACTGTCGCTGCTGGGACGAGGAGAAAGAGGTTGAGGAGTTTCATTTTGCGTTCCTTGCTTGCTTTCTTTTTGTTTGTTGTTATTTGTCTGTTGTTGAAAAGAAGAAGAAAAATGAACGTCGTAAAAGAAGTGCAAAAGCGAAGCAGTACTCGAGTGTTTGTTTAAAAGAGTGACTATAGCGAGTATCAAGAGTTGGTAAAGAAGGAAAGGAAGAAATGGGAGAATGTACTCCTTCTTGTACCACAACATTCACAGCATTCTCGCCCAATGAGAGTGGGTGGCGGGTCGATCAACGTTCCTGTATGTGGCCAGTGAAATCTCTCGCTTTGCATGAGAGCCACATTCCACAACATGTCAACAAAACAACCCAGCCCGCAAGTAAGATTGGAGCTGAGTAGTGGAATGAGAGAACGTATTCTAATCAGCATCACTTGACAATTTGCCTGGACAACACCAAAGAGGCTTGGGAAATGAAAATACATTCCTCACAAACAGCTGTCATAGCCACAACCTTGTTTTCGCCACTTTTTGCCATGCAAGAGGCTTCCTTTAATGTTTTTCATTTGCTGTGTTTTGTCACAGCTGGGTCTAGGTACATCGGATCAGGGCCTGGTTCTTCTTCACACCAAGATCGAGCTCCGAGGAGTTCAAAATAAGAGCATCCAGTGCACACAAGCCTCCCTTCCATCCTTCCAGGTCCTGCCGCATTAAAGAGTCAATCTTCGACTCCTTTGTGAAATGAGAAATTCGTGCAAATGAATGGGAGTCTCTTTCTAATAATCCCTCTTCCGCCGGAACGCCTAAGATGCAATGTATTCAGACAAAGTTGAGTGTTCCAGTGAGGCCGCCAGATGCAGTATTCATTGGACATTAAAGTCGTTAACGACAAACTCGTCCCATGGTTTTGTCCAGGGAATTGGGAATCTATGCAATCGCTAATGAAGAATCAGGCCTCGCCATATGAGACCGTTGGATACCGCTATGGTACGTATGCAAGCACGTGTACAAGGGGTATCCAAGTCGAAGGTAATCACTTATAGAAGGTCAGAAGTATCCAGGACTCATCGATTGGATCTGCTCATGCTTCGTTCGGGGAGGGTGACGTTGTTGTATCGAGGAGCGATGGAATCGAAGTCATAATTCTTTAGGGTTTGCTCGTATTTTGAGCTCTTCATGAATTTTGGTACGGAATCCTGCAAAATGGTCAGTATTAATCATTCACCAGAGGGATTGGTTTTCTTACACTAGCCATGAGCTTGAAAACGGAAAGCTGTGCTTCCTCGAAGAGCTTCGTGACCTCCTTCAGACTTTCGACCATGGCGGCATCTTGACCAACAGCCTTTGTCATTCTGGTGGCCAGTTGATTTCGCAGCAGATGATCGATATTGAGTTCGCAAGGAGATCCTGGAGCCAAGAAAGCATTGTAGATTCCATAAGCAGAAGCCATCGTCTCCTTTACGGCATCGAGATTTCCGGATGGAGATCCCTTCCCACTTCTTGACGGAGAATTGGCCTTGATGGCATTCTTGCAAGACTTAAGAAACTCGTCCACGTCCAAGTAGAATGAGAGATTCTCCTCGCAATGGGTGTCTCGCAAATTCTCACGGAACAGCAATCGAAGAGCAGGATCGTTCAAGATCTTATCCAGCTTCTGCGTATTCGAATCCCTCGAGACTCCTGCTCTGGCAGAAGTGGCAGATGGCTCACCACTCTCCGAAGTTCGCTCCCTCAATGTCATGCTGACCACATCTTTGCCCTTTTGCGTCAGTTGGTAGATTGCATGCTTTGTTGGTTGGAAGATTGGTCTCTCCTTCTCCTGGGCTGGAATTCCGGCAAGGAAAGCTCGATCTGATTGCACACACCAGATCAATTCTTGATCCAGAAAGAGGCCTGCAATTTCTGAAGTCTCTCTTCGATCTACAGTGGTACAGCAGTCCATCAACCAATCTGTCGCAGCCTTCCCAGTGAAAGTTTGATACATGGTACGAGGAGGAGTTCCGATCTTGCGCTCGCTAGCCATTCTGACACCTGCAAGACCATCCTTGTATTCACTGAGAGAGTCGGAATCCGCGGAACTCGTGCTGGTCTTGACATTCGGTCCATTGGTACCAACAAATCTCCGGAAGATCACCTCAATCGTGCTACGGTCCGAAGAGAGCTTGTCAGTGGCCGTATCTCGCTCAAGAATCACCAATTGCATAGTATTTCTAGGAGAGCTGATCAATTCCCCGACATGCTTCTGTTGAATGCCGTTCTTCGAGCAAAATCTCTCCAAGATGTGAATGCCCTTCGGTGTCAACTGCCATACAGAACTCTTCATGGTGAACTCCTTTGCTTGCTTTCCGTCTGCAGATTCGATGAATCGGGCATCCAGAAATCGCTGACAAACCGAACGAGCCATCTCCCGGGCCATCGAGAAAGTGGTGGTTGTGGTCGTCGTAACTATCCTGGACGGGTCCTTCGGATCGGGCATGCGATTGGACTGAGAAAACTTCAATGATCCCAAGTTGTTTATGGCCTCCTCAGACAGAAACGAGTGCTCGATGCGGATAAATCGTACTCGGTGTGCTTGTAATGGTAAGCTGACAACCAAGGTCGAGAAGAGGTCTTTGAAGTCCTGCCAAAAGTGTTAGCTCGGTATATCTGTAGATCGATCTGGAATCCATATCTACCCTGGTGAACGGTCTCTCATCAGAGGTCATGCGCAATAAGCGCGAACTTGTTTGGTGCATCTTATTGTAGTTTGTCGGTGGAACAAACGCAATTGGAGGTGGTGTGTCGCTGGAGGTATTCGCGTATGCTTGAGAAGGAGGATCGGTCTCCAGCAAAGAGGTGGTAGAACTCAAGGTGTCGGTTCTCGCGTGCGAAGTAGTCGTTTGAGGTGGGGTAGTGCTAGTCTTGGGTGAATTGGTATTGTTCCGACCGCTTCCTATTGATTCAACCGATCTCGCCCCTTTAGTATTGTTCGGTGCTTCCTGCACGGGAGAGCTCTGCGCAGTTCGGTATAGACTTCCAGACGACGGTCGACTGCGGAGCGCCGGTTCTGAGAAACTCGCAATTGCGCTGGTGGTTTTGTCCCGAGCCAATGCAGCAAAATTGAAGATGCCACTCCGATTTTGTTTGGACGAGGCGGTCGAGAGCGTCGACTGACGGTGTTTGTAGATGTTGGCCTGTCTGTCGTTGTTCTGGGAAGGTGAGGCGGGAGGAGAAGGTTCGGCAAGGGAAGGAACGGAGCGGATGGTCGACGTCGACGAGTCCTTCGATTTGGACGAAAGCGCAGCAGTGGGGGAGACGGAGACGGAGACCGGGCGAGCAGAGGAGGTCAGGTGGTTAGCGACGGATATATGAGAGAGTTGAGATTGAGAGGTTGAGGTCGAGGTAGAGGTAGAAGTGGGCTGAGAGAGAGCCATCTAAGGATTTGGGTATGTTTTACGACGACGGCCTAAACGGGCAATGATCCTATCCCAATCCCGTCACCCGCCAATTGCCAATCCTGACGGCCGGCTCGCAGGCTAAGGGCAAGACAGACTAGTGGTCTAGTCCTAGTCGAGATATGCCTAGTTAGTCTGTAGCGTGGCAGTGGAAGGGATGGGAAGCAGGGCAGTCCAGTTTGGTGTCTGTGTCTGTGTCTGGGACGGTAAGGAGGGACAGGTCAGGTAAGGAAGCGTGGTAGCGGGAAAGCACAGAGAGTCGCAGACACACCCTGGTCTGATCCAGTCCGGTATTGCACAACACGACACACAAACGTGAGAAGTGGAGGTGCACGTCGTGGAAGTGAAAGTGGAGGGCGAGGGGTGAGTTGAGTGGAGTGAGTGGTGGACGAGGGCAGAGAGAGCCAAGCGCGACACAAATTCGGGCGCGACTTGGACTGGGGGGGCCAGGTGGTGCACAGCGTGGGAAGCCGGGAAGCCGTCAGTGCCAGCAGCGGACGAGCGAACGAGCGACTACCGAGGAGAGGAAAGAAAGAAATAATAATAAATATTATTATTTAAGAGATGGTGTAGATGATGCAGATTGCAGATGCAGGCCGATGCGTGTCCTGTGCAGGAGTGTAAGTAGGCAGGCTGGCGTGCGAAAGTACAGTAGTCATACAGCAGTAGCAGTACGTAGTGTACAGTAATACTGGCCGTATCGGTAATGAACAATGCGTGCAGCGCGTGCCCTGGGTAACGGTGGTTCGGCTCGGGTATCTTGTGCCAGCTGGTGCTAGGGCCTGTGTACTGTGCACTGTACAGTACTGTACAAAGGGGAGGTCGTGTTCTAGCAGCGGTGGCTGGTGTGCTTTGGTGGAGATGTGAAATTGTTGACGAGGGGGACCAATACAGTTAGCTAGGTGCCTAGAAGATGCCTAGATGCCTAGACAATGCAATGTTTGGAGTGGTGGGCGAGGGTCCTGAATGGGGCCTGGTCCTGGCAGCGAGGAGAAATGGATGCCTGAGAGCTGCCTGAGGGCGCCCCGATGGTGAATCTGTGTCTTGGTGAGGGATGTTTAGCTGCCGCTTTCTCGTGGCAGTGAATCCACTTGGCAAAGATCGCTCGTGGCAAGCAGGGATTAATGGTCGTGCAAAGGCAAGGGGAAGATCCTGGCTAGCGTCAGAAGTCGCCAAATGGAAAAAATCGAATGTTCGACCGCCCACGCACCCTAAAAAATAATTTTGGCTGAAGGTCCGAGGTCCTAGTCTCGTCTCCACCACGCAGCTCGCCGCCTGGATCTGCCCTGGATGTGAGACATGAGATATGCCCGAACGCTGAGTGGAGGGGGGCCATTACTTACAAGAGACTCCTGAAACCAGGCTGAAAATAAAAATTTCTATATTGATATCACTTCATACGTAAGTACCAACAAAATGCGGTGTCCGGCGTTGGCGTCGTCGGTCTGCACCGAGCCAGAATGCTGGTGGGATGCGTTGGGATGATGCGTGTGTGCAGGTCGTGTTGATGATGTCGCCGATGCTGATTCTGAAGCCGGAAGATGAGGGATGCGATGCAAATGCCCTGCACCGAAGCGTCGTCGAGAGAGAGGGATGATGATGACCACCACCACCAAGACAGAGCAGCACGGATTGATAATTGCAGGACTGGTTGCGGCACCTTGATCTTCGTCGTCGTCGGACCTCGATACCGAAGCACGTCAGACTGGATGAACGAGTGAAAGAGATCGATGCGTGCTTGCTGACTGCGTTTCTGACCCTGCTAAATCACTTCAGTCCTGAATCTTCTTCATTTTCTTCTTGTTCCTTATTGCTTGTGCCTCCTGCGTGCTGCAGCACGGGATCACAGCATCCATTCATTCATCATACAGCATCACCGACAGTCTGGTCACTGGTGATCCTGGCTTGCTCTGAGGAAAGCCTCCTCCGCAGCTGTGTTTCGCCAGGCTGCGCTGCTCTCCTCTCCTCTCCTTCTGTGATGCGAGAGAATGCACTGCCCTCTCACGGGTTCATTACCACCATAACGGCCAGCTACGTAGAGGACCGACGCCGAGTGCTTCACCTACCCGAGAGAGAGCCTTCCATTGCCAATGATTCCATTAAGAAACATGAAAGAGATCCACTTACACACTCAATCTCACACACGTCAGTCGCTGGAGATGCTGCGGCTCACCGTTGCTGAGCTAGACCCGAGATTGAAACGAACGACCTCTTGTTTCGACGAGAGGAAAGTCCAATTTGTTGCTTTGTCGTCTGTAGGGATGATACTGTCAGCACCCGAATAACCCAGACTCATCAGAGACCTATAATTCTCCCGTAAGAAGACCGGCAAGCATGTTGCCAGTCTCGGAACCCTGTGAAGCTTGAAGCCTCTCCCAGGGACGGAAACCGTTCGTCGATCCTCCCCTTCCCATGTTCCAATGCCCTTCTAGAAAAGAAGATGCCGGCGCCGACCAAGCAGAAAAGGCATGAATGTCTTACAACGTACCTGGTATCCGAATCTGTTTCCGAAGATGCCAGGAGGTGATTCTGCTGGCGGGATGTCGAAATGCCACGAGGTCTGAGGAAAATCCGTTGTCGAGCGATCCTTGTCCCTTGACAGCGAGCGTTTCGAAAGGGGGCCAGCTGAGGTGAAAGGAGCCCTATTCGGCGGACTGGAGCGAAACCTGGTCTGGTAGGTGGAACGTTCACAAGGAAAGCAGCAGCGGTATTCAATTCAATGTGATGTCACATTCAAGAGAGCGAGGAGGAAGAGGAAGAGGAGGAATAGAACTAGAAAACTAGATAGACATCGATGGCAGAATCCGAGCAATATCGGCCACTACTCCCCCTATCGGCTCTCGGTCTGGCTGGACGGAAGATCACAGTCCACAACTGGCAGAATCTCACAGACGCAGATGCAGATGCAGATGCAGAACCAGAACTAGAATGCGCTGCAGGTGCAGGCAGGAGCTTGGAGAATGCTCGAGCGCAGCAGAGTTGTGTGGTGCTAAGTATGTGGTGTTGAGAACGGGCAACTAGTTTTCATCTGGCTAGCACCATCTTCCACCCTTCAAACCTTCACACTTCACCTTCCCCATCTCCAACAACGTGCCGTGCTCGCCCAGGCATCCGACAGGCACAATGCAATGACGGGATGCTTTGGCGACAAACTCTGAACACGATAGGGTGAAGACGGTACCGGCTGCTCGTGCTCATCTCGAGAGGAATCTGGTAACGAGAGCGTGCACAACGATGCGCCACATTGAATCGAAGCACTACTTATCAGACTGAATGCACCATACAGGCAGGCCAATTTCATTCCAGCCTCAAGCCGTTCCCGCCGAAGATAATTTATGTCAACCACTCAACCGTCATCTGTCAAAATACGACAAGCGACCGATCGACGCCTCTTCAACCCCGACTGAACTCTATTCTCTCGGAGCATTCGATCCTCCAATGCGACTGTGGCAGATTTGGGAGCGACATCGCCGCCGGCGCCTCCGTAGGAGACAGTACTCGGGAAGCAGTGATTCCATTCACAAAACGAGAACATGAACTCACAAAAACCGTATTGACTGTATGTACGAAACATATCTCGGCTTCTCATAGCCCGAGTGGGGACGATAAAGCCTCAGCACAGGAAGCTATTGATGCACCACCACCCGCCCGATACAGTCACCACTTTTTCCCCCGTTAAAGTTCTCTCACGCCCTCGCAGCTCCACGCGACGGTGCCTCACGCCAGAACACGACATGAATCGGGAATGCACGTGGGAGGCTTTAATTATTACTCATATTACCTCACATTACTGTAGACTTTTGCACCATTTCTCTCTTCCAGCAAATAGGCTCAACTGGCGCCCACGAGCCGGAACATGTCGAGTTATCAGCCATCCATCGATGACCCTCAGCAAGCCAAGCGGTGAACCAGTTCATCAGTCCTCTCTCTGGATCAGCTCTCTCACTGGACGATATCCGCAGACGTAAAAGCAGCAGGCCGCCGATTATCTTTCCTCCCACGTTTTTTCCAACCTTGGGGGCTGTGCTTTAGCCGGAAAATGATGACGGCTGGGATGAACCTGGTACGCCCTGGTCTCTCGTTCCAACCACGTTCAACGCACATCATCAGACCACGAGGTCGCTGGGATGTTAAGCCCCCCCCCCTTTGGTGAGCGGGTCTTGGCGTGTGGTGGCCGGGGTGGATTAATTTCTTGCGCGACCGGCGAGTAGCATGGGATAATAATACGGGATTTAAGGTACAGTACAGTACAGTACGCACGATGGATCGTCACTTGCACGGCCAGGGGGCAGGCGGAAGCGAATGGACGACGACAACATGACTCGGCACTTGACAGGTAAGTGAGTGACTCCTGAAGGTGGAGAGCGGGAGGACGGGAGGACAGCAGGACAGCAACGTTCGTGAAGTGAACGAAAAGGAAACATCGATCCGTGAGGCAACTGCAACTGCAACTGCAACTGCACCTCTCAACGTCCAATCATCCGCGGGCAGCATGATGGGATCTCCCGTTGTGGCTGCTGCAAAACCAGCCCATTTTTCTGCTGCGTTCCATCCATTCCACGTGTCGGTGAACTGCCTGCCCTTCCTCACCTGCTTAGGTCTCATCTCAGCCCTGCGTGCATATCTACTTACGCTACTGTACAGTACAGTACTGTACTGTACTGCTACTTACTCCCTTCTTATCCGTACCACAACTTTCTCCCGGAATATCCAAACAACCCATCCGACCCCCAACGCGTGCATGTGGGAACCCTATTTATCCAGATTACATAAAATCACCTCTCCAGGGTCTGTAGTCTGAAACAATATCGACCGTACTTGGCCCCCAATCCCTTTTTTTTTTTTTTTTTTGTGCCGAGACGAGAAAAAAAGAAAAAAAAGTCGGAGATTCCTAACCTCGTGGAATGGAGGAATCCCTCACCGCCAGCCATCTATGCATGCATGCATAGATCCCCGCGCAATGCTACGAGGCACCATCTCACATCTCAAACTCCGAAAAGGGAAAATCAAAATCAAAATTAAAATTAAAAATAAAAAAAGTTAGAGAATATTTTAAAACAACAACAACAACAGGATCCGCAGCACCACAACATTCCAAAACCCTTCTAGAAAAGAAAGAAGAGCACCCCCTTCATCAAATCCACCCCTGCATCCTCACCATCCCACGAATCGCGCCCGAGAATTCGGTGCCGGAGATATCTACTTCGTACTTGTATCGAAAGGCAAGGATGATCATCCTTGCCAGAAATCAAAAAATGTATGATCCCCCTTTTTTTTTAATTCAATTCACCATGTGGAAGCACCTCACACGACCACCACCACCACCACCACCCACAAAAAACATAAAACCGAGATTAGAAAATGGGGAGGGACTTCGTGTGATCTCCCCGAGGAAGGAGGAGGAGGAGATATTTTCGGAGATGAGAAGGTTCGTAAACACTTCCATTCCCCTTCCTTGATCCTTCGAGAAGGTTTCTAGAACGTTTGTCTGTCTCATCTCTTCCATGGTTCATCGGGCAATTCCTCCCCATCCATCATCTCTCTCCCACCAAAAAAAATTAAAATAAATAACCTTCCTCTCGTGATTTTTATGTTCCGATGCACGCACGCCTGGGCAGACAGGATCCACTACCACGTTGTTGTTTTTTGTTCTTGTCGCTCGCTGCTTACCTCATTCATCATTTTTGGAACTGCTACTGTAGAATGTTTCACATGCTGTCCTTCCTTTCGTTCTTACATACGATACGAGAATAGCATGTCACGTCTCGGTACATTATTATTAAACTCCATCCACGTGGGAATCAATTGAAATTTTTTACTTAATTTTCGGCACCCCAATCCAGATCCAGATCCAGACAGATAGATGCTCGCCGCATACCTGCAGCACCATCGGGCGGCAATCGGGAACCAGCGATCGGGATAGTCCGTCCGTAGGTACGAGTGAGCGAGCTGACGGATACGTACATACATACATACATACATACATACATACATACAGCTTATTCTCGTATCACCATTCACCACGAAAGAGAATGTGGAGGCTAGCTAAGGGAAAACGTGGGAGGATATGCAGTGTAAGGCTATCTATCTATCCTTAGCAAGTGCCTCCACACGCCCAGAAAAGAGGTCTCGGATGAGGACAGCGGTTAGTAGCCGAGAAAGTAGGGCAAGCCAAGCCAAGCCAGCCAAGAAGGCGTGTCTGTGTGTGCCTGTGAAACGTGGTGGAGGAGAGATTCTAGACTCAGCCTCTTTTTCTGGGCAGGAAGGAAGGAAATGCCGCGGAAGAGTTCCGTTCTTTGTCATTGATTGAATTTGAGTTTTGGGCTTGGCTTGTGGCTTCTGGAGGAAAGGAAAGGAAAGGTTCGATGATGAGATGGTGGAACGAGAGACATGTTGGTGATTGTTGTTGAGTCAGGTAGTTGCGTGTGTGGCTTTCTTTCGGGTCGGGTATGAGTAATGGTGATGGTAATGTAGTCGGCGAAGCCGTGTTGGTGGATTGGTGGATTGGATTGGCCTCCTCTTTCCCTCCCTCCCTCACTGCACATCTAGCCCAATCTCAACTTCCTCATCCCCTAATTCCGCCCTAATTCCCGTCCTACCTCCGTCCCGCAGAAAAAGCAAACTCTAAATCGACGTACTCGGGTAAAACTCAGAGCTCATTCGCTCGACTTCCCTTCCGATTCCAACTTCGTCTCGATTAAACTTTTCCACCACCCGTCGGAAACACAAATAACTGGCCCGCCTCTCCTTCCCCCAGCGGAAAAGCCCTACGTGCTAGCTGCCGAGAAAGTTCAAGGCTTGTTTGTACTAGGCGTCCAGGCGGGAAAGCCCTAAGCGTCAAGTCAAGTCGAGTTCCGAGAATGTTCTGGTTTCAGTTTACGATGGGGTTCAAAGATGGGTGGAGCGGGAAAGCCCTAATAGCCTAGCAGAGCAGAATTGAGAAAGAGGGTTTTGCTAGAGATGGGAAGGCAGGAGAGAGGTGGGAGATATTTGTCCGTCGGGAGAGAGTGCTGGTAGTACGGTAGTCGGTTGTTCGGGTGAGAGGGCTGTTTGTTGGGAGTGTTGTGCTGGTTTTTATTTGTTGGAGGCGAGCTGGAGGTATTCTCGTTCTTCTTGTCGTAGTCTGGAAATATGTAAACAAAGCTTTGAAGAATGGAGCGAGGTTGTTTTGCTTATAGTTAGATGGGTTCAACAAGCGAGTGATGTTGGAGTTGCTTGTGATAAACAATCCAGCAGGAGTATCAGCTTTGGATGACTGTTCTTATTGGAACCGTTGTGTGAATTTTTCAACTACGTCTTTGTTGTCTCAAAAAATCACCTTTCATTCAGTCCAATCTCGAGCTTCATTTATTGATGTACCACACATTCCAACAGTGAACACTTAGTTCTTCTCCTTTATCCATCTAAACCTCAAGCACCACCAAGCAACAAATCACACATCACAACAACGACCTCCCTGTCCCTCCTCAGCCTAGTCTAGTCATCAAGCAAATCACTTCATCATCATCATCATCATCATCATCATCATCATCATCATCATTACCATCATTACCATCATTACCATCATCGTCAAACACCGTGAATCACCCATCCATCCATCAAACATGACTACTGTCCCACCCCATTTCCAAATCACCCACATTTCCCTTGCTCCTTCCTTTTGTTATAAACATGCCAACAACCACAACAAATGCACGAATACCTCTTCCCCATGCTCCTAACCTAACCCCATCAAAACCACCCATCGTTCTGTTCTACATATGAAACCACCTTCCACCCCTCCACCTCCAATCCCTCCTCCCCTTCCACCAAGATCTACCCCTCCAGCACCCCCATCCAGCAAAGAAACCAAAAAATGGACATGCTGCTCCAAAACCAAACATCCACACATCGAGGTTCGTCTCCCCTTTCCCCTTTCCCCCCTTTTCCTTTCCACCTTCAAAGAGAAGTTGGAGTAGCTGATAGATAGGATCGGGGAAGTGGTATATGATGGATAGTTTTGTGGCTTGTACGTTCCCCGGGTGCGGACACGGGAGGTGTGGCGGTTGTGGGGAGGTTGGGATGCCTGGGTGGGGTGGTATGGAGAGGAAGAAGGGGAAGGGGAGTGAGAAGGTTGTTAGGTTTTTGCTATGATGAGGATGAAATGAGGATGATGAGCCGACTTTCGCATTCTCCAGACTCGAAAATCTGGTTTGAAGGTAGATATGGAGACGTGGATATGAGAGGGAATATGTGATGGACGTCAACAAGCACCAGATTTGTGGGTTTGAGAAATTTAAATTTAGCTGGGATAAGTGTTACGGACATTGGCGTAGTATGAGTAAGTCTTAGCTCAACATGTCTGCCTCTACGTTAACAGCCACAAGTCAGGGAGTGATTGCAGACATTGAGAAGTACAATCCAACGAAATAGACTCTTCTCTTTGTTCTGTTCGAGGTTTTATCTTCATGTAAGTCAACCAAAACGTGTATCCACCCAAATCGGATTCCAGACAGATTGAAGAGCTGCGCAAGAAGACCAAGACTCTTTCACAGACATTCACTCGAAAAGCTTTTGTATCAGGGAAAATCAGTTCCATTCACCTATATACTGTGTGGATGACCCTTGATCGATAACTAGTATATAAAGTTATCTTCTACCAAGACGGAAGAGAGACCAGCAACGTATCTGAACAAGCACTATGGCCCGGGCGCGTCCAGAGCCGGGAACTGGTTGGCGCACCAAGTCCCAGCGTCGAAAGGCAAGCTGGAGATCAAGTCTTCACGTGTTGTCGAGGAGAATAAGTCTCTAAGAGAAAAGAGGTGATATGAGAGACATTGTTGACAGCATGTATAGAAAGAAAACTAAAGATGGGTTGGACGCATGATGTTCTGCGAGTGTATCTAGTGGTTTTAGTTCAATCGCTTGACATACCTTGAGATGGTGATAATATGTGGTTTCGAAGAAGACACCTGCGGTCATCACTTGATAATGACAAAAGTCATGATAACAAGACTTGCATTCTGCTATAAGCATTCAACCAGAGGCTTATAAAACATTAGCCAATCGTTAAATGTACTACGCGATATTGCTTGTTTGCTAAAATTATCGAACGAGACATGGACAAACCATGTACAAACATTTAAGTAAGACGAAAATCCCAGTTGAAGGTATTAGACGAAAGTGGATTCTTGACAACAGTAAAATGTGTAAGATTTCTATTTCAACAAGAAGAGTAGCAAGAGCGATAAATACGCTATAGGTCCCGGTTGCTCGTCATAAGAGGGACCGGTCTGGTCAAGTGTAGATGGAGCTGAAGAACAAATAACATCTGCTAAGACGAAGTCTTTATAGTCAGCTTCCTTAAGAGTTGTCTTTGAATAGTCTGTATATGGCTAGCGTGGAGATAATCAGAGGTGTGAATCGCAATGTAGAGCCGGATTCACCACCGGTCTACTTATTGTATTCATTTTTAGTTATTCTATACACTTCCTCTGACATCAGTCAAGCGTAGCCTGACTCAATGACGAAAGCGAGGGATACCCCGTCTAGCCTTGTGGTAACATATAAACGAGTCCTTTCGACGAATCTGAACGGAATTTTCAAACGTCCTCCTTTCAAACACAACGCAGACACACCAAACCCAAATCTCCACTTCTGCAAAAGCTTCTCAAGAAACATCAACACACAATACCACAAGGAGAAACCATCAAAATGAAGTGGATGTGCTGCAGAAAGCATGTTAACCTCGATGATCCATCCAAGCCTGTCAGTTCCACCTTCGAATCGTAGGAAAGAAATCTCAGGTACTGACATACAATAGGTGACCAATAATCACTGGATCCGAACCTGTACATTCAAAGGCTGTGACCACGAACGTTGCGGTAGATGTACTTTACCACCTATCGAGGACTGGCACACCGATGCTCCGGACTCATCTGGTCCAAGCAACGGAAGTGCCAATAATGGTCCTGCCTCGGATGCGAATGTTGGAGGAAAGTAATACTTGGTCTTGAATTCATATGGAATTCTTGGGGTTGGCGATTCTGTCATGACTTTCCGCTACCTTCGAGATTTGCTATTTTAGGCCTGGAGGAATGGAGGGCGACAAAAGTGACTTGAGATCGGGAGTGGGGCTTCGTATTGGGAGAAAAGTTTGCGAGAGAAAAGTTGCAGAACTTTGATTTCGTTCTTGAGGTCTTCGATTCAGAGTACTTCAGTTTCCGAATCAAATGAAAACCATGCACTCTGAATTTTCTCAGAGAGGCGACAATGTGTCACCCGAGACTTCTCCGTGAATGTCATCTTCAGCGAGGTAGAAGGACAGGTGATTTATAAAAGACACTCTTCTTCATCTACTTCAGATTCCCGGGTTGTCCAACATACAAGACGAACAAACATAGTCAAATCAGAACAAAACATTGAGTCTAATACGCCGAAACAATGGAGAAGTCAGACCCTGAACTTGAACCAACAGGCATCGAGTGGCGTTGCTGCTAGAGAAGAAAGCACAAGTGGGTCTACAAGTTGAATAAACCTATGGATCAAGTAAGTAGCCCCCTCGACCTTCCCCTCATCTGTGTGCTCACGTACTGATGCTTCCAAGTGGATGGACACTGGCCTCTTTCCAGTCTGCGACTGGCCAGAGTGCAAACATCGAAGATGCAGAACTTGTGGTCTGGCTATGAACTAGCAAACTTGTCTCCAAAGCATTAGGCCAAGAGAGTGTTGAAGTTTATTCTTGCTACTTGAGTTTATGATCGAAGTAATACCGTGTATCGAGTAGAGCTGTGGAAGGAAGGTGCGAGCTAGAGAAGCGTAGAACAGTGTATTTGCGGAAGGCACAATCTTGGTGAATACAAACCATTCCAGAACTCGAACATGTGGACTCCAGTGACTCCAAAATGAATGTTTTCCCTTGTGATTCTGCTGATACTTGAATGAAGAATTATTCCCATACCAGGTATCAGCCCGGAAGCAAAGAACACACGAAGGTGAACAGTCTTCAAACGAAACATGTCCTCGCCTCGAATCATCGAAAATCCAAACATGAACGACGGAATCCATCGAAATGCAGGTTTCCAATGGCGCTGCTGCCAACACAAGCGGCACAAGAATTTCCTCTTCACGAAAGGCAAAGGTGACGATGTAGGTTTCTTAGTCCCTCCTTAACCGTTTACTCATAACTTGTACTCTTGCTAATGTCTCATAGTGGCAAGAAATCGATGGCGCGGAAGATTGCTCTTGGACGGGATGCAGACATCGCAGATGTGGTGCTTGTGAGCTTGGCTTTGCGTAAACTTTTTTTTCCATGGACGATTGAGTGATAAACGCTAATGCTTGAACAAGAACGGAGATTCATTACGATCAATATTTCGCTTCGCGGACCAGCTTGAAAGAGAAGATGAAGCAGAAGAGATTGAGAGGAGATACACTTACCAACTGCGGTATCTCGATGCTAGGCGAGGAGTGCCTAAAGCACCCGATTGATAGCTTAGAAAGGAAAGGTGACGAAGAAAATGCGAAGCATGCAGAATGATGCTTTTCACGTACACTTTGCTTGGCTATGGTGTCACTCGACACCCTAAAGTTTCGCCGTTATCCGCAGATTCTGGGGAATTTACCAACTCCACGCTTCATGACCATAATTCTAGTATGGAAGATCCAATCATACACACTTGAGAAGACTATATGGGAAGTGATCCTTGGCGTTGAGCGTGGTGATCAGCGGCATGCGCCTTGCCTGAGCTGACGTTGTGGGAGGACAAGCGCGAGGCTATGGTCTTGGCTCGACATCGAACTTGTATCATTGGTGACATTGGGGAGGATAACTTTAAGCTTACCTGAAAAACGAACCTAGGCGACCGTCCTGGGCTGATACCGAAGGTCTCCAAGACTTGATCGTCTGCGGCGTAAAAATGTTGAAAAGATACAAATATGAGAATGGTAGCAACAATGCGGAACATGTCCAAGTCTGACCTTGTTAAAATCACTGTCTTTGAGATATCAAAATCCTGATCGTTGAGAAAGCTAACATGCAGATGATAAGCTGCATTCCTTACCTCCCACTCCCACTCACGATCTTTACCTTTGTCTCCATCATTCTGATCAATGTGGGAGGCGTCAATCCGAATTATACCAGCAGCTCCAGTAACTATTTCGTCCTAGAAAAGAACAGTGCTTTCAATCTCGTTAATGTAAGATCCCCAATCTCCAAGAGAGATGCTTAGCTAATTGTCAAAGTGGAACTATACCATAACGCCCCTACAAAGCTTTGGTTCTTACGAGTATCACTTGTATCTGAATCGACTGTGTTCATTCGCCAAAAGCCAACCCCCATCTTACAGTCTCAGTCCCTCTATCGTCTCAGGAAACTGTATAAATGATCGCAACACTGGCGAGTTCGAAGATGGGCGACATTTGTATGCTCCAAATGCTCTTGTTGGAAGCCTCAGTCCCTTTCGATTCAGTACCGTTTATCTTGTCGTACCCTTCGCCTTCTATATCTTGACCGCCATTTGTGCCTTCTTCTTGATGGTCTGTGTGATATTTGGAGGCAAGCGACTTGGTCGTGGAGGGGCGATTGCATGTACAGTCATCTCCGGTGTGAGTACTTGCATACAACAAGATATTGCTACAGAAGCTGACTGAATTCTAGCTCGCCATGATCTTTGTTATCATCGCCTCAGCGGCGATCACAGGACAAATGTATCACTTGAAAGATCAGATTGAAAACGACACAAGAAGGATAACGGCTCTTTCGAGCCAGACAATAGGAAGTCAGATTGGTGACACAACTGATTGGACCACGACAATCAATCATGTTTCGGTCGGCAGTGTTGTGCTTGGCCTTACTTGGGCTTCAGCTGTGGCTATGATGATTGAGTTCTTCATGTGGGTTTGGGCTGCGATAGCCGTAAGGAAAGAAAGTCCCAATATCGCTATGAAGGACGAGCATCGTGTGCAGGGTTGACGTAAATATGACGATTGGCAGGAAAGAGACAAGCATGTAAGAAGAATGTGATATTTAGATGATATGACTTGATATGGACTTGAATGTAATGCTTATGATGTGTATGAAATATCGAAATGTGTAAGAATTGCTTGGCGATGTCCACAAATTATGATCCGTGAATAATCAAAAGCCACGAAACAAGTGAAAACGTAGATACGACGAAGGGAACAATTAGCTTAAAGTCAGACGGGAGGACACAGATCGAAAAGTTGCGCGCCTGTATCTCCTTCCAGCTGAAGATATTTCGTATCAGAGTTGTGCTGTACAAATATCTCGCAAGGTACTGTACTAGCAAACAAAACTTGCATAGTTCTTGCTTGATAATAAAGCTTACATATAGAACTTGCAAGCGACGACATTAGGTAATAGCCCCAAAATCATCTCTGCACTCCGACCGACTTCCTGAGACCATCTCGAGCATTCGTCCTTGGCGCATTTGCCTCTTCCTCAGGAGTCTTTCGATCGCAACACCACTCGTAAGGATACCCACGATTATTCTCCTCAACCCTTCTCGGCAAGTATGGAATATTCTTGAGCTTCACAACCCTGATTTCCGGGATGCCTTGCTCAATATCAGTCTTCTGTAAATGACAAAGTTCGTATCCACCAATGAAGCGAATCGCATCTTTGTCTCCAAGGATTCTCTTCCTCCTCTCCCTCCATTCAGCAAATGTCTCTCGATGAGGGTCATCATCGTACTGCTTGAGAAAGTCGGAGGATTCCGTCGAGCAGGTGTCTGGACCCAGAGATCTTTGCGGCTTTTCGAAGAAAGGATCTGGAACGTGACTATACCCGGCAAACACGTGGTCAATATCAGGATCAGCAGCCAGAGACACTCTTTTCAAACTCTTCAATCTCCTCAGTCTGTTCCTCGTGTCCCTCCCATCTTGAACAGCGACACCGATCGGCGCAGAAGGTCGACGCCAGTACGAAGTCGGTAGAATAATATGCTTCACGGCTTCCAAATCTTTCGCCACGTCTGCACACAATATCTTATGAACTGGTAGACTTCGTCGTCTTCCGCGTTGCGTATATTGATCCCATTCCCAGGCAATGAATGGATCATTGAGATGGAGAATATCGCCACCAGGCAGATCAGCGTAGACATTGGTTGTACCGAAACAGAGCTTGTATCTCTTCAGTGCGGCGGCTCTTGATTCTCGACACGTGCTTAATGCAGCTGGATTTGGAGGCTGATGATCTTTCGGGAGGTAGAGTCGATGTTCACAAATCACTCCCCCATTCGGGTATCTTATGACTCTTGGAGCAGGCAGGGAGAATTCCCACTACAGAAGATTAGCACAGGCTCTCTGGAGTTGGAAATGATTTCACGTTCGGTGGGAACGTCATACAGCAAAACGGACATTTAGCCAGGATGAGTTCTTACGATAAGTCTCTGTATCTCCAGGGGAAATTTATTGAAATAAGGGAACGGCGCAACGTTAGCTATAGGTTCGGCTTGAAACTCTTTCAATTTTAGCTCGTAATGGGTTTTCCTGTCTTCATAATTCAAGGGAAGTCCGTCTGTATGTTTGAGTCGTGCGGTTAGAGTGGCTTTGACGCCCTTGTGAGGCAGGTCTCGATGCTTTAATTCGGCTCTAAGCTCTGGGACTTTCATTGCCTGCCATGATGCCATCTTCCACAATCGACATAGGATTTTATTCTGGTATCCGCCTCGCTCTCGATCCTTTGCAGTGCGGAAGTGCGGGGCGGGGTTGAGAAAACATTGCAGTGAGATACAAGGCAGCAGCCCACGTGACAACGCATTTTCAGCCACAGCTCCCTTCAGCAGTATCGATCGTGGCCTAGGTGGCTTAAGGATATTGTAGTTTTTGTATTCTGTTCTATCTACAACTTTTGCAATGCCATGCAATGCTAAACAATCCAACACGAGGAAGGCACGAAGAAAAATGATCTGTCGTCCAAATGCTATGCAATACAAACTCCCCCGCCCCACCCCATCAATCATCACGCATTACCTGCCCAACGTCATCAACCCCATAAGCCGAGATACCACCTAAGGAATGTCAAATAGCGGCTTCAGCTTCTTGATGAGTAACCATTCATCATTGCTGACGTCTGACCTATAGAACTCCTTAAGGGTATCAATACTCTTCCGAGAAATGAGCGAGTAAAGCGAATCTTTGTCCTCGAGATGTCGTCCGTAAGTGGGTTGATGGCCGCCCATCTCAATCTTGACTGCCACGGATGGTTGGCCCTTCTTACAGATCTGGACTTGCTTGTGATCACGCTCAATGCTGGTACTGTAAGATGTTAGTGGTTGATGTTGAAATCTTCAAAGAGAAGAAACTTACACTCTGCCTAAGCTGATAATCTCTTTGACACCAGTCACTGCATTCTGCTTGACTGCTGCAATCGGAGTGTGCATACGCAAATTACCTTCGACGACATCGACACCGATGACGATAGGACCAGTCTTGTTGAACACAGCGACAGTATTGAGAACACAGGGGAACACGGCGTCGAGCTTGGACTCTTCCTTCTTCTTCTCTGCGATAAGCGCCATGTGCTTGGTGAAGGCATCAAAGAGATGGTAAATGATGTCAGCAGTGAAGATCTTGATACCTTGCTCATCAGCGTAAAGTTGTGCCTCTTTGTCAATCTTGACATCGAAACAGAGCATGACAGCGTACTCCTTGTTCTTCTCAAGCATAGTACCGCAGTTCATCACGTCTCGCTTGTAGACTGGACCAATGCCAACGTTTGCTACCGGAATCTTGGAGACCTTCAAGAAATCGAGCAAGGCCTCGAGAGATCCAAGGGTTGAGGCTTGTACAGTGACACCTCTTCCAGATTTCTCAACACGTTTGAAAAGTGCACCAAGATCAGAAAGGACCTCTTCTTCGATATCTGACTCGTCGTCATCGGGGCCGACGACCATCAGTCTGGAACCAGCGATAGCGCCTTCAAGGTTAGGAGCACTAATCTTGACACCTAGTGCTGCCTTGACCTCCTTGTTGTGGACATATGCCGACTTCAGTCGAAGTTCCTTCAATGGCGCAGGAGTGAGGAGAGCTCTGATGTTTGTCGTGATAGCACCTTCTACACCGCAAAGAACGATGCGATCTCCCTCTCGAAGGATACCATTGGAGAGAATAACATCAATGGTCATACCGAAACCTTCAATAGCCTTAACTTCGAGTACCGTTGCTTGAACTTCTGAGAGGTACATTAAGGATCCGACCATTCTCTCTTGGGTAAGTTGTAGAATCAGCTTGAGCATATCAGGGATACCTTCTCCGGTATGAGCGGATGTGGGTACAAGAGAGACGAATTTGGCCATGGACTTGTTCTCGTAGTAGAGCTCAGAGTTGAAACCTTGCTCTGCAAAGGCAACCTTAGTCTCTTCCAGTCGCTTTGCGAACTCATTCTGTACACCCTTGTTCTGAAGTGCCAAACTCTCCTGGAAACCATTGTTGTCTACCTTCTTCCAGCCATAGAGACGATCAATCTTGTTTAATGCGACAATGAAAGGTGTCTTTCGGTCTCGCAGTAGCTTCATCGATTCTAGAGTCTGTGGTTCCAGTCCGTGCATGATATCGACCACCAAGATGGCAATATTACACAGAGACGAACCACGAGAGCGGAGATTGGAGAAGGACTCGTGACCAGGAGTGTCAATGACCAACAGACCGGGAACTTTGTAGTCGAAACTGCCATCTCGGTTGACGACTTGGGTCTTCTGCTTGATTGCTTCAACAGGGAAATAGGTAGCACCAATTTGCTGTGTGATACCTCCAGCTTCGCCTTCTTGCACATTGGTTTGTCGAATCTTGTCCAACAGTTTTGTCTTTCCGGTATCGACGTGGCCAAGAATACAGCAGATAGGTGACCGTAAATTATCCTTGGATCGTGCTGCCATTGCGGCTTGATGTGCCTTCTCACGTCTGTCTGCAGCTTCCTTCTTGCGTTGAGCTTCAGCGGCTTGTCGTGCCGTCGTCTCCTCATCGTCAGAGGACTCTTCTTCTTCGGACTCTTCTTCGGACTCTTCTTCTTGTTTACTACGCACTGGAATAGCTTGGCCATTCGCAGGAGCTGCAGCTTTCTTGGCGGCGGCTTTCTCTCGTTCCTCTTCAGAGTCAGCGTCCCAGCTCTCCTTCACATCATCTTCGCTTTCGGCAGCCGCAGCCTCCCAATCATCTTCTGGCTCACTTTCCTCAGCTGCCTTAGCAGCCGCTGCTTCAGCAGCCTCCTTCTCTGCCTTTACAGCAGCTTCGGCTAATTTACGTTCGGCTTCTTGCTTTGCTCGCTCGGCTGCCTCAGCTAGTGCTTTCTCCTCATCGGCCTAGAAACCATTAGATTTCGCTTAGACTGCAGGGCTCGCTGAATCATACCTTGATCTCATCTGGGTTCTTCCTACCTCCTTTCTTCTTCTTATTGTCATACGTGGGCTTCTTCTTTGGTTCTCCATCTAGACCACCAACTTTCACACCTGAAGCAAGCATCTGCTTTAACTTCATTTCATTTCTAAGCTTCTCCTCTCTCTGAGCCTTTGTGAGATATGTGCCATCTTTCTTTTGTTGCTCAACCTTCTCCTTCTCCTTTTGCTTCTTGAGTGCTTTTGCCTCTTCTTTTCGCTTCTCCTCCTCTGCTTCTTGTCTCTCTATCTCCTCAAGTCTAGCCTTCTCCTCAGCAATAAGTCGAGCTTTCTCCTCTTCGCGCCGCTTGAGTTCCTCTTGTTGTGCTTGAAGCTTGGCAAGAGCTGGTGGTAACTTCTTCCCCTTGCCACCGGCAACTGGCTTTACAGCTGTTGGTTCTTCGGCTTTTACCTCAGCAGCCTTCACTGGTTCTGGGGTCGCTTTGGCAGCTGGTCCTGTTGTCTTCTTCTTGGCAGCCTGTACACGAACAAGTCAGAGACCCTAATAGACCCAAATAAAGTCTTTGAACTCACATTTTCCTTCTTCCGTTGCTTCTCACGCTCCTTCTTTAGCTTCTCCTTTTGTGCCTTCGTAAACACCTTGCCATCCGCGCCACGCTCTTCGTCTCCACCCTCAGCATCTTCCTCTTCTGCCTTTGGAGCAGGCTTAGTCGCACCCTTCCCTTTGCCCTTCTTGTCTGGTAGCGCGAACTCATCATCTATTGATGCCTCCACTGGTGCCTTCTCGGACAGATCGGGTGTCTCCTCCGCAGGTGTTGGATCCTCCCCTTCGACAAAGTCCTCGTCTTGCTTTCCCTTTTTCTTCTTCTTATCGCGCTTCCGCATCATAGCCATAAGGCCTCCAGCTGGGAACTCCTCCTCCGCATCTGCCTCGGCGGGGGTATCGTTGCTTTCTTGCGTGGGGACAGCAGCTGCTGCAGGCGTCTCTCCTAGATCGGCTTCCCAGTCGTCATTCGCCTTCTTATTGTTCTTCTTCTTGGGAGGCATTTTGAATTTTTGAAAGGTGCGAAAACGAGCGGCTTGGAGAAGAGATCGTGAGTAATAAGAACGCGATGAGTTTTGTACAAATCTGCCTGCAGTGGTGTGGCAAGGTGTTCGGTTCAGTAGCGCTCAACGCAGGTCTGACTCATTAGAATAAGCCCAATAGAATAATATCAGACTCCAGTTCTGTCGGATGAGTGGCAGATTGTTTGTGTGACAATTATTGGAATTTGCCTCCACGGACGAAAGTTTTGTGGAATTGCTCCAAGATTCAAGATGCGATGCCCCGCAGTAGGCGATCCCGAAGCGAGCCTGGTCCGTGCACCGAGGACCCCTCGCCCTCACTCCTTCCTTCCTTAACGACTAAAGACGAAAGAGTTCATGTAATTTACAGTTAGTCAGTGTTCATTACTACGATCCAATACTTAGTCGTTAATGAAGAAGTTCTGCACAAGGTTAGGCATAGATTTACAGATTCACTGGATTATACAATTTTTTGTGTCAAAGACAGTTATGAAAAGGCTTTCATTATCTATTCTACGTGACAGAGATGTGCTTCCTTTCACAACCATGGAGTCCCATTCGACTCAGGTGGCTAGTACTACGTATAAGGGAAGTGGCTTGTACTACATTCGTCAAACCTACACTAAAAACTACATGACAGGGCGCAGAAAGTAGTTCAGATCTGCATAAGCCTGTTCGAGATACTCCTCTGGATGTGCATTCTCCACAAAGTTGACACCATGATGCCCCCGAAGAACATTGCAGAACCTGTCAAAGAGCATAGTAGCTTCTGGTGTATCCTGACCTATGAGAAGAAGCTCCTCAAGGTGGCGACCTACTAAACAACGCTTCAGAATATCACCGTCGATATGCATTCTAAGCTTAGGTTGAAAAACAGAACCTAGCGGAAGCGGAGTATCCTTGTGGGTGAACTCGCAAACGACAGGTGATCTGATGGCTAGGTCCGTTAGGAATCTTAGATAGTTCCAGGTCTGCAGTTGGAGGACAGTGAAATGGCTTAGCGATCCCATGATGGACAAACCGAGTGTTTCTGGCTGATTCATTTGTGATGAAGGATATCCGTTGCTTCTGGAGTCGTTTACTGTCTCGTTCTCAGCAGACACAACCCAGCTGTCATCCCAGATTGGCCGGCACTTTGCAGAGCGGAAACGCACGATCGAATGTGCAAGCTCAGCTTCGAATACCGTATCGAGAGTATCAGCTTTAGTGTTGGTAATGGGCCATAAGCCAACCAAAGAGCATGACTTGTCAGAAACCAAGTGCAATGGCGTTTGTTGATATGTCTGGAGTTCAGTATGATGCAATCCATCGCGAGTGAGTTGATCACCATGTGTACGGACTATCATTGACCCTTCATCCTCATTGAGATCCAAGGTGAGCATCTCCAAGGAATGACTCTCGGTTAAAGCGTATATAGTTCCATCAGAGTATTCCATGTTGATCGCTGGAGATGGAAGATCATATTCTGTGGTTCTTACAAATCTCTTCTCCGTCTGGTCAAGCACTTCGCAGTAAATCTTCGTCCCAGCACACCAGAGGAGACCCTCGGGGAATCCAGCCACCGAGTACACAGGGTCCGTACTCCTGAACCTGTGTCTTGCGTAGTACTTTATTCTGGGGCGTGATTTGCCTGTTGTATTGCCGTTTGTATCGTCGTCCGAAACTTGAGCAGTGATAATCAAAACCCGACCTTGATTAGTAGCTACAATGATGTAGTTCCAAGTCTTGTGGTCTTTGACGTAGGCCCACTCAAAGAGACGGAAAATTCTCTCGTTTAGGTGGCCTAAACCTGCGATGAATTCGACGGGAAGGTGGGTATCTCGAGCAACGGCCTGAGATAGATCTTCGCCGGTCTCGGGATCCATGAACTTAAGAGTGGATTTTCCATCAATCGTCATCCCCACAACGAGAGCGTTGAGAGAATGTGAGTACAGCAAGCGTGTAGGGGTACCTCCAATCAGGATATGTCGAGGTACAACCTTTGGCTGAATACTCAGGTCTGCCAAGAACAGTGTAGATCCGGATACTAACAGGAGACTTTCATTGAGTCTGGAAGTTGGAGATGTGCTTTGACGAAGTTGCGCGAAAGTGGTTATACTTGGCTGACGAAGGCTAGGGTCAGCAGCATCACTGAGCCAGATCTGGTGAATCGAGTGTGCCTGCTTGCACCAAGTTCTGGTTGAACTTCCTGTATGTCCAGTCAAGACTGGTTGTAAGTAGTGCAACTTGCCGTCGCAGCTGATGAAGAATGAGTTCTCTCGATTGGGGTGCTCATCAGCTGTTAAGATCACTGATGTAGCACCAATACGATCGATCCTCTTCTCAGCAATCTCGAAGGTCCTTGTAGAAATTGCAAGGGTAATCAGAAACCCATTTCGAGTTCCGCACAGTAGTAGGATAGTGTCTTCGTGCCTAGAAATCATTGCAAGGCTAGCCACTGCGTCAAGTCGTGTACGGAAGTCTGCGAAAGTATCTAGAAGGTCTATGTTGTGATTCTTTTCACCTTGTATGGACTGAAAAGTCAAGCGGAGAGAACTTTCAGACCATTCTGCTGCGATAGCGAATTGAGTCTGTGATATTTCACCAACTAAAAGACTTGTGATATTGGTGGACGTTGTGCATAATGTTCGCACTGTCGTGCTCTCGTCGAGGTCCATGTCAGCAGCAAATAATCCATGCTCCAGAACTTGTAGGTGAACGGAATTACCAACATAGGTTGTGAAAATGACTACCTTCTCATTGAGAGCAGCATTGTCTATGTTGGTTCCAACAATTCCTGGCAAATCACATACTTTGTAGTCGCGCCTATACCAATTTAGTAGAAACTTGGAAGATGAGGCTGTTTAGACCAAAAACTTACAGGAAATCACCGCCTATCACACGGATAGCCTTCTCAGTCACTTGCACAATCAAATTTTTGAGAGCAGTGACTACGATAGTCCGGCTGCGCAAATTGAACTTGGTACACGACTCGTCGAGCTCCCCTATGTCTGACGCATCACCAGAGAGAGTAAGGACTGCTGAAGCATCTCCCAATGAAAGGAGAAACAGAGATGCATCGTAATCTTCAACTTCTTCAAAATCCGAAGGCAGTGCCCATACCTTCAAGACGGGTGTGTCGTACTCGGTTTCTAGTCCGATTCTTGCCTCAAGTCCTTGCCTGATTTCGGTGATGGTCGCTTTTATTCCTTTGCCGGCACAGACAAATATCTGATCGGGGTTGGGAATTACTTCCTTGGCACGAAACTTATTTCCGTTGGTATAGGCCTTTGTAGTTTTAGAGACATAAGTCGTTACAATATCTTGTGCTGGTGTCCAATTTTGTATAGGTTCTGTCAGGATTGGCAACTTTCTCGCTTGAAGCTATTGTTAATGTGTTAGCAGCTGAACGTTTCCATGGTGGATAAGATAAATCAAATGTTGCTCCATATACTGACTAGATATGTGCCCCCAGAACAACCATCGCCTCCCATAACGAGAAGGTCGCCGGATTTATGGTCGGACGCTTCGAATTCAAGGCTTGCAAATGAAGTACCACAATTTGCAAAGAATTGGCCAATGTTGTTATGTTCGATATTTAATCCGTTGTTGAAGTGGAGAAGTTTGATCAAACCATCTTCGCGCGCGACGAAAATGTTGTCCGAATGCTCCAGAAATATTTTGTGGCGAAAAGGACGAGCCCAGGATGTCCATAATGGGCTGCCTACACCATTGTGAAAAGGGGTAGACTCATTATAGTCTGGGTGGAAGGAGTTAATCGTGAACTTTGGAGTGTTTGACACCATGCCTTCACAAACAGCCATGAAGTCCTCATAAACCAAGACAAATGACGACCTGATCACCAACGGAATTAACAGTAGCGGCATCTGGCGTTGGTCGTCAAGTAGATGGCCTTTGATACTCTTTGGTTTGATCCTCGTAATAGCATCCCCAGCGTCCCATTCGTACACAAGTATTCTCGTTTTATGCTTCCTGATCACTAAAGCCACCAATATGATACAATCTTGGCAATCATTTCCTGGTGGAGGGTACAAGAATTGCAATTGCAGTATGGAGTCTTCAGCCGGCATATGCATCTCTTGAGAGATATGCTGTAGTTTTTTGCCTTCCGAGAATTGCTGCTTGAGAGTGGCCCTGGTTTGTAGCTTATAGATAGCAAACGTTCCTTCGGAGCATCCCACAGCCATATAACGCGAAGAGGGATCCACAGCTATGTGTACGCCTGGCTGGCATCTGAGCATTGCCTTCGATACCCTGTATGTACTTGCAACGAATCGAGGTTGTCCTGAACCATTCGTCTGCAACATCAAGAAGATGGTATCTCCGGTTTCGAGTTGCAGTACCAGGAATTGGGGTGGTAGTCTGCTTGAGGTTGCGGAAGATTCTGACTTGTAGGATGAAGCTGGCTGGCCTGTATCTGACGCATCGCCCTCAGATTTGACTTGAGTTGTATCAACCATGGCATCTGGATCTTGCTCGTATGCGGTCACGGAACCGATCACTGCAGCATTTCGGATGCGAGCACCAAAATCTTCTTTGCGGATGACGTCCCAGAGGAGTCCATCGGATCTAAGTTCCTTGATCTGGACGAAGTCATCCTGTAGGAATTAGTATCCACCTAGGTGAGAGGGGTTTTTTTATATCTCAGAGGCCGACAAGTATTGACGATCTGGTGGTGAGGGTCAAATGGTAAAAGGAAACAGGACAGACAGAAAAGTAAAACAAGCAACTGAAGCATGAATAAAATAGCCTGTAGCTCCACCAAACAAAAAAAGACTGTTCTTACCCCAATGAAAGCAACATCATGAATTCTGTTGTCCCTCAACCTAACGGGGAGTATCCAGTGGACCAGTGGGCTCCGAACAACGGTTTGGGTCAACAGTCCTAGTTTTGGAGTCGTTTCAATAGCCATCTGGTTTGCAGCGTTGTCCTTGTCTTGCTGGTCGAAATGCCGTAGGGCAGTGTTAACGTCAAAGGTTCGAGTTGTCCACGCTCCGTTGACAAGAGTGCTGCTTTCGAAAGCCATGGTGGCAGATCGGGTCAGTGTATTCCCATCTAGTCAACTAGATTTCCGGAGGGTAGGTAGCACAAGATCTGTGAAAAACAGCAGAGAGACAATTCCGGCTCAGGAGATGGTTTCTTCCGCGTCCTAGATGTCGGGTGGCTCTTGTCTGGGGAGAGAAGAAAATTGGAGAGCAAAGAAGAAGCCGAACAGACGTTTGCTATGGCGAGACGCGTGCCAAAATCAGCCTCGTCGGGTAGTGGTCGATAAAATCTTAGCCTCGTTGTCCGAGGCTGTCGTGTGCCCAAAGCTAGAGACAAAACTGCGCTGAATGTTGAGCGTATTTCTTCCGATCACCTCGATCATCAGAGACTTCCAAGAAGCCAAAGCGACTCATGGGGAGATCATGACTATCTGTCAGCACTGGTGACTGCGGCGTTTTGAAATGGTAAATTGACCTGTCGATTTCCTTCAACACATGGGACATTTAGGGAGCAGGCTGCAGGAGAAGCACGCTAAACTTAATCGAAGGTGCCAGCTAACAAGCAACTGCCCTTCGACAACCCATAAATATCAGACCTGGCAATCTCCCTTTCGCACTGCGATGAAGAGCATTTTCATGGACCGCTGTCCTTGAAATGGAGCCCGATGGAAGACATTCCGACGAAAAAAACGAAAAGGAAAAGTTGGAAGCAAGCTCACGGACCTCGTCACCATCTCTGGAGCATGAGAGTCGCAATGCGAAAGCTGCGAAGATCCTAGAAGCGTGCAAAGAAAGAGATATAGAAACACTGAGGAGGCTGGCCATTTCTGAAGGCGGCTTGGTCTCGGACGAGGTTCGACGTCAGGCATGTTCGTACTACCATGGGAAGCTCCTTTGACCGATGACTGACCGTTACAGGGCCGCTTCTCCTTGGTTATGCAAGCCACGATGCCGATGTGAAGGAAGAAATCGAGGATGCCGACAGCTGGAAAAAGTTGCCGCAGCATCGCGATGAGGACCAGGTGCGGTTGGATGTTGACAGGTCCTTTATATACTATCCAAGCGGTACGTCAAGGCGACTATATGGTCACATCTCACCTGGAGCTGATAGATTCGCACAGACCAATCTCCCAAAGATCTCGATCGTCGAAAAGCAGAGCTCTCCGACCTTATAACAGAGGTACTACGCCGGCAACCATATCTATCATACTTTCAAGGCTATCATGATATCTGCCAGGTGTTTCTCTTGGTTCTAGAGCCACGTAGCCGTGCACCTGCTGTAGCACGACTATCAGCCTTGCGTATAAGAGATTTTATGCTACCTACGTTCGCGCAAGCTTTGGCTCAACTACACCTGATACCGTCGATTATACACGCGGTTCATCCAAAGTTATGGGCACATCTATCAGCAACACAGCCCTTTTTCGCATTATCAGGGACATTAACAATGTACGCACATGATATCCAAGAGTATGGAGATATAGCACGACTATTTGATGTTCTGCTAGCACGTGAGGCTGTCTTCTCTGCATACATGTTTGCGCAGATTGTCCTTCAGCGCTCAGATGAGCTATTCGAAACCCCTGCAGATGAGCCGGAAATGCTCCATTCGATCCTATCTAAGCTGCCGAAGCCTTTGGATATCGAGACTTTGATCACGAATACAATGAAACTATTCGAAAAGCAGCCACCTGAATCATTAAGAACGTGGCGCTCTATATCACGATCCAGTGTGCTGAAGACTGCTCGGTGGCATGATCAGACGATGAAACAATCATTGAATGATGGGGAAACGTTCTTCAAGAAGCAAGTAAAGGAAATAGAATGGGCGGATCGGCGCGAAAGAGGTATGAAGTTGGCCTGGAAATATAGAAAGCCTGCCCGAGCGATCGGAATTGCTGTATTTGTAGGAGTCCTATCATTTTGGCTGCGAAAGTCGGGGCCGTCTGGAGTACTTTTGGGGGCGTTTTGGAGACAGTGGGTGGGCTACCAAGGACATTGAATACACTAACTCAGCTCATGTGTATATAGTATTTAGCAGATAAATTCATTCTATCAACGTACTTATACAACCTATTCCGTGGACCGTCATGCCGAATCTCCAAACGCCTTTTTTAGTACCTCGAAATGCTCTTGCTGCTCTATTGCTAGCTTGCCTTCAAGGTCCCCAATAATTGTGAGGATCAACGAATAATTGTTGTAAAGAAACCTCTCTCTTTTCCTCGCATCTCCGATGCTTTTCCCCATCTTTGTAAGGAATGCCTCGATCTCGCTGCGAAGTCTCGTTAAACTTGACGACACAGGTTCATCATCTCCTGCTTCTGTGCTGAGAGCTAGGATACCTTGCATGAATTGTCCGAAACGTTGGGTCATGAAATGTGGTGCGGCTGACTGCTTTGCCTGTTCTGAGGCGGATTGCTTTCGAATGGAGACCCCGTTCGTTACGGCCCGGACCGAGTCGCAATGCTGATCCATGACAACTTGGAACCGAGGCCACAGTAACATCCCAGTACCATTGATATAACCATCCACGGCAGGTATTTTTCGGCGCTGAAGCTCAAATGCAAAATGTTGGTTCAATCTTACGCACAAAAGCACACCCAGGCAATCGTAGGTTTCTTGTATCAAGGATTTGGTGAGGTTTTGACCAAGCGAAAAGGTTGGTTCAAATATATAGTTGAAATGCCGCGATATTGCCGAATAGGATAACGATGGAGAGAAGAATGTTGTGAGGAATGAGTACTCTGCTGAAGCATTGTCAACTAGAGCAAGATTGAAATTTCGGAACGGAAATTCCAAGTAATGCGTAGCCTTCTCTTCCTCTGCAAGAAAAGAAGCCAGAGCTGTCTGATTTGAAGTTTTCAGAAGATCAATCCTTCGGCCCAGATTGACAGCATCATGAGGTGGGCCAGTGGTCTTCGCGCCAGACATAATTGTACCTTTTCGAGAACCATCATCTTGCCCAAGCACATCATGCTTATCGATAACGTGGATTTTGATCTTCTCAAGAGCTTTCTCGTACCGTGTGAATTGAGCTAAAAAGTACCACCGCATGGTGTTCATGTAAGCCTGAGCTATCTGTTCGGCAAGTTGGGGGTGGTGCTTGTGGAGAAATCCATACAGGTCCTTGTACCGTACGAAATGCTGCTGTTGTATGATCTGAGCATTGATATTGGGCGAACGCAGTGCTTTGATCTGGGCGACCATGAAGTCACGAATCCTTTCTAGAGCCTGAAGACCTGTCAGTAATTGCCTGTGAGGAGAGCGACAAATCCTAACCTTGGTGATTAGATTCGTCAACAAGGGTCGTAAGTCGTTCACGCCTTTGATGTTCCTTTGCTCTCTTGATTTGGCATCCATAGCTTTTGATCGCTTTTCAACTTCCGCCAAAGCCCGCACCCATACCTCATCGATTGTACCCTCCACTATCTTCCTGACCACAGCCGGAGAGATGCTGATCTCCTCCACAATAGGGCCTAGACCATTCTCGACGATTTTCCGATTTTCTAACCGTATGCTCAGCGCTGTGGACCGGGCCTGAAGTGTCTCGATCTCTGCGGAAACTGCTGCCAGATCATTTTGAAAACTTGTTAGATTAGATTCAACTGAGTTTAAACCATCATCGCACGCGCGAATTGATCGGTGTAGCTCTTCGAATTGGGCTATGTCCTTTTCAACTAAAAGAGTTAGTTTTTGTATAAGCAAGTAGAGAATTGAACATACATTCTTCAGTCGTCTGAGGGGTATAAACGGTTTCTTCCTCTGTAACAAAAGTTTTAGAGGCTACTTCACGAAGGCTTAGTCCTTCAAAATCTAATTCCTCTTCGTCATATTCCTCTGCTGTTCCTGTTCCATTGACCGTACTTTTCGGGTTTGTCAGTCCTGGGGCAGTATTTCCCTCAGGACCTAGCAATTTCTCTAAAACTTCCAGGGGATCAGGAACCTCCGGAGCTGTCACTGATTGCTTGAGTCCAGATCCATTGGGTTTCCTCGAAGAAGATAACAAGGATGTGGTTGAATCGTTGGAGTTTATGGATAAGGAGGACGATCGCGGAGTAAACCCAGGTCTTTGCGCCGCAGAGCTTGGTGCTAGATGACTAGGTCGCCGAGGAGCTGGAGAGTATGCCCTGTTCGCTGGTGGAGGAGAGCCAGAGGGAGTTGCTGCAGGCGTCGAATGCCCTGACAATCGGTCGAGCCACATATCCTCCTCTGCCTCGTGGCATCGAGACAACGCTCAACTCCTGTACTACTACAGTCTACCGTTGTTCTAGAATCATGACCGTGAGTAGCGTGTGAGGACCATCAGATCGAGTGAATGAATATGAAATCTCTTGCTTTGCAATGACTTCTCCAACAGTTGCATGAGGCTGTAATTCATATCTAGCTTTGTAGACCGCCTTGGCATTATGGGCAGAAAACTCTAAGAGTTGGTTGGCGGCAGAATTAGTCGCTAGTAGCACCCACCAAATGCTCCTTCTGATCGAATTTCTTTCGAACTTAAACCATCACCATAAATTTCCATTCTCTCTTTGGTCCTTACCAACTCCAAACCCACCATCCGCGCAGACATCTCCTCCTTCGCATCCTTACCTTGCAACCAAATCCGAAATCCAACCCCACACGAACCCCGCCACTTGAACAACATACATTGACAATATCAGCAAAATGGCGGACGACTCTCAGGTAAGTTGTTAAATCATGCTACCCAAGTCAAGAGTGCATACGAATGATCGCTGACTTCACCTTCGATATAGCACGATGTCCAGTTCGACAGCGTCGACGCCGGCGCGTCTGCCACGTTCCCCATGCAGTGCTCTGCCTTGAGGAAGAACGGCTTCGTTGTGATCAAGAACCGTCCTTGCAAGATCGTTGATATGTCTACCTCCAAGACTGGCAAGCACGGTCACGCCAAGGTCCATCTTGTCGCTATCGACATCTTCACCGGCAAGAAGCTCGAAGAACTTTGCCCATCTACCCATAACATGGATGTCCCCAACGTCACCCGTAAGGAATATCAATTGGTAAGAGATCTTGTCACATGTAGATGGGTATACGCTGACGGAATCTTTACAGCTCGATGTCTCTGACGATGGTTTCCTCTCCTTGATGGCTGATGATGGCGAGACCAAGGATGATGTCAAGGTTCCTGACGGAGAAGTTGGAGAGAAGATCGACAAGCTTTTCACCACTGAGGAGAAGGATACCAGTGAGTTTTGCCACTCTACAAAGTATTTTGATATGGTTCACTGACAAGGATCAGATGTTATCGTTCTTACGGCTATGGGTGAGCAAGCTGCCATTGAAGCCAAGGAAGCTCCTCGCGGTTAGATTCCTCCAAGCAAATTTGCAACATCGACCTTGTTGTCAGCAGTGGCATCTTCTTTGTTTGCAGGTTCACGAGCTCGGAGGATAGTCATTTATGAAGATTCTGGGAGCATGGAGAACTTGCATTCTAATGGTCGTTGTGAAGCGATGAGACTATCTGGACACCTAACGTTACTCTACTGGTTATATCTCTCCGGGCTTGCGAGAACCATCTTCTTTTTGTTTCGTCGATCCTACATCACAATTGAGCGGCGTCATCAAAAAGTGGATGCTTGGGATATGGTGATAGCATATCTCGTAGAAATCGATGGCTTTCTAAATAAGACAAACTGAACTGCCAATGAATTGCTGTGATTTGAAATTCTGACATGAACCGCACGTGAGTTTATATTGTATCTCCAACCTACAACTTGTGATAGAAAAATTCAATGAAACTGTTGCTCCTTGTCTAAGTATTCACAATATGGGTTGCTAGACTAGATGCGCCCGTGTCAAAGTTTTCTCTTTCAAGGCGCTGCCATGATGTAAACGAAAAATATCGGTACCAGATTTCCTCATTAAACATGAAATATGACTTCCCTCCGAACTTCCTCCCATGTAACAATAGATTCCCCTGATGTCTCATAACATAGAATATCAACGTTTCCGGCGCGGCGAAAGCTGTACAGAAGAAGGTTGTCGAGCTCGCAAGTTCTACATCGAAGACGGAAAGAAATTCTGCCAGCGGGGTCATGAGCAAGCAGTTTGCGTTCACGTGCTTCATCCTTTTGGACGTATACTAAGCCTGTATAGGGATTTACTCAAACTCAGCAAGATGAAGATGATTGGAATGCCCAAGGAAAGAAATCTCGAAAGAAGCGTGAGGAGAAAGAGAGGGTTGAGACGGTGCTCAGTGGGAGCGAGGCCAGGAAACTTTATTTGCAAAGCTACCAATTGATTCTGTGGAAACAATGCCATTGGCTGGTGAATGTCAAGGGGTTTCCAAAAGAGTTGGAGACTGTGGTAAGAGACTTGTGGGGGCTGAGAGTGTCTCTTGTGCATAAGAATGACGATAGGAGTGGGTACGGTTCTGGAACTGGGACAACACCAATGTTCAGTTCTATGAGTGAGGGTGAAAGCACCGATACTGATGTGACAAGAGTGAAGAGTTTTGCATCAAGTAAGAGTCGGCGGAGTGGGGTTAATGAGGAGAGGCTACCTAGGTTGATAGAGACGCTGGGATTGTGTTATGTTGCTATGCTTCTGATGAGATTGCCTACAAGCCTTGGTGAGGTCTACAAGTGGGTAACACATGAAGAGATCATATACTCTCGAGCTGTAAGTCATGTCTCGAGAAACCCTCAGATCCAAATAAGCTGACTTAATGCAGATCGCAGAAATACCCAAGGACATGCGAGTCAAACTGCCCGGGCACTTTCATGCAGCTCTGGAGATGAAGTCTGTCCTAAGAGTCTCAACGCTCTACGGCATAGTTCTGGACCTCATTCGGTTTTATGCTGTTCAGTTTGAGATGGTTTGCCCGCCTCTAAATGCTCCAGTGCTTCTTTTCAAACATATCAGGGATCTTGGACTTCCAGGTAAAAACTACCCAAGCTGTATCTTCAAGACTTACTAATGAGTACAGTGGAAATATATCCTGCTGTAAATCGTCTGGCTAAAATACTCGACGTTGACTATTCTTGGCCAATCACCCACCAAAAGTCGTACGGCGTCTCGGCTTATCCAGAGATACAAATGATGAGTCTCATCGTCATCGCTACGAAACTCAGCCATCCTTTCGATGACATAGATAGAACTCCTGAGAGTGACACCGATCCGACCATGGTAAGGATAGACTGGCCGACATGGGTCAGAACCATGCGGGAACCACCGTTAAGAGGCCTTAAAAGAGGAGAAGAAGTCAAAGCCACCGATGCCGATGTCTGGAATATGAACGCGAAGAAGATGGATGATTACCTTGAATGGTATCAGAGGACATGGATTGACGATCGAGATGCAAAAGGTATATTGCTCCTCTTTAGCGTTTGGCCGAGCTAACAATATGCAGTGCCTGAGCAGCTCCTGCAGCTATTTCCACTTGAGGACCTGCCACCGAGACCTGTAGTAGACTCAGATCATGTCAAAAGAGTCAGTCATCTGAAGGAAGTCCAAAGTAATCTCCTGGTTCAGAGATCAAGCCCCATGAATGACGGTGGTGAAAGTCAAATCAATCGTCCGGGCGAGCTTTACAAACGTTATCGAACTATTGAAGAGCTTCCTGAAACGGCGAAGGCATTCTTCGATCTGGCTGGTATGATTTCTTCCTTGAACTGGGTAACATTACTAAATATCTGGCAGCTTCGAATGTAGGAATATCGGTACGAATGTTAGTTAGAGGTGTTTTCCAGCACGAGATCAAGTTGGAGCATTGGATTGTTGCGGAGAGAAAATGGGAACTGGGCCACAATGCGTCTGGGATGATAGAGGAAGAGGAAGAGGCTTGATTACTGTATATTGAAGCTTCTTCCAATTTGGTTCGCTTGTATGGGAAGTTGGAGTTCTGACAAGGACGAGGATTGGCTGGTTCTGGAGTTTGACATGATACCCCATTATTTTTTTTGCAACATGACAATGAATTTTTTCAATGTCCACATAGACGCCCAACTGCTCTTATCCCTATTTCTATTTGTCCTAAACCAGCCCCTGGTATCAAGGAATCAAGGAAGCTCGAAGAAGGACGCGAGTCACGTGTAACCCACTAAAAGAATTTGGCTTACCGAAGCCCGCCGCACACAAAGATTTCGCGATCTTGAACCCGAAATCACGACAACACGACAACGACGTAGAATCGCAAACAGTAAGACTCAATCAGCCCCCTCTCCCAGTCTACTATCTGCTCCACCTGTGCTAACATTTTTGCTCCTCTAGTGCAGATGTAAGCCTCTCAAAAACGACCCCGCCACCAGTAGCGACGATATCGAGATCCAAGGAACAAAAGACTGACAAATTACTCTACAGCTTCGTCAAGACCCTTACGGGCAAGACCATCACTCTTGAGGTCGAGTCCTCCGATACTATCGACAATGTCAAGTCCAAGATCCAGGACAAGGAGGGAATTCCACCGGACCAACAGCGTTTGATCTTTGCCGGAAAGCAACTTGAAGATGGCCGTACCCTCTCCGATTATAACATCCAAAAGGTACGATAATGGGGTCTAAGAGATTGGGATCTGGCAAGGAGGTGGACTGCGATGTGCTGGCCAGAACTCGGTTGTGGTTGTGGTTATGGAACGGAAAGCTGACGGAATATTTTACAGGAATCGACCCTTCATTTGGTTCTCCGTCTGCGTGGTGGTATCATCGAGCCATCGCTCAAGGCTCTTGCCTCCAAGTTCAACTGCGACAAGATGATCTGCCGAAAGTGCTATGTACGCAATTAGAATCCCAAGATCACAATCCAGGAACTAACAAAATACAGGCCCGTCTCCCTCCCCGTGCCACCAACTGCAGAAAGAAGAAGTGCGGCCACACCAACCAACTCCGACCAAAGAAGAAGCTAAAGTAAACGGTTCGCTCATTTGGCGTTTGGGGTTGCCTGGAGAGAAAGGGTGGATGCTCAGTGGATGGTTTCTTTGCACGGCTGGCTGTACTTTTCACAATAGCATGAGCACGCAATGGGACAATGAACAAGGCAAAGATTTGGTCCACGATGTGATTGAAGTTTTCCATTTGTTCAAGTGCATCGTCATCAACAGAAATCTGCCACGACTTGCAACGCTAGGTCAATTGCAATAATGGTATTCTCGACATGTTTACTTCAGATGTGATTGTGCTTGCAGGGCTCAAGTTGTACGGGACATGATCCCGTAAAGTTCTCTGAGGATGATCGTCCCATCATCCTTGCACTCCTGGAAATCCTTCTCTGTTGCCATCACAGCCTTGGCCTCTGCATTGTCATCGTTTCTACAATCTTGCAGAGTTTGGGGCATGTCCATACGTGACCGTACTTCTTCGAAAGATTTTCGGAGCTTACGGATCCTTGCACATACCCTTCCATGAGTTTCACCCAGTCGACCCCCTTGTCAAGAGTATCGTCACCACGGTATCTCCTAAGCTCCATGAGCCCGATGACCGTCTTGATGGTCCTCTCCCAAACCTGTTCAGCCTCCTTGCAATCCCAAGTGCGGTCAGATAAATAAGATGCCAATACAGCACGAGCAGCTTTAAGATGTTCTTCTTCTATGGCTACCAGACGAGCCATTTCTTTCTTACAGACATGCTCCACATCTTCAGGTACAACCTCGAAATTTGCTTCGTCGCAAACCATATCTATCAGTGGGCGAGGCATGGCTTTGTCGGCTCTCCTGGCGTTTGGGAAGTAAAAGACGTATGGGTGGTCTTTTCATCGTCCTGGTTCTCCTCCTCCTCAAATGCTTCTTTAGCTCTGTCAGCCTCAGCAATTCTCAGAGCTTCCACTAGTCTAGTCGTAGTCGGTGGATCCTCCATCTCTACAGGCTTTTCACCAAGGCCATAATGCTTGCGAATGTCCACCCAAGTTTCCAGTGGTTTTCTGGCCTCTGGAGGAATCTGTCGTTGGTTGTTGACCTTGTATAAAGTGCTTCCAAAAACACCGAGGACTAAACATGTTGTTGCAGTCCTCAGGACTACCCGTCTGACCCATAGGCTCATCATTCATATACGCGAACAAGGTTTGGAATCGTGATTGAGGAGTCCACGTGTTGGTGTCGAAGTACGCAACCTGGACTAGAAAGTAAACGTGGGATTCTGAGGATAATACATATGGCAAAAAATATCAACGTCGAGGTTCTCGAACCTTCAGAGTCCAATTCTCAAGTATTCTGCAATGTTATGTACCATAATTCACTAGAATATATATAATTGAATAGCTTGAACCAAACTCAATCACCACGGATTCAACAAGCTCACCGATAGAGCAGTAATGGAACATGAAATAATACAGTATGGCTCAACTCTCCCACCATTTGAGTTTGTGAAACCTCGTTGCACTAACCAGAGAGTGCCCGAGAAGCTAATGTTCCACGAATTCCTGAACACTCCCGTGATGCAAGGAGTCAAATTGAGTTGAACGAAGCCTCAGATTCCGAATTGGAGCTTGAGCAAAGTCGGACCAAGGCATGAGAAGCCGGACTGCAGTAGAAGATCCATTATAGAATCCAAACCTTTGAGTTGACGTTGGACATTGAATTTCTTTTTGGGAGCTCTAACACCATGACAGGGGAAGAGCCGACGCTAGCGCATCAGCCATCAGATGCACGCGTGTCCGAATCCGAAGCTCCAGATCAACTTGATGCGCTGAACCACGACACAGGAGACTTAGGAGTTCAGCAGTCAGCAGTCAGCAGTCAAAATGTCTGGAGCTGGATATGATGTAGTCGTTGATGTGGATGAGGAGGTAAGCACTCAAACAAGGATTTTCACCCTGTTGTCCAGTTGGATATCACCCACTTGAAAGGAATACCACGATTTCCGCCTTCTATACCGCTGTATTCTAGCAGCTTCATTTTGGAGTCTTATACTGACAGAGATCCAGGGTGATCTTGGCCATACCGACTTGCAAGAAGATCTCGAATTCCACTCCTCGAACTTCAACACAGATGCACCTTCAAACGCTCGAAAGCTACCTGGAAGCTCACCAGGCTTACCACCTCCCGCGACAGCCAGCAGCGGCTCGTCCAAACGATTTCTATGGACACTCTCATTCTACGCGCAATTCTTCGATGTTGATACCAGCTCTGTGCTGTCGAGATGTTGGGCAGCTTTATACCCACGGGCGAACTTCCTCGATGTGCTAGAAGGCAACCCAGATCTTTACGGGCCGATCTGGATTGCTACAACGGTGGTCTTTATTCTATTTCTAGGTGGAACTATTAGCAAATATCTGGCGGAGACAGGCGCAGAGCATTTTGTCTATGATTTCAGACTTTTGAGTGGTATGTTGGCCTGGCTCAACCTATCTCTCGACATGCGGCTAATAATGGTATAGGTGCTGCTGGTTTGATCTATGGCTACACTCTTGTCATTCCCATCGCCCTTTTCCTCGCCCTCAAATACTTCGGGAGCGAATCTGCCAATCTTCTCGAGTGCTGGGCCTTATATGGATACTCGAATTTGATTTGGATCCCAGTTGCTCTTATCTCATGGTCTCCAGTCACGCTTCTCAACTGGATATTCGTTGGTGTTGGGTTTGGTGTGAGCGTGGCCTTCTTGCTGCGAAATCTATATCCCGTCTTGAGTGCGACAGACAAGCAGACTAGCAAAGCGTTGTTAATTCTGGTGGTCTGTCTTCATGCGGGGTTGGCTATTGCGATCAAGATTCTCTTTTTCGCTCATGGTAGCCCTGTAGCGAAGGAGCCCAAGTCAAGTACACCGGCTGAGACACCAGCGGAGAGCATGGTGAAGTTCTTGCTGTTCTAATGAGGAAACTTGGATGTACGAGTATGGGGAAGCTGTAGCATAAGCCTACATAGCATGATTTCAATGAAGGATATCCAAATTGCACATTGCACTTGATTGAATATTCGTCCTGACTACCATTGTGATGGCGATCCATGATATCTGCATTCATCTCCAACATTGACAGGTCGCCAAATGTCGTTCTTTCGCCTCAACATTCCCCTTCATCGAATCTCTCCACCCAATCTTGAACATCACCTAACCTTCTCACTCTCCCCACCATTCTTCTCCCAATCCAACCAGCTCCCCGAATACTCACTAACATTCTCCCACCCCGCCTGCCTCGCAAGTCCCGCCGCCGCCCTGCTCCTCACCCCCGACTTACAATAGAACACAACCTCCGTCTCCTTCCCCGGCCGCTCAAACCCAAATCGATCTTCGAACTCCTCTGGCGTGATGAAGAATGAATCTGGTTTGGACGTTACGGGGATGTTGACGGAGCCCGGAATCGTGCCTGTTGCTTGGAGTTCGCCTGGTTCGCGGGTATCGATTAGGATTTTGTCGGCGGAAGGGGATTTGGTGAGAGCGCGGATCTGGGGGTGTCAGCTAGGTTTGGTAATCAGGGGAGGGAGGAATACTTCTTCGAAAGTGTAGATTTTCGAGGGGCGTTCGGGTTGTGAGTAGAAGCGTAGTTGTTGATTTGTCTTTGTAATTGCAGGTTGTGCTCGGATTGCCGCCCTGGGCAGGTTTCTGAACTGCCGAGTAGATCTCGGCATTGAGGATCTGGAGGTCCGGAGGATCATTGATGTGGCCATGCGTGAGGTATGCATTGTGGCTGCGTGTGTTGTTGCTGTTGGTGGGGTCGAGAGGTCGACGTTTAGTTTACGAAGCTGCAGAGAGCTACCCCGGATTTTGTGACGATCCTTGTCCGGAATTTTATGTCAACCACTTTCTCTGCCAAGGATATTGTATCTACTGTTAGAAATCTCTTTCGAATCTACTCGTCGCAGCTTGAGACTTTTCCATGATATTTATCAAGAAATAAAGTTTCGCCGTGCATATTGGAAGCCTGCTAGATGTGCTGCCATAATCCCAACATACCTACTTTCGCAACTCGACTCGAGGACTCTGAAGAATCATATATTCCCGCACTAAATGGAAGCCCAGACTTTCAGTACCCAAAGGAACTTCGGGGCACTTCGGTCATTCGTATTGAAGAAGTTTTCAAAGACTTTCCATCGGTCCCGAAGGAGACCAGCATTACAGCAAGTGATACTGCTGAGATGGCCATGCTCGGTTGATTGAAGATCTACAAGCATCTCTGCATTATGCATCAATTTGCCTATTCTGACTTCCATTCAACAGCCCAGTCTCCTAATTCTTCACGTCCCCTTGCAATGCCGGTGATTCCTGATCGGAGTCTTCAGGTGCCCGAGGGGACACAAGATGCTACCACGGAACAACCATCATAGGACAACCTGCTGGCATCTCTTCTCCCTCATTGGCACATATTCGTGATATTCAGATCTCGTGTGTCTTCTGAAACTTTGTTGCACGTCGAATCTAATCCGTGTTTTCCGTGAATTCCGTCTTCCGGTGGCGGAGATGTTGAGTAAGTCTGAGTAAGGCAGCAGCATGAGTTCAGTGGCATTATGAGGATACTCTGACTTGATGCATCCATGTTGGGAGAAGCAATCTTTCAGGAAATTGATGGGATGATCTTGTTGCTGGTCCTGTTGAAGACATCATGTAATGTATGCTCCGTATTCAATGATTTTGGCATGAAAATGTCCATTCTGAACATGGACAATGTATTGAAGAACCCACGTATGCAGGTAGCATTCATTGGTGATCAGAACTTCCGCAAGAGTCTAGGACCTTGATAGCATCTAAGTTCAAGCCATCTTTTCGTACGTCTCTAAGGAAAAGGCTTGGTAACCGAGAATTTTGTCTTCGAGACGTCTCGAATAGCATAGCTCAGAGACGAAACTCTGCATCATTGCTCGCATTGTGAAGATAGCCCCCTTGAATTCCAATCTGCCTCGTAAAATCCTTAGATTGAGGTCTTCATGACAATATTCCAGGGTGAAGTAGTATGTATCAAAGATGTTTTCAGTCTGATAAGTTAACATTAGCTTATCAAGTTTTCTTTGGATTTGAATCTCGGAAATATATCCTTGTCCATAATATAAGATTTCGGTCTTTGTGACAACCTTTGTTCTCAGGAAGTAGAAGCCCTTATAGAACACTAGAAAGCTCACCTTGCTCTAGATCGATTGAGGTCGTAAAGAGCAATTCTTTTAAGTCTTTGCTAGTCCGATAATGATGTGATTATGTCATTCATTTTGGATGTTTGAAGCACCTTTATGCGGTATCCAGTATTGAGATGCCAACCTCTGGAGCCCATACCTTGCCGGTCTTCACAGAAGAATGACAGCAGCGTCGGCAGCATCTGAATTGAGGAGGAGGCCGACAGTCTGTTGAATCATGGCGAGTAGGACTAATGATAGCTCGTGATGAAATGAACTGTGCTCAGCACAATCTATATAGTGTTTAGAAAATGCAATCTTGAGCAGAAATATATTGTTCCATAAGTCAAAGCTTTCTTGAGCAGTTTGGCAATTAACATAAGGTGTTGCTTTGGAGTTTTCTCCATTGCATCTGCTGTTTCTCGATGCGCGGGGCCATCCATGTATAGTGCATTGCCCAATGAGAGATTGAAGCGGTGTACGTCGTTTAGACGGGAATTAATCCGCTCGGATCGTATTCGTGTTCATGATTTGAACTCAGTAAGCAACAGAAGAGCATACAGTAGGAGATACAAAGGCCATTTTGGGAAGATCTAAGGCTCAGACCAGGTGTGTGGAGAAGGTATGAGTCCGCTTGAACGTGGGTGTGAAGAAGCAATTAACACTGATCTCGGTGCCGTGAAATGTCGCTGTAACATGGGGCTCCGTTTCTCTGAGACGCTGCACCGTGGCTGGTTGGTTGTGCTTTGTCAGCAGTATCAATTGAGGCTCAACCAAGGTTTCAACCCCTCTTCTCCTATTCAACATCAGCTGTTTGAAGTAGAAAGTCGAATGTCGCCCCTTTGCAATTGTGGATCTTGATTGACTTTCATCTTGGCGCAACGATCCCGGATTGGCAGCAGCCGGACGACTAGCGGTGGAACTTTGATTGCAGTCACCGCGATTACAGCATCAAGCGAGCTCTCCCAATCTCAAAATTCTTTCCATTTGTTGACTTCTCCCTCGATTCACCTCCGAGACTTCTTCACTCCCCCGGACCGGCTTCCTTTTGTTTACGACACTGTCGTTCTCCTTTTATACTCGAGTCCTTGTCACTACCATCCGAATTGTTCGCGCAAAGAGCATCCGGATACTGCGACCGTACCTGAATTTCACTCTGCTGAAGCTCGCTGATAGGACCCTTAATCGAAGGCGCATCACCAATAATATTCTATGGCGCAGAACGTCAGCTTCGCGTCGCCCCTGGCAGATGCGAAGTATGCCCAGATCGTGGGGAATACACAGATAGATGGATTGTTGGGAAGACTTGGAGATCTCAGTTGGTGGTCAATTGCTATTACATTAACTCTTGTCGCCGTCGCATACGATCAATGTAAGTGTACTCTCGTCACAAGACCCACTTCTCCTTCAACGAAGATGATGTTTCCTACGAGGGGCGGACATAGGAGAGTGAGGGCAGGGCGAAGCTTGACATCTTGGAACGGGCTCTATCCAGGGTTGGCGTGAGAAGTTTGTATTTCTCCGTCCAACTGCAAGCTCCATATACTTTCTCTTGGATTGCATGCACTATTCTGCGGGAGGGTTTTGGTATGGCCTTTATTGTCGGTCACTGACTTGTCGACAGTTAGCTATGTATGGCAGAAGGGTTCAATCGCAGGCCCAGCATGGAAGATTCCATTCATAGGTCCCTTTCTCGAGTCAGTAAATCCTAAATTCTCAGAATACAAGGCGAAATGGGCGAGCGGCGACTTGAGCTGCGTATCGGTTTTCCACAAGTATGTACATGAACATCCAGTCAGAAGTGGGACGTGCTAATGATTATCAGATTCGTTGTTATTGCTTCTACCCGCGACATGGCACGAAAGGTCTTCAATTCTCCCGGATTCGTCAAACCCTGTGTTGTGGACTCTGCTCATAAATTGCTCGGAGCCGACAATTGGGTGTTCCTCGATGGAAAAGCTCATGTTGATTTCCGAAAAGGTTTAAATGGCCTGTTCACTCGACAGGCTCTCGAATCCTACCTCCCAGGCCAGGATGATGTTTATGACAAATATATGGAGAGATTCCTGAAGGTTACAAAGGATGCTGGAGGAAAGCCTGTTCCGTTCATGGCCGAATTCCGTGAGCTCATGTGTGCTGTCTCCTGCCGAACGTTCGTTGGGTACTATATCTCGGATGAGGCTATCAAGAAGATCGCCGATGACTACTACAAAATTACCGCGGCTCTTGAGCTTGTCAACTTCCCAATCATGATCCCATTCACCAAGACTTGGTATGGAAAGAAGGCTGCCGATATGGTTCTCGAAGAATTCACCAAGTGTGCTGCCAAGTCGAGGGTAAGAATGGCTGCTGGTGGTGATGTCACCTGTATCATGGACGGCTGGGTTAAGTCTCAACTTGAGTCTGCGGCTTATCGTGATCGTGAACAGAAGGGACTCTTAATGGAGGGCATCGAAAAGCCATCACCTCTACTCCGCGAGTTCACTGACTATGAGATCTCCCAGACAGTTTTCACCTTCTTATTCGCCTCCCAAGATGCTACAAGCAGTGCCGCAACTTGGCTGTTTCAGATCATGGCTCAGAGACCAGACGTTCTTGACAAGATCCGTGAGGAGAATCTCCGTCTTCGTGGGGGTGATCGAAGCGCTCGTGCTACCATGGATTTGATGGATCAGTGTGTTTACACTAAAGGTGCTGTTAGAGAGTTGTTGAGATATCGTCCTCCTGTATTGATGGTGCCATATCTTGCCAAGAAAGCTTTCCCAATCACCGACACTTACACAGTTCCCAAAGGTAATTCTCTCAATCACAAGACCATGTTTTTCTGTTGACTCTCTCAGGCGCCATGGTCGTTCCAACCGTATACCCAGCTCTTCGTGATCCAGAGGTTTATGAAAACCCAGATCACTATGATCCTGATCGATATGTTACTGGTGATGCGGAAGTGAAGGGTGCAAAGAACTTCCTAGTCTTCGGAACTGGTCCACATTACTGTCTCGGCCAAATTTATGCGCAAATGAACTTGGCCTTGATGATTGCAAAGGCATCGATGTACCTTGATTGGGTTCATCACCCAACACCGTTGTCGGAGGAGATCAAGGTGTTTGCAACGATTTTCCCAATGGTAAGCATGGACTGGTCTCGAACGTTAACCCCTCTCTGACAAAACATAGGATGATTGCCCATTGACATTCTCGAGACGAGCTTAAAGTTTTGTTGGCGTCAGTGTAGCGAGGGGGAGTGCATGTATTTGATGAGATGAGATGAGACCATTGTGGTATATTCCCAGGCATGAGCGTCGAGGTCGATGCGAGGCCGAAAAACTAATTCTTCCACATCATTTGCATATCATAGGGAGGGCTCTTGCGGCGTTAAGAGAGAGCGAACCTGACTTGATCTGACATTGATGCACCAAGCGCTGTCATGATAAAGTGGATTGAGCTCTTTGTTGAGTTTCATGTCCACGAGCAATATTTATCCTTGTAATAAAGTCTAATGATAGGGGCCTTGAGCCTCCTTCCTCTAATCAGAATCATTATCTCGCCTCCGAAGTCGCTAACGTCCCCCCTTTTCCCCGCTCTTACGGACGCGTAGGAGCAGCAGGCGGACACACAACTAACAATGCTGGAAAGTTCCGTTGGACAATGTACCTTGATGGTAATTCCGGCGCCGAACTTTTCATTGACCAGAATGTGTGACCTTGGTAGACACAAGTAAATCCAGGCCGGAAAATCGATCAATTTTCCGGCATTCGAACTCCGACGCACTCTCGTGGAACGGAGTTCATAGGGCTTAGTCTCAGCGAAGCTTTTTAAGCAATGGCGCTTCCTTCAACTCTAATGAATCCATCGTGCTGAACTCCTATTCGTCAATTAATGCCCTGTGTTAGGCTGCTTAGAAATGCGCCGATTTGGTGAGCCAATCGATGAGATGAAACTGTGCATTGTGGAGGCGGAGTAGCATTTGATAATCAGACTGATTGTTTGAAAGGTTATTGATTATGGAATGACATCACAACCATCATTTTCCTGTAGAGTCTAGACTCGATGTCCAGAATGTTGAGTATATTTGAAAGTTTTGAAAGGTTATTGAGTGTGGCATCTGAACCTTTTCCTGTTAAGTCTAGACTCGATGTCCAAAAATGCTGAGTACAATGGAAGCTTGACATTGGTTAGGTAAGCAACACTCCGTTGCTGGAAATGAAGCTAAACTTACTTCACTCGCCGGTGCTCGCTCTTGGCGGTCCTCGGAGTTGGGATCAGCGGGGTCGAAAAAGGACGCCTTTGGCTTGCGTGATGTGCAATGCAGGAACAGACATCACACCTAACGAGCCGCGTTGCAAGACCTGAGAACTACGGTGTAGGGTAGGCATCGACTTTAAGTGATGAAGCTGCTTTCGTAGACCTGCCGGGATGTTGGTTAAGGTTACTGGGTACTGGATTAGGTTTTGTGGAGCAAACAACAAAGTTTGGGACGATGAGTTGGGATGAGGTGAGATTAGTCGTTGGTCGGGGTAGATCAATTGGTGGTGTTGATGTTAGGAGGAGGAAGACTTGAGCAACATCTGAACTCCGCTCACTCGGTGCTGTCGTCGTACCTATCGTTTGAAGGCAACAATTTCAAACAACCAAATCATGATGAGAAAATGTACATGTTCTCAGCGAGTGGAGAATAACAACGCACTTCGTGCCGTGTCATCGTCGTCCAACCTGCCTCGCCGAACCCTCACTGGGATACTCGTTCCGAGTCGTATTGAAGTCCCAATGAATGGACATACTCCACAACATCCGCAAAGAATAACCTCATTTGCACGCCGTACTTCGGATATGCGCCTTCAAAAGAAAAGAGAAAAATCTCTGCTTGCTTCACCGTGCCATTTCGAGATGAGTCCGAATTGAAATTGAAGGACGGTGTACAGCCTCATATTCGAGTCATCTTATCTCACTCCACAAGGTTGATATTTGCTATGCCCAAAAAGTCTTTCAAGATGCCTCATGTACACAGCCGATCATTCAATTGGCAAGGCACTCGGGCATAGCACCCTAAAGTTGGTGTTAGCTTGCAACTTGCAGCCTGAGTCATCGGTGATCTCGGAAGGATATTTCGTCGTGCTGACACAACCCTCTCCAGAGTCGGTAAATAGGGACGGATTTCGGCCAGCCACCAATCGGTGTTCGATTCAAGGCATAGTTGGGATGGATCATTGGCGTTGGGGAGGCTGTAGATGTGACGAATTGGTTCGGAGTAAGAATGTTATTGGAGATGGGCTGAGCATGAGGCATGACTCTGGGTATGATTTAGTAAGATGAGAGAATGGGTATATATGAAGGGTGCCTCACCCTCGAAGATGAGGTTTGTTTTTCAGTATCATCAGCAAAGTCAAATACACAGTCATCTCAAGCTTCAGCTTAAGTCAAAAGACTCTCTTCACCAAACACAATAAACACTTTATTACAAAGTAACTCAATCTCAACACTCAATATGCCTCACGGATTCCCAGCCTTCCCACAGGGTCGTAAGTCTACTCTACAATCCATTTCTCAATCAATCTCTAACAAGTAAACAGAATTCCCTAACGATCTCCCACCAACTTGGTTTCATCCTGCCTCTCCCAAAATCAGACCCGCCAAGCCAGCAAAGGAGGTTGATACCGCTTCGATCGCGAGCACATCGACCTTCTCGAGCACTGTCTCTCTTTTGAAAGATAAGGCAAAGCGCACTCTCCCAATCTCATACAAGGACTACCGAGCACGAAAGGACTCCCAGGAAGCCGCATCCGGTACAACAGTCTACTCTGAGAAGCAATCGTCAAAGAGCACCAAGAAGAGCCTTCCGAAAGATACAAAGACACGTAAGTTCTTTGCACCAGTAGAGCCAGAGGGTGAGCAATACCACTTCTTCTGTGTTTGTACCAAAGTGAAGTGAGCTGACAATTGTAACAGCGAGGCAAAGGACCGCAGAAGCATACATGATCTGGGCTGCGACCAAATAAGTTGACAATATCGACATGTCTTTACTTACGGACTTCTGGATTCTTGATGCGATATAGCGATGGGATTGCAAGGCGTTCGGGTGTTGGATCTCCGGATAGAAGATTGGACACAGATTGCTGGCTTTGGTTTTGGTTTTGACGGAAAATATAGGCAAAATGTAGGATGGGTGCGGAAACTGTGTGTCTTTCTACCAATTTGACAGAATCATAATGCAATAATTTCTTCAAAAACTATCATCAAGGTCCTCGTTCATCTTGACCACGCTTGGGCTGTCTAAGTCATCATCATCGAAGCCTGCACCTGCAGTAGCAAGCAGATCTTCGACTATTCGCTTGCTGGCTTCTCGAGCTTTGGGTAATTAGTGATAGAATCTAAGAATTATCCGTTGTACTTACCAGGAGTTTGCAGCAATCTCGACTGCGGAAGATTGAATTGTATGGTTTTGGGAGGACTCATCCCGAGTTCCCTGTACACTCCCTCGGCATCCTCGTCACTGTCACTTTCCCAAGTAATCTCATCCTTGTCCTTCTTCACAGACTTCGCAAAACTTTCTTTTGTTTCCCCCTTGTCAGTGTTCTGTACACTTACTCCGGGTGTTCTTGGTGCTGTTGGCCTGCTGTATTCCTGTCGAATGGGCGAGCTGAAAATGTCAGAATGCAGTTTTGGTGCAGCAACTGGTGGAGACGACATTGGCGAGTCCGTGTCTCGCCATGAAGGTTTGTTTGCAGGGGTTTTGTTTTCCTTTCGCGTGGTATGGGGTGTAGCTTGAATACGATAATTCTTGTCAAGCACTCTGTGCAATAGAGGATCTTGACCTGGCTTTCGCTGGGCAGTAGTTTGAAGATACGATGTAGGATCGAACGGAGAAGACATGGGAGTCATTGACATATCTGGAATGCGAGATTGAGCACCCGGCGTCGTAGGTTGAATCTGTGTATCGTCTCCCTCCTCTTCTTCCTTCGCCCCACCCTTCAACTCCTGCTTCAAGGCTTCGTATGAGGATCCATAATCTGCGAATTTAGGCTTGTCCGAGGAAGCAGTAGTTGGTCTGGCTCGAGGGGTGCTGCCACTGATATCTGGATCGTCCAGGAGGGAATCATCGGTCTGGTTGTACTGCTGCTCGCCATGCACAGTAGAATCTCCTGCTTGTGATGTCGCATAGGTCGTATTCTCGTGAGATTGTGTATAAGAAACATCCTCTTCATCTTCCTCTCGTTCTTCTACTCCTGATAGAGACACATTCGCGCTGGCTTCGAAGAATTGCTTCCAAAACTACCCCGCTATGGTTAGCTTAGGCCATTTTCTCAGTAGACTGTATACAAACCTTCGAACCTTCCCACACGGCATTTGAATGTTCAGCATATTGCTCTACAATTGGGAGGATACTGGTAGTCACAATGCGATGTGCTCGACTGAAGTTGTGGTCGATTTCTGCGTGCCATCAATAACTTTGCTTTCTTTACGACTGTAATACCGGTGAGACATACCTTGCAACGTCAGGGTAATTGATTGCTCTAATTTTTCAAGCTCCTCTGTGAGCGAAAGAGGCCGAGCTGCCGAGCTACTTGATCTATTCATGGTGTGTTTCGGGGTGGAATGCGATGTTGGCAATTCTTCTCCTTGCTTTTCCGCATAACGACGCGAGACGCGTCCGTCCGTGCTGATGTTTTCTTTGGCTCTGAACTTCGCTTAGACTCCCCTGTAGCTGCGTAGATTTCCGCCCCGCCGTGATAACTTCAGTGCTGCTTCTCAATTACACATCACTCAAATATCTAAAAGCTTACATCTCTTCTCTAGGTGTAATTCGCTGCATTATGAGAGTCTGTATTGTCCGATGAATTATCTCAAACAGGTCGACAGATCTTTTGAGCACCGTAGGAGGCACTTGCGAATCCATCTACCTCATGGCCAACATTCTTTTCTGATTTGAACCTTCGTGCTCCTTTGTTCGGGGATAATCAAGCCGACTAGAGGCCAAAATATTGATTGACAGCTCGTTGGCATTATCCCTCATGAACTATCGCAAATTGCTTCCTTCCTTTTTTCGAGTAGAATGGATTGTTTGCTTCTGAAAACTCTCTATAATACGAACAATTTGTCCAGCTCCTCTCGTTATGAAAAGTTCTTCTCTGCCCTACTGTTGTTGAATCCAAGCTCAAAATGGCTTCTGAGCGATCCAACGCCAGCAAGTGAATGCAGGAAACTGCATCCCATTTAAGAAGAGATTCCTGAGAACTTGCTAGGAGGTCCAAATTCACTCCAAAAATTCGGTTCTGAGTTCCGTTACCAAGCTCAGCCACATTGGGTAGTACTTCTAATACTCTCAAAATCTCTCATTGTCTCTGCTACTTAGTGGCACGTATGACAAACAGCCCCACACCTCAAAATTGAATCTCAAGCAAACCCAATTTTACTCCCTTGAGCTCTCCATTCAGGTGTAATAATAACGCCTTTGATTTTGAGATCGCGATTGCGCTATAAGAGGCGCTTTCGCCAAGGGATCACAATTGAATGTCTTGAGGAGCACCAGTCGGAAGTCATCGAATGGTACATTATCGATTTCAACATGACTCTCCAACCGCGCCACGACTCCGTGTTCCGGCATTATAATCAAGAGCTGGTGCAAGTCTTCTGTTACTTTATCGCAGCGCTGCTAGGAACAGTATTGCTCTTTAGAAAACTGACGCAGCACCTTTTGGCACAAAAGTAAGTCATTTAAGATTACCAAAAAGTCGCCTGGCTCACTATTCTAGACTGCGTCATTGTGAATATTTGAATGAAAGTCCTTCTAGACAACAACTTCGGATCGTCCGGTACTGGTCTATACTTACTTCCATCATCCGTGGGATATCCTATTCTCAAATTCACTTTCAAGGTGTCTTTTCATGGCTAAGCCCACCGTCCGCTGGCAAGGATTTTCTGCTTATCATCTACTGGTCACTCCTCACTTTTATGTTGACTTACAAAGCCATCATCCATGACAGCGAGTACTACGAGAGGATCGGATTCAGAGCTGCTTGGATATCAGTCACTCAGGTCCCTCTGATATACCTCTTGTCAGCTAAGGCAAGTGTACTTGGCTACTTCGTTGGAAGCTCCTATGAGCGCCTGAACTGGCTCCATCGCTGGGTATCAAGAACGCTCCTGGTCACTGTGACTATTCATGGTGGCTTCTTCATGCGAGAATGGATCAAGGTCGATTTCTTCTGGTCTGAATTGAGGATAATGCCAATGGTGACTTACGGAATCATAGCCTGGTTTATCCTCGTGTGGACCTTTCTATCTTCTTTGAGCCCATTCCGGAGCATGGCTTATGAGCTCTTCGTTCTACAGCATATTGTTTCTGCAGTCGTCTTCCTTTGGTTGTTGTGGCGTCATGTTCCAAGCCACGCGTCGTACTTCATATGGATATCTGTTGGAGCTTTCTCTGGAGACTGGGTGATAAGCACTATTGTGTCAATCTACTGCAATGTTCATTCAGGAGGGATTGGCTATCGACTGCAGCTTACTGCTGACGATGACGATATTACCACCATCTCACTCGAGAACGTCCTCCTATCTTGGAAGCCAGGCCAGCATATCCGCCTGTGGATTCCACGTCTAGGGCCCCTCCAATCCCATCCGTACACAATCGCAACACCATGCCTCTCAGCTAACAGGAGCTCGAAGAACAATCTAACATTCATTGTCCGTACTTACTCCGGAATATCGAAAACTATGAACAAGTACGCAAAACGACCACAGCCATATCTTAGAGCCTTCATTTCCAGCCCGTATGGTTCATCTCCAGCATGGAACGCATACGAAACCTTGGTTCTCATAGCAGCCTCAACCGGAGGCTCGTTCACGCTTCCAATTCTAGAGAGCATCGTCAATGACCCCATGCAAACTTGCGTGAGTCGGATCCGCTTCTTGCTTCTCGCTCGGCGAAGAGGTCATATTGAATTCTACTTACAACGTCTACCAACATCCATAGCTCGAGCAGCTGCATCGGGTATTTATTTAGCTGTTGAAATCACGATTACTTCAAGGAGAGAGGATGAGGGTCCGCTGTCTGAGGAAGATGAGCAGAAGCTTTTGTATAACTCTGGCGAGGAAGATGTTGAGAAAGCGGACTGGTCGAACTCTGAAGGAGATTCGTACCCTTTAGAGCCAGGTTTCCAGCATATCTCGAAGGCAGAAGACGAGGAAGAAAACGAGAATGCCGCACTCAATCCCGCGCAAGAAGACCAGGCCTCATCCCGAGGAATATTTTACACCAGAGGAAGACCATTAATAGCAGAATACCTCAAAAGCCCACTGGAATACACGAAAGATGAGGCTATGGTAGTGGTTTGCGGAGGAAAGCCATTGATTTCGGAGGTTAGAAATTGTGTTGCGGGCTTGCTGCGAACGGGAGCACCGGTTGGAGGCACGGCAGGCATACACTTGTATACAGAAGAGTACGGTCTTTAATGCAAAATACCTAGAACATGGCAATGATGAATCTGGTGAGGATATGATCATTCTAACATGGCTTTGTATTTAAACTTCAGCGATGGCATACCTCCTCTGCGGTTCTACAATCTCTTTCAAACACAATGCCGATCCTGCGCTAACTCAACTTTCTAGCGGACATCTGCTTTGGAGGTTGTCCATACCTTTCCCGCAAGTGAGTTCCATTGCCCATGCAAGGGCATCCCGGCGTTGAAGCTTGATATGTTGGGCTTCATATTATCTTCTCCATAGCAAGATCATCTTGATCCCCATTGTACTTTGACAACATGTTCTTCCAACTCAAAGTGTCCATAGGATAGTCGTCGGAATGTATCTGCTCATTTAATCCCATCTGAACTTTGCTCAGATAAATGGAAAGTCCCATGGGTTAGCGACAGTCGCGTCGTCCATGGACACGAACGGAATCTGATTCATTTGTTCTATCCAATACGACGAATCGAACTCGTTGATATTCGCAAACCCTGTAAGATCTGACGTAGATGGAAAATGGATTTGATCCGGAACATCGTATGTATGAAGCCCGTCAGAATGGAAAGTGTCGAAAGCATTTGGAATTTCATTTCCTTGATCATTTCCTTCTGGCTGTTGAACGGTTTCGGGAACATGGCTTGCAGGTTCTGTGTAGGTATCTCTGGTAGTAGAAGCGTTTTGAAGTAACTGATAGCAGTGTCGAAGAAGTCTGAGACCTGAACCTGCAATCGCGTTGTTATGCTCCAGTATCTCAAGTCGTTTGATACCTTCCTGAAGACAGACATCTATTCTTCTTGATGAATCCCGATCCGTTGAGGGGTACATGATTGTTGTAGAACACAAGAAAAAGCCAGCATCGATCGTGAAGAAGGCGAGACCGAACAGTCTGTACTGATATTGTCTGGTAATCTCGAAAACTCTTTCTTGCGACTCGAGGATGACGATTGCTGCTTGTATAGCAGCTTTACGACTCTTTGGTGACGAGTGTATGTGAGGTCGATGTAATGCCAATAGGAAACTGGTAGCGTTGTCCAGGATCTGTTCTCGCTGGCGCGGAATCCACGGGAGACGTAGATCCCAGGACTTGTCGGGGTTTTGGGTTCTCAAATACGCTGGCAGTCCATCCATCAAAGCCACCGCCTTTTCATGCAAGGCCTGAATGGATGTGTAGTCTTTGGGATGTCTTCTGTTCGCGCCATTTGTTTTCATCTCATGGACCAATTGCGCAATAGAATATCGAAAAAGGTGCCCAGAGATAGGAACTGGCATTTCGTTGTCCCTTGCATTTCGAATTGCAGTAGGAACGACTGTAGAGGGCTCGTCTGGAAATTTACAGTCGATCGGTACCTGGATGTCACAATCGTCGAGATTAATTAGTCTTGGTCGACCAAGCATCATCGACATGTGACTATCATGTTAGTTTCAGTAACAAATGTCTGAAAAAACATACCTGTCCCATATGAATAAAATCACCCAAAGTCTTCTTCTGTACTCATCTTTCCAGAGCCTAGTCAATGTCTCTGCAACTGTTCCGCTCTGGTCAACTCTTGCTTGCCTATGCATGTTGAGTTCTTGTGCTTGTCTTGTAGATGTCAGTTTCAGTGCCAATAGATCCACTTGACCGCTTTACCTGGTACTAGTACTCAGAGCGTGCCATGACTCTGTTCCTCGACCACAATCCTTCAGCCATAAAGCTCTCATGAGATCATGCTGCACGGAAGTGATGGTCGGTCGATGACGATCTAGGATATCCATAATTTTCATTCCTGTATCAAATCAGAGCATGTGTCAGCTTGCTGATCTCAATGTTTAAAGAATCGTAATTACACCAGGAACAAATTGAGCATTTGGGTCTCAGCAACAGGTAAACAAAGTGGATTTTCCCTCTAAAACCTTACCATGATCACTATATCTCTCGCTGAGACGATTTCGATGAATCATTTCTTCCACGTTGAGTACTTTGATCATAGCTGAGTCCGGCGGCATGAAGTGCAACGCAACGGCACAAATTTGAAAGAGCAAAGCTGGAAAGTAAAGAACATCCCTGGAAACATCTTTCAGGGAAGGTTGTTTTGGAGCATCGGTTCTGGTCTGGATTTCCTGCCAGGTTTTATAGAGCTGCTGAATGTAGTATCGTTCGAAGAAGCCGGTGTGCCAATTCATTTCAGACATGAAGATTCCTATTAAGTCTTCCGATACCGATTTTGAAGGAAGTTTAGCGACCAGGGTCCAGAACTGGTCTTCCCATTGCTCGGGCTCCACCCTCTCCTGTGCTACGTTGGGAAGACTAAGATTTCCGGTCGTGTCGTCCTTGAGAAGCTATTGAGATCAGTAAGTAGTGGATTCAAAAGACAGAATTAATTACCTGATGCTGTAAATCCATAAAGACATTGCTTCCCTTCATGGGAGAGTACCCGATTTGCTCAGCAATGTTAAAACCTCTCGAAGCTGGAGGAGACACATTCTCCTGGTCTTCGACATGTGTCAAAGCACTGAAGTTCTCGTCCAACGAGGCGTTGGAGCTCTTGTTCAACCTAACCGTCGTTCTTTTTGTCAGCACATATGATTCGAACAGAACAGAAAAAATTGATATGCCCCGTGGTTGAAAGAGGGGGGGAGACAAATCGTGTAGATATATGGAGGTGCGTATCCTTACCGAGGACCAACAGTCGGATCACTATAGGAACATCTATCAGGCAAATTTCGGGCGAGACAGATGTTGCATGGTTTCCGTCTGTCACACTAAAACATTGCAGTCAGATCTCCCTCTCTGTGACCCGTGATGAATGGCGAAATAACACGCACCTTCTGTTTCCTACGGTGACATTCAGAACAGGTAGTTACTATCCGCCTTCGCTTTGCAATTGGCGGACCATCCATATCGGGGACAGTCACTGCTGGACAAAGCTAGGAGCGAGCGACGGCGATGACTTGTTGGTCTTTCGTCGTGGCAGCCACGTGAAAACGAGGCTCGTACTCGGAAAGATCTAGTTGCAGTCTCACTTAGCTCAGAGTCCTCCCCTTTCTTGGCATGCGAAGCACGTTCTGTGACTTTAGATTTAAATGCTATATGGTTAGGGAGAGATTTTGAATGAGTCTGCACATTTTCTAGTCCCTCAGCCCAGACCATGGCAAAACCATTGCAGGGTATCGGACTTAGGAGATAACGACTCGGAAGCTGATACTTGCGTCCAAGCATCATTGTCTGACCAAGTTGCACAGAGTTTGAGGGCGGGCTGCCCATGAGCTGGGAAGCAAATCGTTCGAAGGTGGCCTCGTATTCGGGACTTCCAGTATTCACTCAGACCAAGTGCACATAATCAAAATACCAGAAAATCTCTGATCTCGTGTTCCGCGTGATTCTCATCATCGCAATACCGTATACTAATTTACAATACATTTACAATCCGTGGCTCCCGACCAAGCCGTCCTTTTATGTTCCGCCCCAATGCCGTTCGTGATTCATCAATTCCACTCATCCTCCCCAGCAACATCATAATCGTAACTAGAGTGCTGCTCCTCAACCACCTCACCACCTGCTTGAACAGGACTACTTGCCATCGCATCTCCTTCGTCCATGGCGGTATCGTCGTCGACTTTGATGGCGGTTGAAGAGGGCTTGGGTGTTAGGTTTACAGGCGGTAACGGAGTTTGAATCCACGACATTTCGACTTTGCCTACGGATGGGATTTCGTTGTCGGGAGTTCGCATGAATTTCTCGGCTGTGAAGCGGTCTTTGAAGAGGATCGAGGTACGTGTTGGTGTAATTTCGAGGTCGGTGTATTCGCCAATGCCCTAAAATTTGTTAGTGATGGTCCTGGAATGAGATTATACCTGGAGAAGTGACTTACCAAAAGATACTCCCTGAGGCTCTCCTCCTTTCCGGCATCAGTGAAATCCGCACCAGTCAAGGCAACCTTCTTGGTCCGATTGTCAAGGTTGAAGACCCGACCACTTGCTGAAAAAGGCACACCCGTACCACGGCCTCGATATCCTCCCCGGAAGCCACGTGGTTGGAAGGTTCCTCTACCTCGATAGACACCACGACCTCTGCCTCGTCCACGATAACCACCGTAGAATGGTTCTTCGGCGACATTCGGATCAATTCCCAGCGACTTTGCTTCAGCCTCCAATGCAGCCAACTGAGCCTTCAATGCTTCGGTCTGAATTTGAGCTGTCGTCTTGCTCTCAGCAGGTGCTGGACTGCCATTTGCAGGTTGAACAGCAGGTGAAGCAGACTTTCCACTCTTGGCAGCTATCTTCTCCATCAATTTCCTCTTTTCCTCAGCTTGGCTTTTCAGAAGCTCCTCTTGTCGCTTCTCTAGGTCCTTCTTAGCAGCTTCCATCTCTGCCATCTTCTTCATCTTATCCTCGTGCGCCTTCTGAGCCTCCGCTTGTTTTCGCGCAAACTCCTCCAAATCAATCTCTGGTTCTTGCTTGGGAGTAGGAGCAGTACTTTCAGAGCCTTGACGTTCCCTCTTTGCTTCACCGTTGGCTCCAGTTACCGCAGGAGGCTTTGGCAGCGAGTCTTGATTCACATACCAATAGACCTTGACGAATCTGTTGTCGAATATGACCTTGGGAGAGTTGTATGCATTCTTGGCATTGTTCCAATCATCGTATTTGACAATTGCAAGACGCTTGTATGGTCGCATTGTGACCTCAACAATATTTCCAAACTCTGAGAAGAACTTCCGGACCTCGTCCTCGGAGAATTTGTCTTCAGGGATATTTTCGACGACAATGGTAGTGTTGTTCTTGTCAAAGTTAGGTTGGTTCGACGAGAATTCTGATCTTCCACCACCACGTCTGGGATTGAGGGTGCCTCTTTGGCCTCTACGTCCCCGACCTCTATCACCGCCTCGAAATTGAGTGAATCCACCACGGTTGGTATTAGCTTCTAGGGTCGACATCAAACTCATAGTCGGGTCGTACTCTTCGACTTTGTTTACTGGTGGAATCCATATCGAATGCGAACCATGCTCGTACGGACATGTATTGCCCCTAGCACAGAAGCCCTTGTGCTCATAATCTCTGCATTTTGGCTTCGTGGGAGAACCTTGTCTCGGTGGTGAGGAAGCGGCCTGTGGCATTCCTCGAAGAACAGGCATTGGTAGTCCCATACTCAGCATAGCTTCCAAACCCGCAAAGCCTTCTCTAGGATCAAAGAACGGCATACCAGGAGGCATACCAGGAGGAGGACTCGGCATCGGTGGCATACCAGGAAAGCCTGGGGGTGTTGGCATGTTCTGAAAGTTCATTGGCGGTGGTCGATTCCCAGCATAACCTCCTCTACCACCTCGTGGTTCATAACCGCCTCTTCCCATACCAGGACCTCCACGTCGAGGCTGCTTGAACATTCTTCCGTTAGAGTCGCCTCCTTGGTGAAAGCCTCTGTCTTGCATCTCAGTATCTCCCCTCTCATGAAATGAGCGCTTCCTCGAGCCATTTTGAGGACCCATTGGCGCACCGTTTCCCAAGTTTCCGTATGAAGGCGCGGAAGGACCTGAAGGTGGCGCAAAAGGTAATGAAGGTCTGCGAGGGGGAGGAGCAGCTCCAGGCATGTAGGATTTGTAATTGATGGCGTCAAAAACGTCTCTTACAAAGATTGTCGAATCCTCTTTCAGGAAATCGGGCATTTCACGTTCACAAAGAGCGCGGACCGTTTCGACATCGCCATCATGACGGAGAAGCGCGAGAACGTAATCGGCAAGGACGTCGGCGTCAGCATCGGATCTGTTCAAGATAGTTAGCAGACAAAGAGTGTAGAAATACAGTGCCTTCCATACGTATTTTCCAGTCGCTTCACAATCCACTTTTTCAGAAGCGGAGCATCATCCTCAGAGAATAGCATCTTGACTAGACGCGCCGCACGAGATCTGTAATGTCAAGAAAGCTTCTACAGGATAAGTTATTGGTTCATTTCTGTTGTGGAATTGTGTTTGCGTCCTTCATGGTTTCTCGTCGCGAATTGTTTGCTTGAGTTGCTTCATCCACGAAATTCTGACGCTCGGACCACTCGGAACTCCGTGCGCCAATGACCCCTGAATGTGCAGTTAGCGTACTCTTATGGTTTACTCAGAGTAGAGGCTTCATCTGGGTCTGGCAAAGATTATATCTTTCGTCTAGATTCTACTATGGACTAGAGTGGAAATTGCAATCTCCAAGACTCTGACATCTTTGATGAGCTTCTCCTCTTCACTAATTGAAATGAGTTGCATCGACATCAGAAACTCTAAGCACATTCAACCACGCAAGAGCTGGATGTTTGAAGGTATAAAACAAAGCATTATTATGTTCTAGCTGGTTTTCTGCATATATGTACAGTTGAGCATGAGTATATAACTCATCAACTGTTTCTTCCACCATGCTCCTCTGCCCTTGGCTGAACAAGAGCGTCTATTACAACACCACCAACTCCCTTCTGCTCGCCTTTCTTCTCGGCGAGACTAGCATCATCATCCCCAGATTGTACCGCCATGCCTGCCTCCTCGCCGCGTTGATGTTTAACAAGACCCGTCTTCCTGAACCAGAACCACCAAACCAGCAGGAGCGCGGACCCGAATCCAAAGATTGCAAGAGCCATAATCCCCAATCCGATATCTCTCAACTTCCTCCGCTTGTCTTCTTCTTTGGTGAGCTCCGCAGCGGTTGGAGCCATAGTGATCTTTCCTGGCTGCACGATCGTAGTCGGATTAACATCCTGCTGAAACTCACTGGCTGGACTTGGGGGTGGGTTTCCTGTCGTCCAGTTCGCCGGCGTTGGACCAAGGGTGAAATCCATTGTTCCGCCGCTTGCAAAGACATCATTCCATGTGAGCCATGACTGTGTCCACTGCTTGCCATTAACGAGCAAGGACTGGACATAATATGAGGTATCTGAACCTCCTGTAGTTGTCACAACTAAGTTGTGACCACCGCCGAGAGAGATAGTGGTATTTGCAAACCAAGGCGAGCCTATGAGAAAGGTAGTTTGACCGACCATAGGATAGAGACCGAGCATGTTCCATAATAACCAGGATTCCATTGCTCCTGCGTCGCTATCTCCAGGTAGCCCACCTGGTGTCGGTGCGTAATAGCTTTTTGCTATGTTGCGGCTCTGTTTAACACTCAAGTCTTGCCTGCCAACATAATTATAGAGGTAAGGAGTAGTAAAACTAGGCTCATTGCCAGGATTAAAAATAGTATTGTTGAATCCTGCCGATCGACCGGATGTGTTGATGCCAGGTGTGAACACCATCTCTAGCTTATTAATGAATGTCTCTGGCCCGCCAGAAAGTGCGATAAGGGTATTGATATCGTGATGTGTGTTGAAGCTGTATTCCCATGGTAGAGCCTCGTAGAATGCATCCCCCCAATAACAACCTCCACAAGACAACGGGTCTTGCTTTAAGAAGCCCGCTTGAGATCTCGGAACGAGGAAGCCAGTGAATCCTAGAGATGTAACGTTCGGGTTCCAGTGGTTGCGCCAGTTCCGTGATCGAGCCAAGTATTTCTTTGCATCTGATTTCTGACCAATACCTGTAGCAACTTGATACAAAGAGAAGTCGTTCACCGAGTACTCCACGGCTCGGGTAACTGACCGACCAAATTTAGGTGTGATGTATCCAAGTTGCAACCAGTCTGGGAGAGCACCTCGTCCTTCCTTCGTCGATGAAGAGAGATCACGAGGATCATTGTTGTTCGGCGGTACGACCTCAGCATCTTTGACCATCGCCTCATAACCCGCTGTCCAATTCACAGCTCCTCTCACCCCTTTGACATAAGCATCGGCAAGCACGTTGTCCGAATTCGAACCACCTTGAGTAGCACCATTGAAATTTGATGATCTAGCATCAGGCATATACCCTTCGAAGCGGAAGATATCGATCAATGATCTGATGTATTCTTCATGCATACTTGGCTGGAAGATCTGGAACAATGAAAAGGTACATCTGAATAAATCCCATGTAGTGAATGTGTCATCGTAGTATGGCTCAGTTGAATTCCACAGAGGATTCTCCCCAGTCCGATTTGAGGGCAGCAGATGCATGTGGTACATTGAGCTGTAGAGGAGTTGTAGACTTTTAAGATTCGTCTCTGTAGTAGTGACTTTGGACAGTACCTGATTCTTGGAGTCAGCACACTCTTTTCATGATTCAGCGATCGATATCAATGTTCCTGAAAGCGATTGGGATATGCATGGATGGAGTGTCTCCATGTTGCGAGAGGTACTGGCAGTATTGTTCCAGAAGAGTAGCTTACCTGATCATTCCAAACCTGTTTGGTATCAGCTACAACTGATGGTAACAGTATACCTGCTGGTATTTGCGCATTGACGTTGCTGCAAGCCTGAGTCGTGGAGATGAAAGAGATGCCAACTCTGGAAGTTATCGCAGTAGCGTTGAAGGTGTAGACTGCTCCTAACCTCGCCGAGGATGTCACAGTTTGAGAAGAATTGTAACCAGCCAATGCAGTTGCAGTACTATTCTGTCCAACGAAAGTCTTGACAGTGGCGGTGTCATTAAAATAGCCACAAAAGTAGATCCGCCAGTCTGGGGCTCGATTCCAGCCATTATTGTAGTCTCCATATCCCTCGTAGTGATCTTGAGAAGTTGATATACTTCCACCAAGATAGTTTTGAGAGAGTCCCATCTTTCTGTAGGATGGCAGAACATGAGAGACGTCTACCACAATGTTGGAGACAGTTCCCGCAGGGAACGTATACTGGTAAAGTCCGGCTCGAGGTGTTGCAGTGAGTTCAACGGTGATATTTGACCCTAGGGAGCTCTTATAGTACCCTACAGAGTCGACATCTGGAGAAGCCCTAGTATCGTTGAGGCCATTCAGCGGATTGATGATATCCCCACTGATTGGCATCTGAGAAACAACGCCGTATTTTGGCGCACCACTACAGCATGTGGTTAGCACTTGCTTTTCTCCTGACAATAAGAACAGAAGAAGGTTAAACTGTCATTCGCAAGGCAATACTGTGATATCGACAGCTATCGAGAATGAAGATCAAAGAATTTTATTTCTTACCCAGTACCAGTCTCGTGCATCATCGAGAAGCCTGTCACTACTCCAGATCCAGCATACCCAGAGTAGGCGTCGGCTCCATTATAGACATCTGGTCCAAGCTTGACCATGCCAAATGGCGTGGTCACGCCAGGAAATGTGTTGCCACTATTTTCACCAGTCTTGCAAACAATCAGTGCGGGTACTAGACTATGCCCAGATTTACTTACAGAAGGAAGAACATATGGTGTTAGATCCGTGGACGATACTTGCGTCGCCCACAGCAATGCTGTTAGCAGCAAATACCGGCGAGGAGGAGAAGACATGATCCGTAAGGACTGAAAATTCCGATGATCCGCACTTCCATGATACTTCTAAAAGATGCTGCAGTGTATGATCAAATGAATGTGGGTTAAAGATTCACAGCTGGTCCTTCCATCTTCGTCACTTTGAACCTAAGGCTTATCACGTGCCCTGTATAAATTTGGAATATTCAACCTTGGAACTCGACATCTGAAGGGAATAACACATATTTGAGTGAGTGATACAAACAGCGCTCGTACTACAAGCCACAAGTTTGGGATCCTGGGAAAGTCTCCGAGGAGTACAGCCCCGTGCTAGCAAAAGAGGCGCGCAGGAACGATTTGACGAAGAGATGCAGCAGCCTGAAGAAGCTTTCTCCAATAGCGGCGCAAGCAAATCAAAAAGAATGGACAGCGAACGGAGAAGGGGAAGTCTCATGCATCGTTTCATGTGTTCGATAATGTAGAGGCCAGTGACCCTGCAGCATATAGCCATGTGCCTAGAACGTCGCACAGATCTCTTTCAAGTGCTTCGATGTCTGCCAGCGAGGAGAAAACTTTTTCTGGAGAGGACAATTGCCGAAGGATTCCCTTACGCCCTTCACTACGTTCCAGCGCAATGTGCGTCTGCATATAGCCTCAGCTGATGTCGCTTGTGCTTCTGGAACGTTGGTGCTGACACTGTCGGCTGGTGGATGTTTACGTTTTGTTGGTTGAAGTCCATGCAGATGGCAAAGTTTAAGCCTCAGCCCTGCCAAGACGCCCCGATCTTGGAGGCGCAGATCCCCCCTTTTGGACCGCTGGTGCATCATGTCATTGATATATTTTGGGATCTGGAGACTCCGACTCTCAAGTCAACTCAATTCTTGAACTGTTTCCTGTCTTTCCACAGAAATATTCCATAATTATTCCGGCGCTGTTAACAAGGGGTTTGCTGCAGTTGGCTACCAAAAATCAGCCACATTGCACTTTGGGCCTGGACTCTTCAGCACGCCATTTTTACTTTTCCTTGTGTCAGCAGAACAAAGGGAAGCACCGAGGTTGAGGCTATGTAATCCTCTTCAGCAATCGTTCAGTCGGCCGCGAAAATCATGAAGCTGCAAAAACCTGGCTGCTGGGAACCTCGACGGCACCTGGGCAGTTCCACTGAGGAAGCCTCACGTGAGACCTCCTTCTTCCAAGATTGGAGGTCTCTGGCAGCAAACATTTCTCCATGCTGAATAATTTTATACCTACCTAAGTACCTGCTTCATTGTTTATTTCTTACAATTACAATAAAATCAATTTGAATTATTTATGATCACGTGGACGATCATAATGCTCTGCCCAAAGTTCATCGGCATTCCCGCTGGCAGACATCTATCTAAACTTCTGCACACAATCTGACACGAACGCCACCACCCAGAATTGCGAACTGGTCATCGCTACCAGGCCGACTCTTTACATGAAGCTTCAGAGTCCGTTGCAATTCCGTCGCATGACAATATTATTGGGCGGCAAGCAGGTGCTTGTTCGGGCCAATTTTGCCGCCGAGGAGTTCTCGCGTCCTATCATATTCATTTGTGGCACGACTCCGAGAATTAAGGACAAGCCAAGAATCCCTTCTTTGAACATGAGCCTCTCAATGCAAAGCACAACCGCTGTCGAGAGACAAACTTTTCCTACCGATTGGTACATCATCGTTCCTGGCAGGTCGCGCGCCTGCGTGATATGCAACCACTTCACATATCACGTTGAGCGAATAAGGGCACATGGTCAGTCTAGCAGCTTTCTCTATCTTGCCTCTCGGTTTTCTCCAATGAAGAACTTTGTTCTAAAGCTTCTTCATCCTTCTTTCTCTCGTTATTTCTGATTTCTTGAGATGCGCTCGTTGGGTGCGAAGTCGCGGCTATGAAGTTGTTGGATGATGCATACCTCGCTCTGGCAGAGACAATTCAGTGCTGTGCACCTTTGTTGAGAGAGCAGCAAGCGCCTACACGTGGTAAGTACTATCAAACTCCTGCATGTAGCAGCATGTCTTAATAATATCAGGCATTGAGAAGCCCATGAGAATTGAGCATCACCAACCACGTCTCGTACCTCCGCCAATTCCGGAGCCTCAAGAGGATGGCGTAAGAGGTCGTGAATGGGTCGAGAGGACGAAGAGTTTCGCATCCCGCGCATCAAGCCGCGGTAGCTTCTCTGTGAGAAGGACTTTCAATGCCTATAATGGACCGCGCCGGCCGCGCATCGGGGCTCCCACGGAGTTTCGACATATCGAGAACGCGATGCCCAGGAGGACTGACAGGTTTAGACCTCTGGAACTGAGCATTTACATGCCTGAGAATCAGTTGTCCCCTATATTGTCCCATTTCGGGCCTGTCGAGGATGTGCCGAACGAGATGCCATTCCCACCACCAGCCTTTACACATTCAAGATCCGACTCTGCAATGTCCTTTCGGATACCGCGGAAACCCGTCCGTTCCAGCTCTGGGACGTCTGGTACTTCTGAATGGACAGCTCACTATAAGCCACGACTTGAGTCTTTGAGTACACAGCAATTGCTGGCAGCATTAGAGTCCGAGCTTCCGAAACCACCACCTCCTGCTCGCCTGAGATCGATGACTGAGCCACCTGCGTATCAACGGGTCAAGTCGGCTCTTCATGAGAAGTTTGAATTGGAGCAACGTCTAAAAGACATTGAAGAGATTATCGAGGAAAGAAAGAGTATCTACCTGAATAGTCGACCAACGAGTCGTGCGTTGAGTCGGGCCGACAGCATCTATTCTGAGAGTCAAGGTAACCTTCTCGAAACCGTCGTAGTGTACATTTCTGACTTTATAGAACCGATGCCACCTCCACCTGACGTCCGGTCATTCACACCTGTACCGACGCTACCAACTGCACCATCTTTTGCTGCTCGTGTTGCTCTTCCTCATGCCGATCAGCGGCCCAGAACGGCCCCAACTAAGACAGTTCATATTCCCACGCGTCTTAAGTAAGCCACTCCCCAAACCAAGCCGTGATCAAAACCTTAGAACTAATGAAAGCAGGTCATTTACGGAAGCATCAGCAGCATTCACCACACCTTCACCTTCTTCAACATCTTCAAGAACCCAATCACGTCCTGAACGCTCACTTCCTCCACCCCCACCTCTACCTCTCGTACTTCAATCACCTCCTCCACTCCGAAAGAAGAAGTCATTCTCCCGCGTATCAACTTGGCTTTTCCCATCTTCAAATGAGCACGCTCGCAATGGCTCCCTCGACTCAGTCACCAACACACCTAAGGCTTTGACCAGCCGAGAGGGCTTCTATCAATGCGTCGATCTTCAACAGTCCTCTCGCCGAGTCAGCACTTCTACAGTCAGCACAGTGAGCACGCTTGAAAGCGAACTAGATGAGCCAACTATCCCAACGACTTGGACCCCAGATTCGAGTCCTGGCATTGGACACAAGCGAGATGTTCAGATACGACAATTCTCAATTGAGTCTGAAAGGAACGAGAAGAGTCTTGAATTGACGAAAGTAAGGACGTTTGGTGAGAAGGAGATGGGTCCTAATGGGAGGTGGAGAGTGGAGCCCATACCAACACATGTACCAGGAAGAAACAGTGTTGGTGTCGCATTTTGATTCATACCCCATGTGGATGTTTACTATGGCGTTTGTAAGATAAGGTTCCGGTTAGGATATGGGTGGAGGTCTGTGGTAATGGTTCTGTGTTGGTGTCTAGGGAGGTTCAATGGTTTAAAATGGCTGGCTCTGTGGCGATACCCGGATATGTCTTTGGGACTGTCTAGAAAGTGTTCAATTCTTACCGAAGTCACTCTTTAGATATTGTAGAAGCTTGGATATAAGTATTATTATTTGATATAAGGTTTTCGCGGTTTCGATAATGATGAAGCTTCACACATTCGGCAAAATTCATCTTGAACGCCTGCTTTTCAGAATAGACTCACAACAAGCCCCTCCTACAGACGTCCACATAACAGATCGCCTAGAAACGCCGTTGAACACATCGTGAGACTTTGTTTCTCCACGATAAGTCTGTGATTAGAGATTTCAGATCAGGTGACGTTATTGGCCCCTGTAAGGCTGTACAAGGGTGACGCGATTCCGAGCAACGTGTAAATCCAAGTTTCTAGGCAAGACAAAGAGAGTCTACTAGAACTCCACCAACACGCCATTTTCCCACCATGAGCATATCACGGTAGCTCAATCCAACATGCCGAGGGACAGACCTCCTACAACGGGCTATGCCCGCATAGCTCAAGCCGAGGACTCCGATTCTGAGAACGACGAAGCTCTGGGAAATAGCTATGCATCGCTACAACCTGCTTCCGCTCCACGATTTGCATCTATCACACAGCCACGGCCCCATGGTGGCATGTACACTGATGGCACGACATCCCCTATTACGAATCGCAGACCAAGAAATCGACGGCGGGTGAGGAGCAATTCCTCTGGTGTGGACATCAAGGCTATCAATGCACGCTTGGAGAGATGGGCAGATGAGATTGCGAGCAAGTTCAAGATAAATAAGGTCAAGGGGAAGACTACCGAGGAAGAGAAGTTGGAGATTCACCATTCTGTTTTTCAGGCTCCGGATGGTGTCAGACCTGCTACGGCTGAGACGTTGGCTTTGGATGTCGACCCGGGGCGCATGTCGAAGTCGGAATTCGAAGATGTGGTGGAGAGCGTAAGGGTTGCAATTGAGCAAGGTATGCACCCGAAGATGATTACACAAGGCAGTTCTGGAAGCTATTTTGCGAGGAATAGTGAAGGAAAGGTTGTGGGCGTGTTCAAACCGAAGGATGAGGAACCATACGCAGCAGGCAACCCTAAATGGAACAAATGGATACACAGGAATCTGTTCCCATGTTGCTTTGGAAGGGCATGTCTTATTCCCAACCTCAGCTACGTGTCTGAAGCAGCGGCATATACTCTGGACTGTCGGTTACGAACGAATTTGGTTCCTTACACGGATATTGTTTACCTATCTTCGAAATCCTTCCACTACGATTTCTGGGCTCGACGGAATTTTTATAGGAAGAAGAAGCCTTTCCCATCAAAACCGGGCAGCTTTCAGGTCTTTTTGAAAGGGTTTAAAGATGCCAATGTTTTTCTCAGGGAACACCCCTGGCCTGATCATGGCGGGGGATACAGACCTTCTGATGCACCAAAGAAGAAGAAAGCTTGGAAAGATACTTGCAGACCAAATGGAGCCCAGTCTGATGATGAGGATGAGACTGCCAATTCTACTCCGCCGATCGGCGGACCAGAACGATTCGCATGGACGGAGCAATTGCAACAGTCATTCAGGGAACAGCTGGAGAAGCTTGTTATACTGGACTACATTATGAGAAACACTGACAGAGGGTTGGACAATTGGATGATCAAGGTGGATTATGAGAACCAAGACGTCACGATTGTCGCTGATCCTCCACAAATGGATGGAGGTCGAGACCAAGAGGACGAAGAGCTCGCACCACGACTGGTAAACACTTCTGATAGCAGCATACCCTTAAAATCACACCCCTATCGGGTACAGCAGCCTATGGAAGCTAGGAGCAGATCAGTCACCCCTTCAAGGATGGGTGGACCTAAGATGGTTGTTGGAGCGATTGATAACAGCCTTTCATGGCCGTGGAAACATCCTGATGCGTGGCGAAGCTTTCCCTTTGGATGGCTCTTCTTGCCTGTCTCACTAATTGGCCAGCCATTTTCTCAAAAGACACGAGATCACTTTTTGCCACTTCTCACGTCGAAGCAATGGTGGAGCGAGACACAACTGGAGCTACGGAAAGTGTTTAGTCAGGATGCAGATTTCCAAGAAAGAATGTTTGCAAGGCAAATTGCTGTCATGAAAGGGCAGGCATGGAATGTGGTTGAGACGCTCAAGCTGGCTGATCATGGACCTTTGGAACTGACTAGGAGAGCCCGAGTATGTGTTTGGGACGACTTGGTCGATATCCCCATTGCGGTACCAATGCGAGTGCCATCAGCAGAGATGCGGAGACGGAATGATCCTCTATTCAACAAAAATCTACACGAAGCGGAAGAGATGGATATTAGCGCTGCCAACTCGTCTGCCCCTCAACCAGACCTCCTCGGTCTTGCAAGCCCATCTTCAGAGCTTCCAAATCCAAATAGATTTGATCTTACCAGTCCTCGCCACAGCGAAGATGGCGGGTCTCCATCTCCTCTCGATATCATGAATTCTGGATCTCGTAGGAAATTTTCCAAGGACGGACAAGTGAAGTTTTCAGAGCGTCCTACATTCAATCACGTACGAAGTCGAATGAGTTACGATGGACCATCGCGTACGCCTCCTTATCCACCGCGCACCGAGAATCGCCGCTTCTCATTCTCAAATCGAAAAGGAAGTAAAGTTCCGATGTTGTACGATGGTGATGATATAGAAGGTGATCTGGGGTATGCTGCCGCTGAAGGTATGGAAGGGAATCAGAGAAAAGTGATTGTGGAGAGACTTGAGACTGTTAAGAGTAAAAATCCGGTATTTACTTGGTGTTAGACTGGGTAAGAGGCAAAGAGGAAAGGCATTTTGGTGTACTATAGGTACGGATGGGGAAATGGGAGAATGAGGCGTTGAGCATGCGTGCATGAAGAAATTATAGATCTCTTGGGCGAAATAATGAATGGCATTTCGTTGTTTTTCCAATCCCACCCAAAGTCCGATCGGCGGATGGAACGTCCTATTTGGAGAAAGGTATCATTCTCCTGAATAGGACATTTACTTCCGGTTTCTCGGTTCCGTTCCCTCGGATTGATTATTGAGAAGCGCGCTTGCCAAGAATAATCGAAAATCTTTTATTGGGTGATGCAACTTCCAAGATGATCAAAGCTACGGGTTCTGAACTATTCAAGGACGAAAGCCAGCGATATTGTAGGTTGCTTAGAAATGCTTGAGTCATTGTCATTTTCCGTTCCGAAATTCCCTTCTTCTTGCCTGAGGAGACAGTGAAAGGGGACTTTGTTGGATGAAACCGGCTCACACAAAAAGAAAGAAGAACTTTGGCACAAGTTCGAAAAAGCCTAGACTGTGAACGAAGATCAGATGAATACCGTCAAAGCTGCGAAACCTCTTCTCCTAAGAACATCGAGTCTATGATCTCTTGACAGAAAATATTTTCAAACTCGCCTTCAAATTTCTGACTAAGCCCCAAACGCCATACCAGGAACTCCTTGGGACGTGGACGTGACCGTAGTTATCGGCGGGCTTAGCCGGCATCGATCACAAAAGACTCCAGCTGTAATCGCAAGAAAGCAACTTGATTTCTCATAGAAACGACCTGCGACGCCATTCACCCTTTTCCTTCAGGATACCGACTGCCGCTAGCGATCTTCGTCAACTCTCGCTTTCCAACCTTCCTCCATGTATCTTCGATTCAACCACCCCTCCGTTTCCTAGGTCTGGATGTACTTGGGACAAACGGCGCAAGCACAACATCACTTCTGCATGCGACCGTAACGTGAGCAGATCACGGATGACCGCGCAGACATGGCTTCTTGGAATCATTCAAATGGTACCTCTCCATACTATTCGCCCTCAAACTCAGCGTCGTCGCAGTTTCTGGTGGGGCCTGGAAGTTCAGAGCCTCGTCGGGACAGTCACATCTACTCGCCTTCACCCACCTCATTGCCTTCTCACCAACATGGCGCTCATGCACATCTTCTTGCTACAGGTCGACTGCCAAACAATGTCCCCACTACTGCCAACGGAACACCCGCCTTTCCTCAGCAGCAGCAATGGAATCCTGCCGCCTTGTTGAATCCGCGAGGCTTCCACTCTACCCCTTCGAGCAACGCCACAAATGGCTTTTCGAGTACGAGTAATGGAACAAATAATGGCAATCTTACCTTTCAATTCGATAGCCCCGGAGGCTCACATTACAATGGTCCTACCCCTTCTCCCAGCAATGAGAACATGCGACCAAATGGTACAAATGGGAATGGATTTGCCGCCTACGCAAATGGCAACGGACAGATGAGAGGCATGGCACATATGCTAGAACGAGTGCACAACGTAGCGGACCGGGACATGATTCCTCAAAAGCGAAGAAAGATAGTCGACGAGCGCGAGGAGCAGGGAAAAGGCACATTTAATGGTGGCGGAAAGGGCGGGGTGTTGGGACAGTACATGAGAGAACAGAAGGAGGAAGGTCGAAAGCAAGTTGCTGCGAGAGGTACAGCGCCTGTGGATATCTCAATCGAAGACGACGACGATGTTCAAGTCGTTGGTAGCTCGGACGACAAAGAGGTTTGCTACGGCCGAATCGAAGGATCCGAGATCAATGTCTTCAAGGTCCCAACTCCAAAGCCAGGTTCTGTGGCAGTGTCCAATGGTTTCTGGCCTCAAGTCAAGATCTTATTACGCAGACGCCATGGCGACAAGACTAACGTGGTCCATGCTGTTGATAGCACCCGGGGGACTATTGGTTGCCTCGACGTAAATACAGCTATCGGATTAGTCCCTCTCTTGGATTCGAAGTTTGGCATTCGGACAGCAGCAAGAATTCTTACCAGAGCACGGAGACCTGGTGATCTACCTCCAGGATCTGATGTATCTTGTCGGTTCCCTCTCGATCTCAATGTTTATGGTCCCAAGAAGCACGCTATCCAGGTTGGCCGCTTCCTTTCTCAAAAGCAACTTTGGCTTCGAACTCCTCTCTTTGTTGAGGCTGGTGTCCTACTGCATAATCCGCATACCATCGAAAAGCCTCCTCAACCTCCTGCTCGGAATGTTTCATCAGGACCAGTTGGTTATTCTCGTACACAAGCACCAGTACGTACCACTGAGGAGATCCGAAACGACATCATTGGTATGTTCGATAATTTAGAACGTTCTGAAAATCTCCAAGAGATGGAAGCAGACCCCCGTATCACGACTGAGCTTCTGAAGCATCAAAAACAAGGTCTTTATTTCATGACCAACAAGGAGAAAGAACGTGTTTTTGGCAAAGATGAGAAATGCAATAACTCTTTGTGGCGACTCAACATATCTCCTAGTGGCGAGAAAACATATTTCAATGTCATCACTGGCCAAGAAGAACGTCGGAGTCCGCCACAGGTTCTTGGTGGTATCTTAGCTGATATGATGGGTCTTGGGAAGACTTTGGCTATTCTTGCTCTGGTAGTACAGACTCTTGATGTTGAGGCTCAGGAGTGGGCAAAGCAGACTCCTTGTGCATCACAAGACGATCGAGATCTTTGTCCTTCACGAAAGGGGAAGGTGGCTCTGCCGAAGCTTGAGCAGACTCCTCTTGTCCTGAATGCTAAGACCACCTTGCTTGTTTCACCTGTTTCCACAATTGCCAATTGGGAGCAACAAATGAGGCAGCATATCAAGCCTGGTACCCTCAGATATCATATCTATCATGGACCCAACCGGATCAAAGATGTCAAAAAGCTTGCTGAGTTCGATCTTGTCATTACCACCTATGGTTCCATTGGTCACGAATTCAAACACCGAGCCCAAAAGAAGCATGGCGTCTACCCGCTTGAGGAGATCAACTGGTTTAGAATTGTTCTGGATGAGGCTCATATCATTCGAGAGCAGTCAACACAACAGTCAAAATCTATCTGTCGCCTGGCTGCAAATCGCAGATGGGCTGTGACTGGAACTCCAGTTCAGAACCGTCTAGAGGATCTGGGTGCTTTGATGGCTTTCTTACGCATCAAGCCGTTTGACGAGAGCCGTGGTTTTGCTCAATGGATCATGGCCCCTTTCAAGATGTGCGATCCTGAAATCATACCTAAACTACGACTACTGGTAGACAGCATCACTCTTCGACGTCTCAAGGATAGAATCGATCTTCCAGCACGCCACGATCACCTTGTTAAGCTTGACTTCAGTGCTGAAGAGCGGGTTATCTACGATATCTTTGCTAAGAACGCTAATGATCGCGTCAAGGTCATTGTTGGTCAGAGAGAGAAGAACGTCAGCGGAGGAAAGACCTATGTCCATATTTTGCAGTCAATTCTTCGTCTTCGATTGATCTGTGCTCATGGCAGAGATCTTCTTAGCGAGGAAGACTTGAAGGTCATGAATGGATTAAGCAAGGACTCTGCGATTGATCTGGACAGCGATGATGAAGAGGATCGGCCAGCCATGTCGGCACAGCAGGCCTACGATATGTATAACTTGATGAGAGAGACAAATGCGGATGTTTGTCTTACTTGTCTGCGGAAGATTGGTCCTGACGAAGCAGAAGCAGATGGGGAGGCAAAGGATGAGATCATTGGACATATGACACCATGCTACCACATCATTTGCAACACTTGTATTAAGAGATACAAGGCTGACATGGAGGAGGCAGCACAAGGTCAATCCACAATGAATTGTCCAATTTGTCAACAATATATCAAGCTGTTCTACTTCCCTCTGAGACAAGGAGGAGTCGAGGAGCAAGAAGAGTCACGACTTAAGTCTAAACTCAATGCTAAGCATGGAAAGGAGCTCAATGGCTACAGCGGTCCTCACACGAAGACAAAAGCTCTGATCCAAGACCTTCTTGCATCCAGACGAGAATCGGAACTGGCGCCTAACGAACCCCCTATCAAGAGCGTTGTATTGTCAGGCTGGACCGCACATCTTGATCTCATTCAGCTCGCACTAGAAGACAACAGCATTCCCTACTGTCGACTCGACGGCAAGATGTCCCGCATTGCTCGTGGTCAAGCAATGGACGTGTTCCGCGACGATCCCAGCATTCTCGTCATCCTTGTCTCCATCACAGCTGGTGGTCTTGGCCTCAATCTCACTTCTGCCAATAAGGTCTATGTTATGGAACCCCAATACAACCCTGCGGCAGAAGCCCAAGCCGTCGATCGTGTTCATCGACTAGGTCAAAAGCGAGAGGTCCAGACAGTGCGATACATCATGAACGACAGCTTCGAAGAAAAGATGATGATCTTGCAAGACAAGAAGAGAAAACTTGCACACCTAAGCATGGACAGCGAAAGTCGCGGTCGCTTCGACAAAGCAGAGCTAGCACGATCGCGTTTGGACGAACTGAGGAGCTTGTTTAAGTAGAATTTTCCCCTTTCTTTTCCTTTGTTTTCTTGCTTTTGGAAATGGAGTTGAGCGAACAATAGAGGCACGGCATACGGTACAAACCCAGACATATGGCAGGAGTTTTCGGATGGACAACAGGTTTTTCGGTCTGCGTCTTCTTCAGCGTGGGGCTGGTCTTCATTCCTGCATTTATTTTCCCGTTAATGAGATGATTGGTCTTTGGAGAAATATATCTAGATGTGGGCCTACGGGTACCCAGGTACAGAGGACAGATGCATACTCTAGGCGTTCCTCTGACATTGACATGAAATGAAGTTGAATTTTTGCGCATTCATAAAGAAATGGTTTTGCTGTGACTAACTGAATGTGAAATTTTTATTGACATTGCATTTTGGTTCGAAGAACATCTATATCCGAGTCCTACAAAGGGGGCAACTGCTCTATGAGCAGGATCTTTTTCGAGTAACACTACCAAGGTACATTTACATTATTCCCGAATCTCCTTCTACGGTCCCGACATCTAGCGAGCCCCTAAATGAAGTTATCTCGTGACGACCTATAAACTTATTTGCCAACGCCGGATCAACGGTTCTTAGGCCGCAGGCAGGTTAAGGAGAGATACCGGGTACCGTGCTGTTCCTGGTGATTTTGTGTAGTGCTAGTACATTATCAAAAGAAATCGTTCAAGTATATGAGGTTCCCGCAAATCGCGCGAAAAGTGCGAACAGCGCGAATGGCGCATTTTGCGCAACATGCGCTAAATCCGCAAAGTCGAGCTTTTCGTACAAAATTCATGATATGGTATCTGATAATATAAACTTCCATGAATCATGAATGGGAGCGTAGTTGCGGTATCTGAAGCACCAAATCCAGAGAAACAACACCAGTAGCCAAAGACAAATGCCAAAGTCCCACGACTTGCTCAATCGCCACCTAGATCAATCGACATGTGGGATCTCATCGCAGCCGGGACTTCCTTCTGAAGAAACTCTTGAATTGCCACTTGTGGTACCCCATGTCGAGTTGCACTCTGGTCATCCCACGATGAGTGTAGACCGATCAGAGTACCATCTTTTGCAGACAGGAGAGGAGCACCAGAGTGTCCCCAATACGTCCAAGCGTCATGCTTCAAAGTGCCGATCTCTGAATTGTCTTGGGGGTCGGCATTTGGCACCATGCCGAGAAATTTGCCTTCTGATACTTCCATGAGGTTGTAGTTCGTCTTTCGCGCAGACGCTGACTCCAGATCATCACTACCAGGTTGTCCGATACAAAAGATAGGCATTCTTGGTCTTGGGACACTCGTGGATAAATTGACGAATGGGAAGGTTGTCAGGGTGTCAGACTCTGCTTTGTCTGACTCGATGGCTATTATCTGAAGCAGAGCTAAATCGCGCTTAGGATCCCAGACTTTGCACTCAGCTTGCACTGCTAGACCGTTGTGGAACAGCAGCCATTTCTTCTTGTTCAATTTCTTGTATTCTTGACCGTCATCGCCGAAGCAGTGTGCACAGGTTAAGAGCCAGCCTGCTCTGTCAATGCACACCGCTGTCCCAGCTTCGTACTGAGCGAAGATTAGGGTCGCAGATAGAGCATTCTGGAGATTGGCTTGATTCGGCAAAGTGCTCAGAGCGTCAAGAGTAGTTGTTTCTGTGGATGTTAATCGCTCTTGCTTCTTGCGGAGAAGAGCAATTTCAGTTGCCTTTAGACCAGATTGTCTCATTGAATTAGAGGGCACGATTTTGATTTGGCTGAAAGGTTGTGGAGGAAATGTGAATGGCGGAGGCGGAAGAAATGTGTTGTTACCGGATGGTATGCTTGTTGTACTCCTCTTGGAAGAGTTACCAACTTCCACCTCCACCGATGGGAATCCATCTGGAATACTTGTGCGCGAAACCATACTTCGAAGCCCTGATTTGCGTACCCGAGGCAGACGCGGTTGGCCTGCTCGTCGACTCTGCTCGTGTGCTGTCTTGGACACGGTAGACGACACAGGTACATGTTCGACATCGTCCATATCTGGTTCAGAGGAGTCTTCGATGACAATGGCAGTTTCCATAAATGCTCCGGCCATGATAACAGCACCTGCTGGTTGCACCCCGAACGCGTTGACCCTAAAAAGATGCTCCCGAATTTTGAATTCTAGGGAGGCTTTAGGGCTCTTAAGATATGGTGTGGACCGTCGTCCAGATGACACAGAATCCTAGGCCGACGTGAATTTTGTGGAATTCAAAAGAAAAGAAAGGGTTGACTTGAGTAGGTCTTTTCAGGCAAACACGCTACTTCGAATAGCACCACGTGATCACGTGCACTGCTAAATTCTGAGCATCCTATTTCTCGCGTCTGAGCCAAAGCAGGTGTTCAAAACATGGTTTTGCAAAGGAAGCCGACAGTTCATCTTCTGAAGTATCAGATAGATTTCTGTTACGCAAGACTCAGATTGCGTTTTATTTTACATCGAAGCCTATCGTCAACCATTCTCAGGTTCTTTGTCTTCCCTCCAACCCAATTATATGAACTCCTCTTGCGCGTTGTTGTCTTGTACCCTTGATTCAGACCTGATCATCGAATCGAGTCTTCCAATTGTCAGGATCCTTGCTTGCTTTGTCAAAGCTACCTGCTTCGGGATCATTCCGCTGGTACTGTACACGAATGTCCCTCGTCATCATAATTCCCTCCTGACCTGGCAGGATATTCTCCTCGCTTTCGTTCTTGCTTACAATTGTAGTAATCTTGGAAGGATTTTTTCGACTTTCCGAGTACGCTCGAGATCGAGAGGTGTTTGTGTTCGAGTTATCTTGTTCAGTATAACCGCGTCCTGTTCTGAACGTTCGATTGCCAGAACTGACTACTACATCGAGAACCTTCACGAAAAGCGGTCGCGTGGTAGGAATGCAGCCCACAATGAATACAACCCACATTTCAGTCCTTGAAAGTCTCAGTCAGCACATTGCTTCTACACAGCCGGGACAAAAAGATGATGGGACAAGAACTCACGATGCCCATATATTAAGATTTGCAAGCTCGAAGGTTAAGTCCGAGGTGGCAGTAAGAGTACTTAATTCGACAGTCTTCACGACAGCACAGACAGAAGCCCTTCGAGAGTCAGTAATTCTCCTTCGTCTGGAAAGTTGCCAGACTTACATTATTCCGAATCCAAACAAAACCATCAATCCAATCTTGATATGCAATCGAAGTTTCAGGTTCCAAAATATGATGACGGGATATATTGCAAGTGCAACATCCAAGAACGCTCCGAAACCTATCTCTGAGTTAGCTACACTGCAGTTCATCGAGTGCATCCAGAATTTGTTTCTTACTGCCTTGAAAAAAGCCATACAGCTTGTTCCTTTCTCGTCCATTACAGTCACCTTCGAGAGAGTTATCCCACATCTTTGCCGTTGGACTGCATTGCGTCCAGACGATTGGAATGATGATAATGTTCACAATAACATTACTTGCCACAAATGCCCACAAGACCCACTTCCGTTTATGTGCTGTAGTGGAGGTGCCTTCTATTTGCAATATCAGAGCAATGATTGCAAGTTTTCCAAGTGCAATAGAAACAATGGCGAATGTGGTGAATATCCATTGATGGAACTGGTTCCGTACAATCAACTCTGAGTCCAGCGCCAGCAAGTCTGTGAGATGAGACCCAAGTCCGAATTCAACAGAGATAGTCAGAAATATGGTTGCCAATACTGAGCAAATCTAGTTTTGCGTTAGATATTGCAGAGGTCGGAAGCCAGTGTGACCTTTCGACTTACGTATGTGATTAGAGCCCACCAGAAGTCCGCAGACCACCTCCGAATGATAAATGCGTTGACATAAATTCTCATGCTCATCAACACTGTACCAGCAGCGAATTCAGACCATGTCGTAGCAAGCACTGCCGGCCCAAGACCTGAGACATGGGGAGAGAGCATTTTCAAATGAACAAAATCCGTTGATCACTGCCTCCAGAGTTCAGACGGTGATCCACACCGTATTATAGATCAGTCTTTCAAAGACACTTGCGAATCACCAGCTCCAAGGATACAGCAAGCTCTGCTTGAGAGTACTGGTCTTAAGGTAGACGGCTATGGGCATGTACTGTGCCTCTGCATCACTGGATACATTTCCTTCCAAAGCCGGGGACAAACATGGCAGGTGCCGCGGTCCTTCGCCATTTCTCCATTCTGTTCTCTCAATCAGGATAGAACGAAATCGTTTGCATTGTAGGCTACAGGGTCCTGTAGTGACAGAGCACAACGAACGCAGGAATCAACGAAAAACATGTGACATGGTATGCGATGTATCATGCCCTATTCTCCGAACACCATTCTCTTCCTTGTCAAACATGCATGATGTTCCGGGGAGCTTCATCTGTTTTCTTGAGGTGACATCGTGGATACTCTAGAAACGCCACATCAAGGGGTCGCTAACGATGAGAGTGCTTTTATACTGGTTAGAGCCCAATAACCCATCCCGTTGGCTTGGAATCATTACCTGGACTGGATCCTTCTGAACTTAATATCTTGCATGGGTACTTCATAGGGAACGCGTCACTGCCAACTAACGCAAAATACTCTTTCTTTTGGCCAAAGCAGAACTCTCTTGGAAACTCTGTGAGACAAACGAGACTGACACATTGACGGGTATATCCATATTTGGGGTACGGAATACCCCAAGACAGGACCACCCGTTGGCAAAAGCTGCGGAATTAAAGTTTAATTTCAACCCAGAATGAGAGCGCATTGGGTTCGTGGGATTGTCTTCCCTGCTAAAACAATGTGATGTGCCGGAGAATAGCTTCTCGCATCCGTGCGAGCAACTAGTCACTGATCAGTATTCTTCAGATATCGTTACACTTTCGAGGCCCCTTCTAGAAGCTAGCATCCCATAGGCAATCCTCACTCCTGGGATTGCCAAAGTGAAGCAGCCTCGACTTGCTTCAAAATAATGCTGGCAGTGTCAACAAACCATGCTACGCCAATCATGTTGCTGCAAAGCGAAGTGTCATGGTGCATGAGTCCCGATTTCATTCGTGGAATGTCGTGTCACCTTGGTTGTTCATGTTTCGGGCATTGCAGGTATCGAGACGTTGACGTTCTCTTCAGCAGGTTTCTTGCAAGGATTTGCGCAGGTGATGAGAACGGACCAAACCCAACAATCCTTGCTGCCGGATATGCAATGAGGAAGCTACCCTGCTCCGGAAAGCTTTTCTCGCTCGCCTCGACCTCACATCATCTGGGGTTTTTGGCGAAGCATCCATAGCGTGCGTCCGTCTGGAATCATTTGGCAATAGCTTCGTCAGATTCGTCTAGTGACCGAATTGAATTGACGTGGGAGATAACAGGGAAGCCGAAGCCGGGGGTAACACAGCAGCAGCCATCACAAGATCTTTGGGACGTCTGTCAAGTTGCAATACCCTGACCGAAAGATACAATTCGTTCATTCGTCTTCATTATATTGTTTCACAAGTCGTCCAAAATGGCTAACATCCTTGACTTAGCACGCGAGGTGCAGGCAGCTGCCGAGGACTTTTCGTCGGGAAAGACGAGGGACAATCTCAAGCTGTTGCGAGCTATTCGAAACTTGAATCGCATTGCTGAGTCTCCCGTAGATCGTTTGAGAAGAGTCTCTTATCAGGTGAGTTTATCACAGCAAGAGATCGGCTCGTTGACAAGAGTCGTTAGCCAGTACAATGTGCTGTTGTTCGATTGGCTGTCGAGATGGGTTTGCCCCATGCTCTCGTCGAAGGAAAGACGATGACTGCTGCTGAGCTTGCGCAGAAGTCTGGAGCAGATCATCTTTTGACAGGTAACAATTTAATCGGACCAAGAACTCTTTGAGGGCTGAGATGAAGTTTCGAGTGAGTGCTAACCTGGTCACTGGCTAGTCCGGGTGATGAGAGTCCTCGTTGCAATGGATATATGTGACGAGATTGGCGAGGAACACTACGAATCCAATCCAACGACAGAAGCTCTTGCTACTCCAACTTGGAGTGGAGGAATGAGGTATCTGTCAGTGGAGACTCTCTGCCCCGCATTACAACCAGAGTTGCATCACTTACTTGAGACGTTAGATTTGACACAATCGTCCCAACCTTCGATAAGCTTGTAGCCTACTACAACGAGGCAGGTTTCGAAAGCGATAAGCTCTTATTCGAGTACGCTCTTGGCCAAGACCTATGGTCTTTCCTCAGAACACATCCCTCGCTGCACAAAGATTTCCTTGATTACATGAAAGGACGGAAAGACGGGCAACCGAGATGGCTCGATTATTTCCCCGTCTCTACGCAAGTTGGAGACCTCGATGTCTCTAAGCATTCTGTGACGCTCGTGGACATTGGTGGAAATTTAGGTCATGACTTGAAGTTGTTTCAGGAACGATGTCCTGAGATACCTGGGAGATTAATCTTGATGGACTTGCCAGAGACTATTGCTGGGAATTCGGATCCTTTGGAAGGTATTGAGAAAATCGAGTATGACTTCTTTACACCGCAGCCAATTCATGGTAGGTTTTTGTTTACTATTCTTGAGTTGCTGGAGCTGAGTCGTTTCAGATGCCAAGTTTTACATGTTTCGAGCCATCTGTCACGACTGGTCGGATGAGAACTGCCAGAAATTCTTGGGAAATACGGTCAAGGCAATGAAGAAAGGCTATTCGAGACTTCTGATCAATGATCAAGTTCTGCCTAATACTGGAGCAGAACTCCATCCTACGATGCTGGACTTTACCATGATGGCATATTTTAATGCTATGGAAAGAACTGAAAGACAATGGCGGACTCTCTTGGACAGCGTTGGACTTGAGATTGTGAAGATCTGGAGCTTTGATGGTGGTGGGTCTGAAGCTGTGATCGAGGCGATGTTGAAAGACTAGAATTCATTGCACGTAAAACAGGCACAGTGCGATAGAGATAAATTCCCGTTCTCTCACTTAAAGTAAGATCTTACTTTCTATCCGCCGTCGGTATACTTATTCCAAATATTCATCTTCGAAAGGAAATAATTATCAAACAAGCTTTCTTCGTCAGCACTACTGCCAGGATCTACGACCCTACCTCACAAGTTCACCACCAACCCACTAGCTGCATCCCGCATTCGCGTTTCGACCCCCAACCAGCAATTACCTTGTACCATACCCATGTTCACCGTGCCCCCTCCCCGCATCGGCATCACATTCCAGGAAGTACCGGGATCACTTCGTCCCGCTTCCCCATGCTCAATACATCGGACGTGTAAGCTGCATTCGGAAGATTGAAGGATGAATGCTTTCGTTCGTTCTGTACGTCCTCGCTACCCTGTTTCGGAGCGAGAGAACTTTTGAGACTTCAGATCATGTTCGAAACTTGCTCCTTTCTGTTTCTTGTTGTTGATACAGGTCCTTTGATTTTGCTTACTATATTTTGATTTGTGGACTTTCTTGCGAAGTTGATTGCAACGTATTGGCACTTTAATTATTGGTTCATAGACTGGCTGCTGGACTTCTGCTGCGACAATAGCACGCGGCCCAGACGTGGAAAGTGAACAGTTCGTGCAGGCTGTTTAAGATGCAAGGTTAGCTACATTTTTCGTCCCTTCTTATTTTCTTGCTATGCGATTGTTTTTCCTGTGGAACTCGTCTCCATTTTCTTCCCTCTAACACCTCCGGCACAGGTACCGGAATCATGTCTTCCAATGGAGAAGACCTCACCAGAGATGGAGAGAAAGACTTCAATATCACAAGCAACAAGTCGTTCGACGAAGCAAATCCTTCTTCTCCAATGGCAGATCTGAAAATGCACCACGATGGCTCGACTGTCCTCGTCCCGCAACCAAGTAGCGACCCAAATGATCCATTGAATTGGAGTGTGTTGAAGAAGCATGCCTTCTTGTTTGTAATCGCTGTTACTGCTTTTTTGCCGGATTATGGATCCAGTACTGGAGCGATCACGAATTTGGTGCAGCCTGCGTATGTTTCCTGTCTATTTTCCAGTGAAAAGTCTTGTCTAACCTTTGACGTAGAACCTTCGGCGTTCCAGAGAATATCGTCAATCATGCTCTAGTCGGAAACCTTTTCATGCTGGGCGCAGGAGGGATTTTTGTTGTTGCTTTATCGGCATACTTCGGGAGACTTCCAGTATTGTTCTGGTTCTCAATTGTAGCGCTTTTGACTGCTGCATGGTCGGCTGCTGCTACGACGTTGGAGAGCTTTGAGGCGGCAAGGATTCTGCATGGCTTCTTCTCTACCGTTGCTCAAGCCGTAAGTTGAAATCATAGGAGTAGCATTGTAGTTGCTAAATGGCGTGTAGGGCGGCTTGATGTTTATCAAGGATATATTTTTTGCTCATGAGCATCCGTAAGTCTTGTATAAAAGACGGAAACTCATGCACCAAGCTGACTGAAAGATTAGTCGAAAAATCAATATCTGGTCCTGCTTCATCGTCGTCTCTCCTTACCTAGGACCTTTCGTCGCGTCCTTCATAACGTGGAAATCGACTTGGCCTTGGGCATACTGGGTGCTCACTATCCTTTGGGCAGTGGCTCTCATTCTCATAGTCGGCATCATGGATGAAACATACTACGACCGAAAAATTCCTCAAGACCAGCAACCGAAACGAAAGTCGAGACTGCTCAGACTCATTGGTGTTGAGCAATGGCATAGCCGTCATCAAAGAAACACGTTCTTGCAAGCTATGAGCAGACCCGCAATTGCGATTACCAAAGTTCCTGTAATTCTGGTAACGCTGTATTATGTCTTTACTTTTGGGTGGGTGATTGGACTCAATGCCACTACTGGGGTCTTTTTGCATGAGTTATATCACTTCAACTCTGAAGCATCAGGTAATATCAATCACCATTCGATTGCCAAAATGACTGACAACTTTCTCAGCACTTTATTTCTTTGCTCCAATTGTAGCAACAGTCCTCGGCGAGATCACTGGCCATTTCGTCTTCGACTTCTCCGCACGCATCTATCGCAAACGCAATAACGGCAATCTCGAGCCAGAAGCACGTCTTCTACCTCTTTGGTTCGCAACTCCCCTCATGGTCCTCGGCATCGTGCTGCTGGGTTTCACACTCGAGAACCACTGGCACTACATGGTGATGGCCGTGACCTGGGGGCTCTTCGTCTACGGTATCATAATATGCACGACGGGCATCAATTCGTATCTTCTAGACGCGTATCCGGAAGCTTCGGGTGAAGTTGCCGCTTGGATCAACTTTGGACGAACAGTTGGAGGATTTATTATCACGTACTATGAGATTCCGTGGATCACGGCGATGGGGACAAGGAATGCGTTGGGCATACAAGCAAGTATTGTGGCAGCGGCTTTTGGGTTTATTGTTGTGTTGCAGTTCTGGGGGAAGATATTGAGAGAGTTCTCAGGAAGTGTAAAGTTTGCTACTGACTAGAGCCTTAGTTCCTATTTAAAGACGAATTATACGTCCTGGTTTCTAGCTCTAATTTTTGTATAAAAATATGACTGAAAAAGAATTTTTAATCGAGGTTTCTTTGATTACAAATTCCCAACGAAGTCGGGGATTTAAGCCCTTTCTAATCTCTGAATGATATCACAAGTCCCCCCTCAGCTCCTTGGCAGAGCCTCGGCCTTGTTGCTAAGGAGTGCAAAGTAAGGGAGGGAAATCGTGACAAAGCCAACTCGATCATTGGACGAGAAGGAGTCAACAGCATCACCGCAGATTCGTTTTGACGATCTGATTAGATTTCGTTCCCGCAAATATCTCAACCACATTCCCAGCGTTGCCGTCATTCTTCGCAGGGTTTAAGTTGAGAGATCTAGCTAGAGAAAATTACCGAAAGAAGGGTCCAAGACACTGATGTTTCGCCCACATACTTGGTAAGAACGCCTCTTGACATCTTGCAAACCCCTTTCAGTTTTCTGAAATGATTGGCAGATACTCAGCCTTCTGAGTATCCCAATTAGCTGAATTGGCGTTCATTTTCATTTCATAAGTAAACAAGGCTCTATTATATGACATAGAAACAAGACAAAATCACTGGCACCACTCTACAGGACAAAAACTTCTCATCAAGCAGAGATGTCTTTCTTTAGCGTTGGGAAAAACTTCGTGGATTCTGCAGTCAGGTCTTTAGTAACCGGGTACCCGGCATCCTACGAAATGAGCCGCTCAGGAATTTCTTGAATGGCTGGAAAAGGGAAATTGACAGGGATCCAAGACCTCGATCTTAGGGCTGGGCCTTGCTTCAAGTTTCAAAGTAATATCTCCCCTCTCTTGTACAGCTTTTTGTCTTTCTCCTTCTCCTTGTCCTTCTCCTTTCGGCACTTTTATTCGCACGAGTATTAACCATCTGACAGTTGTCTACTGATACAAAATCCAATGCTACTAAGTGCCCGTTTAAGTCTTGATATCAATAGAATGAAGCCTCTACCAAGCTTCTTAACATTCTAAAGTGACCCCGAGACTTTTGTAGAGATTCAATCGTCGAGTCTGTTCAAGCTCTAGTGAAGTGTTTAAACGCCTTTTGCTAGATCCGGTATCTGCTCACTCCTTGCCATTCCTCTACTCTACTGCTATCTGCTCTATATACACTAAATATGTGATCCATATCCGAGAAGAACCCCTGAAAAAATGGCGAATTTTGGAGTTATCCAGGCTTTTTCTGTGTCATATTGAGGAAAGTCTCGAGCCGCTCGTTTCCTGGGGGCATTCCTCTCCTCCCGTACTCTTGCCGTCTCTCACTTTGGGGTCTCGTATTCGTGTGCGAGACATGGGATTGTCCCACACTGGTGGCCACTTTGGATTTCAATTTCTTTCCACTGCTCGTTCTAATGTGGTACTATCATCTCTAAAGTTGCCCCGTCTCCCTTTATTGATCGAAGTCATCCTCTCGCATCATTGCACTTTTGCGTCTCTCCTTTAGCAACAATGTGGCTCTTTGCAACTCTAACTCGAGTTCCAATCCTGGTGATGTCCGTTTTCGCCACACTGACCAGTTGCCAAGGAATAATATGTGATATTTTTGGCTTACCAGCGGGTTGTCATACAGCTGCAGCAGGCGGACCAAACAGTACCCCAATTCCCGCGCCAAATACGCCTTCGTCAACGTCACGACGCCCTTCTAATTCGGCTTCCGTCTTATCAATCACTCCCTCAGCTTTAAGTTCGTCAAGCTCCTCTTCCAGCCCGGCTTGCGTGCCCCGATTCTACACGCCTTCCTGTATTCCTACGGTCACAACGACTTCATGTGCAGTACGTTAAAATAGCCCTTATTTCCCCTTGATATTCGGGGCCGAGCTCTTCGGGAGCTGCTCGGAGATGTCAAAAATGCTACGCAAAATGCAATCTTATCTATTTGGATCCCTATTTCTGCTCCTAAGGTTATGCCAAAAGTCCATACTGACTCAACAGTAGGCAACTAAAGAATCTTGCACGCCTACACCTATAACGATGCTATGCACTGGCACTCCAATATTTCAATCTTGTCCATCTTCATCTCAAAATTCAAATTCCTCTAGCACTGCTACGAAACTTTCAACCGCCTCGAATCCCTCAACAACATCATCATCATCACAGTCACAATCGCAATCACTTTCCGATTTGAATCCATCAAATTCGAACAGGACGAGTTTCACTCCTGGCCAAAGAACCACCAGTTCATCAGGTTTATCAAGTTTGAGTAATCCAAGTCTTGCCACCAGCCAGAGTTCCAGCCAAGTTACAAGTCAAACTTCATCAAGTTCATCAGGTTCGAATTATCCGAATCTTACTCCCAGCCCAAGCTCCAGCCATATTTCCAGTCAAGTCACCAGTCAAAGTTCTAGTCAGATAGCGAGACAAACAACGAGCCAAATTACAACCACGATCACTCTCTTATCCCGTTCGTCCTCAGATAGCTCTTCAGTCTCCATTTCATCAAGCAGCTCCCTACTTCTGCTCTCATCAACTAGCTCTGTTAGCTTGATTTCCTCTCTATCAAGCATTTCCTTGACCCGCACCTCATCTTCAGCACCTGTGGTTCTGTCGTCATCCATTCTAGACTCCACAACCAGCCAAACGCCTAGCCAAAGCATATCGGCGAGCTCGGTGTCAACTAGCATTTCTAACTCGATTCTCGTCTCATCAACTAGCTCCTCAAATCTGCTTTCATCAATCAGCTCTTATACTTCATTATTATCAAGCATTTCCGAAACTCAAGCCTCACCGCCAGCACCCATTCTAGGCTCTGCAACTGTGTCAGACTTAAGTACATCCCCGAATTCGTTGTCGACCAGCATTTCTAATACGACTCCGGGCTTATCAACTAATTATTTGAGTCTTCTTTCGTCCAGCAGCTCTTCTAGTTCGCTATTGTCAAGCCGTTCCTCAATTCAGTCCTCATCTCCAGCGGCTTTTGTCTTGTCATCAACTACTCTAGGGTCGACAGCTGTGCCAACCCTAAGCTTGAGCATATCTTCTGAGCAAGCCTCCCCAAGCGCCATATCGTCGTCCAACCTACTAGTCCTAGACTTGAGGACATCTTCCGAGTATACGCCAACAAGCGCCTTGTGGTCCTTTGTTCCAGAAGTAACGTCTGTTCCAAATCCAGGTTTGAGCCCATCTTCCTCAACGAGCGTTTTGTCGCCATCTATTCCAGGGTCGACAACGGTGCCTGATCAACGATTGAGCAGTTCTCCCATATATACGTCAACAACGGCGCAAGGTGTTTCCCTATTGATCAGCGAGGCCTTGACACTGGAGTCTTCGACCGCACAACAGCAAGCAACTAGCCCAATAAGTTCGTCGACAAAGTCTACACCGCTTCATATATCCGATGCGCCATCTTCAACCACAAGCTCGCAGCTTCAGGCCTCAGGTCTGACAACAAATTCTCCTACAGTATCCTCGACACACTTCGAAATCCCACCTCAAGTGACGTCTTCAAGCTCAGAGCCTCCAGTACCCGTATCGCCTACGACATCTTCTACGACGTCCTCGACACAACTTGAAATCCTATCTCAAGTGACCCCTTCAAGTTCACAGCTTCCAGCCCTTGTCCCGCTCTCAGACTCACCTCCAACGTCCCCAACACAGCTTGAGACCCTTCCCCAGGAAACATATCCAAGTTCACAACCTAAATTACCGTCTATCCCAACATCTTCCACCCAATCACCAATACTCGTCGCGAATCCCAGCCCCAGCGTCAGCGCTTTCACCCTCATCGCCACATCAGCACGAATGATCTCACCACCTTTTCCTACCTCCTCGATAATCCTTCAGATAATGCCCATCATCCCCAGAATGCACAAACGCCAATCCAACACCAACACCAACACCAACACCAACACCTACCTAACCCCCACCTCCCCAATCAGCAACACAACATGCTCCTACAGCACCGCCAGCTTCACCATAACCAATGGCCAACTCTCCACCTCCGACGGTCGATTTCTCTCTACAACCGACGGCGTTACCTGGATGGCATTCCAAGCATCTTCTCCGGCGGAGGCGATTAGCACGCAGTTTACGATCGACGGAAATGGGTACTTGGTGTGGAGTAATAGTGCGTTTGTGGGGGATACAGCGCTGTTTTGTGAGGATGAAGAGACGGAGCAGATTAATGTGCTGTTTCGGGGGGAGACTGATGCGAGTGATGAAAGTTATCCGGATTATGGGATGGGGTGTGCTCCTGTGGATTTGATGATTGTTGATGGTAAGCGCACTCTCCTAGTTTCTCTGTCCCAAGGGGTAAAAAGACTGGAAGCTTATTCTTTGATATCTAGGGTCGATATGTTATAAGTCGACGATGACTATGACTATGACAGAGGCTGCAGCTAGTACGGGAACTTGTCCGGTATACCCTGAGAGTTGGAGAACGTATTCAATCGCGGGGTTATCTTGTGTGCCGCGCACTGTGATTTGGACGCAGAAGGGATGTGTCCCTTCCCCAGTTCCGTACTTATCGGATCCGAGATACTGAGAAGTGAAGCAAAACGAATTGTACAGTACATACCTAGGTAGAAGGTGCGTTTGCGCGGAAGTACAAGAGGGGAGATGTTTTACGCAGGGAAAGAAAAAGCATGATACAATCGAAACAGATCTAGGCCATAAATAAGACTGAACAGAACCTTGAGTAGTCGATGGGTATGTGCTCCAATTTGCCGCTAAGTGTCAAGCAGCAAAGGACAACATGTAACAAGGAATGGAGAGAAGAATGAAAATCACGATTTGGAGACACCTTGTTGTTTCATAAGAAGGCCGTAGATAGATCTTGAAGTTGAGAGCAATGGCTTGACAATTACCTAGGTAAGTTGTGGTTAGTGCACATGACCATTGATCACGTGAAAGACTGTTCTAGATGTCGGCACTGGTCGACTCAATGCCGTCATTGGCTCGGGTTCTCGGCCTCGACCCTTCCCTAATTCTCCTTATGTGATTGACGTAGCTTGACTTCTAAGCAAAATTCGAGTTTTACCACTCGTAATTCTTAACATCAACATTCCATCTTCACGTTTACGTTACACTTAATTAATACGTACGCCAAAAACGCCCTCTGTGTCAAATTGCCTAGCGCAACTGAAAGTCACCTCGACGCGGACCCAGGAAGGGAAATCAACTACACCCTATGACACTGTTTGTGGAGACAGTGCGTCACGCATCAACCATCATTACGGGTGTATAATATCTCGAGCCGTGTATCCAATGGAAGCAAGAGATCAGCAAGAATTCTACTGAGCGCGGATCTTGATCTTGATATCGATATCAGCATTCAGACGAAGGACTGCATATTGCCGTTTTACCTGTCAACCGATCATTGAGAACAAAACATGAATCACGTTTCCTTTCAGGGGCATCCACCACCTCTAGCGCCTACCAACCACCAACCTCAAGCCGTACCGCCGCCCAGAAAGTTGAGAAGGATCTCGAGGGCTTGCGACTTTTGCCACAAGCGGAGCATTAGATGCAAACCGAGCGACGAAGATCCGACACGCTGCCAGAACTGCGATGACTTCGATGTCCCTTGCACGTACTTGAGGCCAGCCAAGAAGAGAGGTATCAAGAGCGGAAGCACAAGAGCAGCCAGTGAGAATGGAAACTCTTCCAGAGATGGAGAGAGTGATGCACGAATGCTATTGGAGCTGACCCATGGGATTCAGGGGAATGGGTTCTTCAATGTGGTGGACCGGTTTTCGATTCCCGAGCGATGGAAGACACTGGTGATTGAGAATGAGACCAAAATCCAAAACCTGGTGGATGTGTATTTCGAAGTTGTGTATCCCATGTAAGATACCACAAATCTCCGAGAGCCGCAAAATTCTAATCATACAGATTTCCACTGTTTCACTCCCCAAACATGAAGAGGAAAGTTGCGTCTCGAGACTATTTGACAGACCATTCCTTCTTCGCAGACACAATGGCTATCTGTGCTTTGGCATCAGCAAGAGCCAGGGATGGTGCTCTTTTCCCTGGTCAGTGGGAGCCTGGACACTTCCACCATCCGCCTTCGGAAGTATTCTTCGCAGCTGTCAAGGAGGCCATGCCACAGGACTTGAGTGCAATGAAAGGTTTGGATTGGATGCGAACATGTGCTCTCATGGCTCTTTATGGTATCCAAGTTGGTAAGATCGACATTATGCATCAGTACCTAGGCATGTATCACAGTCTGGTATCGATGGACAGCTTACATGATGAGAAGAATTGGCCCCAAGACATCGGTTTAATTGAGTCGGAATTACGAAGACGCCTGGTAAGCTCCAGTATTTCCCAACACTGGAGACTCAAGCACTGACGAGCTGTAGTTCTGGTCAATGTATACTCTAGAAGTGTACTCGTCCATCGTATGGGGTAATATTATTCGTTGCCGAGAAGCACAATCTCATGTTCAGTATCCTAGCGAGATTGACGATGAATTTTTCACAGATGCAGGGTATCATCCTCCTAACAGTCTCGTACCTTCTCCTCAAGTTGCTGGCAATACCATCTGTTGGCTTCACGGTTTGAACTTTTGCACTGAGCTGTATCGAATCCTTGAGCATGCGATGGACGATTTTCACCGTCGACGACCCGTTCGAAACCAGTTCTCTCCACCAGCTCTCTTTAATCGAGAGACTCCTCAGCAAAGCGATGTGTTGAACAAGGTCATGTCCATGTATGAAGAGTTGCCTCCGCGGTTCAAAGAGACAAGACTGAACCTCTCGCATGGCCAAGGTGGCCTTGAAGACAAATTCAGTTTTCAGGCCGCCAATATTACTGCTACGCTTCAACTTGTTCGCATGGTACTGTTCACCTCCAAGGATGCGACAGTAGACGAGAAATGTGCTATTGCTCGAGATCTTGTTGAAAGCTTCAACAAAATTCCCATTGAATTCTTGCGGGCTATCTCTTCTCCACTGTTGCACCATGTGGCAGGCATTGGTGCTATCCTTGGCTCCGCAATCGAAGGTCCCATCTCAGAACCCTCCTACCATCAAATTAGAGTTGTGCTGTAAGTTTTACAGTGAACTATTAAGATCGTTAAATGTTAACGAGATCCCAGACTACAAATGGTAGACCTCCTCTCCAACCTTGAAACAGGAATTAGTCGAACCGTCGGCGCTGCCTCCCGTCTTCGAGCACAACTAGCAAACATAGACAATTACATGAACACCCAACGCCGAAACGACCATACGCAGTCCCAGCTCCTGCTCAACAACAACTTTCACCCCGCAGGGATGGTCAATGTCGAGCCAAATCCCAACATTGATCCCAGTCTTCAAGATGCCTTTCAAACACCACCGAATCCGTACGATTTTTCAAACGTGAGTACAGCTGCGATGACGGCTTCCATGAATGTGATGGCAGGCCATAATTTGCAGTTGCCGCCAGAGATATTGGAAGGGTGGCCATGGCCGCTTGATATTAGCCAGGGATTCGCTAGTTCGGGGCTTGGGCAATTTTAATCTGGTTGTGCGAAAGGAAGATAGGGTGGCCTAAAATGATGTTGTATGATAAGGGAGAATGTAGAATGGAACGGAACGGAATGGACATGGGATAGAAATGGATGGGAAAAGATCATGAAAATAACAGGGTATGGGATGGACAAAAAAAGAAAGGCGTCTAAACCGATTTTGGTTCTGGTCAATGATGGAATGAAGTTGAACCGAAAATGGTACCATAAATCAAAGACTGGAGTTAGATGGGATGAACAAGGACTGTTCGGTAAAAGATGGAAAATTTGCACACTCGGGGTGTTACGGTTGGAGGAAAGGGGTCATGAACGCACTCAGTGCTTTCGTTCGTTATTGCTGTATCAATAGTCGTTCTTGTACTGTATGAAGGCCTCGTTATCATACCATTGTCTGTGTGATATTCAGGACTGTGAGTGAATGCTCGCTTATCGTCTTGACACCTCGTCCTCCCTTTCTGAAGTCATGACAACTACCTGTATAAATTCTATAAATCAAATTTCGGTGTAACGGTTTGTTATCTTGCACTCGACAGTGTGTAATGGGGCCACCAAGAATTCCTAAATCGAGTACATGCGTAAAATTAGTCTGGCTTGTGGGAGAACGGAAATGGATTCCTTGGCCCCCCAGTAGTAGATAGTCCCGATTGGCTTATTCAATACCTTTCGATGTTTTGAATCTTTTGGGTCTTGGATCCCGAGATGGGCATGAGTCAATAAGGCTATACGTGTATCAACAAGCGGTAGCGTAGCAGGAACATATATCAAAAAGCAAACTCTTCGTCAAGGACAAGTTTGTTTGAATTCATTCCACCATGTCGCTTCCCCAAGCTCGTCAAAATCTACATCTCATACAGCACTTCAGATCATCTGCCCTCCATTCGGTGCCTGCCCACCCGAAGCAGAACTCTCTCTCGTCCCTTGTCCCTGTCCGGCAGCCGGATTCCTCTCCCTGACCCTCACTTTCTTGAAACAAGCAAACTCACTCCTGCTTCCCTCCCTCAACCTCTTCAACACGGCTCTCATCTCCGGCAATTCGCTCTGCAGCCTCGTCCTCGCTTCATTATCCGTCTTCGCGTCTAATTCCTGGTAGATCTTGCTTTGCATGTCGCTCGCTCTGTCCGTGGTGTATTGACTTAGGGTTTGAGCAACGAATTCTACGTCCAATGTTGCTTGCATTAATTCGGATAAAGTGTATTTGGAGCGGATTTTGAATGCTTCGAGGAGTTCGCGGGAGGCTTGTTCCAGGAGGTAAGAGAGGACTTGAGAGGTTAAAGAAGAGGCTGTGGTTGAGACCTGGGTGTGGACTAAGACGAGAGAGAGGAGGGATGAGTAGACGTATGGGCGAACTTCTTGGGGCTTTTCGTTCGAGCTGGGAGACCATTCTGGGGAGGCGATGCCGTTGCGGATGGTGGTCTTGAGGGTCTCGACTGAGGGGCGGGTATATGATTGGAAGAGACGAGCGTCGATTTGTCCGAGAACGTCTTTAATGGTCTTTGTTTCTTCAGTGAGTTTGACGGCGAATGCGTTTTCGAATTGCATGGTCAAATTTGGTACAATTTCGGCGCGGAGGGCTGAAAGATTGCTTAGTGTTAAAAGCATACGGACGTTCTGATAAGATTGTCAGCAAAATCAGGAGTGTGAAGTGGAGAGAAAATCTTACTCTGTCACTGGCATTGACAGTTCCTGCTCCAATGCTAGTTGCAATGACCATAGCTACTGGGCTTGCAAGGCCATCGTTGTCCGTTGTCCAGTCATCGTCCGCCGCTTTCACTGGCCTCTCAGCATTCTCTACCATTCCACTCAAGGACTTGTACAAAGTAGTCACGAACTGACTTCTGACCATCTGCAAAAGCTTCGCTGGCGGTGGAAATACAACATCGGTTGAGTCAGACTTTGCCATAGCTTCGGATATGTATAGTATCTTCTGCATTCCTGTCAGAATTGCACTCTCGAACGAGCCAAAGTAAGAAGGCATTCTCGTCAAGTCTCGCTTGTCAGGGGATCGTCTCCAGTCTTCCAGGACTTTGATATTGGCCGCATCTTGGTTCCACGCAGCACATATAGCAATAACACATCGCTCCCGAGCCTCACCAACAAAGGCTTTTAGGCGGTCCAGAGCTGCGCCATCGCCATTACCTACAGGAGAAACAGAAGCCATCTCGCTAGCTCCAGTCCCTACCAGTACGAGAAGCTTGCCTAGATAATACACACCACTCAACGAGTTGGACCAGGGTGGCCAGAACGCATGCTTCTCCCACGCTTCACCTCGCTTTGGAGATGGAGGAGGCAAATTATTCGCATCATAGTTGAATCGAGGATCTCGAAGAGCTGATGGTGTCAGCTGCCCGTTCCCATTGCCGTACCCATTGGTGGATGATGCCGGAGTCTTGGGTGTTGGTGGCACAGGGGAAAACAAAGCTGAGATGTCGTCGATAGGTGGGTCAACGAAGAACGAAAATATGCTTTCTCGCAGCATATCAATCAATTCAACAGTTCCCTTCTGTAAGTCAAGGGTACCTTGATCTGATAATCTGTGATGTTGTCGAGAGTCTCCATTGATACCCACTGGCAGATTTCTCTGAGCTTTACCATCGATAAAGCTTTGCACTGTCTGCCAAAACTCCACGACCTCTCCCAGAATACCTTGAGAGCTCAGCATATCGCTTAAGAAGGTGTGCATCTTCTCCCACAGCTCAACAACCTCGGAAGAATCAAGCGAAGTTGGTTTGTCCTCAGCAGTCTGACGACCAAGTGACCTCAGATGAGAAGCAATAACTTGAGGAGTTGGCCTCTCTCCATTAGCAAGACGTCTTCGCATGATCTCGATCTCAACCATCGTACGATTCGAGGTCTCTTGAATCTTCTTCTTGAGATGATCGTAACGACTCAACAACCAGACCCAGATTGGGTTGTCGGTAACCCCTAATTCAAGTAGAACGCCTATTAGTTCCATATGCTGGTCTTGTGCACTGCCAGTGACAGCATCGTTCTTCGAAACATTCTGCATGGAGGTCAATCGTTTCCATACATCTCGCTTGAACTCCTCCAATTGCTCTTCAACGTCATGCCAAACACGTCCAGCCATCAGCATCTGCACGATCTGAGCGTCCGTTGGTGGTGTCGTTCCAAGATTCTCTGCAAGCTTTTTTGCCTCGTCCGCATACCGCTTTGCTTTGGCATACTCCTCGACAATACTCTCATAGTCTTTCCGCTTGATACTATCTGTAATAGCTTGGCCCACCTCGTATAACTCTTTGTAGCGTTCAACGGTACCAGTCATGGTCTTGAGGCTGTCTTCCTTCTCTCGTCCTCCCAGAGCAGGTCCCCAAACTTCCTCTGCCTTCGCCGAGACATCGAGCAGAGGCGTCTTGATACCTAGAACACCATACTCGCTCTCCTTGGTCAGTGCATTCTTCTTCTTGGCATCTGGAATAGGCACAGCCATGGAAGCTTGGTTTCCACTGCTCGTCCTGAAGCTGTTCCTGCTAGCATGTCTAGAATGAGGCCTGCGTGGGGACGGTGGTGGCGGCTCTGCTCCACGGTACTTCATCTCCTTATAAACATTGTCAATTGTAGCCTTGGCTCGTACGAAGCGCTCGAAGTTGGACTCGACCAGCACTTTCAAAGACGCCGACTTCTGGTCAATAGACCTTGACAGAATATCGAGGCCATCCAAGAGCTGTTGTGTAGAAGCGGTCGAATGGACTTGAGATAGGAATAAAGCGGGAGAGAAGGTAGTAGAGGACAAGAGAAATCTATTTCCTGCTGCTGTTAGCAACAGCTATAAGCTAGGGAGACATACATACTTATTCGTGGATCCTCTTGCACAGGCAGACCCATCTGCCGCAATATCCTCACAACACTGTCCGTAGAACCCAGAGGATCAGGCTCATCTCTCTGGACCATAGTATCCACTCCATTTTCACCCCTCTGCGACCCAGGCAAGAAGCTCTTTCGGTCACTAGCAACTCGTTCCAAGGCGGAATACCTGGACTTCGATCTTCGTATCATGCCATTCCGCGAGGGCTTCGTCTCTTCCTCCTCATCGGACGCATCACTATTATCCTTCTCTGCAGGCCACTCCACTGGATACGCCGTAGTCAGTTGGTAGTGCTCCAGCACCGTACGCTCGTAATCCGTCATTCTGGTGTTTTTGTGGCTTCGATCCCTCCTGATTTGGCCATAAGCAAAAGCAGATTCCCTCAAAACTTCACCTCATCACCATCACATAATCCTCGAGTCTCGTAATCTGTATATATTCCACTTGCACAAGCAAGTGAATCGCATGTGTTTCTAAACTGTCGCCGGTAAATGCCGATGGAGCTTCCGGGAAAACACTTCGCCTAGAAAAAAGCAAGTCTAGGATTCTTGATTCCGCGCCTCTAGCTATCGCAGCAAAACCTTCTCTTGATCCTTAGAACCACCACCTCCGCCGTACACTCTTTTGCATATTATCTGCGAAAGCATACCGGCTGCTGAATTGTCAAGATGTTGGCAGTTCGTACTTTCGCCCCTGCGCGCCGACAGTGTCTGCGGACAGCCGCACGAGCCTGGGCTCCCACTTCAGTCCAAGTGAGCGCTTTTGCCAGTTCCTGGAATTTCACTTGAAGATAACTTTTACTAATCTTTCTCTTTGCAGTCTCGACGCCAATATGCGACCGATTTCTCAGAAAAGGACAAAGTTGCCAAGTTTCACGGGCAAAAGGGTTCGGATGTACGGTTATCCCTCCTTGCAGTCTTCAGAGTCGGCCATGATAGCTATCTACAACTTAGCAATGGACTCAATTGAGCTCGTGGAGGATGTTTATTGCGGTCACATTAGCTGACATCGGTTTAGGGACTCTATACTGTCAGTTTGATCGAGGGTGATGGTATTGGACCGGAAATCTCTCAATCCGTGAAGGACATCTTTGCGGCAGCCCAGGTAGACCTTGTTATTCACAGCTTGTTTGCTTCTGCTAACATATTGTCAAGGCGCCAATTAAGTGGGAACCAGTTGATGTTACTCCTACGTTGAAGGACGGCAAGACTACCATTCCTTCAGAAACAATCGAAAGCATTCAAAAGAACAAAGTAGCTTTGAAGGGTCCTCTGGCTGTAAGCTATGCTCTCCATTATGTCAGGATTTACTGACTCTGGCAGACACCAATTGGGAAAGGCCATGTCTCTCTTAACTTGACCCTGCGTAGAACCTTCAACCTTTTCGCCAACGTTCGACCCTGCCGTTCTATTGCTGGCTACAAGACCCCATACGACAATGTTGATACGGTCCTGATTCGAGAGAACACAGAAGGAGAGTACTCTGGCATCGAACACGTTGTGGTAGATGGTGTCGTCCAAAGTATCAAGCTTATCACAAGGGAAGCTAGTGAGCGAGTCCTCCGATTCGCATTCCAATACGCCGAGGATGTTGGAAGACTAAAGGTCCGTGCTGTCCACAAGGCTACCATCATGAAAATGAGTGATGGTCTTTTCTTGGGAACCGCCGAACGTGTATCCAAGGATTTCCCAAGCGTCGAATTTGATGCTGAGCTTCTTGACAACACATGCTTGAAGATCGTTACCGACCCTACTCCATACAACGACAAGGTCTTGGTTATGCCTAACCTTTACGGAGACATTCTTTCAGACATGTGCGCTGGTCTTATCGGTGGTCTTGGTCTTACTCCCTCTGGCAACATTGGAGATGAATGCTCAATCTTCGAGGCTGTGCACGGATCCGCACCAGATATTGCTGGCAAAGCCCTAGCAAACCCAACTGCCCTTCTTCTCAGCTCAATCATGATGTTGAGACATATGGGCCTCACAGACCACGCACAACGAATTGAGACTGCTATCTTCGATACCCTAGCGGAAGGAAAGTCATTGACTGGAGATTTGGGAGGAAAGGCGAAGACACACGAGTATGCCGGTGCTATCATCAAGCGTTTGTAGATATACCCTCCGTTTGGAGATGTAGACTGTACGATTCATAAATGCATAGTATGATTAAATGAACAAAAGGATGATTCAGTGAGCTTTAAGGTAGTACGGAGGTAAACATTTGGGTACAACTACAGCTGCTGACTAACCGCTTCACTGTGATAGTTTCTTAGCATAACAAAGCACGAAAGCCTTAAAAGCCTTCACCAAGTATTCTCTCAATTCCAGATGCAGAATAGTATCCTTCCTGTTTGCGATACTTGACATCACGTGGGAATATGTTCTTTGTTATCCCTGTCGCGATTTCCACGTGTGCAACGCATTCGACGAAAAAGCATCAAAGTCTCACAAACCTAAAGAACTTCAAGCTGCCGTCATTCTTTACACTTCCTGCAGCACTTAGACCGATTCTCCAACCACCTTCCCTTCCTGATGTATCCCGAAATTGAATCTTGTCAAGTCCACCTCTTGGCTCCTTGACCGGCCAATCAATCAGAGCTTTCTCTCATCCTAGGAATGGGCCAGAGCCGCAACTACGACACAGCAAGGATGGAGTCGGCAGCTGCAGCGGCCATGGTGAAGAACCCCGCAAGAAAGAACGTCAATACAGGCAGTTTCTCCAGCCATAAGTATGAAGCAATCCCATCCTCTGATGACCAAGATCTGGGTCGAGACTTTCGATACTCTGTAGACTTGCCGGACAATCACCACGTCCTCCTTGGAGAGCATCTGAAGCAACTACAGAAAAGAAATAAAAAGCAATTGATCATGACGACACTCATAGCTCTCAGCTGTTTTGCCTTTTTCTATTTGGCTATATTGTACGTTGGGTGCTATTTTCAATATACTCCTGCACCAAGTGGTGACAATGTCCCCTCCGTGACTGGACAATTTAAGAAATTCAAGTCCTTCAATTTTTGACGCGACTAACCCTTCATTAGTCCTACAAATGGATCATGTGATACGGTAGAGGAAGGATATGTCTGCGATCCCAAGATCACACATACATGGGGTCAATACTCGCCTTATTACGAAGTGCCTTCACAAATTGCTACTACGTTACCGAAGCAATGCCAAGTGACTTTTGTCAACATGCTCTCCCGCCACGGTGCTCGGAACCCTACTTCTTCAAAGACTGCCAAGTATGAAGCATTGGTCAACCGAATTCACTCGGACGCCACATCCTATGGGGATGACTATGCTTTCATCGAGGAGTACAACTACACTTTGGGAGCCGATGATCTTACTTTCTTCGGCCAAATGCAGATGGTCAACTCTGGCATCAAGTTCTACAAGCGTTACGAAACTTTGGCCAAAAGCATTACCCCCTTTGTCCGTTCTTCAGGATCAGACCGAGTCGTGGAATCTGCTATGAATTGGACACAAGGTTTCCATGCTACTCGTCTCCAAGACTCGAAAGCAAACTCAGACGATGGCTACCCCTACACGATCGTCACCATGAGCGAGGCGGACGGGACCAACAACACCTTGAGTCATGGTCTCTGCACCGACTTTGAAGATGGCTACGACTCCACCATCTCTGATAGCGCTCAAGCAACCTGGGCCGCAATTTTCACTCCAGACATCTCCGCTCGCTTGAACAAAAACCTCCCAGGTGTGAACTTTACCACCACAGACACAATCTACTTCATGGATCTCTGCCCCTTCAACACCGTAGCCAACGACCTCGGCACCATCTCCCCTTTCTGCAGCCTCATCACCGAGGATGAATGGAAAGCCTACGATTATTACCAATCCCTCGGAAAGTACTACGGTTACGGCTGGGGAAATCCTCTAGGCGCAACTCAAGGTGTGGGATTTACCAATGAGCTTATTGCCCGTATGACAGACACCGCTGTCCATGACCACACTAGCACGAACTCCACGTTAGACGATAATCCTTCGACCTTCCCTGTTGGAGGAAAGACTGTGCTTTATGCGGATTTCAGTCATGATAGTGATATGACTGCTATTTTCGCCGCGTTGGGACTTTATAACTCGACGGCACCGCTGCTGAATACAACATATGAGACTGTTCAAGAGACGAAAGGATACTCGGCTGCGTGGACAGTGGCCTTTGGTGCGAGAGCTTATTTCGAGAAGATGAATTGTGTAGGATATAATGAGGAGTTGGTTAGAGTGGTGGTCAACGACCGGGTGTTGCCATTAGAGACGTGCGGTGGAGATGAGTTTGGGAGGTGTAGGCTGAGCAGCTTTGTGAATAGCCTGAGCTTTGCTAGGGAGGGTGGTGATTGGGATCAATGCTTCTTATAGACAAGCCCGCCACATTCGGGTTGCATTATACCTTTTAATTCAAGTTTGTGAAAAGGCAAATGATTATGTTGCTTGATTTTGTAATTCTCGCTGTTTTGCTTTCGTCTAGTCGACCCGCGTGATTATGAACAAAATGAGAGCCTTATCCTGACCCATCCAAAACTCCTTGGTATACGCCCCAATACATACAATACTGTCCATCTAGTACTCCCGCCTGGCTCTTCATTTCGTGGTTCCAAATGTACATAATCTTCCTCGTTCCTCTAGCCGTCCTCAACCTGTTACTTCATTAATTTACTCGTGTTTCACTCATAACAAGTAAGCAGCGCCTCCAAAGATCGTCATTCCCACACCAGCCCACCAAAGCATGTTCAAATCGATTCTGTGGAGTAGTGGTCGTTCGAAAGCTTCCCGCTTGATATGCATCGCGTTCTTGTTCAGCGGCTCCTCCAGCTCGTCCCCTAATCCAGCAGTTCGCTTGGCTTTCTTTCCTGAAGCGGTGGCGGTTGCGGTGGGGTTCATAGTTACGGTGGGGAGCATTTGAGGTGGCGAGTAGGCAAGGAACATCGGGTTCATTGGAGAGCCGTCGAATTGGTATAGGTCTAGACGGGTCATTTTTGTATAGGGGTCGGTGTAGACTTGGTATTTCTGCAATATGTTAGTCTCGATTTGGTAGGATATTTCGCGAGGACAGAAGTTGGATAAGGACGTACTTCGAAGGTTTCGGACTGATTGTAGCGAGTGTACGTCGAGGTAGAACTGGCGCAGGGGTTGGATTGAAGTTGGCGACCGTCAACGGAGAAGGGGCTCATGCTCAAAGAGCCATCTGAGTTCTCGACGAATGTTCCGTGTTGGAATTGCATGATCGCTTGTGGACATGATGGGTTCGTTGCTATTCTTTTTTCAGCATTTTCTCCGGAACAAGAATTTGACCGTCGTACGGTTTGAGATTGCTCTGTAGTATGCTTCCTCATAATACCCATCGCTCGTGAATGAGTACGAGATTCCCGTATGGCTTGGTTCGATGAAACTGTCGTTTACAGGATTGTAGAATCCCTATATCCTCAAATCAGCCATTCTGCCCCTCAATTGTCCTCGCTGCCAACTCCTTGATTCACTGTTCTAAGAATAGCAACGTACCGGCCCTGTTAACACTTTCGCAGATTTCGTCGACCATGTTCCAACAAGCTGTGTGTTTATGGCGGTAGCAGAGGATGCAAGGCATGCGCCTGCGATCAGTAGCGACTGTAGAGAGAATGAGGCCATTGTTGTGGTGAAACGAGTGTGTTGGAGATGAAGTTGGAGGAGATCAAGATTTAGGGATTACAACGTTAAACGGCAGTCCCACTAGCGTCACCGCCACTGAATAATCCTTGTCCGCTTGGCGCAACTTTGCAGGTACAGAAAATACGAGCAGAAAAGTTTGGAGTCGTGTGTATCGAGAAAAGCTGGCTTGGGGAAGAAATCCGCTGACTTTCGAGTCACTTGATATGGGTGATGAGACAGGGGAGTCAACTGCTATGGCTTCAGCAGCTGTCTTGAAAGCAGCAAAGAAGCAGCTTCGGACATTGATGAAGCAGAAGCTCTCGAGTATTCCAGCAGAATCTATTGATGCACAGAGTAGGCTCTACATCCCGAAACTGTCAGTCGTTGCTGATGCAGCAATAGGCGCTGCTATCTTCAAAAATATCATAAGGTTAGAACCATATCAAGAAGCAAAGCGTATTTGCGTCTACTTGTCTATGCCCATGGGAGAAGTCCAGACGGATGCCATTGTACGAAATGCTCTTAGTTCTGGCAAGCAAGTCTTCGTACCTCATCTTCACAAAATTCGGAATCCACTGCCTGACACTCCACGATCGGTGATGGACATGGTAGATCTTCGTTCTCTTCTGGATTATGAATCACTGGAAAGAGATAGTTGGGGGATACCTACAATCAATGCAGAGACAGTGGGCCAACGAGAACATATACTAAAAGATTCGGAAAAGACGAAAGAGGGGTTGGACCTGATCCTGATGCCTGGTGTGGCGTTTCAAAAGGATGAGTCCAGTGGTTTCGTGAAGCGCCTTGGTCATGGAAAAGGATTCTATGACTACTTCTTGCACAAGTACAGAGAAAGCAGAGGGTCACTGCTGGAGGAGCCATCGCGAGATCCAGGAACAGATGTATTGCTGTATGGCTTAGCCCTTAAGGAGCAATTCCTAGAAAACACCACCGAAGAAGTACCCGTCGGCGAGCACGACAGCTTGTTGCATGGTCTGGTGATTGGTGACGGAAGTTTCTTGGAGTGTGCGTCGAAATGAGCATAGAATCGAGGTTTGCTGAATCAGAAGACCTTCCAAACTCCATCATCGATCGTGCCGCAAGATTTCTGGTAATTTTTTGATTTTTGTGAAGACCATTTCGAATCCATCTAACGCCCGTTGGCAACCTAACCGTTCAAACTCTGAATCAAGGATACATTGTCACCCTTCAACAGAATTTGTCCTGTGTAACACATTAGCCAAAGTGCCTTCAAACGGCTCATAACAACATACCCAACTGTCTCCTACTCTCTTCCTTATCTTTGGTGGCTTGCTTAACCTCCACGGCATCATCGATCACAAGGTTCATGAATTCATCAAATCCCTATTGTAGAATTGTCAGCACTCGTCTCATACATCGCTCTGGAAGATTGCTAACCCTAATTCTCCCCTCAATTCTGATTGCGAGCTGCTCGTAGAGCCATATTTGGACTGTAGAGTGCTGCTGAAGGAGCTTGAATATGAAATTGATAGGTGGAAGCAAGACTTTGCGCCCGCCTCCTCCACCGCCTCGATTCATGTTTCTTTCTGGCTGTCGGACGAAGATTCGAAATTCAGGCGACCGTTCAGCTTTGCGATACAGTTTCGTGAGAAATCCGTTGACGTGGTTGTCGCGTTACTTGAGATTCTGCAAAATTTCCTTGAAGTCGCGTTTCGCAGGCAAGGCTGAACTCCGCCTAGCTCGCTAGCAACTTTATTTCAGTGCGGGCGTTGGTCCCCTCTTCTCCAAAACCACATAAACAAACAGATACTCTCTAATTTGCCTGCTTCGTCTACTTCTCTGCCATACACTTTCTGTCATATTTTCAAGGACATCGTCAGCGATTACCTGCAACCCTGTTACATGCGTCATTGAAGGCGTGGACTCGAGCCCTGCATCTGCCCCTCCACCGCAAATGGTACTTATGGCTACCAATGGCAGTGGTCCTATGGGGGCCTTCGCGCCTGTGCTAAATGCTATGTCGACTATGCGTGATGGTCAGAGGGAACAGAAGAAAGTAGCACATCAGTATTTGGAGAGCTTCCAGAAGTCGGTAGGTGCAAATAATGCGGATGCGCCATAGGTGGTGGTATCATGAGGCTCACCGATTTCGCAGGCGGAAGCATGGCAGATCACCATCGGTATCTTGGGCTCAGAAGCAGATGCCGAGGCCAAGTTGTTTGCAGCTACAACATTAAGGGGAAAGGTAAATATACCATAGAGCCATTGAGTATACAGCAAGCTGAAAAAACAGATCACCTACGATGTTGGCCAAATACCTGCGGATTCCCTTCCCGTACTTCGAGATCAGCTCTTACAAAACCTAAAATCTTTTGCGACGGGACCGAAGCCAATTAGGATACAGCTGTGCGTGTGCTTAGCTATTCTGGCAATACAGATGACAGAATGGAAGGACGTGGTACCCATGATTGTTTCGACAATGGGCAACAACGCCGAGAGCCATGCCTGCATTCTTGACTTCTTAAGGGTTCTCCCCGAGGAGGTTACCGAAGGACGCAAGATCAATTTGACAGTATGTGGGCCGAAAGACACCATCCTGCGAGCACCTACGACATTGTGGGGTGGCCGAGAGTATATCTGTATCAGAGTCTAATGCGTGGATTAGGAAGATGAGCTGCAACAAAGAACACAGGAACTGTTAGGGGACAACGCCGCTTTAGTTGTACAACTACTCATCAGCTATGCCCAATCGTCAGGTATTTATAACAGAAGTTGTTTGAGGACGAGGCTGACAAGAACATTTACAGCATCTGCATCAACAAACCCGCAACTCCTCGAAGTTGTCACTTCCTGGTTGCGCGAAGTGCCAGTAGCCGACATTGTGAGCTCCCCACTCTTGAATGTTGTTTTCAATGCCTTGGACACAGAAACGTCGTTCGATGCAGCGACGGACTGTCTCTGTGCCATATTCAAGGAGACACGTGAGGTGGACGAATACTTGCCTACTATCCAGGTCCTCTTACCTCGAGTTATTGCCTTGCGACCTCGCATTGCCCAAGCTCAACAATCGGAGGACACGGACGTATTCAAGGGGCTCACTAGGATATTTGCGGAGGCAGGCGAAGCTTGGGTTGTCCTCATTGCTAGAGAACCAGCCGGATTCCGACCACTTGTGGAGACTGTTTTGGAGTGTGCCGCCAGAGATATAGACAAGGAGGCAATTGCTCTGACTTTTATCTTCTGGTACGAGTTGAAGCTGTATCTGATCCTGGAGAAGTATATCCAAGCTCGTGTGGAATACGTGGATATATACTCCAAATTAGTCGATGTTATGCTTAAGCAGCTCGAATATCCCACCCCAGAAGGAAACGAGACCGATCTGTTTGATGGCGACCGGGAAGCTGAAGAGAAATTCCGCGAATTCCGACATCACATGGGCGATGTTCTCAAGGATTGCTGCGAGATCATGGGTGTTACAGAGTGTTTAACTAAGGTCCTTGAGGCAATTAAAGCCTGGATGGGTAAGTACGCAGGTCAAGCAACCGCAGCATCTGTTCCTTACTGGCAGCAACTTGAGGCACCACTTTTCAGCATGAGGGCAATGGGGAGAATGGTTGACAAGGACGAGGATATTATTTTACCACAGATCATGCCCTTGCTTGTCCAAATCCCTCCTCATGAAAAGCTACGATTCGCAACGATCATGGTTCTCGGCAGATATACTGAGTGGACTTCCAATCACCCGGAAATGCTGGGTCCTCAATTCACATATATCGCGAGTTCATTCAAGACAGATTCCAAGGAGATTGTTAGAGCTGCCGCCATGTCCATGAAGTTCTTTTGTACCGATTGCAAGCATTTGCTCGGTGATCAAGTCGTACAGCTTCAACAATTCTACAACTCAACACTCGATGAATTACCTGGAATCAGCCAGGAGGAGTTGACCGAGGGAGTGGCATCCGTTGTCGCAGTACAACCACCAGACCAAATCTTTGATCTGCTGAAGCTCTACTGTGACCCATTGATGGCTAGATTGATGGCGTTAGCGAACCAAGCTACTGACAATGACAGCAAGCTCGCAGTCGCAGGTAAGCCCGAACTTCTTTTATGAGAAAATGACTCAAAATTGACAATATATAGACCATCTCCAGCTCATCACCTTCTTCGTTCAAATCGTTACTCCTTATGTGGAGCCAGGCCATCAGAACCCGGCAGTTCGGTATTGTCAAGAAATATTCCCCATTCTGGCAACAATCCTTGAGAACTTCATCGACTTCACCCCAATATGTGAGCGAATCTGCCGCAACTGGCGATATATGATCATATCATACCGTGTAGCCATGGCACCACTCCTTCCACAAATGGCGAACAAGCTAGCTAGCGGCTTTGCGACTTCAAAGCAAGGTTGTTTCCTGTGGGTTACGAGCGCCATATTGCGCGAATTCTCCGAGGATCGCGAGCATGTGGACGACCAAACAACGGAAGCCATCTATGCATTCTTTGAATCACAAGCAACCAACATGCTTAGAATGATGAGCGACCTACCTCCACAAGACCTACCAGATGTCATCGAGGATTTCTATCGCTTGCTCGTTGATGCCTTACTTTATTATCCTCACAAGATGATCCGTTCCGATCTGTTCACGCCAATCTTCCAAGCTGCGGTATCTGCCTTGGCACTTGAACAGCGAGATCCGCTCAATGCGACCCTCCACTACATCAGAGACGTGATTGGCTATGGTGGTGACAACCCACCCAGCTCCAGCAACAGTCCCAATCCACCTGAGATCAAGCACGCCGTTCAGCAGCTGCTGCTTGCAAATGGAGAAATGCTCGTCAAGCAGATCCTGGCTGGCATGATGATCACTTTCCCCGATGATTGCTTCACTGACGGCAGCGGCGCCCTTCTCGGTCTCTTCGAGATCATGCCGCAACAGACAGGCGAATGGGTAGACAGGACAGTCCGTATGCTGCCAGCTGGAACCGTCAATGAGACCGAGATCAACCGTCTGATGACTGGTATCCGGGAGCGTCTCGCCCTCGGCACTGATGGTATGCGCAAGGTTCGAAGTCTTCTGCAGGACTTCACGAACAATTACCGAAGACGATACGTTGCACCCAGAGATGGATTAGGTAGACTTGAGGCCGAGCGCTTCCATTTCAATGCTTGATTCAGTACCTCATTTCATCGGTTCTCTTGGTCTGCTTTGCGTTGTGTTGCTTTTCTTTCTTGATGTTGCATGGCATAGCGTGGTGGACGGGTCTAATTTCCTATTGAGCAGGTAGAACAAGATACATGGGTGGAAGAGCAAGAATCGAATCTGAGATAGTGGAGGGGCTGTGATGGTCTGAATAAATGGGTGGTTGGGCTGGCTGGAGTTTGGACCTTTGGTAAGCGATCATAAGAAATATGGCATGGACTGATGGATGACAATGTGGTCACTTGGACCCGGTGATGGAAAAGAATTCCGGTTTGAGGTGGAACGAAATGGATGGATGGAGATTCTAACTGAAGCGACATCGCTTGCCTACAATGAAATGGATTTGAACGAGACATGGCTGTGGAATGGATTCATTGGCGCTACGATAGAGACCATAGATGAACTGGCCAGCTTATTAAGTATTGCTTAGTGGAGATAGAGTAGCGCAATAAATAGCTAGGGGGTCGATCACGTGTCACTTATCCCTTGTCCCGGGCATGCGAAGTGAGGCGAGCTTCAAGCGGAGCGAGCATTCAGGAGGCGAGGATTCAGGAGACAAGTGTGTAGGAGGCAAGCCAAGTGGTAGTAATGAGAGCATCACACTATGGACTCTTTTGTCTAGCTCTCAGGGCGTCCCAGGTATTCAGAGACAATGAAAAAGATCGCCTTTACGTCTATGTTTGCGAATTAAAATTTCCCGTCTGACTTTCACTGAAATTCCCCAAGTTTAACTTGCCGATTGGGAGCAAATTTAGGTTTACCACCCACCAGAGCTTATCACTTAGTTGCCGCAGACACAGACGTTCATTGAAGTTGTCAATTATTTTGGTTTGCTAATAGTCTCACATACATGCCATAAGCTAGGCAAAGCAAAGCGCCATGAACTCCTCGTCATCCATGTCATCCGTGTCATGAGTATTATCGCCCGCCCATGCATCCATGCCAGTAACACGTTTCGCCGTTTTGATGAATGCTAGACTGACTCCAAAGTCTATGCTGCTTTATGCCATTTTGGACGAGAAAGAAAAAAATGAAAGGAAAAGAAATCCATGCGGTCATCAATCAAGAAGCTTTATTGTGAAGGAAGGAGGAGTTGCGAACAGAAGCGAAGTTCGTAACAACCGGGGTTGCTGGGATCGAAGGAGTGATTTGCTTGGGCGTTGAGGACGTCGACAACTGCGTTTTTGTTAGCTTGTTTTGCAGGTGCCAGGGTAAAGTTACTTACACTTGAGTTGAAGTTGCTCGAAATACTCTTGAGCTGGAGCAGCCTCACTTGCCAAAAGACCATCCTTCTGAGTAAAGGTCTTTGGTGGGACGCTACGCATCTTCAAGAGCATGTGCAACATGTTAGTCAGCTTGTCTCCCTGGGACGCATAGAACTCCGGTGTCTTGTCTAGTGGCCAGCGAGGTTGGAAAGACTCTTGCTCCCAAGATTTATAGAGCCACGTAGACTTCTCCACGCAGTTCAGCATGACGATAGCCGTGAGGAAGGTCTCAAAAGCATTGTCTGAAGTACGTTGCAGAAGACGGCGTTCGAGGTCGTTCAGAACTGACTTGCAGATGGTAGCGGCCTTCTTCTCAGCAGCGGCATTCAATTGAAGGCAGATAACGTTGAAGGTGATTCCATTGGCAACCTGGTCAATCAAAGGGCCTCTGCCAGCCTCCGCCTCTTCATCTGTTCGCTCGGATATTGTCCAGGACATCTCGTGATCAACAAGAATGTGTACAATGGACCAGAGCTCCAAAGCACGAGATAACAACGCGTCTTCCTTTTGCATGGCCAAGGCATGAGCAGTTGCAAGGGTCACACGCATGAAGTGAGATTGCTCATTAGCGTAGAAAACGGGGGAGATTCTCTTCATGTATGCCTCGAGTTTGGATGGGAGGTCGTCATTGTTCTCATCGAGAATTCGGATGATACTTGGGTTGAACGCGGCACCGAGGTCTGGATCAACGTTTCTTTCGGTCTGCATTTGTTGTCCATACAGAGCATTGAACGTCGCGAATATCCCCTCAGCTGGGTACTGAGATGCCTCAATGCTGTTTGCCGATTGTCTGAAAGAAACTAGGTTCTTGACTCGGTTGGTCTCGTGGTATGCAAGAGAAACGTGAAGATTCGATGAGTACATCTCAAGTTCTTCGGAAAGCTTCGTACGGACGCAAGGAGCCTTCCACAGACGCGCACTTTCTACACTCGCACAAGTAACGCAAGGACTCTCTCCGGAGCAAGGCTTCTTGAGCATTCTGCAACGAATGCAAGCACCCTTCTTCCTTACTTCTTGGACTTCCTTGCGACGAGCTGCTGTGAACCGACCGCGAACTTTGTGCTTTTGAGGACGTTCACCATTCGTGTACTCGGCACTAAACTCGTGTTGCGCTACAGCAGCCGGGTTCATAGCAATCTGAGTATATGTAGTGCGAGGCAGTTCGTTGTTCTCAACACCCTTGTCGACTGTTTCTGCTTCGTGGTATGGGTTGCCCATGTCAAGAATTGACCACAAGTTGTGTTGATTTACTGGGCTATCTTGAAACGGATTCTCCGAATAGGCACCAGTGGCTTCTGTCATTGTTTGCTCAACGGGGTTACCAGGTAGTCCTTCTGGTGCACTGGTGCCCTCGTTCAACAGTTGTGGGTCTACCATAGCATTCACGAAGCGGGCAGCAGCAGCCATACTACTTGCAGCCATTGCCAGATTTGGATTTGGCGAGGAGGAGCGGGAGTCGACCATCTGAGGGTGGAAGCTCATGGGGGGCAACGAGTGGTTACTCTCTCGGCGGTTAAGCTTCTCGTTAACTGCTAACACAATTAGCTAAAGAATAATAACCCAGTGGACGAACTAACACTTTCTGCCTTGTACGCGTTGTTCATAGCTGACAGGCGGATTGTCTAAGGTGTATTGCTCTTGTAATTCCAGTCTGTCTGCTCGCGGAGGCTCGGACGATCTGCCACCACTACCAGCAGGACCATCGTGCTTCTCACTCAAACCAATCTGCCTAGATGCTTCTGCCAGAGTTTCGAGGGGTGTCCAATTGCGCGGGGCGATAGGAAGGTCAACGGTCGGGCCGCGCAAGTGTAATTGTCCATTTCGCAATTCTACACCATCAGGCAGTTGCTGTTGGTTGTTGCAGGCCTGAACAGCTTTTTGACGCTCAGCAGGAGAGAGTGCAGTACACTTGCCCAAGTGGGTGGTCATCCGATCACTCCGTCCTTTGGGGAAATGTTCACCACATGACTTGCATGTGTGCTCGTATCTGTTGCTTGAATCGTTCAGCTTCTGACCTCTGTCGAAGTACTGAAGAATGACGACTAAAGCGAAGCAGAGTTAGCCATACTCTCAACATCATTCTGAGTAGATCAATCTTGTTTTATGCGCGCATTTCGCGCGCCGTAGTAGGATTCTCATGAACCGAAGATAATCGCAAGGGAAGCAAAGGTCGCGCACTTACAGTTAGGTTTGCGACCCATCTTGAACCTTGGAAGCTTTGTTATCGTATCAATTGTTTATCGTGTCGAGGATGGGAAGTCGGTGTGAATGGGCAGTTCAAAAAAATGGCGCCGTCGGAACGGATTTACAAGATTCCATAAAGGCTATCGAGCTACGTAGTTAATCACGGAGGTTGTAAACTCCGACCCCCTCACCGCCTTAGACAGAATTCCAGAGACGACCTCGGACTACGTACAATTAAGGCCAAGTCAGCGAATATCAGTTCCTGGATCACTACTCGAGTACTTGGTGAAGGAGGTCGACTAATCCTCTGGATTCGTTACGCCTCGCCTCCTCACTTTTCACTTGTAATTTTACTTGGTATCTCGATATATCGTACTCCTAAGTAGGAGTTTGCCCTAATATTTGGGTCGTATTATGCAACCTGAACGTACTCGGAACTTCGAAGCCAGTCAGAAATTCGCTTTGATGAAAACCTCTTTTCTTGTTCATTTAGTCTAGTGACATGAGCTCTTTGAATCGAGAAGACACCAATGAATCTTGTGCCATACAGGCAACGCTGGGCTCGGGACTAGTCTCTATCACTCATACTGCATTGCACCACAAGCTAGACACTGAGGCTTCAGAGCTCGTTGGTGGTGATGCCGCCTGCAGATCCCCCCTTTACACCTCGCTTACCCGACGGTTGTGCTTTTCTGTTTCTCCAACTTGATAACCAACCGATTCGTCATTGGAAACGCTCAACGAGCCAGGTCAAGCAGTTTTTGCATCAGTCACGCAGGGTCTGAAGTTGGGCTCATGTGTAGCAGTTGGTCTAGCCAAGTGCCAATTTCTCTAACTATCGCATATCATGTGACTACTGTCTCTGTCATATTTGATCGAGGCTAATTTTCCGTGTTTCGAGGTCCTACAGTGCTTTGTTGAAGCACGTTGGACAATTTGATCGAATGACTGTGTTGTGGTCCAGCAATAGACGTGGTGCATGAGCATGTACAGAGGATTCCACTGCAGAGAGGCTCAGCATATCTGATAGTCTTACCGGGCTTGGGGCGTTCACACTAGACGTTGCTTTAGTGTTCTCACAATTTTATATTTAAGCAATTAGTCTAAGCGGTTTAAGTTGACCACTAGCCTGTTTTGGCACATAGAGGAATATAGCGCAGACAATATAAAATGGCATCGAGATTCACCAAGCGCATGATTTTCCTTTTCCTCAACGCATACTTCCACATAATTCCCATTCCGCTTCGCCATAAGATCAACCACACCATCTGAGAGCGTTTTCATTTTGCCAATTCTCCGCTCGCGATATCCTAACCAGACCTCTTGCAACTTACGTGCAGACACAATGCGATCAGAGTCGTCTCCACCCGCGCGTCGTCAGATTGAAGGCTTATCTGCGCCCTCGACGGTAAAAGTCAACTATTCATGAGCTGAATTTGAAGCTGACCAATATAGTGTGCTTCAAGTGCGCAAAGTGACACGGCCCTTCCAGTGTCCGATGCCCCCGAGTCTCAAACCGGTGCTCAAGGTACGAGACAACGAAAGAAGAAGTCTGAGGGTCTCAATGCTACTCCCTTGAGCCTTGAGGCTATCAGTACCCCAGGACAAGCCCGCCAGCGTGCCCAACCCCGTGCTTTAGATCCCAACATCCAAGCCAGTCCTAAACACTGGACACGACCTCCCAAGCCTGGAAACGGCCCTCCTCCTAGACGCGCCGATAATCATGGATCAGTAGCAGTCAGAAGAGGTGCGGATTCAAGAAGAGTGAACAACGCCCAACGTGCTGTTGTTGCTGTCGCTGAAACCCTACAGCAGGTCACCCTAGAGAATAGCTACCCGTAGGGTTCTTCCTCTCTGACGAGATCCATCAAAGCTAATGTGCCACAGTGGTCCCACAGCTTTCTCCAAGTTCCTTGACCTCCCGGCCGAGCTGAGAACCCAAATTTGGGGTTGGGTTTGCTCAATGCCACGCCTCCTGGAAGTCGAGTTTGTTGACGGAGATAAACGACACTTCCACCATCGTTTAGCCCCGAGATCATGCAGTCCACCAGCCGTAATGCAAGTCAACCATGAAGCTCGCGAAGAAGCCAAGAAATATTACCAGAGCACCGTCTTTACTACGAAGAGGATAAAGGACGAAGCCTTAGGATGCTATCCTACGAGAAAGACCTTCGAGACATGGTACAATCCTCTTGCCGATGTCCTCGTTTTCAACTCGCATTCATGCATGAACACTCTCATACGCTTCTTCCAGACGATGCGCCTCAGGAGTGTGAGCATCAGTCGTGTTGCTATCCTCGCCAGCGGTAAGGTCATCAATTGCCATGACCCGAATACTATCCATGCTGACGACCCATACGAAGATGATCTGGGATATGACATTCGTGGTGGCTGCACCGTCATGCAAGCTCTGCATGGCATTCATAGGTCTGTAGCGCGGACCGACAGAGTATCTGGTGTTAAGGGCCTGAAGGAGGTCTTCTTCATCATACCTACCTACTTGATGGTGAATGAGCCAGGCAGTCTCGATGCAAGCATCTGGTTCCGCCCTGCATGCAGCGATGGTATGGCCCCAGGGCAAATAGTCTGCATGAAGGATCTCGAGCGAGACATCAAGTTCGTCCGTCATGGAATGCCTCTTCGCCTCTGCGGCCCTCTCGATAATTGGACTAGAGCCAAACGATCTGTTCGCAAGGACCCCAAGGACGAGAAAGAGTCTGATGGGAGTCATACTGCACATGAGCAAGCTGGTATTAAACCCGCCGAAGGGGAAGAGTCTACTGTTGGCAATCACTTAGTCCAAAATCCGGAAGTCCAATATCACAACGCGGACCCTAATCAGAATCAACCACCAACCTTCCACTTCGTCTCCTTGTCACCCGCTGCCAAGCCGGGACTGGCTTTTGGTGCCATCTCGGTCCGCAACGCTGATATGCCAAAGCTCAACTGTTACGACTGGGCCTTCATGAGAAAGATCGAGGAGCTAGCCAAAGTACACGTCAAGGTTCCAGAGGAAGACTACAAGACCCAGGTGATGCGAGAGATTGGTTTCTATGGTAAGCCAGAAGGGGTGGCTAAGGCTCAGCAGATGGTAGTGGATAAATTAGTAAGACTAGGAAGATTCTTCATTGACTACGGACTCTGCTAACCATGTTCAGGCGTACATGGGAGAGAAGACCTTTACTCAAAGATATAGTCAGCGTGTCAAAGGCTATAAAACCGAGGGCAAGGTTGCGTATTTCGGGGCTGGTGGCTCACTGGCTACAGCTGCTGAGAAGTATTAGGCCTCGAGATTATCCATCTGGGTGTATTTCATACTCTTCTAGATTTTGATGTCAGGCAGGGATAGGTTGGCTTGGACATACGCGCGTACATGATTTGATTTGCATGAGACTTTCTGGTACTTTTGGCTTCTAGAAGAGGTTACTTTTCGTTTTCTGGAGAAAGGGGTACCAGTAGTCTGCACTTGCACACAACATAAAACCACAAAAAAATGTCAGAATATTGTAAATCTCTGTGCCACGTCAACCCTGATTCTACCGTTCTTGCTTTTGACAAATACAACCACGTGAAGAAAGCAAAGACCCAGTTCATAAACATTACACATGAAATCATTCAAGCTGTTTATCCGAATATCAGCCCCAGGTTGTGCCATCATCGAGACCACACAATTCAGGAACTCGCTCGAAGTCACTATCATTTTCGCACTTTAATAGGTTCTCGATATTTTCTTTGAACGCTTCCAAATGAGATCCATCTTCGTCTTGGCTCTGGACGGCTCTGAAGCAGTGGCCTAAAGCACTTCCAACCTCGTCTCCCAGACCCTTAAAATGAGCGATGGGGTAGTTTGAGTATTTTCCTTTCCACAGGATGTTAGAAGTATATGGAACACTTCCATCTTCAAGACAACTTGATATAGCCATGAACACATTTGCGTATGCTTCTCGTAGGTCAGCATCTCTTCGGAAGAGCTTCTGAATATCTGGGTCGACGGGGGAGAAGTTGTGGGATTGCCACTCCATCCAACGTTTCCCGTGATTTTCCATTACCAGGGTATCATTGATCATAGAGCTTCGCACCTTGAGTGCGAGTTTCATGCGTGGCGAAATGAGCCCATCGAGACATTCGCCACAGGTGCTGCATATCAAGTAAGTGCGGGAGACGTAGTCATTGACAAGAAAATAAAGATGGTTAGCGGCGCCCAAACAAAGCTAGGAACTGGCAGTTAAGCCTTATAGAGTGGTTACATCAAGTAGAACTTGTAAAAAGAGTCTGAAGTAGAGCACTTACCAGCCATGCAAGTCTTTCTGGACCTGCTTCAAAATTCTCAAACACTCGAGAGCAGCACGCTCGCTGGCCTCGAGATTATGATCACCGGGCTTCCCCATTGTTTCTCTGAACTTTCTGATCTGTAGAACTTCTTGTTCGAGCTGTTGGATCGGAGTCTCACCTCTTACTCTTTCGGCCGACATGAGCTGAGCCTACGTTATAAAATCAAGGACTTTCTCAATGATAAACCCCAGGCTGAGGGGCTTTCGGGCCAGTGATGCGGTGTATACAACGCTATGTCCAAGGTCATCATCCTGCAGGAACAAGAATAATAGTTGTATTGACTCAAAGAATGTCAGACACTGAGAATCGGGCATTTCTTCAAGGGCGTAATGGATTGGGTACGTCTTCATCCGAGTGGTTGGCTCTGGGCGAAAGAGCCGTCCTCGTCCTCCTGGTATATAGACGCTTCTATGCAGTCATATTTTGTCAACTTGACGAACGGAAAGAATAGGGATAGAGGCACAGCCACGATTACATCTACTAGCTTGCCTGCTCACTCTGGGCAATGAGAGCAACATCATGAACACTCCCGATCAAAGAACAACGGAAAGAACAGGGACAGAGCAAGAGCCACAAACACATCTACTGGCTTGCTTACTCCACCAACCACCGATATCCGAACTCCAAGGAATGAGAGCAACATCATGAACACTCCCGAAGAAGTGGTGCGCAGACTAATATTTCAATTTGCTATCCTTATAAATCATTAAACTTTTGAAGAAAAAAACAAGCCTAATGATCGAAAATACCTCGACTTTGGAAGTATGCTTTGGCTTCACTAGTAACCCTGTTTGGATCCCAAGGGAAAGGGTCATCCTCGTCAAAGTCATCATCATCACCATCATCGTCAGATTCCTCGTCGCTAAGAGCGCTCAGAGGTTCGTGGTCGCCAAGATCCTTAAGGGTGAGATTGATTTCTCGAAGACTTGTGGGCGGAGTCACTGGAGTCTCTTCGATCGATGGTAGGGCGCCCAAAGCCTTTTGGTCATCGTCGACGTCAAGCTGTACACCTTCTCGAGGATCAAAGTCATCCTCAGCAGCAAGCTGATGCACGACGTGCAAGGCATCGAAGGCAGTCGCAAACCACTCAGAATTGGCAATTCGACGAAATCCAAGGGCACGCCAGAAGTCAATAGCTTTCTTGCGGTCTCCTGCAATAGAAGCTATAACTTGCTTGGGTGACATTCCATCCTGTTCCTCTTCAGCCGCTCTGGGGTTCAGTTGACCGGGCTTGGCAAACATGAATTGTACGTCTTCTTTCCAGTTCTGACCCTTCTTCATAAACGCTTCCATTAAGTCTCTTCCGATTCCTTTTCCTCACCATGCTTTCTCGACATGGATAGTCTGCAACAATAGGAGGCCGCCTGTATTCATCTCATTTCCCCATATCCCAGATCCTTCGCCAGCTCTAAGCTCTGACTTCAGTCGGCCTCTGGTATCGAACAGTTCGGTCGCTAGGTCTAATGTATCTTGCGAAGGTTCGTCCATAGCATCGTAGAAGTATTCCCTGATCTGGTCTCGATCGATATAGCGACCATCTGCCCTACCAATTTCCTTTCCTTTGTGCATGGCTTGTACGTGAATTAATTGTGTCCATTCTGAACACTCTTCCTCTGTGATTGATGTGCGCATCGTGTAAGGAATTATGTATTCTTCTTCCGTGACCTCCAATTCTCCACGATCTTCGGGCCCTTCGTCCTCGTTTTCATCGGCAGGGTCAATATCAATCGATGCGGCAGCGGAAGTGATTCCTTCATCATTGGATGATGTATCATCGTCAGAGCCATCTAATTGGTGTTAGTATGCTGCAGTTGTTTAAGATGCATTCAACTGACGAGGTGGATTTCCGGCATGTGCAATTCTAGTCCTCTTCTCAGCGCTGGACTCTACCATCTCAAACTTGTCCAACTTACGCTTCGACATGGTGGGCAGCCTATGCAGTTATTTGTATAAATCAACAGAGAACCAAATCGGGAAGCGCATGTAGCTTTTGTTGTTGTTGCCATGAAGGAGCTCCAAAGGTTACTACTGCAAACCGCCAACGTGGGGTTCTGCGGCCGATCTGCAGGTCCCATAAGGCTAAACTCTCACCATCTTCATCTTGTCCTTGCATCTCTTCCAACAACGGAGGATAAAAATGGAATACAGCACTCTGTAGTTCTAGACATCTTTTGGGTTGTCTTTTTGCCGTACACTCCAAATGCGTCCAGTAGCTGCGACTTAGTAATTCTCAATCATCTTGTCTGCCAAGCACATCGCAGCTCTCATTGATGCAAGGTTACTCCTCTCTCTTAGTGACCAAGAAGATCATTCCTTGTTTGTCTCCCTCATTATTACTATAGCTTAAGAGAATCATTGGTAGCGTCTGCATTCTCTGGAAACGGAACGATCTTGTTCGCATTTACCTTTATTGGAATGCCCCCAGCTCAGCCCTGTATTGGGAAAGCTTCCAGATCACTGAGAACTGGAAGCTTACAACAAGGCAGAGATTCAATCCATTTCTGGCGGCCGCTTCCTGTTCATCCCTTGCCAACACAAAGTCCTTACTGCTTTCAGTATCACTCGGCCGCCAAACAGTCCCGAGTGAACGATCCCGAATGAACGACGTGGCGCTGAGGATCCAGTAAGAGTTCAGTAATCGTCGTCAGAGTTGACTAGATTCGTGTACCCATAAGACTTGATGATACTGGAAAGGGTCTTTTGCGGGCGGGTGATGAGCGTGACCGTATACGATGCTCACGGTCCACGTCTGATTGGCCATTACTCAGATCTCACAGCTGAGAGCCAGTATTTGTCAACTCTATCCGTCGTATTATCTCGTTCATTCCTTGATTCGGCCGAATATTCTCATCCTTCAAGCCTCAATCCAAATAATCGCCAGTTTGTCAACATCTCAAGCAAGGGGAAAGACAGCAGGCTTTCAATGTTCCGCAAAAGCTTTCGATTTGTTTAAAGCCGGGCATAAGCTCTCCGAAGATGGCTCAAGTGTCTTATCTCTTCTCTCGATCTTTTGGTGTACTTGCTGCTCTTACATCATGCTTGCACTTTTCAATGGCGCCCAAGTTTTCCTCTCATCTTCAGCATTGCTCACATTATCCTCTTTCGTTTCTGCTGCACAAACATCGTTCCAAATCAACGGGCACAAGTACAGTGTTGACAATATAATTACAAGAGATATTAGCATCATTGGAGGTGGATCTTCTGGGACATACTCGGCAATACAACTTCGAGACGCTGGTAAGAGCGTGGCTGTGATCGAACAGACCGGACGTCTTGGTGGGCACACACAAACCTACATCGACCCGACTACAGGCACTCCCATTGACTATGGTGTTGATTTCTTCCACCATCTCGAGGTTGTTACAAATTACTTCGCACGTCTTAATGTATCATTGACTACATCGTCGACCGGCGCATCAGGTATCATACAAGAGTACAATCAACTCTTCCAATCGTCGTTATGGCACTGACCATTTTCTTCAGTTATGCGGACTTTGCAACGAGCACGCTTGTCGCAGCTCCAACCGGAAACTTGACAGCTGCTCTTGGCATATGGGCTGAACAGATCGCAAAATATCCTTACCTAGACTACGGCTTCGATCTGCCAGACCCAGTGCCAGAAGACTTCCTCCTCACATTTGTCGAATTCGCTCAGAAATATAATCTCAGTGCACTACTGCCTTTCGCTTGGACGTTCACACAAGGTGTAGGCGACTTTAGGAAAACACCGATGTTGTATTTTCTCAAAGGAATTGGACCGGAGGATCTATCTGACCTGCAGAACGGGTTTCTGACAACAGCACTGCACGATAATAGCTTGCTCTACCTCTCTGCACAAAATGTGCTCGGGTCTGATGTTTTCTACAATAGCACCATTCTCGATGTCGAACGCTCTAACAGAAATGGAGTTTCCATAATCGTCAAACAAGGCTCAAAGCTCACACTCATCAAATCGACTCAGCTGGTCGTCGCTATTCAACCCACACTCTCAAATCTCGCTCCCTTCGACCTCGCAGACAGCGAGAGCGACATCTTCGGAAAGTTCAAATACACACAATACGTCACAAGCATCCTCAACAACACTGGCATTCCATCAAATGTCTCCATAAACGGCATCGACCCCTCCCTCGAATTCTCCATCCCCGCTCCACCCGCACTTTACGGAACAGTAACAACGGGACTCCCAGGCTTACAACATGCATATTACATTGCGACAGATCCCTCTACCACCGACTCCGAAATCGAAGCTGCGATCTTGTCACAAGTGAAGAATATCCAATTCCCAGGCAAGCGATCTTCAAACCCGGATATTGTGGTTAGTAGTAATCACCAACCGTTTACGCTGCAAGTCGGTGCGGATGATATTAAAGACGGGTTTTATAAGAAGTTGTATGCGTTGCAGGGGAAGCGGAGGACGTGGTGGGTAGGAGCGACTTGGCATACACATGATAGTAGTTTGATCTGGAGGTTTGTGGAGGGGCTGTTGCCTAACGTTACGGCAGCGTTGTAGAGAGTGGAATGTAACATTTGGTGTGGGAGGAGTTTGTGTTAGTTTGGATATATTGAATGTTGAGTTGAGAATTATTCAGAAGTTACCACGTGGGAAGCGGGGCAGTCTCCTATCGTTGAAAGATTGTTAGGACTGTTGTCCGATTCATAAAGTGAATGACTGCTTTGTTCATGTCCCACATACCTGTGTGTAGTGCGTGGACTGCTATGGTTCAATTTGGATGGAGCGGAATCTGCTAGAGGGCGGCGGGATCACACCGGGAGCGGGCGGGTAAGTGTGGCTGACAGCCTTATAAGGGTTAACCGGTCGGAAAGTTTGAGCTCATTACATGACCTGAACTTCTACTTACCTAGATAGGTATGCTGTAGATGAAAAGGATTGTGCCAGCGGCCGCATGATTATTACTTCTGTACCAATCCGGCTCGCTAAAGTTCTATCTGGGATCCAAAAACAGAAAACGGTCGATGAAGACATCTTCAGGTTTCACAGGTTATAGACTGAGAAGTGATATCATGTCTAGATCCTTTGAACTAATTCTTGCAAAAAGGAAAATGGTCCTACTATTAAGACATGTAGTTGCACAACCGTGGACAAAAGCAGCAAAAAGTTATTCACATAGGAATGGGCTGGATTAGAATCAGTAAGTGAAATTCCAACGCGAAGGAGATATTATTCTTACCTCAACCGGGATTTGAACCCGGGGCCTGTCACAAGCTTCTCCAGTGAAGGAGAGGGCGATGAAACCCGAAGCGACAATCATACCACTAGACCATTGAGCCTTATGGGCTATTGGATTGAGCCAATAGCCATTGTAGCTCCAAAATTGCTTATTTTCGTACTCAATGCTCTTAACAGAATTTGTGGAGATCCAACGAACTCAGCCAATGAAAAACTTGGTGGATGACTGTAAAGAGTTTAGCGTCGGGACGGCATGATGGCCGCGGGAACTTCAAAATCCCTATGGCTTTTCTCCCTCCATTCATCGTTAGACACCAGAAGTCAAATTTTGAAGAGTTCCAGGCATCGACCATACAAGTTGTGCTAGGCAATCACACTCCTATGGATTTTGCACCAGACTTATGGAAACAATCCTACATTTCACAGAAGGCGATGCTCGAATCCGGTGATGAGCACACATTCGACATCCATTCCCATTTCTCTGTCTTTGCTTCTCACTTAATTCTGCGTATATAGTGCAAATTTACTTTGTACGAATGTTTCTTGACAAAGAGACGCTGTGTTGTCATTTTTTGAGTTGTGAAGATCCTAGCTAGTCATTCTTCGTTAGTAGGGGCTTGAAAGCTTTGCTAGAGTGAGAGAATCCAAAGATTTCTCCTTTGTCATTGGAATCATCGCAATTTCTAGCCTCATGGTTTTCAATTATCTTCTTTTTCGCTAGGGTCAGTTCTCATGATTGCAGGAAGCTACGTTTTTGTTTACTCGCAATGTTGAGGAAGCCCGACTCACAGATGTGCTGAAACCCCAGACTTCAGTGTCCACTCTCCTCAAATCTTGCTCACAAGATACGGGCGCCTTCTTGGAACTGTTCTCTTGAACTCTGTCGCATGGTGAACCAATACAATGCGTCCACATCGCAGTAAGGACTGAATTCGAAGTATACTGGTGCGGGGTATTTACCCCACATCCCCACCACCCAACTCCAATCTCCTATCCGATTGCAGATACAAGTCACAACTTTCCACCAGAGAGTTGCAATCAGTGTTTCTATCTTTGAATCCTTTATTATCTTTACTCACATGATGGCTCTTCGAGATCTGACAAACTCTTTGTCTTCCTTGGCCATAATCTGTGTTCTGACCATCACACTTGTACTTTACTATATCATTCTAGCTGTTCTATCCCCGTTGAAATCGCTACCTGGACCGTTCTTTGCAAGATTTACTCGCTTGTGGTATCTCAAGAATGTTTGGGATGGTGAATTTGACCAGATAAACATTGCTCTGCACAAGAAGCATGGTATGCACATAATTTGATTCAACCTTCCAGGAATCTATGGTGACAAGCAAATAAGGCCCAATCGTCCGTATCGCCCCAAACGAGTATTCGATAGGTGATGCAGAAGCTATCAAGATAATCTATGGTCATGGCGCCGGATTCATCAAGGTATCAAGCATTATATTCGATATTCGTCTACAAGTCCCATCTCAGCTAACACGCCTGGAATAGGCACCTTGGTACTTCGCAAGTGGGAATGCTGACCCATATACCAAAGATCTTTTCACCGATCGAAATCCCAAGACACATGCACAAAACCGCAAAAAGGTCGCTGCACTCTATTCCATGACTAATTTGACATCCATGGAGCCTCAAGTGCACGAGTGTGTAGGCGTCCTTCGAGAGAAATTCTCAGAGCTGGCAACCTCAAAAAGCCCTCAAAGTTTCGATCTTCAGCACTGGTTTCAATGTTTTGCATTCGATACAATCGGGCTCATAACAGTAAGTCAAAGTGCTCAATGATTCGCTTGTCAAATTGATCAATACCAGCTCAACAAACGCTTCGGCTTCCTGGACAACGGCAAGGACAAGTGGGGCCTTCTCGCAGCGCTCCATGCCTACCTAGAATATGTCTCCCACGTGGGGGTCTTCTCAGAACTGCATCCCATTCTCTATCGTATCGTCCAGAAATTCTCAACAAGCTCAGGGTCGTCAAGACTTCGCGAATTCACTAATGAACAGATTATGCAACGATTAGCTCAACTCGATGTTGAGAAACAAGATTCGGGCGACTTCTTGACTAAGCTCTTGAGCATGCACAAGCAGAACCCTGTAGAATTCTCTATGTCTGCAGTATTCGGGACATGTTTAACGAACATTGGTGCCGGGTCCGACACGACGTCTGTCAGTCTGGCAGGGATCTTTTATCATTTGATCAAAGTACCCCAAGCTATGTCAAAGGTTAGGAACATTTATTCAGAATGAAACACCCGAGCTGATTCTGACAACTATAGCTTACGGAGGAAATCGATCAAGCCTATCTTACGGGCAAATTCTCATCGCCACCAACATTTGCCGAGACTCAAGAGCTGCCATACTTACAAGCATGTATCAAGGAAGGTCTTCGCATGCATCCAGCGACGGGTTTGCCTTTAGCCCGAGTTGTCCCCGAGCAAGGAGCGACAATTGCTGGACAATTCTTTCCTGGAGGCGTGAGTCCTTCCCTTTCCTCATACCGGAATGGCATACTCATCTTCATTTCGATAGACGATTGTCGGTGTCAACTCATGGGTAGCACATAGCAACACAACCGTCTTTGGCAACGATGCAGGAATCTTCCGACCAGAGCGGTGGCTTGAGAGTCCTGGACGTAGCTCTTATATGGGGAGATATTTCATGAGTGTAAGACCACTCGAAATCTTTCCTCTCCCCAAAATAATATATCCTTGTGACTGGCGCTAAGATGTGATCATAGTTTGGGTCAGGATCTCGGACTTGCATTGGGAAGAATATCAGCTTGATGGAGATCTCGCTCGCCATTCCGGATTTGATCAAAAACTTTACTTTCGCGATGGCGAACCCAGATCAACCTCTGAAAACGGAGAATCGGTGGTTTGTTAAGCAGAAGAATCTTCACTGTAGGATTTGGTTGAGAGAAGACAAGAAGGAACATTGATGATCTTGGCAACGGCTGAGATATGTGGAGAGTGTCTTGGTGCTTACAGTTGCGCGCTATTCTGAATAGATTTTAAAGAACGTTTTATCTCCCATTCAACTTTATCGAAACCTATTTGTGAGTATGTAACAGTATTCGAATGCTTGCTCACCAGTATAAATGGCCTGGTTGGAAATTAAGACGAATGAATTGTTGTGACAGTAGCGCAATTGCCGTATTAGCCAAGAAGCCTGGTCTTCGCTATCATTTTAGTCTAACTATTGAAAACTTTATGATACAAAATGTTGGAGGATTTGGGCTGTTGATTATACCAAGAACAACAATCTATTGCGTCGAAATAAATTACGAAACCAAAGTATTTGAATAGACACCATGCTTGGAGAATGGTTACTTAGTAAAGTTCTACTGTTTTTAATGTTGTCTTTGGAAGCTTTACCCCACCGTGAGTGGTCCACGCTAAACTGCTAGCGGAGATGAATGTTCTTATGTAACGCCGTCTCGATGCGAGGAACTGCGTATCCCGCATAGCATTCCAAAACTTCATCGGCGTGTTCGTAGTCTCAATTTGTTCAAACTTACATTCGATGTCATGCCATTTGCTGAACCACGAATGGATCTTTTCTAAGCGAGCCTTCCAATCGCATGATCTCCCGTCCGAAGGAAAAGGCACGCTCCCAAAATGCAGATCCGCGCTTCAAGTCCAAGTGGCGTAGTATGAAACTGATTGCTGACGAGACTAGTGCGTAATGTAAGCTTAATTTAGCCGGACGTTGGACCTCATCTTTCCATCATCTATCATTCCAGTTGTTTGCTTCACCTGGTTACACAGTCCATTGCTTTTATACTCGCTCTCATATCTACCCTGCGACTCGCGTTGGTGATGATCCCAATCCTTGCATGACCGTCTATCCTTACCCGCGAAGATGATTTCATTATTTCAGGCCCTCCCGTCTCTCTCCGCGTCAACTGTTTCAACTGTCGTCATCCTCCTTCTTGTCAGTTCATACACAATTTGGGCATCAAGGGGCTTCCGCTTCAGTTCTAAAAGCCCTAAACGATTGAGAGAAGGGTACCCGATTTTTGGAGCTCTCCGTTTCTTCACTGCGAGATGGGACTTTTTCCAACAGGCTCGAGCACAGACTCCAACAGGAAACTTTACCTTTTTTGTAGGCAAGCACCCCGTGATTGGATTAACGGGTGAAAAGCCACGACAAGCATTCTTCCAGAGTCGGGATTTGGATTTTACTGAAGGGTTTGTACTCACTCTGTGGCGCAGTAGATTTTGGCTGACAGTGTTCAGATATGCTGTGCTTTTTGGACAATCGCCGGCTGATGCCAAGAAAGCAGACGATGTTCATGTGCCTGATGAAGATTCAAACTTTACGGGACCGGGAGGATTCTTCAACAAGCGCATGACCCACATGATCTCAAGCGCTAGTTTTGGAAGAAGTAAGATATCGATGTTTTCGTCAAGTCTTTTGTACTAACGTATGTAGATCTTCCAAAGTTACTCAAAGATGTCCGAGGTCGTCTTGATGACCTCAAGAATGATCCTACTGGGTTGACCGACCCATTTAAAAGTATCTACATGACCATTTACCAACTCACCATGAGAATGGTAGGTTGTGATGACATCGCCGATGATCCAGAACTGCTCATGAAGACACTTCAATATTACGAGAAGATTGATGGAAGTGCAACCCCAATTGCAGTCATGTATCCATGGTTTCCCTCACCAGCAGTGGTCAAGCGCACATACGCAGCCGGTCAGCTCTACATGATCGTGAACAAGATCGTCGAAGACAGGGCAAAGACTGGAAAGAAGAGGGATGACCCACTTCAGTACCTGATTGAACAAGGAGATAGCATGTATCGGATCATCGAGTTCATCATCGGTGCTCTCTTTGCTGGTCTTCTCAACAGCGGTATCAACACAGCATGGGTCCTGACTTACCTTGCTAATGATGCTCACTGGCGGTCCGAAGTCCGGAAAGAAGTCGAAAGCGTAGCTGCAAAATACAGCACGAACAGAGATGCTCCGCTCATCGACCAATTAGCCGAAGTTCCATTTCCAGCCTGGGAATCGGAATTCCCACTGATAGATTTCTGTCTTAAAGACAGTATCAGAATACAAGCTCTAGGAACTGCGTTCAGGAAAAACGTCACGAATAAGAGTATTCCGATTGGAACTGGTGATGAAGTTATTGATCCGGGTGCGATTGTCACATATCATTTGGGTGATGTGCATCTTGATCCGGAGATCTATCCAAATCCCAAGCAATGGGATCCGTCGAGATATCTCCCTGAGAAAGCGGAGGATAAGAAGAAGCCTTTTGGGTACCTGGGTTGGGGAGTGGGGAGGCATCCTTGTCGTAAGTCTTCTCCTTTTTTCATCAAAATCTGACTTCTAATTTGAGTCTTGCAGTGGGTATGAGAGTAAGCGTCCATTCTTCGTTCCCTTGACATTCAAAATTTACTGACAGTGCCCCAGTTTGCCAAGCTAGAAAACAACGTAATCATCGCGATGTTCACAGCAATGTTCGACTACGAGCTCGCAGACAAAGCTGGGAAGCCTGTCCAAGGGACACCGGAGGTAGATTTCAATGGCAAATCAGCGATGAAGCCACGCGTTCGCCCTTATGTCAAATACACAAGTCGAGATTGAGAAAAAATAGGTGGATTCTTGTTGGCGTTGGGGTACGTAGATTTAGTGTTTGGCTTACAACGACCGGACTTGTCGGAAGACTACTCTTTGGTAAAGGTCTGGTGGATTTATGTTTTGATAATGTACTTCTTAAGGGCCGCTTCCTAATTCAGCTCTTTGCATGTATTCGCAGCTTCTTATTGGAGATGGCTCTGCGTTCACGTGGGCGGCTGTTTAAGGTAGCTGCAGACGGTCTCTAGCCTTTCCTAACTTCACAACACTCAATCTACTCTTGAACTCCATTTCCTCTCATACTATCCTGCTTGATTGTCAGTGATATACTTGCTTGCGCTTGCACTGATAGTTCTGGCTGATTTGGATCGCATCTTCGTGTTATATTTGTTTCGCATCGTCATCTTCTTTGAATACGGCAATCTGTCTGACTTTGTCGTCTCAATCATGCGCTTCCTTCATTCCAAAACTCTAGAGTTCCACGAGTTTCCCAATCACAAGGAGATCGAGTATGCGATACTCTCGCACACATGGGGCGACGAAGAAATCCTGTTTCAAGACATCAGCGGCTTCACTATTCCCACGACTCCTCCCACGATAAAGCAAAAATCGGGATACAAGAAAATCGAAGCTTGCTGTGCCCAAGCTGATAGTGACGGATTCGAGTACGTTTGGATAGATACTTGCTGTATTGACAAACGCAGTAGCGCAGAGCTGTCTGAAGCTATCAACTCGATGTATCAATGGTATCGAGACTGCATTGTTTGTTATGCTTACCTGACCGACGTAACTAATGACCTTGAGGCTGAGGCTCAGAGGGATAAATTCAAGGCAAGTCGGTGGTTTACTCGAGGTTGGACACTGCAAGAACTTATCGCGCCTCATGTTCTTGAGTTCTACGGCAATCAGTGGTACACCCAAGGGCAGAAAGCCAGCTTAGGAACGAAGTTAAGTCTCCGGAATGAGATATCAGACATTACGGACATTCCATTGCCTGTGCTCAAAAACGCTCAGGATTTGAACCGCAGAAGTATTGCCCAGAAGATGTCTTGGGCTGCGAGCAGGATTACGACGAGGATAGAGGATAGGGCATATTGCTTGATGGGTTTATTCGACGTCCATATGCCCCTATTGTATGGCGAGGGAGATCGATCATTCGTTCGACTCCAAGAAGAAATCATGAATATTTCGGACGACGAGACTATATTTGCTTGGATGCCAAATGAGGAAGACGGTTACATCCAAGGACTAATAGCCAACTCCCCAGCTTACTTCAAAAATTCTGGTAACATGCTTACAGATCGTAAAGAAGGCAGTCAGCGCACTACACCCATTACGGTTACCAGCTTCGGTTTGGGGTTGGAATTATTTCTCCCGGAAACTTTACGGATACTGGATGCAGTTGGCCCCGAGCACGAGTTTCGTGCAGATCACTTCGAACCAATAATATATGTTGCTGTTCTCAACTGTCGAACATACTCCTCAAGGAGCCTGATTGGCCTATTCTTGATTTGCACGCACGCGATGAATGGCCTAGATATGCGGGCAAATTCCTTCGTTAGGCTCAATTGGACAAACATCCCAGGAAGTCCGCGTGGATTAGCGCTGATTAATTCAGATACCTATCGCCGCCAAGAGATGGATCGTACCTCTATATTTGCCAAGTTAGTCACCAAGTCAGAATCTAGCAGCAAGTCAATCGATTTTTGGAGAACTGGTGAGAACAAGAAGGTGTGGATCAGGGCATGTCCCAAAGGCTTCTTTGTCGCGGATATCTGGGAACGGGATGCTTGGTGTTCTGTGTTGCTGTTCGAAGATGACGCTGGTTCTGATGCATTTGTGGCTACGGCTACGTTCGACGAGTTCTCTACTAGAGGTGGAAAATTCTCTCTTCGGCGTTGGACTCCGGGCAATGCTCTCGAGACACATTACAAAACTCGCCACTCTTTTGGTAAACTAGAGGAAGATCATGCTACTCTTCATTTGGACTCCGGAAGGATTATTTGTGCCTCTTACCGGGTACAGAAAATGGATGGGGTACTTGGTTATGGATTGTATATATATCTTGGCGAGGCAGCGGATACCTCTGGACGTGCTTATTATTAGGCACGTATCTAAATCCTCTCATTTTCTAATGTCTATGTCATAGCAGCAATAGCATCAAGTCGGACATGTAAAAGGATGATAAAGCACGAACTCAAATAGATAAGAGGTACGCTTTTCATTCTAAGCCAACCAAACCAATCCCCAGCTAAACATACAATCTCCAAACCAAAACTTCATCTCCATCCTCCCATATACCACATTCCTAGTGTCAATCCTTTCCTGAGGTCCAAAATTTACAACTTCCCCTTTTCCTCCCCAAGCAGCTCCACCGCTGCACTCGCGATAGCCAACTTCCCCGTCTCCTTCACCTTCGTCTGGAAAATAACCTTATTCCCCTCCTTCCAACACTCCGTAACCAGCGTCTGACCCGGCAACACCGTCCCCGCAAACCTCACCTTGATATTATTAAACTTCCCAAACTTGCCATAAATAGCCTTACCCGCGACTCCGAAAAAGCACAGTCCATGCAAAATCGGGACTTTGAACCCGCCCATCTTTGCAAATGCCGGGTCAACGTGCAACGGGTTGTAGTCGCCCGATAATCGGTACAGGACAGCTTGTTCCTCGGTTGTTTTATCTTCCGATACCCAGTCCGCTGGTCTAGACGGAGGTTTATTCGCAGCGGTAGAGGCACCTCTATCTAGCGGTTTCGAGACGCCGCCAAAGCCGCCGGAGCCACGGATGAAGACCGTGCTCTCGTTGTAGAAGAGCGGCTTACCCGTTTCTTTGTTGATGGTAGTGATCCCCGATTTCACGATGGCGGCGTTGCCTTTATCGACTACTTCGAGGAGCTTGGCGTGCGAGACGAGGGTCCCCGAGGTGGGGATCGGGTAGGAGAGGATTTCGAGGTATTGTTCGCCGTGGAGGAGCATCATGGGGGAGAAGTTGGGGACGATGTCGTTGAGTTGGTAGGGGGTTTCGGCGGAGAAGAAGGGGATGACGCCGTAGGTTGGGAGGACTTGGAAGTTTTCGTCTCCCTCGCTGAGATAGGCATGTTAGTTGCTGTTCTCATATCAAAGACTCGGTTAAGAAGGGGAATCATGTGATAAGGGGAAAGAGAAAGGGGGTCGCACAAGACTAGTGGCAGCTCGGTCTTCTTAGCCCCAACGCCGAGGTTGTAGAGAATAGCGTCTTTTTCCTCGTACTTGAATTCCGTACCGTTGCTCTCCGCTTTCTTGGCTTTTTCGATGTTGGCTAGGATCTCGGCATTTTCACCTGATGGCTCACTCTTCTACACACAACAATTCGTTAACATGAATTTATTCCTAAGTACAACTACAGATTATATTTCGTCCAATGCATTTTTTATCGATCCAATGACAGGAAAGGTGGAGAAGCAGACTCATACCTTACTCGCACCCTTGCCCTTTCTGTTCTCAAAGTTCGCCATAATGCTCTTCAGCCCATCATTTCCATTCTCGGGATGATCTGCTCGTCCATCATTGAAGTTGTTAATCTTCTCCCATTGCTTGAGAACAGCCTCGGGAGTAAGCTTCTCGTCGATGGGAAATCCATGACCGCCAGATCGTTGCCAACGTGTTCGTCCAACCCAGCCGCTGCCGACTTCGAATAGCATGCCGGTGGCAGGCTCGGGAACCTTGTCAGAGCATAGAGCTACGACAAGAGGTGCTATGTAGTCTGGCTTGAAGGCTTGGACCATTTCTTCCGGGAGTATGGTTCGGGTCATGGCTGTGCCGGCGTTGGGAGCGATGGTGTTGACGTAGATGTTGTATTTTGCGCCTTCACGAGCAAGAGCGCGGGAGAAACCAAGAATACCACATTTCTACTGCTGTTAGTCATGTATATGAAACCCAATTAGTGATACTTACTGCTGCAGCATAGTTTGCTTGACCAAAATTGCCATAAATACCAGAGGTTGAGGTAGTGTTTACAATTCGTCCGTACTTTTGCTTCAACATGTATGGCCATGCTGCTTTTGAGATCTTGTATGTGCCTCGGAGATGAACAGCAATGACTTGATCCCACTGCTTGTCTTCCATGTTGGTAAATGCCTTGTCTCGGAGGATACCAGCGTTGTTAATGATGATATCAATGCGTCCGTAAGCGTCAATTGCAGCCTTTACAACTGCATCTCCGTCTTCAGCAGAAGCCTTGACACCAACTGCCTTGCCACCATTCTTCTGGATCTCTTGGACAACGTCGTCTGGGTTCATTAAGTCGTTGACAACGACGGAAGCACCGTATTTGGCGAATGCTAAGCAGTAAGCGCGGCCAATACTATAAGATGTCAGTATCTATCTCCATTTCCCTCAAGATTGATATAACTCACCCAGCACCACCACCAGTAATCAAAGCGACCTTGCCCTTGAAATTAAGAGTCTCTCCTTTGTCATTGGGGCCCATCTTCATGGATTTCTCCAACAATCCCATAAAATCGGCAACTCCAGTTGGATATTCGGGATTTGAGTAGTCCGAGACCTTATCCCACTTCTTCAGAATAGCTCCTGGGGTATATGTATCATCTGCCTTCAAAAGGAGACCACTTGATCGCTCCCATCTCAACTTAGCTACGTGGCCACCTCCAACTTCGTAGATTGATCCAGTCTCCTGACAGTCTTTGTGTGTCAAAACAGCAACGAGTGGGACGACCCAGTCTGGCTTGAGGTTTTCGAGGACATCGGGTGGCATAACGGTTTGGGTCATTCGGCTTGCGGCTACTCTTCATTAGCATCTGCCACAATCCCAGATATAGGAAAACTTACCAATTGGGGCAATAACATTGGCATGAATGTTATACTTCGCACCCTCCTTTGCAAGTGTCTCGGTAAAGCCAACCATTGCCAACTTAGCAGCAGAGTAATTGCATTGTCCGAAACTCCCAAAGAGACCAGCCGCAGACGCAGTGTTGATAACTCGTCCGTACTTCTGTTTCCGGAAATATGGCCATGCGGCTCTAGCACACTTGTATGAACCTTTGACATGGACAGCTATAATCAAATCCCAGTCTTGATCCTTCATGTTCTTGAAGCTGATATCCCGAAGGATACCAGCATTGTTGATTAAGACATCGATGCGGCCAAAGTTCTTGATAGCCGTCTCGATGATCTTGTCGCCATCCGTTACGCTGTCATAGTTCGCAACTGCTTTACCGCCTGCGGCTTTGATTTCGTCGACTACAACATCTGCTGCCTTGTTTGGGTGGGAGATTTAGCAATTGTCTTCGTCTCCCCAACACCGAACTATTGGTAAACATAGAGAGCAGCATACCTTCGTCGAGTTTCCCTCACCCTTGAATGAGCCTCCCAGATCGTTAACAACGACACTGGCACCTCTAGATCCATATGCCACTTCAAAAAGTTAGTAATCGCTTTCACGGAAAAACCGAAGGCGGAATCTTTGCGTACAAGCATAGGCTCGTCCTAAACCACCTCCTGCACCTGTGACGACAACGACCTGGCCATCATATCGTAGTTCCGACATCTTCAATCGGCGTATCTCAAGCAATCCAATTCCTGTTTGGTAGAGGTATGATCAAGGAAAGGGAAAGGGAAGAAGCAGTATTCGTGAGGAAGAGAACGGATAAGTACTAAATGGCTGGCTGATCATTCGGCTCTCGCATGCCTCGGCATTTTGGCTCTTTCCCATTTGGCGGCGGTGCACTCCCATGACGAAGAGCCGGCGCTGAACCCAAACCCCACACGATTCAGGCTCTGCGCCCCACACAGTCATCCTTCACATGCGAAAGCTGGAGTTTGGAAGTTGACAAGGTTCACGTGGAGAGAAGAATTCCTGCCGTCAGATGAGTGATGAGTATTCTTTGTTTTGGAGGTACAAAGTATGTCATTCCCATGTGAATGCTGCGTTACAGCTATTGTACGGCCATGAGTTACACATTACAATGATGTGCCTTTCAAAGCTGTTGTGCTCGAGTGAGCTGTGCTAAGGTAGCACTTGGGAGAAAGTCCGTGGGATATGGGACATTGAACCTTAGCGTTTGACGGAGTTGTCTGCAAGACCTCCTCCAATCCCTTGATTAAGTATCCTCCAAGTATTACTGAATTATGTTTGAAAGTTGTTGGAATTTCAGAGCAGAATAGTTTTCGGCCCCAGACAAGCCACTACGGGAAACATTTCACCGTGGGGCAGCGGCTTTCGTCCGATCACTTCCCGCGACTTCACAACATCAACTCTCAAGATGTGAGCCCCTTTCATATGAAGGCAACCCGCCCTTCACTTCTTAAACTCTTTCATCAATGGCCTCGAGTCCATTTTCTGCCTCCTCACATCCATCACCATCCTAATTCCAACCTCAAAATGACTACAACAGCAGCAATCAACCCTTCCAAACCACCCATCGTGGACGACAAATCTCCCCACTGCATCCCCTTCATCCTCACCCTCCTCTCTCAACACCTCATCAATAACCCCTCAACCCCCTTCACCATAGGCCTAAACGGCATCCAAGGCGCCGGAAAAACAACCCTCGTCTCGACCCTCTCCTCCCTCCTATCCTCCCCGCCACACAACCTCCCCACCCTCGTCCTCTCAATCGACGACCTCTACCTCCCTCACGCCGCCCAAACCCATCTCGCCGCCTCGCACCCCTCCAATGCGCTCATCCAGCACCGCGGCGAGCCCGGGACGCACGATATGGATCTCGCTGCCTCTGTATTCTCTGCCTTGAAAGCCGGGGCCGAGACACGAATTCCGTGTTACGACAAGAGTCTACACAACGGGGCTGGGGACCGCATCCCTGAATCGGAATGGCGCACCGTTAATAAACCCTCCGAGCCGAAGATCGCGGTTATCATAATAGAAGGCTGGTGTGTAGGGTTCCGGTCTCTGCCTCCGTCTTCTATCCAACACCTACAGGCCCAGCCCTCGAAAACGCTAGCGAAGCATAAATTAGAAAATTTGTTGTTCGTGAATGAGAAATTGGAGGAGTATGAGGTGATCAATGGGGCGTTGGATGCGTTTATACATATCGATGCGGCGGAGACGGGGTGGGTTTATGAGTGGAGGCAAGAGCAGGAGGATGCGTTGAGGAAGGAGAGGGGGATGGGGATGACGAGGGAGCAGGTGGAGAGGTTTGTGGATGGGTATTATCCTGCGTATGAGCTCTATACGGAGCCGTTGCGAGAGGGCATTTTCAAGGGCAAGGAGGGTGGGGAGGGGAGACAGTTGAGGTTGGTTGTTAGGAGGGATAGGAGGGTTAAGGAGGTTATTAAGGTTTGAGAGGGTGAAGGGAGGCGAAGTGTAATGTATGTCCATAGCAACTACAAAGCTGTATATAGCGCGAAAGCCAATGGGTATCTCTGCTGAACACCTATCCCAGATGCTATCTTTTTGCCATCCATGCATATCCCGAGAGCAACTCCAAGCAAATGCTATTATTTTCCCATCCCAGTCCTAAACATGCCAGAGCAAATGCCATGCAGCAAAACCTAGTCTCATATACCATGGTTTCGAAACCTCTCTAACAGATTCCAAAGCAACAGCCACCTTTCGCACTTGATCCTCTTGCTCAAAAATCTTCGCAGAAAACGTATCGGCAACCTCAAGAATTGATACGCGATCAAGCGAGACTAGATGACCAAGTTAGACTCTCTTGCCTTTCAATATACCTTCTCCACCAACTCTCATATCCTTGAACTCTCGATCAAGGTTATCAGACTTGCCTCTCACAGACTTCTCCCGAGCACTAAGTTCTGCCTCATACTTCTGAGTGATCGCCTTCTTCTCAATGCGCTTCTTCTTGAGTTCATTCATCAAATCTGTGAAACGTTCGACAAACCAATCGCCTCCATTCTCCCAGTCACTATGTGAAAGTTGCCCGTAGAATGCAACTTGAGCATCCTGCCCCTCCTTGAAAGCATAGTGCTCCATCTTCTCCTCCAGAGCACTGGTATCCCGTAGTGGCTTGGCCAATTGGAAGGTCTTCTTGTCATCTATCTTCTCCCATGATTCATTCTCCAGCTCGGCATATGTCATCTTGCGAAGTTGTGCATCGGTATAGTCAGGGACAATAGGATCCTTCTTGGGGGCTTCGGTGGGCTTTACAGGACGAGGAGTTTGTTGCGAGATTAGAGGTTCTTTTTTTCGACGATTCTTGCTTGGACTAGGGTTGGGAGTTGGAGCGTCTTCCTCCTCGGACTCATCGTTCTCGGAAAGCACTTCGGATTCTGGTAATTGAGGCATAATCTCTTCGACATCATCCATCTGACTCGAACGCTCCTCGACAATTATGGATGGTTGAGCATTGTGGTCTCCAGAACGCGATCGCTTTCTGGATTGACGCTTGGCTCGAGATGGTGTGGGATCCTCCAAAGAACGGACAACAAGATTTCCATGCTTTTGGCCACCGAACTGACCGCTAATTCTCAAGAGCTCTTGCTCTGCGTTCTGCTCGATCATTGGTGACTGGCTTTGCTTGTGTTGAAGTCTATGCTGGACTGATAATCGAGGGTGCTGGGACTGAGAGTAGGATTGGTATTCTGCTTGTTGCGATGCATATGGTTCCTCATCCTCGAAAGGTTGGGTCTCGTCATCTTCTGCAAAATGGTGAGGGACTGCCAAATCGCTAGTGATTGTCTCGTCGAAGTCTGAAGCCACAGTGGAGTCATCGAGTCCTCCTCCGAATGAAGAAACTTGTTCAGGTACATATTGGGCGGGAGGGTAAGTGGTTCGATAGGCAGGGGGGTTCGAGGTATAAACTGGCACTGGCGTAATGCCAGGAAGCTTCTTAGATGTGGAACTGACGGAACCGTGCTTGAACTTCAATTGATGCGCATCCTCGCGGCCTGGAATAACACCTGATCTAGGCACTGGGGAATTAGTACCATTGCGAGCTTGTTCTTGGAGCTGTGTGAATCGGGAGGCCATCGTGGATAAGATGGTTCGACTCGGTGACTGTGACTGAAAGGCAGCCCGTCAAAGGTGTATTGCCAATGATTGGGAAAATGATTGGCTTGGTAGGGGTCATATAGATGCAATTTGGCGCATAAGAAGGAGCTCGTAGGTAATTCTTGACGAGGATCGAATTTTGACTAAAAAGCTGGCAGTGGATGGGGAAAGGAAGTCGCGAACACGCGGGTAGAAGCGCGTTCGATTCGCGTGCACGTGCACGTGGTATCAATTGCAGGGATGTCTGATCACCACAGGGAAGTGAGTCTGGAAGGCTTGATGTGATGAAGATCTTGTCTTTGTTTGAGAATTTGGAATACTTCATTATTTGTAATAAACCCTTGGAAAAACGCCACCTGTCATATTGGCAAGTGTATTTCGATGTTGCCATTCAGCTCTATTCGACTGATAACTATGAACTGCAATGGTTTGTTAAAGACAACAATCATGCTCGAAGAACGCCAATATGGACTACAAAGCCTGAGTCTGTCTTCAAACCATCTATCAGCTCCTCGTCTGGTATCCGCCATACTCGAAACCTTTCATGAAACGCTTTTAACCATCCTTCGAAGACTTCTGATGACCGAAGTTGCTGTGCAACGAGACAAATTGTGGGACAACTATTGTCAGTGTCTTCTAACCTCAGCTTACAAGCATCGATACTTGTTTGTACTAAAGGGTCAATAAGGGCATCATTATAGATGCAGTCGCAAGCAATGACAACATCGAAGCTCTTCTTCTCGACGCCAATCAGAGAGGTTGTAACTTCGTCGGTCTCCCAATCCAATGGTTTGTACATAATATTACCTGGGTCCGATATTGACTCGGCTTTCACTGCTCTTTTCTTCGGCTTTACACTGCTTTTCCTGCCTCGACTTCCAGACATAGATGTCTGGCAATTCTCTTCGAGATTTTGACTCAGCAACTTCGATACATAGTCTTGATCCGTTAAGGTGTAACATCCCACCGTCGGCCCTAGAGATAGTCCGATGATCCCAGAGATCCCACAACCGAGTTCAAGGACCGTTGAGGTAGATTGCAGTATGCCATGCTTGAAAAGCAGGTTTGCAGGTTGAGTAATCCATGATGCGAACAGAGGTGTAATCTTCCAGACAACTATGAATAAGACTTAGTCCAAATATGTAAGCGTTCGGAGCAACCTACCAGCTCCGGTAGTACCACCTCCTCGATTCGATGAAAGTAAAGTAGGTGATTGGTGAATAGTCAGATCTCGACCATTGATTGTTAACTCCAACGATGTTGCCTTAGGATCAACAAAGCCAAGATCTTGAGAAGGTATTGATTGAGAAAAAAGGAGGAAAGCCTCTATATCCGCTCAGCCTGCGTAACACCAAAATTCAGCGTCACTTGATACCTTCTTCTGGATCGTCTATCTCCGAGCCTAAAGCTTTGAGTAGACTTTCGGCCATATTAATGAGACGGATAATTTTCCGCAATGCGGCAACGTGTCAGACTTCCCAACGAAATGTTCTTGACCATTCACGAGACGCTTTCTGTGTTGTGGTCGGCTATGTTATCGAATCACTTGACCCTCTGCCTATCCCAAAGACAGCCTCGATGAGGCACACAGGGCACCTTTGTCTGATGACGAGTCAAGTAGTGAGACGAGGAAACTAATCGAAGCCGCGAGGATAGTTGCAGTTGCTGTAGAGTACAAGAATCGCTGCATCGGAAGATTCAGCGTTATACTTTTGCAGTATGTCGTGTAGAAAAGAAACTCTTGTGCCTGGATACGACGTCGTGTCTTGTTGTGGGGAAGGGCAGCTGAAACTCTGCAGTTGGAAAATGCCCATCGCAGCTGGTCCCGACGGTGTGCAGGGCATTAAGCTTGACCGGGGTTGTAACTAGTGCAAAAAGACCCCGACTTCCCGTGTGTTGATGATGGCCAAGGCGAGAGGCCATGACGACGTTCCCCAAGCTTCAACAAAACCACAATCACAACCCCATCCAACACAATCCTCAGCCTTGCCTCTTTCGTTGTTCACTGTCATCAAGTCCGTTATTGAGGCGCACTTCATTTTTCATATATCCATCGCCGCCTTCGTCTCTGCATTTCTATTGACCTTGGTCTTCCCAACAAGTTCCAAGATGTCTCTCAAGAATGCCACCGTCCAGCCCAAAATCTACCACAAGCCGCCCTTCAGCGTAGACGCCCCCGGATACAAGCAGGTCGATGGCGAGACGATACCTCGCAGACATCCCCTCACTGTCAACAAGCTTGCAGAGCGACCTTCGGAAGATATTGTTACCATCTTCGACATCATCAAGCGCAGCTCTGAGAAGTATGGCAATGCCAAGGCTTTGGGCTCCCGCAAGCTCATCAAGACTCACCATGAGACGAAGAAGGTAAAGAAGATGGTGGATGGCAAGGAGCAGGAGGTGGATAAGAAGTGGACATACTTTGAGCTCAGTGGATATGAGTACTTGAGCTTCCATGACTACGAGAAACTCATCCTGCAGGTCGGTGCAGGTTACCGAAAGCTAGGCATGAACAAAGAGGACCGGGTACACATCTTTGCAGCTACCAGTGCGCATTGGCTTGCTACTGCACATGCTGCCGTCTCTCAATCAATGCCTATTGTCACCGCCTACGACACTCTCGGCGAAGAGGGTCTCAAGCACTCTTTAGTTGCCACCAAGGCAAAAGCTATTTTCCTTGATCCTCACCTCCTACCTACACTCATCAACCCTCTGAAGGAAGCAACCGAGATCAAATATGTCATCTGGAACAGTCAAAACGAAGTTAAGCAGGAGAATATCGACAAGCTCAAGAAAGCACACGACCGTCTCACAATCATGAGCTTTGAAGAGCTTCGAAAACTTGGTGAAGATAATCCAGTGGACGCAGTTGAGCCAGGGCCAGATGATCTCTGCTGTATCATGTATACCTCTGGATCTACAGGTCCTCCAAAGGGAGTGCCTTTGAAACACAAGGCAGTTGTGGGCGCAAGTAAGTAGAGCCACAATTTTGCAGGATACCGTACTAACTGCTCTAGTCGCTGGTGTCAGTGTTATTGTCGAACCCTACCTCGGTCCCGGTGATGGTCTCTTGACCTACCTCCCTCTCGCACATATCCTGGAATTTGTCTTCGAAAATGCATGCCTATACTGGGGTGGAACTATGGGCTACGGAAACCCCAAGACCTTGTCAGATACATCTGTGAAGAATTGCAAAGGAGATATCAGAGAATTTCGGCCTACTGTTCTTGTCGGTGTTCCTGCTGTGTGGGAATCCGTCAAGAAGGGTATTGTTGCCAAAGTCAATTCTGGTAGCGCTATCGTTAAGAACATGTTCTGGGGCGCCATGTGGGCAAAAGAGAACATGCTTCACTGGGGTCTCCCTGGAGTCGGTATTCTCGACGCTGTTGTGTTCAAGAAGGTTAAAGAGGCAACTGGCGGCAGATTGAGAATCTGCATGAATGGTGGTGGTCCGATCGCCAGAGACACCCAAAAGTTTATTTCGATGGCCATCACTCCTATGATCAATGGCTACGGTCTGACCGAAACAACTGCTATGGGTGCTCTTATGGACCCTATGGAATGGACAGACAATGCTCTCGGAAATATCCCAGGATCCATCGAAGTGAAGTTGGTTGACTTCCCGGATGCTGGCTATTTCGCAACCAACAAACCCAATCCTCAAGGTGAAATCTGGATCCGAGGATGCACTGTCATGGATGGTTATTACGACAACCCAGAGGAGACTAAGGCAGCTATTGCTCCAGAAGGCTGGTTCATGACTGGTGATATCGGAGAATTCGACCAGAATGGCCACTTGAAGGTTATTGACCGAAAGAAGAATTTGGTCAAGACTCTCAACGGTGAGTATATCGCTCTCGAGAAATTAGAGTCGGTATACAGAGCCGCAACAGTCGTTGCCAACATCTGTGTTTATGCGGATCAGCAACGAACAAAGCCAATAGCCATCATTGTTCCTGCGGAACCAGCATTGAAGAAGCTGGCTGAGAAGATAGGTGTTGAAGGAAACGGTGTTGAGGATCTGGTTCACAACTCAAAGATCCAAGATGCTGTTTTGAAGGAGTTGCAGCAGGCTGGTAGAGCAGGTGGATTGAGCGGCATTGAAATCATCGAGGGTGCGGTATTGGCGGATGAGGAGTGGACTCCCCAGAATGTAAGCTTGGCCACTCCCTTGTGATAAAGTATTCTTACTAATATCTTTCAGGGCTACGTCACTTCAGCTCAAAAACTTCAAAGAAAGAAGATCTTGGACAGATACAAGAAGGAAGTTGATGCTGCCTATGCTAGGAACAATTAAGTGCAACAGTACTCGGGCAAGACTTAATACCACGGAATGAAAAAGCCTCGTGGAGTTGGGGGAGTCTATTTCACAAACAAGGCTAGTACGGTACAGGGGAACGGAAACAGAATATTTTATCAGGAGCAGCCTGAATTTGGTCTTGGTCTGTCTGACGTATGTGTATGATAGCTTTTCTCTATCTTTTGCCTCTGGAAATATTGATATTTGTCTTTTCTGAAACGAAAATGTATGGTTTCTTCAGAGACTTATCGAAATACGGCTCTTGATGTCTGATAAGTGATTTCAGGATGCTTTTGATGCGTTTTTCAGACGCTGAGAATATAAGCATTGGACGAATGGACTAGGATAAGTTGACAATGATAATTCATTGACAGCGACAAACCCTTTTTCAAAACCCCTCCACCAGAGAATTGGCCCACCGACACATGAAAGACAACTAGAGTCAGTAGCTCGCCATACATGCACACACCTCTCAACCCCTCCCTCATCCCAGCATTAGTGACGGAAAGGTAAGTGTCCATCAAAATTTTACCCTTCTTAACCAGCACGAGGTTGTCTATTTATCGTTTGGAAGAAGTTTGAGGGATGGTGGTTTTCGAGCGTGAATATGAGTTTGAGTTTTGGCGGTGCATGATTCACTTATTGATTATAGTGCCGAAATCTTCAGTAACTAGAGCGTAAATATGAAACTGGCTAGATGATTCACTCATTTCTCAACTGTTGAAATTCCAAATAATGATGGTTTGAAGTGTGGACATAGAGAGGAGCGATTCACGCGTACCGCGCGATCTGCGCTGTATGCGCAACCAGCGCAATTCGCGCAAATATCGACACTCATAAATCAGAGATAGGGTATATATACCTACCCCTCCCTCTTTTTTGGTCAGACATATCATTCTTTACCTGGGTCATGATGATTTTTGTTGGGATGTCTGAGCCGGGATCCTGACTTCTGAAATGTGAGAGTGCTGCAAGGTTCTGGGACGCTGGACAGAGTGAAGAGAGAGGGATAATGGTTGTCAAGAGGTGGGTGTATTCGTCTGAATCTTCTTTGTAGATTGTGAATGACGGGTAAGCTAGATGAAAGGCTTAACAAGGAGTTGTTGGGAGGGCTTGGTGTGAGGGGAGTTCTTGTTTGGACGAAGCTTGAAAGACATGTTGACGACGAGAGGTAGATTAACGATGAGAGTGTATGTGATTTGAGAGAAAGGAATCACTAGACTTATGATCATGTTTTATAGCCAAGAGAGTCGCAGGGGACAAGTTGTAAGGAACCGGGCAGGTGGAGACGGACGGGCTGAACGTCACACCCAAACCATGAACCGTCTTCTCGGCCTTCAAAATTATTGGTGATTACTCCGTTTCGAGGGAGCGACTTGTATTTATACAGCTAGGATTCCGACTAAATAGTACAGTGAATGAATTGCGCTATGCCAAAAGTTTTTGACTCCAAAATTCATCGAATCATGTACAGGGTTCTCATATCTATTCGTAATTCATGCAAGCTCGTCCTCGCTATCGTCAATAACCAATTGTCTCGCGCCACCCCTTCGAGTCTGCCTCTTGGACTCCGGATCTTGTCCACCAAAAGCAGCCTGGGCATGTGTAAGTTCTCTTTCTGCAATTTGCACCTTGCCTGCTAGAACGCTCGGTTCCTGGGTATCGTCATTTTGCAATGCCATCCGTGCATCTTGCAGGTTCTGCGAAGCTTGTCTGACTTTCTCTGTTTTCCTATGAAACTCCAATTGGGCCCTCGTGTCCATCCCACTCGTTGCACTTGCTCTGCCGTCGCCACTCTCGTGCTTTGGTGGTACTACTCGCCCGTTTGCGTCAAAGTCAAAGTAATCCTCCGGCTCGATCGTCCCTCTTCCAACAGTGTCCTCTGTCCAATCTCTGGGTGGAAGTAGAGCACGCTTCATAGCTTCGTTTGCATGCCACTTTTCATCTTCGGTATTCTCAGCTACCGCTTTCAGGTATTGATCTTTGTCGAAGGCTCTCCAGCGGCGGGACTCTTGCTCCTGTGAATTTTGTCTCACCATCGCCAGGCCACGAGCGAGTGCTTCAGGATCATCCGCTAGCTCATCCAGTTCTTTATCTCTGTCGACACCATCCACTTCTTCTTCGGGCTCCATGGCTGGATCAAGTTCGTCCTCGGTTCCTTGCCATTGGGGTGGAGGGGGAGGCAAATCTTCTTCGTCTTCATCTGACCAGTCGTAATTTTCCTCGTCACTGTCTGGGATCTCGAAGCCTGTGTCTTCAAGCTTGCGCTTTGGTGCAGGATGAAGGATGGGTAGTTCAGATGTTGAGGTTGGATGTTGGTTCTCAGAACGAGATAGTGGATGGGGAGATCTCTTGACTGGCGACTTGAATCTTGGAGTTGGAATAGCATCGATAGGGATAGTAATCGGTGTCAGTCCAGACCCGACAATGCTGAAGGCGATGGCTCTGGGTCTTCCATCGGGGACAAGGACTCCTTCGGCCTTGAGAATTTGTGCAAATCTTACATCTTGAATAGACGTGCCACCTTCGTCCTTCCAACCAAAATCTCGGAAGAGAGCTACTCGGCATCCTAGAACTTGTTCCCAGTTTGCTGAATTGATGTCTGGGACGAGAACGGCTCCCGCTCCCGAGCGCATTTTTGTTTTACATGGTGATAAGATTACAATAGCTATATTTCTTGTGGCGGCAAGGTTTTGGATGGTGTTGATGATGCTTTTCAGGACGGAGAATTTGCGGGAGCCAGATTTGGATTCTAGAGGTACGTGAGCTTGAATGAATGCAAGGGATGATCTTGAACTTACCTCCAGGTTTTTTATTCTGGATATTGGAGTCGGCATTGCGTGGATACGCATTCTCAAAGAGAGTGGAGAAGGAATCGATGATGATCAGGCTGGTATTTGCAGGCGGCTCAGAGGGGCTGTGTTCCGAAAGGAATGCAATGAGGTGGGACAAGGTCGGAGTTGAGAAATGTGTGAAGTTTTCATGTAGTGATTGTAAATGCGATTGGTCGTGGTCAGGGGGTGACGAGTTTTTTGATGATGCGGACAGGATTTGGGAAAGACGGTGCCCCGATACCTGGTGTGAGCCATCTACAAATGTCAGCAGTGTTCTGGAATACGAGCGTTTGATCTTCTGGATATGGCTTTAGATATTCCCAGCGAAGATTGAAACCTCCTCATCGCATCTTAAAAGAATGTTGAGTCCACTTCATATCACGAGAAGCGGGCCATTCGAGATCACTGTGATGACTGACCAATCCATACAACAACTCCACCAGCTTTCAGAGCATTGGCGCTCAATTGTATGCTAGGAACATGTCAGCATACTCAATAGCCGGGCAATAAAGTACTCACCCTATTGTAGTCTTGCCAACACCGGGGGGACCATAAATTTCAGTCACTTTTCCACGAGATACGCCCCCATAGAATGGTTCTTCATTGCCGGATACAGGTTCCCTGTTTTGTAACGCACAATCGAACAGAGGTAAACCTGTTGATATACATCGCGTTGGTGATGATTTGAGATCTTGCAAAGCCTGAGCTGCTGAGACAGTTGGCATGCGATCTAGAGATGGTCAGTTTGAGCTTTTGGAACGGAGGCAGGAGTTACAACATACGTGGAGAGGGCGAGAAGTTCGAGCGTCCAGGACCGTGTATCGAATTATAGTCCATTTTTGCTTGACATGGTTGTCAAATCGCAACGCTCCACGCTCCACGCTCCAACGTCTGGAGCAACGCGAGAAGGCGCGTCTGGCACGTGATGTATCCATTTCGGTTAAACGCTTATCACTTCTAAAGTTCTTTCTCTCCTGCTCCAACTCTTCATGTTTCCTCCTTCAGAAATTGTTATGCATCCGACACCATCACCATCGCCAGAATATCCCCATCATCTCGTCCAAGCGATATCTCAATATTGATCAAAATGGTCAACAATTTCTCTTATCATCGTGTCCGTCAAATAATGTATTTCTACAGTAGCATTCTCGTATCAGTCATCACAATGCAGCTGTCCTTTGCAGGGGCTGCTAGCTCTCCCAGAACTCTCGACGACCGGCAAAAGGTATTATTGGATACGAGAATACCCGGGCACCTGGTCTATCAAAAGAATAGCTCAGGTACCGTTGGATAAGCTTGAGATAGCGTTGTTATTGATGCGCGCTTCAACAAACAGAAAACTTGGCATTTATGATGGGGGTAATTGTTGGCCAGCCATCTTTGCATTCTTCACTCTCCTTTTTCTCTGTTATTTGGATCCACTTTTCCTATCGTTCTCCTACTCTCCATGATCTGGGGATCTGCAGGAACAAAAAGAATTTTTTTCAACATCATCCCACACACAGCTCCAAAAAAACACGAACACGGTCGAATGTCCGGCTAGAGGTCAGTAGAGACGCCACATCCGCGATACGATCCCCGTTTCGCCTCCAATGCTCAAGTCGTTCCTTGCAAGCAACTCGATGATTGGCAGAGCTTGAAACCTCTAGGCCAAGAATTTGTGGGTATGACGATTATAGTTCATTAACACCCCGGTCTCCAGATCTCCATGCCGACTCTTTTAGGAAACATCGGACGAACATTCACAAGCTAGAAATACTTCGCGATTTCCCCTCGCTTTGTTATTCACGATCTTCATCTAACTCTACAAAGGCCAATTTGCGATCATGATCTGCCAACGATAACATCAACTCAACATGTTGTACTCTTGGAAAGCACTTGTGCTGCTGATCGCGGCACATACAATTGCAGCTATTAATCTGAATGTTTCCGACCCAGGTTGGCTACTCATGCTATACCCCATAACGTTGCTGATCAGTCTATAGGATCTATTCGAGATGCAGCCAGCACAATTGCCTATGGAATGATGAAGTATTACACTGGCAACATTACGAACACACCTTCCACAGTTGCGGTGCTTCCTGCGCCATATTACTGGTGGGAAAGCGGGGCCATGTGGGGTGCCCTTCTCGATTATTATCATTATACTGGCGACTCTTCGTATAACAATGTCACAACTCAAGCCCTGTTATCACAGGTAGGACCTGATTGGGATTATATGGTCCCTCTACACCAGAAAGATGAAGGGAACGATGATCAAGCATTCTGGGGCTTCGCAACAATGTCTGCTGCAGAAAAAGATTATCCACAACCCACCATTGGAAACTATTCTTGGGTTCAACTCACAGAGAATCTTTGGAATACTCAAGTCCGTCGTTGGGACAACACGTCATGCGCAGGAGGTCTCAAATGGCAGATCTTTACCTTCAATAATGGCTACGACTACAAAAATTCTGTTTCGAATGGTGGCTTCTTCCAGCTTTCGGCTCGACTCGCTCGCTTTACTGGGAACCAGACATATCTCGATTGGGCCAATAGGTCATTAAAGTGGTCTATGGATATCGGACTCATAACCCCAGACTATCATGTGTTTGACGGCACAGATGATACGAAAAACTGTACGACTCAAGACGAAGTCATATGGACCTACAATGCAGGAATATATCTATATGGGGCAGCTGTCATGTACAACTATACCAACGGCTCCGCGATCTGGCAACAGCATACCGAAGGATTCTTGAACGCGACAGCCAACTTCTTCTCCCCATACGACAATTCCACCAACATCATGTATGAACCTCCATGTGAACCAGTCAACACTTGTGATACCGATCAATTCTCCTTCAAAGGTTATCTTTCTCGCTTCATGTGGGGAACTACTCAACTGGCCGCTTTTACTACCGATGCTGTCACGACTCTTCTTAGTACCACTTCACAAGCTGCTGCTCAGAGCTGCTCTGGAGGAACGGACGGCGTCACTTGTGGAGAAAAATGGTATGTGGGAGACTGGGATGGGAGCTTCGGGGTTGGTCAGCAAATGAGCGCCCTTGAAACTATCCATGGTCTTTTAGTCGGCCAAAGTGTCCCACCATTACACAGCAATCAAGTCCATCTCAAAGCTCCAGAAACCACGACGACAGCTCCAGTGCCTTCAGCAACCACAACAAGTGCAGCAAAGCCGAGTAAGAATGCAGCAAGTCCTCAAGCCACTGGAGTTATGATTGATTGGGCATCCATTATCGCGGTGCTGGGCATTGCGGCTGGGAGTGAGTTTGCATCTTGAGGAAAGAGGGATGTTGATTGAGTCATATTGTTGTATTTGCATAGAGTAGTTGCATTAGAGCGGCGTTGGGCAAGGCATTTACAGGATACACGATACCAAGATTTTGAACCGGGCGGTACCACTTAGTATCGCTTCATAATACATGATATTACTGTTTGGCATACTTTCATTGTGTTAGCTGAAGAGAGATCTGGGATGCGTGAATCACAGACTCGAAAGCTACTTCTTTTTCCTAGTCTTGGACGATTCACCTGCTTAGATATTCTCCATGGGAACCTTGTTATTATCTTGCTAGCCTCGAAGACACATATATATACTCTCTTCCATTATCTTAAATTGTTTTTCTTTTTCTAGCTGGTAGGCACCGGGACACGCATGGAATCCGATCTCTACGACAAATAGATATACGTATTCCAGATTTCAACACAGTTGAATGTTTGTCCTTGCTATGAGCCTTTCTTGGCTGTCAACCATCCTTTGCTGTCAACCATCCTTTGCTGTCAACCATCCTTTGCTGTCAACCATCCTTTGCTGTCAACCATCCTTTGCTGTCAACCTTTTTTTACCATCAAAGACCTTTTGCATATTCTCATCTTGAGATGAAAAGCTTATTGTTTTCAGTTTCCGAAACTGGAAACTGACTTACTTTCCTCGAATGTCGCGAAAGCAATCCAGAGAATGGAAGGCTGGGAGCCGGGAACCCAGGGGCTGTCAATCCCGAAACTGCGGAGCCAGCGCAATTTGTTTCGATTGTTCTGAAGCCGTGAGGAGGAGGCAGAAGTTTCTTTTATCGTTTTCGAGTAATGGGTGACTGTGTTTGGGGGTTTTTCGACGCTATTCATTCACTGGATGGGAACGAGGCTGGGGTGCTTTTCGATTTGTGTATTTACTATTTAAGAACTCCGAAACTCTCTACAGTTGTGGAGTACACACAAAAGTTGAGTGTGTCGGTGCGGTTTTATGTCGTGAATGACCGTTGCAATTTCAAGGGTCAGGCTAACCTGTATGAGGGGATGAGAACTTTTAGTATGAAAATGTTTGTTCGTTTTGACAAACAATTGGGCGAGATCTCCACTTCTGTCTGTTCTTTATCTGAAGTTGACAATAGAAGATTGCTACTGTTAACTTTTCTCTTTATCTCGTTGAACTTTCTAAGTTGTAGAGCACTCAAATGAAGTAGAATGTTGAGGTGGAGACTCGTTCCAAACTCCTGAGTTCCGGGCTCCAAGCCGCCCCGTGACAGCCACCGCAAAAGCCAAGCCAAGAGGTAGCTCTTTGTCAGAAAAGTTCTGTCTTTTCTGGTCTTCCCTTGGGAATGGATAGGGTTTATATAGTACCGCCCTCCTCAGCCTTAACTTTTCTGACTCACAACCTACACACATTCACCCACCCCATAAACTACCCGTCCTTCCGAGACATTAATCTTCTTGTTGCCAACCTGTTGTTTGTTTTTAGTTGGCAACAGATAGAGAAGTCTCACAATTCAAACCCAAAACTTCTCCATGAATTTCTCAGGCTCTCTAAGCTATGAGGATGGTGGATTGCAACAGATCCAATCTGGGTAAGATGCCGGCCAGACGCGTTCCAGGTTTCCATCATTGAATGTCTCCGACATGAAAGTAGCGAATATCTCCTCAGCTGGATACTGGGATGCCTCAATGCTGTTCGCCGATTAGAAGAAGAATGGAGCGGCCGTCTAACCCGCTCTTTTATACTTCTTGGTTGTGGGAAGAGGGAAGAAGTCTCAGGCACTTAGGCTGCGACTGGGAGAGACAAAGAAGTGAATATGAGTAGTCTTGTTGTTGGTCTCCGCGCACAAGGCCTCGCAAGGAACAACCCATCCCATTCACTCACTCCATAATTCAGCGATTCCAGCAAGTCCTTCCAATCGACGGCCTCGCGAGGTATAAATAACGGCCTCGTTCTCGCCTTTCACACTCTTCAATCCTTCAAGCTAAGCGGCTTTGCCTACGAGATGTGACTGTGCTGACCTCAGTGTGGCTCAGTTCAGATCTTGGGTTATATAAAGGAAGACTTGTGGGCTGTGGATGAGTTAGATTTTTCAATTGGTTTGGAGAGAACGTATCATGGGATTGGGGTTTGCTGTCAAGGAGGGGGAGGTACCGGACGAAGAGGTACTGCGGATGGGGTTTGTTGTCAAGGACTGCTGTTGACGTCGATGAATTTCTTGTTGTCAGTCAGAGGATGGTGTTGTCAACACTTTCGATTGTGGATTTTGCTTTGTTGCTGTTATTTCGTATATGAAGGCATCGGATCAATCGCATAGATGAAAGCTAGTGCAAGAGAAAAGGGTCACCGATCGACATTCTGTTCTTAATGTTCACGAATAGAAATTGATTTTATGGGCCTGGAAAGTCTTGATTCAAGATTTTGGAAAATATCTCCCATTCTATCTAGACCCGAATTGTATAAATTACTTCCTATAAGTTCTGAAAAGAGTCCAGACAAGCAACGCAATTTGAGGCAATCACGTGGTCTAGAGCTTGAAGAGACAGAATGTCTGAAAATGGAAGACAGACAAGAAGCAGGACCTAATATCTGTCTTAGGCTCAGATCTCTGGGCTCGAGATATGTGGGATCTTTGCTTGGGCCAATGTGGCAAAGTATCTCTCACAACCTTTCAGATGCCCAGACTTCAACCTATCCAGAGAAATAGGGATCTTGCTTGGTCCTTGTTGCAAATGTAAGGAGGGAAGTATCACTCATTGCTTTTCATTCGTTGAAGCTGGATATGTCTTATCACAAATTCGCATTGGATTTCACACCGAACTTCACACCGCTCGGATGGTATTCATATATTCAACCATATTCCCTGCGGAACAGACCCATCCAGTCTGAACTCGGTCAGCAGCGACTTGTGAGAGGCAAAGATAAATTTGAGCAGTTTTTATTGTCAAAGAACTTGAAACTTGCAAAAAGTATAACAATGGGCATTCTAGAAATGCATCCCGAAGATGCCGCTCAACTGACTCGGTATCGAGAAATCTCCATCCACTCCGAGCTTCCAGACCTGCCGTCTGCAACTTTGCATGACAGTGAGGCCCAATTATATGCATCCCAACCATAGACTGTTTCAAAATGCAATGAGCAGCAGTTCGGGCGACAACCCAAGAGGAAGAGTTGGCAAAATTGAGGCTTCTAGAAACACCCCAATACCCGGGCTTGCCAAGAATAAAAGATCTAAGATCTTACCTGTTACAGATCCCCGGGTCGATATCCCCTGAACCTGGTGAACCCTGACAATCATAGTGGACAATGTGCCGCTGTTGCATGCATAGCCCTGCCGCACGGCAGTGAGATGTATAAATTCTAGGGCTTCCACTCACCTCAATTCGCTCACCACTTCTCTCATGCCCAACACATCCTCCAAACATGCAGAAACCAAGAGCGCCTTACCTGATTGCGAGATTATTTTCGTATGTCTCGGGCGGCAATGCGGCACTAATGATTCAGTTGGGGTTTGGCGAGCCCAGCCATTAGACGGAACCTTCGGCAGTTTCAACCTCACATGCCTGAAATAATGGGGATGTTAGGCCAGAACATGGCACCAAATCAGAGTAGTGGAGCTCGGCTCGTGGATATTTCGTCAGTGGGCGTCAGTGACACCCATGACTTTTCTGATTTGCAATTCCCTTCAGATCCGTGAAGATGTGATTATAAACGCTCTTAAGATGGCTGTTATTTCCTTGTCGTTCTTGTTCTATATTTTCACATACGACTGAAACTTTACACTGAGCACTATCATGCCTGTGCGGTGCTTTTGACTTTGCACCCCGACTCGAACCACCCGCAAAATTTGTTTCAAATAATATAATAGATCTGTCTCTTTCATACAGGTAGGTACCGTTCCTCTGTTCAGATCTTTTTCCAAATTTATCATTTCTTTTCTGTATCTATACTTATGTCCTTATAGGACAGATCCCATAACTCCCATACCAGGATATACTTCACAGTTTTCCTCCTATTCTTTCAATACCGACAGTATGGAAAGTCCACCGAGCAAGAAGGGGAGCCCTACATTACACGACGAAGCTCCACCAGTCCAACAAGAGGTTCCGCCGCTTGACCAGGAAGCGATATCAATTCACGCGGCTTCACCAGTCCATGCAGCTTCACCAACCCATGAAGAAGTGCCACCAATTCACGAGGAAAAGCCACCAATCCATGATACGAATCCTCGTCCAGTCAGTGAAGCCATATCAGGAACTATCTCAATAGACGATGCCGAAACAGACCTCAACCTCGACGATGATGCAACGACAACCAACCGAAACAGTGTCATCGATCCTACCCTCGACACCAAAGAGCGATTGCCCACACCCGCACCGCCTGCCTACGAAACCCTCGCCCAAAAGAATCCGAAAGCGACAGACCACCTCTCAATCACGATCGGTCCTCCCATAATCATCCTCTTCGACATCGTCGTTCCCTGTATAATATACTACGTATGGTTTGACATCCATCGCTCTCGATGGGCAGACCAATGCAAAGCATTCACAGACACGAATCCGAACACACCTTGCAATATCCCCAAACCAGAATACGACTCCGAGATATTGGGATATGCAATCATATCTTTCGGCTTCGGGGAACTCTATATCCTTGTCGCTCGTGTTTGGCGACTACTCAAATATCGAGAGCAATGTGCCCCTCTTCTCTCGAGATCGAAGTGGGAACTGGATGCTACAAGTTGGGTATACGGCGTGGCTATGATTTGTGCCCTGATACCGTTCGTGGTGGGGAGTTCACTGGAGATCCCAGAGTTGTATCTTTATTCTCCAGGATTCTTGATGGCGTTCTTGGCTGTGTTGATGCTGGTCACATTGATACCTGTTAAGACGCCTTATGGGATTAATTCTCATGCGAGAGGAACAACAATTCGACCTTTCATCTATTACGCAGCTGAGGATTTCATCGCTGTCGATGGTTTGCAAGATCGAGAATTCAGGGTCCGTTATAATGCGAGATATGAGAGCAATAAGTCGTTCAGAAGAATGTTTTTGTGGCTGACTTTATGGTGGATCACGGGCGTGCTGATTTATCTTGGGTGTTTGTCGGCGATCATTTGGAACCTGGAGTTTCATTATGCGTTTGGGCTTAGTTTGGGCGTTCTGTTTGGGTACATTGCTATATGGGCGATTGTGAGTTATATGTGGGTGCAGATCGAAATGGAGAGGGAAAAGAAACAATACGAGGAGAATGCGGGAGGGGCAATACCGTAATATGATGAGAGAGGACGAGACTAGAGTTTTGATTGCAAGATTCTAGGTGAGAAATTTGATACCAAAATCATTCGCTGTATACTAATAAAATCCATTTTGTACAATTCCATGGCATTTGCCATAATGCAGTGAAGTTGCTGAGAAGAGACACGGCAGAAAAGGGGCTCGGCTATTTGGCGACAGCCAATACGGGTTGCACAACAACAGTGTTGCTGAGACTGTAGACCATTTCGTTTCGATATCTTGCGATTATCTCCCATGCTCCAAGGCACAACGTCTCTAGGTGGGTCGTCTGTGTCTTCTTAAAATTCTGATTTGATATTTCAGAATTTCGGATTGGAGCGTTCAATTTATGCATACCTCACCCAGTTACTTCAAAAGTCTGATTCATCTAAAAGATTCTTAGGTAAGGCCATGACTGCATTCATCAATAAATGCAAGTTACTCACTTGAAAAAGCACTACATCAGTCATAGACAAAATTCATTCGCTTCGCCTCGCTACCCTACATTCCCACCTATCAATTCATCCTAGGCCATATAAATCTGCTACGATCATCCGTCTGTATACCCTTAGCTTCTATCAAACGGCGATCCTTCTCATATTGTGCCCTGGCACCCTTGACGATTCTCTGGCGGAACTCCTCTTCTTTCTCTATCCTCATCCATCGCATCTCAACCTCCTCCATTCTATCCCACCACGCTTGTCTCTGCTTTCGCGTAAAGACGGGAGATTCTCTGTGAGAAAAAAAACCCGGAATCCAAACTCTGGGCGAATCCCCCAGAAAATCAATCTCCACCCTCCCAGCGCCGATTGTTCCCCAAATTACTTGAGGAGCGACCGGACAGCAGACACACGGACGTTTCCGATGACAATATTCCTGGGACTCCCAGATGTCCTCCCAAAGTTCTTGGATGGTATAGTTGGAGGATGGACTGCCAGTATCCTCTTCAGGTCTTTGGGACAAGAGAGGCCCGGAGTCAGGATCTGACCCATCGTGCAAGAACTCGAGCGTTCCCAAATTGGGAAGCTTGGGCAGGATCCGCAACACACGCTGCACGGCGCCAAATCCACGGCCGGCTTTACCATTTTGTGTTCCTCTGAAACGAATCTGTACGTGGCGACAATTATCAAGCACATCTGGAGCTTGCCATACGAGATGGAGCTGGTCGCCTTCTGCCTTGACTTGAGCTCTCAGTTTTAGGTGTTGTGGCCATTTACTAAAATCCCAGGGAAGATCATTCCAGTGTCTCATATCCAAAGAGAATTTTATTGTGGTAGGATCGCAGATTTCGCGGCGCGGGCCGATTCGCTCGAGGTGGTATTGGATTTCCATCCAGTATTCGATGGATGCTTGAAGTTGAGGGTGTGCGGAGGCTAGTGCGCCGAAGGTATCCCATTGTTGGGGATCAGTGTCCTTGGGGCCGGCGAGGTCGATGATGCGATTGTTTTGTGATTGTGATACGATGAGTTGGTCGAAGATCCTGTGTTGGAGCTCGACTGGTAGTTTGATGACGTTGAATGCTAGCTCTCGATTCTCGGCCATGGCCCTGGGAGAAAACAACTCCATGGTTCCGTTATTTGTATGGTTTGAAGACATTTGGAATTTTCAGGCAAGTGCGATTGAAGAAGGTGATGAACTCGTTTAGCGAGAGTAGTGAGGGGAGTTGTGGTTTGCGTTTGGCGATTGATGGATTGACTGATTTGTGCGGAGATGAATTTTCTTGAAGCTGGAAATGAGAGTAAAAAAGGTGAGAAGGGTGAGCAGCACTTGAAATAAATAATTTGTGGGATTGTGATTTCGACTGCGATGACGGCGTCGGATGCTCCCGTCTGGTTCAGTTTCAAGACCACTTGCAAACTAACCATTTTCAACACTACCGTCAGCACACAAACCTCAAAAACACTCTTAAATGTGATGCGAGTTCCAGTTGAAATATTATTAGGCAATCCAATAACCAAATCGAAGATCTTCACGCAAGGTGGTCGAGACTCTTTTGAGAAGTGGAATGTCCATATCTGGATTGTGACTTTAATAAGTTAGGCACAGATTGCTTCCCGACTATCGTCCTGCAAACAAGGCCTGTGAAGATAGTAGAGACTGAAGTGTTATAGTCTACGGATCATCGAACTCTAGTATTTGTTAGCGGAAGGCACACACGAAAAGAATGTTATATTTTAGTCCATCTGGATGTTAGGCGGCCGTTAGCGAACCCCTATTCGTTCGTAGAACCTTACTGGTATATCAAGATCGAATCACTCTGATCTTAGTGTTATCGATCATTTAAAGGAGTCTCTATCTATCGAGTAGGCTCTAGAACTGAACGAGTCCACTGGCACAACAGCAACTACGGAGAGACAATCACGATCCATCACGTGACATCAAAGAAAATACACCAAGAAAGTGGAAAATAAGATAATGCTGTTCCAGACTATGTGGGACCATATAAGTTGGCTAAGTATCAAGTAGAAGCTCAGATTTTAGTGATGAAGTACTGTAGAACAACGTAAAGCCCAGCGTGCCCTTTCATTTATCCTGAAGAATTTGCTTCCCCGTTCATATCGACCACAAGCTCTGGAGTGATATTATTTTACATTCCAACCTTTACGGCATCCAAGGCTACGAGCATTTGAAGTATCGTTACGAAGTCTTGATGATATAGCTAGACGATTCGAAGTCGGACGATGTAGTCGATAGTCCCAGAACGGGCACTTCGAATTAGCATGACGTCGACGATACTCTTGAGATTCTGTTTGCTTAAGACCTTATGACGTGTCGGGTTTACTGTTCTGATAGATCAAATGTATTTGGCATCAATGACTTCAAAAGCCAACCTTTGCCATAAATAAATCATAATGCCAGGACTCGCAATGTGTGAAGTAGCATGCTCCTAGAAGTATTCAACATAAATGGGAGACATATAATTTGGCTTTACAACGACGTAGGCATATTACTTGCATTATTGGAAACGAACATTGGTCAAGAAGTGCGAGAGGTCCCGTTAGGCAGAGGACTGTAGCCGAGCGAGTGTTGCTGAGATACCGTAAAGTGATTGTTTATTGCAGGCCTCGCTTAAAAGTTTATAGGACTGAGAAGCAAAAACTTCATTCCCGAAGGAGTGTCCAACACCATAGCTAGTATGGGGTTTAAGGGGGAGATCTTAAGTCATTCGTATTTCAAGCACACACGAGAGTATTAGAGAGGCACGGTAGCTACCGCAAGCGTCTATACCCTGGAGGCCGCTGACTTTTGAGGCATTCGTATTTCAAGCATTCACGAGAATTTAGAGAGGCACGATCACTGTCGCAAGCATCTAAACCCTGGAAGCCGGTGTCTCAGAGGATGGCAGCATTCTGCTTATTTAAAATTATATGGTGTGAAAGAGGTTGAAGCTGTGATTGGTCGAAGAGCTTAGCGTGTTCTCTATAGAGGTTGAAGGTCATTAGTTTCGTCAGTACCTCAAAATTTGCTTCTCGCTTGGGCCTTAGTCCAGCAACATAATAGTGAATCTTTTTGTTTGTGACTCAAGCCTGCAGCTTGATCACTTGTTTCGTGGTTAAAATAAGTACTCGGATAAAGCTTTGGACTACACAGTTCAGGGGTTGGGGTGTTGCTGGGGCCGGGGAATGGGTGTATAACTTCTTCCGCCCGACATTCTCCCCTCTTCACTATGCCGGATGAGAGGGGCAAGATGATTTCTCTAAGCACAATACAGGAATATTCACGGGGGATAACTGATACCAATGTATCTTTTTGTCCAAGAGAGATCCTCCAAAAAGTGATGTTCACCTGAATTCTGAGCCGTAGCACATGCTGATAAAAGAACAGCATATCTGCCTCGAACACGAATGTGTACACAAATGTTTGGACAAAACGTTTAAAGGGCTTCATCAAAGATCAACTCTCGCCTTCCCGCTTTCACATCGAGTCATCCTTGTTACTGTCCTTACTCTTTTTATTCCAGCTTGCGGATTGAATGTTATCAACAAGTGTTAGAGAGCTTCTTACTGTATCTAGCTGTCTAATCAGAGGCAATGAGACTAATCTTTTGTCTTTTGTCGAGTCTTCATTATCATAAAGAACCTATCTACCAACAAAAGTACAAAGGCCCACATTGTCCGGTTGCAGGCTGAGACAAGTGTTTCTTTCATTGTTGCAACCTTTTATCAATCTTGTCTAAACTCTTTAATGTTTCTCATTCCATATCGTACAACATTTCCATTTGATCGAGGACCAAAATATTAAACTTGACACGATGGGTTTTACACTTCGACCACCTCGGAGGCACTCACTGTCAACTGCAACAGGCTCATTCCAAAAACAGTTTCGACCGCTCACACAAAAACGGGTTGATCAGATAAAAGCAGCAATTGGTTCAGTTGTAGATCGTTATGAGGATGTCGTCCCAATTCTTCCTAAAGGCGTAAATGGGGTTAACGCGTATGAACTGCAGGATCTTCTCACAAATGTACCTGAACCAGATATTGCCAATATTGAGAAAACTATCAGGGTCTCATGCAACTATGCCAACGACGACGACAGTTCTAGAAAAGATTCTGGGTTGTGCGTTGTTGTCAATTATAACTTTTGGGCTAGCTTGAGAATAGGTAGAGATGACGAGCTTGTTGAAGCTCTTAAAGCGGAGATGGTAGAGCCTGACAACTTTTTCGACTTCAAATATATCCTCATTTTAGTCCCTATAATAGGGGGGTTGGAAAACCACTTATCACTAGTGGCAATATCTCCGAAGAATAAAACGATTGACTATTTGGATAGCTCTCCAACACCGTTTCGAAATTCTGGAGATGAAGCCGAAATATTCCCGAGGGTCTTCAATTTTCTCGCTCGTTATCTCGGGCGACGATTCGTATGGCCAACGTGGAAAATCCGCCGTTATGCATCAGCTACTCAACCCACCAAGAATTTTGAATGTACAGCATACGTCTTGGCAAATGCAACTTGCCTAGCGTTTGGATATTCTCTAATTTATGACCTATACTGTAATATGCTTAACAGACGTCAAAGAGCAGCGTCCGAGCTTTTAAATGGGGGTCTTGGGCCTTACACGGGAGATAGCTCTGATGCACTAGAGTTTGCTAACGAATTCACTTACGAATTCGGAAACGAAGACGAAAAGCCTACTTCCCAAATTGGATTTCACGAGTTAGAAGAAGACATCGTTAAGACCTTGCCTCTTGCCGTCCAGAATAATAGAGGTACTTATCGAGATGTTACTGACATCCAAGGACTTCTTAGTGTAGCTGCTTTAGTCCACGATGATACTCATATGAAGATTTTGAGAAGATGGTGCGAAGTCCCAAGACGCAATCTGATTGACTGTGTAGGAATGGTGGAGCTGTTTGATCGCCGCCTCCTGCAAGGTGGCCAAAGGGATACTGAGGAGGATGTTCTTGACGTGGACCTGCGTGGCACGCCCCGAGCCTTGAAGAGTATGTTCAACATCCACAGACTGAAGAATGTAGCGGATCTGACACTACTTTCAGGAACCCTTTCAGGTCCTAAGGGCAGAGAGCCTATAAATAAATATAGTAAAACCCACTTGCAATTAAATTACTACCACATAAAATTGCTAACACTTGTCTCAAGGAAAACGAGAGATTTTGAAACCTGCGAAGGTAGAGAGGAATGGAATAGCAAAATCGACTCGGAAAAGGAGCAGCTTTTGAGAATGAAAGGATCTGTAGTTCGAATCAAGAGCGATTGGCAAGCACACGTGTGAAGTAGTAGTAGATTTGCCTTTGCGATCTCGAAGACTTTCAGATAAATGTTAACTTTATATAATTTGAAATCGAGATTAGTTATTACATATCTTTACAACTTTCATAATTAGCTAAGAGAACGAGCGTTATAAGAATTACAACTATAATGAGTACTACACAATGAAAAAGTAAACGAAAGTGGTTCCAAACTTAATACTAGCTAATCCTGGACGGGTAAATTCCAATTGCCGGTCCACTTGCGGCCATCGATTTCGGTTGCTGATGAGTATGTAGCACTTGCCAGATTTTGAGACATCAATGTGTAAACACAAGAAGAATGAAAGACAACAAAGGACCAACACAAAATTTTACATGAGAGACCCGGCTAAATGGAGATCAATTGGATTTGCCACTATTGGAACGCCAGAAAAGTATCTCTGCGGCTATGCTGTGGTTGTCTCCCTCTTAGCCTGCTCGCAAATACTTCAAGCCAACATAGTGCTTCGCGTTTGCATCCGCGGGTATGCGCCTTGCTTACTCAACTTGTCAGACAGCATCGCCAAGTAGCATCTAGCTAATCATTTTGCCTCATTAGGTAAGATCCAGATCTCCAGAGCCTTGCTCTTGAGCTGCAGTCGGCTTGTGATGTCATGAGATTCGAGATTTGATGCCCACAGAGTAGGACTTATTGGCCATCGAATTGTGACGCTGATGACACTCGAGCGTCGACCCTGTCGATCCTTGAGTTCTGGTGCTGGGTTCCCAGCTGTGCAACCCAAACTGCTTCTTGAAGAACCGTATATAAAGCCATGCTTGCCATGCTTTCGCAATATTATTGCGGCAATCTCTTCTGAGCACCAGCGATCTCCGCACTGAAGAAGCGGACTATCAAGCTCTCTTCAAGAAGATGTCTCCGTGGGGCAAAATGCTTCTAAATGCACGAAAGCAGCCAGCATCCTTCAAAATATCCATTCCAGAGCAACAGCTGTCCGAGTTCTACGCACTCTTGAAACTATCACATATCCCGCCTCTGACATACGAAAGCGCCCATGAAGATCAGAAGTTTGGCGTCAATCATCGATGGATGACAAATGCGAAAGAACATTGGCTAAGCAAATTTGATTGGTGAAAGTTCAAAGAATGCTGAAGGACGTAAGCTAACCTAATAGCAGGCGAGAATGTGAGAAGCATATGAATAGATCCTCCCACTTCAAAGTCCCTGTCGAAGACAGGACGTCAAACACTACATTCGACATCCACTTCGTAGCGTTGTTCTCCGCAAATGCGGATGCGACCCCAATCCTTCTTCTCCATGGCTGGCCGGGCAGTTTCCTCGAGTTCCTGCCAATTATTTCCTTGGTTAAGTCACACTATACACCAGAAACACTGCCGTATCACTTGATCGTACCCTCTCTGCCTGGGTATGCGTTCTCGTCTCCCCCTCCATTGGATCGTGACTTTCGAGTCGAGGACATTGCCCGTGTAATGAATCAACTGATGCTAGATCTCGGGTTTGGAAGTGGCTATGTTGTTCAAGGAGGAGATATCGGTAGCAAAGTCGCACGTGTTATCGCTGTTGAGCATGAAGCTTGTAAAGCTGTGCATCGTAGGTCTTCCCTTAGTGAGAAAACATGGTTATTACTCACAGTCTTCTCAGTAAATTTTGGTATCATGCCTGAACCACAGACTGCAGACCCTTCGAAGTACACTGCTCTCGAAAAGACCGGGCTTCAGCGGGGCCGCGAGTTTCACCGCATAGGTTCAGCTTATGCTCTTGAGCATGCAACCTGTCCATCAACCATAGCCTTCACTGTGTCTGCGTCACCGTTATCCCTACTCGCTTGAGAAATTTCTTACGTGGTCAGACCCAACTAGCACTTCATCTCTCGACACAATCCTGGAAGCGGTGACCCTTTATTACCTGACCGATACTTTCCCTAAAGCAATCTATCCTTACCGCCAGCTCTTCACACCAGGCAACATAGGTGCGCATGAGAATCCAATTTGGAGGATCAATAAGCCGTTTGGATTTAGTTGGTTCCCGAACGAGATTGCACCTGTCCCAAGAAACTGGGTCGAGAGTACAACAGATGAGAAGTTGATATATTGGCGAGAACATGAGAAAGGTGGACATTTCGCGGCATTGGAGAGGCCGGAGACGTTGTGGGGTGACTTGAAGGAGTTCGTTGACCAGGTGTTTGCATAACAGGGAGGCGCTGGCAACATATCGATATTCTTTTTGACATGATTGGAAGCGATGTGGAGGGGTACACAGGGGAGCTGCAAAAGAAGCCTCAAGTGCAGGTGAAACAGAATCGGGGAAGTATGAGCGAATTATCAGCAAAGAAGTAAACGCAATTTCAGAAAGAACAACGGCGAAAAGATACAGGACATGATTGATGCCCAGGGAACTCACTCAGGTAAATAGTGTCAACAGTCATTCACAATTTCTCAGATGGTCTAGAGTCCCAGAGACTTCAGTATTTAGATTTCTCTGCACCACTTTGCCATAACGGTGCTGATACTGTCCACACTTCCCGTGATCTCCTCAAGTCCTACGTCAACCCTCCACATCCTACCAGCGATGCCAGAGTCTTTCACGCCGGCACCCATACCAGCAGGGACGAGCAGGTCATACTCTGCAAGTCTTTCCAAAGCTCCCAAAGCAACATCTCTACCCCAGACTTTAGCACTGGATCCGAGGGCATTGACACCCGAGCTTGAAGTTTGAATCTTGTGTCGAGATGTAAGAGAGCTGTATTCATCGTAGGCCATAGCGAAGTTACAAGTGTCTGTATCTAAGATGATGTCTAAGCGTGCGGCTGCAATCAGGAGTGCGAGCTCGAGTTCGGACAGTCCCTGCAATGTGTGAAGCTTGGAGTCTGGCGGAGAAACAGCCAGAGTGTTTGATGTAAATGCAAGACTGTCAAGTTTGAATTTCTTGGTGGAGAGGCTGGAGATGGGAAGAATGCAGGATGTGAAGAAGCCAGGAACGGACTTCGTTCTATAGAACTGCGACTCGATCAAGGTCTTGAAGTTTACATCTTTGCTGTAGAGCTCCTTGACAAAGTTAGCACATGTTCATCAAGAATCACTTGACAATGACCTACCTCAATCATGGTGTTCCAAAAGGAGAGAAATTCATCCTGACCAGAGTCCCCATCAAAGCCTTCTGCCACTGCATCATCAGCGTCAATCGTGAGACCTTGTTTGCAGATTTCCCAATATGCAGGAATACTTCGAGGCAATGATAAATGTACGTAGCGATGGCTGAAACGGCTCTTCACTCTCTTTTCGAGACTGTCCATCACGTCAATCCGTGTTGTGAGGCCAAGAACCGCGATGGGAGCCTTTTTGGACTGTGCGATATCGAAAAGGTTGTATAGCAGAGTCTGGCGAGGATGTGTTGTGAAGAGGTCAAACTCATCGAGAACAAAGATTACAGACTTTGCAGTCTGATCAGCAGACGACTCGGATATCTCTGAAGGGTGTGACAACAGAGCAAGTAAAGATGCCAAAGTATCTGCATAATTAGTTGTTCTGTTGGAAGGATCTTCCTCGACCTCCATCTCACGCCCAAGCTGCCTCCATATCTCCTTCAGAGCTAGCTTGTCATCTGTATGAATGAATCCATTCAATCGTACGACATGAAAGTTCTCTCGCTGATCTTTCGAAATTTCAGAAATCACTGATTCGACGAGAGTAGTTTTTCCACAGCCTCGAGCGCCTATCACAAGGATAGAGTTGCCTTCACCTGCTAAGACCGTCTGCTCTACGATTTGATGGACTTTTTGCATCTCCTCGTCATGCCCGCAAAGCTTAATTCTCTTCTGCCCGGTAAGTCTATCTAACAGAACTCGTTGCATGTGCTCTAAATGTTCAGCAAATCCCTCGATGTCCGGCAAGTAAATAGCAGCTTCAGGAGCCAGTTGTGAGATTGACAGCTCTTCATCTCCATCTGGATGGCAATCTTTGCAGAACCATGACCCCTCAGGTACTTCTTTGACGTCGTAGCATTTCTGATGAACCATGAAATCACATCCGTCACAGAAAATGATCTGATTCTTCTTCGTAGATTTCAACCCCATACATATTTTGCAGAATTCGTCATCGCTCTCGTCGGAATCACCCTTTTCTGCTTGCTCTGGGGAGGCGTCTTCGACTCCGGGAGACTCTTCTGCATCTGATGCAGCTTCAGGTTCATCAACAGCTTTTCCCATGGACTTCTTAGTGCTCGCAGCGTCGATGTCTTTGAACCCCAAGTCGACCTCGTCAGTCTTGTCGAATACCACACTCTTCTTCGGTCTTGGCGTCCTGCCTTTACTTGGAGTTAGAATGCTTTTTAGAACTTGGTTGGGTGCCTCAAGGGTTTCGTCCACTTTTTTTCGCGGCCGTCCTCTCTTCTGAACTGACTCGGCACCAGGCATTGTCACGGCATCCGTTGTGTCGTTCTTTTGGGCATGTTTGCTCTTCCTTCTAGCAGGAGTGGATACCTCTTCATCCTCTTCTTCTTGTTCAGACTCCCCTGCAGCCGCACTGATTCTCTCTCGTGCGTCCTGTTTGTGAAGTTTCTTAGCATCCTTCAGAAGTTTCGATTTACTGGGTCGACCTCGTCCTGGGGTACTCCTCTGAGGGCTATCAACTTCTGGCACAGTCGGACCCTTCGCAGGTTCAGCAAAACTTCTCCGTGGCCGCCTCGTTGTTGGATCTTCTTCATCTTCAGGAACATCCCAAATATCTTCAGGTGGTTCATCTGCTGCAATATCTGCCTTCCTTGAGCTGCTTCGACTCTTCTTCTTCTCCGCGGTTGCTGGTGTCGAAGCAGCTCTTTGTCGATCGGAGCCATTCCTTCTCTTGGTTCTCGTGTCCTCGGGACTCGACGACTCAACCTCCCAGATATCCTTTTCGGCTTTATCATTTGCGGTTTCATGATCATCGCCGTCGTCCGCCAATTCGTCCTTGTTTTCGTCTGCTTGTGTCGCATTCTCCTTCTCACTCCTGCCAAACCCAAGAAATTCACCAATTCCACCAAAGGTTTTCTTCAAAGCGCTGAAGCGAGTAGTTTTCGGTGAGTGTGAGTGTGAGTATGCGCCTATGTTTAGCTTCTTCCTCTTCGCCCCCGATAATGGAGTATTGTCTTTTTCAGGGGATAGTTCGTCGGATTCGGGGAAGTCAGCTCTGCTGCGTTTCCGAGTCACGGCAGGAGACGGCATTGTCGTCAATACTATGAGCAATATTTGTTTTGCTATTGAGCAATTGCAAGTGGAGGTAGCATAGTGGAGGGCGCAAATGTGGTGGATTGTTGGAGTAGATTTTCGAGGTCTTGACTGTGACGCGAGAAAGCGCGGTTGCAGTTTCGCACGCGTTTCACGTGTCATGTCAGAATTGAATCTCAGGAACTCGGAACTTTATAGTGATTCTCATCATTTCAGACACTGAACGAGTTAGATCACTTGGAGATTCCAATATTCCCCATCTCTATGTTCTCAATTGTCAGTTTGAGGCTGAATACTTGTCAGGTCCAACGCAGCGTGGAACATGCTGGGCGTGGATGTTGTACTTTCCTAAGAAGAGCAAGATTCAACAACGTAAGATCACATGTGAGAAGATCATAGAAGGTCAGAAATAGAACGTGTCCTATGTACGTATCATCGCAGTTGTGGTATCTGTCTATGTAAAAGTCCAAGAGAGGAAGCAGACTCGGATCACGGGCTCAAATCTTACCAGGCTTCCCACATCTGAGCTCCCATCGCCACCAAGCGATTAAATAGCTCCTCTCGAAGAGCAATAGCTGTAAGCTGTTTCTTATCGCCCGCTTTATCAATAATGAGAATTCCATCGGCAATTTCTCTATCAGTCGCCCACCCCACAACGAGCTTAGTCTTCCAGCCAAGTCCGCCAACCTTCTTGATCTCAGCAACATCTTCGATAGCTATGGAGAACACAGGGTCTATGTCCTCTTTCTCTGTGGTCCAACTCAAAGCAGGCGTAGTTGCTGTGATTGTGATATAAGCATGACCTTTCTTGCCTTTATATCGACACGGGAATTGGACAGGCCCTGCAGGACGGGGACCACCAGACCTCAAAACACCAAGACGATTCTTAGCATGTTCTGCACCAGCTGCTGCCTTCAATCTGTCTGTGCCCATGATGGTTTCAACTCCACCTTTTGTGACACCTTTGATAGCAGCAAGGATGCGACGACCATGTTGTTTCTTCTTTGGCGCCGTATCTGCGCCTGTGGTCACCGCAGTATCAGGATGGATTGCCTGTGCCATTTCATCATCGGGTACGCCTTCTGGAGATGTTAATGAAGCCAAAGCAGAGGATACTGGAAATACACACCAAGATGCTCAAGGTTCTGACCAGCAGTCTCGTGGGCTGCATCAGGGGGAGGTGGTCCAGAATAAGGTGGTGGAGGAATAGGTGCCTTGTTTGCTTCTCCAATCCGCAGGAGAGTAATAGTAAGCTGGGCGTTGGTGGGGACGCCCTTGAGCAAAGTGTTTCGGATTTCCAAAAGTTTCTGCCAGTGAGGAAATTCTCTATTCAAGTACGAAAGTCCTCTCCAGATGAGTGGGTCTCCAAAGAAGCCAAATCCGACAAAGAGCCCATTCATCTTCATGAACATGTAGGAGCTCGTAAAGAGCGAAATCAGAAGTACAGGCACGAGGCATGCTGCCAACTTGAGACGAGGTTTCTCCTTTGGAAATGGTGCAGTTGGAGACAGGGCATTGCCAAATCTCTCCCAGCCATCAGAGATGTCCGCAATCGCATGCATGACAGGTCTAGTCTTCGACCACATGGCAGCGGACATTGGCTCCTTGGTCTTATCATGCACAGAATTCGGCTGGCCTCCTTCACTTTTTCCTTTTGCTTCTGCGGCGCCTAATGCCATGTTCGTTGGATCGGGGGCAGTATCTTCGAGACTGCTTGCTCCTTCTTCTTCTCCATGAGGATCGCCTTGGGGATGCTTACCTGCAGCACTACTTATGGCGATTGAGGTGAAGCTGTTGACGAAATTCCTCGCTTCCTGCTCTACGGCCTCTCCTTGGTGCTTTTCAGGTGCTCCCGTCAAACTATTGTCACTTCCCAGCACACCTGCTGTAGGTTTCTTGATTCCACCGGTCTTCGAATTGATCAGAGCAATAGGCGCAGGTGGGAAGCAATATGTTCTTGCTGGCGGATATACTATCAGAACCATTAAGAAGGAAATTATTACTGGCACCAGGAAATCGACCGCCCAGGCGATGAAGTATACGGCTGCGAATGCAATTGTTCGGTTTCTTTCTCTCCATGATCGAAGTCTTGCAATGTGCTTCCAAAATCCGACCAGCCCCACGACAACAGTCATGTAAAGTCGTTCAATATTAGCTCTCAGTTTATCAGGGCTGAACTCTTCTTCGTCTGCGATGTTGAGGTCTAGACCCCCGAGAGGTGGCTCTGGCAATTTCTTGACATGGTACATTTGCTGACATAGTTAGCACTTGATATACGGAGTATTCCACCCAACCTACCTTGTTGAATCGTCTAATCAGCGTCCATAATTCCTCATTCTGTAATCCTCCTACCAAAGGATTTGGTACTTCTGCGGGAGATTCGTTCCAACCCAAGTCCTTTACTTCGGTCTGGCCATGATCGATCTGCGCATATCCTTTTTCTTCGTGGTCTGCATTTGCCAACTCATGGCTATCAGTCGGGTGCTCCTCTGGTGCAGCTTCGACAATTTCTGGTTCGTCAATTCGAGGTGCATTTGTTACCTCGAACTGTTCTGGCCGAGCAGTAGCGGCTGCTAGTGCAGGGTCTGCTTTTATGTTCGACATTCTGCAGCGTTTCGAGTTGCTGAGTTTGAAGTAATAAGCACAATCATGGAATGAAATTTTAGATGAAAGTTTAAATCACGGAAATTCGAGCAGTTGCTCAAAAGTGGTTTGTCCCGCACGTTCGTGGCATCTACGTCATACACGGCTGAAAAACGTGTAACTTCGTTCTTGACAACACCAGACAGGATCGACCTGACCGTCAAGCACGACTTCATCAGAGGCTTGATTTCGTGTTGAGATCGATATTGGACGTTTTCTAGGCTGTTCGGTGCTTCTTGTCTTGTTGCTTTACATTCGTCTGAATCTTCGCGCTTCACCACGTGTTTTACTCACTATAAACAAGTCCTCGTCGATGTTTGAACGCAGCAAGAACAACTAAACGAAGCAACAAATTGAATGTGTGGATTGAATTGTGGAGTTTTCGGGAAGAGACTCCTTTTTGAACTTCTGTCAATACCTTGGTCAATGCATCATGCGACAGCAGTGACGTACCATGTATTTTCCCAAGATTTCTGTTGACAAAACTCACAGCATGTTCGAGCCGCAAGAGAGCATGTATCAATGACATCCCACGGCCATCGGCCAGAAAATATTCAATTCTCCAGTGGAGAGCTCAGAACAGGGGAATGTCGATATCCAACCGCTCTTCTCTGATCTACGTTTTTGTTGTCAACACCTCTATTGCTACCAACATATCCATTGCTGTCAACATCCACTTATCCATTTCTTTTGCTGCAGTAGGCCACACCATTGCGAACCCCCAACTATTTTCCGACATTTTCGTGTTGGCGATTCTCGTTAAGTCCATCTTGCCGTTAATACATGAAGCTGTGGGTCAGGTCGACCCGAGTTTATATAGATATCGACCCCGGACGATAAAGCTACGAGAAATTAGTGAATTACTCTCGTCGGACGAAATTGATTTTTTGTAGTGAATCTGTAACCTCCAGCTCCCATTTCTTGTCAATTCACTGGCGCTTCAATGAACACCATAGCCATTTCAGGCAGTGAATTCTATACCCCACCATCCTATTCTTCATGTCTATCAAAACACTGCTTTTCGGCGATCTTACAGCTTCCGGCGAATAAAGCTACGAGAAATTGGTGAACAACTCTCATCGGACCAAATTGCCTTGTTTGTATTCAGACTGCAACGTGCAGCCCACACTCCTTTCCTATTCACTCGCGCTTTGAAGAAGACTGTACCCGTTTCAGGCAGGAAATTCTAGACCCCACCGTCCTATCCTTCACGTGAATGAGTACACTGCTTTCCGCCGATCTTGCAGATTCCGCCGGATGACTATGAATTGGTGAATTGACCTTGTATCATAGCAACAAAAAGCTTCACCTCTTTCATGTTTAAAAAAAAGCACTGTTTTTCGCTGGTCTTCACAAATTTCGCCGAATAACTAGTGAATTATTCATGTGCTATAGCAAGAAAAAGCTTCACCTATTTCATGTCTAAGAAAACACTGCTTTTCGCTGATCCTACACTTTCCGCTGGACTACCGGTGAAGGCCTGTTTCAACATTGGTATGGTGTGGTGTGGCGCGGCCTGGAGCGAGCAATACCTATGAAGTTTTTTTTTTTGACTAAAGTCGAGAAGTTGCTGTATTAATGCTATTGAGATCTTGGCTAAGTCTGTTGTGTGGCTTGGGGTGTTATCAAGATTCTGGGAATTATTGTTGATAGGCCTATTGTTGTTAGCTTTTGCATGTTCTTTCATCTCGATCTTACAGATTCCGCTGGACTGCCGGTGAGGGACTCATCTAGCACTAGTGTGGTGTGGAGTGGTGCGGTACGGATTGTTCCCTCCAGGCAGAAAGATCTTGCTCAAGTCGAGAGGTTGTAGTGTTGATGGCATTTAGATCTTGGCTAAGGCTGATGTGTGGCTGGGAGGTTGTCAAGGTCCTTGGGTTTATTGTCAGCAACCATCTACTTTCAACTTTTAAATGCTCTTTCATCCCAATCTCGCAGATTCCTAAAGAAGAGGCCAATTGCCCATATAAATACTTCAAAGAGCTGTTCGTAATAATCCCCTCTTGGCGAAGAAGTTCGTCGGTGGTGCGTGTGCGAGAGTGAAGCCACCAAAAGTCACCCAGTTTCCAATCAACCAGCCTTGAATTTCAAAGCAGCATATCATAGAGTTGGGAAAGTCGTTGATACCGATGTTGTAAAGTGCGTCATTACTGTCAATTCTTACACTCTCTTTGTCTATAGAATTTGCCGTTGCGAAGCTCGAACCTGTCTGCATCTCCGATACACGAGAAGTTTTGAAGCATTAGAAACATGTAGTTCGTTATTCTTTGTTCAGTTGTCAAGTTGTCACTAGACTTTGCTTTTGCCTTCTGTATTGTCAACGGAACGTCTAATCTCAAGTCAAATTTGCATATGGTGCATAAACTAGCGTTTTCTATCAGGACCGCACAGTTTCTTACAATACGATCACAGCTCAACACATACGAGACTTAATGAGCATGGGTTTTGCACAGCTAATAGTGAGGCTGAGTCGAATTTCGATATCCTCACGGATGTTATCCTTGTCAAAGGTCCCTTCTTCTCACACTTCTCCGGCTTGAAATCTACATCCTTCATGTTGGTCATTCGTTTCGCGTTTGATCCTTCTTCCACTCTCGGATACACTTGCACCTTCCGGAAGCAAATCTCTCTTATGCCGTGTCGATTATAAGTATCCTTGTTCAACACTTGGACATTGACTTAAGCTCAACATGTACAGACGCGCTGTCATTGCTTATTCACGCGCTTACTGGGGTGGGATTGGAGATGAGACAGGATGGACGGCGGTTGGCGCCAACAAGTACCAAGTGCCGGCTGACGAGACTTGACTCAGCCGCGTTCTATTCTTCCAAAACTTTAAAAATCCACGAACCTGCACATTTCAAAAACTTCTTTCCTGCCAAGTCAGAAACATGTCAGGACGGCACGTCCACCGCTCGAGCAATTCTCACGAACCTTGCCCTGTACCTGCCTGCTGCACTCATTGAGTCGATCAGCATCGTCTGCATATCTCACCTCACGGATGCTTGGAGCTCGTCGGAGGTACGCGATCCGGGTTCTTACTTCCTGTTGATACTGCTACAGCCGCGGGTTCTGCCATATCAAGATACGGATCGGCAAGATTTGACGGTTTTCACATACAACTTCCCGTCTCTTCTTAAACCGCGAAGCCACTTCTGCACTCTCAGATACTCGTCCTTGTTTCTGGCCCTGCCTTTCCGAACAGCCACGGTCGAGGTCTCCAAGATCCATGACACCTTTCAATGCCTTCGATGCAAATCGATTCTTCGTCTTTCCGAACAACTCTGAGTCCAGCCAGAAGAGATTTTCTCACGTCATCCTTCCCAGACTTTGCAAAGAAGTCGTCGCGGATTCTATACGATTTTCCTCCAGGAAAACTGCATCCTGATTACATGAAACGTCACCCGCTTCGTGCTTCCGGATGTACCATTCAGGCTGAAGCATTTTTCACCGCTTAACACCTCTAATTGACCAATTGTACATGTTATATTGATCCCTTTTCATCTCAACCTTATCTTCACCTCACCTCAGATTCAACGTCCCGCAGTTTGGAGTTACATCGTGCGTCCCAAGAATCTCAACATCCAACCATGTGGAGACCGAGCTATCAGATCGCTTGGGCAATGCGTCATCACCAGTCCCCGTCTTGGAGGTATATGGTATTGATTGAGCTTCTATATTTTACCTGATGAAGTCTATTTCGAGTGTGGATACGCGCACATGCCAAAACTGGGCTGTATATTTCTCTTATCAGGGTGCAATATATTCGAGGTGCATATTCGCATATTTACTCACCTTCTATGGCAAAACCTTTACGAACTCTCCCACAGAGATAGGGTATACCATCGCACAGCATATGTGCGTCGTCTATCACCAAGGAATGCTCAACTCCCTCGCAGCAGAGCCAAGAGGATTGATAATCCTTGGTATCAGATTCTCGCTCAGCTGCTAAACTCAGCGGCTGAGCTTCTAAGCCATTCAAATCACCAACAAAAAGATCTCACCGAAGCATCCGAACGGCACAGCTGTCGTGCCTCCCTCCTTACGTTCAAGGATTACATCGGGAATGCAAGTGCTTTGTCCCTCCTCAAGTTCGCCACAATCTCCATCCATCATATGAGACAATTGAGAGATTTTGCGAGCGCGCAATGCTGCAGCAGCGTATTTGCACGCCCAGAACAGGAACACAGCAGTTCGAAACGAGTTACATACGAGATGCAGGGTCCCCGAACCTGCGTAGCAATATGGAAAGTATATTGCATCCGCCACGCCAACCAACAACGCGGTCGCCTCAGCTCTCCAAACGAAACACCTCTCCCCTCCCCGACCCTCTGTGCAATTTATCCTCCGTTCACCTCTCTCTCGAACCCGTCCGTGCCTCGCTGTTGCACGAGATAAGCAGCATCCCGAACCTCCCCTACACAGCGTCGAGCTTCCAGACCGTTCTTCTTCTTCTCCTCCTCGTGCCCCTGACTCTCCATCCATCCATCCATCCTTACCCCAGATCCCCCGCCTCTCCTTGGCCTTCTCTCCTGCAACTCGCGAGTGACGAATCTCAGCTCGTACCGCACTCGGGTCTCATCTGCACGTTCCCGGCATGACGGACCGATTTGAATCCGCTCCTCGCTCCTCCCTCGTCCCGCCACGGTCTCTCCATCTCCCGTACGGCACAGCACAGTAGTTCCTTCTCCGCATCTCCATCTCTCGATCAAGATCTAGGCTTGTTTCACGAGGCGCGCGCGCGCGGCCGCGGGCGTGCGTTCGTTCACTCATGTAGGCGGTTGATCTTTAATCTGGGCGTAGATTACTTCCGGGCGCTGGTTCTGGTTCTGTGATCTGTGAGGGGATACGCAAGCAAGGAAGCCATACTCGGTGTTCGCCTGTTGCTGGTTTCCGAGTTTCTCGTGAGAGTCACAGAAATGAATGGATGGATGCCTTTCAGGCTGCTACTGTATGGGGAATACGAACGGACGCCGCGTCTCTCTCTCCCTCTCTCGAGAATGAATGACGCGGGTAAAGGCACGATCTCAACATAGGAAGCCACTGTACTGTACTGTAACCTCAGCCTCTCTCAGCCCCGTCACAGCGCCCGAAATATCTCGCGATGGCATCATTCCTCACCTCACTCGCGCGTCTCCGCATTCCGGGAATTCCCGCTATCGCACCACCAAGTGGGATTTTTGCGTGTTATTCTCACCCCCACAGTACAGTACATTCCCCGCGATAAGGAGGGGAAGGGGAAGGAGAAAGAGGGAGGGTTGCCTGTTTGGGTGGGCTGCCGGGATCGGAGGAGGTTGGATGTAGGTACCACTTGTTTGAGGAATTGGGCATGTGGAGATGGGATGGACGGTTGTTTGGGTTGGAACTTGGGATGGTCGGGTGAGGAATGTTGGGTTGGGTTGGGGAAGTGATGGTAAGTCTTGGTATTTGGTAGCTTGGCGACTAAATCTTTTTCGTACTGAGAGAAGGAAAGAAAGAAACCCGAATTCACTAAGATTCCGCCGTATTTTCCTTACAATAATTAAATCATAATAAAAACCACACCATTCTTCCGTCATCCTTCGTGTTCTTCGTCCTTCGTGTAGTGTCACCGCATCCGCTTCAGATAGCGGTCTGGGACGCAGAGTTCCCACCACCACCTTGTTTTCTATCCGTCTTACTTGCCTCCCTCCTGTATGCAATATCCAGAACACTCATACTCTATTGGTAGCACGAAGATACGACACCGCCATTTGACCCCCAATTCTACGCCCCGTCATGATAGGATAGGTGGACAGCAATAATAATGGTTGTCGATATAAGATGATAAATGCGCGCGTGTGTGCAGTTCCCCGTGGGGTTGGACCGCATCCCTGCCGCAGCTCTGTGGGGAAGCCAAGAGATAAATTACGACGGTACGAAAAGAGGACCTGGGCTGGGCTGGAGCGGGTTGGGTTGGGTTGCCCCCCCACAGGATAGGTACTACATACATCCGACAGTACCAGATGCGACGCTGGACTGGACGGGTGACGAGATAGGAAAGCCGGTTGGGGTTCTCCTATCTCTTGCATTATTATTGTTGTGTATTATGAGAAGCTGGGATGATATGGGATGAAATTGTCCAAGTTCTGGGCTTTCTTGTTCTTGGGCTTGGGGTTTCTCCCTTCCTCCAGTCAAATAAAATCTGAGCATGTTTTTTTTTTTGACACTCCCTTGTGCGAGACAGGCAGGAGGAGAGATAGGATATGTGTGAAAGCGGGTTAGTGGGAGATAAGGAAAATCTGGGGGCGCCAGCAGCAGCGGGGCAAGGTTTAATGACGACGGTGGATGGGATGGGATGAGATGGGATAGGATGGGATGGTAAATTTAGAGTTGGTCGTCGGGAAGGGAAGTCTGGAACATTCGGGCAGGACGAGAGAAGGGCGGTGATTCGTGATGCGTAAGCAGCATTTCTTTCATTTAATTCTTTTTATTCACATCTGGGGAGTAGTGAGTAAGCTCGATGGTACGTGAGGCGGGATCGGGGCCCTGTGGTTTGGTACTGGAGGGTCGGATGCCTCCTGGAGAGTGAGTAATAATGTAATGTGTGGTGCTTACTTGGATAGGACGCTTGTTCGTGCTATTTGACGGCTTTTGACAGGCTATCTGTCTGTCTGACATCGGAATCTTATTAGTGAGCTTACACTATCCCCTCCCTAACAACCATCCATCACTACCTATCCTTATCAGTCACGGAGAAATCCCCCTGAGATCGAAAAACCAGCGTTCGCATCAGAGAGACTGAAATTCCACCAGTTCTCTCTCTCGCTCGAGACACGGCCTCGTCATAGCGAGAGAGTACCAGTATTCTTCCCGACCTGAAACCAAGAAGCAAGACCCAAGTGTAAACAACTCCTCATCTTTTCTCCATCCCTCAGTTCCCCCACACTGCTGCCCTAATCCTGCTGCAGGAGACAGTTTCCCCGTGCCGTGCATCCGGCATGGGAATGCCATCTCACTGCGGGGAACACATTCCGGGTACTACAGTACGAAACAGCGTTTGAGGCTTGAGCGTTGCAGAGGGATCCCAGTTTTCTTTTCGTCTGTGGAGAGTGGGTGACAATTGACATGTGTCCCGATTGATTGAGTGATTGATTGATTGATGTGCAGAAGGCTGGCTCGCTGTACGGTAGGAAGTACAGCACGGCTCGGAACCACGCTTCGTCCAAGTCTGGGGAGCGTGGCAGGGTGCCATTGTTCAGGGGGAAGAGTGGAAGTGGCTGCAAGTGTAGAGTGGTGAAATCACTGCATTAGTTGAATTGCTCGCTTGAATTGTTTCTTGTTGATTTGATTTGCGCCTCTTATCTATTTTTATTTTCCGAGTCCTCCTTGGCTCTTTTTTATGTGGGAAGATTGGATGAGCTGGGACTAAGGTTCCTGACCCCGCATTCTCTCATTTGTTGTTGTGAGGAGGTAGGCGGGGCGTCCGAGGAGTGATATCAAGTTGGGTTTTAGAAGGGTGCATGTTCTTCCTACTCGGTCACTGTTACCTAGTTGAAGAGAAAACGTGGGGAAGAGTGAGGAGAAGGTAGTCTCGGAAGTTCGAGGTCCTGAGAAGGTGTTTTGGACGGAAGAACAAAGTCCCTTATGTTTCAGGACATCGGGGCCGGTGTTAAGTCGAGGCGGGTGCAGCTTTCCTTTCCGTACCAGAGATGATGACACCACTTCATGTCCTTTCTCATCTTCATGCTTTTGTTTGATGAGGAATCAAGAGTCTATGTTTGAGTCACTTGGACATCTCCTCCTCATTTTCTCCTCACTTGTGTCCAAGTGTACGCGTGGTCATGACGATCTTGCTGACTCTCGTGTGTTTGAACCTTTCAAGTCTGATGTTCAGGGGTAGAACATGATATTGAACCAACACATGACATGATATTAAGTCGATGGTAACAGAAAAACACCTCCTTATGATTGATGGACAAATCTACTCATTCCATCTCATCATCAACTACAACAACAACTCCAATTTCCAACACGTAATTCAAAAGCCACATCTCCAATATGCCACAATCTCTCCATATTGCATGTACATCAGCACTCTCGATGATTACGCCTTTCCCGCAATCACCTCATTTCCTTCCGTTTCATTGACTGGATACCTAACGGACGTCGGATCGAGGCACAGCAACACAACATTTGTGTTGTGTGTGTGAGTGCCTCAGCCAGCAGCACAACGTGTTCATCATCCAACATCACGTTTTCGTCTACTTCCCCATCGGGTCCCGTTGTGTTTCCCCACAATCTACAGCCCAATCTACGTACCCAACTTTAAATCCCTATCATCATCATCATCATCATTCAGCCTTGTCATCAAGTGTTGCAGGCTTAATTTAACTGTTTGTTTCTTTCTCGCCACTTCTGTTTGCTTTGTTTGATGAGCCACATGTCTGCTTTATCTATTCATTACTACCTAATTCTCCTCCTCATTTCATTCATCCGTGTCTGCCTTACAAATCGACAAGGGACCTCCTCCATTTCCCCTATCTACTGTACAAGCGGCTATACATCCCCTCCCCCTCCATCAGCGGCTATGCCATTTTACCGCCTCGCCCGCCGTCCCCATCTTACATACCCCAAGCGACAAGTACCGTCCGTCGTCTCAGACATAGACAGGTCCTCGGGAAATGAGAAGTGATTAAAATTTCAGCAAAATAAGTACCTACCTACCTACCTCTGCATCTCCACGCGAGCGAACGCAAGTCATACTGCATCACCCTCCCTTCTCGCCACTGCGTTGATGAGATTGTCCGTCTCCATCCGGAGACAAACGGCATACAGCCTCGCGGCAAAATGGGTCTCGACCTTCTTTTTCCCTCATACAATTCTTATCTTGAAAATGAAGGAATGAAAGAAAGAATCAAACAAAGGTACCGCCCACTATCCGGCACTGAAGAAAGATATTCTCCGATGCACGCAAAGGCGATCTCATCCCTTCCACACCCTCTGTCCATCTTCCTTCGAGCCACGTTTCTCTTCTCCTCTCTTCTCAGGTATCGGGGATTTCCGTTTCACAACTCCATTCAGGCACTATCCGAAGCCTCTCGCCGATCATTAATATATCCCTCGGCAAGGCAACCGAGCTCCTCCTCCTCCTCCTCATCAATCAATATACTTAGTGAAACCTGTCTGCCTGCCCCTCTCGGCTGGAGGTTCCGCGATAGATGATAATATAAGCAAGTAAGGACGTAACCTTAGTGACGATCGGTTCGCTGCCGAGTTCGGGTGGGTGGCTGTTTGGCGTTGAGTGAGTGAGTGAGTGAGTGATGCATGCACGACATTTGACGAATTCGAACTTTGTTAGATTATTATTATCGTGTATGGACTAGGTATGTTGTGTATAGCTGGGCATGTCGTGTATAGCTGGGCATGTCGTGTATAGCTGGGCATGTCGTGTATAGCTGGGCATGTCGTGTATAGCTGGGCATGTCGTGTGAAACAGGCAAGCAGGCAGTGAGAACTTAATCTCGTATGAAAGGATGTCGTGATACGCGATCGAGACATCGTTCGGCGACCTCGAATTTGGATTCGTGGTTACAGTACCCGAAAGTTGTCTGTACTGTCGAAAGAATTCGGCTTCTTACCGATCTTTCGGTCGGCAGAGCACTCAAAAAATAGATAGAGAGATAAAGATGAGTCCATAATAAGCATGTGAAAATAAAATCTGCGGCATCGTCTGTCTCGGAGGTATGTCCATATTATCTTTTTGCCTTGCACAGTACCTAGCTACCTACATGCCAACTCACCAAAGAAACTGTACATAAGGAAAAGATCTCGATCAAGCCACCGCACCGCGACAAGAGGAGAAAAAAAAAGGTTATTCCGTACCTACCCCTGATCTCCATCCACCACTCCACAAACCCCGCTTCACTTCACTTCGCTTCGCTTCCTCGAACATACTTACCTAGGTACCTACCCCTGATCTCCATTCACTCACTCGATGGTATTTTCCCGTCTCCTCATCTTTCTCCTCTCCTCTCTATACCTGCCCCTCTCCCTCCCTCCAAGTTCCAGTCTACCTACCTAGCAACGGACCGAACCCCATCAGAGAAAAGTAAAATAAACACATGCTTGCATACGGACCTCTCTCTCTCTCTCTCTCTCTCTCTCTCTCTTTCTTTCGGCCCTGCTCTATCTGCACCGCGCTTCATCAAGCCTTCATTCGGCAGCGGTTAATTCTCCCCTCCTCCCCTACCCCAGAAAGAGGAGACCAAAAAGTAGCCTCACAACCGTGCAGTGCAGCGGCAAAACTCCCGCGGCAACAAGGGTATTGCTTCCCCGCTGTCCGTCCGTCTGTCTGTCCGTCTGTCTGTCCGTACTTCTTCCTATCTGTAAGTACCGTACCGTGGAACGAAGGGTTCTGGAGGCGACGAAGGTCTACGTACCTACCTACCTACCAGGTAAAGGGAGAGGGGAGAGGAGAGGGGGGTTGCAAGGCAGGCAGGCAGGGAAGAAGCGGATCCTCTCTCCCTCGAGCACAACATGCGTGTGTGCGCAAGAGGGTGAGAGAGAAGAGAGAGAAGAGAGTTGCAGCGGGAACGTGTCCGGTGGAGGGAGGTACTGCTGCTGGTGCCTCGACCGGGGAAATTCTGTTCTGGTACTTGAAGAGGAGAAGGGAAACTTTAATCTGTGCTTTGCATGGCGTGTACCTCGAGGGAGGATAATCTGTCTGTGCGATGCATTTGCAGCAAGTTTGAAACTTGAGGTAGGTAAGGTAGGTTAGGTAGGTAGAATTGACATGTGAAGAAAGATACGGATGGATCATGAGATTGAGATGTGATGAAGTTAGACTTAGAGTAAGGAAGGAAGTGACATGTGCAAGCAAATAGGTCTGTTGAAATAAAGTTTACGATCTAGATCGAGCTGTGTGGCTGTGGCTGTGAACCTTCTTTGCTGGCTGTCAGCCCGCGGAGGAAGTGTGGGTGAGTGACTGATTCCTCCAAGTCATCTGTACCGATCATGTGAAAGACTCCAAGTCACTCATACAATCTCACATGTACCGATGTCTTACATTCACGTTCACATACACCGCAAAATGGGTAGCAAAAAATAGGTAGTAAGCTCTCATTCATTCTTTCTCTCTCTGTCTCTCAATCATCCACTGTCGGCCCCCTCCCCCAAACTCCCTAGCAAGCAACATAAAAACAAACACAAAGACCACCCAACCCTCATTCTATAGAGAAGAGTGCCCATCCATCCATCCATCCCTTCCAAACACAAGGAAAAAGCAATAAAAGCCACAAAGTCTATACTGCGCGCACGCTAATTCTATATATACAAAAAACATAAAAACGGAATGAGTTGAAAAGGAAAAAAGGTTGTGATGATCGTCGTATTGTGAGATGTTGTTGTTTGTTGTGTGGAGAATTACCAAAGTCGAATGATGTTGAGAAGTGCTCCATAAGCCGTCAGGCGAAATTCCTCTATTGCTTGCTTGCTTGATCCAGCCTCCCAAATCCCATCCCATCCCATTCCAATCCCATGCTTTTGGTGAAGATTAAAATTCCAGAGAGAGAGAGAATCACATCACATATCCCCAGCCACGCTCCCAGTCGTACTACTCTGCCCACTCGAATTGAAACCCGTATCACCGGGCGTGAGCAGATCCTGCACAGCCACCTTCGGGACCTGCGGGACTGGTAACTTGCGCTGCGTGCCGTCGGTTCGCGACATGATGTCGCTGATCGTGAGGCCGGTGCGCGGAGCGGACGTCGCGGTGCTGTTGGCGTGGTACTGACCGTCGAGGTGCTGCGGCTCCATGGGCGCGAGAGCGGGCGTGTGTTGGAGGCTCAGGTTGCGGATTCCCGGGAGGTCGTAACCGCCGCCGTAGGGACGGAGACGTGGTGAGTGGGCGGGGGTGGCGAGCGGGGTATGGTCTGGTGTTGGAGAGAGGGAGTCGTGGGAGAAGGTGGGTGAGGAGGGAGCGGTGCTGTTGGGAGAGTTGGGGCGGGAGCGTTTGGCGTGGCGGTGTGCGTAGTGGTCGTCTTCGTCGTGGGAATGTGATCTTGACATGGCGTAGGCGGAAAGGGATGGGAGGTGGTTTCGGCTGCTGTGAGAGCTGTGGCTGTAGTATGGGTGGTGTCGACCGTGGTGAGGATGATGTGTTGCCAACGTGCTCTCTCGCTCGACTTGGGTGGCTGCTGTGGCGAGAAGATTGATGTCGAGGTTCTGTCCATTATTGGGACTTCCTCCTAGACTTCGCACATACGGATTGAGACCGGAAGACATGGGACTGTTGTACTGAGCGAAGGAGTGTGGAGGTGAGACATTCGGTGAGCCGATGGCAGAAGCAGGAGCAGATCTCGACATTGACTTATTTGGCGGAGGCATCATCTGAGCCATTGAAGCACCATGCTGCATTCCATTCTCGACGGCCTGTGCCACGGCCTGTTGTGCCTTATTACTCCTCCTCGAGTTGGGGTTGTTGTGTATCCTCGAATGCCTGGTCAGTTCATCCGATCTCGAGAAGCGCTTCGTGCAGCCAGGAAATTGGCAGGCGTGTGGTTTCTCGCCCGTATGCGTTCGAATATGTCTCGTCTGATGTTCTAAGCGGTGAAAAGCCTTATCGCACAGAGGGCACTTGTACGGTCGTGGCAGATCCTGTCGGTCGTCTCCTCCGTGCATCCCCCCGTTCATCTGCGGCATCATACTGACGGCGGCCATCTGTGCTTCTCTCTCGGCTTCCTGCGCAGCGTGGATCTCTGCTAATTTCTTCCGGGCGGCCTCTTGCTCGCGTTCCAAGGTCGTCTGGGGATTCAGTAGACTTGAAAAATCTACTGAAGAAGATGCGCGTTGCATGTGATCGGCGCCGCAGCGAAAAAAAGTCGACGCTCTCACACGAAATTTCTACCCGGAACGAGGAAACGTGGGGAAAGGCGAGGAAATGGGTCGGGCGAAGATAATTATTCGAATCTATAGCGTATCGCAATCTTCGATCGTCAATAACGAGTGCAGGTGGGCGGCGAGTATTATCGAGGCAGGTTTGCGTTGTTGTGGTGGTGGTGGTGGTGGTGCTGCGGCGGTCGTATAGTCGTGGGCGAATATATGTAGATGTATGCGGGCTGGCGGGAGTTTGGTTGGGGACGTCTTTTTGGTGTTATATGGGTTTGGTAGAATCCGGGCAAAAGAAGGGTTGCCGAGGGGGGGGACGGTAACTTATACTGGGGGGGGGTGCGTGAGCGAGGGCGCGGGCGTGGGTTCAGGTTCAGGTTCAGGTTCAGGTTCGGTTCAGGGCTGCCAGGGCTTAAGGCTTCCAAGGGCAGCAGGCACTCGCTCGCTCAGCTCACAGGCCCGTACAGATGGAGTATACGTAGCGATTGCGAGCGTGGGAGAGTGTGGAGCCTTGGGGGGTCGGTGGGAGAGAGCGAGGGAGAGACTGGGAGTGGCTTGGGGCGGATGTGGATTGGGGATGTGGATGGTGGATGATGGGATGGGAAGGCTTGGTGTGTTGTCTGGTCTGCCGTGCTTGGGGTGTGTCAGTACTCGAAAAATATGGCCTAGCTGGGCAGCAAAAAATAATAATATTTATAGCGTGGAGGATTAGCGTGCAAGACCTACCTCCCTAGGGAGAAAGGGGCCTGCGGGCACTGGGAATGGGACTGGACCTCGACTCCACTGGAGACGGTATGGCGGAGACTGACCAGGGTGCGCAGGGATTACTTTGGGGCCGACGATGGGGATGTGAGATGCTGCTCCTACTGCCGCTGAGGAGGAGGAGGTGAGAAAGATGAGAGGAGGGGATAGGATGAGATGATGAGATGGTGAGATGGTGAGATGGTGAGATGGTGAGATGGTGAGATGAGAGGAATGATGAAAATGCAGAAGGAAAAAAAGCTACACTGCTGCTTCTAGGATAGGGATCTGTGGAGTAAACCGACTGCATGCAATGCGCCTCGAGTATTCTTCTGTACATACAGATGTATACAGCACCGTACATGGCATTACGCTGCTGTGTGAGGACGGGAAGAGATGAGATATCTGCAGGGCATCCATCCATCCATCCATCCATCCATTATTCATCTATCTACCCGTTCCCTTGATTACCTCCTCCATCCTGTACGTAGGCCTTCATTCCGGGTTCAATCTCTCCTCTTCTCGCCGCATGTACTGTACGGCTATGTATCCTCACTTCCCATCTCTGGTTATCAGTCTGTAATATCAAGCATCCTTCTCTGTTGGCCTCGCACAACAGAAACCACAATTCTTTTTCTTAATCAAAAAACAAAGCAAAGAGGACGGACGGGTTTCGCTAGGCATTTCTGTTGCAGCCAGCCAACACCCGTATTTGCTTTCTCTCGGGTAAGGCGACCAAATAGGGCGAAGAGGACTATGAACATGAACTGATTCCTTTCTTGCTTGCTATCTATCTATCCGGGTTCTTGGCACTGCTCTCGAGATAAATTACAGACCGTATTGTCTGGTTTGTGGTTCCGGTCAAAGTGCTCCTCGATCGCGTCGGTGTTTGGAGGCGATGATTTTCTTAGTGAGAAAATGCACGACAGAATAATGGGGCGGGCATGGGGAAAAATCGGTGTAAAAGACCATAGTAAAAAAACTCCCTTCTTCCACCACCGCCACACCTTTCCTTGCCTCAAGAGTAATTATACAATGAACGACTCGAACGAAGAAACCAGATCGAACACTCTATCGCTCATGCCGAGATCTGAGATCCTGCTCTTGCGGTCCCTTCTTTCTACACTCTTTTCTTTTTCCTCGCCGCCTAACTTTTTTTTCTTGGTGGGGAGTGGGGAAGGAATTATTTTTCGTTACTTTTTCTTCATTCTTCAACTAAACCAGAAAGGGTAATATAATATCTCCAGCGGATAGGCTCCGAAGATATCTCCTTGCTACACGCGCGCACTTTCCATTCTTTCAGAATGGCGGTAAGAGTGTTATGCTTCATGCACGTACGTACTGTACATAGCTAGACGACGAGAGGAAATAGAAAGTAAACCTTCTCCTCACTTCTTTTTCACTTTTCCTTGAAACGAGACTCTTTTGCTTCTGCTGCTGCTGCTGCTGCTACTGCTCGGAGATGGATTCGAAGGAGTCAGCAGCAATACCACGTAGCACACACAAAACATTTTCCTCCGCCCAGCTTTCTCACTCCCATCCATTCATTGATTCGTCATCCACCCGCTTACTCTCCAACACACAGCCAGCAGCATCACTCACTCACTCACTCGCATCCCCATACTCGGCGTCAGTCAGACAGACAACACCAAAAGAAGAAATCTTACCGCCACCTGCTGAAACGTGGGGTACTTCCTCAGATCTCACATTTTGCTTTTCTGTTCTGGGAGCGTTCCTATTCGAGCACACACTTGATAGGGTAGACTGGCAGAGCTATAACGTGCCGAAGTAATGTATTATTCGCGACAGGACGAGACTAGACGACATCTGGAATGTGAGTGAGAAATCAGCGCTGCGTTACATTCCAGCGCTACGCCTCCCCCATATGCGTGGGGTTGCCCCAGGACTAACAGTAGCAGTAGCAGCTGGGCGAAGGTTACATACACGACTCTTTGAATTAAGGAGCGAGTCAGGAATGGAATGATGGATGGGTTGAGTAATAAGACCTTTTGCATTCTTTCTTTCTATTTGACGGGAGAGGAGGAGGCGTTTGTGGGGTTACAGTAGTCAGTCTGGGGATAGAAAGTAAGAAACAGAGTTCAAGTAAATGCATGACACAACAACCTCTCTTCCATTCATTCTTTCCTCTCTCCCCCGGATATCTCGGTCTCTGATCATCCCCTTCCCACAATAATAAAGGTGTGATAACAGACAGTAGCGAGAGTAGACCGCTAAACGTAAACTGCACCGCTCATCTCCCGCCGCCTGCCTGCCTGCCCGCCGGCAATGCGAAAAGGTGGTGTTGTCCTTGCATTACCTTTGCCTGCCAGCCTGCTTGCCCCAGAAAATAAATCTGGGGAAACAACCAAAATCGTAAGTTCATCGTTCCTATTTTAGGGCGTATCGGATCATGAGCACATAGTACAGTAAGGCGTCATTTCTCCATATACCGGTCCTTATAGCCGTGTTGTAGCATGATTTTTTTGGTCGGGGAGGAAAAGGATGAGACGGTGGATGGAGGGTTGGTGGGGAAGCCGGAGTGAGGCTGATGTTTGAGGGAAGGGAGGGCCTCGCGGCTGGGGTTTTGGTTTGGTTTGGTAATTGTGCAACGTGGGCGAAACATCGTCACATCCTCTTCTTCATTCCTTTCATTCATTCGATTCAATTCAATTCATGATTCAAAACGATGCCTTGCTCACACAGTACACTCACGACGATTCTCTTCCTTGGCATGACCTGACTACTAACAACAAGCTCTCGCACTAGCCACAACACTCACGAAGATTCCCCGGATCTGAAAATTCCCCACCCAACTTACTGCGTCCTAAAGCAGGATAACGCCAATTCCCAGATTCAAGACCAGCGATCCAGATCTAGACGAACAGGGAGGAGCGCTGTTCCTAGCCTTCTGACTCGTGCGCGTATGGCGAATCCCCAGAGTCCCCGTGTCGAGCATGACGATGATGTCTTTGCAGAAACATGGAGATGCCCTGTTCTGTTTTCTCCTTGTTTAGACGTCGTGTTCATTTCAAACGCCGACACTCCCCTAGTCCTAGTTCACTCACTCCACAGGGGAAGGGAAAAGCGAGAAAGAAAGAAAAAAAAATGAAATGAGCAAAATAGTAGATGTGGAAGACGATAAATAATGGAGTCGGTGAGGCTCAACATATTCCTTTGCAGTAAAGACTCGGTGGTACTCTGTTTTTTTTCTTCTTCAGAGGGCCTTTCTTCGGGCCGGTGAAGGTGGTTCGTGAGATCCACTCCACTTCACTGGTGCGGAGAACTTGACGAGAAAATGAATCGGGTGAAGATGGGATTCCCCGAAACGATATCGTGTCAAGGACCCATTTATGACCGAAATTTTCTTTGCTCTGTTTGGGTAGGGTTCCATAAATGATATGATTGATGCGTGCGGGAGATGGATTCGGTTCCTGCATGTGAAATGGCTTGTGATTCTTATGATGGTGACGCCATTGAGGTAGGTGACGATAAGGTGAAAAGGAGTGGACTACTTCGTTTGGCGGTGATACTGTAGTGATGTACCGCGCTGAGTAAGATGATTGAACGGACGTGAGGAGATGATAGGATGTCGGAGCATTGTGAGCCGCGAGGTGATTATTGAATATCTGAAATGAAATAGGATTTCCGTCCCTGACTTGAGTCTTCTTCGCGGGAACCCTTCAATAGTGGGGTGAAGGAGTCTTTCTCGTTCTCCAAAGGGGCCAGCCAGACAGCTGAGTCCTCAATCAGAGAGAGAATAATGAAAAGTAGGCACTGACCCTTCACTCGACTCATCCAAGACAACAGAAATGAATCACAAATGCCACCGTGCTGAACGAAGCCTGCAAAACGGCCTGCGCATCCGGGTATCAAAAAGAGACTTTGTGACATCCGCCCGCGGCGACTGGTGGGGTAAAAGAGAAGGGAACGAGGGAGTTTGGACCTTCGATCCCGTTTCCAGAAGCATTTCGCTCGATCCACCCCAAACCAAAAAAAACTATCATCTCCACATTACAGTAGCTCATTCGGATTGGCGGCAAAAGTTTCGCCGAAGTAAAGGCTTCATTTCAATTCATGCCCCCTTCCCCGTTGAGGAATCTCAGCTGAGTGAGAAAAAACGCTGCTTTGCCTTTACGCCGCTTGAACTTGGCACTTGCCTATTTGGATCGTTGTAGATGTCTAGAACAGGACGGTACGTATCTTATCTTCTTCAAGGTATGTAGGGAGGTACTTAATTATACCGGGACTAAGCCCCTTGATTCCTATGCGCCGCCGCCGCCCGTGGGGAAGGGCACAGCCTGGAACTTGGGGAATAAGGGGTAAGCAAGGAAGCGATTCACGTCGTTCCCTGAAATAGATGGACGAGCAGCGATCGTTGGCAAGCGAAATCTGTTTCCAAGCGCTGCTGAATGCTGACTCGCCATGTTCGTGCCTCGTGTCATATCTCTTGCCCCGGAGGGCTTCATTCGCTTGTGACGAGGGGCTGAGCTCGACTGACGCCTCATCATCTTGATTCGAGTTTTGTTATGCGCTCGCTGCTGCGTGAACGTATCATTCCACACGCCATGGTCTCTGGAACCATTCATTATGTTCCAGGATGATTGATGCGCGCATACCTTGATTGATCCTCCTGTTTTGATAGGAAACAGCCAGGCCAGCCCTTTCGTTCCACGAGAATGAGATGGATAGCGTGGGGGTAGATCCAATCAATATGAAGTGACCCGAGAGCTGAGCTGGGGAAATGTGGCATTTTCTTTGTGGGGAACACAAGGCGGGCCGTCTCTTCCAGTCACTCCTCTCCATTATGTGCTCTAGCTCGTATTTGCTTTTGGAGGCAAAGATTTCATGCCGTGTGTTGGATTACTTACGCGCTTCGACATCACTTTTTCCTTGTTGTACAACTCAGCAAAAAAGAAAAGGCTTGTTGTTCGATCGTCGTGATCAGTTGTCGTCAAAGCGAATCAACCAGCCCACCCATTCATCAGCCGCACCAGCCTGGGGAACCCTAATCTCGAGATCCGGAACCTACAGCCTAAGTTGCGCTCGTTCGCTTGCGAGGAGAAATAGTGAAATCAGGAGAGAGAAACGAGCAAGTTAGGCGCTTCGTGATGCACTGGAGATCAATGCAATCAGGCAAACCTCACGCTCGGTATGCAGTTGGTCTCCACACTCCACTCCCCAAACCAGAAATAAAACCACATCACATGCCTCATCGAAAAAGATCCAGAAGTAAGTTTCGGATCAGGAATGCTCAGCCCTTTGGATTGTGCCTAAAGTGAGGAGCAGGAAGAGGATCCCAAAGCGCGGCTTGGAGATTCTCTCTCTGATGAGGCGTTTGGAGAGCAAAGTCTCTCCACGAATACCGTACTTACCCTACCTGCCTATCCCTTGAATGCGGAGACGACGGAACGATCAGACCCTAGATGTGGAGCCCCCGGGATCATCAAATCACGATATCTATCGTAAAGTGGAGAACGGCGGGCGGGTTGGGGAATGTCGATGCGCCGGATGAATTCAATGCGGTAATGCGAGATAGGAGGCGCTTGTCCCTTTTTCACGATCAGCTCTCTGCTTTGCACATTTGAGTTTTCTGACTGGTGTTGAGCAGATTATTTGAGCAGTGTTATGATTTTGCGGTACGGAGAGGTGATTCCGTCGCAAGAGAGGGTAGATGCGCGGCGCTCTCATGATCCCATTTCCCAAGAAGTTTGAGGCTTGTGATATATCTGATCGAGGCGTGGGGGTATTTCCTTTTTTTTCTTTGCTGATTCTCGCTCGCTTGCTTGAAACGGAGAACAGACACGGGTGTATCGGAAAAGAAAAGCCAACGAAGCTCTGATGATACAACTTCGTTATCTTCTGATGCAAGCACGTGGGTGTTCGAGAATCTCACCTGGGCAACCTTGGAAATTAAGGGGAAGCAAGCACGTGCTCTCCGCGGAAAGGGGGGAGTTTCCTATCACATGATAGATACTGTACCCCACGTGTCGAAGGAGCTTATCCCGAGCCTCTCTCCACTTCTCCGAGTTCCCCCGAACTCCTTTCCTCATCTCCTCAAGTTCCTTATTCCCGCGCTCATGTATGAGGTACCCGCATATACGCAGCGTTTCGGCGCAGGTACGAAGTACACTGTACTTTTTTGTTGAGAAGCGAGGTTCTGAATGAGTGAGTGAGTGAGTGACATGTGAAACTGGATACTTCTTCCTTCTAACCCCACCAAAGGCAAATTCGGCTTCTCCGATATCGAGATTGAGGAGCCGGAAATTTCCCACCTGCGCCTCGAATTAGGACCGAAAACTCCATGCACCTAGTGGAGCGAGCGAGCATATCTGGTCTCTCACCAAAGTGCCGGCCGGCCATCACCGACTCGCTCAAAGAAAGGTCTCAGCCATATCTCAGCATCACAATTCTTTTCGAGCAAAAGGAGCTTGACAATAAAGAATGACATCACACCGGGGATATCTCCTCTCCTCTCCTCTCCTCTCCTCTCCTTCCTCAATCCTCAAACTCAAACACCTCAATAAATGCCCTTCAACCGATCCCGATCCTGATCCTGGTATTTCCCCAGATACCCAAAATGCGTCCCTAGTCCGCTAGATCTAGATCTTGCTATTTAGCCAGAATAACCTGCATCACAAGCATCTCTTCAGATCAGCAGCGTCCTTCGGTTGGCAAATCTGATTTCCTCGACGCTGTTTCTAGCTTCTCTTCTTGAATCTTGATACACAATGTCGCCGCGGCTATTTTCCCTGCAAAGCTATAGGCAATTTAGCTAGCTCGGCGGCTTTCGGTCCTTTGCTCCTCTCCTCCTGCTCGCTTCTGCCCCGCCTCTCTCTGGTTCGGAAAACTTTCATGTGGAAGGACTCCGCTACTTCTTAATAGCGGATCTTTTTCTGAGAATGGGGCGACATCGAGTGGAAACCCACTTTCTGGCCTGAGGAAGCTTATCTCTTTCAAGAGGAGAGGAGAGGGGAGGGCTAATGTCAGGGCGGCTTCTTCGGTCGAAGCGCTGGTGTTTGGAAGGAGTGGAGTGGGGAAAGAAAGGTATTATGCCGAATTGGAACCGAGGCTTTGCCGTGGTTTCGGCTGCTGCTGGTGGAGTGGAGAGGGGTCTGGGGACACGACACGTTGCGTGGTGGTGTGAGAGTGAGGCTGATGATGTGTTGGTTGGGGGAGAGGAGGGAGAGTCTGGACCTTCCTGGAGAGGGAGGTGGAGGTTGGAGTGGTGTTGTGTGAACTTGGGGATGCCTGATGCCGGGAGTCATGAGCAGGTGAGGTGGCAAGTGCCAATGCTGGGATGATGAGAGAAGGAGTCTTGGCGTTGCTTGCTTTTGCTGATGAATTTGAGGTTGTTGTAAAAGTCTTCTTTATGGCAGGCTATCGCGGTTGTCTTGAAAAGCTGGAGGCTCCCCTTTCTAAGTTGGTAAGGGACGTTGACTGATTTGCCAGAGTGAAGAAAGATAGGTCGAGTCATGTAGGATGTCAGCTTGGAAGTCCGGTGACATCAACTTCTTTGTCAAACTTACCGCTCTAAGGCAGCAGAAGTACAATTCATGACCTACGTATTTGTCACTTTGCTACTCATGGCTCTTAGTACGAGGCATCTCTACCAAAGCCCCGAACATGCTTCGCTGTCTCTAAAATCAGTCTCAAAATCACAAACATATCACAATCACAGTCACAATTCAAGACTCAAAGACCGGTCGCTTTTAGACTTCATGCATTTCTGCTTTATCTCTATGTAAAGCGTCGCAGAAAGTAAACGTCATCGACATATGCGTTGGATCGAGCGGTGACGGTGTCGGCGTCGACGTTGGATCGAGCAGTGACATTGTCAACGTAGCCATTCTTGGCCGAGCGAGTAGTAACATTGTCGACGTACGCATTCTTAGCAGAACGAGAGGTAACGTTGTCAACGTAGGCATTCTTGCGAGCAGTGAGATTCTCAACGTGAGGGTTGACCTGAAAGCGAAGAATACAAGTCAGTGAATGTTCAAGAACGAGAGTGAAGAAGTAGTAAAACTTACTGGAAGAGCAGAAACACTCAAGGCCAAGGTGGCGATGGCGAGGAGAACCATTTTGACTGGTAGGTAGGTATGGGTTTGAGTTTGTTGGTTAATTGGTATTGAGGTTGAGGAAGATGAAGAAGAGTAGCTTATGTTTGGAAGTGATGAAGTAGTTGAGTTGAAGTGAGGTGGGCTTGGTGGAAGTCTTTTGTGTTGGAAGTTGTTGTAAATTGTAAGAAGAAAGGGTTCGAGGTTGGGGGAGGAGAGGTCTTTATATACCCAGAGGAGAAGACCCTTTTCGCACTAAGGAAGTTTCCAGAGCCTTGTTGACAAGTTTCCACGGATATTCACCTGTTGGTCAAGCCAGATATGGCTAGAGCTTTTGAGTGAATTCAAAGAAAGAATCAAGGAGGTGGCAAGTAAGTAGCCGAAATCGGAGTAAGGCTGGCGACAATAAGGCAACTACCTAACTTTACAAGGTCTCATGGGCAAGAAGGCCATCTTTCACTGTTGTAGGACTGTCGTAACCTGGCCTATTGAGGATTTCAGAGTTACATTTGGAGAAGTCTCTGAAACCAACTGTATCACCCGGCACCATGGCTAAGTCACCATGACCAAGTCAGAGCACAGCAGCTTCAAGCAGAGAGCAACGTTCATGAAGATATCTTGTAGCCATCAGAAATATATTGCTCTCAAAAGGATGATACTGAAGTAGTGGTTTTGATATTGCATACACCTTCTTGCCCACTTTACAGTAGCTTAGAGCTACCAAGAATCATATCTAATTGCAATCAACAAGTAAATTTCCAGATCACATCTTCCCAACCATCTCTCCTTGTGATCTTAGAGCCCATCAAAAGGCCTTCTCCAGTTGGCTTGCAAATACCCTCTCCAATCTTGGCCCTCCCCAAGACGGGAACCTCGATCAATCCTCCATCACTACTTCTAACATCGAAACCCATTGACAAAGCTGCCACGGCACCCAAGATCTCCGCAAAAGCGAAATTCCTCCACCAAAGGGAATGTAGTTCTTCTTCTGCTCTCTATCTTCGCTCCGAGCTTTGGCACTCGTTTCACCTTTGTCTTCAGGCGATAAGAAGCGCTTTGCGTTGAAGGAGGAGGCATCAGGTCCCCATGCTGCCTTGGACATATGTGGAATACCTGCTGGAAGTTGAATATCACAACCTGCGCGGAGGAGATATTCGGTTTTGCCGTCTGTGAGGATAGTGTCTTCCATGGCTCGTCTGGCACCTATTTGGGCATTGGCAAGACGGATGGTTTCACGATAGGAAGATACAAGGACTGGGCAGTGAACATCGAATTTGGTGATGTCGATGGTAGCCTCGCGTTTCCCGTTGTCAAGTGTGGTAATGCTAATCATAGATTCCAACTCTTTGCGAATGGTTGCTGTGGTGTTTGGATCAGCAGAAATAAAGCAGAGTTGCCAAAATAGGGTTGGAATAGCGTTGGCTGTGGACACATTGAGGAGAGCTAGTTCGAACTTTCCAATATCAGTATCGGAGATGCCCTTTCTCCTATACAAAGCTGCTCTGTTCTTCGCCATCTGAGACACATCTGGCTCGAGATCATGCTTGGCAGTGTAGTACTTGATGAGGGCGGTCTGGAGCTTGGCTCGACCTTCATAAGCTTTGGGAAAGATAATGGAGGGGTATATGTTGAGAAGTAACCCCAGCATGCTGCCTTCAAAGTCCCTGTTGTACAGAGTCAGAAGAGTTATCATACTTCAATGCTAGGCAGTACATTGAACTTACCATAGTGCCTGTACCAAATCAGAATCGCTCTTCACTGGATTGTGAGATCCGAAAAGGGCGTCGGCGGTAGCAACTGTCATCGTTTTCCTCAGCCAATAAAACAAACTCTCAGTCTCAAATGTCTTCCCGAGACCATTAATAGATACCGCCACACCGTTGAGAGCATCTGCATTCATTTTGTGGAGATATTGCCCAGACATAGCGTTATGAATCTCCTTGACAAATTCCGAGAGGAAGCTTGGATTCTTCTCGTCACCGGCAAAGCTCACTGGAACCATCGTCTCATCCGAAACTCCGAGCATCCGCTGGGCGAACTCTAGAGTGAAGGGGTCAAAGGATAAGTTTTTGTGCCGAAAGGCATTCTGAGCCATGACTGGATCGGTGATCACATAGAGCTTGCCATTGAGCATCGGCAAGGTTGCAATGGGCATTGGTTTCCGAGCACTGCAATAATTAGAAGGGCCATGTCTATGCAACGGAAGACATTTACTAAAGCTTATCAAAATAGGCGCCATGATATCTTGACAAGCCAATGATGTGTCCAATATATGGGATCCTCGGCTTTAAGATAGGAGGCTCTCTTGGATCGAGTTGAATGGCAAGACGTTGGCGAATGATCAGAAGTACGGCAACAGCAGCAAGAATGATTGAGGGCATATACTCCTCAAGCAAGACGCCGAATACATCTCCCAAAGACATGACGGCGGCCTCTTAGGCGGCAGGGTCTGATCGGTTTAGCTCGGGGGGCAATATTAGCCTTCACCGGTGCTGCGGCTCGACTGGTGGTCTATCGGATGTCGATGAGCAACTCCCGAGCAACACAGAATAAGAAAAAAGAATTTTAAGATGGGAAGTTGGAAGATAAACAACAGGACAATAGCTCGAAGGATTTGATGGATAAAGATTGACGTTGCAACAAACCAATCAGCGGCGCAGTGCATTAATTGCTGACAGCCAGGACCTGGAACGGCAACCCAAGATCCGAAACTGGCGTGTGATCCAGGAGTTCAATACGCTTATGCTGCTACTTGCAGCAAAGAGACCAATCCCATCAGCGTGCTCGTACACTTGGAACCAAGTTCGCAAGCTTAGATTGAGCATGGTAATTTATTGAAAGCTGTGGGGCTGGGAATTTCGGCGTACGGCCCACGCGTTTGTTCGCGTGTGTATCGCGCTTCCAACCAAGACTTCACTCCGCTCTCTCAATCTGAATTGTACAATCCACGAACTCGACTATATACTGCTTCCTAAGCTTCGAAACCTGCGAGAGAACACACGAGGATATGGCAGCATGGGAGGTATGAGGTTGTTTGCTCAATGTGCCAACGATTTCCTCCGACACGCCTGAGAAATCGACATTTATCCCTCCCGACATAGACACCCCCTCCACTACCTTCCTTGTATACCGAAGTCTCGAGCCGTCCACGGAATCTCTGATTTGATCTACATATACTGCAGATTGGCATACTTTGGAAAGGACTTGATTACGGCTAGTGCTGTTGAATATACTGGAATGGCCAACACCGAGGCCCAGCTTGGACAGTCTGCTACATCTATGCGAGATTAAGTCTCGAGGCATTCATGGTGTTTGAAGCGGAAGGACGTCAAATATGGGAAAGAAGACGTACGAAACCCAGCCACACACATACAGAAGATTGCCGCTTTACGAGACAGCAATTCGAGGAAGCATCGTTTGCACGATTGAAATGCATTATCTCTACGATCAGATATCTCTAATCCTTTTTTCGAGGCGTCTGCGTTACAATGTGTACGGTTGCACAGAACATATTATGGGCTAGCAGTCATGCCTTGCATGACGAGGATCCTACTTCGTTTCTAAATCTGCTGCCAATGGTTTTGCTGTATCAAAACTCGAACCTCGTTAACTTTACAGCATGTTGTTATTGAATTTACTTCTTTCAAACTATGATATGTCTTTGTCACTTCATTTAATCCACCCCTCAGCTAGTAGCATCTTCTCAGCAGGCTTCAACACCTGTGCTGATACCTGTATCGTCTTAATATTGAGCTTGCGGCTATACCCGCGATTAGATTGTGGAATGTTAGCTGGTACTTGGTTTTGGAACCAATTTGGTTTACTTTCACCTTTGTAGCAAAGTTTGGTTGAGCTAGTACTAGAGATCCCCCACAATGGGAACACATCTAATTTTTCTTGCAAAACCCAGAACATTTTATGTGAAATCGTCAAACCTCATCTCCAGAACTCAGGTACATCCCGTTCAGATTCTGATGTTATTACAGGCGACACCATGTTTCCTAAATGGAGATGGGAGGCAGTGTCTGGGATGACGGCGAGTGGACAGGAACTAATTCGAGTAGAGAGAGCGGTGTATTACAACTCACGCGGCACTGAATCATGCCAGACTTCCTCCACTTTATCACTACTTCGCGGTCTAATGGATCTTCCTTTCGAACTCCGTAGTCCTGTCTACGATCACATCGCATCGATGCCACGGACCATCGACATCTTCGAATCTGATAAGATTTCAGGCGGCATTTCTACGACTGACACTCTTCGCCAGCTTTCAAATGCCCATCCACGCTTCGAAGAAGATATCAAGGTGTGGCTCAAGACAAGACCTGCCCTCCGAAAGCTGCGATCTGGCGAGATCTTTGACGCAACCTCGGTCTCTTTTCTTCTCGATTTCGACGAATATTTCTTGAAGGCAATTTGCACTTCGGACACAGAGATGCTAAAAAATATCAATTGGACAAAGTTCCGCAACACACTCAGCCACCCCACTTTCAATGAGAATGCTCAACGCCTCGTCATCGACATCTCGAAGTTCCACAAGTCCATCGACAATTCTATCTTGGGAGCAGTTTTCCCTATACTTTCGAGGTACCTCGGGAAACTCCGGAACCTCCAGAATATGTGCGTCTATGACTCTCATTATAGACATTATATAGCCAGGGGTTCGGAAAAGCAAGATAGGAACGGGGAGCGTTTTGACATTTGGAACAAACTTCGAGCGCTCCAATCGTGCTGTGATCTCAGCTATCCATGCACATGTTGCCCAACTTTTGACATATCATATGGTTATAAGAGGAAGGATGGTTCTTACCACAAGTCAAGGATGAGACCTTTGCCAGGTTCGCAGGAATATCATCTGGAAATGAGGGTTTGGGCCACACACTTGTATGGTTTGCGTGCATACCTTTCCACATTTCTCGAATGAGGATGAGGCATAGTCAGCATTGAGGGCCCATTCTAATAGTGGTTATTATCAGCACCTAAGTAACCTGTTATCTTGTAGAGTAGAACAGAAGCAAGTGGACAGACACACGAGCTGGTGTGAAATAGAGACGTTTATGCCTCTTATTCAAAAATATTCACCTACGAGAAATGGCCAGGTTAGGTGTGGCTACAAGTCTAATATATACGCATGTCATGGCACATTGCACGCATTTCTAAGCACGACTCTCGCCCCCAAAGAAAACCTGATAGCACCTTGCAACATACAACCAATCTCTTTTAAAGATCATCAACACCTGAAGCAATATGGACAGGCATTTTCACGAGGTTGAGCATGCGTTTCTACACCGAGTTAAATTCTGGCCACTGTGGCGCAGCCATCAGGCTGACCAGCTTCATGATCTGCCTAGTCCTCGACGACATTTGCGACATGAAAATGGCACCGATGCCTCAAAGATGTCCTACCTTGTAGCGCGTTATTGCTCATGACCATTACTGGAGGGGAAATAGAGATACGCACTTCTGAACGTCACCGAAAGCTTCGACCAAATCGCGGATGGAGGCGATAGGAGTTGCCAGCAGCATTGCTGGCTTGGTCAGCCTCGCTGATTTAATCGTTGTCAAGATTTCACGTTTCTATTCCCTTGCGAAGGGAGCTCAGGCCGAGATCAAAGAGCTGCTTCTCGAGGTACAGAGCTTGTACGGAGTCTTAAATAGCCTCTGGCTCTTGGCTCGGTGTCTCGAGCAGAATCACGACTCATCTGAAGACGACTCAGCCAGCGCGCCCCGCATGGAACATTTTCAGACATGCCGGAAAAACCTCGACTTTCTGACCAAATCGTTGAGTAAGTTTGACTTGGATCAGTCGAAGACTTTGGCAGCTACCAGAATCAGTCTGAAGTGGCCGTTCAAAGTACATGAGATTAGAGATCTTGTGGAGAAAATCGTGAGGAACAAAAGCGATCTCTCAGATGCGTTGACGGCCGATGGATTGTGAGTCTTGGTTTTGTCCCTTTGGAATGAAAAATTTTCTGACTGTTGCAACAGGACAGCGTTGATGAAAGCTTTATCTACGCAACAGACGTTATCCGAAACTGTTCAAGATGTTCAAATCAAATTGCAGCGGATGGCTGAAGAGCAAGCCGAAAACGAGCAAGGTATTTAACATCCGGGTTCTCATTAGGACAGACAATTTACGGTAATCAGACGAAGAAAAGAAAGAGATCTTTGATTGGTGCTCGAGGGTCAACCCTTATGAGAAACATAGAAATTCAAAAGCGCTTCGACATCCAAATACAGTGTTATGGTTTTTCGATACACCAGAGTTCAAGAAATGGAGCCAAAATCCAGGCTCTGCAATCTGGCTTTATGGCATTCGTAAGTGCTGTCTTCGTGTTGTTGAATCGCAGAAAACTAAAATTGTACAAGCTGGCGCAGGAAAGACTATTTTAACGTACGATGATGTTGACCAACAGATCAGTGGAGCCCTTTTGCTAATCAGTATAGTTCTGCTGCGATCGAGGAAGTAAAGACCATGGCAACAAAGTCGTCACGCCATGCTGTAGCATACTTCTATTGCGAATACCGATTACCGGAGACACAGGTTCTTTCGAACATCCTTGGATCATTAGTTAGACAAGTTTGCGCATGCTCGAGCGATGCATATTTGGAACTGGAAGCGTTCTATAGCAAGTGCAACGAACAAGGCAAGCAGCCAACCTTGCCAACATGCTCTGAAATGGAGGACCTGTTCAAACGTTTATCTCAATATTTTGAGTGCTTGACCGTGGTTATTGACGGCATCGACGAATGTTCTGAACACGGAGACCGGCTTGATATCCTGCGAACTCTTTCTACCCTAACCTCCCATGAAGATGGAAACATCAAGGTCATCTACACTTCCAGGAATGAGATAGATATCCGGCGTCACTTTGAGAGCTTCGACAGCATTTCGATAGCTGCACGAGGCAATGACCTGGAGCTGTACGTTGCCGCGACAATTGAGACTCGGATGCAAAACAAAACGCTCCGAATGCGCGATCCAGCCTTGAAGGAAATCATTATCTCTACCATTGTTTCCAAAGCCAATGGCATGTGAGTTCTCTTACACACTGTCAATCACAAACTTGATGTGCTGACAAGCGTTTTAGGTTTCAATGGGCGAAATGCCAACTTGATCATATCTGTATGCTGAGTACAGACAAGGAACGTCGAAGAGCTCTAGATACTTTGCCTAAAGATCTTTTTGAGACATACAGAAGGATACTCCTCAGAGTCGCGAATAGTACAGAAAGCAACAAGCGCTTGGTAAAACGGACGCTCTCTTGGGTCCTCGACGCCGAACAACCCCTCCACGTGGACGCGATTGCAAAAGCAATTACCATAGAAGTAGATACGGACTATCTTGACCCTGACGACATTCCAGACGAAGACAGCATCCTTAAGTGGTGTTCGAGCTTGATTAGGAAAGACGAAAAGTCTGGCATAATTATGTTCTCGCATTTCACGGTCGAAGAGTTCCTCATAGATCAGAAACTACAGGACGATCCGGAACTTTCGGAGTTTCATGTTAACAATTCCGACGATTGGCAGCAGACAATTGCAAAAACTTGCCTTACATATCTCAATTTCTCTGAATTCTCTAGGTGGGACCTTACAGATTGGGCCAAAACTGAAGAGGATATCGATAAAGATCCGTTCCTCGAGTACGCTGCCGTGTATTGGCCTGTACACGCCAGAGGTGAAATTCAAGATACCTGCTTTGACCTGCTATGTCAACTTTTCGCCCCAACAAAGTCGAACAACTTTGTTCTATGGCTGCAGATATACTGGCCAGATAGGGCTCGTGGCAAGGCAGTCCCCAAAGCTGCATCTACATTACACGTTGCCGCTAGTCTTGGTCTAGTCGAAGTATGTGCTTGGCTCTTGGACCAGAAAGTTGATATTAATGCTCAGGATCCTGTGATGGGAACTCCTTTGCTCTCCGCTATATTAGGGTCAGTACCATCCTTGGGATGTTGTAATTTTCTCTATCCTAAGAGAGCTCAGGGAACGAAGAACATATATTGAAACCCAGCGCTAACTCCTCACAACAGACTTAGTAACAACCTGGAAAGAATGTGGATGAAGAGATCTCCGCTAGTGTCGATGCTTTTGGATCGTGGCGCGCGAGGCGATCTTTACATCTTGGAAAGCTGGACGTCCCCACTAAAACAAAACAAGAAACGCAGAGTAACAGCAATGTCGAGTGTTCTCAATATTGCGCTCTGGAACAGAGAACTTTGTGCTGCTATTTTCAAGGATCTTCTCCACCACAAAGCTTTTTCACCATTCTCGGAGTCGCCCTTCTGGTTGAATTCAACACAGGCCTGGACAGTCATCCCAAGACCACCTGCAACTCCAAGATCTCTTCCTATGCGAAGCAGAGATGACCTTGTTGAAAAGGCACTTCAGATCGTGGTCAATATGTTTAGGGATATCCTCACTGACCCTCTTTCTGAGAGCATAGATCAACCTTCGGTCAATAAAATGATTTCCTATGTGAATTTGCACGGCAAGAGCCCGTCAGACGACAAACTATTCACAGAAATCTCGAAGCGGGAGGCCATAGCTACGTCGCAGCATATGACGGCCGAGTTCGCAATCACTGCGACCGAAAGTGGTCAAACGCAAGTCCTAGAGACCTTCATATCAAACGGCGCGGATCCGAAACTTCTTTCGGAGTGCTTACCAGCAGCGTGCCGCTTAGGAAACACACATTTGGTCAGGCTGTTGTTGGGATACTGTCCCAGCAATGATACCATTGTCCGTCGATATACTCGACTCTCCTGGATTGAAGCTACCCTTGCAGGGCAGACGGGATGCCTCAGATCGTTTCTGGACAACGGGTTTGATGTGAACACGTCGGTCACTCACGAAATGACTGGTATCAGCCCTAGATCCGGATCCGCTTTAGCCTTTGCTGTTTGTAATGGAATACTTGAATCCGTCGTATTTCTCTCCGGTGTTCCTGATATCGATTTCGAAATCACAATTGAAGGCTGCAATCTTCTTCATTCCGCCGTTGAAGCACCGATACACCGGAAAGACATTTTGGAAATTCTCCTCCAAAAGAATGTCGACCTATCCCAGTGTACTAAGGACGGGAAAACCGTTTTACATTCTCTGCTTAGAAATGGACATGCAATAGAGGATGAGGATGTGGCGCTAATAAGGAGCTTGATATTGCGTGGCTGCAATCCCCAGCATGTGGATGAGCAAGGACATACGCTATTACACGCATTACTTAATCGGCCGCATATCTTTTTCGCACTAAATCTTGGGAATGTCATTGATTTGATTGACGTCGAGCGACATATGAAAAACTGCACGGACAAGAAAGGGGTTCTTCCTCTTCAAATGGCCGTTCGTGGGCGAGCACAGGACATGGTAATACGCAAACTTATCCCAGATGATATTCTTCTTTGGAATCCTCCTGATTATCATGGTTCAAGCGTGCTTCATGCCTTGGTAATGCCAGGTCTTACCGAGAACCCACCACCGCCACCAACCCAACCGTCAGTGCTACCACGGTAAGATACACTTCATTGTCCCCTTTTCACGCACATGATATGGTCCAGGTCGTCTTCCTACGTAACCATGAGGAAAATACTAGAACCTTCCTTCTGTGGCATGATGACATAGATTACATTACTAATTTGTTGTACTGAATAGAAAGCGAGTGCCTGGACCGCCTCCACCACCTCCCTTTATAAGCAACGGAAGCTTGGCTGATGATACCCATATTCTCAGAATTCTGACGATTCTTCTGGACTTCGATCGTGTCAACGTGAATATAAAAAATGAAAGAGGAGACACACTACTCATCGCCCTTGCAATTCATTGCGTAGAATCGTCGTCTCACAAGAGAGCACTCTGTCTCAAGCTCCTACTCGAGCACCACGCTGATATAAATGCCTGCAATGCTAAAAACTGGACTGCAACCCACTATCTCGCCACGCTTGGATATCAGGCGGGGATGCGAGAGGTATTCGGCTACAACCCTAACTTACTGATGCTAAATGACAATGGCTATTCTCCTCTACACCAAGCCATATGTGATGGTCGATTAGGAAGTGTTCAGATATGGATCGAGCGAGCAAAGACGCAGCATCAGCATTGCGACGAGTTCAGGAGAAGTTTCGAGCAGCCCTGCAGTCGAGGATTTTTGCCGATTCATATTGCAGCCAGGCACCGTCGTACAGACATCATTGTCTTGCTGCATGATATGCATATGGTTGAGGATGTCAACATAAGAGTCGAGTCAGATGGACTTACGGCCCTTCATTTAGCTGCAACAACAGACGATGTTGCAAGCACAAAGGTGTTGCTTAAAATGGGGGCAAATATTGATGCTCTTGACAAGAAATCGCAAACTCCTCTACATATTGCCGCTTCATGCGGCTCAGCAACCGTGGCAAAACTGCTAGTCGAGAACGGCGCCCGCACCGATATCAAGAACGAAACTGGCATGCTGCCATGGATGATCACAACACCAGCGAATCAAAGCCTAAAGACAGCGTTAGAAATGGCGGCACGAGGAGCGAGTGCCGAGCAAAAAGAGGAAAGTTCGGCAATCGCAGGTTGCTCGGAAGCTGAAAGCCAGTTGGCTCAAGACGTTGACCCTGTCGCTGAGTTATTCAAAGAGTCTATCGCATCACGATTCTTACATGTTGGCCCTCGAGGAGACGAGACCTCGATGTTAGAAGCGGTCCTCAAGAGCAGACATTACGCTTGCTTGAATCTTCTCAAGGCCGGCAGTAATCCTGATCAAGTGTTGAACGATAAAGGGGAGACTGCACTTCACATTGCGTGTTTAAAGGGATCACCGGGGTCTTGGCAAATTCTTAACCATCTTCTTGACTTTCATGCTACTACTGCGGTCAAGGATGAGACTGGCGATACAGCATTGCACAACGCAGCGATTAAAGGGAGATTCTCGATCGCCGAGCGTCTTTTGAAAAGTGGAGCCGACATCTTTGCAAGGAACGACAAGATGCGCACCCCGCTACATTTAGCAGCGGAAGCTGGATCAATTCTTACACTAAAATGTCTCGTAGACCACGTCCGAAACGGCAGTGTTCCACAACAGAAAGAAGTTGCAAAGCCAGTTGATAAAGAAAGTCTGGAGTCGAATCATGAACCCTCAGGTCAGGTCCCATCCCAACACATCCGTCCTATAATACCAATATGCTCTTCAGCGTTATCGAGACTTCTCGAAGCAAAAGACGACGAGAGGAGGACACCTTTGCTCACTGCTTTGTGCCATGGTGAAACCGAAGCAGCCAAGTATTTGATCGAGCAGGGCGCAAATGTAGACGTGATAACCATATGGCGCCGCGATGCACTCTGGCTTGCTGCAGATTGCGGTGACAAGGAACTTGTCGATATCCTCTTATCTCGAGGGCTGGACCCAAACACGAGTTCCTATTGCTTCAACGCTCTTCACCAAGCAGCGGATACCGAAGGCCATAAGGAGGAAACCGTCACTGAGATCGCCTTGACCCTAATTAAGGCTGGTGCAGACATGGATTCGAATAATCTTATGAAGCTGTCAGCATTGCATTGCGCCTGTAATGCTGGGAATGTGACTTTGATCAAAGAACTTTTGACCAGGCTACCAGCAGACGAGATCAACGTCGAGAGCAAAGTTTGTGGTACCCCACTCTATTGTGCGGCTTTCCGCGGATATGTCGAAGCTGTGAAAATCTTACTCGATGCTGGAGCTGATATCAATATTGGATGGAAAGAAGAGAGTCCTTTGCAAGCAGCAATAGCTCAAGAACATAAAGAAGTGATCGAACTTCTTGAAGATAAAGACGATGGCTCCACGGTCACCCCGACGTCTTCGTTGCATGGCTCGGAGACTAGCGTGGAGCAGGAGTTGGGAGACGAGATTTCGATTATCAGCTGCGATACAGCTGGCAGCTGATCATATACTCTGTCATTGGCACATTTAGTACAAGCTTCAGACGAGGTTCCTAAAAGCTCGGGGGATTTGTCACTGCAATCAATGATGCTTCCTGGTTGTCATGACTTCTTGGGCCAGTGTTTTAGGAATGTTCCGAGGCATGGTCTCCAAGATGCGAGGTAGAGAAGTACGGCTTGAATGTTAATATTCGCGTTACATATACCATCTGATGCAAGAGAAGAAAACGAGCTCTTGATTTGGATTTATGAATACGTTTGGCAATGATTTTTCTCAGTTCTGCTATTACTATAACATAGAATTACTATCATCCTTCTAACATTTCGTTACCAATTTCACAGCCCCATCAAAGAAAAGTATCTAGCTTCGTCCTTCAGCATTTCAGTCCAAACATATTCCAAAGTCACTGGTTTCACTTCCGGAAACTTTACGTTGTCGTACGGTCCAGGCAAAAGTGTCCTTCCAGTTCCTTGAATGACTTGATGGGAAGCCGCCAATTCAGCATCAACATCTCCACTCTCAATTGCCTATCCTCCTATTAGCTCAGAACTTCGATTCGTAATAGCGTGCCTACCTTTCTTTGATTTTCTCTCGCTTCCTCGACTGATTTATAGGTCACATTCCACTTCACACCCTGTATCTTCTCTAAGGTCGAGAATATCGTGGTCCAAGAATAGTTTCCGCCTAGGAAGCGATATGTTCGTTCTTGCTCGGTAGGAGGGTCCAGCAAAGTACAGACCAAGTACTTGGCCGCACTTTTACACACACCAAATCAGCTTCTGCTCTACATCAACAGCCATGAAATCTACATACTCATTCGTAGCCAACAATGATTGTTCCATCTCTGGCCTGCCGACAATATGGGCCGTATGAGTCTTCAAGTTGATGCCAAAATGCGGGATTGGAGCCCACTCAGTAAATCTTCCATTGATGAAGTACGTATACCCAAAGCGTGGGGTTTCAGCAGCTACTGTTTTAAGATGGTTGCGGGTGAGGACTTTGTCACGATAGTAGCGCTCATTCCAATTATCCCCGACAGTGAGATCGGCGCCAAATTCAGAGGGGTAGAAATGTGTGACACCAGCTGCTAATGCGGTATCGATGATGGCAGGTTGGGTTTTGAGAGCGTGGTTTCCGAGGCAGGCTATTACGACTTGGAACCCTGGTACGAGTTAGTATGTGTTTTGAGTAGTGGAGTGTTCTTGCCTCTGAATGCCGCGGGATCTCCATAGGAACCTTCAACAATCTCAACACCTTGGGTTGTGTAGTCTTGCAAGATTTTGGTCTTTTCTGCGGACTGTGGTCGAGTGGTATCGGTGAAGGCGCCTATTCTTTGAAATTCGGCTTTGCGACGGATGAGCTCTGGGACGAGGAATTGCCCGAAGCCACCTGTGGGGCCGAGCACTAAAATAGAGGTCAAAGCCATTGTACTATCTTGACGAGTATGTGTTGAATTATCTTAGTAGGCGTTTTGTAGACTCAGATTGAATATTTGTTCTTTCAACCCGTTTCTTCGTTGTTATATACGAACTTCGAACGGATGCATAGCCGAAATATCAGCGCCGGCACGTCTAGTAATCAAAATAACTTCCATCTTGAAGATCGTTGAGATCGTGTACGTCCGTAGTGCTAATGGGCCATATATGAACAACGATGGAGTGGTGAGTAATCATAATACGATGGCTGATGTTCATTGCCGAAAGCCGACACCGTTGGAAACTAACATGAAGATCTTGCCAGTTTCTAATCTGGTTTTGTTATCTTCATTAGCCATGCCCTAAATTTTGGGAATTGATTACATTCATTGATAATCGCGTGGTCTTTCAAGTCGTTAGCTTGGACTTTCCCAGAGGTTCACTTGCAGCATGAAGCTACGCCAACTCAAAGCTGATTTCAGTAGGGCAAAGGCATTGAAGGCTTGAACGGAGAGGAAAGTACCAGACATCCAGTGCATTGACTATAGTAAATAGGTCGAATCTGGTATTCGAGTTAGAGCATTAGCTTAGAACTTTAGGAGAGGGAAAAAAGGGAGCCATGGAGGGGTATTGAAATCACGTGTACTCCCACTTGCCGCTTCGGGATTCTGTCGTCGGGATAAAATTTGCGAGTGACACGGTTTCATTTTCTCGCATTCGCATACAAACTGCTCATAACCCTCTGCCTCTGTCAATCGTGATATTAAGTTTACGCAAGGTCGAGTGACTTAAAGCGATGGCTCCGTGGCTTTCTCGTCCACCATCATCGCTTGTAGAGCGTACGCGCTCGTGAATGTGGAAATATGCCCCTGAACAGGCAACTGATCCCGCGCTTAGAAAATTATTGTTCTACAAGTACGATCACATTGTCCTCATTTCTGATGGATCTAGGTCCCATGGATTGTGATAGATGCTTCTTCTTGTTGCTTGCTCAATGCTTTCTTCGGAAATGGCCCAGGCTTGCTTGTCTCACGTCATGAAGATGATCGGGTAAAGCACTTAAGTATGAATTATTGTTCGTATTAGCCCATTAATCTTGTTCTCACGGATTCAAAGTCATCTGTCTTCTCTCGCTGATCCAGAGCAGCTGATAATACGAATCGCTCAAGCAAGTGCTTGTAGTTGGACATTGTAACAAACACTATCCGCAACTTTGAGTATATAACCTCGTATGCTGTTCGCCAGAAGTCTGTTTCAGTGAATCAAGATCCAGAGTTGTATGCTCTGAAATCTTTCGATACTTCTGGTTCTTCCTAGCTTCAGCCAACTGTTCCTGCGTCTTCAAAAAGATAACTGCAGAATGTCAGGCAATACTGGCAGTCCGCCGTGTTCGATCTGCGAAAAAGCCAACCACGATGCCTTGAAATGCCCAAAGAAGCATGGCTGTGGAGCATGTGGTATTCCGAGCGCTCATAAGGCGTGGTCGAAGCAGTGTCCAGCTAAATTTTATCCTCATTACGATTCTCAGATATGCGACGAGGGCCAGAAGAGCGTTCACGAGTATTCGGGATGTGACAGCAAGATACTACAACCCTGCGAAGAGTGCGGACATGGGGACCACAGGGTTGGGGACAAGAAGAAATGTCTTCCTCATGCTAACTAGGCTGATGTGGCCAATATCCCAGACTTCATTATTGATCAGTAGACCAAGAAATTTCGGCAGAAGTATCTCGATAAGAAAGCTGAAGCAGCAGCTTCGGCTCAAGCTACCTCATCTCCGAAAGGTTCGTCATCGAAAATTACTGGGCTTCCTGACAGAACGGGCTCTTCGAAGATCCCATCTGGAGAAGCATCGCCAGTGAAGCTTATCGAAGAAGTCAATTCGCTTGCTGCTCGACGTCGAAAGTGGCAGAATTCCGAGTTGAGTTTTGCGGCGAAGCCCGTCACCAAGTCAACAGAGTTAAACAGAGAAGTCTACGTGGATTCAAACTTCTTTAAATTGCAGATTGATTCGAAGATTCAGCTTTTCAAATACAGCATTATCGTTGAAGATCATGTTACCCCTATAAACGTGGAAGGTGTGCGTCGTGTCAAGAAAGAAACGAAAAGTTTCCTAACTAGAGAGTATCTCACCAATAACAGATTTGTGAACGTACCTGCACATAAAAAGTGGGCCTTGGATTACGACTTAGTGATCATTTCCGTTGGCCCTTTATACACTAGATCTGGTAGAGATCTGGCGAGAGCCATGATGCTATCCAGTAATCTGGGTGGCCAACCTCCACGAAATGGCCGTGTAGCACCGCCGCCACTCAGCGTTCGTGTCGAAGACTTAGGACCTCTTGACATGGGTCATCTCGTCAAGCACGTTACAAAGAAGGAATTCGCGGCGGACCTGAACGATGAGCTGAAAGCTTTGGATATCATTTGCTGGAAGAGATCAACAAGAAAGGCGACTCAATAGGAGGCCGAGTGGGTAACAAAGTCTACCCTACTGATCTCACGGCAGCAAACAGTACCGACGACACTAAGCAGTATCTCATTCGCCATGCTTTCTTCTCCTCTATGCGGTCTGGCGAAGACTCTGTCATTTTGAATGTCAACGCAGTAACATCGGCATTCCTCCCTCCCAAAAACCTGCAGGAATGGATGAGGATATGCTGGCCAGGCTTTCGACCGGAGTCTAAGTAGTTCAGATTGAAGCTCAAAGCCGTCAGGGTAACATTTAATCTCCATAAGCCCAGTCGAACATGGGTTATTGCTGACATAAGTAACGATGATGTTGAGCACACAGTGTTTCAAAGGAATGGGAACAGTCTATCTGTCTCCACTTATATTAGACGTAGTAGGTGCCACTCTGACAATGCCTTGGAGTGTAACCTACTGACTAAACATAGCTTACTCACAGTATCGGGGAAGTTCGACAGCTTTTTCTATCAACGCTGGAGGATCTCAGAACAAGGTGTGGTATCCAGCAGATCAATTGACCATCATTCCTTGGCAAATCGTCAAAGATACTATGGAAGGCGAAGATTCCAAGGCGATGATCGATGATTCCGAAAGGTTACCACAAGTCAACAAGAACTACATCATGAATGATGGTCTCCGCATTCTAGGGCTGAATCCACTGAATCCATTCTACAAGGTAAATAAAAGCTCGAAATTGCTGCCATGTATGTTTTGATAGCTCACTATTCTCAAGGACTTTGGCCTGTCGTTTAAGAGATCGGCACCAACCATGATTCGATTAAATGCTCTCCTGTTGTTGCCGCCAAAAATCATTGTGTTGAAGGATTCAAAAGACATCAATGACCGCCCAGAACTAACTGATGGGGGCTGGAATCTCGCGAAACAGGGAGTTCAGTACAGGAATGTTTTCATGACATTTTCCATTTCCGTCTTTGGACCTGAGCAGCTGCTGCTTTACCCTGACCTATGGGTGAGCAAGCACAAGCCGAGGGCGAGCATTCCTGAGCATTACCTGAGCACCGCCTGAGTAGCTATTTTAGTATCCGCAGGGGCTCGTTTTGGTTCCCTTGAGCCCGGTTATATTTTCCTCGTCTTGTCTCTAAGGGCGGGTCCTATTTTGGCTCCGACAAGGATCGATCTATATTCGCTTATGTATACGTGATATTCTAATGGTTAAGTGGCTTATTAGATTTTTTTGCAGTATATGCGGTGGTTTAAGTGTATGAATGAGATTATGGACGCTTAAGGCGTGAAACGAGGTTTAAGTACAGTGAATATGAGTCATGTGAAGTCTGCACGTGACAGGTTTCCTAGGTGCCAAGACCTTATAGTTATAAAATACTAATATACAAGTTGAGAAAATCCGCTTAGCTTTTTATCTCTCGCAATAAATGCGCTCTTTAATTCGAATTACCACTATTCTAAAGGATAAATATAGACATTACTATATTATACATATAAAGGTTACTTCATTCCAAATTTAAGGAGACATCGCAGGAGTAAAGTGTCTAATTGCCTTGACTTGCCGACCTCCTTAAGGGAGAGGAGGAAGACTAAATACATAAAGATAGGATAAAAAGGAGGAAACAAGCGATTCTCTACTATGGTAAATAAATAAATAAAAATACATACGTGCATCAAACTTGTAACTTATAATTTGCAAAATAGTCGCTATTTTACAAATCTAAAGGCCTCCCATATTCGTCATATATTGGGGCATGCCGACTCCTTTCCTGGTTTTGTCTAGCATTTCTCCCAAAATTTCTGCCATCTCCCGCATTTTGCGCTTCCGCAAAAACTTCTTCAAGCATTTCTACAGTTGATTTAGATTCTGTACCCTGGTTACAACTCTCACAGATTGCTTTTGCCCTTGCTTCTTTGAGATTGCGACCAAACTTTCCAAGATTTCCACATTGATAACACAAGACGAACCGTTTCTGTCGTACATAGAACCATTTCCCCTTTGCATAGCCCGGCGAACCAGAGACTCCACATTCGATACAGAAGCGCGACTCTATGTTTTGCTTATTTCTTCCCTTCTTGCCACTTATTGCTTGGTCGGCGAAATACCAATTCGGAAGCATTTCGTTACAGGAGAAGCAGGCATATTCGTTATTCGCAGTCGACTCGGCAGAGCGTTCGCGTTGATTGAGGGGATGATGGCGACGAGGGCGAGCAAAGACAGAATTGCGGATTGCCATAAAAGCAGTGGAGATTTTCCTTAGGATCCGGCGCGAGAGTTTGTCGGCATTGTCGTAAATCATAAATAATATTTCTGTCGGTAGAGACACCAGATTGCGAGAATTAGTCGCAGACATCTCTGAGGATCTTAAAGCCGGTGGCTGAGGAAAGCTTAGGAAGTTTTTAAAGAGGTAGGACTAAAAGGAGCTAAACTGAGAGACGCGTGAATGGTCTAAAATTTTAAACACAGACTAAGTTTTGATTATAAAGAGTTTGTAATATAGCTTTGGCTATCGCTCGGAGGTGGGCGTTAAGGGAGTGCTCTGACTTTGTGGTAGAAAGGATTGAAGGATTAAAGGATAGTCAACGTGGTCATGAAACACCAGCCCTCAAAATAACTAGTTAGCAGATCTCACCGATCGCTCGTAACTCGCCTTCTGATTGGGGATTGCCCCTGCCAAGTGCAGACATTTTTCGGCGGCTTTCGTGGCGTTCAATCATATGTTGCATAACTCGGTGCAAAATGTGACAGTAGAGCCGCCTCGCCTTCATTTGGCTAATATAGGCCCTCATCGACCACCAAAATTTGCGTCTTCTGATTGGGTCCGCCATTAGCTGCGACGTCTCAGCGCCTGAGGCAAGGAACACCAGGCATCAAAATATCAGACAAGTAGAACTTCGGAGGCAAATGCAAACCTCAATTACATATCTGCGCACCATCGTAGACTGATGCGCAAGAGATTCCTCAAAATCGCGATGTGTTCTTCAGCAAGAATCACCTCCGCTGTCGTGCTCTTCACTCTCTGCATTATTGCTCTGTGGTTGAAAGTCGTGAACAACATGACTTACGACAGTTTCCTCCCAGGAAATCAATCATGGAAAGAAATTGCCTCCGAAAAGAGATGTCGAAATATGGTCAAGACACCGAAGGATTGGATCTTGCCTGAATCGGTGATTAAGAAAAGCCAAGCAACACGGAGCATCGCTGGGCAATTCATTGAGGATCTTTTGGATGAAGAGACACTATCCATCACCAAACTCGATGTCCCGGAAATTGTGGAGCGTACAAGTAATGGTTCCCTTACCGCGGTGAAAGTCGTTACAGCGTACTCAAAGCGAGCTGCATATGCACACCAACTGGTGAGTGAACATCTATGTTCGATAAAACGCCCCACATAACATTCTGCTAGTCAAACATCCTTCTCGAAATCGCCTTCGATATTGCACTTGAAAGAGCCAAGGAGATTGACGAATATTTCGAGAAGAATCAAAAACCCATTGGTCCTCTGCATGGAGTCCCTCTCACACTCAAAGACCAGTTCCACATCAAAGGTCTTGAAACTTCCATGGCATTTGTTGGCTGGATAGGTACTTTCGAGGGAAAGAAAGGTACTGGAAAAGAGAAGAATACAGAAAGCGAATTGATTAGAGAGCTCTACAGCCTTGGCGCGATTCCCATCGGAAAGATAAGTGTTCTCCAAGTGTGCCCAGTATTGAAACATTTACTCACCATTCATTCAGACTTCTCTTGTCCAGAGCATCTGGGTAAGCTGGATGTCAGTTGGAATTCGGTTGTCTCCACTTTTATTCGCTGGTTTAGGACTAGTTTAGGGGCTCTTAGTGCTGAAAACTTTAATGCTTATATATACTGATTCCAATATTCTCACTTAAATCTTTTAGACTTATTAATACTACTCTTTTCTACTTATATTGTTCCCGTAACACACGCACCTTCCATCTAATAGTTATAAGCCCAAGTTTCTACCTATTCTAAAGTTCTTAACATTTCGATAAAATTACTAAGTCAATAACCCTAGAATCGACACTCACTCGAATTATAAGCCTCCGACAAGCCTATTACTTCTAATACTACAATACAATATCTGCGAACTCTCCGCCAAGCTTGCCGTAACTAAGAACACGTTGCCCCATCACTCTCTGCAGCAACACAGCCGCTATGACAGAGATCAAATACGCAACAGTCATACTCTCCGGGAATCCTAACTGGATTCCATGGAAAGAAGTAACCAAGACTACCGCTATCAAGGTAGACGTCTGGAAATACATGGATCCAGATGTAGACGAACCCACGATGGTGCCGATTCTGGCAGAGCCTATCAAGCCGACTCCATCGACTGTAAAGAACGACATTGTAATCACACCTGCATCGACTGGGACAGCCACTCCTAGTACAGCACACACAATTCCAACCACTACACCAGCTGTCACAGGACTTGCTAGATTCTCTGATCTCGACCAGGACGAAAGAGAGGAGCTACGCTCTCTCAAAGAAGAATATGCTTACGAGATGAAGAAGTACGACCGGCAAGTCGAGGCTCTTCGGGCCATGGAATCACACATTCAGAAAACTATCGATCCGAAGCTCCTCATATACACGTACAACTGTCCGAACGCTTGGAAGATGATGCATAACCTCAAGATGGAGTGTCCTCCTACGGACTACTCTCGCAAGAAGACTATTCTTGGAAAGTGGGGGAAGCTAAGTGGCTGTGTTGCTGCAGAGAGTGATGGGGCAACGTGTTCTTAGTTACGGCAAGCTTGGCGGAGAGTTCGCAGATATTGTATTGTAGTATTAGAAGTAATAGGCTTGTCGGAGGCTTATAATTCGAGTGAGTGTCGATTCTAGGGTTATTGACTTAGTAATTTTATCGAAATGTTAAGAACTTTAGAATAGGTAGAAACTTGGGCTTATAACTATTAGATGGAAGGTGCGTGTGTTACGGGAACAATATAAGTAGAAAAGAGTAGTATTAATAAGTCTAAAAGATTTAAGTGAGAATATTGGAATCAGTATATATAAGCATTAAAGTTTTCAGCACTAAGAGCCCCTAAACTAGTCCTAAACCAGCGAATAAAAGTGGAGACAACCGAATTCCAACTGACACTGGATCACTTTTAATCAAGCATGTATGGTTTCGTGGCATGTCGACTGACTTAGCGAAGGCTCCTGAGACGAACAACAATATACTTGGCTACGCATGGAATCCGCATAATCAACTTCTCTCAACCGGCGGCTCCTCCGGTGGTGTGTTAATTTGTTGCTAGACTTTCAAATTGTAAGGTGCTGATTTTTTTGTGACAGGGGAAGGAGCAATGCAGGCTTTGAGAGGAAGCGCATTTGGAATCGGAACTGACTTAGGTATTTGGTTTCGTGACTTCTACCTTTTTAGCTGCTGACGTTTTCCAGGGGGTTCTGTTTCCATGCCTGCCTCGTTCAATGGTGTCTTCAGTCTCAAGCCTTCATTTAGGCGTATCTCATTCAAGGACGTGGCGAACACAGTATGTTTCATCCGCCCTAGAAATATTTACAGGTCTGACATCTCAGGGTACTGGCCAAATGATCATGCCTACCGTTGCTGGCATCATGGGCCACTCCGTTTTAACGCTTCGCCTAGTGTTCAAAGCACTACTCTCCACTGAGCCATGGCTTTACGATCCATATGTTCTTCAAGTTCCATTCAGAGACTACTTTGTGGAAGAGACAAGCAATCTTTCTTTCGGTTTCGTAAAAGATGATGCCGTTGTGACCCCGCATCCTCCCATTTCCCGCGCACTTGACATCGTGGAGAAAGCTATGCTAGCAGCCGGACACGAGGTATTTATACTTCAATCAAAGTATCTATTTTCACGTGCCAACGACAAGTTTGCAGACAATTCCATGGGAACCTCCCTCAGTCAACGAGTCGATTGCTATCCGTGTCAGTGGCGTAGAAGTCTCTCATTTGATGAAGGTTCTCTGACTGTGCTTACTAGGGTCCTATTGCTCGAGGTGACGGATGTCCCGATGTCTACGAGGCTATCAAGCTTTCTGGGGAACCTATCGTTCCGGAGATTCGACATTTGTTTCCCGATGGAAATCTACAGCCACCGATGAACCTTGTAGACTACGAGAAAGTAGTCGTGCATATGAAAAGCTATCGCCAGAGATATCATGACTACTGGAGCTCTACGGCTAGCAAGACCAGCAGTGGTAAGTGATGAGGTGGAAGATAAGTATTTCCAACAAGCCCAGTCTCTGACATTCCCAGGTCGTCCCGTGGAAGCAATTATTCTTCCCGTCTCTCCTTACGCTGCCGTATTGCCGGGCAAATTCTTCCACTCGCGTGAGTGGACCTGCAAGATAAAACCACCGTCATTGAATGTAAAATAACTGATAATATCGAACAGCATACACAAGTTTTATTAACGTACTAGATTATACAACAATTGTCATTCCAATCACGTTCGCCGACAAGAAAATCGATGTCGTGCCTGCTGATTTCATGCCGCTCACCGATACAGATCGATTGAACATGGAAGCGTGTACGTTCTCTTGCCTCTGTGTATTTTGTGACAAATAATGACTGCAAATAGATGATTCTGAGATATACGACGGAGCTCCAGCTTCCATACAAATTGTCGCGAGGAAAATGGAGGAGGAGAAGCTTCTCGCAATGGCACAAGTCGTTGTCGATGCGCTGGAGAAATACTGGCAGAGTGAAGAAGGAAAACGGCATCCAGGTTGAAATTTTGGGGAGTAACAGCCTGGTTTGGGTTTGCAAGTGTGTTCGGCTCTTTGAATTGAGCCAGAAAGTTGAATTTCATTCATGTTTGACAGAATCTTCAAAGGCCTATTCTGGCCATAATCCATCCACGGTTAGAAAGTCCGGAAGCAAACTAAGTTCAAAGCCTCGAACCGTAAGCCAAAATCAAGAGATGGGGTAACAGGTGTAGGTGCTGGTCGACGTCCCCGAGGGGCTTTCACGGATGATCACAAGAGGGAATTGACGGCCCAACCGAGGGAGTTGAAAGGTTGTATCAGATGCAGAATGAATAGAGTTCGGGTTGGTCATACTGCTCCCCAATTGAATTTTGATCTCTGACAAGACGTGCTTTTCTAGTGTTGGCCCAATCCAGACAACGTTCATGGCCAATGTCTGACCTCCAAAAAAATTACGCATCCAACGTTCAGCAAGCTACCTTGTCTTCGATATATCATCACCGATGCTTCTACGTACAGAGAGCAGACAGCACCATCCCAATTATTCAGCAAAAGGTGGCAGAACATGGAACTCGTTGATATCACTGATTGGGCCTCCGAGATGAAACGAGAACGATCACCGTATCTCATATATTTCTGGATGCCCCTTACGAGGTCAAGGTCAAAGAGTTCATCCCTGTTCAAGACGATATGTTGGTGGAGCAGTGGAATAACGGGGGCGTAGTCAAGAGCCACAAGATTCCGAAATATGCACTTGCCGAGATGGAAGAGACGGCGCGGATGTTGCAAGAATTCATTGACAAGAGTGTGGCGAATTACATTCTAGGTGCTCTTGCGCCACGGAATTATGGGAAGACCGAGGACGAGCTGCTATATCAAACCTACATGGGTGCATTCCAACATGTACACGAAGCTAAGGTCAGTTTCAAAAACATCGTCACGTGTCCATCGCTGAAACTTACAACCAGTCTCATAAAGAGAGGTCGCTTCTCGAAAATTGCTTCCGCCTTTGGGTAGGATGTCGGAGAACTAGCAATCCCCATCATATGTATGGTGACGATAAGCTTGGTGGAGAAAAGGTTGATGATCCGTCAAACCCTTTCTATGGTTGTGTTCCCCATGTTTGTTGGCGCAGACTGCACACATCCACGCCAGTCAGCTAAGAGCTGCCCATCAATCGCAGCTATTGTAGCGACTACAGATGATACATCGAGCCAATATCTAGGGTCAGCTCGCCTTCAGCCAAGCAGACAAGAGGCAATGTCTTAAACCTCTGTTAAGTGAAGAGACTAATTGTACCTGCAGTACATATCTGACTTGCGATCTATGATGACGGAAAAGATTAGGGCGTGGTATCTCAAGACCGCCGACGAAGAAAAGCCCGGGACGAAAACTGAAAGACGGTTGCCGAGCACCATCTTCTTCTATCGTGATGGAGTCAGCGAAAGTCAATACGGCATGGTTCTCCACGAAGAATTACAGCAGATTCGATTGGGCTGCAAGGACTGGTACGACAAGGTCAAGGACCATAAGGCCAACAATTTCTCGTCCAACTTCAAATGGAAATATATCAAGATTGTTTTCTTTGTTGTAATCAAGCGCCACCATGCTCGCTTCTCCCCCCAGATAACGACAAGTCGGGGTATAAGGACAACCTTACTCTAGATCTGTCGCTGACAGAGATATCGTCACCCCCAATCATGTGAACTTCTACTTGCAAAGTCATGCTAGTCCCAAGAGCATGGCAAAGAGTTCTCACTACGTCGTGCTCCAGAATAATAGCCCGAAAGACTACACTCTCAAGCAGCTAGAAGACATCGTAAGTCCAAACATGCCTTCATCCCCATTCTCAATTACTAACAGCTGTAAGTCTCACCACCTGTGTTGTGTCGGGCCTCGTGCGACTTAACCACTTTCTATCTGTGCCCTTGCTTGCTATGCAGACTTGCTCTGTGGTCGTCTAAGATGCTACATGAAGCCTGCCTTGGATAATAAGTATCCTCTGGATGAAAATGCCAGATCGAAGCACGATTATGAAAATGATGAAAAGATTTCGCACAACGACCCAGAAAAGATCCGCAAAAGTCCTTGGAAAGCATCGTTGGACAATGTCATGTTCTATCTGTGATATTTTGCAGTTAATTATCGGCAGATTGTGCGTACTTTGTGTTGTTTTCGTATTTTGCTGACGAGTCTCGGAGCGCGTTTGGTTGTAACTCTTGCTCTTCTGTCCTTTCCGTCGATTTAGTGTCTGATGTGTTGCGCTCGAGTTTTCGTGGATGTTAATGGATTTTGGAAGGAATTTGTGCGTGAAATATTAAATGCGAACCAAATTCAACTACTTGGTGTACGTGAAGCACGATTCAGACTCGATGACTGTGGTCCAGATGTATCCATAGAAAGATTTGAGTGCTCATGTCACCCATAAGAGGCCGCTTCGGAATAAAATCAACAAAGAGATGAGACTTAAAAACTGTCGGATTGTAATCATAATATTGGCACAGAAAAATTTGACGAAAATTCGCTTTCTTTGTATTTGAGTACTGATGTTACTATACCTACCTAGGTGAGGGGGGTTTATTTGGCCTAAGGCAGCAACACGACACCCTAAGGCTACATAAAATTGCCAGAGGTAAAGTTAACGATATCCGTACGTGTCGCATCAAATCTCATCATGAATTAAATCTCACTCATGTTCGTGAATTGCAACAATGCGCCGCAATTGATTGGACGTATGATCTGAGCGGAAACTCATTGATACCAGGTACGTTAATTGTATCAATGAATTCCTCCGTGTTATACATCCTCGTGGTGGTGATGGTGTGAAGAAGTTTCGAGTGTAATGAGACGATGCGATATTTCAAGCAGCCATTACGTGGTGTCCTTTCACGCAATATGATATGAGCTCAAGTCGGCTTTTATTGCATATGAGTTGTCGCTGGATTCCATTCCTCTCACTATCAACTCTTCGATAAAGTTTTGAACTCTCTACCCCGCCTCTTGCTAACTTCAGTTCAAGCCTAAGGAAGCGCCAAATACGACGCAACCTCAAAACGAAGATAGACTCGATCAGATACTTTCCAAACGCCAATTGGAGAGGCGTTTCCGGATTCCTCAAGATATTGAATTACGAGTCCATCTGGCAAGGATAACTTTTGTCTACACCCCGCACTCTCGACTCTTCCACAAATCTACAACCTCAATGGCTTATCAAGGCGTTGACCTCACAGCTGAGGCTGGCCAAGCTACTGAACCAATCTCATGGCAGTAAGTTTAGACTATCTCTTTGATGCATACTTTCTAAACCCAGTAGTGATCCTCACCCAATCTTCGTTATTCTCTTCGTTGGTCCGGCAGAGATTCCTTTCGGTATCCAAAAGAACCTACTGTGCGCACAATCACCCTATTACCGCGAACACTTCTCTCAAGAAGGACAAGCAGACTCCGTCGAGTTGATCGTCAGACTACCCGGTACCGATGTTGATACCTTTGGTTGCTTCCAAAACTTCATCTACACTGGACATGTCTACGACAAGGCTGGTGGAAAGGCCATTCCTGAATATCCTCTACTGATGAATATCTGGAAGTTGGCTACCCATCTGAGAATGGCTGCGCTACGTGTCGCGGTCCTCGATGCTATGGCTGAGCGCCGTCAACTAACATCTTATATTCCGGGACCCCCGCTTCTGATCCAGGCTTGGAAGGAGACGGAAGAAGGTAGTGGATTGAGAATTATGCTCATCAGGTGGACTGCGGAACATAGTACGTAAATCGTCTGAAGATACGTCAACCGAGCTAATCGAAACAGTGCGCACTTCTCCTGAAGCTCGTACCTCGTTTGCCAAGTCGCTTCCTCAAGAAATCCTCTATGAGCTTGTCCTCACCTTGAGTGATCTTTCAGCTGGTCCTATCCCCGCCACTCAACACCACCATCACCCTCAGCACCCTCAACTTCTCCTCCCCGCTGCGCAACCTGTTCATGACCTTGAGCCACCACGTCCCTCGACCAAGCGTAGCCGCAAGACAGATGTTGGCCCTCACCCCGGTCCTGACGATGCCTTCGATATCAAGCCTATCAAGAAGCAAGCTCGTCGCTCCGAACCAGCCCGTCGCAACACAAACAACAGTCGATCAGCTGCCGTTGAGCCTGCTCCCTTGACCCCCGAGAAGGAGCTTGCTTTCTGTCGTGATCTCATCACCCGCATGGTTTCCGGCCCTGGTTTCTGGACTAGACTCGTTGCTCACTTCAAGCATCCCGTCGACCCCGTCGCTTCCAACATGCCAAACTACTTCGCTGTTGTCAAGCGCCCAATGAGTTTGATGGTCATCAAGGGCAAGATGGATAGGAACGAGTATGCTACCTCTGCTGAATTCTTAGCGGACATTCATCAGATCTTCCAGAACTGCTACGAGTATTGGACCAACGAGGATCAAGTGTTCAAGGACTGTGAGAGGCTTCAGAAGTACTTCAACGAGCAATGGGATGATAGACATAAGTGGGTTTCTAAGATCAAGGCGGAGGTCATTGACTGAGTTTCCCCTCTGATATATCATGGACTGCCTTTGATGGTGTTGCTTTTCTTTGGCCCTCTGGTCTTCAGAATAATTTCACATGCATTGCAGATGGCGTATGGCGCATTGTGGCTTTGACTTTCCGGCCGTCTTGACCTTCATGGCATTGTCTTTGCATTGCATTTTCCATTCACTTCTTTGGCCTCCTTCATGGCTCGTGTTAATTTGTGGTGGTTTATGTACGATAAGGAAGGACAGAAATCATCAAAGCGAGGTTGAGGAGGGGGTTAGTGGATGACAGCAGATTCGACGAAGGGGAGAACGTGTAGTGACAAAAATAGTGACCCGCCTCCTCTCTAGTACTCAATTGATGAACAAAAATAAGCAAGATTTGGATGCTGTCGTGATTTTCGTGGTTATGAAATTTGATTTCTTTCTCTTGATACAGGTGCGGGGTAAAGTCACAGCATTTCCTGCATACCATAAGTATCAAAGCGTCACGGAATATGGTTAGTTCTATTTCATCTCTAAGATTGCGCCATGTCCTCTTACCTTAGCTTGTAGCAGGACACGAAGATATATTTAGTAATTAGCAATGTTCCCATACTTCCATCTTTCTTCATGTGATCTGATCCGAGCCAGTAATGACTCTTTTATAGGTATAATCTTCGCCTCTGACTTTTGAGCTACTCTTCTAGGTGTTGACGTCAATGATTGCCGCTTCAAAGACCTCGAAGTGTGCGATTGCAGTAGTTGAACAGCCCTGGGCTTCTGTTTTTCTGCTAGCTGAATCACTGTGAAGCCATTTGAGTCTTTCGCATTCGTTGCTGCGCCACGTATCAGGAATGCTTTGAGAAGAGCGAGAAGCCGTTCGTGAGGAAGTTGGTGCTTTGCGAGCATGATGTGCAACGCGAAACACTGCTATGTAGGGAGGTTGATTTTCTGATTCGGATTCGCACCCTGCTCGAGACAGAGAATAAGAATTTTGTCGTAGCCGTCACGCTCCCAGGAGTTAATGTAAACTCCAAATTGCATGTGTATAAGGATGTACTCCCAAGTTGTACGTCCGTTGAATACTTGGTCAAAGCGAGAGCCATGACGATGAAGAATTTTAGCTACAGGCTCAAATGTATCGTATGATAGTTCCACATAAGCACCAAAAAGATAGTGAAGAAGTGGTCGGCCTTTTCGCAGATGAAGATTACGGTGTACGTAGGCTTTTATGTATGGGATAAGTCCATAACTGACAGCTAGGCAGAGCATATTGGTGTTCCAGGCTTCGAATGGAGGATCGTTTGTGCATCTTTCAAAATTCCTATACTCTGTAGCAGTCAGCATTAACAGAAAAGGAAATACAGGACGGCAGTGCGTCGAGAATTCGGGCTGATAGTCACTCACCTAAGACGAATGTAGCATCGTAGAAATCCACTATCTCAGTCAGACTCGAAGCTTTTGTTCTGACCAGGTTCTCTAGTGCCAAGAGCCAAGTTACCGAGAGATCAAGTTTCTCGTCCACTTCACCGACAGATACAGCTTTTAGAAATAACTTGGGCACCGCAACCAAGACGCTATCTTCATTTCGCCATATTCGCGGCACCGCCTGATATCGCGTTACAAAATCAACTTTGAGTAAGTGAAAGCAAAAGGACACCCGCTGAAGATGAGAATGAATCAGAAGTTTTTGGTCAATACCAGACCATACTTTCTTGAATGACTCTTTGTTGAACAAATAATCTTTGACACTTTTGTGCACGTAGACCTCACCACAGCAGAAACGGTTGACTTGTTCCTCTTTGGACCAGGATGGATTGAAGTGTGGGAGCTTCACAAAACCAGAACAATTGTCACGCAACATACGCCTGGTACGATGACAAGCAACAATTTTCGCATCATCTGACCATCTATCGATATTCGAAGGTGCTGTCCTAACTTGTTCTGGTGGAAAGGATGCCAGCATTATTCCAAGAAGGTTGTGAGGAGCATTTTCACCATGACCCGCGGAAACCTGGAGTTGGAGATAGTTATAAGTATGATGTCTGCTCCGAGGCGGGATCTTCGCAATGATACTGGCATATAGTGACTCAAGCTCCGGAGGGAGCTCTTTAATTTTCTCGTAAAGTTCCTCCTCACGACCAGCGGCAATAAGTGTAAGAAGATCCTCCACGACGACACTAGCCCACATGAAGACACCCTCCGACTTGCCCACCACTTCAGGTACGATCTCTGCAATGATTCGATCTCTTCTTTCGTCCGGAGGCAGGTGGTCGGTTACGGTTCGGATGTTGGTGTGGAGGAAGTCTTCAATATCTTGCCAGGTATGCTCCTCGAGATGGAGATGTGGGACCTTAGAGAAAGCCAGCTCGATAAAGTTTGCAGGGCGTCCAGAGCAGAGAGCTCTGAAAATTAAACAGGAAGAAGTCGTAGCCGTGAGGTTTGTTAAGAATTGAAGCATTTGCTTGATACTCTTGTCTTCGCACTCGTCGAGCGCATCAATGACGAGAAGAAGTGTTGTTGTAAGAGCTGAGGCCACCGGGAATGGCCCACTTAAGCGAAACTCAACAAATGAGACCTTATTTACCAAAAATCATAATTTTTTAGTCTTCTTATGAATCTCTGTGAAAATGGAACTTATTATTAATTAATAGTAGCCATACCCTTGTACTTAATTACATCCTCAATCTTACAAGTCAATTGCTCAGTGTAGTGGCGAAAGTCACGTGGGTCAACTCGGTCCCATAGCTTTTGCAACTCCCTCTTCAAATCCACCTTATTTTTGGGCACATAGTCCAAGTTTTTCAATTCCTCCTTCATCCACCTCCAGACCTTCTCAATAGGGTTCAAATCTGGTGAAGAAGGAGGCCAATTAAACCCTCGGATATTGTGCTGTAGTCTAGGTAATCTGGCATACCCTTTATGCACCTTAGACCCGTCTTCCATGAAGATATACTCCGGCCCTAGATCATCAAAGAGAGGGAAGATTATAGGCTGAAGAACTTGCTGTAGATAGGCTTTAGAACATATGCCCTTGCGTTCTGGAAGCTTCTCTAGGAAGACTAATGGCGACTTGTAATCCCAACCTAATGCCCCCCATATCATGACCGTTGTCCTCCCTGACCTGTAGACTGACTTAATGCAGTCAGGGCACCTCCTCTCATCTACCCTCCTAGTCACATATATCCTGCCATTCTTCCCAGTCTCAAATATAGCCTCATCAGACCATACAACCTTCCTCCAGTCCCCTCCTTGCTTGCCATCATCTCTATGAGCTACATAGTCTGATGTCCCCCACCATCTATGCTCCTTGGCAAATACATATCTCTTCCTAGCTTGTTTGAGGGTAATATATGGTCGAGGGCATGCAATGCAGCGGCGGTAGCCAGCCCGGGCTAATTCTCGACGAATGGTGCGCACCGAGGGTAGGTAGGGTAGTTGCTTTTTGAGAGCCTCAAAAGTCATGCGCCTAGAGCTCCAGTTTTTGGAAATGGTTCGAATGCAATAACGTATGTCGCGTATAGACATGAGATGGTGTCTAGAGAGCTTTCTTTTGCGCTCTCTCCGACTAGATTCCTGCTTAAGAATGCGGCGTACTGTTCTTCGAGGGATATGGGTCTCTGAGACAATCTCGCGTTGCGACTTTCCCTGGCGCTATAGGGATCGAATGACTGCACGTGCAGGGGTAGGCCATTCATTATTCTCTTTCTCGATAGGATCACTTAGGATAAGAGGTGTCTCCATCTTGAATTATGGACTGATTCCTAAGAGGGTTGTTGTGTAGTAAGGGTTTTAAAATGGGGTGTAGAATTTTTACGCGTTACCGCGTCTCGCTTAAGTGGGCCATTCCCGGTGGCCTCAGCTCTTACTTGAGACTCTGAGTTGCAAGATATCTTTGAATGCTGACTGGAGTTCCGAATCGTTCCAAATAGAAGAGCGATTCGCCGAAACAGAAACGTGTTTATTTAGCCTCTGGAACCGACCAAGAACGGCAGGCACGAGCTCGGGAATTTGAACTAGAAGTTGCGACAATAGATTGTGAAGAAGGCCAGAGAATGTCTTCTCTGACTCTTGTCCAAGATCCCAAAAGAAGAAACTCATCAAAAAGGTTCGACTTGAGGTGTTCGATTGTAAGAGATTCATTGTACTCTCGCAGGACTCGATGTACTTGCATAATGTGGACTTTCCAGCTCCTGGTTTGCCACTTATGAGGTAGAGTCCATCCTCGCCTTCAAGCCACTCTACAAATCCAGGCCCACCATCTTCTCGGTTATTCCAGATCCAGTGAAATGTATCATCATGCCTCTGTTCGATCATAGCGTAGCGGGGGTTGTCACCATAGATATGCAGACTCTTGATCATCTCTATCAACGAATATTAGTTTATTGCTCACTGATTAGAATTTTCTCGTTACGCACCATCTGATACAACAGAAGTCACAATGGCAGTTTTGTTTCGTTCTGAACAGCAGAAGTCAGATAGATCAGACTATAGAAATAGATATACATGTGAACTGAGACATCATGTAGACCGTATCATTGGCTTAAAAGGGTCCAAATGACTCGCACCTGCTCTCAACACATCTTCACATAGACTTTTCATGTTCACAACAAGTTCCTCGTATTCTTCTTCATCTGTGTCGTCGCTTGGATCAAAGCGACAGATTCCAACATGGTCTGAAGTCCGCTTGATGACTGTTTCTCGGCTATCAGACAGACTTTGTCTGGCGTACTCGTAAGGCACAACCTGAAAGCCATTAGTCGAGGCTGATTGAATAGTGTAGGGACCGACAACTCACATTGTCATTTGTTCCGTAACATGAGATAAATCGATAGCTTTCAAGCTTACTTCTCCAATGGTCCTGCAGTATGTCCGAAAAGGTAGAATTTTCTTCTATGGCCCTCAAAACACCATCTGCCACGCTGGTGTTCAACGTCCGAATGATCTTGGCGCATGCTTCGCTGAACATAGTCTTGGATTGACTGGTCGATCCATAGTGTGGGGTGCCCATGAAAACCAAACCAAAGATCGAATTGCGCAAGTCCTCGTATTTAGTATCCATGTGAGCATTAACAATGGCTTGCTTGATAAGTATGCCACCGAGACTGTGTCCGATCAGGAGAAGAGGTCGACTTGGACACTGCAGTAAAGATAAACATTAGCATCAAAGAATGTCTCCGCTGGATTTAACTCACTTCTCTTCTCTTCACCCAGAGACTGCCAAGAAATGCTGTTGCTTCGGCAATGAAAGGGCTTCTGTCCGCATTGAATACTTGGCTTGAATCGTACTTATAGAGCATTATTCGAGAGGCGGGTATGGCTTTGGGAAGGGAGTCCCGAAGCCACAAGTGATCGTTTCTGATCCATGATTGCAGTGCGTCGTCAGATTTATCGCGTGGATTGAGACCATGGACAGCAATTATACTGGAGACTTGCGATTAGCATACCGTCTCTGAGCTTACTTGAATCACAGCAAACAAAACCACCAGACTTTGAATTGACTTACTCAATCTCGGGCTCTAGGCTTTGATCCGCGCCCTTGCCATCATAAAGAAGTTTAAGTGGCTATCAGTGTGAGCTATGCTTCGAAAACCACAAGGGGAGGCAAAGTCAAATTTTGAGGAAGATCATAGTCTCAATATTGATCAAGCTACTCACCATTCCGCTGTATAATGGATATAATTCGCAGTAAAGTAGAGGGAAGACAGGCTAAACGTTTTGTTTATTTAGAACCTCGAGCGGCAGGGTTTGGCGCCTGAAAGATCAGCGAGGCTGTATAGCAGATCCTTGAGGTCGTATAGGCGGCAACGCGGGTTTGCTGTCTCGTGTGAGTGGCCATGTCTGGTTGCGCGAAGCGCCGACCCGAGACCTGCATATCGTGAGGTAAGATCGGAATGAAGTGCGGAAGCTCAGAGCAAGACCTATAATGTAGCATGGCAATGTTTTTGAAGCTCCTCTTCAGATGTCACATACCATGACAGAGAGTACAGAAAAACCATGTGCGTCTAACTCATTCATTACTATAGCCTCCACAAGGTGGTTCTGCCAGACAGACAGATACTCTTTACCAAGTTTGATAGACGTGAAAAAGCTTCTAGAGCTTCACTACAAGTTTATATCCGTGTCATGTGTCAGCGAGAAGTCTGTCCCTTTTTCCAAGTTTTCCTGATCTGCTCGTATTTAACTCAAATAGAGTCGACCAGGGAAAAGACTCAAAGGCCAGGAAGCCTTGCAGTTCCAACTATTGTGTTGAACGTCTCCCTGATATCTCGATTATCTCGCCGAGCGTTCGATTACGGTGGGCGATCTCAAATTCCAGCAGCGAAAGACCAATATCGTCTGCTGTGCTCTATTTTGTGGCTGTATTATGTAGCTTCATTTCTGGTGCAAGACTTCTATGAAGCTATTGCGCTAGCGCCACGATACACCGAAGAACTTCGTCTTGCTCTTGGCAGGGCTGTTAGGGGACGCATCGGTATTCTCCAGGTAGACTCGTTGATGTCCTTTGACATCCAACGCTAGGTATTTGTAGACGAACTCGTCATCGGAAGGTTTTTTGATCATATGCAGATTCACAACTCCCTTATTCGAGGGCCCTTCAACCTGCCCGATGTCAGTAGGGGAAGCATTCATAGCAGTATTACGTGACGAACATTGAAATGCAAAATAAGATGATCAACGCCATATTGGTCCTTTCGTAGGCTAGAACTGGACAGTAGTCAATACTTGTACTTTTTCCTTTTGAGAACGACTCATACGCTAAAGGCCTTGCCCTCGCCCATTTATTCCATGTTGGCTCTCCATAAGCAATGATTTTCTTTCCATCACCGAGAAGGGCTGTACATCGTGAATCTTTCTTCACTTCGTCGACGGCTCTGTTGAAGACGCGGGTCTTGCTATCAGCAGAGAAGACTTCGGTATACAACACGAATGCTACACCTCCCTGATAATAGCTTTAGCACTTTTGTTGCTATTACATGGCTGGAAGACATACAGTCAAAATTGCACCCAGAAAAATGAAGCCAAAATTGAATGTTTGCTGGGTCGTCCTGGCAGCTTTCTCCCCTGCAGTCAGGTCCCCCCAAGCCACTCTGCCGTCGTCGTTAAAGGGGGTGACAGCTTTTCTTCTCGGACGATGTGTCGCTGATGAAGTTCCGAGGCCTGTTTGGGTGGCATAGAGTCGTAGTCCTGCTATCGAGCGAAGTGTGGCAGGGAACTTGAACAGCGATTGAGGTGGTCTGCATAGCGTACTCATTATCACTGCGCGTATCTGGAGGGAATCTGTGATGCTACTTGAAGCTTTCTTCATGAAGCTTGAGCTTCATGTGGGGAAACCATACTAAACGTTTTTAGGCTTGGCGTTCTTAAAACGCCGCTAGTTTACATCCCAATCGCAATCTGGCCCGCTTCGTGGACATAAATTCCATCTGAACACCAAGACAAAGGAGGACCCAACCACAACTATTCACTTGCGAGCGCTCTTGGTTACCGCGCACAATACTTCAAGCGACATCTGAAGATATAGCAGCAGCCATGGCAGAAGGTATGGCCTCAAAAGCGCAGTCGAAGGACCTCTTCGACAAGCTAAAGCGAGAGCCCGCAAACAAGGTCAGCATTCATGTTTATTGCATTCCAGTGAAGAATCTACTAAGCTTTATTTAGATATGCTTCGATTGCCAAGTTCAAAATCCGACATGGACCTCTGTGCCATTTGGAATATATCTGTGCCTTGATTGCTCTGCTCATCACCGCAACTTGGGAGTGCACATTTCATTTGTGCGATCTACAAACCTCGACCGTATGTGCTTGTCACTGTTCTGGTGTCAAACCTGCTAATACATGGTAGAATGGACTTGGGATCAATTGCGGATGATGCGAGTCGGTGGCAACGAATTGGCTAGTAATTCCATCCCCAAGACAAAGGACATCAAAACCAAATACACATCAAAGCAAGCGACGGACTACAAGACCAAATTGAAGGAGTTGGCTGAGGAATACATGGCAAAGTAGGACCATCCCTTGGCAACCAGCGATGATACTAACAACACTAGGCAAGGAACAAACATAGTGACCACGGATGGCCTCAAAAAGGATGCACCCACCCAAGGCACGTCAACACCCAAAGGCGATCCTAGCAAGGCCTTCTTCGACTCCTGGGCTGAGCCAACGATAAAGCGACCAACGCCCCCCATATCCCGCACGGCTACACCTCCTGTCGTGGGCCGTACCCCTTCTCCATTTCTCAATGCTGGCGCTTCGAATGGCAATGGCAATGGAATCGCACGAACTGCCTCGCCTCTTGCGAACGCAGCACCCGTGGCTAGCCGTACCACTTCGTCAGCGGCATTGCGCAAGACTACAACTGGTGCTCCACGGAAGGCAAATGTTCTGGGGGCTAAGAAGACAAAGCTGGGTGCAAAGAAGGTCACCGGAGATGTCATCGATTTCGATGCGGCGGAAAAGAAGGCAAAGGAAGAAGCAGAGAGAATCGCGAAATTGGGTTATGATCCAGATGCTGAGGTAGATTCGACTCCAAAAGCAGCCGCTACCAAGACGGCCGATCTTCCAAAGATCGCATCACCAAGTCCAGTCAGCCCTGGCAGATCAGGCTATGGCTCGAAAACCCACGAGCGTACGAATAGCGAGCTGGAGCGACTCGGTATGGGAATGGGACGACTTGGATTTGGACAAGTTGGAGGAAGCAAGCCAGCTGCTGCTGCGCCCAAGAAGATGGGTGGATTCGGATCTGTTGGTCCTATCAAAGCCACGCAAGAAGGCAAGTTGATCTCCAATCTGCGGGTATCTATACTAACGAGATGTGTAGACGATGATGAGAAGTATGCCCGTCAAAAGTTCGGTGCTCAGAAGGGCATCTCGTCTGATGAATTCTTCGGCAAGGGAGCCTTCGACCCAAATGCACAATCAGAAGCAAAGTCACGGCTGCAAGGCTTCGAAGGTGCTACATCCATCTCTTCGAATGCATACTTTGGTCGGGCCGAGGATGACGCCCCAGCGGAAGACTATGGCGATTTGGAGAGCGCTGCTAAGGACTTCGTTCGCAAATTTGGAGTCACTGCAGGTGATGACTTGGAGAACCTTACTCAGGTCTTAGGGGAGGGAGCTAGTAAGTTGCAGGGAGCTATCAGGAGTTACTTGAACAGCTAGACGAGATGACCTTGGCCAATGTTAAGAGCATGTATTCATGCGAAGCAAGTCAAGCGGGGCGTATGGGAACTAGAGAAAGATTGTTGGCAATGTAGCCATGGATGGGGTGCATATACAATGGCAGCACAGGAGAGTCATGTCGTATGAGGCAGACTGGGCCATATCTGTTTTCTGGTGTTTGAGTTGCGGCATAGATTGCGGTGCTATCGATTTTGGCAATTTAATTCAGAACACCTCCGATCTCCATGTCCGTGAGGAGCCACTATTGATCTCAATGTTCAAGCATACGCCTACGTACGTTTCAAGCGCCCTAAGACTTCAATCTAAAGGCGCGTATCGTAATGAGAAAAGTTACTCGAGACGCTCATGTTTCTATCAGCGGCTGCGGCTGTTTCTAACTTCCAGTCTCACAGTTTGAGAATGCATCAAGATCTTGAAGCCATTCAGAGCATTCAAAATCCGGCAACACCAAACAAGTTTTATGGTCAACTGCGGGCCCTGATTCTAGTGGCTGTCAGTTCACCGTGGGGTGGAGTGGACCCTGGAACTGGCGCTTGGCGACGCCTTTGACGCCCTATCCTGACCTCGCTTGCCAGCCTGTTTTCTTTGATCGTCCACATCTTACCAACCTTCAGCCAAACATGACGTATCCAGACCCCTGGAAGAAGATATCGATTTTCCATGAACCTAGTCTTTGTAGAGAGATTGGATGAATATGGGAGGAGATGAGTCAATCAGTATCGATGTTTTGGGTAGGTGTCAGGGGAAGCAAGGTCGTAACCTGGTTTCCATCCTGGAGGTGTAGTTTGTATCTAGTAGGTGTTCTTGTGGGCGAGGGTGGAGTGATGTCGTAGTGAGACATCATGGCAGGTTGGTTCTTTGTTGAGTCTTTATTTCACTGGTTTCTCTGACTGTTTTTTCTTCATTGTGACTCTCAAGGTTCAAAGCTATATTACTTCTTACCATAGTCTGGAAGAGATTCATTTCACCGATACAGATCTGCCTACGACGAAGTATCAAGATGCGTCTCTCAGCTCTCTTCCCTATGGCTTGTGCCATTGTCGCATTCGTACTTTCGATGCTCTGCCTGTTTGCTGGACATAAGCCTGGATTCATGGAGGAGTATCATATTGTTACAGTACGTTTCCATACCCCTCGCTGCTCCGGACAATAACTAATATGCCTTCTTCTAGCTTAATACATCAACTCTCGGCCATAACCTCATTCCCACAACGACCACCTCTTCAGGCTCAACTCCAACCGCTACATCGATCGGTTCATTCTTTAGCAGCATCGCACACAATATCTCAAGCACCATTGAGGGAGACTTGGACGGTATTATTGGCGATGTGGCAGACAAGCTGGCGAAGGAGTTGGGCATCAAGCAATGGTACAGCTTGCATTTGATGGATATGTGTGAAGGCACATATGCTCCCAACGCGACTGAGAAGGGTGCCAGTCTAAATGTCAGCACATGCTCAAACCAAACTGCTATGTGTAAGCCCCTCTACCTTGAGCACCCTAGATGCGATTGCTGACTGAACTCCAGACCATTTCGATATCAGCAAGCAACTGAACCAAGAACTCGAAGTCGGTCCTTTAAAGATCAACCTCTCAGATATCGACTGGCCAAGCGATATTCAAAGTGGTCTGAATGACCTCAACGTCGCACTTGACGCAACATTCGTTCTTTATGCCATCGGCATCGCAGCAGCAGGTTGCGCTATACTGGCATCTCTCGTTGCTGTCTTCCTACACGGCTCCCGGTTGATCTCATTTGGGAACTGGGGTCTTGCATCACTCAGTTTCTTCGCGTTACTCATTGCCTCGATTATTGTCACCGTTGTTCAGTCTAAGGCCACACATATTATCAACAAATATGGAAATGAAATTGGAGTCTATGCCTACAAAGGCGGCAAATACCTGACCCTCACTTGGGTAGCTGTTGCTCTCATGTTTCTGGCTACCATGGCTTGGGTGGTAGAGTTCTGTGTAGGACGGAGGAACAAGACGAGAGAATACACCGAAAAGCCTCAGCGCACCCGATGGGGGAAACCAAGAGCGAGTGACGAGGCAGCCTTTCGGAGAGCAGGTGTGTAAGATTCCTCTCTCGAATCAATAAGACCCTTCCTGTGAATGAACTCTGGAGGACAACGAATATCAAGACGAACACGATCTTTACGGCATTGGAGTAGGCGATAGGAAAGACTTTGGCGAATTTTGGCGTGGATTTTTCTTTCTTGCATATTTGAGCGAATGCTGAGTTCGCGAGATTGATACCCTACATAATTTCCTTTGGGATGTACAACTGAATCTAGAATAATTACCCAATGTGTCCACTTCTGAATAAATCTGTGTCTTGATTGCCAAAATATAGAGCCATAATTCTCAATGCTCTGATTGGCCAAAATGGAAGATGCACCAACGATTCCGTGCATCAAGCCAAGGAACAAGCTTAAATTTGGGTGCATCCTTGCTCAGCTGAATAGAGTTCTGAAACCCTCAACAGCATCTAGACTGCCGATTGTCTCTAACAAGCTTTCGAACATGTGCAATTGAGTTTGGAAGTGAGCACTCCGCACTTTTCACGCCAGAAAAAAGTTGTATTGTTACAAATTTCCAGTCGTGGTTGGTGAGAGTTCTCTAGCGGCTTGTTCATCCAAGACAAACCAAGCTCCAAGACATCTGACGATCATGAAATGCACGACCAAGAGCCTCGTCGTCTGCCGCGAAAAGGAAAGAACAAGGCTAGCGTCATAAGTACTCTTGGCTGCAGATTCTCCTCTCTCTCTTTCTTATCCGTTTGCAATATCTCTCTTGTCAACAAATATTCGATTTGCTACGCAGCAGTGATACTTACAGCATATTGTAGGGAAAGAAGCGAACAGGAAGCATGGCATACAATCAGCCTCAGCATGGAGGCGCTGCAGACGCGTACTATGCAGAAGGTCAACAACAGCAGCAACCTCCCTATCTTCCTCCTCAACAGCAACAATACGCGCCTCCTCAAGGTCCTCCACAACAATACACCCAGGCACCTCCTCAATATGGCCCAAAGCCAACACAGGGCGATGGCAACGAGAAGATGGCATTCGAGCAAACTTTCAAACTGGAGCGTCCGAAATACAATGATATCTGGGCTGCAATATTGTTTCTCTTGACGTTGGGAGGTTTCGTTGCCGTTTCTGGGCTGGCAATTCATGGGTATGCTGCGAAAGGAAGTGGGGGGATTTATGATGGCAACAGCTCTGTTTCTTTGAACAGTAATACGCTTATCTTGGTGTGAGTGTAGAAGTGTCAAGGGATAGGGGAATGCTGATGGAGATAGTGCTTTCGTCTTGGTCGTCGCTTTCGTTGTGTCCTTGGCATACTTCTGGATTATTCGTGCTTTTACAAAGCAGTAAGAACCGCTCCAGTGCCCTCCATATGGCAATGACTGACATAAGTACAGAATCATTTGGATTACCGGAATTCTGCAAATCGTCTTCGGTATCGGCACTGCTATTGTATACTTTGTCCGAGGCTATTACGTCCCCGCTATTGTCTTCCTGGTCTTCTCGGTATTCTACATTATATGCTTCATATCCTGGATTCCTCGGATCCCTTTCTCGGTCTTGATGCTGCAGACAGTGATCGATGTCTCCAAGAACTATGGACATGTCTTTGTTGTCTCCATACTTGGTGGTCTCGTGGCTACTGCCTTTGGAGCTTATTTTTCAGTCACGTTTGTGGCTATCTACTTCAAGTACTATCCAGGTTCTCCAGGTTGTGACGCCAGTGGTGGAGGTTGCAGCAAGGGAAGGGTCATTGGATTACTTGCTTTCATCACCTTTGCAGGCTACTGGATCACGGAAGTCATCAAAAATGTCATTCATGTCAGCATTTCAGGAGTCTATGGCTCATGGTACTTCTGTGCGAACAAACCTGGCGGCTTCCCCAAAGGTGCAACACGTGGTGCCTTCAAGCGATCGATAACCTACAGCTTCGGCAGTATCAGCTTTGGTAGTTTGATTGTAGCATTGATTCAATGTCTTCGCCAAGCATGCTCTATCGCCCAGAAAAACGAGGCAGCTCAAGGAAATGCCTTGGGTGCGATTTTCTTCTGCATTCTGCAATGCTTCATCGGTCTTCTGGATTGGGCTATTCAGTTTATCAATGAGTATGCGTTCTCATACATTGCACTTTATGGGAAGGCATACATTCCAGCTGCTAAGGTAATTGCTCCCTTTTGCTTCCATCAATCTTGGCTAACGTTCCAGACTACATGGACCATGATGAAAGATCGCGGAATCGACGCCCTCGTAAACGAATGCCTCATCAACCCAGTGCTCACCATGGGAGCCGTCTTCGTTGCATATCTCTGTTCCTTCCTCGCCTACCTATACCTGACCTTCACCAATCCAGCGTACAACGATGGCAACGCCTTCACCGCTGTTATCATGGCATTTGCGTTCTTGATCGGTCTCCAGATTGCGAATATATTCTTGGTGCCGATCAAGAGTGGTGTGGCGACTTTCTTCGTTGCGATGGCTTTCGATCCTCAGGTTTTGATTAATGAGTTTCCGGATTTGTGGATTAGGTTGGTTAATGTTTATCCTCATGTACAGCAAGCTGTGCATGTTTGAGGCGGGAAGGTGTGTGTTGGTGGATGAGGAGAGGGTTATAGGTGAGAGTAATGTTCATACAATAACGAGAAGCGAAAGGGGGTGGGATACAAAAACGGAGATACCCGGACGGCGTTATGGATTGACCTGACTTCTAGGTCACGAACGAGGGAATTATTGAAGGGTGCTATGAGTGTATGCTCTACTTTTGTGTGGTTATAATGAATGCTTATGAATACAGCCCTCTGCTCTCCTCTTGGTTTGATGCGAGTAGACATACTGCATGTTTCGCAAGTGTTGAAAATTGTTGTATGGTTGATGGCGGTATTGAATAATCGAACTGCTTCCTGCTTTGATTTGCTTCTGCTATCGCGTCCTGGCTAAGGCTCTAGAATTTGTCCTCAATTTCCAATTCACTTATTAATGGAAGGGCAAGGTCAACTTCTAAATCAATTCACCCAAGCCCTGTCTCTTCTGAACTTCCAAGTCCTCTAGTCCAGGGGCCTATAAATATCCCCTCCTCTACCCTTATGGAGTGCAACAACTTCAAGCCATTGGGGACACTGATCCAAACCCCTGAGGAACTTCTGACTGCTCTGTGGTCGTTTATGTTTGTTGAGTGTTGAATTTTGATTTAGAGGAGGGTTCGGTTCAAGGGGAATTGGACGAGGAGGTAGTTGATAGCAAAGTTGAGTTGACAACGAAATCGCATGATGTCTTCAGATGAAATCCATACACCATACGCTTCTACTTCCTTCATGTTTTCAAAGTTTATGTTGTCAATTTCTGCTTGTACTACTGTCAAGTGCCAAGGTTATGGTACTATTAGCGAAAAGATGTGGTGGAGATTTTCCACTTGTGCATCTATTGATAAGATTCCGAGTAGACTTCACGGCACGTACTTCGTGGCCCGGGCCTTGGTCCTCCTTACATTTCGGTTGTTGCGCATCTGAAACAAAAAATGTACATACCGAAAAGAAAGTTAGGTCGTTGATGGATTCTTAGATCGGACCCAGATGATGAATGCAACCATAGGGATAGCGATGAGGAGCAAGACGTATGTTCTAGTCGAGCAACGCAGGTTGAGGCGAGGGATGGTATGGTTGAAGAAGAAGAAGAAGGAGGGAAAAGAAAGAGAGGCTGGCGATTTTATACTGTTTTCCTGCGAGGGAGAGGTGGTGTACGTGGTGGGCAGCGATTGAGGAAGGTTCGTCAAATTCACTTATTCCTGCCTCGTTCCTTTCTTGAGTCAAAGCTTGGGAATTGGAATTGGACTCAGCATGTGATTCTGATATTTATCTATATAAGCCAGTCTCCCCCTGCACTTTCTTTCTTAACTTCTCAAGGAGCATTGCGCTAGCAAATACCTGCCACAGAGCAAGGATACAGAGTATTGAAGTTGAGGAAGGTGTTATGAATCTTGACCGACCCCTCCTTTGATTTGTGTACACACCTAGCTGGGGTACCTCGAAAGTTTGGTAGCCGTCAGTTCTAGACATTATCGAATCCATCATCCACTCTTGCTGTCAAGTTTATCCCTGTTGCCAACTTATTGTCAATCCCCTCCCCTGCCTATCATTCTTGACAAACTTCTTTCTCTCTATAGTACTTGAACCCCAAAGGACACAAACGTAGGCCTCGAAACGGCCAGAACCGGCCCGGAACTAGCGCCCAAGCTTGTACGGGGCTTCTTCGAAGGCAGGAGGTGTGTGGAAAGCAAGAAAGATAGAAAGGCGACTAACGGCTTTAAGTAGTCGAACCGAGCTGACGGGGTTATGTAAAAGTGGTCGAATGATAAGTGAATAAGTGGTTGTGTGGTAGTGGTGTGAAAGTGAATTCATTACAAGTGAATGCGGTCCGGGGTGTATGCTATAGAAAATCTCAGTCCTCGAGACCGTCTTTAGCTATCCAATAAAGTAGGAAACCTAGAACCATCATCTGAACTCCGTTGATATTGTTGTTGTCAAAACCTACAAATTATATCATTAATTTGTCAACATCCTACCCACCGTCAATATATCACCCCTAAGTAAGTCCGGGCCCCTCAAACCCACTTTAAAACCCAACTCGTATCGATTACCACTCCCAAACCGGACCGAGACGGCCCGACCCCGGGACCGGCTCCAAGCTCATATCATAAAATGTCATTAGTGTTGTTAGGTTACTGGGAAGAAGAGAAGGCGTCTAACGGCTTTAAGTAGTCGAAGCGATATCGATACGGCCATGTAAAAGCGGTCGAATAATGGGTGAATGGGTTTGAGTGGTGGTTGTGGAAGTAAATCAGTAAGAAGTGAATGTTTGTTGGATTCACTTGTCCTTGCTTTTGATTCGAATGAGTCAGTCGCTGGATAGGATTTTAGCTGGTGTGCTTGTGGTGTTTTTCTATATAAAGTCCTATTCTCGGATAATATTGAAAGCTTTTCTTTTCTTATATTTCTGTTGGAAAGTGCATTTTATGCGACCAAGGAATGCGATGACCATATTCTTGAACGATAGCGAAGAGACAAGGCTCTTAGATGTATCATTAGTTGACAACAAGCCATCCAATGCGTAGAAAATTATCGAATCGTCACCTGAACTTGATTTTTGTTGTCAACCCCTCGAGTATTATTGTCAACTCCCCGCCTTCATTGCCAACCATTTTCCCTACTCAACGCCCAAACCACCCATAAAACACCTCAAATCTCGAACGAACCTTCCAAGCATACGTACCGGCGAGTGTTTGTCGGCGGACACCACCAGGAACTCGTCTCCATGTACTCTGGATGGTAGCTGTGTACGATCTGTGGAGAAAGAAAACAAAAAGAAAAAAGAGCGGCTAACGGCTTTAAGTAGTCGAAGCGAGCTGGAGGGAGTGCTGCGGGAGTCGCCGATTGACAGGTGAATTGGTCGAGTGGGAGTGAATAGGTAACGAGTGAATGATTGTGTGTGTGTGTGCGTGTGTAAAGAGTGCTTTGGGAAGGAGTGAATATATTGTGGAGTGAATCTGATCGATAAGTGGATGTGTTAAGTCTGGAATGTATGATTGGGAATTTGCTTTTTAGATTGTGTGGAGTAATAAAAAGTATTAAAATAGTTTAGATTTCGGGAAGTGAAATAGAGAATTTGCTCGGTAAGTTGTTGATAGGGAAGAGGAACATTAGGGTCGTTTTAATGTTGGAAATCGAAGTGGAAATTCTGTGCTGTATAATGTTTGTATAGAGGAAAACAATGAGACTTTGTACTTTGACTTTTCTTTAAATTAGAGAATTCGAATACTGTAGTGTTTGTAGCAAGGAAGAACAATGAAAGTGTTTTAATGTTGAAACTTGAATTAGATATTCGTTATAGTGAAGTGTTTGTGGTAGCGAGGAACAATACGACTATAATCTTCGAATCTTTTAACAATCTTCTTCTGAATGTTTGAGTCGGAATTCGGAGTTAATTTTCTCAAATTGTCTATCCGGAGAATATGTCTATGACTATGAAAACATTCCCAACCGAATGACAGGCAATATGAGAGCCTTGCTCACTCCTCACTTGTAGGAAACTAGGGAAAATAAAACATGAAACAGTTCTTGAAATGCTTTTATTCAATTCTGGATAATACCAGATCCTGTATGGTGTATATGTAGCCTCGACCTGTTCTTGTCCCAAGATATATACCACCAACGCCAAGACGGACCTGAACGCCTGGTGCATCGACGCATATTCCCATGTAGTGACCGAGCCCAGTATACCTGCCAAACCATGCTATCCTGTGCCGCACTCAACGAGCCGCAACCCAATCCAATCCTATGCTTCTTGTTCGTCGCCATACCCGTCGATCATATCTCGTAACTCGTAAATACCCACTGTCATAGACTCAACCGATCTAAACTCAACCTATCCCTACTCGTTTGTCGTCTCACTACACCCAGCTTGAAATATCTTTCTTCACCGGTTGCTGTCCGTCCACCGATGTACCATTTTTCGGCCCCCAGAACATCTCTGAAACCCTCCGAACTGGAATCGCTTTCCCTCCTTCCCCTTGAATTTGTCATATATCGTCCTCCGTTATCACTTGGTGACATAGGTCCATTACTGGGTCCTGTACCTGGAGATCTACTTAACGGAGAGGTGGAGTGTGTTCGAGGGGAGTGTAAAGATGTGAGAGCGGTCGTTGTTGCACCTGCAGAAGGTTTCGTCGAGGTCGTTATCGTTCGTGGTTGTGAAGGAGATGAGGAGTGTGAGTGTGAAGTTTGTGATGATGAAGGGGCGGAGGTAGCTTTGCCTTGCTGGATGGCAGAGTGGGCTCGAAATGCGGCGAGGAAGTTGGCAAAGAAGGGGCGTTGTGTCGACATCTTTGAAGACCGGTAGATGTGAGTACTCCAAAAGAGAACTATCACGGAGTTGGAAGGTTCGCAGGTAGATATAAGGGGCCTACGGACGGTTCGGTGAGGTGTGGATCCTTAACTCGGGACGGTACGTGGATCTGTTTGGGCCGTGTTGCAAGCCTCGATACCTGGAAGGGTATGCTTGCTTCTTCCTCCCTATTCGACCTCCTCTCTACGTGACACACACGATCGTGGCCCTTCCCCAACAATCTGCAGCGTTCGTTGGATGCCTCGTCGCTGGTATGTTCGGGGAATATTAAGCGTCGTGCAGGATCTTGAGGATCTCGATTCGTCAATTCTACTGTGCTTTCCGGTAAAGAGTCTGCGTGGTGCAATATGTACAGTCAAAGCAGAAGAAAGATGCGGAGATCGTGGAGAGCGGTCTGAAGGAGGGGTTATGTGTTGACGCGGGAAACTAAGTGGGATGACGGAAGTTGAATTTTGAGATGAAGGTTACGGCGAGGCGGTTCTCGGGATGAGTGAAAAGCTCGGTTATCCGCTAGAACGGAGGAAAGATAATGCGGGTGCAGCATCAGGCGAATCAGACAAAAGCTGATACTAAAACTTGCAGATGCGGGGAGACGAATAATCGAGAGGCAGATGAGGTGCAGAGGCAGGAATAATGGATTACAGTAATCGGAAATGTCGAGATCAGCTCATCCTTTGTTTGTTTCGTGGCCTGATAGTGGCTTTGCAAGATATCTTTGCTTTGCTTGTCCTGTTATTCCCGCAGATCTCGGCCTGAGCTCGAATAAGAAAGCACCGATTCAGCCCGATTTCCATGTGACCAATGATGAGCATGTCATCTGCAAGGCATGAGTGCTTTTCACATGGGGGAAGATCAGGAGTTACCTAATCAGATGAGGCTCTGTTCAGGTGCTTAAGTACGTCACGTGATATATCCATTGAGAGCAATAAAATAGAAATGCCCCTAGAGCCAGTTTGCTTAGGCATGAAATTGTAGATGTGAAGAAGGTAGGAATACCAGTAGCGCGGAAAAGAGGTTGATGTAATTTTGCGGCTTCTCTGGCTTCCTTCTTTACGCCTTGCAACCCTAAGAAGTTGACCCGCTTGGTAGGTAACAAAGCACTATCACAAGTATCAGGAGTCTTCGCACAAAGGCATCAAACTACAAATTATCTTCCTTTTCTTTCCAATCTCTAAATTCTGGTCAACAAAGATCTCCGTTGGAATTGTCCGCACGTGATACCTGAGCTCCATTCCGGCTAGCTCCGACGAAGTTCGAGGTCTGCAAAAGCCCAGTTCATCAGCACAACAACCTCAATTGAATCTCCACCCACGCCATCGGCCTGAATAGTTCAAGATGAGTAGCGATGTATGCATATTCTCCAGCTACTGCACTGAAAGATCAATTGGCTAACCCACTCTGCGAACAGTTCCATGGATCGACTGGCATTACGCCGCCCAAGGGCCCAGCTTCTTATAGTACCTACAAGAGTCCTTATGGTCCTAAGTACGTCTACACCATTGAAGGAGAGATATTATAAGGGCGGATTGCCAATGCTTATACTGGGATGAGGGAAGGATGAAGGCTGATGGTGGCAGATACACTGTGAACGCGAACGTGGCTGGATGGACCTTTAAGAGCGCTTCGAGACTGTATGTCCTCCTCCGATGCTTCCCAGACTCGATATTCGAGTTCTATATACATCAAACTGGTTAAGTGTAGACGTTCTGGAGAATTAGAGGCTAACTGAAAGCAGTGGCATGACACTCGGTGCTTTCGGAGGTGTTGCCGGATTCTTTGCTCTCTACTTCTTCTCGGATGTACCAAAAGTACGAAAGGATATCTGGCAGGTATGTTACAACTGGGAGAGATGAGAAATGGTTGGAATATGTGCTGATTCGCAAACAGAAAGTACCCCTTATTGGACAGCACTTCGTGAAGGAAGTTCCTCCATCTGACAACGTACGTTTTGTTTCCATTAAGTCAAATCTTTTGAGGTGATAGCTGGTGGAGGAAATCATCATGGGTGGAAGTAATGCTTTGCAATTGTTCAAAAGCTAGAAAGTATTTGAGAGCATGGGAGCAAGTGTTGTCATACCTCGGAGCTACTGGCTATGCTCAAACATCAGCTGCCTTTCATTTACATGCAACGAATATTTAGCAACGTTATGTCAACACCTCAAAAATACTGACAGGTCATTTATAGCCATTCTAGACCACGACCGACCGAGGATAGTAGAGGAAGTGAGGGACAATTCTTGGCGGACACTAAAAGCCAAATATACTGTACAAAAGAAGACAGCGATCAATAGACCATTCATCCAACCTGCAATGTAGATTCCGAAATCACAGATCGTGACATTGTGCATGCTTAAATCGTCCAATCAATCAATCTTCTGCCAAGCTATTCTCGAAGTTTCCAAATTTGGTAATCGACAAGGCTGACAGCGAGGTTCCCTTTGTCACGGCACTTTCATCCAACAAACGATGAATTTGAGTCACACTAGGTCTGCAGCAGGCAAACATTACAATAAGTGGCATCTCTTAAGGCCTCTCCCTCATAGACTGATCTTACATATTCTTAAATATTTTTAACGCAGCCATATTGCCGATACGCCAAATCTGCCTATCGCCAGACAGCAAGGCTGAACATCACGTCTGATTTGCCCCACCTGTTCAGCCCACGACAACGAAGACCTTACCAACCAACGCACTCACTATACTATTTACAAGACCCATCATCTGCATGCTGTATTGCACCACGTTTCCCACTTCTGCGATAAGGTCTGTTCTGGCCACGAAAAGATAGGTAGGATACCGAACAAGGGCACGCACGCGATACGATAAGAGGCTGGTCATCTGCTGCCCCTCTGTCTGCCACAAATTCACAGCCGCAGCCGCATCACATTCGGTCACATTCTACTTGGGAGAGATAAGGCTTGGTCCGGTTGTGGGGACAAGCAAAATATATGCAAAGATGGTAAACGCAGAACTACCGCACGACCCTGCGAGGGCACTGGAGTTCAAGGAGAGAGGGAACAAGTCCTACCAAGCAGGAGACTATCTTGGTGCTGAGGCACTGTATACACAGGCGTGAGTATGTCTCTTCTTGTCTGTGCGGTTGGATGCGAACCAGGAGGACTGGTGGGCTGCCTACTGGTTGCCTAGCCTTGTGACTCTTGTCGTCAGCTCACTTTCAAAGTACCTTTGAGTCACTGTCATCTTGTACTTGCTTTCTTCCGTTCTTTTGCATGTGCTTCTCAGATTTGCAGAGTGGTACTGTGCAAGATACCTTTATGTTGTACTTCTTATTGTTGTTAAGCAACAAGGCTGACAATTCTCCTTGATCAGAATAAGCTACGACCCCACCAACCATCTTCTATACACCAACCGAGCCATGGCCCTCCTCAAACTTTCTCACTACGAATCTGTTATTGCCGACTCGTTGCATGCTCTCTCCCTCCATCCTCATAATATGAAAGCACATTTCCAACTCGCACAAGCTCAAATAGCTCTACATCAAGAGAAAGACGCTCTGGAATCGGCAAAGAAAGCATACGAACTTTGCATGGAAGAGGTAACGAATGGTGGGAAGGGGGCCACCTCTCTTGGACCCATCACAGAATTAGTCCATCAGTGTAGGAAAGAAGATTGGGAAGGCAGGGAACGACAGAGGATTAGAACTGAGGACAGCCTACTGGGTGAGCTAGTACGAGACCTTGAACAAAAGAGGGATGTAGAGCTGGAAAGGCTAGGTAGAGCCGGAGCAGGAGAAGTACAGATCAGTGAAGCTCACCAAGAGTTTGAAGCCAAGATTGAAAGTCTTAGAGGAGTTTTTGAGAAGGCTGGAATGGCTAAGAGGAGAAGAGTTCCTGATTGGGCCATTGATGATATTTCGTTTGCCGTCATGATGGATCCTGTGGTGGTAAGTCCCCACCATCTCTCTACTTCACATCATTCGTTCATTCGCTGATATATGCAACAGACCAAGACCGGGCAATCCTATGACCGCTCCTCCATCATGGAACACCTAAAACGATCACCCACGGACCCACTAACCAGAGAGCCTCTCCATCACACAGATCTCAGACCGAATCTAGCACTAAGAGTAGCCTGTGAAGAGTTCCTAGACGAGAACGGGTGGGCTGTTGATTGGTGAAAAGGGGAAAGTCACGATATTTAATGAGATGATGCATTGTCGGCGTTTGGGATTTTTCAGCAGGGGAATTGAGCTTGGGAGCGAGATTATGCATCTGGCATAGCGTGTTGATTCGTATAGCGTCTTGTTTATGGTATTGGGTTAGGATGGAATTCCCCAGGTAGAGAGAAGAGAGACGAATTGATTGAACCTCACTCATTGAAATTTCGGCTCTCTCACTCCTCTGCCTGTGGTAACCATATCTATTGTCTTGCTTTTGTATCTGTCTCGAGTGAAAGCCGCGTATCTTTTTGCTGGGGTGGGGAAATTGTAGGAATGCCATTGGTACTTCATGGTCTCACTGTTCACTAGCTCATAGAACTTGAGCCTCGTTGGCTCTAGATCGAGTCGTCTCCCACTCTGCTTTGCTTTTGCCTAGTCTTTCTTTTGAAGTTAAAACTCCAGCAATGCTGTTGTTCAGTCCGGTCTTGAAAGGTACCTCTTCTTGCACACAAATCACTCAAGCCTCAAAAGCACTGCTTTAAGCATTTCTCAAATTGCTGCACCTCGGCCATATCTTCAAATTCATTTCTGGCTCTATTTTCTTCAGAATGGGTCAGGGTCTCAAGGCTGAACAAGAGCCCTGACATAGGCTAGTGGTACTTCAATTGGTAGGAAATATAACATGTGCCTTAGTGTCAGAATCCTTGCTTTTTCTGAGCTTGCGTATAATTATTTGTCTCAAGAAACTCAAATTTTTGATCTGCTGTGCTGGTCGTCTAAGTGCTCCCACACATTATCAGTTGTCATTTCTAGCGAATAGGGAATCACTGACTCAGAAGCTCTATAAGAATTGCTCTATCTTTTTTGCCAAGTTACATTGGCGTTTAGGTGTTTGCTTTGAAGTGCCACAATGCCCCCACATGGCTTTACAATGAAACTTTTGATTTTTGTCTTAGGGATAAAAACAGTTGCTACGATCACATGTTCGTAGAAGGTAACTTAAATCAAGATGGGAAGAGTGTTTGTGGGTGATTGGTTTAGTGTTTTGTTATTGAAGGCGTGTGGTTGGGTTGTTGTTTGAGTTTAAGATGACTTGATTTTGAATAGTGTTCCTCTGAGTGTCTAACTAAGTAGAAGCAATAGTAAAAGGTAATCTTATGGGTTGCTGGGCTAGACGGTAAGGAAAGACTCGTTGCATCATTGAGGACGCATTCACCAGCAGATTGCTGGAGGTAGGATCAGACACTGATCAAGTGTCAACAAGGAAAACTTTACATGCAAGTTATACTTTCTCAACTATTGGTAAGAACTTCTTTGAAGCATACTTACAGAGTTTGAAATATCCTCTCTCACTAAGCTAGTCATTGCATTGCGAAAGTATTGCAAACAATGTGATATTTTTAAGTGTTGACAGTGCTTTTGGTGTTCTGTTTACATCGATCTAGAGGAGACATAAGCTTTTTGTATGATTAAAGCTGAGGTTCACTAGACCTATTATTACATTGGAAATAAGAGTGAACGACTAGCGGCTACTCGTGCTGTAGTGAATTTGTTCCTTCTTTCGGTTGTAGATCGATACTATTTAGACGCGTCTCCACTCCCGCTTCCAAACCTTCTCGACACAACGCGACAAGCATAACTTCAACGATCCTCAACCTTCACAAACCTTCAATTGTCTCGAACAAAGGAGATTTCCTTAAGGATCACTACTCTGAAATACTCTCTTTAAACATACCGAAATCATGAATCCACTCAACTTTCTTGCTTGCCTTGCGGCCTTCCTCACCTTCACGGTCCTCTCCACTGCCAATCCGTTGAACGTTCGTACCGGCGGCGTCCTCACTGTTGCCAAGGATGGTCCTCCTGCTGGTTATACATTTGGCAAGTTGACTTATCATACTGTGATCAATGGTTAAGAAGTCCAAGTTGAGGGTAACAGCCGTGCCGTATGATCAACGCAAATCTCAACCCCAAGCAAAGAGCTGACACTTCATCAGCACTGCCATGCCCAAGTCAAGGCTCAATACCCTGAGTTCCAGCTTCCCGTCCATAATGCCACCAAGTTCAATGAGCTTAAGGCCGCTGCAACAAAGGCCCATACCACTCTCGCTACTGCATCCGGTGTTGACCGTCGATCCCCTGTCTTCGGAGGTGATGGCGTGAGTTCAGTTTCGATTCACTAAAGAGAAACTTGAAAGCTGATAACATATAGTGGCACGCATACTGCAACCCAGTTCCAGGCCAACCTTGGCTCCTCGCCAACGAGATGAACCTCGATTACACTCTCTACTTCTGGCAAGGTGTTATCAGCGAGTACTACACCATCAATGGCATGACCTGTGCTCTGTGGGACTGCAACCTCGGAGCTGGATGGACAGTTTGCAACGGTGTAAGCATCAACTTCTTAATCAACCTCAAAATCTTCTTACTGACAAAAGGACAGGGCGGTGATACTCAAACACTCACTGAAGACTCGATGACCTACTATCCTTTCATCCTCATCAACAGCTGCGGAAGCTTTTTCAAGGACTTCAAGCCAGCCAATGGCGGACAAATCTTCTGGGAGTCTGCTAATCTCAATTACATTGCTGCTGGCAACTGGAATGGATGCTGGGGTGAAACTTTCATGTGAGAAGTATTGCAATGATAATAGGTATGCTCGCAATGGCGACGAAACTTTCGGTTTTGCTGCTGTTGTAGGGTTTAAACTTCATCATATGCTGTGTGCTACTTGCGATGGAACGCGAGATAATGGGGAGTGATAGAGCTTTGCGCTGAGAAGGAACTGGTCTAGGATTGCGTTGAACTTGCATCTGCGTTCTCGATGCCAATAAAGTAATGCTTTCCCGTGTATGATGCTCTTGTACTAGTGATGTGAATTTCCTCATCATCAAACTGACTTGTAAACCCGGAGAGAACCTGCCATTCTAGTTTGTATCGCTAACGATTAGAATTATTCTGAGCAGGTCAAACATCATTAGACTTCCAGAGATAGTGTAGACGCGGTCCTCAGAGGATGGTGCCTCGTGACTTGGTTTGCTGGTCAATTCATGCCACATCCTCGATTTCCTAGAAGGAACAGGTACAAAGTCAAATGTATGTCCAAAGGGGTATTGGACGAGAAACCAGACACACTGTTGTCTAATGAGTGGAGAAGCAAAATCGGGAAGAAGGAAATGTGAAGCAGGAGTCATAAATTCTTATCGAGTTGAAGTTTGCAGCGAGCGTTGAGGGACATGAACCATGCCATCAAGCTATCGGGAACTTTTATCTTACGATGATGTCTTTCATTCTTTGCCTATGACTCAGTAATCGAGTTGGAATGTCGTGTTCTGGCTATATTGCTGTGGTGTTTAATAACATCCACACCCTCATGTTCAAGCTGAGCTGTTTTGCGCAGAGGGAGCGAAGTTGCCAAGTCGGGACTGGAAGAGCAGCGTGACCTGTTGGCTGACGGGTGCGCTTGTTCAGATTCCGTCTACCGAGATAATGGTAAGCTCCGCCTTGAAAGAAGCCTATGACTTTGCATTGAAAGTATTGGGCTGGAGTTCCTTTTAAATAATGTCGTTGACTGTCATGGGCGCCTGGGTTTAGTCGTGAAGTCTTCCAACTTTGTCTTTCGTCCCCAATAGCAATGATGAAAGAACATTTTATAAAGCTCTGATTGATGGTATTATCGTACATCATCAATGTGGGCCCTTTGAGATGGGACCTTCTCTAGCTCCGTTCCATTTCCTACAAAAGAGAGGTCACTCCCTTCTCTCTTCTTCAACATCGCCTCAATCTCCGTCCCCAACTCCATCTCTTTCCTCCTCAGGCACCATCAATCATGGACCCCGATATCCTCGTAGCCTGGGCCGCTGCTCAAGCAGTCCGCGGTCCCAGCACAGCTTCCTCGGAAGGAACTTTCACCCTCTTCACGAAACTACCAACCGAGATGCAAGAAATGATTTGGGTGTATGCAGTCCCGTTTCCGGAAGTTCTGGAAGTACGGTTCAAGAAGATGAGTTGTGGGCAAGAGGGGGAGCATGAATGTAAGGGTGTGGTGGGGTTTGAGGTCCTTGATGATGAGTTAGCTATGATGATGATATGTATCCTTTCTATTATGACGGAGTTGGATTGGGAGATCTTGAGTTTTATATGCCTTATTTTTTGTGTTCTTCAACTTTCAATGACGGGTTTTGATGCGGAAATTGTGGCTCTCACATGTTTGGTTTTCATGTTTTTTCGGTTTGGACTACGGAGTTTGATTTAGAGCGTTTGATTACCATATGTCTAGTTTTAGCTCAACTAGGGTTTGGTCTAATACTTTGGATCGTCATGTATCTGGTTTTCAATTTCCTCAATTTTGAATGTCGGGTTCTGACCCAGAACTTTCGATTGCCGTTGTCTGGTTCCGGCTTCCTGCAACTTTCAATGCCGGTCTTGGACTCAGGACTTTTGACTTGCATATGTCTGGTTCTGGATGTCTTCAGCCTCAAATCATTTAGCTAATTCGATGGGAATACAGGCATGCAAACATTCCCGAGCCGTGGCCAAGACCATGCTCCCAAAGACTCTTCCCTCTGCCACGACCGGTGTCGAGATTCGATTCGACCCAGAGAAAACAGCAATCCGTATCACAAACATCGTCGGCATTACCGCCATGTTCTGGGACAAATTTTGCGAAAGTGGTCAAAATGAAAACTTCGGCTTAACATGGCTTTGCCCTAATTCATACCTTGGCCAGAACATCCAAAGACTAGTCGTGCACGAAAATCGTATGTGGCGAGGAGCTCCGAAGGATGATTGCTGGCTTGATTCTCAGTATGCATGGGTTCATACTTTTCGGCATATGTTCAAGGATGTTGAGGATATTATCTGTCTAATTGAGAAGGATGATCCTGAGTATACGTTCGACAAGGAAAGTTATGATGGAGAGTTCGATACCGATCCAGAGTCTTGCGATGAGGATGAAGACGATGAAGAGGAAGACTGCGATGAGAATGACGATAATGTGAAAGAGCGCGGAGTAGCTCAAGTCTCAGGCAAGGAAACCATGATTGCAGAGACCACCGGACGTCATCAGCCGATACAATCTACATCAAACGAAGAGGGAGGTAACTTGACACAAGCCCACAGCAACGAAGAAGTCGAAATCAGCGAGGAAACTGCTAGTCCTAGACGATGGCTGCACGTCGAGAGTTGGCATTCGGACGATGACAGAGTTGTTGATCTTGACCGCATCGAGAAACTGATCAACGACTTCTGGGCAAACGTCATCGACGATCTTCGAGATAAGCACAATGCCTTCAAAGAGATGAGAGGAATTGGGCAATCTCTTGCTAAGCAATCAAATCCACCGGCTCCGGGCTCTGCAAAGCTCGGTCTCAATGCAACTTCTGAAGTAATTGGGGCTGTTTCTACTTTAGACGGACTTGTCGGTTCTGGTGTAACTATCGAAGTTGATGCACAAGAATCTGGAGATGCTGAAGATGCAGCTGAAGAGCCTAGCTATCCTCGCGTAGTCCCCGTTATATTCTTCCACGAAGGCTCATACGATGATGGTCTATCGCTATTGTCTCTTCCCTTCCCCCCTGTCAGAAGTCGCTGTAACTTCGCCGATCTGTTCGGGGGACATGATTGCTAGTAATTCTAAAGACACAACAAAAGGATGTGTTCTAGTCCATACGTGAACACCTGCTATTTATGAACTAACCCCCCGCCATTCATGAATAGCGGGGTGTTTATGTATAGCACCCCCTATTTGTCAACTAGCCCTACCATTCACAAACTTTTAGAACTTTTTCAACTAGCCATAGCTAAACAGCGCCACTGATAAACAACTCGAGAATAAGGCCCTGGTCTCAGCACCTTCAGCACTTCAGCACTCCAGCACCTCAGCACCTCAGCACCTCAGTATTCTAAGACTTTTGCACTAGAGGAGGTGCAGGAGGTGCTAGAAGTGCTAGAAGTGCTAAAGTACTAGAGTGCTAAGCTCAGATCAGGGGCTTATTTCCGAGCGGTTTATGAATGGCGTTATTTAGCCATGGCTAGCTCGATATACTCTGATTGTTTATAAATAGCAGGGCTAGTTGATAAACAAGGGGTGCTATACGTAAACACCCCGCTATTTATGAATGGCACATGCCATTCGTGAATAGCGGGGGCCCCGTTCATAAACAGCAATTGTTGGCGTATGGACTAGAATAGATGCATGAGGTGTCTAGGGCTTGTGCGTTGATGAAAGATACGAAAGTGCATTCGTCACTTAGGACTCTGTAATTAAATGACCGATTCATACGCAAAAAGGAAAAGCATATCTTCATGTGAGTACCCTAGAAGCCATTCTAATGCCCATATCCGAGTGATGGTTTGCGCCTGCCAGACCAGTGCATATTTTCCAACCCACGCTTCGCCCAACATGATAAATAGTCCAGCTTGAGATTTTCAAATTCCACAACCATAAAGCCTTCCCATCGAGCATGTCAGAACCTTTATACTCTACCAAAACTATTCTACTATATAAAAGTTGTCATGTCTTCGAATTCGCTGAATCTCGCGAAAGCCCCTGAGCGATGGTCCGTGCGAGATCTGTTTGTGCCTTGAAATCAGAGGGTCAATCGAGTCAACGTTTTCCATGTTTGGCAGCCTTTTATTTGTAGAGAATTGAGCTGTTGTATATGCTAGACTATCGTAACATCATTGTTGCTTCTGATTCCTATTGCACGATGTACTATGAGCTAACCCATCTACGGCCAGTGTGAAGAGGACACCAAAGAGCGGCCCAACACTTAAAATCTTTCGAATCGTTCATGGAAATTCGATGCTAAAATTAATACGATTACAAGAATAGTATTAGAACTCTCTAATTGTGTCTTTGACCAATATCTTGAAACAATAGATTGTGTACAAGTCTCATGTGAAATTCACCGTATCCATACTCGTGGATGAATATACTCACCGATCGCCATCGCGGTGGGACATTGGTCCTACTTATCGCTGGCACATAGATAACATTGAGATGATCACGATTAACAAATACTGAGGCTCAGGCCAAGTACGGCTGATCATCTCTCCGTCTCCCTCTCCGTCTCCCTCTCTCTCCGTCTCCCTCTCTCTCCGTCTCCCTCTCTCTCCGTCTCCCTCTCTCTCCGTCTCCCTCTCTCTCCGTCTCCCTC